CCTAGGGCCGTCCTGACATCGAGTAGTTGCCCTAGCCGGAATGGTATGTCTACTACCCATGGACCGCCTTGACATCTACTGGATACCCTAGCTGGAATGTGAAGCCTACTGTCCTAGGGCCGTCTCGACACCTAATGGATACCTTGGCCGGTGGGTGTTACCTCCTGACGCATGGCCGCCTCGACCTGGTGGTGGTTGGCATACCCATGCACATACCAGGGGCAGCTCCCCCCCAGGCCAGATTGGCGGCCGCCTCGACACAGGCCTGTAGGAGGTCACCTACCAGGCTGCCCAGCTGGTGGGTGAAGCGGCCGGCACGACGAGGTCGGTTGACCGCCGGTCACCGCTGCCCCGACATCCTCGGGTGTTTGACCCATCCGCTGACCGGACATACTCGGAGACCCGGCCTGCATATCCTGCTTTTGGGCAGAACACCCCTTCGAGGTCGTTATTGACAGCACTGTCATACCCGCCATACACCTTAATGTCCTCGGGGCTTGGTTGATAGTAGACGAAGTTGTAGGACAGGTTCGATGCTGGGAGACTGTCTGGGAGAGCATCGAGATAGAAGCGCAGGTCCGCTAGCTGCTGGAGTGTAGTATGGTCCATAGTGTAGGTGCTGTATCGTGTTATCGACGGCACACACTCTCGTCGCCTCAAAATCTGACTAGCCCCAATCATATGGCAAGATGTTCACTTCTGTATATGAGCTTTGGGACCCGGCACGAATCGGCCGAGTACTTGTAGTAGCATGTCTACCTGACATCTAGCAGGATCTCGGTACTAATATATTATATGATCAAGGTCAGTGACCTCCCCGCTCAGCCTGCTATGGTCAGTGACCAGTCAGTGACCAGTCACTGACGTCACTAACCGGTCAGCCTCGTCTATATTGGGAAACCCGCAGGTTGTTCACCGTACACTAGTCCGCGACACCTGGTGAAGACGCGCCGAAGTCTATTCCCACGCCCCGAGGGCACAAGTCATTCGGGCCGATTGCTCCGAGTGACGCGTCTCGGTGTTACAATCGGAGCCTTGTCTGCTATCCAACGACAAACGCAATTTTGTTTGACTCGCTCAACACTGTCGTCGGACCCATTCACGCTCACGCTGTCTGCTCAGGCCTGCTCTCGTATCTGGTGTTCTGGATGAAGGTCAAAGAAGATGAGCTGTACTTCAACATATTAGGCGATGTGTCTGTCAACAGGAGTTGACATGATGGCGAAGCCGGATAAGTCGTCACTATCCAGTGTCGGCAGTCCGGCGAACTCCTGTGAGCATTGATGGTGGCTGCTGGATCCTGACCACAGGGTGACTAGATCAGCAATCCAGCAGCACTACACTGTGCGGAGGAATGCCCTAGCCTCCTTTGTGCAGCCGTTCTCAACGTGTCGCCGCGGCGCTTTTTGAGGCTGTGTGGAGCGGAACGAACGCTACGACCTTCAATATTCTCGCAGGGGCGGCTTGAGATTACACACGAAAGTTAGTGGGGATTACCAGCCGGATGATGGGTGGCAAACGCTTGGGAGCGCCAAGGTATGAGTCCCTCGGACGTACTTAGCACGGTGACCTGGTTTTCTGAATAGAGTCTCCAGCGACTCTCCTCCTAGCAAATCCTCAATTGGTCGCCTTTTATCATTATTCAGAAGCCTAGTAATCATTATAACGCTCTGGATCCATCAGGTACCCTAGGTTGGTAATCACAATGACCCTACCTTCGAGCCGCGACGACGCGTCATCTTCGGTGGCGCCTTACCGTGTAAACCTCAAGCTTCAAGTTTCTTCACCTGTCGTTGGCTACGTGTTTGCAATGACACAGGCAATAGTTAAAAAGCGAGGAAGGAAACCGCATCACAGATCTGCTCGCCAGTCGCCTTGTGCTGGGAGAATGAAGCATTGGTTTGACAAAACCTTATGACACTCTCCATGACTCTACGCAAGCACGATGAGCTCAACTACCCTTTTCTCCCATGAAATATTTCTCGGCTCTTACCTGTGTTGCTGATGCCGAGAAACTAAGCAACGCTACAGGAATTGTATAAAAGGCCCCGCTTGGCTGTCTCTCGAGCAGCATTACAGCCCATTGCAAGTCCTCTCACCTCTACGCCAACACCTTCATGTCGAGTTCAACACCTTTCCGTCACACCGAGAAAGCACCTCCAACCCGCCTTGGGCGCTATCGTCTCCTCTCGCCCACGGCGGCGGTTCATGTCTCGCCACTCCAACTGGGTGCGATGAGCATCGGCGACAAGTGGCACGAGATCGGCATGGGCAGCATGAACAAGGAGGACTCGTTCAAGCTGCTCGATGCGTACTATGAGGCCGGCGGAAACTTTATCGACACCGCAAACGTCTACCAGTTCCAGTCGTCCGAGGAGTTCATCGGCGAGTGGGCCGAGGCGCGTGGCATCCGTGACCAGCTAGTCCTTGCTACCAAGGTACGTATCTCCTGTTCGTCGGACACCCTGGTTAGGTGTAGAGCTACTATGAATGCTAAATGGCTGGCATGTAGTACACGAACAACTACTTGCGCGGAGAGCCGGACGTTCAGCAACAGATACTCTTCATGGGCAACAACATCAAGTCCCTCCACATGAGCGTCGAGGCGAGTCTGAAGAAGTTCCGTACCTCCTACATCGATATACTCTACATCCATTGGTGGGATTACGAGACCTCTATTCCGGAGGTAATGAACGGCTTGCACACCCTCGTCCAACAAGGCAAGGTGCTGTACCTGGTGAGTTACGAGCCTCTTCTAGCGCTTCGCCATCATTTCTAAGCCCGTCTTCTCACAGGGCATCTCTGATACACCTGCCTGGGTTGTGGCAAAAGCCAACGAATATGCGAGGTGCCATGGCAAGTCGCAGTTCGTCGTTTACCAGGGTGAATGGAGTGTGTTGGACAGGTCCTTCGAGCGGGAAATCATCCCGATGGCGCGGAGCGAAGGTCAGGTCTGACAGAGCTGATACATCGTTTGACATTACTGATTCTTTCCGTAGGCATGGCCCTTGCACCGTGGGGCGTCCTCGGCGGCGGAAAGCTGCGCACCGATGAGGAAGAGGAGCGTCGCCGCCAGACAGGTGAAAACGGTCGCGACCTCTTTGGCGCTGGCTGGGAGCGCACCGAGCCCGAGAAGAAGATGAGCGCTGCCCTGGAGAAGATCGCCAAGGAGGTCGGTGCCAAGCACATCACGTCTGTTGCCATCGCGTACGTGCTGCACAAGACTCCCTTCGTGTTCCCTATCATCGGCGGGCGGAAGGTTGAGCATCTGCACGCCAATATCGAGGGCCTTAGCATTCGCTTGACCAAGGAGCATATGCAGGAGCTAGAGTCTGTGATTCCATTCAGTGCCGGATCCCCGTATGAGAAATTTGTAAGCCTGACTTTTGATTGGAGACCAAGCCTCCTCGCTGACGAAACACAGGGAAATGGGTCAGAGTACTCGTTCTTGCAGAAATCCGCCGGATTCTTGGACAGACTGCCAGACGTCCAGCCTATCACTCCGTCCCTGGATTAAGCCAGAACTTATTCGATAGGTGACTGCATATGTCACCTCTCAGTATGATTTCTATCGCGTTTGTGATTGATCGGATTTCGTTGTATTTCTATATACTTAGTCCAGTGTGACGAGCTTCATGGACACGAGCGCTGCCTGGATGTAAGGAATCGGAGTAACTTTTCTCGTTCGCACGATTGATAACCTTTTCAAGATATATAACGGGAAGTAATGAATAACAAATATAGTCCAGCAAGGTCCTAAGATCCCATCCGAGTCATCCCACTCACACCACCGCCTACTAGGATAACTCGTAGCTTCGCCTGTAGTAGCGTTCAGTAATTGGTAGCTTGGTCGCAGCCATTCAAGCTTCAGTATCCAGAGAGGGATTAACAAATGAGGTAAGTTTGGGGAATAATGACCTGTGGTGACTTGGAGACGCGTTCAAGCCCGACTCGGAGGACGTCGTAGGGGTCAATTGGAGGTACTGCTTGTCGGAAAAATCCCACGCGCGTTAGAACCCATTATTACGCATTCCCATGGCCTCGGGGTTGGCAACGCGTTTTAATGGGGGGCGATTTCATTCCATCGGTGCCTGTGTCGGTTGAGTGCCATCGGAACGATTCGCTCCGCGTGCTGACGACCGCCTATCATCGGAACGCGTAATTATGCTTAGTACGTCGCTCGAGCGATCCAGGTGCCGTTGCTACGCGTGGTAACGTGTCCGAACGTCAGAGGTCATCGTAATGCGTTCTAATGCATGTGTAGCCGTAGGAATACATTATTTCGAGTGTTACCCATCAGAACGTCGTTGCAAATGCAATTTGCTTCATATTCGGGCTTCCTTGGTTTATGATGATAGTATACGGCTTGTATATTCAAAGAACTAATACTTGGGCTGATAGCCCGCTATCCTACGTGGTACACGCTATACGTACATAGAACGTATAGTACAACAAACAACTGGGAACTCACCAGGGAGGTAGATACCTATTCATGACGAATGACAGACATCAGTTTGTGTCAATAGCAGGAGGAAGAGAGATTTTACATACCTTAGACCAGGCTAAAGACTGAGAGGATCGAATACTAAAATAGGCACGAAGGGCTAGTGAGCGAGAGTGAGCTTTGATGATAGCACAAGGATAGCTTGAAATACGTACCCGGGGAGACGATGTCGAGCACTGAACTCGCAGCCTCAGTAGGCAGCGAGCATGCTGCTATAAAGCCCGGTGGTACGCTGATGCGGGTAAGCAGGGGAAGGGGAGACTGGGGCCAGGCACTCACTGGGAGCGTCTGGTGGACGCCGTTGCTGAGGTGGACGCCGTTGCTGAGGTGGATGCTGTCGCCGAGGTGGATGCCATCGCTGGGATGGATGACGTTGCTGGGGTGGATGACGTTGCTGGGGTGGATGACGTTGCTGGGGTGGACGCTGTTGCTGGAGTGGATGCCGTTGATGGACGCAGGTGGAGGGGTGGAGGGGCGACGATAGGCGGTGAAAGGTAGAGGGCGATGATGAGGACAGAAGGCAACGATGGCGAGAGGGAGGACGGCGGCGAGTTATGGTGGATGGGTCGATGGTTGAAGTAGAGAGTCAAGAGGTTAACAAGCGGGCTTCGAAATGCTTCATATATATTAGAGTGATCGGACTTTAAAATTCTTTTGTAGCGTCGCTTAGTTGCTTCAATAGTCACGTACAAGTAACTATAGTATACTTACACCTACGATAGCGGGGTAATGCTATTTAGAAGGTGGTCAATAGGTGCGAAGGACGTCTCCCTCACATTAGATAGAACCCAGAAAAGTGTAATGCATCAATGAAGATAAATATATCCCTTGAAACCGGCCGACATGTAGCATGAAGTTGAAAATGCTGTCAATGAACAGAAGGACGCCCCAGTTCCTCTTTATCCCGATAGTACTCAGGTGATACAAGATCAGCCAGAACAGCACCAGCACCGAGGCTTCTATTTTACTTGACCAAGGAATAGCTAGTATTAATTGAGTGGGGATTGAATATGTATCAGATGCGAAATACACGACAGAAAAATTGGTGCGATAATATCAGTCAGAGCCGCAGAGGCAACAATCGCTCTAAGTAGTCTTCTTGACCCTTGTAGTAGGACCTCTGCCTCTGCCTTTAGCCGCTGTAGCATCGGCCAGGATGTCCGTGCCTTCCAATCTGTCAGCATTTGCCGGATTGCGGGAAGCCTGAATATAGTCGTAAGTACGGTGCATTTCGACTGTGAATTGACTTACACGAGTCGTAGCTCGTCCTTGAGTGGCTCGACCAGCAGCAGAGATGGACCCAGACGATATAACCTGAGGACTACCTCCACCCTGTCTGCGACGACCAGCCGAGACACTGTCTTCGTTAGTAACATTCATCGCGCCCGTGCTGATGGCGGGGTGATCGATTGCGTCCTTAGACTGAATGTCCAAGTATGCAGCCTCCCTTCGTAAGCCACCACCTCCGTTCTCAACAGCGGAGGAACGTTCTTGATAATAAGTCGTTGAATCAGAGGCTAACATGACAATGAGACGAATATTTTCTCTTACCTTGCAAGTATGCGGTAGCAATAGCCTCATTGTTCGCGTTGACGCCATCCCCAGCATCATTGGCACCAGGCTCATCCGGGTTTGCCACGCCTGGACTGGCAGGTTCTAACGCAAGATGATTAACCTGCTTTGTAAGGGCCGAGAGCGACTGAGAGCCTTCGTCAGATGGCTCTGCTGCAGACATAGGAGAAAGCTCGGGAGCAGCAGATGATTCAGAGTTGAGGGAGGCATAGTACGCGTCGAGGTCTGCATTCAAGGTGTCCTCCTCGTCCTCTTCCTGAGCACCGGGAGCTTCAGAAGGCTGTTTCATGAGAGGGTTTGTGGAGGAAGTGGGCGGGATACCAAAGATCTCGTAGTTAAACAGCTCGAGAACTTTGAAAGACCACACAGCATTACCAGTGAGCAAAGACTGCAAGACCTTATCCCTGTCAGCTCCGTACGGAATGCCGGAGGGCGAACCAGGGTTAAGGTACATCGGATCGTTTGTCAAGAGGTAGCGGACCTTTAGATGTACTGAGAGCAGCTCTCGCGTCAAATTTAATCGGACACTTACATCAACGGAAGTGCTGGCGATCATTTGTGGTTCTACTTTGGTGAGCTGAGACCCTTTGGCTTTCGAACGAGACCTCGGCAAGCGACGTGTCTTCAAGCCAGTTGGGCCAAAAAACTTGACAATTATAGCCTATTTGCGCGAGTCAGCGCGAGTTTGTATCAGAGACGAGCTAAATACTATACCTTGATAAGTGCTTCCGACATAAGGAACTCTTGAGGGACTGGCTTATCCGGATTAGCGTATAGAACAGGTGCCTGTCGATCGTACTTGGAGGACTTGATATCCTTCTTCAGGAGGCGTAATTTCCTCTCTGCAGTTAGTTCGCTGCCAAAAATCTGGACCTGAGCGCCACGCAGCGCGGTGGTGTAGATGCGTCGTGCACCATCAACGCCTTTCGTGAACTAGAAATTACGGGAAGCAAGTTAGATGGTCCACGAGAAAGAGCAAAGAAACTTACTGATGAAGCGAACGTTTCCTCCTGCTCGATGACATCATGATTATTGTCACCCATATGATGATAGACATCAGCCATAGCACCTTGGACACCTGCATTCGCATTCTCAAAGCGCGAAGGATCATTGGGATCAATGTTCCTTGCAAGAGGCGATAGAGGGAATGTTCCATCAGAAACCCAAGGACGTACGCGGGTGGCAAAGCTGGCGCCTTTGCTCTTGAATTTACTCTCGTACATCATCGTCCCAAGGGAGAGGCCTCTGTCGAAGCTTCTCTTCTTGTCCTTAGGGAGTAACGTGTACAGAACACGGACCTGATCCTTGAGAGCGCAGAAAGCATCGAAGAGGCACTTGTGCTCCTCCTGCGTATCATGGAGAGCCTGAATATTGTACATACTATATGAGTGCTTGCAAAACAAACTCAAAGTTTGACATGATGACTTACTTTACGAACCTGGACATTAGATGCTGTGTCCGGGAGCTGAGCTATGGCTTGCAGAGAACGGGTAAAGCGTTCGTCATCATCAAGGGCAAGTCCGCCAATGACAGAGGGAAACTCTTCGTCGTCGCTGTCAGGCATGATGTATTCAAGAGTGATATTCGATAAGAGGGCGGGATGTAAAACGGAGAAAGTACAACGATGCTGAGGGATTGATGCTGAGGGGGCTCACTTTATATGCGAGTCAGGCTAAGTTGCCGACATAAATTGAGCCATCTTTGAATATCTTTGAGAGCGAGAAAGTGAGCACCGCATCACTCTATCACAATATTCAAATTCCATATCGGAGCTTCAGCGATACCAAGCTTGCTAAGGCGGAAATTACATACCTGGCAGTGCATCAGATATAATGCACCCTTCATCTTATGTTGTGACCAGTTCATATCTGTTATGCGCGTCTAGGAAGTGTGATATACAAAGGCGTTTCAGCGGTATCTGATGATGTACACATATGCAACGACCTACCGTATTGAACGCGTTGTTCACGGCTCTTGTCCAGGGCAGACAGCCGCTTGAGAACAAGCGAGTGAACCTCGCCGATGTGGCATGGCCCGGTACGGAAAACTCCCAGAGGTTTCAGCGTGAAGTACACGGACCGAAAATCCCAGGAGGTCGATCTCAAGGCTCAAAAACCTATGTTTCAGCAATCTGTAAACTGCGGTGAACCCAGTCAACTTACATTAGCCTTTGACAGGACCACTTCACAGCCAAATGCCAGATTCTGTGACGAGAAATCCATTTGCACACAGCAGTGCGGCGCGTACTGGTAGATTTCACAATTAAAAGCACAGTTTCGCTACGAGCTATCAATGAATGCCTTGAGGACCGGCGTATTCCCACTCACCGCCAATGGGGTCTAGATATGCTAGATTCTGACCGATTCAGAGAGCGAGACTTCAGCTGCACTATAGTTACGTACAAAATGCGACAGCAAACGTCCTAAAGCGTTATTGACCTAAAAATGTGAGTTTATCAACCCATTCACCCGGAGATTAAGATTGTTAATAAAGAGGGGGAACGCAGCTGGTGCGGCGGCAAGATCCAGCAGGTCATCACTCTACGTGTCTCTGGAATGCCAGGGCAAGAGCGCTACAACTTCGAGCTTGAGAAACCCAAGATCTCCTGCTCTCACCGCCTCTTGCGCTTCCTCGGCTCTCGGCGTCTGATCCAGACGCGAATCCCGGAGCAAACGATGTGGAACTACGGCGCGCGCATAACCGAGTACCTCTCGTGCCACTCGTTTGTGCTGTGCGGTCGCGCGTTTTTCCCGGTTCACGCAAAGGAGAGCTCTGTTTATAATTGTACAGGCGAGTGCCTCGAGGGTGTGATTGTGAATATGTGAATGGTGAAAGTAACGAGACATGAAACGAACGTGTAGTTATATGAAGAGACTGGATTATGTGTTGGATGCCGTGTTAGCGAGTCCATTCCTTCATGCGAAGGAACATATCCCCGTCAATGTGGTTCATGACAAAAAACTCGGACCGATCCCTTGACTTGAAGTCGGGAGCGAGCAGAGCACCACGAACGATTGATCCAAGCGGAATGACGATGGAGGATGCCCGAGGAACAGCCTTGACACGGATTAGCCCAAGGTCTTTGTCTACACTCCTCGTCGAACCCGGGAGACCGGCAGTGTAGGGTTGGACAAGCGCCAATGATAATGGCTTGTCAAGGCCGGCAAGTTGTATCTGAAAGATAAGAACGAAGCGCACAAATGCCTGATCTGCGTCAGACATTTGTACGAGAGCGCAGTCATAGCGGGGCTTCTGGTGGAACCAAGGGTGGCAATGTAGATAGTCCGTGGCCTGCATCCACGTCTCCGTGGACTCGTAGTTAACCTTGAGGAAACGGAACTCCTGGAGCTATTAAAACCAATATATTAGCCTTGTATAACCAGCAGAAGCCATTGCCAGTGTACCATAATCAACGCTTACCGGATAGTGACGACCAACCCTCTGCCACGAAGTCAGCTGGGCCTTGTAGCTCTCCATCCCCTCGAGGTCCGGTAGAGTTTCGTTGATAAACTTCTCGAGTACATTATGAAAGTCTTGAAATGCAGCGTCTTGAGGATATTCTGCCTGAAGGTTTGCGATGGTCATAGAGGACTGAGGCGAGCCCAAATAGAACTTCTCTGAAGATAATTGGAAGGAGCTGCACTCAACGCCGGTGTCGTTGACCGCTGAGTCATCTTGAGCCAAGAGAACAGACTCGTATTCTGTTATGCGGCTGAAAAGCAAGTTTAATGCAAGGCGGTGTTGGTCTATTCGTAAAATCTGTCAAGTAACCACCAGAAACCCACAATGAGCATAGTCAGAATTCCATGCCGATAACAAAACGAGTCACGTTGAGGGAGCGATTTACATACCTGTTCTGCAATTTCTTTTCCGTTAGTACGGCCATACACTGCTTTAAGCAGTGTATGCACCCCCTCATTCGGTCGAGTGCTGTAATTCCGGCTAGCACCCTTGTTACGAATGTCCTCAAACGCGTGTTTGAGGTAGTGGGCCTTGGGGAAATCCCAGTCCGTTTTTAGGTCGGGTATTTGCGACTCCTTTGCGAGCTCGATATAGGCCTGTAATTTGCGAAATGAGTATGATTAGAGGATCGCGTTAATAACTCACATCGAGCAGCTGGCTGAATCGTTTTAATTCTGCTTCACCGGCAGCGAGAGTGTCCTCCATATGGACATCAAGACCGATATAACAGTCGAGCTCCAAGTAGCTTCTTATGACCTGAAGGAGAGCGTAGCCTTCGGGCGATGTTTGCGGTGTGAGCAGGTTTTGTGCCACAAAAAGCACTTGCTTCAAGTTAAGTCAACGGGATTAGTACAAAAGTGATAAATATGCCAAACGCTTACCTTTGACATATCATGAAATTTGTTACCGTCAGAAAACGAGGTATTAACCGCGTTCGCGAAATGATTTAAGTCTCGCCACCTCGGCATCTTATCGAATCTGCTGCAGTATGAATCAGAAACCAGTTGCATAGTAATTAGACTTACTGTTCATCGAACGTTCCCATAGTCCCTTCAATCTTGCTACTTACAAATTTGATGATCTTTTGTAGCTCAGGAAGTAGGTGTCGCCCGAATAAGCCGCCATGATTGAAGTGCAGGCGGTCAAATGAGAGAGCGTCGTGAGGGTCTGAGTGTTGAATGTCCCAGAATATGTTCTACATCGCCTGGTCACTTTTGTATCAGATAAGAGCACTTGAAACCCACCTCGGCCGGTCGCAAACCGACCTCTTTCATAGCTGCATTACCGGCACCCTTGTTCTCCTTGTATATCTCCCATAACTCACGCCCTTTCCTTGTAGTACGGCGCTCGTAGTTTGTCGAAAAGTCTCGGAGCTTCTCCTTTGGAGAGAGGCAGACGGGACACGGGCATTTGCACTTTGGCCCGCGAATCAAGGACATCATGCACCTATGTAAAATTGAAGTAGTGAGCGGCCGAAAAATAAAACAAAAACGAAGACTTTACTGCTCCTCGTAGTCAGCCGAGAGGACGAGTATCACTGGGAACAAAACGCGCTTCTGTCCATCGTAGCACTCATGTACCATACCCGCAGATGAATACGTAGCAATCTCATCCAGAAAAGTCTTGAAAGACTGATGCCAAACAACGCGTTTGAAGTTCGTATAAGATAGTTTCCCTTCCTTTTCAGGGTCGTCGCCAAGCTGGCATTGTATGCGTAAGTCTGAGGATATTTGATTGTGAGCGGTGTACGCACCACGGGGAGCCATCCTACTACCCGTGCACCTCCTACGCCGTTACCATTGCGAATATGAGTCGGCAAATTCATACACCTTGCGATCACGGGGTACCCTTGGACGGTCCCAAACGACGAAAGACGCGTCTTATCTGCATACAGCAGGATTGAGAACGGCGCGTGGGTGGCACCACTGTGTGTGGGTGGTAGGTTGCTCTATACATATGTCAGTACTATCAGACAACACGGAGATGTATCAGTTACGCACCTGTATATTCCACCACCTGTCGGCTGTCCAGGGCTCGTCGTACAGGCGGACAAACTGTCCTGAGCTCTCATTTCGTTTGTAAACCCTCTGTGCATCCCATTCGAAATGCGGTGCCAGAGACTTGTTCGCGAGCAGCTCCTTTGCCCAGTCCCAGAGATTCCGTTTGTGTACCTCAACAGGTATTTTCGTTTTCTTCCAATCCACCGTGATTTTTTGAGTTTCAATCTAATGAGGCCATGACAATTGATGCATAAAGAGAAACATTGTTACTGATTACAACTTATACTAAGCAATACGACGTGCAGCCGCTTACTGGAGTGAGCTCTAAGGCTGCCTTATCGCAGGTCTTGCGTAACTCAGCGTCGTTCTTGAACGATACGTTAGCACCACCCTCGGCCACCTTATTAATGAGCGCGAGAAGACGCTCGACGTTGGCCTGCGAAAGTTTAGCGTCAATAGCGATTGAGGCAAATTCGCAGTCGGCTTTGGATTTGAAGGGCTCCCATGGTTGCGTCGCGTCGTTATTGAGGGCAGGAAGTGGGTGGGAAGTGTTCCGAAACTTGTCCCATGACTCGACCTTCGAGGATCGTTTGCTGTCGGGATGATAGTCGGTTTTGAAGTCCATGGTGCGAGTCGAGGAGGTAGGAGGCAGAGTAGTAGCTGTGTAGGCTACACTCCTCATGCTAACGTCGGACTCGGATCCTTGCGACCGTGTCAGCGCCTTCAAACAGACAAAAGAAAAGAACAACAAGGAGAGAAAGAATGACGTACGAATTCTAGCATTGACCTCACTTTCTTCGAATGCATCTGAACCACCTGAATGCCCACCCTGAGAAAATACCGACTCTGGCTCCCTATGGTCCGAGTATAAGTTCGCCTTTTCTGATGCTGCCAATGTGAGGACATGTCAACTAAATATGAGGAGAAAAGACACACCTTTGTTTGAGTCTTGTGCCGCCCCACGTCGAGGCTCAGGAATCCAAGTCGAGATTGATGGACCCCCAAATCCCTGCTCTCCAAAGGCGTGTGGCTTTGATGGGCCCGCTGCTGATACTTGTGCTGCTGCCACGCGTTCAGCCTGCAGCTGAATCTCGCGAGCTGGAAAGCAGTTGCATGTGTCAGCGGTTTGTGGCTATGGATGGGGCACCTACTATGCCTGTGCCCCCGATGAAACAACGCGCCCGTCGTGAAACATGCATGTACTTTGAGTATCTTGAACGCGTCTCTCAACCATTACCTCCCAAAATTCGTTTGTGGGCTGTGCTAGGTCTATTTGATAGCATAGTCGAAGCTCAGAAGCTAGATCCTAAAATTGAGTAAACACGGCTCGAAAGACTGTTGTGTGTTCTCCCCTTCAATGCTTATCCGCTCAGGGCACCGGGGTAAATGTTACCCAATCACTTTGAGCTCTCAGTGACGCCATGACTGGTACCCAGAGAGCACTGTACACTAATTGTGTACACTAATGTTCATATAAATGTAACATATAAACGTTGGAATGTTGTACATGGAAGATAGGGGGTTTAGCGTGGTGGAAGCCGGCATCTCGCTGGCATCTCTTCCAGGCAACGGACAAGTCTGTCACTTTGTCTCATGCTACGGAAGACACTGTGATATATGAATATCATGTTTTTGAAGGTCATCGTAGGAGTATGTGGTCAAGGGATTGAGTGCAAGTCGAGGATGTTTCACGACAGGCGCGTTGTTTCATCGGGGGCACAGGCATAGTACCTTCATGCTGAAGCACTGTATGCCTGTCCGATATGGCGTTACGACATTGGGTCTGCTGCTTACGCGCCTGACAGTGTTTCTCGTGCATAGCAAGGCCGGTGGGCTGTAGCTGCCGGCCACAACCGTGCTGGCACAAGACTTTTGTGCCGTCATTGGTGACTCGTGAATTGGTTTTCTTCGCCCGAGGCATAGGGTTTGGCGTCGAGTGACGAATTCAAAGGTAATACGAGATGGGCGACAGGGGATTAGGTGTGGGGCAAAGCGATCGATGGACGTCAACGTCCGATCGAGGACTCAAGGCACGTCGGGTCGATGAGGATGCCGAGGGAACGCTTAGGGAAACGGCTGAGGCGGCATCCGAATGCGTTAAGATCTTTCCCCCAACACTCCGATCGAGGCCGAAACCAATCAAACGCCGTCGCAACGCCAATGATAAAACGTGAACTGATGAGTCAGCGTTCCGATGCGTCTAGACCACTTCTCGCCGTTCCCACAGCGCCTCCGGCATAGCCGGGCGTACGAATCCCACTGGACTTCTGTAGCCCCGTTTAAGCGGCGTTCCTACGGCATTCGATCAACGTGTCAACGGCTTTGTCGGACTCGCGTGGGAATGCCCCTTTAGACTTTTCCGACACTGTGTTGTTTACGCGTTGTTTGTCCCAGCCATCCCCTTTTGGTAGGTGACGCGTCTCCTGTATTATCCCCGTTGCTCTCTCGATAGTGCCAGTGGCCCACTCAAGGTGCCTAAGGGAGCGCAAGGGCTCGTCACGATAGCAATCCAGGAAATCAAGGTATCTGCTTTAGCTACTGTGGGATTGATCGTAAGTACGGGTCGACTGAGGAGGTGCGTACAACGTAGTGATGCAATACTCGTACAGAACGCTGATGGGCTTGCAGTGATACATCACCTCAACGCTTGTCAGGTCTGAAGTGATGCATCACTCTCGACAGCGCTAGAGCTCGGCGGGCTATGAATTTCCGATGGTAGCTTGATTCTATCCATTCTCTCCCTTCGGTCTTCACCCACCCATCGCTTCCTCCACTGTTGCTCCTGACACGCGTTGAGAACCTTGTCCGCTCTCTGGGTCGAAACGTTGGCAGAGTAGCATCAGGTGAGCTTAGGATTGAGTTGAGCGAGGATAATCAACTGATGTTGCTCTGAGTCATCGCTAGTTCGATTCAAGCATGGGCGATAGTATGTCCCCGACGCACTCAAAGATGGGCAACCCCTCCTTTCGCACCCCTTCTATCCTATCCCTAGCACCGGAGACAATGCTCGAGATCTTTGACTTCTTGCTTCCTGACGCGAAAGCTTCTCTCAAACGAGCTAACAGCGACCCTTCCACCGTGTTCCCCTTCTCCCCCGCCCGTGTCTGTCGTTGTTGGCTGAACATTCTGTCCCTCAAGCCAAGCTATTGGTCATCTATCGTCGTACCTCTCCACCTTCCTATGATTCCTCCCACCCTTTCTACCTATGTGGATGTCCTTGCTCGCCAAAACAACATTGACGAATGCCTCATCTACAGCGATGCAGCTTCCCCGCTTCCGTCCAGCACCGAATGCGCCCGCATTGACGCTGTCTTGCGCGCTCTTGCACCACACTTCCACAAATGCCGGACCATTTCCATCCGTACTCAATACCGCTCGTCTACTCTTCTGGCTTCGCGGCATCTCAACGGTCTCGATACTGAGCGCCTCATCTACTTCTCTCTGGTTTCCTCCGAAGCGGATTCAACCGAAGAAGCTCATTTCACGTCATTTTCCTGTCCCAAACTCCACCGGCTCTCCATGGATGGCAAGACTTTACTCAGCTTTGCTCGCAGCGATGGTCAAAAAGGCCCCGAGAAGGGGAGGCCGTACATCCATGTGACTCCTTATCGTCCACCCAGCGGTCCCTCGCATCTGACGCCCTCGGCGCTCATCGCCGCTCTCATTAAACTCGTCGAGCTGAGCCACTTTTTAGAATGGCTTCATGTTGACAACGTCGCGTTTGACGAAGCACCGGAACACTATGGTATGCCGCCTCTTGACGTCTGCGACGTCAAGTTCACCGATCTGGATGGGCTTTTCCTCCGCGAGTTTTTCCGCCGCTTCGAAGGTGGCGAGGGCCGTAGCGTACACACCACACGTTGCACCTTCGATTACCCTGTTGAGATACGCGAGGCCGACAGTCTTTGCCTGGAGAGGATTGACGACGGTGCCGCTATCATGTGCGCGCTCATGCACTGGGATGGCTTGAGCCTTTCCATGAAGAACTGCCGAGGATTTACCGATGCTGCGTTGAACATGGTGACGGCTGAGGACTGGTTTTTGGACTTGTATGACCTAGAGATCAAGAACTGCCCAGTGTCCGTGCGCGCCGTGCGCTCATTTGTTGAAGCCAGGAATATAAACACTCTCCAGGAGGTGAAAGTTTCGGGAGAAACGCCGTTGGGGGACGAGGACAGGAGGTGGTTTGAGGACAACTTCCAAGGATCATTCAGCTGGACGACCGAGAGAGACGTTAAATCCACGCTATGATGGACGAGGTGAGCTTACGGTATCCTGCGCTCTCCCAAACGGAATTGACGAACTCTTGCAGGATAACCTTGAAGTTTTTCACTATTTTAGTAGCTCCTCACGACGCATACCGTGTTATATTCGTTCATGTGTACCGGTCTTCCTACTCCGTATCTTGCGTGCTTGTTGGAAGTCTTATAGCAAACCTGTGTCGGCTTACTAACCTGCACGATAATCCTCTGCAAGTCAAATATCTTGTCAACGCAGGTATGAGATCTCTGCATGCTGCGACGTTGTTCGAGACGATTGGAAGTACCACTACTCTCATCAGCTAATCATACAACTCTTACGTTTCGATATTACCTGTCACGTTCATCATCTTTTCGGCGTTGGGCCCGGGGCGTCCGTGTCAACGAGTTGTGGCCAATTACGCGTTGTTTACGCGTTGTTTGCATCGCGCGGTGCTGTTCCGGCATCCGTCCCCGACTTGAACGAGCTCGCCGTTCCGTACGTCGACACCGCTCAAGCGTGCAAGGATGCACGACCACACTACTCGTTCTCAACAACATTCTCAACAAAATTGATATCCATCGGTCAACGCTGGGGCCGCTCACGTATTCATACTGCCATCCAGTCGACCACCGCCCAACAGCTCTTCCCATTTCGTGCACGAAATGAGGTATCAGGGGCGTCTATTCTGTCAATCCGGTGCACTAAATCCTACTGCGGTGATAGAGATGCACTAATGCCCCGATTAGGTTCCTTAGCTTAGTGCAACGTCCTTTTCGCCTTTATCGTCTCTATTGCAATACGAACGCTCTTGGGGGTCTATATATCCGCGTCCTGGCTGAAAATTTCTCTCCCCCATCTTTTCCTGTCCCTTTCACCACCGAGACGAATACACTTTGTCCGTTGCTCTTGTCGCGCTCCAGCTGCTCTGTGCCCCTCTTGAACACATCATAGGTGCGTGAGACACGACCTCTAGAGCTACCACTGCTCCCTGACATGCCAACGTAGCCTGCGTGCCTCTTACTCTATCGTTCTATTCGATAATGCCGCCAATCCATTTCACTCTCACCAAAGCACCCTTTCGCCCGCGCTCTATTGGGTCTCTGGCACCGGAAACTCTACTTCAGATCTTCGACTACCTGTTTCAGGATGCGAAACTCGCCATGGAAGATGATCAGTATGACATAGTGTCTCTCTTCCCCTTCACCACGGCGAGCGTCTGTCGCGACTGGCTCGGAGCCCTCGCTTTGAAGGCAACATATTGGACCAATGTTGTAATACCACTTGATTTCCCCATCCTCCCGTCCATCATGACCGCCTACGTCGACATGATAAGGCACCAGACGATCGTCAACGTGCATGTGATCTATTGCGAGCTATCAACTGTCCATATCAAGGCGGGAACCGAACGTGCTCGCGTTGGCAGCGCCATGCGTCTCCTGAAACCGCATCTCCCAAAGTGCGAGACCATCGTCATCGACACTCGCTATCGCTCGTCCGTCATTGTTGCAACCGACCACCTCGACTGCCTCACTGTTGATCCCCTCAACAAACTTGCGCTCGTCTCTGCTGTCTCCGATACCGTCGACGAGTCCGAGTTCACCCATTTTACTTGTCCCAACCTCATATCTCTCTCCATCGACGCCAAAACCCTCGTCGATTTCATTGCCAGCGACGGACCTAAGGGTAACCCAAGGGATCATGCGGCGATCAAAGAACTCAACGTCACCACCTATCGCGCCGAAGTCGAGTGTGGCCTTCCAGAGCTCCTGTCCACCGAGGTTGTCAGGGCCATCTGCGACCTTGTCAAGGAGTACGGGTGGCTCGACACACTCACCATCGAGGACATTGTCTGCGAGGACGACGGAGACGTCGACGGATACTCAGAAGGTGACGAAGCGCTCCTTATGTTGCTCATGCCGATCATCCGGAACGTAGGCGACGTCTACCTCACGGACCTCAACGGCCCCTTCCTCCACTCTTTCTTCATCGGCTTCAACCCGCCCAACGACGGCGGTGAATCACGCGTCGTCTCGCTCACGCGGTGTTCTCTCCACGTCCCGGTCACCATTCGCAACACCTGCAAGCTTAAGCTCTATGAGATGAACGACATCAAACACGTCATGCATGCGCTCGCACACTGGGACGGACTTCATCTCAGTGTGGAAGATTGTCAGGGGTTTGGCGACCCTGTATTGGATACGATAACCTTAAGCGGCTTCTGTCCGACGTTTGGTGGTCTCTACATCGACAACTGCCCGGTATCTTTGCCCAGCATGCGAAGGTTTGTGTCGATGAGGGAGGGAGAGTTGTGGCGTCTCAAAGTTTCTGGTGGGCCGGAACTTAGCGAGGAGGATAAACAGAAGTTCAAGGATTCTATTTCTGATGGTCTGACTTGGAACGGCGAGGTGATACTCTAGTCTGCGCCCGGTCTCGAAGAGTAAGTGTCTTTCATAGCGTATTTTGGAGTAAACCACTCATAGTGTACGCATAGACTGCGACGTTACATGTCAATACGACGTTTATGCGGATAGTACCAGTGACAACCCGCCCTTCGTGTAGCGCTGATGTGACAAAAACCGAAATTTATATTATTAACGTCTACGTAGTTTTAATTGCCCAATGCACATCATAAGGAACTTTGCCTTTTAATCGTCACTAACTTGAGCAAGCAATAGTCTTGCTTCAACGCGCCTCGATCTCCTTTCTAGAGCTTCCCTACGATTGTCCTAGGTTGACACGTCGCAAATGGAGGTGCGTCTGTAACTTAAGGGCCGGCTGAACGGACGTGCATTGCCACAGAAACTAACCACTGCCGATGCACAGCTTGGACTACCGATGGACTACAACGCTTACCACACGCATTGGGGTCATGTAGGATAATAGGATACATCCGCAGTCCATAGCATTTCAGATCGCGATAAGCATACTCGCGTATCTTTGGAACCCCAACACCACTGCCTGAAATAGCGTGAGTGATTTGTTTCAAGCCGTTCTCATACACGAACGTCTCTGCCAGTGGGGTACGGAAAGTATTTGTTCTGTCCAAGCGAAACTTTGTGCACTCAACCTTAACCACCGACATAGGCTACCGCGAATATTGTCTGGGACGCTGTGCTTTATTTTCTTGCTATCGGCACGGAAACGGGAGACGCACCGCCCCACCAGCGTCTGTTCAACCATATTAAGCGTCCAGACCGACATGGGTATCATGAACTATGACGGGGACCAAGTGTCTATTGTGTAACGCGGCGTAAAGGTTGTATACTGGTCAGGAGTTTTCCACCCCACCGTTTTTGAATCAAATTGGCTTTGGGTAGGAACATTGCGAGTCTAATATTTGAGTATCACGCTCAGGTCTCTTCGGAGCGCGCTGACGAGCGCTAATAATTTCCTTATAAAAACCCTTGCACGTCTCGGCAGTGCGCTAACGTTACCGCGTTGATAAGGCTTGGGGAACGTCCGATGTCGTCCGAAGGCACGCCTGCACGAGTATTTGGAGCTTCTGCCCTGACATGTGCAGACCACTCGACTTTTATGGGATCACGGGCACCTGGTAAGCCGAGCACTTGTTTCCGAACGTGTCTGGCTGTCCGGGAGCCAGTGTCGACGACAACCGGATTGGTCGGCACGGAAGTTATCAGGACCTTTGTTTAGCGTTTGAAGGGCAAATCGTAAGAAACTGTGTAAGCCAGATGAATCTTTGTATCAAAAAGGTACGTCTCAAACTAGGAATGTCCAATGTCAACATCTTCATGATCGGAGATTTTCCTCCAAGATAATCGCGGCAATTGGCATTGGAACAGATCTTTGAGGCATGCCAAACAAAAATGCTCTGTACAGGTGGGAGTTCATCGATGCTATGGCTCTGCGTAAAGTGCCGTGGAGTTTGGTATCTTATCGCCCGATTGCATAGAGTGATCAATTATGAATGCACCTCCGTTCTGGCCAAATGTTAGTTTTCGTTGAGTCATTGAACCCTTCCTTATGAAACCGACAAATTCTCCAATCCGCTTACCACTGGATATTGGAACATATCTCGCTGACGTTTTAATTAACATACTGTACGATGAGTCCATCGTAACTACTTTTTACCCGTCAGATAGACGATTGGTTGTGATTCCCAGAAGCTGGAATCTGCAGGTACATAACGTCGCTTCATCTACTGCAAAATAAAGCCGAACGTCTCTGGACTATGTTTTACACCTCACTCAAATGATCCCTTCTCCTAATGTTGATAGCTAAACCTTTTACTATTCAATACCTGGCTTCCACTCTCGATTTAGGGGGTACTCTGAACTTGGCAGACTCGTTTGTCTATTCCGAACAAGCAGCGTCTGGTCAAGCAGCGCTAAACTCTTGATCAGACGTCCTCGAAACTGGGGAAACTGTCATTGCAGACTGGATGGGATACGGTCTCATGGTAGGCTAAGCCAGCTCTAGCGTTCCTACATTATTTGAGGTAGCAGGATGCGTCCTGTCATAATCCCAATTATTGTTTTTCATCTGTGAGAAAATACAGTCGTGTTCTATTATAAATAGCGTAAGAATCAACCATGTTAGGCTGGTTTCTACGACATTGAGATATATAAGGAGCTGCCCACAGGGCCGAGAAATCTCCACCTAAAGGAACAGCTGGTTCGAGACTACTGAGACATGATTCAATGGTAAGGTGGATATATGTATGTTAACGTGGCCAGCTGATCGGGAAGCTGTTTTAGCCGCAAATGGAGTAATGTCCGTGGCTGTCTACCCTTACCTCCACCCTATCATACGTATAGTTTATCTGCCTCATGTTACGGCTACGGCACGGTTAAGAACGCATAGCCGTGTCAAGATCCCTTAAACAGTTAGTCTTTCCGATGTATCCGGAACCACTGGTAACCGAGGACAAGGCGTCATGCTTGTGTCAAAATTTTTGTATGTGACACCTCTGTACTTCTATATCAGAAAACTCAACGAGCTGTGCTTGGTTCGGCCGATAGCCCAGAGAAAATAAGTATAAAAGAATCGCACCTGTGACAGCGAAGGGAATCCCAGAATCGCCACAGCATTCCGAAAAGTGCACGGACACTTTGATCGCCTCTCTGCCATCTCGAGCTCACATCAGATGTCGTACAACGACGGAGTATATTTCGCAAGCATGTTTGCTATCATGTTTTATGGTGAGAGGAGAGATAACCCTAGTCTTGATCCACATGTGAACGCACTTTACAGGCGCTGGTATATGCATGTACATAACATCGCTTCACGTACTCATGAAAAAGTCCAAATTCGAGCGTTTCTGGACCGTATTCTACACCCTATATGGAGGGATTCTCCTCCTGCTGTTTACAGTTCATCTCTTGACAACTCAGTATTTAGACTATTGCCTCTTTCTTGGCGACATTGGCAGTTGTCCAGGACTCTCAACATATTCGGATGGAATCGATTTGAACTCCTGGATAAGTGTCGTTGGAACTGCGTCATCTATGCTGACAAACGTCATGGGTGACGGCCTCATGGTATGCTACGTCCCACACACTTACTCGTCTAGAGAACTCAATTCAGGTCTAGCTTTGGCGTTGTTACGTGATATGGGGCAGCAAGAAATGTTCAATCATGATCCCTGCTATTCTCTATTTTGTTGTCATACGTGAGAACCGTTGTTATCCTATGAATAATTTGTGTTCCAGGAAACTGAGCCTTGACATAGTAGCCTCATTCGTCACTGTTACCGAGAGGGCATTGACAAGAAACACCACTTTAGCAAGGGTTGGAGAGTCTTTCGACATACTCTGGGATGCTTCAACTGCTGCACTCAATGTATGCATCAGCTTGATGATATGTTGGCGTCTCCTCCGCATGTACTGGCTTCTTCGCGATAGTATTCCAGGACGCAGTGATCTGCTGCGAAAGTATACGGGGATAATCTCAATGACTGTGGACGGGACAATACCATTCACAACAATGGCCGTCGTGACTCTCATCCTGGAGCTTTACGACAAGCAAATGAGCGTAGCAGTCTTCTTTAACTCTATTTGGTGCAGCGTTTGTGTAGGCTTTTAGGTTCTTTAAGTGCGATTGAACACTCATGGAACATGTAGGTATCTTCTCAGCAATTGATAATTCTTCGAATTGTTATGGGCACTGCGTGGGTACGGGATACTACGGGCAAAGCCATTGCGTCCCAAGCTGCTATACAGCTAAATGCAATGCATGTAGGCGGAGAATTCCCTACGGAGAGCAATGTATAATTTCTGATAAATGACATGTACGTACACATAATGGTAGGGCATGAGTCGCCTCCCCAAATGATCAGAGCATTCCCAACGAGCGATGCAACATGGCCCCAGCGCGGACTCGGAATGTCGCCACCCTTCTGGATGAGCTTAGCAGCCTGAGACAGACCCCCATGTAGAGAAGAGGTAGAGGTCATTCTGCCCTTCTCCTCGCACGAGACCGACAAAAGGGCCGAGGTCGCCGTTTGCAGTCGCAGTGGCCAGCACAGCATGGCAACATTGCGGGAATGGATTAGGCAAATATGGTGTAGAAGGACGTCACCCACATTGACTACTGGTGGTAGGAGTAGCAATCGACGAGAAGACCATTGATATTGCTGCTGTTGCTGTTGAGGATGCATCGACTGCCGTTTGCAATGCTGCTGAGATTGATGCTGGTAGGAGTGCGAAATTATTGAATTCCCCAGAGCCGTGAACACCACATCGGTTCCCGCTGTAAAAGGTTTATCTTGCTGTGCCTGTGTCAAATTTCCCTAATTCAAATTTCCTTTGAGGGAGGTCAGTAAGCTGTGACAAATTCTCAGAGCACGGCGATGCCGTGAAAGTGGCTCGGTATCCGGCATACTTGGTGCTATTTTTGACTTGTTTGATGCAGATGTTCGGCCCTCGTTTAAGTGCCATACACTTCGAAACATTTATATCTTCAATGCTTGGTTTTACGTTTCAACAGCATTTATATTTCACGCTCACACAGGTGAAGACATCAATTTCGTACAGCGGAAAAACCCCATGTTTAAACTCGATCTTTCTTTCACTAACCCGCAAAGGTACTCGTGAGCATCCAGCTCTGTATACCAGCCTCGGGAGGGAGCGTAGCAGGCCCGCGATGCTTCGCCAACCAGCGCTGCAGCGCCAGAACGCATGAAACCAACACCTTTACGCATAGAACATCGTCCGTGTCTATGGCTGGGCTGAGCTGAAGGCCTGCGCGCTCCTGTGGTGAAACCCCCCTCCCCTTCGAAGGCATGTACCAAGCGAGCGCGTCGATCGTGTTCGAGGACATGAGTAATAGAGCCGGATGTATCGGCCCGAAGCGGGCCTTGATGGGGTCTCGGGCAGACCAGGTAAAGGTTGTTCCTGCATGCTCGAAGGATGCTGGGCTATAGTGATTGTTAGTAAGAGTTGCTTCAAGGGTATGACATCAAAAGACTTGGGTATGAGATGAAGCACATACAAGGTTTCGTCCTTCTTCCCGCTCAGCCACTTCTCAGCCCTTAGCTTCTCTTCCTTCCTCGTATCATCCCTTGCATAAAAAGTGACGGTATCAGGTAGCATGTCGTTCTTCGCCAAGGTCGCAACAAGTCGACCTCGACCCTCAACTCCTTCAACGCCCTTCTCCCCAAAGCCCGTGGAGGCACTGTGAAACGTCGTACGGAGTCCACCGAGCGAACGGGCGGTAGTTATAACGTATGCAGGTTCTCCGTGAGCGGTACTCATGGTGAAGTGGGGTACCATGTTTATATCGCGTTCAAATGTGAGCGTGCTTGATACGTTTGCATCTCGGGCACTGACAGAGTGCGTAGGAGCCGGGTTGATGAGGGTAACTTGAGAGTCCATCGGACGTGGGCTTCAACTTGACAGAATACGTCAATTCAAATGGATTCCCCAAGATACTTAAGCCATGCTGGTGCTACCATGCTAGGGAACTTGCTGTGCGCCGCGCCCAACATCGGCATACCAGTGTGCCGAAGCGGTGCGCGACCACCACATCAGATGATCGATGATTGACGCCACAGCATAGCCTTGCAAAATTCATTCCTGAAAAGACGTTCCTGAAAGACAGTCCACACGCACCTGAGACGAGGCCGCAATGCCGCTACTAGTGTCATTGGATCCTTCCTCTTCCACTGACGTCAACTGTACGTGTTTTGGATGTTACTGTGAGACGCAGGTGGGCTCGAAACAAGACCATCGTTGTGAGAACTTCAGCTTGGGCGAGGCTCAGAATCTAAATATTCACTACCGCAACAGAACGCAACGCTTGCTCGAGAGTCAAAATACTCGTGAGAAACCCGACTGCGGGCCATGTTCCCAGAGTGCTACTGCCACACAGATCAATCCCAGACGTTCTTAAACCCCATCGTTTTCTTCTGCTTCCTGTGTAGGTCTTAGGGCACTTGCAAGCAAGCAATTGAATGCGTCGACCTGAGGCCATCAAAGCGCCTCACATTGCACTTGTAGGTCCCACTATATCTTACCCTAGACCTTCCGTTTGACATTACCAACCTCACTTTGCTAGCAGATCATGGACGTCAAACAAGGAACGGCATTCTATGGGCCTAAATTTGACTCAGCTGTGACCTCAGTGTCGTACTCTCCCAACGGCAAGTGCATAGCATCGGCTTCTAAGGACGGTATCTGCCTATGGAGTCCGGAATCCGGTCGTCAGCTCGGGAAATCTTTGGATGGACACACTGACTGGATTCAAGATATCGCATTTTCTCCAGATGGACGGCACCTTGTCAGTGGATCCAATGATACAACAGTATGTGTGTGGGACTTGGTCACATACGAGCTAGCGCTTGATCCATTGGAAGGCCACACATGTTCAGTTTGGGCAGTGGGATACTCACCAAATGGTACCCTCATCGCCAGTGGTGGAAGAGATGGCACTACTCGGCTGTGGACTTCGGATGGCGGCAAGACAATTGCAATACTGGAGCACTCGAGTGGGGTACGGCAGCTTTCCTTCTCTCCAAACGGCAGTAATTTGGCGACCGGCTGCCTCGATGGCTTGATTTATACCTGGGACGTTAGCAGAAGGAAGCATTTCTTGAAACCCATTACCGCCCATAAGGCTGCCATTTCTACAGTGTCGTACTCTCCTGACGGAAGATTCGTGGCTACTGGTGGACAAGACTGGACCGTCAGGGTGTGGAGCGCTGAAACCGGCCTTCCCATCACGAGGACGATGCGAGGACACAGACTTGATATCTTGGGCATTTCATTTACTCCAGACAGCCGAAAGCTTGTCAGTGCGTCATTTGATTGTTCTATCCGTGTATGGGATTTGTCTACGCAAGATTCTATTGTGTGGCCGTTGCATGCCAATCCTACCTCGGTGCACATTGCATGCTCGCAGGATGGTCAATATGTTGTCGTTGGGCTCCAGAAGACCAATGGCTTGACTATTTGGTGTATCAAGTCTGGAAGCGTCATTCTTCCCGAGGTGAGTTGTTGAGTTATATTTGACGACAATATTTTCACTCAATGTCATATCTCAGTGCCGCTTGAATCAAGGTGTAGAACACGGGATGTAAGTTAACGTTGCTTATGCAGTAACAGGAACCACTCTAATATATTCTAGCATGTCCACCATCTTCTACCCGGAGGCATTGGTATGGCATCCTGATGGCAAGCACGTTGCAAGCGGAGGCCACGACCGCGTTATTCGCGTGTGGGACACAGAGACAGGGGAAGAATCCTCAAATGCCTTCATATATCATCGTCATTCTATCTACTCCCTTGACATCTCTTTTGATGACTCAATGATAGTTAGCGGATCAGATGACGGTCAAATTCATCTGTGGAACACAAATACCAAGGAAATCATCAAGCGTGCTTTTGATGGTCACGCCGATCGAATTACATCAATCAAATTCTCCGCCGATGCCTCACGTGTTGTGAGTGGAAGCTACGACCACACCATACGTGTCTGGGACACCCATTCCGCCAGGGTGCTTCAGGTTATAGACGGACATGAAAACATGGTCAATAGTCTCAGTATATCATACGATGGAACACAGCTAGCCAGCGTCTCAAAAGACAAGACCGCGCGAGTTTGGGACATGCAAAATTACACTCAGCTTGCAAGCTTCACCCACGATACTGAAGTGGCATCTGTCTGTTTCTCACCCGACGACCACTACCTGCTCACAGGCTCTCACAGTGGTCATGCGCACCTGTGGCACGTCCAAAATGGAGAAGAGACGTTGGAGGTCATGCACAATCCCAAGAGCGCTGTACACAGTGTTTGCTTTGCTCCCGATGGTTCTACATTTGCCACAGCCGCCACAGGGCACAACAGTGTTTACATATGGGATATCAGTAACGGACACCATCTTCGTTCACTGCCGCATGACAGTGGTATTATCAGTGCTATCTTCTCCCCGGAGGGGTCTCGCATCGCCACTGGGTCCGATACTGCATATGTAAGGATCTGGGAGGTAGAGTCAGGGGATCTGCTACTGGGTCAGGTGAGTACCGTATGTGCCATTTCAACAATTATCTTGGTAACGTTGGCAAACTTAGCCGATGAATCAAGAAAACAAGGATCAGGACAACTTGGTAAGTCTATTAGTTACGAATTCATTCCATTTACTAATCTGTATTACTTTGATCTTCTGAAGCAAACCCCTGCATTAGATAATTTCATGGACAGATCGGAGAGCATTCTAAACGTGCGTCATTGATTGATTAAACCCGTACAACTTACAGAGAATCTTGGCAGCTCCCCGCTACTTTGAATGGAAAAGGAAAAGTGTTCTTTTCCATGTTATCATCAGCGCCCGAGAATAGGGTGAAAGGTGAGAACAACGCATATACTTCGCTGGTGAAGCGGCCCGCGAGAAGTAGCTCGCATCCGAATGTCAGATTGAAGAAGCTGTTCAGTAAAGTAGTGATCAGACGCGAAGCTAGAGAAAAACTTTCAGACTCTGGTGGTAATGAGACAGCAAGGGCGACTCAACCGAAGCTACGCCGTATTATGAACATCACAGCTCTTGCCAAAGACAAACCGGTACGTCCGCACTGTCGTTATGTCATACGGGTTTCAAATTTGAACATTTATCTCTTCCTCAAGCGCATACTTGCGGCAGGAGATCATCCGCTCAGGCGATGGAACAAACGCTCCGTTGAGCCAGATACAGACGATGATACATCCTCTGATGGTTCTTTAGATGGCGACACTGAATTGAATGCAGTTCCTAGGTTTTGTATTTGCTGCCCAATCTGTGTGCGTCGTCACTTCTAGGTAGAGTTGATGTATCAAAATGAGTGATATGTTGAAATTAGTGTTTGACATCGCTCGCATCATGACATGTTGTTTTTATTACTGTTTCGGAGTTTGTACTACGTATATAAGCCTGTCGTAGATAGTCAGAATATTCACACGATTGACCTTTGGGCACCTTCCCCTTGCCCGGGACAAACGTGCCGTGCGTTGTCACGAGCCCCAGCGACCTCGAATTTCTACATGATATACACTGTGTTGAGACCTTCGTGATAGCACTATCGTACTTCATCAATGAATGGAGGTCGAGCGAGAGTTGCCCTTACAAGACATCTGCAAACCGCTCGAGACAAGTTGATTCGTACTGATTATTCGACCCCCTTAAGACGGCAAACTGACTCACCCTCATACACTTCCTTAAGCGCATGTTCGGAGATGAACCCAGTCGACGAAAATGTGTCCCTGGGTACGCGTTGGCTGATGATGATATTTCGTTGGACAATTCGGACGAAAGTGGTGGCGAAAGGGAGGAGCACCATGTGGAAGAAACCCGTACACGATTTGGCCTCTGTTTGCTCCTTCGATGTCACTCTCGGAGCATTGACGTTGGAGTACTGTTAGTTAATGTAATTTTCGTTGAGATCTCATATCTTTTTACTGACCCGTTGAAGGAATAAACCCCAGCGCAACATAAATACATGCACCCACCTGCACAAACAGACTGTGGGCCAATGCGGTCCTCATGGAACTCTGCATCCAATATGATATCGTACAACCGGCGGAGATCACACGTGCGCCGTTAACTGACCTGCCTGAGAGCGCGGTTGTCATCTTATCTGATACCGCTCCCGATTTATTGTCCAATTGGTACTATGATGGGAAGACTGCAGCCAATAAGCGTGAAGTGGCGTCCTGTGGTTGTCATCTTATCTGATAAGCGAGCGCCAGCATGTTTCATTTTATGTATCGGAGGAGAAACAGCCAATAGAGGTCCGTGTAGAGATCAAACACGAGGAGTTTTTAGACACGGGTGTGACTCCACCATAGGTCCTGACGTCCGAAACAGTCTAACGGGTCACTGCGCCGGCAAAGGTTGGAATACATTGAGACGGGAAACGGGGTATTTGTTCGGCCGATCGTGATACGTCAACGAAGCTGTTTGGGGGAATTGAGAAACTGGCAAAGAGTTATAAACACGCACCCTTGAGCACGATGCCCTTCCTAAGCACTTGTCACCCATAGACCAGACCAAGCACACATCCTGGTCATTTACCCACCTCACTGCCCTCGTCCTAGCATGATCCTGTCGCAACGCAACGACTCTGAGACTACCCTCGCCACGCCTCCCCCGCTCGCGTCAACTATACTTGACTTCGACCACGACGACGTCTTCAATGTGTCGGTCTACTTCCGCTGCAGCTGCCCCAGCGCCGCGAGCCCACTCTACACCATCAAGACATCCGGGCCCTTGACCGTCGTTCGGCGGCACAATGTCCCTATTGCCGCTATTGAGCGCAGTAGTATCGCGCCAGACTGCATCACCCTTTGGCCGTCCACGCATTCGACCCCGGGTATGTACGTCGATGCCAGCCTTTCCGGAACTGAAGGGGATGTTAGTAGCCATCATGACATACCCAATGATGAGGCGGACATGTTGTATACCCTCGAGGAATGTGGGATCATGACATGTCCTCGACGTGCCAACGGAAGAAGGACGGAATTGAATGAATGGTTGAGCTCCCCTGAGGCATCAACATAGTGAGTTTCAAGGGCTCGTTGGATAGTCCTTGAACAACTAAGTGCATACTTTTGCAGTCCGGTACGGGTACAAGTCGCAGATACGGTGTACGAGTGGGGAGAGGACCCGGCCGGGGAGCTGATTGTAAGTGGTACGAGCCTTCGACACGTTAACCAGTAGCTGACGTACGTTCTTAGCTTTACGACGTCAGCTTACATCCACATATGCCTCTTGCGTTGTTCCACCCCTCCAAGAAAGGTGACGGATCGCTGCAAAGCACTCACTTGACCATACATACGAGGTCAAATGACTTGAGGGACGCTGCACTCGTTTCCTTCGTTGCGCTTGAGCAAAGGAGGCGAGTGGTGCGGGGGAATGGAGCGCGTTGACATTTAAGATTTATGGTCTGGTGCTCGCTCGGCGGGCAGTATCCGACTGGGAAGATGCATGTTGTCCGAGTCGTCGTAGGCAAGGGCAGGCAGAGGCAAACAGGGGCAAACTCGGAGAAAGCGGATCGGAGTTTTCGGCCTGTCAATATTGCACACATCCCATCGCAGCGCTCTCGTTTCGCCTTCATCTCTACAATTCTGTATATCCACCGTCGATTCTTCGTTCGTGCTCTCTCAGGCTCTCGCCACATAAACCATGAGGAAATTTGGGACCAATTTGATAGAATGCGAATGAAAACGCTCAACTTGCTCTACCGTTCAATGGAGTTGCAGGGTGTCGTCAGAATGCTACTGTTATGAAGATCTCCGCTTGTATGTCGTTCTTTCGCCGTCTGCTTTCGGGAAAAGCGTTTCGGACGAAGATGTGAATCATATAGACCAGTAGCTCTTGCGCAGACTTTCTAAGGATATCTCATTTCTTCATGGCTTCCAGCGTTGTAACTGTCCTCCTCATCCTTCTTCAGATGAGATAAAGTCATAAAATAGGGCGGCCAGGGGTTTCTCGGTCCCTCCAGCCATTTCTCCAGCCTCATTCTTCTCCTCTCCCAGCCCCTATGGCTCTTTAGCACCCTCTATAATTGTAGCTGCATCCGAGACCGGCCTTCCCTCCTTACCACCACCTTTTTCATATTATATTGCCATCTCCAGCAATATATCGTGCCTTTTGACTTCAGCCATGATGAGGCTACAGTGTAAAGTAACCATGGCTCCGTCACTTTGTGCTGTGACCTTTGTCATTACTGAGTACGCCTGGTTTTCTGGCCTTGATTTGTGGACTGCCGCTGTCGTATTCTTCATGACATCTATTAAAAGGTCAAACCCGAGCGAGGCGTTCATACCTCAGGGAGTGCGGCCGTTCGGGCCAACGAGCGTAAGCTGCGAGTCAAGTGTAGTCAAGTGCAGGAAAGGTAAACATCGGGAAGTAGGATCAAAGTAGGAATCAAGGAAAATATATTGGCACGCAGAATGATCCTTTTGTATATACTACAGCACTCGCAGTGCCAATTCCCTTCGGTGCGGATCATCTTCACTGACCACGGCCATACCGTCACAGCATGATTATTACATGACGGGTAGCTTTCGCAGTTTTCACGTGTTTGTTATTTACACTCACGTCTTGGTTTATCCGACTTATGGATGCTTGATCGTCCCTTATGTGAATAATACTCATCTGTGACGAAGTGATTTCAGTTTTTGAGGGTAGGGTAAGCACGAGAGAGTCTGCTTTCTTTACGTGATGCATGCATATTAGAGCCACATTGAAACAGGACGGATTTTGGGCTAAGAAAGCGAATTTTCAAGGCTCTTTGGACATCGCGAACGGTATCAACGAGGTGCTAGAACTGACTGGTCATCTACAAGGAGCGCTCACTCCTCCAATAATCCTGAGAATGGTTCCGGCGCCAGGCCGTCCGACCTCGCTCTCCAAATCACATCAGTCCCGGCCACGTCCCGAGATGAACCATAGCCCTTGACATCCAAGACGGATGTCTCAGCGCTTTTTAGTATCAGTATCCTTACATTCCACTCTTCTCTGTGTTCGAGGCAGCCGTATATGTGGGATGTAGTGGTCGTTCTTTATGTCTTCCGAGAAGTCAATGTTAAGCGACGCATAGGTATCTGTCTTAACGGTCAAGTAACCCAACTTCAGGCAACGATGGAAGCAGTATTGAATCCATCATTTCACCGGTTTACAATCGGCGGAGACCAAGACATGCTTGCCATTGTGAAACCATGAACATACAATAGGTATTGGTCTGACATACAAAGCACAGCAAGCGACGAGCACGAAGCACGAAGTCAGAGGTGCTCCCACACATGCCATGCAGACTTGGTTCCCCAGCACCTACCGGTCCCGGAACGCTGTTAAGTTTAGCAAATGTGTACCAGGCACCCGTAACACCTTAAATTCTCTAGAAGCCCGTGACATATTCTGGCAATGTTCCGTCAGAACACTTTCTGATAACATTCACTGCTCCGGGAAAGCACAGCCTGACTATTGACTGATCGGGATGTAATGGAGGGATCCAGAAATAGGGAGAACAAGTACCATATCAGTAATTGAGACGACAACGGACAAGCGTGTCGGGGTCAAAGTTATAGTTGATCAGAAGCAAGGGTTAACTTAACGCGGCGCACAGCTATACAGCATTTTCCGTGTGGCTTTGGTGGCACCTCGGCAGCCACCTAGATCTCCTATTCGGAAGGTGCCGGCCGGTCGGAGCTTGGAATCGCCACTACCGCTCGCGTGTCCATGTCATTTCGTTCAATCTCGTTCAATCCACTCTTCAGCCCTTTTCAGCCCTTTTCACACAACTTGACTTCACTCCGCTCTTTCAAGCAACGCTTTCAAGAAACGGCATATACAGAGTGAAGCTGATCATATGTCGACATACTGTCAAACTCAGCGTCTCTCTGTGTCTCACGCGCCAGAAAAGCCATCCATCCTACCCGAGTTGATGGCTATCTCCGACCACATCAGCTCGCTCTTCCCTCCATGGCCCCGCATTTTCGCTTTCTGAGACATTAACACCGCCGAAACGAACACCGCATCAACCATATCCTCTGCAGCTGACGTGAGGGCGAGGTACGCTCCGTACACGACGCGCTGGCCGTCAACGACCCGACTGAGAGATCCTTGGAACCAAGCTATCGGGGCGGTATCGGGTGCCTTGGCTTCGTAGAGCTGCATAATTTGTTGAATCGCGTAAATCGTACGTTCAGCAGAGGTCAGTGAGGAGACATAATCTCAACTTAATGCTACGCACAGCGATCTGCCCGACGATACTCTCGCGCCATTCGTACTTCTTGCCGCCTTCTTCCATCACGACTGGGCTATTGAGCCGTCTCCTCAGCCAAAGGCGGATGCTGATTGACGAGAAAAATACTCACAATGGGGCAAGTGGGTTCATCGGCCCCTTCAACCATTTCGCGAGCCTCATCTTTCTGCCTCCGCTCCGCTTTGGCTCTTCAGCCCCCTCTCGCACCGTAGCCGCGTCAACATCGGACTTTTCTCTGCCGTCGTCGTCTTCGCCGAACCAGCATGTGATCTCATCTGGCAAAATGTCGCGCCTATCTACTTCAGCGATGAGGACACCGTTGCGCCAAACGGACGTCGCTCCGTCGCCCTTGGCGGTGAGTTTTGTCTTCACGGCGTAGATCGGGTCCTCCGGCTTTGCATCGCGAAATGAGGCCGTCGAATTTTTCATATCGTCCTTGGCGAAGTCGATTACGACAGAAGCTGTGGCGCCTTCCGGTGCACCGCCGTTCGGGTCCACGAGCGTCAGTTGAGAGTTAAATGGGTGAAGGGTAGTCATCGGTGAGTGGTATTAAATGCGGAGTCGAGGTAAGCGGTTTTTGATGCGGGGTACCTTCTTTTGTAGGCGACAGGGGAGGCAGTGCTACCAATCTGCAGCGATAGTCGCTGTCATGCATCTCAGTATCTTCCCCTAACCAACGACCCGTGTATTGTTCATTCTACTCTCGTCGGTATACCGGATCCCAGTGGGGAAACGCCATGCCTGACTTCGATGTCGGAGGCGATGTTTCTCGTCGAGATGTCTAACCAAGTCCCCCAGTAATTCATCCGGCGATCAACCCCCCACTTCGTGAACGAATTCATCCCCTTCACAAACTGACTACTGCTTCCTCCTCGGTGTAATTTGCCCGTAGCTCTATCGCATTGAGTGCACCTATCTCAATATGCATGTTTCGAGGGATGATACTTCTCAGATTGACTTTGACTAAGGCCTCAGTTATCTAGCTACACCTATGTACTCGCATCTACCCCACACCGTTCGTCAGGCTCAATGACGAAACCGGCGTCTTTAATCATTGCCGAACCGAGATATTAGATACGCGCACAGCCTCATCCCTTCCAGAAGACCATCCTTGCCGTTTCCGCTGTCGTTTCTTCCGTCAGACTTTTCTATCCTTCAACAGACGACGACTGATACCCTGATCTAGATAAATCAGAACTGTGTCGCGACATGCACTGCGGATCTTCTTAGTGACCATCAGGTACAATATCTTTCTCAAACACGGTTCAGGAGAATGCGCTTCAAGAATGGTATGCGCCACTGGTCATTCCAGCTCGGGAGGTACGGGACCACATTGCCAATGCTTGTAAGCTGCACAGCTTTACAGCGTGTTTCTTGTTCCTTGCGTGTGGAATATTTTGCTGTGGGTGTCGCCGTTGGCTTTCTAACAAAGACGAATGTTGCAGGGCGCTGCGGTGGCGCGGACCTTAAGCAGTATTTAACGCTGTAGAAATTACATTCGATGCCACCATCCTTCCGATCCATCTTCACATTTCTGTTACTCCTTTACCTCGGATTTACATGGACACCCAGACCACCCTGGTCGATACTCCAGCTGATGTCCCTGCCAATGTGCAGACCGTGCTCAACTTTTCCGATGCCATCACCATGCTCTCTTCCGCGGACTTGTACGACGCTTCCAACGGCAAGGTTGCCTACTCCGTCGATAATCACAAATCGTTCGCATCATCCAAGACTGTCATCAAAGACGTCAGAGGCGGCAAAGACGAAATCATGGCCACCATCTCCAAGAACGACGTGCTCCCAGACAGTGTTGCTTTTCCTGCACGCGAAGGCGTGAGGGGCAAAGAAGTGAAAGTCAAGGTAGAGAAGTGGATGTGGGCGCCGAAGCATAGGGATTTGTGCGTTTCTCTTTCTCTCGTCATGAGTTTACGGAATTAACCTATCGTGCCTGGCAGCCCTATGTCCTTCGAAGTCAATGGTCAAGAGTACCAATGGATCGTCGGCGCGGGCAGGACTCTTCAGGTACGTTTGACAACCTTCAAATATTTCAATCACTGGCTAAGTGTCCGCAGCTCGTCGATCCTAAACAAGCCGACGCACCTTTGGCATGGCATGAGCCCAGCCCCAACGGGCCCAAGAAAGGCGGGCGTCTTTTGCTCACTCCCGCCGCAGAGACTGACCTGATGCACAACGCTGTCATTGTCTCATGCGTTATGGCTCTTCAGCGTTGGGCTGCTAGCATACGCTTCGCGCAGTTCGGTACTGCCGTAGCAGCGGAACAGATGTATTCGACTACATTCGGAAGGGATGCATGAGTAGTATTCTCCGCACTAGTACACTTATCAATGAATCCATTGGTAGAGCTTCTTCGGTGGCTGTAGGCTTCGTACTCTGAGCCTTGAGCGCTTCAAATCTATCATGCGTTGATGCATCACTGTATACGCGTGAAGAGTTGCGTAGCAAGTACAGACATATCAGGGGAAAACAGCATCGCAAGGTCAAGGGATACATAAGCAACCCGTTGTATACTTCGTCCAAGTCAATTGCCTGCCATTCTCGTGTACAGCGCGCTTACACCGCGTCGTGAAAAGGATAGATTTGCGACTCCATGTCAAACTCTTAGTTTTTCTTCGCGATTGACTTAGCACGAAAAGGCACGGCCTCCTCGGAGCAAAAAATCAATACATCACATGCACTAGTGACCTCGTGGACTTGCAGGTGGGAAAACTCCACTTTATTCTCTCTGAGGAATGCTCATATACATCACAAGGGCAGTTCACTTATCGGACATTGTACACCGATACAGATATTGCTTCCTTAGCTGCTATGCATGATTAGGATAGCGGGGTGGTCACATCAGGTATACACGCCGCCTTTTAATAGTCTCGCATCAAGATCGTGATACACATCAAGCTGGACGATCTGGTAGGCGTGCAGAGAGCACAAGGCTATGCAAGGATGCGATGGCGAGCTTCTTCGGTACCATAGTGGTGCCCGAGGGTGTCAATGCCACCCACAGCAATATTTACCTCTCTCTTCGCTTCACTCAAGTCGATTTTGGTCTTTTTACACGCACTACTATGGACATACAGACGACGCTTATCGACTCGCCGACGGCTTCTGGCATACCGTTTGGCGTATGCACCATCCTGGAGTTCTCGAATCGTATCACGATGTTGTCTTCGGCAGAACTTCATGATGTTAAAACAGGAAAGTTGGGGTACTCCATCGACACAAACCGGTCCTTCTCCTCCACCAAATCCGTTATCAGGAACAGAAGGACGAACAGAGATAACGTCATCGCGATAATCGTCAAAAGTGATGTGCTACCAGACCATATAGTGTTTTCAGCGAAGGGAGAAAAGGAAGACAAGGAGAGGAAAGTCAAGGTGAAGAAGTGGCTGAAATATTCAGCTGGGAAAGACTTGTAATTGATTTAAACATGTTTTATCTCTTCGTCCACTGACCAGATACTCACAGTCCAATTTCCTTCAAAGTGGACGGGGTACTGCACCAATGGATCCTTGAGGGCGGGAAATCACTCAAAGTATAGTACCGCGTCAGAAGATATCTCTGCTTTACGCCCTGAGCTTTCTTCCATCAGATGATCGACCCTCGGTTTCCCTTCTCACCCATAGCGTGGCATGAGTCCACAGCCAAGAGCACGAAAGAAGGCGGGCGCCTTTTCCTTACACCGTTCGCAGAAAAAGAAAACCTACATGATGCCGTTATAGTCTCGTGCATCATAGCATTGCAGCGCCGCGCTGCAAGTATACGTACTGCAGAATATAGCACCATGACGTTTTGAAGGTTCGTGTACAAAATAACAGACACAGCGTGTAATTTATCCAATGAGCTGAGGAATGGTATATTGACATACAAGCCGGGTAAAATTCGTAGCAAATGTAAATCCTATATCTTGTTCAGGTTGAAGGGAGTCCGCCCATCGAGTGTTCAAGGTGTCTCTTGCGGGCGAGCAACGAGCTTCGTCCCACTAACCTTGTTAGCCTTCATACGTTCTAGTCCTCCGGTAATGCCCTCGAGACCATTAGGAAGCACCTCCACCCTGTTAGGCTGCAACCATACGACAGATAGCATCAGAGAATGAACGATGAAGACATAGTGAGGGGGCTGGGCACGTACCGTAAGCTTCTCCTCAGCGAGCCACGTCGCGTAATGTCCCCACGCCGCCTTGCTGAACTTCTGGTTCTGGGGCAAGTGCGGAATGCCCGCTACTCGGATCACCTTCCTCTTATCGCCCTCTTCGGGCGTGACCTTCGGATCAAGCGTCGTGATCAACTTGCCTTCCTGCGCGAGGAGCGACCACCCGAGCTCCTGAGTATCGGGGAGGGAGACCGCATCGTATACGACGCTGATCGGGTCTTGGGTGATGCCGCCGACGGCAGCACGGATGTCGTCCTGCGAGAAGTTACGGTCGATGACGTGCGTCGCGCCGATGTCCTTCAGATAAGCCTCGTGCGTGATTGAGGAGGTTGCGATGATTGTAGAGAAACCAGCAAGTTTGGCGACTTGTGTGACTAAAGGTGTGATATAGTAAGACTGAGTGCGGTGCCTCCGGTGAAAAGACACACTAACCGTAAAGCCCTACGGACGATGATCCGCCGAGGACAAGAATAGTCTGCCCATTGTACTTGCCCGCTTCGTTCCAGGGCGCCACGAGGCCGCCGAACTCTGGGCTAAAAAGGCCGATGACCGCCGTGTCGATACCCAGTGGAATGGAAGCCGCCTCATCGTCAGACACCGAAGAGGGAACCTGTGAACAGGGATAATCAATCCTCCCATTTCGCATCATATCCTTATTGGGACAGCTTCACGCACCTTCGCGGTGAAGTTCGCAACGGCGAGGGTATACTGTTGGAAGCCAGCATGCTCGTTGTCATACCGCGTGTGCGTGATACTAATTTGTGCTGCCTGATCAGCGTGAGCGCATGTGACGTTAAGTTGGACGTACACTCTGTCGCCCTTAGCGAAGCCCTTCACACCTCTCCCGACCTCCTCAACAACGCCGGCGACATCCATGCCCAAGATCGCAGGATATTTATCAACGAAGATACCTGCTTCCTGGACCTTCCAGTCGACCGGGTTGAGCGCAACAGCCGACAGCTTCAGCAACAACTCCCCAGAGCTAGGCTTGGGTATCTTGCTCTCCCCGACAGCGAACTCGCCCTGTTTAGCTTGAAGGAAGAGCGCCTTCTGCGTCGGTGCCGGAGAGCTCTTCTTGCGACGATCGAGAAGAGACTTCAACAGGTCTCTGACTTTGGATGCCATGACTCGAAGTGGGGTGGACGGCTACAAGGAGGAAGGAGGTGGAAGGCAGGAGGCAAGAGCAGGGAAGCTGCGGAACCAAAGCGCATGTTATTCCTGGTCCAGAATGTTGCAGAAGCTAGCGTGATGCTGACAGAGCATGGCGCATGCGCACGAGTGCTTCTTTCACGTTCACACTACAAAGATTGTTAGAACCCGGAGAGATGCGGACAACAGAGTAGGATGGATGTCGGCGAAGTTGGCGTCCAAGAAGCCTCTTGTGTTCATAATCGACGTCGTTCTCAAGCAAAATCGACTCTTGTTATCCGTAGAAACCATCGCGAAGAGGTGAAAGTGGGTGAAAGAGGTTTTGGTCACGACGGCGCCCTGCGTGGATCAACTGGTCGGGACTTGCCGGCGGAGCTTCACTTCGGCACAGCCATTTCAACTCATCGCGCGATACACCTGTCGCTCACCGGGAAGGTCTCAAGTTTCGTGGTCACTGCAAGATCCAACGGGAGCAGGAAACTGAATTGTCGAGCTTCGATGAGGGGTGGAACATCTACTAGACGGTGCCAGCAAGAGAGCAACATTACTCATGGTTGCTGATATCATACGTGGTGCTCACTGATGTATTATCGTTGACAGCGCAAATCGCCGGAGGCGCTATAAAAGCCACTCAAGGACAAAACCCCTCTTTACCCGTCGTGCCTTACCTCTCATCTCGTGGGGTTTTCATTTGCTCCATTCTGCACATCTTGGCTCCTCTAGAGCTCTTATTTTAAGGAATCACACGCCAGGTGAGCTTGGCATCGACCTGAGCGAAGACTGACTTTCGATATGCTTGGCCTCGACATTAGGTGCTACTGGTACCGAGCGAAATCATGTCTCCGACACACTCCAAGATAGCAAATTCTACCCACCATCCTCACTCTATCTTATCCCTGGCGCCAGAGACGATGCTTGGGATATTTGGCTTCTTGTACCATGATGCAAAAACCTCAGCCTGTGATGACCCTTCTGCTGGGTTCCCATTCTCCCCTGCCCACGTCTGTCGCTACTGGCTTGACATTTTGTCTCTCAAACCGAGCTACTGGTCCACCATCATCGTCCCTCTCCACCTTCCATTGGTTCCTTCCATTCTGTCCATCTATTCTGATGTCCTTGGTCAACAAAGCACCATAAGCGAGTGTCGCATTTACTGCAATAGCTCTCCTTGTCTCCCTTCCAGCACAGAAAACTCTCGCATCAATGCTGCAATGCGCGCCTTAGCACCACACCTCCACAAATGCGAGACCATTTCCATTTGCCCTCGATACTGTTCGTCGACCGTCCTTGCTTCGCGCTATCTCAACGGTCTTGATACCGAGCGCCTCGTCTACTTTTCTCTGTTCTGTTCCGAGACGGATACCACTGAAGATGCTCATTTTACATCATTCACTTGCACCAGACTCCTTTGGCTCTATATGGATGCCAAGACTCTAATAAGCTTTGCTTGGAGCGAGGGCTCAAAGTGCGGTGAGGACTTTGATGGGAGACTGCGCGTTTATGTAAAACTGTACTGCCCGAGCAATGGTCCTTCGTATCTGGCGCCTTCGGCACTCATCACGGCTCTTGTCACGCTAACCAAAAGGAGTGAATGTATCGATTGCCTTAACATTGATGGTGTCTCGTTCGACAAGGAGTCTGTGCATCCTCCTGCACTCCAAGACGATATCAATGTCATCACTGTCGAGTTGACCGACTTGCATGGGGCCATCCTCCGCGAATTCTTCTTACGCTTTGAAGGCGGAGATGGTCGGATTGTGCAGGCAACACGCTGCACATTTGATTCTCCCATCATAATGCAGGACGTCCCTATACTCTACCTGGAGGGTATGGATGACGGCGCTGCCGTCTTGTGTGCTTTAAGGCACTGGGATGGGACAAGTCTCGAGATCAAGAACTGCCCAGGATTCACCGATGCCGCGTTGAACATGTTGACGAGCGAAGATTTGTGTTCGTAAATGTACGATTTTGAGATCATCAACTGTCCTATCTCCGTGGACGCCCTATGCTCTTTTGTGGACAGCAGGAACGACGGTGAATATCAACTCGAGGAGTTGAAGGTCTTGGGAGGATCACCGTTAGACGATGAGGACAGAAAGTGGTTTGAGGATAACTTTGATGGCTTTTTCAGCTGGAATAAGGATAACTAGATTGGGTTCATGCTGCGATGGGAAAGGTAAGTAACGAACTTTGAGCTGGCAGCGTTCTATTCAGTGGGGCTGATTATCTCCCGCAGCACAGTTTCCTTGAAGTTTTGTTGCTAGTTCATTGCATCATCTCCTTGTTATCTCCCGCGCGTGTCTGTCCTCAGGCATGTCTCAAATTCGGGGTCAAGAATCACATCTATAATTTACATCTCTGTATTGAATGATTACGCACCGCAAATACCATGACCACGAAAATCATCACGCATGTTGCTCATTCATGCCTCGTTCAACAATCTCTCATCCTAGAACAGCTCATCTCAGTAAAACCCCGATTTAGCCAGCTAAACACTCACAAAGCTAGCAAAAATGTCGGTCGCGGAGAACCTTACCATTCCACTTCAACACCTCCGACCCTAAGCCCCTGAACCAGTCCTCCCCCTCTTTGTTAAGCGGTGGGCCCCATAATACATGTAGCTCAACAATCTCCGACATGCCGTTTGCCTGTTTAGCTGAGAAGAAGCGACGTAGACCATGTAGAAATTCGAGGTCGCTGGGGCTCGCGACGACGCACAGCGCGTTTGTCCCGGGCAAGGGGAGGGTGCCCGAAGGGCAATCGCGTGAAGATTACAGTTGACTACGACAGGATTATATACGTAGATAAAACTCGGAAACAGTAATATAAATTGCCACGTCATGATATGAGCAATATCGAACACTAATTCCAACATTCTAGTTGGTAGTCGTCCCATAGATTGGTAGCGCTCAATATAGAGTCACCGCCGTTGAATTCCTATAAGCAGAGGGTGTTGGTGTTTCGAAATTTGACTGAGCGATCGAAGAAACATCGAGGAAGCGCAACGGTCCACTCGGGGGCAGATTCGCGAGGTGGATTAAAGCAAGCGAGAAGGCCGCCTAGGAAAGGTTCTACGACGTCTGTGAGGCAGAAATAGCATATGTCATGCGTTAATTCGGGATAGCAAGCCTGGTCTTCGGCATCGAAGGCGATGTCTTCGATATCGAGCCACCAAAGCTCGCCGCTGCAAGCCTTGGTGAAGCGTGAGATGGCGTCGAGAAGTATGGAGGGAGATAAGTCGGGAGGACCATCCAAGGGGCGATACTTCGTGATGTACAAGGCTGGTGGTGTCCGGCAGCGCCCCAGCTTATACCATCCACAGGTCCCTTTGCTGTTGACAAGATTGATCAGAGTTTTGGGGTCCATGCTTAGGTGTACAAGTTTGGGACAGTCAAGCAACGAGAAAACGGATTCTTCGGTGGTATATGTGACGGAGGAAACTAGCATGAATTTCTCTAGAACTGGAAGGGTGAGGCCGCCGAGAAGACCAGAGACATAGATGATGTACGAGCGATATAAAACGTTAATCGAGATTGTCTCGCACGCGCGTAAGAAGGGGCTCAGGAGACCCATCCGACTCATCAGTGCGTGAAGCCTTGTTTTCTCCGTCCGGGGATCCAAGGGCATGGCACCACAGGAGGCGATACACAGATCTAAAAACCCTTGCCGTCTCAGTAAATCCAGGTTTGTTGTCCATACCGCAGGGGGGATGTGAAAGTCAAGCGGAATGACAGCGGACGTTCAGTACTTCGGCTTCAGGACCGTTACATTGAGCCATTGGCAGCAGGTACTACTGCCAACAGAGAAAGGGAAGATGACAGAGGGGTTGTACTCGGGTGCGCAGTTGGCCTTGAGGGCACGATGCATATCCGAGAACAAGTAATCGAATACCTGCAGCAGGATTTCTGAGGCTAGAGATAAGGTGGGTGGAACGCGAGACACCATGATGATGTGGTTCTGGTCGGTGAGTGACTGGGGCTATGTGAATCAGCGTCCTTGCATCTCTCTAAATCAATATTCACGCACCTGGGATATCTGATCTGGTTTCTGAACCTGTGGACTTGGGGAGGGGAGCGAGAGAGAAGAGGTTAGGCAAAGGTTAGGGCGCGTAAAAGTAGGCACAATCTGAAAAGGTGCACTCTAGCTCAAGTTGAAACCGATCACCGTTTTGAAACGCGGAGAGATATGACGGGCGTTCCTGGTAAACAGAAGTGCCACAATACCCCGATCAAGGCGCACGATCGTGGAAATTATACAAGCGGCACATTCTTTATATTTTGTGATCTGGGTCGTTCACTAGATGAAGGCAGCCATAGCAAGTGTTTACAGCACCATATAGTTGCGTAGAGGTCATCGCTCCAGACAACTAACCGCTGGCAAGCCACGCGGGGTTCGCAAAACAAGTAACATCGCATGCGTGTCCTACGACGAACTCAAGGAGAGATGAATCGAGATGCATTGGGGAGGAGGCGAACAAGGAAGTTCGAAAAGTACGAGATGTATATCGGCATGCGATATGTGTTACAATTATGTCCTAGGAAGATACGTCAAGATCCAAAGGTTGTAAACGTAGAGACGACATCGACCCCTGATACCAACTCCGGTACATCTACTTGAGCACTTCGTCATTCCACGTCAGCTCGACTGGAACCTTCTCTTTGAACCACACCCTGTCCGCATCGTTCAGACTCGGTGCACCCCAGACATGTAGCTCTTCAAAGAAATCACTGGGCCTCCTGGAGGACACGAACCTACGGACGCCTGCGACTGAGATCGGACAGTTGGTGAAGGTGAAGGTGGAGACGTAGCCGCAATGATAGTCGCGAACCATCACGTCCAAAACATCGTCGGTAAACCCCGGGCAATCAGTTATATCGACAGTGAGACCATTCCAGAGCTCAAGCACGCGCAGAATGGTAGCACTGTCGTCAATCTCGGTCAACACGAGGTCGGCCATGAACCGCGCACCACTAGGGAGATCAAGACGGCAATGGGTAAGTGAGAGCATTCCCTGGTCACCTTCGGCCCAAGGGGGATCAAAGTAGCCAAAAAACGCGCGGAGAAAGCTGGCATCCATGTCAACGAAGCTCACGTCGTTGACCGTCCTGACATATTCGGGTTCATTATCGTCCAGCCTGTCAAATAAAACATCTTCGACTGCAAGATCAGACAGGCACCCATAGGTGTCGGTGAAGCGGACAATAGCAGAGATAAGCTCGGGTTCTGTCAGGTTAGGCGACTTGTCTTCGGGGTGATAGGATGTGACGGAGAGATTTCGCCCGAACTTGATCTCAACGCCTGTTTCGCCCCGGGCTTCCGCAAATGCGACAAATGTTTTAGCATCCACAGAAAGTGCTGTAAGCCTCGGAGATATGAAAGAGGTGAAAGCAGCATCCTTAGCCGAATCGGTAATGTAGGACAGCAAGGAAAGCTTGACAAGATTGCGAGCAACAAGATTATTGAGGAAGTAACTGACCGCCACGATGGTAGAGCGATACCAGACATCAATGGAGATGATCTTACATTTATGAAAGTGGGGAGCGAGAAGTCGCATCAGCAAACTATAATAAGTGTTCTCCAATGAGGCGTCGATGTCAGCCCTATCAGAAGAAACAAGGTGCAGCTTAATGGTTTCTAGCCGCTCGAACACATCCAGGCAGATCTTGATGACAGACCACTCAAGCGTGGAGTCCAGCATAATGACGACAGATTTCCAATATGTCGTCTTCATGGCCAAGATGTCCCGCCATTGACGGCAGACAGTAGCAGTGGCAAAAGGGAAGAAAGCAAAGGAGTGTATTCTCTGCTATCACGCGTTTCGTGCACTTTTTCTTCTATGTGCAAGTGATCGAAGATATTGAGCATAGTCTCTGTGGGGAGAGACCAGATGGAGGGAGAGGGAAGGGAAGGTGCTTGGTCGGCTAGCATATTGTAGCTCGTTTGATGTCAGCCAGCCCGAGCGAGCTGCGTGAGAATGGACGAGATCAGCCAATAGGGAAGACTTGAGATTGGATATCATACATACATCAGAGCTTTCTAGCAATGCCTTGGGGCGAGGTAGATGACGGATGCGCTGACAACACCGGATCGTGAATGGGGAGAGAAAAAGAACAGCTCAGAACAAACAATACGTAAACAAAACACGTGCATGTGGGCAGTTGCGTCAAATGGAACGTGCACATTACTCCCACGTTCGAATGTTCATGCATTCTTTAGTACTGTAGCTACACGACCTTAAGTTTGTCACGCATCACACCTGGCGGATCTAGCGAACTTACAACACGGTCTGTCACTCGTCGCAGGGGTCTTGGAACCTCGATGCGTGACAAAACGAAGAAAGCAGGTTTGAGTCTGATTTATCAATACATCATACTTGTAAGTGATAAACCAACGTGCCATGGGCATTTCATAGCCTGGAAGCGACTTTCATGTGCCTGCGCTGAACGACCATGTTCACCTGGGTATGTATTTTTGTGCTTTCCTGGATTCATTAAATCTGAGCCGTTCAATGAGTCAGGTGAAAGAAAGCGGTACAGTAGGGCCGTTCACTCCCAAGACCGGGTCATTTATCCCGTCGTTTATTAATGGTGGCAAATTACTGGGCACGCCACGAAATCCCTGAGGCCTGAGTACTAGTTAACCTGCAACTGACGTTAATGTTGTTGAAGGCGGAGAATATTAATGACCGCTTCTTATAAACCGTCGGAGTGACAATCTTACAAACAGGGTTAACTTCAATCTAATGGCTGATTCCGTGGCTCCAGCTCAAGCCTAAGTTTTGTGTAGTTGAAGATCATTCGATAGTGTCACGCTGGTCAGGTAAAACACCTTAAGTTCAAGATCACGCGTTCACCGGACTTTTGAACTACTGTCTTTTTTGAACTTGATTTTCGTCACACGTCACGTAAATTTCTGTTGAACTTAAGGTCGTGTAGCTACAGTATGTGCCGCCCGTGCCCAAGCAATCGAGACGCATGTCTCGATTAGCACTAGGTAAGTTGAGGTAGGGCGCTTCAAACTCGAGATATGCATACATTCATGTTGTGACGAGGCCAAATACAGAAAAAAAGCATCGCTATCCAGCTCCAACTCTTGCGATACTGCCTCACTGACCCAATCACTGTCCTCTTGCGATGGGCAGTACGTATGGCCAACGTATGGCAGGCCACGCAAAGACATCCGGTCCTTCAAAGCATCGAGGTCCCGTTTTTCACGTTATCTTTTTACTACCCAGCTAAACATCGGCTGTCTGAGTGACCGTTTGCCCGCTTCTCATAGTGACGCGACGGTGGTAATCTCGCGCAGAATTGTGAGGCTGCTGCATCGTAGCAAATACCATAACATCGATACAAACCAGTGAACTGAGGGACATGGCAAGTCTACGGAGTTTTCCTGTGTCAAGATTCGAGGTACATCGCAAACACGGTCGGGAGGATCAGAAAATCGAGAGGGACGATGGTGGAGGCCAGGTACTTGGGCTTTATGGTCATAACATGAAGCCGGCGATGGAAAGAGCTCCGGAATGCATATAGGAAAACAATAGAGGCGCCGTATTCTGGCTCCCAAGCGGTGATGGTAAGCTTCATATCTGAGAACAAGTAGCTGGATATCTGCAGCGTGGTTTCTGAGGCTCTGAGAGACAAGGGTCACAAGTTAGGTGGGACGGGATACGTCGTGACCATTCTGATAGAGGAGCAACTATTAAATGCTATGTGTATCAGCGGCCTTCGTCTCTGAGAAATCAATGACCGGACACCTGTTTGATATTTGATTTGGCGTCTGAACCTGCGGATTGGGGGAGGGAGAGGAGGAGGAGAAAAGGAGAAGTTGCATGCAAACTCGCTCCCGTTCCAAGGCGCTCAAACATAGGCACATTATGACTAGCAGGTGTATTCAACTGGAGCTGAAGCTGGTCGCCGTGTTGGCGAGCGGAGAGATATGATGGGTGTTACTGGCACTGCAGAAACATAGCGGCCATCCGATCAATGGGTATAATCGAGCAAGTTTACAAAACGCAACACAATCCTTTGCTTGTAGGAAGAGAACAAAGCTTTATGGCATCGAAGCCACGCAGAGCTCGTCCACAAAGACACGGAGACGTAGCAGCCAAACTGGTTACACGTGGCTCATTGACAAACTTTTCATGTTCAAGGGGAAATGAAGATGATACATGGCGATGATGCAAGCGATGAACGAGAAATGGGTCGACAAGTCTAAGATAACCGAAGAGTGATATGTATAGTGTTTCATGTCCTATAAACATATTCTGGCATCAGTTGGCAGGAATAGGACGCAAATGCACGCACTAGTTATCATCAAGGAACTCGTCCATCAAGCCCTCGCCTTTAAGGACTTCCCCGTTCCATGTTAAATCATCTGGAACTCTATCTCTGAACCAATACTTGTCCTCGTCGGTCATATCTGGTGCCCCCATGACATGTAGCTCCTCAAAGTTACCACCGGGTCTCATAGAGGATACGAACCTACGAGCACCCGAGACCGAGATCGAACAGTTCTTGAATATGAACATGGAGGCGCCACCACAAAGATATTCGCGGGCCATCACATCCAGAACATTGTCGGTAAACCCAGGGCAATCATAGATTTGAACGGAGAGGCCACTCCAGTGCTTGAGCAGGTGCAGGATGGTGGCGCTGTCGTCTATTTCTGTCAGATAGATATCGGCGATGAAACGGATGAAAACCGGAGACACAATGTGGCAGCGGGCGAGCGACAAGGTGCTCTCTCGCCCTTGGGAGTAGGAAGCGGGGATGAAGTGGCTAAGAAATTCGCGTAAAAATCTTCCGTCCACAGCGGCGAAGCTTACGTCGTCGACCATCTCGATAACTCCGGGCTGCCTAGTTTCGTGCGGGTTGAATATAACGTCTCTGACGTAAAGTTGACACACGAGCCCATAGGTCTTGGTGAAACGAACAATAGCAGAGATAAGCTGAGACCGCTCCAAGTGGGGAGATTTATCCTTAGGATGATAGGAGGTGACATGGAGATACCGCACATACTTGATCCTGACGCCCGTTTCTTTTCGCTTTCCAGCTTTCGAAAACGCGAGGAAAGTTTTGGCATCCATGGATAGTGTACGAAGCTTTGGAGAGATAAAGTTCGTGAAGAGCGCCTCGTTGGTCGAATCAGTGACTTCGGACTCCAGTGATAATTCGACGAGATTGCGAGCGTCGAGACTGTCCAGAATCCGAGTAGCTGCCACGATGGTAGAGCGATACCGAACATCAACGGAGATGACCTCGCATTTAGACAAGTGGGGAGCAAGAAGTCGTATTAGCGAACTACAACGAGCGTTCTCTGTCGAAACGCTGATATCGACCCTATCGCCGTAGACAAGGTACAACTTGATGGTCTTCAGCTGCTTGAATGCGTCCAGACAGACCCTCAGGACAGACGCGTCGGGACAGAGTTCCAGCATAATGGCCACGCAGTCCCAATACACAGCCTTCAGACCCAAGATGTCCCGCCACCGATGGCAAACAGTAGCGACACCGAAAGGGAAGAAAGCAGAACGGGCGGAAACCTTGCCATCGCGCTCTGGGAGCAGTTTTTCTTCTGTATGAAGGTAATCGAACACGTTGAGCATGGTCTCTGTAGGGAGGGACTCGATAAAGGGCGAGCGAATGGAAGGGGCCTGGTTGGGTAGCATGATGTAGCTCGATTGGTACCAGCCAGCTTGAGCGAGCTGCGTGAAGATGAACAAGGTTAGTCGATAGGGAGGACTTGATATTGGATGGCATACATACCGCAGATCTCTCTAGCAATGTCTTTGGGGTGAGGTAGATGGCGGATGCGTTTACGACGCGGGATAGTGAATGGAAAGAAAGTGAACAGGGACTCAGAACAAACAATGGGCAAGCAAAACGCGCGAGCGCCGCGCACGTCGCCTCGCAAATAACTCACACGTTCCCGCGCCTCCCGCCAAGCAACTGCGGCGCACATCTCGATTAACACAATTTAATGCGAACCAGCTCCTAATGTGCATTGCCCATCTGATTGGCCAATGCGCACATGAGTACATGTAAAGAAAGCAACGGTGGCCACGATGGAGGGAGAGCGAAGGGAAGGTGCTGAGACAACTAGCATGGCGAAGCTTGGCTGAGGCCCGCCGGATTGAGGAAGCTGTGTAAGTATCGATCAACATGTAAGACATTACATACACTGAATCTGAAGCTTTACATATATTGTGCCCTCTTTGAAACACCGCTGAGATGCGGTAGTTATCCGGATAACACATGGCAGGGGACTGTGGGACTCGGAGGAAAAAAGGAAAGGGGACACGGAACGAACGAAGCGTAAACAACGCATAAAATATGCAAATTTAGTTCAAATTGCTCTTCAAACATACAGCTAGCGTCGGGCACATCATATAGACTGTTTCCTGTGTACGCTTCCGTGCTACCAGAAACTCTACGTATCATTAGATATTTGACCTTTAGTCTCGATATTTACTAGCAAGTTTACTCGTTTTGATTTATCATCAGGTTGGACCGCCTCTTGAAAAGAGTCTCTCCATTCCACGTCACCTCCTCAAGTCACGCATCTCAAAACCACTGCTTCTCCTCTTCGCTCAGCACTGGCCCTCCCGATACGTGCAGCTCCTCAAATCTCCCCCCGTCTACCCTGGAAGACGCAAATGACTGCAAGGCGTCTACTGACAGGCCCGGACAGCCATGTATATCAAAACGCGAAGTGTTCGGACATAGATCTTCGTCGACAAGCGTCTCCAGGACGTCGTCATCTAGCCCCGAGCAATCATCCAGCCTCAGACTTGGCGTGAATCCGTCCCAACCCCTCAGCACGTTCAGGATTGAGTCGCTGTCGCCTATCTCCCTCAACATGATCTCGGGAGTGAGGCAGATTTCGACGGGGTAGAGAAGGGTGCAACGCGTGAGTGTGACGCTCCCAGCGTCCTCGGCCTCCCACGGAGGATCGAGAGCTGAGAAGAAGGGATGGAGAAATTCTGTATCTTGGTCGCTAATCTGAATATACGATATTATCCCCAAATCAGGGCCTGAATACCAAACACTGGTCTCGCCAAAGGTCACATTGTCGATGCAGAGCAAAAAGATTCCCTCGTGGCCGTGCATGAGCTGAGAGATAGCGGAAATGAGGGAGGACGGCGACAAGCGCGAGGTTCCGTTGTGCGGACAGTAGCGTGTGACGTGAATTTTGTCAAGCTCTTTCTCTGGGTTTGGAAGCTTCTTCAGACAACCCACGAGATTGACAAGTGTTTGGGCGTCTACAGAGAGGGAGGCGATGCTTGGACATTCGAGCGCCGTAAACCCTGCGTCTGCGATCGTGTCTGTAACGTAGGAAACCAGAGACAGTTCAAAGAGTTGCGGAAGGACAAGGGTGTCAAGACGTTTGGTAGCGACCAAGATGGACGAGTGATAGCGGGTATGGATAGAGATGGTTCTGCACCTCCGGAGATGGGCGCCTAGACAGTTCATCAAAATGTCAAAACGGGCATTTTCCTTGCAAGCTTCGACTGCTTCGCCCTTGTTGACATAGGCAATATGGACGTTGACCACCTTTTGCAGACTAACCACGTTCAAGTAGACTGTCATGACAGACTGAGGGATGGAGTAGTTAAGAGGGATGACTGCGTCATTCCAATAGCTCTGCTTGAGGGCGAGGGTGTCGAGCCAGGCGCGACAGACACAGGCGGTAGCAAAGGGGAAGAGGTTGAGGAGTATACGCCGTGGAGTTATAGGGCTTCTCTGCGTATGTGAACAAGAGGTCGAATATCTCGAGCATGGTCTCCGGTCCTAGGGACATGATGGAGAATGAGGGCGTGGAACAAGGATCGGTAGGCATGGCGGTCTTCATATACCGGGCTGCAAGAACCTGTTTCACGTTCAATCAGATCCACAAAGTCGTCGCCTTCAGTTTCTGAGGCTTACCAGCTGGAAAAGCAAATCCTGGCTGAACTTGGGTGCGGAAGACGCGAAGGAAAAGTTTGAGAAGGGTTACTGTTCACAAGCGCCTAGCCGCTCAAAAATTTGTGAGCCCTTGAACTCTGAGTATAGTATAAGCCTAACCAAAGGGAATCCGTGTGACGGGAAAAGGCGCTCGTGAATAGGGGCTAGATTTACCAATGAGCGGCGCCGCCAGCGTTCGCAAGCTGCTCAGGTATTGTTGTGCTGCCTTTACTACTTTGGTCGTACTTCTTGTTGAGCTATGTGGGGAGGAACATGGGGAAGTCGCTGTCTCCAGTCCATACCTTCAGTTCGTCTGCTTACCTGCTCACTAATGCCCATACGAGCACAGGCCGTTTGCCAAGGTATCCTGGAGTCCGGTGTTTGCGAGACTGGATATGCGAGTGGACGGTAATAATCATAGGCCTGACAGTGAAGTGTGGTGACATTGTAAACACAATATTGGTTTATTCGACCTGATAAGAAGCTGAGCATAAACAAAGCAGTTGCTCTGTGTAAATCGATTGAGCTCGCCCTAACCCTAGCCCTAACCCTGCTCCCATTGGTCCCGCGACGTCTAGCCAGATTCAGCCTGACCCCTATCCCTATCCCTAACCCCCAACCTTAGTTTGGGGTCCCGGGCCGAAGCGCCAGCCCCTGAGACAGATTAAAGTTCGCCGGTCTTCTGTTGATCTCTCACGGATTTCAGCCAATGAGAAACGGTTGAGTTTGAAAATGCGCGTCAGATATTCGCGTTGCGACGCGGTTCTCCTTTCTCACCATTCCCACCCCCTTCAATTAGTTGGACCGCCTGCCTTGACGTGTCCTTTTGCTCTCCGTCCCCTAAATCGTCACCGGCTTGCGAGCGAGCATAAGACGAACAATGTCAGCGTACGGCGAGGGCGGCATCTTTGTCAAAGATGGAAGCCCTGTCCGCTTCTTCCTGCACAAGAAGCTCAAGGACGGGCGAGACAGGCTGATAGCGGATATAAAGGTGCGTTATGCATCACACCTTTGCCTTCCTGCATCCTTAGCAACTCTTCGATTGAAAGAAAGACGGCGGCGAAGTCGTCAATACCCCTGAATACGCCGACACCATCCTCATCGACGAGCGTAAGATGGACCTCGACATCTGCCGCGGGCAGTTTTACAACAACATCAAGCACGCGTGGATGCGCCATGTCTTTATCGAGCCACGTAACTTTGTCAGCGTCTGTCTGTCAGCGAGAAGATATTGGCACAAGCCTCCGAGACAGCTCGGTATGGACGGGCGCCCGCCGAATAGGTATGTGGTGGACCATTGTCATTCGGGACTTGTGGTTAACTTCATCATCATCGCCAGCAGACCGGCTCGTACGGCGTACACGACGGAGGACGACGAGAATCTCTGTCGCTACATCGCAACACGCATCCCGGACAGGGGCGCGGGCGGCAGGCAGGGAAACAATCTGTACCAGATGTTGGAGAGACTTGTGCGTTACCTTTTCTCCGTGTCTTCCTCCCCTCTTCCCTCCTTCTCAACTCACATCTACCAGGCCACGGGCCCCGGCTTTGACGACGAAGACGAGAGCGACGCGGACGAGGAGGGGAACAGCAACAACATCAAGACCTTCGACAAGAAGGACTTCGCGTGGGTTCTCCGCCATCCGTGGCAGAGCTGGCGGGAGCGCTATCGGAACCACGCCGACGCGTTCGACAGGCGCATCGCGCAGATCATTGCAGACCACGAGGCCAACTATAATGAGGAGTACGCGAACCCGCATGGGATGGACCACCGTGACCGGCGAAACGGGCCTGTGGGACGGCATATCAAAGTTGGCGCGGTGCGCGAGGATGGGGACGGGGGCAGTGAGAGGGCGGTGAGAAGGCCATCGGCTAGGTCAGCGTCGATGTCGAGGTCACCGCAGCGGCCGATGGCGAAGAAGCGCCCGAGAGAGTCGGAGTGGTCTAGGGCTTCGCATCCGAAGCGGCAGCGTCTCCAGGAAGAAGAGGAAGAAGAAGAAGAAGCCGAGCAGGCGGACGAACGGCCCAGGAAGAGGAAGAAAGCGCAAAATCAAGATGAAGGCGCCGTTGGCTCCGACGTCGAACTGCCCCGCTCGGCTGAGGAAGCCCGTGCTCGCGCTCGGGCGAAGAGAAAGGCTGGGTATATCGATATAACCGATGACGAGGGCAGGCCTGAGGAGAACGTGCACGGTAGGCAGGAGTCCGAGGACTTCCCGATCGATGTAGACGCCGAGTACGCTCTATCCATTTCGTTATATGCGTGTGCCGTTCGCTGACTCTGCGCTTCCGCTAGCCTGGAGCGACCCGAATCACCGATGGGCGCGGCCCACCAAGATGTCGAAGATGAAAACGAGCCGCTGCGCACACAGGCTACGCTTGTTGGCACGTCTGCTGCGCCAAAGACCAGGCTCCCTGCTCCTCCTCGGGGCTCGCCAACACGGCCGTCAAATTCTCGCAAGCGTCGGGAGCCTGTCCAGGATGATGAGCGCCATTCGTCGCCCAGAGCTCCATCACCCACGCTCGTCGAGAGGCCGCAGAGGGAGCAGAGGCCGCTGCCAAGACCTCGACGAGCTCCTCAGGTGCCCGAGCCCGAGCCTGAGAACGAGCAAGAAGCAGAAGCCGAGGCCGACGGCGAGCTGGAGGTAGATGTAGAGATGGAGGCGGAACCTCAGCCGGAGCCTCAACCCGAAGCCCAGCCACGCACAACCAGACGCACCACGCGCCGCTCCGTCTCTCGGGCCCGTTCCCGTTCCCGATCTCGCTCTCGCTCGCAGCCGCGCGTCCCGCCAACGCCTCGCATGACTCGTGCGAGGTCGCGGTCACAGTCCCAGGCGCGGGCGGCTCCAGCTCAGACGCAGACGCAGAGTACTATGCGCGTGACGAGGGCACGGTCGAGGTCGCAGTCTCAGGAGCCGCAGGCTCAGGCTCGGGAGCAAGCACTTGCCAATCCGACACGAGGGAGGGGCAGGGGTCGCGCAGGGGCGCCGGCGCCGGCGCTTGAAGATATTCGCGAGAGTCCGAGCCCTCAGAAGAATCGAAGGCAGAGTCCAGAGGCGAAGCTAGAGGCGGATGCTAGTGTAGATTCAGGCTCGAGCGCGTCACGATCGGCCCGCGCACAAGTATCGGTTCCGCCTGTGGAGACGCTGGACGCTGACGACCTGCAAGCGGTCGAGGCTATGCTGCAAGCAGAGGTCGAGGAAACGCAGAGCGCTGAAGTGCAGGAGATGGAGGATGAGCTGAAGCAGGAGGACGTGGACGTGGACGAGTGGGAAGAAAGGGAGAGGGAGGTCAGCACGCCCTCGGACTCGGACGATGCACGGACGCACCGCTTCTTGCATCCGCACGTGCGCAGTCCCGCGCCGTCCCCGAGCTCGCCTCAGCGCCCTAGGCGTCGTGAGAGCACCAGGCCGCGAGATTGGTCGCCGTTGCCCATTCCGCAACCGCTGGATCTGGACTCGGACGATGACGAAGATGAAGACAGTGACGAAGAGCTCGTGCGGGATGTACGGGGACCGTCGTTTTCTATATCTGACAACACCGCACGCGAGAGAGGGGAGCAAACGAGCTTTGCGAGGCTTAGGCAGGGAGGGTTGCGTACTCCGCAGCAGGCGATGTCTGCTTCTGCGTCTGGGGCTGCTGCGTCTAACGCACAGCGCCGGCCAGGCAAGGGCAAGGTCGAGGTGGTTATCACGACTTCGCCGCACGGCAGGCGCTCTCAGGGGAAGCCGCCTTCTCGGTCGAACCCGCCGTCGCAAGCGCAGCAGCGCGTGCTTCGTTCTGGCGTCAATGTGCCCGCGAGAGCGGAGCCGGAGTTCCCGTCGCCGGGGACGAAGGCGCGCGAGGTGCGTGATGGGATGGAGGAGGCGCTGGATGCGTTGCCGTATGTTCCGCCGGAGAATACGAGGGCTGCGAGGGCTCTGAGGTCGAGGAACGTTTAGGCGTTTGGGGATGATTGAGGTGTAAGTTTTACCCGATGATTTACTTTAGAGGCGTTTAGTCTTTTACTTTGTACTATAACTTTATATCTATTAATTGACCTGTCGCATATCGGAACACCATTGGTTGTATCTTTCGCACTGTCATGTTCTCGACATCACCCGACCCTTAGGTCGATGGGCAGTCCGACTCAAAAACCGGACATGCGCACATCCGGACCACCGCAGCACTGAGCGGGCGCCTAATTGCAGCCTTCTCCGCCATCCTGACTTGGACATGCAGCGACTCCCGCTTTCCGCCTTTCGTCTACTCAGACGCAGCGTCCTCTCACATCGCACTGCTATCGGCTTTGGTTTTGGCGCCTCCGTCGCTGTCTCTGGTACCCTCCTCGGCTTACACACCCTCCACAATGATGCGCCGCCCGACGCGCTCAAGGACGTCCTCCCACCCTTTTTGGACCGCAAGTTCGTGAGCCCGCGGCCGGACGTGGATGTCGACGCGTGGTTGAGGCAGAACGAGAGGAGCGTTGTGGTTAGGGATCCTGCGACTGGGATTACGCGGTATGATACGGTGCAGCTGGAGAGGTACGTCCATACTTTTGCATGCGCGGTTTTTTTATGACTGACCGGTAATGTTTAAGCAACTATCCGTCTGAGGACGACCGCGCAGAGAAGATTGTGCGTTCGGCCCAGAGCGGGTCGTTTGACTCCTACCGGTGGTCTTTCTTCGGCCTATACGACGGACATGCCGGCTGGGAGACCTCCCAGTGGCTCAGTAAAGCTCTCATTCCTGCCGTTGTCACCGCCCTCAAGGCCCTCTACACCTCTACGCCGTCCCAAACTCCCACTCCTGAAGCCATCGACAAGACCATCACAGACACCTTCCTCGCGCTGGACGACTCCATCGTCAACGCCCCGCTGAAAGACGTCTTCGCCTCCTCCTCGCGTACACGCGCCGTGCACTTCCTCGACAAAGCCAACGCCGGCTCATGTGCCATCCTTGCATTCTACGACTCCGCCTCCTCCGCGCTGCGCATCGCACTCACGGGCGACTCGCGCGCCGTCCTCGGGCGCCCCGTCACGCTTCCAGACGGCAGCACGACGTACGAGGTACACGTGCTCTCCACGGACCAGAACGGGCTCAACCCGCTCGAAGTCGAGCGCCTCGCGCGCGAGCACCCGGGCGAGGAGAACCTCACGAAAGGATCGAGGGTGATGGGCTGGGGCCTGTCCCGCGCGTTCGGCGACGCGCGCATGAAGTGGGCGCTGGACGTGCAGAGTAGGCTCAAGGAGGGGTATCTCGGGCGGACGCCGATGGGCATCGTGAAGACGCCGCCATATTTCACTGCCGAGCCGGTGATCACCACCACGCGAGTGCAGCCTGGCGATTTTCTGATTCTCGCGAGCGATGGGCTGTGGGAGAGTCTGACGAACGAGGAGGCTGTGGGGCTCGTGGGTGCGTGGGCGGACAAGCAGGCTAAGAGGCCAAAAGCGCTGGATGGAGACAATATTATGCCTGCGGATCTGCCGGTCAAGCTTGGCGAGAAGGACGACACGGACAGGTACAAGCAGTGGAATATACCGAAGCGGTTCGCAAACGTCGATGAGAACGTGGCGACTCATATCGCGCGGAACGCGCTCGGTGGTGCGGACAGCGATAATATTGGGGCCCTGAGCAAGATCAAGTCGCCGAGGGCGCGGAGCTTCAGGTGAGGGTCGATTAATCGATTATCCCTGGATGACGGATCGTGTGGACTAATGGGTGCGTCATATTCATAGGGACGATATCACGGTGTCGGTTGTGTTCTTCAGCGAGCCGGAGGCAAAGCGGGTTAGCAAGCTGTAAGAGCGTCCATCCCCGACGGATCGAGGCGAGGCGCGGCTCTACTTGGGACACGAGAAAGTGTGCAGCACCATCGCGCAACCTCAAGCTGTCTCAGCGTTATGGCGATGTGCTGCCCGCTGGCCGGCATATCCTATCAGTGCCTGCAAACAGGCCGCAGTCCACTAGCATATGCGAGTACATAGGCGTCCATCGTATGCGATAGTCTCGTGACAATGAGAGCCAACTGCGGAATTCTGATTTTGTTTGCTTTGGAGTCAAGTCTGTGCGGGCTCGTGCGGGCTTTGTCAGCTCGTTGTTCCCATTTTGAGCTTCCCGGTCTTCCCAGCAGTATAAAGGACCGGCATTCGCACAAGAAAACTCCCTCTCCGCTCTTTTCATCGTTTAGATCCACGTACCTGCAAACTAACTCACTGACATTTGCCATACAGTGTTCGATGTGAGCGCTCGAGCAACGTATCTGAAATCACGATTTATACTGATACTGACAAGTTGTAAATCGACATTTTCTCAGCTCACTCGGCCCGTTCGCCCGGCGTTGACTCTGTGTTCCTCTCTTCCCTGTCTTCCCTCTTCCAGTGTTCACTAGTCGCTAGTCACTTTCCGGCGTCATACATACCGCCGAGCCCCGTCACTCAGCCTGTTCATGTCCCGACTGTTGTCAATCGAGCTTCATCATGCCAGTCGATCCTGCCGAATCTCCGTGCTCTCTCACGATCATGTCTCTGCCACCAGAGACTATGCTCAACATCTTTGATTACTTACACGTAGGCCACAAAGTGACTACAGACCGCACCACCAAGCATTACACCTCCTTCGCACTCTTCCCTTTCAGCATCGCTCTTGTCTGCAGCCACTGGCGGGACATAATCGCTCAGAAATCAGAATATTGGAGTTCTGTGGTCATCATGCTGGACTTCTCGTTCGACTCGTCAGTCATGATGACCTGTCTGGAAGCGTTCACGCAGCTGGAGACTATAAAACTGCACCTTGTCTCTTACGACGAAGTCGAAGTCGAACCTTCTGCCGAAAATGCTCTTTTTGGCGCCTTCGTGCGGATCCTTGCACCCTTCTTCCACAAATGCAAGACTATCTCCGTTGATGTGCAGTATCGCTCTACCATCGTGGCAGCTGCTCGGATCCTGGATGGTCTCATCGCCCCCGATCTCGACGATTTATACCTAGTATCCCGGGTCACTGATTCCACTGAGGACATCCCGTTCACATCCCTGAACTGCCCTAAGCTGAAATACGTCTCGATGGATGCCAAATCTTTCGTAGGGTTTGCAAACGCGAACGCCCAACTTGAAACCAGAATCGAGAGAAACCACGACTTTGGAAGAGTTCTTTCCGTCTTCCCCTACCACCCAGAAACCGAATCGCCCAAGCTGACACGGTCCGCGCTGATCTCCGCAATCACCCACTTCATCGACTCCTACGGGCCGCTGGAATACCTCCTCATCGAAGACGTCCGCTTCGACCAGCTGGACTTTGACGTGCCAGAAGCGATCACCGCGGGCGGCAACTACGTGCACCTGTTCGATCTCGACGCCCGCTTCCTCAGCGCCTTCTTCGCGAACTTCGACCCGCCAGAAGCCGAGGGCGACGAGGGCATCCTGTCCCTCACGCGCTGCGAGCTCGACTTCCCGATCGCGGTGCCGTTCATGGCGACGCTCATGCTGCGGGATATCGACGATACACACACCGTGCTGCATGCGCTCAAGTTCTGGGACGGGCTGATTGTCGACGTATCCAACTGCGCGGGGTTCACCGATGGGGTGTTGGACGCGATGGCGCGCGAGCGTCTGTGTGGCGAGGTTGTGTCGCTCACGGTGCGCGACTGTCCGGTTTCGGTGGCGGGCGTGCGCGGATTTGTGGCGTCCAGGAGGCAGGATGAGACTTTTCAGTGTCTCGATGTCTCTGGGGCGCCACCGCTGAGTAGCGAGGACAAGGAGTGGTTCCGGGAGAGGGTTTTTGACGAGGTGTTGTGGAATAAGGAAGAGATCAGGTAATGAGACGATGTGGGGAGTTGTATGCCAGTGCGGTCAGCTTGTTCTTTGCATTTCGTAGTCTCCTAACCTACGTTTATAGGACAATTTACGACGATCCTGATTCTATCACCTCGCACCCATCGGATAGCTTCCTCGATTCTTTTTTGAATATATATTTGCTTTCTATGTACTTGTAAGTGCACTGATTGATCGGAAATTTACTGTATGTTCAGAGCTGGATAATATTGAGCTCATTACTATCCTTCCCTCCCATCCACAACTTCTCTCGAGGCTACGGCACTAGGAAAGCACTAGGTGCCCCGATGTAGCAGCTTTATGACCCTATATGAAACGGCCAGTGTTGTTTTTCTGGAGAAACCTCGCCTAAGTGTGACTCGGAATGGTGACTATAGCTAAGGTATAGATGAGCAGTAAAAGGCTAAAGTGGTAGAGACGTACCACTTCTTTTCACAGCACGGGAAACTAGGCCTCGAAACTTTGAAGGGCTGTATGTCTTAGTTAACCCATCGCCCATCGCAGAAGAGGATGATTAGTTTATTGTCTGTCATAATATAGTGATGTGTAAGTCTTGAGCTTGCAACGCCTTGTTTTATCGACTTAGTGTAATTGAGCGGCGCGTGAACCCCAGTGAAAATAGGCTCTATCAATTCTTATAGAAACCGACGGTTTCCAATGGGCTCATCAGATTATTACCCAGTCACTAGTTACGATCGGGTTTCACGTTGGGTTTCATCGGAACAAAAGTAATGAATTTCGTGGGTTACAACCCATGCAATACAATGAAATATGATACAGTGCTATGAAACTCCATCGAAAGCGAGCACGATGGGAATTCGTCGGAAACCCATAGAATGAGACCAGAAAGCATAGAAAAGCATGAGAGATACAGAGCCGCTGAAAGACGTCAATCCAGAAGCAGAGTAAGCGAAAAGCCGATAGAATCCGATAGAAAGCCACGAGAAATTGCGCGCGTTCGGAGCAGTCGCCAAGAGAAGCCAGACAAGCAAGTCAAGTAGTCACCAAAGGGAGGCGTGTGTCGCCGCCGAACATCGAGCTGCCGAGCTGTTCAGTGGCCGTCTTTGAAACGCGTCAGCTGGAACGTTGTTGGGTTGGCCTTGTATGAAAGATACTGAGCGTTATAGTACTAGCAACGAATGAGAGTCAGCCTGGCAACGCGAAATGGATCTGCACGTACGTCTTTTTGTTTCTTCGGGAGACGACGCCAGTCCTTCTTGTACTGCGAGTCGGTGCGGTTTGCTTCGCTGGTGTCGACCCACCAGATCTCGGCACCCCAGAAACTCCTATGCATGAGTTTAGCAAGCACTCGGATCTGAAATCGCCTGCTCACCTGCCGCCGGTAATTGCGAGCTTTTGTTGCATGGGCTGCTCGGGCATAGCGGCCAGAGTCGGAGCTGGTCCCGGTGTACTTGCTGACTGTGCAGAGGCCTGTTGCCGGGTCCCATCAGAGTGGGTAGGTGTGGGCTCTTGGTGGGCACTCCCGCGCTCGGGGTGCTGGTGAGTCTCTCCATCGATGGCATTTTCGTTGGCCGCGGTGGTGGTGGTGTTAGTAGACCCAGGGGAATCCTCGGACAGTTCAGTGGCGAGGGGTGGTGAAATTGTCGGAGGTGTGGAAGGAGAACCAGAGCTGCCGCCCGTGTCTGCACTGTAGATAAACGTCGTCAGAGATGGTCAATAGAAAAGATAAGACAAACAAGGGATCGGTCAAGATACGTTGCCGTGCCACATCTGTTGCTGTTGCTGGTCTTGGCTGCGGAGTAGGGCGGGGACGTTCTTCAGGTGCGCGCGACTACAAAATATCATATCATTAACTAGCATTAGAGCGAGTATTGACACTTACCGTATTTTGCCGCTCGCCATATGCAGATGAGGACGCCCCAGACATCTATCACAGTTGTCACATGGACCACGGCAACATGAAAAGAGAAAATGACGCACGATAGTAGATGTGCGTGCCCTCTTCGAAGCACGTCCTTGTCGTTCCCCCTCGTCCTCATCGCCATCATCCTCATCTTCGTCCCCCTCCTTATCCTCCCCAGCTGGCATCCCCGGGAGAGGCCACCGATTCTGCCGCCTCCACTGGGTTTTGCACGTTGAATATACCTGACTTGCGATAGCCCGAGCCTTCCATGCGTTGGCACCAAGACGGAGCAAGGGGTGGAGCCGCCTCAACAAGTCAAGGCACAGCTGACGATCTTCGAAGGCAAGCTTCATCCACGTAGACCGTGCAAGCTTGTTATCGTAGAGGTAGTTGAACGCATTGTGAGCCATTTTGATGATGTCGATGACCTTGAGACCAGTGATAGCGTTGCCGTCCTTGTTCTGGAGGTAGCGGTGAACTCTGTTGATGTTAGCATTCAGCTCAGCAATACCTTTTGCACCACCGGCAACTTTCAACCCAACAAGCCCCGCTGCAGCCAGCTCTGCCTGACAGTTCTTGCCCCATAGTGATCGAGTCCATGAATCCCTCACCCCCGGATAATCCTCTAAGGCAACATCCAGAGGACCCTCGTAAGCCAGGTTGGATACCGGATCAGATCCAGTGCGATCGGTGTGGAAGAGAGTCCGCGCTTTTTTGAGCATAGCTGCTCGGTCCAAGGGAGCATCAGAAGTAGCGATAGCAGATGGAGCGGATGGAGTAACGACGGCAGCTCTGTTGCTGACAACAAGACCTCTGTATCAAGAGCATATAGTCAGCCAACATCCCGCTAACTATAGTACACGTACTGGAGGAGTTCATTTTGGGCAGTGAGCTTGACGACGTCCATCCGAAGACGTTTGTTCTCGTGACGAAGCTTTGTAACATCCATAATTGGCTCATCATCCGACAGGTCCAAGACGAGCTAATAAAACTCAGGCAGATAGTCTATAATGGGTAGGCGAGTCAACATACCACATCCAGACTGGCGGAGGCAGCCTCCTGAACTCCCTCCATGGAAGAAGCTAGCTGTAGTATGTGTAGAGGACAATGGATCGGTAGCCAGATGTCAAAGGACTTTGTACCACAATGCGCAATTGCGACATAAGGTTATCCTAAATTTAAACTCAGAAAACTCCGAGCAGATAAACTACTACCATTTTTCAGGCCCAGCTACCTATTTACGGACATATCCGACTGATTTTGGGGTCACCTGATTCAACGCGCAAGATTTTGACTTTATTGCTGGATGTACTTCAAGCCTCCCATATCATTCACACCTGCCTCCACATTATGACCAACCCCAATGCCCCCACCCGCCCTGTTACTCTGGCTTCTGGCCAGATGGGGACAGTCATTCCACCCATGTATACTGGCTCTGATCCCGAGGCAATGGCTGCCAAGTTTGGTGACCTTCAGATCTCCTCTGCATCGTCTTTATCCAACTTGTCGGAGTCATTTGAAACCCCTGACGTCGACATGACCACTTTAACGGTACCTATACAACGCGTTCATGATCCCATCTAACTCCATTTGATCATCAGGAACCTGACTTGGGCATTGCCGCAGTTGCCGCCTCTACTTCGCATGACAACACCAGGTGCGCGGCTGCCCCGCACTCTGCCAACTCGGAGGAAACCCCTCTCAAAAAGGATGCACCTGCCTCCTCATTGCCCGACAAAGGCAACAAGAGAGGCAAGTATGACTCTGACTCGGATTCTTCTGGAGAGGAACTTCGGAAGAAGAGACACAACAGGACAGCCAAACAGCGTTCCCACTGGGCCAGCTACGATGAGAAGTCTTACTCACTATCTGAGGTATTTATTTCTCCTTCATGACTGTGTATATGCGTGCTCATATTGTTAGATTGAAGAAGGCGAGTTCGAGTTCACCGACAGCGACGGCAACGAGTTTGAGCCCTATCTCATCAACAACAAGCAGCGTCGAGCCTGGGAGAAGCGCCTTGCCGAGCGAAAGCGCACCAGCTGGGATGATGTAGTTGCCAAGCGTGCTCGCATCCCAAAGAAGGGGTGCTGTGCTCAGCACCCTGCGTGAGCTGCTGCTCTGTCAGGTTGTACGATAGTCGAGACTGTGACCTCTGCTTTTCTTGATACCACGCTCCGCTTTCACCATTGCATTCTTAACCAGCAAAAAACTTCTTGAGCCGACATGTGACTGTATCGTTGTTGGGCTGCTACTGTATGAATACAAGATAGTGTTAATCTGCGTAAATAATTGCGTGTGCAGTGTAAATGAATACCAGAAAAAAACTTATGTCAAGAAGCATCCGTCTCCAGCGTCTCTGAAGCAAGCGCTTCCTCCATGGCACCAAATACAGCAATGTCTAGCCCAGGTTTGTCAACTGCAAAACTCAGATTCTCGTCATCTGGACGCCCAGGGAAGCGGTGGGGGAGCATAGCAACCACAGATCTGATGCACTCAACGTCGACGACAAGCAAGTTAGCATCTCCACAGTACTGGCAAGCGTGAATTGTATCCAATGACTCTTGCCGAAGAGTGAGCTTGGGGCGGCCATATACAGAGACCATAGCAAAGCCCTTGTTGGTGTCACGTATCCTTGCCAGGAAGTAGTACCAAACTTCGGCGTACATTGGCTCACTTTGATCAGGCAGCTGGATCTGTGGAATAACATACACATCAGGGCATTTGTCACGGTTGGATGGATAGCCCACTCACAAGTACATTCCGGGACACCCTGACTGATCCTTTCATAGACTCTTCTTTCCATGCCGACCTTGCGATCTGGCCATTTGGTAGACGCAAACGCGCTCACTTCTGAATTGATGGTGTTCCGTGAACACAGAGTCCATGACTACGGAGTAGAGCTATAATAGCACTTGCTTCGGGAGCAGGTACTTCTCGAATGCGGCGATCCACACGTGCAAGAAGGACATAGTCATTAGCAAGAGTAACTGATGCGCGAGGGGGTTTTTCTTCGATGGGATCAAGATCTGGATAAATTGCTCGGAGGGCATTGATGCGTGCTCGGAGTAAAGCACGGTTTGACAAGTTAGCGTAAGGGTGGGAATGGGAACGAATTTCATGTCCTAGGTCGCCGATCGTTCGCTCCATTGTCCACTGGGAAGAACAGATTGGTGGCCCCTTGCGAATGGTTTCACGTGCCAAGTGGGTCATGGCGTGGACCCATGGACGCACAAAATGCATCCGGTCTGCATTTTTGTTGACATATAGCGCCTCGAACTCGTCAGCAAAGGTATTAAGATGATTGCGAGCCTCCTTGACCTGATCCAGGGTTATTGAATGCTGACAAAGGAGGCGAATGCCACGGACTAGACGACAGAAGTTTTTCCAGTATTTGTCGGGCAGAACACCTACAACTCTTGAGTACAGAAAAAGAGAGACAACTATAGCACCATACCGTACAACATGGCAGGGCACATTCCATAAAGATACAATAGCCATTCCCAGGCTTTGTATCCACTGTTGATTTTGAGAGCGGGATTGCGTGGGGGCCGGTCAAAGGATCCGGGTAGGTGGTGGGCAAACCGTGCTATCAGCTTGCCGTGGTCACGCCAAACTGCCCTTCGTTTGAGTACCCTCCAGTCCCAGTTAGCCTTGTGATCAGTCCCTGCAGCATCAAATGAGCCCCGCCAGAGTGGAATTAGAATGTCCCCAACATTAATGGCAGCAAGATGCATGATGTCGGCACCAAAAAGAGTGGGAATCGGGAGCGCTTTGGGGATACCGCAGAAAATGGCTGGTTTGACAATACCAGTGGCAAGGCGGACATGCTTGTATTCTGTTTGCATAGTGCACGCCATCAAACGAGCAAGATTTTGATAATAATCACCGTCACCTGCTTTGGGAAGGGTCTCAGCTGTCATCGAGGGGTGCATGCAGGATTCAACATTGTAGGGTGGATCAGGTATCTGTATGACGGGGTAGTAATGGGGATTACCCCGCTGGTAGCGCCCTGGCATTCCGCAGTATAGTCGACAGGATATTCGACCGTGATGGCCAACCAGACCTGTCATCAACGCCATCCCAGGCCCATCAGCTGTTACAATGAATAGAAAAGGGTGGTCATCTCGGATGCATTGACGTTCTCCATCGTAGATTACCAGTCCGTCGTTCTGTAGGGCTGCAAGGTGGTATAATGCGGGAAACAGAAATGAGTCGAGGTTCTTCGGTTTATTGGGACCTGGAATAACACCGCCCGGTAGAACATAACATTTCTTGTAGCGGCTCTTTGGAGAATGGTCGTAGATTACCCAGATGAAAATCCAGCAGTCGGATTGCTTTTGGGCATAGAGCTGAGCCCCATCTATGGATAACATGAGGATTGTATCGTCGACACTGAATTTGTTCTCTTCTAGACCGCGCAGGTACTCGAGGCTCTTGGTGATGTCGTCATATATTTCAAATGGGGCTGTGTTACCGTCCTTGAGCTGGTCATTGAGCCAGGCTGTCTGTTGGGCTCGGTAGCGTGTGCGTGCGGCACTGTCGGCTTGTAGCCACTGAGCCTGGATCTGGTGGCCAAGTGAGTATGACATATACGTCTGTCGGGGAACTTTTTTGCCGCCTCGACCATGTTCATATCGATCCTCCTGGCAGTATAAGCATTTGTCGAGATTCGACAAGTGGCCAGTGTAGCCCATACACGTGTTGGGACACATGTCCTCTTTGATACCCTCAACGCCAGTGAGCTTATAGAGGTCCTTCTCCGCCTGCTGCTTGCTGTAGCAGCGAAGACCTGGTTTTAAACCCTCCGCAATCTTGCAATAGTGCCTGTACTGCTCGTCTGTGGGGTTTCCCAATGCAATCTGAATAGACGTTTTGTGACCCAGGTCCTCATCAAGGTCTTCAATTGAGCGGGGTGGGTTGCGAAGACGTTTACGGCCTTCTGGAGAAAGGCGATGGTGGGGACTATCAATGTGAGCGTCTTTGAGCAACCGGATATATTCCTTCGTGATGCTGACATCGTCAAAGTTTGTGGATTCAATCAGAACTTCGGCCTCCTCCTGTGTATACGTCCGAGTAGCATGGTTACGGTTCAAGGGGGGCAGCTCAGCATTTTCAGCCGGTGGAGGAAGGGGAATATTATCATGGTCATTGGTGCGTGACTCATCTTCGCCATCCCCAGCCTGTTCCAGAGGTGTCTGCTGGGTCTGGTCGCTGGTAGCAGCTTGCTCTCCAAGTCCCTCCTGCTCCTGTGGCTCTACCTCTTCCCCGCTGCCAAAAATCCAGTCGAACTCCTCGCGTTCTAACCATGGCTGATCCTCCTCCTCCTCCTCATCATCTCCCTCTTCCTCTTCCTCTTCCTCGTCCTCTTCCTCTTCTCCCATCTCGCTATCTTCAGCTGAGCACGGATTCTCAGGATCCTCCATCACGAAAGTATACTAGAATGCGTCAGACCCGCAAACTATAATAGTCACTAGCAGTCTGCTTACCTGTAGGTCCTGTACTTCAAGAGCCTCGTCGGTTTGGGCATACAAGTCAGTCCGCTCCGGAGACGTGTGAGGGATGTAATCATGCTGTAATAAATGAGTATATGAGAAACAAGCTGTCGTGAATACAGACGTACCGGTGGATGGTCATCAACGTCAAGATCCATTCCATCATCTTGCTGCTCTACATCGTGTTGAGGGCTAGGGGCAGTACGCGGACGTTTGCTTGGTCCTGCTGCACTGCGCGTGTCTGGGGTAGGTGATAGGTTGGGCCTTTGGCGTGAGGTCGATGGCTGAGCGTCATTGCGGGCTGCAGCATGGACAGCGTCAAAAAGATCTCTTGCTGTCTGAGGCAGTCCAATCTCGGGCTGTGGTTCCTTGGAGGTGGGGTTGTGCTTTTCGTAGGTCTTGCGAGTGACATATTTGCCGTCAGAGCCATGCTTGAATAGACACAATGGACAGGTGCATCTCTTGTATTCGCCAGAGATGACGCGAGGGTCATCTGCGCTCTGAGGTGGGGGCATGCAAAGATTGAATGATGTTTATTGTAGAGATAGATAGGGCATAGTGCAAGCAAATGGCCTTAGACGCCTCTGCGCGCACACACGCGCACAAGGCCAAGTGCCCCCGGCCCAATGCGTACCATTCTTCTCCACGAGCGCGAGCGGTGCCAGTAGTGTAACTAGACCGAAGCAGTTTCCATAAGCGGCGGGGGCTGCACTTGCTGTACTTGTCCCATGCATGCGTTCCAATTCACGTCACTGCCTGTCACTGCCTTGCGCGAGTTACCTGAGCTCGGAAAGAAGGCCTCGGGCTTCAGAAGGGAGTGGACTCGCGATCTGGACCCTGCTTCTGTTCCATTTGGTGAGATTCCATCCGAGTTGACGGGGTTTACATAGAAGCTATAGGTATTAATCTAAGTTTGATCACTTTGGATAGGGCCTATTTTCACTGGGCGTGAACGTTTGAACGTGGGAGTAATTTGCGGAGGATAACGCGGAATCCGCATTTTCCGGCGGTCCAGCAGTCCAGCCGTCCAGCCGTCCAGCCGTCCAGACTTGGTCCAGACATCTCGAGCTGCACCGCGCTGTATCATCCGCTCCATCCCTCTTCCCTCTCGTCTTTCTTCGCCACAAATTCTAACTCTCTTTTCACGACACAGCAGCCCCTCCTCTGACAATGAGAATGGAAAACCAAGAGCTCCTGCCAAGCACGCAGCACTGTGTATGCCCGCTCACACCCAGTGTTGGACACAGGCGCAACTGCAGGCATACAGGCTAGACATATGGGAGGTATTTATTGAAGTCGAGAACTGTGAAGGAGGGTTGTAGGAGCGTGATGAGGTAGGTCTGTATGTCTGTGGCTCCCTTAAACTCTCCATCCTCGTGCTCATTGGTCTTCCAGGTGCTGATACCTTTCCTTCGGGCCATCCGTGCACATTTTGGGGGTTTCCCGATGCTCCCAAGTGCGTCCTGCTCGTGCACGGATTGGCGTGCTCATTGTAGCTGTGGTGTCGCATCACAACGCTTGTCATGCGAGGTAAGCTTCCACCCTCACCCACCTGTAACGTGAGCGTTCTCCTACTCCCCTGACACCCTTTCTCTCGCTCTCATACATAATGTCGCACCTGACCCACGCAACCTTATCATTGCACACTCCCTCGACGGGATCATCGTGCTTAACTTCCTTCACAATGACACCATACACCCGTGCCCAGGACGATCCCCACACACAGTCATCATCAGCCCACCGCTTGACCTCGCACTCGAGTGGTCTGCTTTCTACGGGACCACATTCAAGGCGTCAGCAAGGCGTTTGCCCGGTGCTTGAATGGGCAATGGCTTTACTGGTATCATTTTTGGCTCGTTTGCTGAAGAGACTAGTCTAGCAGTGTAGTATCACAACCATATATATATACTTTAATCTTTCAAGAAGAGATTGAAACGGAAGTACTGTACCTACATGACCGTAGGTTCGTCACGCCTCACGCTTGGCCCGTAAAATTAACTTAAGACCTGGCTCGTCACCCATTACACAAGAGAATGAACCTCACTGCGTGACGAAAAATACTAATACTATTACATTCTGATGTAGTAAAACCGTTCGCTGCAGCGAGTGTTTTCTGCATTCCTTGCACTGTGAATTTAAATTTTTCGAGACCCTTACCGCGACCGCAATTGACCGGAGATGAGATGTCGAGCTTCCCACTAGTGGCAGGCTTTAATTAGTCAGTCATACCGGTGGCGAGGGCTTGAGATGTTTGTGTACAAGCCTGATGGACGAGGAATACCGGGACGCTGTAAAATGTGGTCCGCGTTGCCTTCTCCTTCCAATGAAACATCCTCTTCACCTTCGTTTTATTAGTCACCAACCACCCTGGTTCAAAGTCACACGTTCGCCGGACGTTTGAACTTTGGCCTCATCGGAACTTATTTTGATTTCATGTCACGCAAAAATCCCTTGAACCTACAGTCGTGTAGGTACAGTAGATATCTTGAGTCGTTAACCTGTGTGCGCAGGGCAGAGGAGGAGGATAGAACAGATAGCGGTCGCTTCACTAAAACAGGGGCTAATTATCTAATTATGGCCACACGTCGGCTGTTTTATTTTTTCCCGCGCATGTGGCTGGATGGCTGGACAGCCGGACAGACGCGGCTACAACGAAATCCGAATTCCCCGTTAACCTGCTGTGAAGACGCTAGCGTGGTCATCGAATGGACGCCAGCTTTTCACTGCAGGTGAGGGGTACACGATCAGAAAGTGGGCGACCAAAACGGGAGAAGCCTCTCTCGACGTATACAGTCATTTCCATAGGATTCAATCCTTCGACATCTCCCACGACTGCTCATTGGTAGTCGGCAGCACAGAACACGCTGTCCACCTTTGGGATGCAAATACCACAGAAATATTCGCAATACCCATGGAGAGAAAACACGCGTTCACCAGAATGGTCAAGCTTACTCCAGATGCATCTCGGATTCTTGTGGGGGCAAGCAGCCAGTACAACCCAGAGGCCACGGATCACAACTCCGGCTATTCAATCGAAGTCTGGGACATCAAATCGGGTCGACTGATTCACACTATTTGGGGACATACCCATCCGATATCAGCATTCAGCGTATCTCAAGACGGCTCAAGATTTGCAAGCGCAAGTGCAAAAGTCGTGCGCGTGTGGAACTTATCCACATACTCCCCAATTGCTGACCCTTTCGTTCATGGGGACGAGGAAACCCCTGATCTTGAACCTGTCGTTTGTTTGTCCCACGACGGCTCACACTTGCTTACTGGCTTCCATAAATCCATGGTTATTCGAGGCCTTTCTAACGAGAAACAAACTCTCCAGGTCGACTTGTTGAGCCCTATTCGCTGTGTTCAATTCGGCCCAAGAGGCGAGACATTTCTCAGCGCATCAGAGGATGGCTATGTTCGTCTTTGGGATGCTTATATTGGGGCTCTGGTTCGCTCTATGGATCACGAAAGTGATGTTCTATCAGCCGCGTTTTCTTCAGATGGATCGCACATAGCTACTGGAACACTGGAAGGTTATATCAGAATCTGGGATAGAGCAACGGGGAAATTGGTACTTGGGGAGGTAGGGCCATGTCCATCAATGATTTGACCAGAATCTCATTCCGACATCACTCATAGCCAGTAAACGGGAACAAAAGCGACAGTCAGGACAAGAAGTCTCCTTTAGCATATGAGGTAACGTCCATTGCTTATCTACATTAACAGTCCCTCTCATCGCACACACACTGATTCTGAAAACTGCGAAAGGCGGACCGGATTTCTGAAGAGAGCTTCTTACATGTACGTCTGCATCCATCACGTTTTTTTCAGCTTCACTAAACAGCGTACTTAAGCGCACTGCTGTTCCGCGGAGGCAAATGCGAGCAAGTGTTTCCAGCCTTCCTGATGGACATACCCATCTCCACCGTTCCTCATCGACGAAGCCGGTGCGCAGTCCACCCCGAAAACTTCACCTTATCTCGAGCATCAAGGACGCTTTTTCCCGCTCAGGCTCATATATCCGTAAGCGCCAATCACGTAGATTCAAGTCTTCCATCAACTTTGCTCTAGGAAAGCATTCGAGAAAAGCTATCCCACTTAAAAGGGTTTATTTGGCGAAGGAAAAATCAGTACGTGTTTTGGACAGACGTTCTCGTCAGATTCATACGAGTTGTTTTCATTTGTTGCAGCGTCTCGCCGGCGTACTCGACCCTCGTCAAACTGAAGAGGATGAAGAGTCAGATGATCAAAACGAAGAAGTACGCGAACGAAATGAAGGTGCTACATTACAGAGTGCTCCTGGTCCCTTGGCTATGCATACAAACACGCGGAGACAACCCGATACTACTATCGAGCTGAATGTACGTCCAGATCCGGAGATATCTACCGACAGTATATGTGTTTGCTGTGGGTTTGTATTGGGTCGAAGATAGGAGGCATTCACCACCGGCGTATCGATTACAAAACGGCGGGATCATACTCCCCTGGCTTTGCCAGAGGAGCAAGCAATATTGTTTATTCACATAAAACAGTCATGTACTTACTGAAAGCGAAATTTCCGTCAGTTAACAATCCTCGGATATATCTGGCACTGGCAATCAAATGCACCAAGCGTACTGTAGATATTAAAATGCAGAGGTTTTCAAAGGACAAGCGCCTTAATTTGCTCGCTGGCATCCATCGTACTGCAAGTGGCAGCGCTGGCGACATTCACTTCGCCAGGTTGTCACCAAGGCTCGACTTGAATACAAACACGCTTGAAGGAGAGTATTCTGGTGACATATGCGTCCCGATAAACATACTCTCGATCGAGGAATGGGATCGCTTTTAAGGTGTCACTGGCATAGCCTGGGGCCGGTGACGCCGTTCAGAGTTTGATTCCGACGCGACTTATTTTACGCGCTGTTTACGCTTTGTTTGTTCCGTGCTCCCCTTCCTCTCTTCCTCCCACCATCCCCTCTGCGGTGTCACTCAGCAGCTACCGCATTTCAGTGCTAAGGAGCTGCAAGGAGGGCACAGCATATGTAAAGTCCCATGGTTGTACATGCAATCTTACACGTCGGTTGATTCTTATACAGCTTACTCGATCCGGTGGGCCTCAGCCAAACTCCGTCATGCTAGTCGTCCCAGCTCCTTCCCTTCGCTCTCCCTCCATCGCAACCCTTCCACCGGAGACCATGCTCAGCATCTTTGACTATCTTTACATGGCTGAAAAGGTGCCTTTGAGGTACAGTGGTGAACGATACACCTCTCTTGCACTCTTCCCACTCCGTATGATCACTGTCTGCCGTCGCTGGCGCGACATCTTGGCCCTGAAGACAATGTACTGGGAATCGGTCGTCGTTCCACTGTGCATACTAGGTCTCCCATCTTTGACAAAAGTCCTTATTGGAGCATTCACGCGCTTGGAGACTATAGAGCTGTACCTTGTCTCCGACAACAGGGACATCATCGAGGCTTCGGCTGAGAACGCTCATCTTGAAACCATGATGCGGCTTCTCGCACCATTCCTCCATAAATGCAAGACCATCTCCATCGATATGTGTTATCGTTCCAGCACTGTTATAGCCTCTCGTTTTCTTAACGCTCTCGTTGCCCGTAGCCTCGTCTACTTCTCTCTGGTCTCCCATGTCACGGACTCCATTGAGGAGACACCCTTCGCGTCTTTTATCTCCCCAAATCTCGAAACACTTCGCTTGGATGCCCAGACTTTCATCGGTTTCGCAGAGGCTGAAGGGGAGCCAGGTGTCGAGGTTGAGTACGGGAGAACCCTCTCCATTACCTCATATCATCCCGAAAACGAATCATCCACATTAACCTACTCCGAGCTGATATGCGCTATTGCGCGCTTCACGGAGACCTACGGAGGTCTGCTTAACCTAGCAGTCGAAGACGTGGTTTTCGACGGGCTCGACTTTGGCGAGCCTGAATGGATCACGACAGTCAGCGATGTACGCTTTGTCGACATGGACACCAGTTTCCTCTGCGCGTTTTTCGGATACTTTGACCCGCCTATGAATCCGAACGGCGGGGCACATCTGTCGCTCACGCGTTGCCAGCTTGATATCCCTATTTCCGTCCAATTCATAGCCGAGCTGGACTTGACAGGCATCAACGACGGCGTCACCATCATGTATGCGCTCAAGGAATGGGATGGTCTCACCGTCAATATCTCTGACTGCCCCGGGTTCACCGATGATATCCTACATGTAATGGCCAGCGATTATCTTTGCGACGAGGTCTACACCTTCAAATTTTGCAACTGCCCGATATCGGTCGCCGCAATGCGCGGGTTTATAGCATCCAGGAGTGCGAGTGAAAACTTCGAGGAGCTCTACGTCCATGGTGCACCTAGTCTGAGCGATGAAGACAAGGAGTGGTTTACAGAGAAGGTTCCGGTCAGGCTGACGTGGAACGGCGAAGCACTCAAGTTGACGGACTGGAGTTGATATCAGGGGTCAGTGCAGTCTCGGCGTTTTGTTTCCTCTGAGCCCTGACGTATGTTTCTATGACATGAATCACATCATACAAGCAGCATACGTCTCACAACAATATTCTTGTACTTGTCAGGTCATTTCTTGTTCGGTTCTTCCGCAGCGCGTCTTCTCTCGCTGAGTTCATCCTAGAACATATACGAGGCTTTGAATGCTGCAAGCTTCGCGTGACCTACCACTGAACCGTTGCTTAAGCTACTTAAGTATTGGTGCCTTGACGCCTCCAATTGGGTACGTTCTAGGCCAATTCCAGGCTGCGCTCGGCTTTGATTGCAGCTGGAATAATAGGAATGTACAAGTTTTCCTGATTGTGCGTATCTTTGAACGCTTCGGGACAAAAAAAGAGTTCGCAAACAGCGTCTCTTTTCCCACACCCTTTCGCCCTCGCCCCCTTTCTCAACCCGCAGGTTCACTTCAAGCTTCTAGAGCTGCATCAGATATCAACTCGGCGTGTGGACACTAAACATTGACTCTGAGAAACAAAAAGTCCTCAACGGCTACGTGTAGCGCATCCGCCGTCAATCATGTACATTGTCCCTCAATATTCAATTATAACTCTAGGGCCGGGGACAATGCTCGATGTATTCAAAAGTAGTGTGTCCAAAGGTGTAAAGCGGTTTAGAAATCCTAGCTCATATACTATTTGTGCTTTCTTTCTTGTACCTCCCGCGAGGGCACCTGTCGTCGCTGGCTGGATGTCTCGGCTTTATTGTGGACGTTTGAGATAGTAGTTCGCTTTCCTGCTGTAACTATCAAAACTCTTCTATCCCTTCTTTGAACTTACTCAAGCTTCAGCTTCATTCATGAAGGCCGATAGTGGTTGGCAAGATTTCTGTGGCGTTGTCGCGGGCTCACTGGAATGGTCCGGGCCGCGAGTGTCCGTGAAATAGTCACACACGTTTGTCCGCTTTTTTGCCGATTGCTTCCGAGTGTGCACGTTTTACTACGCGCCCCCATCTGACCTTGGCGTATACAGTCGCGACTTCAACGAGTGAGTGATTCTGGATCTCTTAGGCATGATACTGAGTTAACGGATGAAAGAATAGGCATTTTAAGGTTCCCATTTCGCGAAGTCAACGAGCATCTCTCAGTTTTGCATCGACACCATGACCGCTCGTCGGCACTCCATTCAGTCCTTGGCACCAGAAACTCTGCTGGAAATATTCGATCACTTATCGACGTCCAGGAAACGCTCCAAGAAGACAGGCGTTTACAGCCCTATTGCTTTGTATCCCTTCACCATCGCCAGCGTATGTCGTCACTGGCTCGACGTTGCGAGTCTCAAGTCGAAATACTGGAGCGACGTCGTCATCCCACTCGACTTCCCTATCCTCCCATCTATCATGGGAACCTATCTTGACGCGTTCAACTGTCAGGATACTCCGCACTTCCACATAGTCTACTTCAACACTGTCCCCATCCAAGCCCAAGTGGAGAAAGCCCGGCTCGATGATGTGATGCGTCTTCTCGTGCCGTATTTCCACAAGTGCAAGACTATCTCCATTTATACCTGCTATAGGTCATCTACGATCCTAGTCACGAAATACCTCACGAAGCGATCCCTCATTTTCCTTGAAGACTTGTCCCTTGTCTCCTCCATCACTGACACAACTCAGCCTGCTTGTTTCGCATCCATGACGTGTCCCAAGCTGAAATCTCTGTCAGTAGACGCCAAGACGTTCACTAATCTCATCGAGGCTTTGGAAATCAAGTCGGATCCAGAAAGAGACATGGACCATGTTCGCATAACCTCTTACCACCCAACCAACTGTCGATCGGATCTTGAGCCAGATGATCTCGTCTGTGGTATCGCGGAGCTCGCTGATGGCTACGGGATGATTTACGCGCTCGACGTCTCAGATGTTATCTTTGATCCATCTCTTACATGGTTGTTCACCCACATATCCAACGTGTATGAGGTCCGACTGGTTGACCTACAGAAGCAGTTTTTGGCTCAGCTCTTGGGCAGTTTCAGGACGCCTCAGGCCCTTCATGACTATACAAGCGTCTCTCTCACTCGTTGCATCCTTCCATACCCCGCCATCATTGGTGACATGTTCAAGCTCTCATTCATCGAGATGGGGGACAGCAATTCCATCCTTAACGCACTCAAGCGTTGGGAAGGCGTCGAAATCGAGGTAAAAAACTGCTCAGGGTTCACCGACATCATTCTGGATACTGTATCCTCCGAACGTCTTTGTCCCAATGCCACCTCCCTCAAAATTCACAAATGCCCAATATCAGTGAAGGCCTTGCGACGTTTTGTGAGGTCAAAGCAGAATGTTAACCCATTGACCAAACTATGTGTTTCAAAGGGGCCATCGTTGTTTTGGTGGGACAAAGTATGGCTTGAGGGGAAGGTTGAGGATGCAAGCTGGAACGGTAAAAAATTGCATGAAGTCAAGTTTTCCGGACAGGTGAGCCACTCAAATTTCCTTGAGTTTTTTAAACGTTGACCAATGACTTTGCAGATCACGGTCTAGTTAGACACATCCATTGATCATGTGGGATAACAGTCAATGAATATTAGCAGTTGTTTACCCGAGTAGTATATATATGACATGGACGTGTAGCATTCCAGCCTACTCGAGATCAAGCCGCTCGAAGATAATCACTCTGGAGACTGGGATTGGTGATGTGAGGCGTTTGTTTGCCCGCGATTGGGCATGTGCCATTTTAGTCAGTGACGCGGCCCTTATCGGTCCAACGCTCTTCCTCCCGCTCTCTTCCATCCATACGTCGCATTTTTTGCACGATCCAGCTACTTGAAGAGGACTGGGCCTACGACGGAGATTAGCTAACGCTGCGCGTCGTTTAGCCCTGCCATTCCGATCTGTATCGTCTCTCGTGTCACACGCAGTCTGACATCGCCTAGTAAACACTAGCATGGCTTCGGTAGCCCTCCACTCTCTCCATCCATCCCCAGTAGCACTTCTTGCACCAGAGACTCTCCTCCATATCTTCCAAATCATGCATCACGACGCAAAACCATCTGGCGACGTGTTCTCCTCCGGCTTTCCTCATACTCCTTCGCTTGTCTGCCGCTACTGGCTCGATGTCCTCGCTCTGCAGCCAATATTCTGGCGCGCTATTGCCGTCTCCCTTAGCTCTCCCATCCTACCCTCGCGTATCTCCACTTACTTGAAGATCATCCGCCAGAAGGTGAAGATAGACGTGCATATCATTCAGGCCGACACTACTGTAATAGATGGACGGTCTGAACACGCTCGCATCGACGCCGCTATGCAGGCTCTGGCCCCCTATTTACAAAAGTGCACGTCCTTCTCTATACGCACTAGATATCGTTCCTCAGCTGTCTTGGAAACTAGTCACCTCAACAATTTGAACGCTTCTCACCTTATCTCGCTGTCTCTCGATTCTTCTGTCGCCGACACAACTCAACGAGCACACTTTACTTCGTTTACATCCCCGAACCTCGTGTCTGTCTCTATGGATGCCAAAAGCATTGTCGAATTCGCCAGAGCCATGGATACGAAAATAATGGTTGCAGACTACTTGTCAGTCTACGCGCTGCCGTATCATCCGGAAGACGCGTCTCCGAATCTCAGGCCTCCCGCGGCTGCCAACGCAATTTCCACCCTCTTTAGGAACCGATCAATATCTGGGACGCTTTGTATACGGGATCCGATTTTCGATGAAGGCGACCCCGACGGATGCTCTTTTTCCGTGGACGCGATTGATATTCAACTTACCGATTTGAGGGCGAATTTTCTCCGCAAGCTTTTCTCGAGTATCACTCCTAAAGATGACACTGATTCAAATCGAAACGTCACTTTATCCCGATACTCCTTGGATCCTTCAATTGAGATTCCATGCCGAGGGGTCCTCACCTTGGATGGAATGACCGACAGAATGGACGTGTTATGCGCGTTGAGGCGGTTTAAAGGTTACGCAGTGGAGATCAAGGACTGTCCAGGCTTCGACGATTATGTCTTAGGTTTCGTGGCTCATGAAGAGTGGCTCACCAGGCCTTATTCTGTCACAGTGAACAACTGCCCCGTATCCACCAACGCCCTTCGTCTGTATGTTGCATCGAGACTCGAAATCGCGGAACGTCTTTCGGTCCTGCAAGTTTGTGGAGGACCAGCGCTGAGCGAGGAGGAGGAAAAGTGGTTCTCAAATTCAATCCCTGAGTGTCTCGACTGGAATGATGTAGTCCTTGTACGTTAATGATATCCTTTCAGTGGCGATGCGGCACCTCGTGACTCGAAAGTGTATTGTAGCTCTTCTCTGCACACTGTGTCAACAGCCCTGTCTATATATGTCACGAGCCTATATTATACTTGCTGTGACGATAATTCAGCTGCGTGTTCAAGAGGAAAATGTTGCGGGTTGAATAATCATTTCGGAAACACGACTTTCGGCACTGTCCATCTAATACAGTATCATAGCCCCTATCTTTCCCTCGTGTACGTGTTGTTTACGCGTTGTTTGTTCGCCAGTTTTTGTCTGGCGCGACATGGACACGTTCGTCCTTGTTTCTGCTCGGGACGCACAAGCCAGGTGAGCGTGCTATTATTACCTCTAACTTTAGTCTAAAGGCTGTATGAATAGATTCCGCTTACACGAGCAGCTCTCATGATGTCTGTAGGCTACCCTAGTCCGGCCAACTTGCGTTCATTGGGTATCATGTCCCTGGCAACGGAGACTATGTTAGGAATATACTCGTTTCTACTTCAAGGTGTAACGGACGAAGGCCTTTGGAAATATGAAAAGTCCGCTCTCTCTTCCTTCTCATAGCACAGGTCATCTACAGCTTTGGCTGGGTTTCCTCTCTCGACATCGACAACGTCATCTTCGACCAAGACGATGCCGCCGGTTTCCCTCTGTTCCGAAACATAGGAGATGTGCACTTAACTGCCCTTGACGGATACTTCCTTCGCAAGTTCTTCCGTGCCTTTGACCCTCCAGACAGCTTAGCCAGCGCTACACGAACGGTCACTGCATGTCGCTGCTCGTTCACCAGCCCGGTGTACATCCCCAATACGTACACTCTCGGATTGGACGGGATGGAGGATGGAGCGTCTATATTATGCGCGCTTAAAGACTGGGATGGCATCGAACTAGAAATCACCAACTGCCCAGGGTTCACCGATGCCGTGTTGAACCTGCTTACATTCGACATAACACAGTCATGTTCCCCCATCGTTCTCTGCATTGAAGATTGTCCCATTCGCGTTGGGGCCCTTCGCTTGTTTTTATCACACATAATGGGTTCTCTTCAAGAGTTCGACGTACGTGGAGCGCCACCGTTGGATGAGGAGGACAGGAAGTGGTTCAAGAGTTGGGCCACGCATAGCTTCATCTGGAATTCTGAGAGGATTCTGGCAGATGGTTTGAATCTCAGCTAAAGGTGAGGACATACCAATACTATTCATCACCATAAATACACGGACTCAGACGTAGATTTCGACTAGTCATCGTACCTTCCTCAAACATGACTGCTATCACGACCAAGGTCACGACTTGATCCAAATGTTGATTACGATGCATTCACATGACCGTATTCAACGAACCAAAGTCACTAACACACATAGTACCACCTATACAGGTTAACGGGGAATTCGGATTTCGTTGTAGCCGCGTCTGTCCGGCTGTCCAGCCATCCAGCCACATGCGTGGGAAAAAATAAAACAGCCGACGTGTGGCCATAATTAGACAATTAGCCCCTGTTTTAGTGAAGCGACCGCTATCTGTTCTATCCTCCTCCTCTGCCCTGCGCACACAGGTTAACGACTCAAGATATCTACTTCCGTTTCAATCTCTTCTTGAAAGATTAAAGTATATATATATATGGTTGTGATACTACACTGCTAGACTAGTCTCTTCAGCAAACGAGCCAAAAATGATACCAGTAAAGCCATTGCCCATTCAAGCGCCGGGCAAGCGCCTTGCTGACGCCTTGAATGTGGTCCCGTAGAAAGCAGACCACTCGAGTGTGAGGTCAAGCGGTGGGCTGATGATGACTGTGTGTGGGGATCGTCCTGGGCACAGGTGTATGGCGTCATTGTGAAGGAAGTTAAGCACAATGATCCCGTTGAGGGAGTGTGCAATGATAAGGTTCCGTGGGTCAGGTGTGACATTATGTATGAGAGCGAGAGAAAGGGTGTCAGGAGAGTAGGAGAATGCTCATGTTACAGGTGGGTGAGGGTGGAAGCTTACCTCGCATGACAAGCATTGTGATGCGACACCACAGCTACAATGAGCACGCCAATCCGTGCACGAGCAGGACGCACTTGGGAGCATCGGGAAACCCCCAAAATGTGCACGGATGGCCCGAAGGAAAGGTATCAGCGCCTGGAAGACCAATGAGCACGAGGATGGAGAATTTAAGGGAGCCACAGACATACAGACCTACCTCATCACGCTCCTACAACCCTCCTTCACAGTTCTCGACTTCAATAAATACCTCCCATATGTCTAGCCTGTATGCCTGCAATTGCGCCTGAGTCCAACACTGGGTGTGAGCGGGCATACACAGTGCTGCGTGCTTGGCAGGAGCTCTTGGTTTTCCATTCTCATTGTCAGAGGAGGGGCTGCTGTGTCGTGAAAAGAGAGTTAGAATTTGTGGCGAAGAAAGACGAGAGGGAAGAGGGATGGAGTGGATGATACAGCGCGGCGCGACTCGAGATGTCTGGACCAAGTCTGGACGGCTGGACGGCTGGACGGCTGGACCGCCGGAAAATGCGGATTCCGCGTTATCCTCCACCTATAACGCATAAGAAGGATTATTGCACAAATGACGCCGACGTGGTAGTTGAACCAACAATAGCGCGAGAGATAATCAAGAATAAGGGTATTGACAGAACTCACATCATCATTGATCGCGACATATGTTTCAGTTCCGTTGGGTCAACGTTGAATTGGTTATGATATAAGCTGCTGTAGTCGATCACCGAATGTGGTGTACGAGACGGGCGGCCGGGTTGCTCATCAATATTGTATGAGTGCGCGTGCGCTTTGTTAATGCACTGTTTGAGCCTATCTGAGCTCTGGACGACGCGTGGTTCTATTCATGGACTTCCTTCATTCTGAACCAATCACGCCAATGTACAGACGGGGTGACCGCGGTGACCGCCTGAGCAACGCTGAACCAGAGGTAGGTGGCCCGAGCAAGGCCCGAGCCACTAGTAAGGCCAAGCATCGAGCTCCTAACGCACTAACGGGCCGCGCCTCGGCAAAGTCCGTACCGCGATGACGCCCAACATCTCTGTCCCCGTTTACCTGGACATCTTTGCCGGAGACAAGGAAGCCCACGCCCGGCAAGAAGAATCGTACAATTCTACTTCTCAGTTTCTCCTGAGCTGTTCAGAGAAATATAGCTTACCAAACTTTCCTTCGCAACCTGAAGATTTGTCGGAGGAGCAGCAGGAGACGCTCAAAGACCTAGACCATACGGTGAGTGAAGCGAAGCGTCCTTAGACTGACTTGGGCGATAGATTTACTCACGGGAAAGCAGGGCTCCATCAACTTCCGGTTTACTCCTCCAGAACCTATTTGCATTGGTCGCTTCGTCTTTGAACTCTTTGGCGATGCATACCTGAAGAAAACGCGAGAGAACTTCACCGCTCTATGTACGGGCGAGAAGGGAGACTGCAAGAACGCGCCTAACAAGAAGCTTCACTTCCTGCAATCTCCCATCCATCGTATAGTCAAATATTTCATTGCACAGGGAGGAGACATCACACGCGGGACAGGTGCTGGTGGAGAGGTGCGTCGCAACCGCGTTTTTTCTATGCCAATCTAACCCATCGCCCCTACATCATAGTCCATATACGGCGACAAGTTTGTTGATGAACGACCACCCAAGGGAACTCCTGCCCGGAAAGCGTCGGCGGGGTCGCTTGCTATGGCCCATCGGGGAAAGAACAGCAACACGTCCCAGTTCTTTATTGTCCTGACTGACGACACGACCAAGCTCAAGAAGCTCGACGCCGACAAGCCCGTGATCTTCGGCCATCTGAAACAAGATGCACGGAGCCAAGGCCTGCTGAAGCAATTGAGCGACCTCGCCTCAGGTAGCTCTTCGGAGGAGCCATCGATGCCAGTATGGATAGGCGGGTGCGGGAAGCTATAAGACGCGTTCGGGCAGTTTGGTACGTCTCATGTCGTGCTCAATTGACTCCTATCTCATTGTCTCAAGTTTTGTAGGGTGCTATATCGTGGTATATGTGTACGAGCGTGGAAGCGGACTGAAGGTGTATTACACCTCGATACGTCTATGCGTTCAATCCAGAACTTACCTCACTGATTCCTTGAACTCCCGAATCCCCTTAGGCCATTACTAAGGTCCTGCCTACTCGTAACCCCGATCCTGTCGGCTTGAAGATAGATCAGTGATAAACGAGGAACGCTAGACAATGACTTCGCACTACTGGTGCATTCAGCCGAGGGTGTGGAGCCCTATGCCCTTCGTTCGACCGATCATCGCCGCTACTTACTCAGCGAATATCTGGAGACCACCAAAGGGCGCGAACATGTCGCCATGAAATGAAGCGCAGCATGTCTCCAGACCAAGCTATGACTCACGTCGTTATCTATCAAAGGTCTGGAGACTTCGTGCGTCGCCCACTCAACGCCGATTTGCCCGGGGAGGAGGTCTGGAGACCACGTAATCTACCGCCCTTCGCCCGAGGGTGTGGGTTGATTAGGTCTGGAGACCACGCTTATCAGCATCTATCACTTCCTCGCACAGGTACCAATAGTCTCCAGACCACTCTCCATATCGTCCCCATAGCCGACCCAGGTCTGGAGACTCTTTCGCGCACCCAAAAAGGTATGCGAGTTGGTCTGGAGACGCTTTTTTCGCACGCGGCGCGAGTCCAACACGTGCCGAGCTGGTCTGGAGACACCCCCTGTCGCGCCGGACTTTGATCCGCGCCTCAGTTTCATGGACTTGAACCCAACGTGGCGTCGGCCGAACGATATGATCCCAGCCTCATCGAATCTATCCCTAACCGCTGGGTTCTGACATAGAATCGTGCGATGACGCTACGCTGTGTAGAGTACGGCGCCAACGTGCACTCAGTTTCTACGCGAGATCGCCAGATAGCTCGGCCGAATGGGTGCTCTATCGTGCAATATAAAAGCGGTGCGCACAATGCGGTTCGAAGTTTTATCATCGCATCGTCACCTCTACATCTCAGGTTCAGGAATATTACAAGGATCAGGATCAGGGTTGTAAGGCGTTCCCGTTCCCTATCTTCGATTCTTCGAATGACACTCACGCTTAGCTAAAGATACGCCAAGTCGTTCTTGAATTTCATACCAAGATCTTAACCGCATACGCTTCGCCTTCTCTACTCACACCGTGCTCTTATAATGGCCACTCCTGAGCCCACCTCTAATACCCGTTCCTCTCAGCTAACTCTCATCGATACCACTCCGACGATTCATACCGCCCTCACCTTTCTGCAGGACAACATGCGCAGCTCATCAGTATCTCTATCTGTACACGCTATCGCTTCCCCATATGCCAAGCCAGACGCGTCTCACGCATCCACTCGTCACACCTCTGTGCCGCCGGCACACTACACACTCGAAACGCGCGGCATGACCACCTTCATCCACAAGCGAGCCGCCATGGGCTCTGGCAACACCTTGCTCGCGGCGATCGAGCGCAACGAGATCATGCCGGACGAGATTACCCTCTGGCTCGACGACGACGAGCGCCTGCGCTGCGGGAGGCCAAGTCTCGACACAATCACGGACAGCATGCTATCGGCGGCCCCCGGCGATGACGTGCGCACGCTTGGCGGCGCCGAAGAAGTGGAAGCATCATCTAAGGTAAAAGTAGAAGGTCAAAGGCCAGATGCTGAGCTGGCGTCTGCACCGGCGGTGCTGTATGGTCCTCAGGCGGGGGGCCGCCGTATGAAGTTGTCAAAGTGGCTCCGCGCGCCGCGCTTCGCGAGCTTGTAAGTCTATTCCATTGGTGCATGTTTCCGTGCCTTTGTGGAGCTAATGAATGGCTCCTATTATAGTCCTGTGAGCTTCGAAGTCCGGGGCGAGACGTATGAATGGAGGGAAGATGCAAGTGGTCAGCTTGTGGTAGGTTCATCATTCCAAGGACATCGCAAGACACATAGCTGACAGTTCACGGAACGCCTTGTTCCGTAGCTGTATCATCCACGCGCGAGTCCCAGCGCCTTACCCCTCGCACGCTTCTCAGCGCCTACGCCAGAGAACCAGAGCACGCATGGCGCTCATCTTGCGCTGCAGACCGCTCTGGCAGAAGACGAAGTCAAGCGTGACGCAGTGCTCATCTCATTTGTTGCACTAGAGCAGAAGCGACGCATGCGACTGCAGGCTCAGAACCGCGGTCGTAACAACGGTGTCAGAGAGCTGCAAGCCGTGCTTTCTGCTTGAATCAGTAGCTACACGCGCTCGGAGAACAAAACATGGTCAAATTTTTGTTTCACCCGCTATTCTACACAAGAGGCATGGAAGGAGACCTAGTTGCTTAGTCCTGCCAAGTATGATGTGATGTAAATAGTTGAGATGGGGCGTCTTGCATAGAGGGATATCTCCAGTAACAAAGGTCACTAGTAGAACGTTTAGACAGAATCAGTCAACCCCATTTCTCTTTCTAAAACGTTGTGCAACAGGACGATGGAAACCTGTCAATGCTAACATTTTTGCCAAATACGGGGACCTGACGATAGCCGTGATCAGTGAAACATCAAGTGCTTCTGCTTACGCGGCCAAGAAAACGCTGTAAACTGCGCGTTTTGCAGATGTGTATCATGCGTCCTCTATTCTTGTGTATTCAACATAATGATCGAACGACCTCTCCAAGCAGTTATAGATAATAATTAATTTAGCTTCAGACAATACAACAAGGTATATTACGCGCACTCGTCATTACCAGCATTGGGTAAGAGCGAGCGCATCGCGGGTAAGACTGATCTCAGTACACTACTAACGTCAACGAGTAAATGATGTACAAAGGCAATAGCCGTACGGGGTTCAGATGAATGGAGGAAGGGGGGGACCACTCGCTGAAATCACCGTTGGCGTCTCCGTTGGCGTCTTCGTACCTTACCCGGTTTGGGACCCTTGAGCCTGGCTTCAAAATTCTCATTGACGGCCCTGTCCAGCCAAGAGACCTATGAAATAACGGTAAGCCTACGCGATACATGTCATGCCAGGCAGTGCACTTACCCAGTCCTCCGGTAAAGCAGCCTCTCGCAGCGCTGCCTTAATTTCCTCAGGTGGACTGAGGTACGCATGTTGAAAGTGGAAATAATCATAGCGGGAGGAAATAACGATGGCGCCAAACCGTTCACCATTCGCCATAGGCTGGTCTAGAGTCTCGAGTCTGTCCCCAAGTACTGCAACTACGGCCTCGCGAAGTTCGTGAAGGTCTGCTACCTCAGCCGAGGCAACATTGTACCTTTCGCGTAGTGGGTAACTAGCGCTATCGGCCTTCGGCTCGAGCTTTACGGCTAGGGCTTTAGACTTGTATGCATCCGGATCTGTATCGAGCTTGAGGGCGTGTTGGAACACGAGCGCGAACACCCTCTTGTGACACGAGACCCTGTGTCAATCGATGCGGGTCAGCGCCTGGATGTGGGGGGAGGGGGGGGATCAAGGTGACAACCGACCATTCATCGAATTCGTTCCATGCTCGCCCACCGTCAGGACTATTCTTGGCCTCTTCATTCATCTTCGCATTCAGTTTGCATTTCGTCTGATGATTGGACTGTCAGCGACATCGATGTAGGCAATACATCAGGAGGATGGCTGTACCTTGTGCTCAGGCCAATCATCTATCTGGCATTCTCGGCTCTGTGCAGCGGCTGTTGAGATAGACGGACATTTGAAGTGTACAGGAGCCACAAGCTTACGCAATATAGGGCCTTGTTACAGCGTGAGCAGCGTTGAAGCGACTTCTGTTGAGACTGGTAAGCTTTGTCGCATCCATGGCATCCCTTGACTAGGCGGGCGGTTCCTGTCCACTGAGTCGGTGGACCGTCACGAGTGACCGCGCCAACTACTGCGTTCTCGGGATGGTTGGCGCTCATAGAGGGTCTCTTGCAAGTCAGCCCCTAGCTATGGATGAGGTATGGTGCAAGGTTGGGCTCACTTGGACGTTGGGTATCTTATCTGTTATTCGAGGGTTTCGTCTGTGTCGTGATAAAGTGTTTGATGCGATAAGCCGAGGTGAAACGAGACGACGGAGCGCAACGTCAACGGAAAGCGCGACAGGTTCGGCATTTGCCGGAATCATGCGAGTACCCCTATCCCCACCTCCCCACGCTCCTTCACCTGCTCGTCGCGGAGACCAACATCCCTGATGACGTCGAACTGGACGGTCTACAGCCTCAGGGATCCGAGGAAATGGAAAGAGATGGCGAGCCGATCGACAAAGAAGACGGGTTGCGGATGGAAGAGGTTGGTGTCGGGAAGCTCGCTAGCAGCGACGACAATCGGACTAGTACTGTCTCCGTTGTCTTGATCTATGGCCGTGACAATCACAATCCATCCGAGCGAGAGATACAAGGGCTCATTGTAGAGCCCGTGGCTTCTAGTTCTTCATCTGGCGGTGACAAGAAGTTTCGTCGCATCGGGATATTCAAGAGAAGCGGTGAGCAGAACGACATTGACGAATGGCTTGGCAGGTAGACGAAGGTTGCCACAACGATTGTGTGATCTTCCGAGTGATATTTACTCCGTGACTGATAGTGTATGATTAGATAATTAGTACGTGTAAGAATACATTGTATCGCTCTGATTTAAGTAGAAGTCCTACAACACCAAGGCACCTGCGCGTCGTTGATTCGTGAGCCCATTGAAACAGGTTTCGTCTGAACTTCGCCTAAAATTCTCCCTCCCATGGACCCGAGAAACAGCGTGTGTATAAAATGACGTCGTATTTTGCTTCTTTCGAGTACCGTAAGGTATGCTTAACTCCACAGAAGCTAATTCTAGGCTATCACGTTTACACATCCATCACATCCACCAAGTGCCCTTGATGTTATTCCCGCACGCTCGTCTAATAACGGACAAGACACGCACCGTGTTATAAGTGAACGATGCAGCTAGCGTTGTGGTAGATATTATTTTGCCCGTGTTAGGTTAGGTTAGAAATAGCGGCGCTCGAGGCGCCATTTATAACAAGAGTTAATAACAAATTACTTTACTCGTATATTCAAAATTATGCCCGGCTTGGCATTGTACATGTTTGGCTCTGTGGCTGTGGCTTATCTCGCGTCAGGCTCGGGATTTGTATACGGATGTAGGGCCTCTGGACTGCACGACAGATATCCACGGGCACTGTCTACTCGTGTTTGAGTTTTCCTTTCCAGTACAATAAGATGGTGGTTCTCAACGAGCACCATGGTAGGACAAGATCCTTAAGGGCCGTGGCGCAGCGAGGCTGCCTTGTACCCAATAACAGTTACTAATGGGTTACAAATGAATCAATAACAGGTTAGAAATGTTGGAACTAGTTGAAAATCATCAAAAAGTCCTCAGCACTCCAATTTTCGTCGTCGTCGACCTCTACAATCTCTTCTGCCTGCTTCTGAGAGTACTTCCAGATGTCTTTGGTTTTGGATACTCTGAAAACGCGCCTCCTTGTCTGAGGGAAGCACCAAAGCTACAACAGGATGGTCAGTGGCGGAGGCCTTCCCTTTTCCTTTTCCATCAGCTCCAGTGGCTCGTACACCTGGATCGTTGAATGTAAAAGGCGCTCTAAACAAAAATCAGAGCAAGGTAATAATATCAAAATATGGCAAGTGCACTTCAGGAACTTCTTGATTCTCCTCCTGTGCTGCTAATATCTTGTCAATATAGCGTCCACTCGATGTGTTCCTTGCTATGCAATTCAGTACTATAATCAATGACTTCAATGAAATGAGGGAGTTTGAAGCCATCGTCTTCGATAAACTGTTGACGGGCTTCGAGTAGATTTTCTAAAGCCTGAGGAGTTAGAACCATTTTGCTTAATGAATATCATCGAACCTTTGACGACTTATATACAAGAGAAATGCCTATGTCAAAGCAACGGGTGCATCGCATTTTCAGCCGCAAAACCGTGAATCAGTCCACTTAGACGCTACCGCCTTCAACGTCAGCCACAAAGGCCACAGACGCGAGTACAGAGTGATTCAAACAATACTTATGCTACTGGTCCTGATCCGGCCAAAAACGCGTCGAGTACGCGCGTTTTTGCCAAGCAACGGCGGCAAACACCGTCCGATGGCCTGGTTTATCTGTGCACTGCCTCGCGAATTCCTAATAATTGTAACACACTCTTCTGGGACCCCTGATGTTAGGGTCGTTACTAACATGTTATTAACGTGTTAGAAATTACCCTGTTAGTAACATTCTAATTTCTGCCACAGCGCTAGATGCAGCCGCAGTCTCCACCAGTATTCGCTTCAAACTCTTCTCTGGAAACGGCAACGTTCCTTCCGACACTATCACTCCAACGTGTAATCAGGGCGGGTAGTATAATGAAGCTATTTTTAGAGTCTTGATACCCGCGAAGGTGCACCACGCGTAGCAAGCGCACAGGATTGGTGGTCAGAGCTGGCCGGGTACGTTTCTCTTCGTACGATGTATGGTTCATAGAAGCCGTGAGATTCTCGTTTCTATTAATTTACCACAGGTAACCATTCCTTAAAACTTACTAAGCACGCTTAGTGCTCGTGGAATACTTGAGTGTAAAATCGTGCTGTATCAATAAGTGTGAACGGCTTAGAAGCGCTCGAACTTGCAGTATATAAAGTTGTTCTGGCCTGGACTCTTGAGCTTGAAGCTTGAAGGCTCGATTCTATATCTTCTTGCCAGCGTCTCAAGTGTGTGTAATCCGTTGCGCAGTATAATCATAATAAAGAATCCACCACGTAGCGACAGTGTGGAGCAGGCTGAACATTGCATGCTATTAGGCGCTAATGCGCTGACTGGCGTTTAGAACGTCCCAGTGCCTTTTTAATGTTGTTGCGTACATGTGGTATGTAGTGTGAAAGGATATGTCGACAATTTGGGGGTGGATTTTTTAATCTTAAGAACGTAACACAGATCAACTGGCCTAGTATGGCATTATTGGGCTTGCACAAACCTATTGGCCGAAAGCCGCCTTATGCACCTTTAGTATAAATCTGCCACCAACAAGATGAACCCAACGTGTATATTCTTTGTTTCTCTATGCTCCATGATCCTCAGCCATACCTCTCTCTCTTACTACAGCAACAGCTTGGTCGAGTAAGTTCCAAAATATTTCGAAGAGCTCACGAGTAAACACTAATTGGGACCTGTCTCTCTCTCTCTCTCTAGTGCTTAACTTGTACTTTTTTTAACCTCATCAAAAGATAAAACGGAGAACCGATGGTTGAGACAGGCGCAGGAGCTAGTGTGCTGGTGAGCAGCCTTGCAACACGTTTTATGGTATAAAGGACACTGAGGATGGTTCAGGCATGGGATGTTTTGACTTCCATAGGTGATGAAATCACCTACATATGGAACTGTACATGGTCGTTAATCAAGCTCTTGTACCTATGTACGAGATATGGGAGCTGTGCTATGGCGGGAGTAGAGATATGGTTCCGTAAGAGCTTCAACAGTTGTCTGTGCCATTGTAAATATTCACCGACTCTATTTTGAAGTGGTGTTTCCTCCTACCTTCAGTAGTCAGGCATGCACTCGGATAACCTCTGTGATGCTTTGTGAGTCTCTTTTCCTCCTGGAAATTGAGGGTAATTTTTTAAAGGGTGTCGGTCTAGATATCTATACCGGTTCTATTGCCCTCTCAGAAGGTGAACATTTCTCGCGATTCAAGGCCTAAGCTATACCTTACCTGGCTCCAGTTATTCTCTTGATTCGTATATGGGCAATATGGGAAATGAAACGCATCGTTGGGGTGTTTCTTGCTATCTTGTCTTTGACCAGTGGCGCGGCAGCATTCTACACGTTGACAAAGTTCACTAGCGAAATACAAAGTTAGTCATTTCATCACTCCTCTCAACAATATTATATTTAACGGTTTTGATATCTCATACTAGTCGCAGTCGATGAGCGGATTAATGGACATTCTTCTGGCTGCCCTGAGGTGACACAAGGACATTGGCTCAAGCTAACCTGGGCAATGCTGCTGTGTATCGAGACAGGTGTGTATTAATTTGACTTGGAGTCAGACGCTCAGAGCTCATAAGTCATCGCCCAGTATGTCTTATCCTCCTGTTGTTGAAGTCTTATTTAACGTGTAAGTACGCTATGTTTTCTCAGTAACCTCGAAGTTGGATGAATTCGCTCGCTTTACTCAGACAAGACCCTCAATACTTTGACTCGACTATATAAAACGGTTCTTACCGATGGTAAGTTCAAATCTAAATGCACCAAGAGCCCCTATAAATTCTTCTATGACGACAAATGCAACAGGGACACTTTACTTTGTTTCCCTATGCGGTATGAACAGAATCATTGAAAAATAGGTATTGTTAATGACGTCTCTGAAGGCCTGGTTTTAGCTCTTGTTGCACTCCCACAGAAGGCGAGTATAATATATACTCATAGAAAAAGGACGTGACTGATCAAAGTTACATTCAATAGAATCTTAACATCGACCTGGTTCTTCTTCTGAGCATACCCGTTGCTATGCTGCACTCGATCTTCGTAGCACACCTCGTGCTGCACTTAAAAAAGGTGGCAGATCCGTCTTCCATAGAAGATGGATTGACAATCATGTTGTCGACCTTTCGAGTAGCCTAGATCTGTCACTTGCGTTTCAGACATGGACAGCGCTCCTTCGAAAGTGACTACGGCACATTGATTATTTTTACTGTTGTCTAAGTTACGAGTATTGATTTGGTGGAGTACTTACATCCATCCATAACTATGAAATCGATATAGGCCAGTTCCTTGACTCTCGATTAGTTGAGAACATGTGCGCACATCACGAGTTAAAACTGTCAAGGTTGAGTTTAGAATAGTCATGGAATTGATTCACTCCCAGGTGTGCTTGTGTTCACGGTTGGTGCTACTACAAATAGAGTCCTTGATAAGCAATTGCAATGGACCATTGAAACAGCTGAAAACTTGCTCCTCGCAACCCAAGAGTTAACCTAAGCCAAGATTATAGTGAGCGAGCTCGACATAGCGCTCGCAACAGTGCAGCGCTAGGGATACAGCAGCATAGCGTCATTTTGGCAGCCGTAGATAGCGAACGTATGTATAGATGCATGCATGACCGCAAAAAACACAGGGAGGAAAGCAACCACCAGAACAACAGAAAACAGTGCGCATCCATGTAAAAGATATATGAAAGATGGTATAAAACGGCAACCTAGAAGAAGTGATATATGGATGAGATGTGCAGAACGTCCGAAGGAATCAATGGATGGGTGAGATGCAATGTGATACGATGAGATCGGGATGAAAGAGGAAAACAGAGCTGGAGCTCGTGGCCTAGAGGAGCGCGGCTTGCGTGGTGGACACCAAGCGCGACCCCGGACTAAGCAGCTCGCGGGGCGTATGCCGAGTGGGCAATGTGAAGCGCACTTGGGGAACTAGTTACAGCGGCGCTGTGGCTCGCGCTATCAAGCATCTCCGTCAAAGGGCTCGGTCTACGAGACACCACTCGACCGAGCTGCGTGATGGCAAGGTTGACCAAATGGCGCCGTGAGCCGCGCCTGTACTATCTTCCACTGCCATAACGGCAGCACTACGCCAAGGTGCCATGCGTCCTTGAAACGCAGCATGAATCGAACTGGACTGGGCGGTAAGATGTACCCACAAGGCCGACTCGTCACGAGGTGGCAACGGAAGCCGCTAAAAATCGAGAGCGGAGGGAGAAAGAAAGCGACGCATAAACAAGCCTGCTACCGCACATCATCCATCTTGTCCGCACCTCTTCGTTCGCCAAGCACGCAGACGAGGGTCGCGAAGATGTCGTCCCGTATCGACGTCCCGTGTGGTGTCAGCTGCAGACGCGCGCCGACGCCGTTGCCGCGCACGCTCGTGTACGTTGCGGCTTGTGCGCGTTTGCCGTCGTTTGTTGTTAGCTGTAGGTAGATAGAATGGGGATGTTAGCGTTGGTTGGGTAGGTGTGTAGTTGCGAGAAAGGGCGGGAGAGGGTAAGGAAGAGAGACGTACCGTAGCGCCGTCATCGGTGAATGACCATTTGTACGAGACGCCATTGGCAGCTGTGAACGTGCGTGATCTGAAGGAGAGTAACAAAATAAGTAAGCGTGTACATCCCACGAGAAAAAGGGTGATAGTGGACATCGAGGAAAAAGACCTCGAAATCGACGCATATATGCGCCCAAATAACACAAAAAACGGCATTCCCACCGCACCAAAGATAATAAATTCACCACCCAAAGGAAATCCTCACAAAACAGCTCGAAAAAAACCACTCACGATCCCCAAAGCCTCTTATGCACCCCAACCGCCCGCTCACCCACCAGCACGAGCACCCTCCCAGGCGCAAGCCACGCCACCCGCGCCACCTCCGCCGCCTTCCCGCTCCTCCTATCTCCCTCCCGTATTCTCGAGCCCGGGCGACTCGAATGCACAGACCCGCCCTCCCGGTCGTCTACCATCGTCCGCCGTCGATTTGGGTCCGGCCGGTCGTGTCTGCCGCCCGCAGACGGGGAGTGGAGATTGTCCGAGCTGAACGCGTGCCGCGGCGGCGGCGGATGCCCATGCCCGTGCCCGCGCACATCCTCTTGCTGCTGCTGCTGCTGCTCTTGCGGTTGCGACTGCTGCTGCCCTTGTGGATACGGATCCGGCTGCCCAGGCCTCCTCTTCACATCCGGCGGAAACGGCGCGCGCGGCGGGACAAACGGCTCCTGAGCGGCGGCGGGCGGCGGCGCATGCACCCTGCGCTTCTCGTCGCGTGCAATCTCCCGCGCACTGGGCGCGCGCGAGTGGTTCTCGTACGCGTACGGCTGCACCTGCCCGTTCGCCTGCGCCCTGTCTCTATCTCTCGTTGCGCGGTCGGCGTCGCGCTCTCGCTCCCGGCGCGAGCGCGAGCCCGGGATCAACGATGGCAGGGAGAACGTCGAAGGTGCGACCGAGGCGAGCTCGGAGAGGGCCGACGGCGCGGTGGAGTACAGCGACGGCGCTGGGACGTGTCCGTGCGCGTGGGGCGGCCCGTGCGACCTTCTTGATCCCGACGACATCATCGACATGGATGACGGGGGAGGCGGAGGAAGTGTGGATGATCGCGGCGGAACCGTGTGCCCGGTGCTGCTCGAAGGATCGAGCGCGAGCACGAGTGTTGTTAGCCGTGGCACGGTGGGTGGGGCGTACGTCTGGAAGCTATACACGGGGCGGCCGTGCGCGGAGAGGGTCGTGTTGAATGGGTCGTCAGAGGAGAGGGTATAGTTCATGGTGAGTCGATGCGTATATTCGAGACGAGACGAATGACGGGCAAGCGAGTGAAATGTAGATGAATGAAGGGAGGGTACGGAATTGCCGTAGCCTGCGTGAGAGTTTTGGATTCGGTGCCGTATGAGCTGCGTAGGGGGGCGCGACGAGGGGCGGGGAAAGAGGCAGTATTCAACGTTCAGGAGCAAGACGCGGGTGGTGAGCGAAGTGAGGGATTACTTCCTGTAACGCAACCACAACGGGTTCATCCCCACCTGAGGAAAAACAGGGAGACATAACGCACCTAACAAGCTTACTATCCTTCACCCACAAACCTAACCGTCCTCCTCGTAAACCCGCAAACCCGCTGGAATCCCGTAGACGGCACAAAAACAGGCGACGGCGGAAGACTCGGAGAAAACGTGCTGGTATGACGCAACGACGAAGATGGAGACGGAGATGTCGCAAGGGCAAGCTTGTGCTGCAACGCACTAGGTGCGTGCAGGGCAGGGCAAGCTGCTCCGAGTATCGCCTCGGTGGCCTAAAACAGCAGCGCCTGACGACTGCGCGGCCCCGTTATGGAGAGCGAATAGCCTTGCTTGCTGAGTCTACTTTGCTACAGCCGCTGGGGGGACCTATGGAAGCAGGAAAAGGGATCAGCCAGCCAGGTCAATCAGAAATGGCACAGTGGAGGCGTGGTGCGATCGGAGCCGGCGGAGCGCGCGTACAGCAAGAAGGCGAGGGTAGTGAAGAAGAGGAAGAAGAAAGAGAAGGCTCGGAATGACGGAACAAGAATAGCAGGGCGCTCAACGAAGTGACTGGGGCGCACCGTTTGTTTGTACACCGTCTCGTCCACCCAATTATCGCCCCACCAGCTCAGGCGTGCTTCAGGCACGGACAAATACAACAACGTGCAGCCCAGACCAAGCCCAGCAAGCCTAAGCAAAGTCCAAGACGGCTCGCTTAGAGGATATGAGATCGCCGAGCACAATCGCTGTGTTTGCGAGATGAAATAGGTGAGAGGGCCGCGTCCGCTGAGAGAGGTGACGTAGGAGGAGCGGGGGGAAAGTTGGCGGAGGTGGCGAGGTCCAAAAGTGATTGAGTTGGGAGGATGAGGCCGCTGAGAGCGCGAACCTTAGCGAGGGTCCGAGCGCTTCAGTGTGGGTACAGTCATCGTCAGTGGCCAGAAGAAGCTAAACTTTCAACTACTAGCGCTACTCGCTCACTTTTACATACAAAACACTGATGCTAGAGTGCATGGCCCAACCACGGAGCGCAGGCACGAGTTGCACAGCGGGGCCCTCGCCAGTTCAAGGATGTGCTGTGCCTCCGGCATGAAGCTGAAGAGTAGTACTTGCTGTAGAGTTTGAAGAAAACATTGCCACAGACATGGCAGTAGTCTCACAAGTCCGAAAGGCTCAGAACTCAAAAGGCTTTCCCCACACATCGCCACACCGCTCGCTCAGCGCTGACATAGAACGCGACCGACATTCATTGCTATCAACCCACTTTTCCGTCTCATCATTCGGTTGGCCACTCGGCCGGCACGGCCCCGGCACACCGTCGATCAAGTGACCTCAGACGGGCCGACCACCGAAACCCGAGACACGCGGCCTTCGCACGATCCTCGGCCGCCTGTCAAGTCCCCGGACGCTTTCCCCGTGCCTTGTTCTTTGTCACCCTTCCCCGCAATGCACAACGCGGCAACGTGATCCCTTGCTATTGTTCAACAGCCGAGCCTTTGCAACGGGGGTCTTCAACAACGCAATAGCCTATGCCAAGGCAAGGCAGCTATCAGAAGAAAGACTGGCCAGACGACGAGAAAAAGCAAAAAGGAAGAAGTGTATTAGACAAAAAGCTGCTACAAAAGAAGCGTACAGATCCCAGAAAACAAAAGATTACGGTTGTGATACTACAGAGCAAACGTGAACGAGCGTGATGAGATGCAAGAGAGCAGAAAAGAAGATTTTCGCGACTCTCGATCTCAGCGTTGTGGTGGTGGTGATGGATCCTCCAAAAGTTTCGGTTTGTGTTTTCTTCGTCGTATGACAGGGATGAGACCAGCACCATCTTCGTCAACATGTACATTCTCTATTTCGTCTCCTCCTTCGCGCGTCGTCTTCTCTGGTCCATACTCCCTTTACACGCATCAGCACGCGACACCCCAAAGCACAAGCGAAAATAAAACACACCCTACAAATCCCCAACACAAACCATCGTCCTCAGCCCACTCGGACTGTACGCCCGCTTGCCCTCCCCAACCGGCGGCGCCCGCCTCAGCGGCTTCTGCCCCGCACCCGCCGCGCGGCTGAGCAAGATCCCAGCGACAGCGCGTTGCCCACGGGCCCTATCGTACGCTGTGCACCGCGCCACACGCGAGGGCGGCGACGGCGCCGCGCGGTGCCTCGCCAACACATCCAAAGAGGGCCGGCGCGGGAACCGCACGACCACCGCGTCCGAGGGGCTCTCGGGCGCCAAGGGCGGCGCGCACGAGGGCGAGGGCGGGATCGAGATGGTGATTGGTGCACTGCGTGAGTCCGCTGCTGCGGGCTCGGGCTTCGCGGCATATGAGTCGTCGAACGGGTCTGCGACGTGGCCGTTCATGATGTCCGGTATAGGCAGCGGGGGCGGGGGTGCAGCGCGTCTGGTGGTGCGGAGGAATGTCACCTGCGGGGGACGGCGGCCGCTCGCGGGGCCGAATGCGACCATGGGGCTGGCGAAGCCCTGCGCCTGGAGGGCGGGGAAAGTGCACGACCCGCTGAGCTGGGATGCCTGCGCGGGGCGCTCAAGCATGGCAGGTGTGAAGAAGTTGTTTCGCCCACTGCGAGGGCCGGGGAAGGCGGAGTGCATGGAGGCGACTGCGACTGCTGCCATTGCGTCTGTGGTCTAGTGGGTATGAAGCGGGTAGTATGCGAGGGCGGGAGAGGTATGTAGACCGAGATAGAGGATTCCGAGGAGAGATTATAAGAAGCTGTAGAGGACCGGAGAGATAAGAGGCCGAGACGACGTGTATGTGTGATGGGAGTGAGAGAAAGAGATGAGGGAAAGCGACCAGCCGCCGGGAGACGAAGAGGGTAATGAGCAAGCACAGGCTTAGGAGGGGAGGACAGACACGCGCACAGCACACGGAGACCGGGAGAGGAAGGGAAGAAACAAGAGGAACAGGATTGCGCCCTCCGCTCCCGTCCTTTCTTATATCCGTTGTTCACCGCAGCCAAGCAGCGCCCGTCTACTCACGACCCTGTCGGCATGCAAGTAAGAACGTCCTTCAAAACCTTTGTTCAGCCAACACAAAGGAGGAGACGAGTCACTAGTCGCTGATCCGATGTTTCCTTCCTGCTCTCACCGCCGGCTGCACCACCCACGGGGCTTCTGCCACCTCCTATCAATCCCCATTTATCCTTGCTTCTCTTCCAATCGGGCACCCTGGATCGGTACCTAGCCCCGATATGGAAGACACCCCGGAGCGCTTCGGGTGTGCTCGGTGAAAAAATAAAACAAATGGCGCGCCCGTGGATAAAGAAGGAAACATAGGCAACAATAACAGGCCACGTCTCACGCCCACTCCGCTCCCCCTCCCTCGTGCACACGTTATGCCCGCCTTCAGCTTTGCTGGCACACTCCGCCCAACTCAACTTAGCTCTCGGTGGGACGCTGATAAGACTGATAGAGCCTCGCTCCAGCGCATGCGCCCGAGGTGTTTCAAAGATCTTTGCAAAGAACCAGATATGATGAATATTTGATCGGAAGTGCCTCCCCGCAAATGTCAAACAGGGCGCATTTGACACTTTGCTTGCCCTGCTGGTCGCGTGCATGCTAATCATGTGTTCCTTGGATAACGAGCTGGCCCTCTTTATCCTCAGCTAGAGCATACATCGCGCCTTTCATCGAAAGCCTCGCTTTCAGCCTCGCGATTGTCACGAGTCGTCGCAAGGAGAATCAGAACGTGCTGATTCTCTGATCACGATGTCGCACCGTGCACGACGCGTTTCACCAGGGACAACCAGGTCGCTCTCAACATTCATTTATCCATGTCAGCTCAGGTGGTTACGAAAGACTCCGACGACACTTGCCTTTATTCTCTGCAACAAGCGCGTGGCGCTCGTCCTTGTTCTCTCTGACTCGGGTCCGACCTTGACGTCGACTTGGATTGTCGCCTCTAATGTCTGACTGGAGCGACATCTCCTCTCCAATTTTCAACACGACGGTAGCATGACGCTATGGTCATCAGCCTACGCCACCACTCGGGCCAAGGCGAACCCTGCGTAGTAACCACCCTCTTTCTTACCTCTCACGCTCAGCACAACAAACAACATCGACAACCAATGGCGGTCGTCTCATCAAGCGCTCGCTGCATCTCGAGCAAAACTCCGACTGCTCGCGGACTCTTCTAGACTCTCCCCAGAATGGAATATTCTACGTTTCAGCTTCTAAGGTCTCCTCAGTTCCTGTCCTGATAACCTATACATGTCTTGCTTTCGGTCCCGTGGCCTCCTGTTGCACTCTCGGCGCTCGCGCGCGGAGCTGGTTCTCCTCACTAGCTGAACTTGGCAGCACTGACAACGACGACAACGACAACGGCCAAGAGCGAATATCACTTCAGCGCTTGTTTGATCTTCAATATCACCAGCGGATACTTAGGGAGCGGAGAGAGTTAAACTCGAGGGTGGTGATCTACAGTACGTTTCTTGTTCCGATGCACGATGGTGATAGGCGCCTGGAGGGGTGAGTGATGGCGAACGCTTCGTATCGCACGGTCCGTCTGTTTACTGCTTATTTGTCTCGCTTTTCGGTGAGGAGTCAGTACAGGACTGTGGAAGCTCCCGGGTACGCTTGTCCGGAAAAAATCTCAGATGAGGGCCTCGCGCGCTATAAAATAGGGGTTATGGCGCGCTATACGGACAAGCAAGGTGGGTATTGCCGTAGTATCGCCGCAGGTGACGGAGGCCTACAACATCGTAGTATTGTACTACTATGGTGTTGCTATGGTGGTTCTGCTTCTTGAACGCGTTAGGAGTGATCACTTCCCTAACTTCCTTTCTCGTGAGTATGTTCCATCTGAATTCTTTTGTAGGTTAGTAAATGCAGAAACTCCCAATTGAAGTGATTAATGCATACCTATCCCAGGCCCAAAGCTTGAGTTTGAAGTACTGGCCCGAGAAGTGAGATATGGTGCCATTCCCGAGGTGGTATATCAGCTCCGAGTCCCTACTAAGTGTCCAGAGATGGATAATTGAGCTACTATAATGCCAGAAGAAGTTCTTGTCGTCTTCTAGCTGCGCTTGCTGAAAAACAAATCAGCACAGGTAAGATATTGACAGATGAGTGAATAATGTGATTGTATACCTGGACATAGACTTGTACACCAAGATTGGTAAGATGAGATGTTACAGGGCGGGATACGGTATCCTTATTGCCGTGACGAGAGCCTTTTCCCGGCCCAGAAGAAGTGTAGAAGCAAACAACTTCCCCGAGATAGTAGATACTGTCTCGCACAAAAATGACTGTAGATTTGCGCGTCAGGGGGTTTATATCATCGATATTTCGAGTCAGTACTCAAGGACCTGTTTTATTATTCAGTTATACAAGCAAAGAACACGGGCGTGCACTTGCAGATGAGCTGAACCGCCAGTGGGACTGCTCGAACAAGCTCTCGAGCAATAGCCCACTCGTTCTCGCGGCTTTTCTCTTTTGTAACTCGAGCTGCTCCAGCGCTTGTCGAGGTGGAAGGCTCTGACACTTGGGACTGAGCAGCAACAAATGTGAACAATGTAGATCAAGGTTGCAATGATAAAACGTCACGACAATCGTAGCCAACGTTAGTGCCACATGCTCAAGTCGTTACTGGCAACAGAGGTAGATTTAGACTTATTTTCACGTAGTTGTAGGCTATCACTAACTTCACGACAATTGAATTTGGGGCTGACCCAGTCGCAAGTTTTTCACGGCATCTAATCGCCGGTCGTAGCCACCACCCTACAGGCGCGCTATCGCGGACGAGCCTTCATGTCTGAGGGTCTGCAACGCGCTAAGATAGGGGCTAAAACCGGACATAGAATTCGTCCCAAAAAGGAAGGTAGCCGCGCTACGCGCGGACGAGTCTATCCACGAGCTTCCACAGTCCTGTCAGTACGTATGTTTTCTGCGATACACGCTATACGAACACCACGAACACCTCGGTCGCCGTCGCGCCCGCGTCCAACACCGGGCGCTAGACTCACCCTCGACTCTGGCTGGCTATACAGTACGCGTGGACTGCTCGCTTCATCGCATCAAGGTCCAATACCAGCTCACACACTCCCACGTCGGGCTCAAGTCGCAGGGTTATTCTCGCGGGTGGATTATTGCCTTCTCGCGCACTCGGCGGCGGCTTCCACGTCTCCCTTGGTAGTCCAATCCCTCTTTCGCGTCTATCAGTGCACAGACAGACTCTGACGTATGCGTGCGCAGTATGCGAGGGTATCGCTGGTACCATACCAGGCATCCGAGTCTCAGTCGGCCGATACCGTCACTCGCGGTCCACTAGCATCGCGGTGGCCACAGCCCAGCTAACCAAATGTGAAGCGTGTGCATGAACTTGCATCCGACTCTGTGCTGAGCAAGAGGCTGCAGCACCAGGCGGACTGTGGACGCGTACAAGCTAATGGAAGCGCAGCAGCGCCTTATCGCGGCAGCAGCGGTGATGATGGCGGTGAAGTGTTTCGTGGCGGTGAGTGCAAGCGCACTTCTTTCCTCTGTCCAGCTTATCGTTTGGCATCGTATTCTAGCTCAGCTCGAGTTCAACCAGTTAATGATATTGTCTTATAATAGAACACCTTGACTGCTACTCTCTTCCCTCAACATAGTACCGTACTAGTAGCGTTATACAATCCCTGTCTCTATCCTTTCCGCATGCTTATACCAATCGTCCACGCCTTGAACCCCTTCTTTCAAACAGCCAATGCGCTTGTACGTCTTCATCTGACTCACGGAATGATCCGAGTCTAACAACTCTATGACGATTCCTTGCCAGACCAGTGGGCTTTGGTACATCGCCACGACACAGATGCGCCGAACGCCACTCTTGGATGCGTAGCTGCTGCTGTCGGGAGCGCATGGACCGGTTTGGGGCACCATGTTTCCTCGTAGCCTTATCCACAGGCTCTACGTCCAACGTTGCACCGTATGAGGCACCTCGGCCAGTGCCGGTACCGCAAGTGCTAGTTGGAAGGTAGGCCTCCGTCGCCTCAAGCACCGCTTGCTATGTGGCTTTCATTCAAAATGATTGTTATGACACATAGCGTTTACGCATTGCATCCTTAGCTAAGTAATGTGACTTATCACACAATCTCTATCTTCATTGATGGTGTATCATCAAGCCAGGTACTCACTTTGTCAATATCTCCGCTTTTCTCAAAGAATTGATCGAACAAGCCGATGCGACGATACTCGCATCCCTTGCCCACTTGGTCCCCCGGACCTGCTGTCTCGATGACAAGCCCTTGTACGATCCGTGTGTCTTTCTCGAATCTAAGACGGCGATGCAGTATGACGAAGGATATATTGATGACATCCCTGAACGAACTTTCGTCACTGCTGTCCAGTCGACAAACGCCAATATGCTGCATGCGCTGTTTTGTTACGTCGTCAATCGACGTTGAGTCCATTGTGGCCAAATCCAGCTCTCCTCCTTGATTCTCGTTTCTTAGACGATACACAAAGCCATGGGGAGCCAGGAGGCAGTCTTTTACCACAGGTGCGCGTAGAACAAGTATGCCTGCAGCGACTGCGCTAAAGATAAGCTCGCTACTTCGCAGCGTCGTTTCGCACCACACAACTTCGGCGACGAATATCCCGCTTTCGCCAACGAATGATGTGTCCCCGCTTTTAACCTTGGCGTTGCCCAGGACCACGATGGCGCTCGGTACTCCTTCGGTCGTTCAAAACAATGTATCGCGCTGCCCTTGTGCCAAAGTAGGTCGCTAAGGAGCGTGCTTTTCCAGAGACCTGCGAGGTAAGGAGTTTGAATGACGTCGTGGAATTCCTCAGCGAGCGACGCAATCGCAATTAACTTGTCTCCAGACACAGATATGCTGCGGTGGGTGTAGTTCTCGACAGTATATTTCCACACCTTGTGGAGAGCCTCTGTCTCCTCAGGCGTCTTTGGTGACTTTCGGAGGTAGTGAAGGGGAGGAGGCTCTGCCGCATCAACCCACAATGGATAATCTGCGCCGGCTATGTTCCGCGTGGATCTCTGGCAACGATATTGCAGTGTGTGTGACGCAAATATGAGTTCACGTGGGGGAAGGAAGTACTCCTGCATGCACCAACCACGTGAGTGGATTGGCTCTATTGAGAGTGTGTATAGCGTGTCGTCGGATTCTACAAGTGACACTGTTCCAGTCATTTCAGGAAGCATGGAACGCAGGGCTTGGCTATCTTGTCTTTGGGGCTCTTCTTCGGCAATCTAAACGGTAGCATCGTATCGCCTGTGTCCACAGAGCCTACTGTACCTTTGCGGTTCTTCAAGAATTCCTCGCTGACACGATGCGCGCTCGCGGCAATGATAGTTAAGTAGGAGTGGCGGTAGACATTCCGCATGTGTGACAGCTCGTGGATTTTGTCATCGTCAGAGTCCTGGATGATACATAACGTATCGGCCCACAGATAATCTGCCCCGAGCCGGTTGGTTGTCAAAATTGCGTCGAGAATGGTTTGCGGAAGGGGCAACGCATTGATGCCATCGTGAATGTACGAATCAATATTCTGCGTAGTTGTGCTGTATGGCTGCGCTTCACCCCAGACATAGCTCAACGCGACTTAGCGTTCACGTTTTCCGTTTGCGACAAATAGTTGGGGTTGAGAGGGATTGCTGCAATCGATTATGCGTGTAGGGAGGTAGGTTTGGGATCCGAGAGCAAAGGACAGTTGTCATGTTCACGGAGACAGTCATTCATGAGCTCCATCACGAGTGATATCGCATATTCGGATCCCACGTCGTGATCAAAGACCTCTTCCTCGTATGTAGGGTGCAGCTGGGTTATCTATCGGCCATGTCATAAGGGAATCACTACGGCTTAGAGTTTGAAACTCACCGCAGGTAGTATACAAATATCCGTCAATGACCTTGTTATCGTTCAAGTACAGGCGAATAGGGAATCCATTACAAGAGCTATAACACACCCACTTCACAAAATCCTGTTCGTGTCCCATAGAAAAACAAAGTAAAGCGTCTCTGCTGCATTTTCCGTCAAAGAAGACATCCGTCAAGGACTCTTACTGCATCGAGTTCTGATTTTACCATCGGTAAGTATTGTTCTGTATAGACAAGTCAAAGTATTCAGAGCCTTGCAATTGTCTGAGTAAAGCGGGTAAATTCATTCAACCTCGATGCTGCTGATCGGAAAACGTAGCATACTTCAAGTTACGCGCAAGGTTGCTGCGTGACTGAGCTTCAGCTTCGAGCACCGCCACTGACACTTTGAAATATGTTGCTTTTGAGTGACGTCAGTAATTCGGCAGGCGCTAAGATAGGGGCGCATCAGGGTGTGGACCGACGCGCGCTTGCCTTACTCCCACTTCATCTCGTCCAGCCCAAGTAGCCAACAGCAAGCTTCGGAGTAACACAAGACTATTCGGGGTTGAATAGCGGTAAGGCTACTATCGTTGATACGATCGCCCCTACATACTACTAAATAACTCATGAAGTCTCCCTCGGCACACATCCAACTGCATCACCTGTGACAGTGACCATACAGACTCCACGGATCGAGCCATGGTCGCTCACAACAATCGAGAATCGAAGTGGCCAGGGCAAGGGGGATTAGTCAAAGGTTGTTCTGGGTGTGAAAAATCCCTGATACCCGGTCAACAACGGCTGCACACCTGCTCAGACTGCCAAAAAGCCTTGTATTGCGTAAGCTTGCCCTCCGCTTTTGTGGTACATAATCACGTCTTACTTACAGACCCTAGAACAAGGAATGTCAACGAGCTCACTGGCCCGCCCATAAGGTCGCTGGACTGTTCTTGCTATTTCCGTCGTTGCTAGCACAGGCTGCTTATCTGTTCCCCTTTGGCAGAACTTATGTCGCCTCAACATGAAGTCGCGCGAAGACAGAAAGTTGGCTAGCCCGGAACTAAGGAAAGATGCCGAAGACTTCTTCAAATGGTACGTATCCGTAGCTTTACATCAAAGATATCCTCCTCAAAATATGATCAGGGTATCCCATCACCGTTCCGTGTTCACCGTGGCGCTTCATCACGGACTGAACCTCGAGAACGACCCAGACGCATACAAGACCAAAGGCTTGATCATAAACTTCACAGAAAAGCCTGACCGCACGAGCTACCCGCCGCATCAGAGATACAATGTCTCCCAGGGAATCGTCTGTGATATCGACGTCATTCGCCTATCCGCAGCCCGGACGAACGATGGCGACTTCTCGGACTTTGATCAGGCGATTGCAAAAGGCCAGCGAATGGGCATCGTGATTTTTAGTTATAGGGAAAATCTTGTCAGGCAATGGCAAAGGATCACGATGCCGCCGCCGAAGTATCTCAAGAAAGCTGCGCAAACTGTCGAAAGTCCGCAAGACTCATGGGTATGTCTACTACCTCGTACGATAGACGCTGAGAGAGCTCACGAAGATAAATATATAGGTGTCATGGTTGGACAAGGCAGTAAATGAGAACTTCGAAGCCAAGATCAAGCTCGCAAAGCCACCCAGTGGCAGGAATGGGCGGCATTAGAGATGTTGTCTCTGTCACTGGTGTCGTAAGTTTTGGGGCTTCTCGTCGCATGCAGTATGGTTTCTCTATCTCATTTTATCTCGATAGTGGTTATCTGAACAGTCTGACCGAATTATCGATTCATTGTCACCTGTTGTAATAATAGCGCATCTATATGTTATTGCTGCTTTCCTCTTGTCAGATTCCGAAGTAGAACCTGGATGGACGGTGATACGTGAATGCTACGCCCGTGTCAAACATCACACTTTGATGTAATGCCACAGCTAACCGAGGAATGTGCCTTGCGAGTTGTGGTACTAGAGGAGTGTTGGTCGTTTTATTTGCTCCCGTCACCTCAGTTCAGCACACAGAGATCATCTGTAAATGGAAAAGGAGCGACTGACGTGCTATGTTATTGATGCGCTCCCCTTCTCTCACCTTGGGTCCCATTACTCAATACGGGTAAAATATGCTTGAAAGCCTCTAATAGTGATAACAAGTAAACCTTGAGCTCAAAGGGTAAGTATATGCGTGGTACAGGTACGAGTACTGTTGAAGCTAAAGCTTGTAGTGTGCGGCAAATGCCGAAAAGTGGCACCGTGAGTCCAGGCAGGTCCCGGCGATGCATTCTTGGCCCACTTGGCGCGTGACTCTTGTCCATAGTTGACGTTGAGTCTCTCACCACCCTTGCTTTCCTGAGCGTCCAAGCCCGTCTATCTGCCGCTCATACATCAACCGGGTCAGGAACCTGGTAAGTATGCATTTGTGTCGCCTGCTGCTGGGTAACGATGGGGTGCACCACCAGACCCGCCCATTTGTCAACCATGAGCGCGCAAGACTGCAGAAGCTCCGGATCCGAAAACATCCACCGAGACGCAAATGGCGGGGGGGTGGAGTGGAAGGGGGCTGGAATCGTGTCCGATGGATGCGCTTCGTGCGACGGACACCAAAACCACAGCTCAGCCCGGCTGCAGCGCTGCGCGGGCTGCAAGAGGGTCATGTACTGCGTAAGTCGAGATTATGGTCGCTCTGCGGTACAGACTCACCTAAGGGCATTCCACCAGAGTACTGATTGCCAAAGAGCCCATTGGCCTATACACAAGGTGCGACCATTCTTTTCGAGAACAATTTCCATCCGGCACAGTTAGCCAGCGTGAGTAACAGACTAACCGTTTTGACGGCTAGAAACTGTGTAAATTAAGCGCACAGATGCTGCAAGAGCTCAGTGGGCTGGAACCTCAGGCCGCGAGATCCGCAGCAGAGTTTGACAAATGGTTCGTCCGATTCTTCTTCTCACTTCCGTACCTTCTGTAAATGTGGCCTAGGGCATCATTGCACCGCCCAGCATTTGTGTTCGCAATTCATCATGCCCTCCAGCTCGAGGCAAACCCAGACGCGCACAAGTCTCATGGTTTATATGTTGAGCTCACTGCAAAGCCAGATCGCCACAAGTATCCACTGCACCAGAGGTATAACATTAACAGGGGATTCATTGTTCCCCTTGATGTTCTCCATCAAATGGTGGGCGGGGCGTCGCATGGAGAAGAGCTGGCATCAGCTTATCCAACCCCGGATGAAGACCGCCGAATTGGTGTCATGCTGCTCGGCTTCAATCGCGTCGCACGGTGGCAACGACTGGGATTAATGGAGCATGGGCATCTCGGAGAAATCGCGCGTTACGTTGGGATATCACAGGACTGGGTAAGCCGATGATCCCATATGCTTACTTTTTTGCGATCTCATAGTAATCGCACAGGTCTCTTGGTTAGAAAAAGCTATCAACGAGAACTTACAGGCTAAGATCAGGTTACCGAAGGCTCCCAAGAGCGGTCAACGTTAGAAGTAATGATCACGATGACCAGTCGTGTTTTCTTTCCTCTCATATATTCATTGTTCCTTGCCTGTATGTTCTGTATAGTTTCATCCGTTTCCATGTACACATGCATGCTCAACAATCGCTTTATTCCTTGCTCCGTCATCCGCTTGGTCGTCCAATTCGCTCATCAGTGCAACGTCTCAGCTGAAATGCAATATCGGTGATGATAGACATATGCTAGTTTCCAGCAAGAATAGACTAGAATTTTGGCTCTGCAAAGACTCCTACTTTCCTGCGACCCGCCTGTATGTTCTTGACTTATGGCACGCCCGTAAGCAGGCCTTAGCCCATCACCCGCAAAGCCAAACCCAAGTTTAATATAAACATAATACCAAACTCAATCATGATGTTCTGCGGTTTAGACCGTTACACTCCTTGATAATGGATGTTCCTCTTCGAGACTTCCGAGTCCCCTTACCCAGCTCCACTTCGAGCATGTCCGACGAGATTGTGCTGTACGTTGGTCAACATGGCATTTGCCATGGTATGTCCAGTGTTGGCTTGAAAATACTCCAGTAGGCAGTCAGTACATGACCGAATAAGACATCCGGTCGCAGTCGATGCTTCAAAGGACGCATCGGCACATAGAGGCATCAAGAGGAGTGCAATATTACCGGAAGCAATTCTCAAGGGTATCTTTCCGGCAGTTGCCGACAGGGGTGATGTGACACATGCGCCCCTGTGACGCTCTTCAGCTTGCGGCTGACCCGTCTCACCTTGGCAGTTTGACGAGCACCACATAGCAGAGACATTGAGCCAACGGGAGCTCGCCAAACATATAGAATGTATGTTTGGTGTTGCATCACTTATCCCAAAGCAACTAAAATACAGCACCTTAGCCGATCTCCTATCCGTGGCTCATGAGCACTAGCAACAGCAACAGCTCGATGAACATGCCGACCAACAGTTCTGGAGATGAAGAGCTAGTAGTGTTGTCTTCGCATCTGATCAAGGGATGCGTCAATTGCGATAGATACGAAACTCCTGATCAGAAACTCTTGAGCTGCTTGGGGTGCGGGAAGGTCCGATACTGCGTAAGCCAGTTCTCACAGTCTCGCAAGATACGCCTTTATGCCATCTATTTCAACTCAGAGCAAAGAATGCCAACTAGCCCATTGGCTCGAGCACAAGGTACTGTGATACACTCCACCACAACCAGAGAGCGTTCCTAACTCTTTATTGCATTGACGACACCGATTGACAGGTTCCGTGTAAATTGAACAGGCAGGCAGCACAAAGCTCCAAAACAAGAGAGCCTGATGGCGGAAGGGCAGCGCATGAGTTCGGAAGATGGTTCGAGTGCTTGATCCGCGTTTCCGTCGCGCTACTAATGATTCAAACCGAGACAGGGTCCAGCTCAACAACCCAGTCTTCACAGTTGCGCTTTATCATGCACTCGGCCTCGAAGCCGACCTCAACGCATACAAGACTAGAGGCGTCGTTGTCCAATTTGCGTCAAAGCCTAACCGCCTTAATTATCCTATGCACCAAAGGTATAACGTTACTGACGGGTTCACTGAGGACCTCGATACCATTATCCAATCGATGCCTCCGCGATTGGCAAACCCCGAAGAGCTCAAACAGACTCTAAAGGGCAGCCGTCCTACGGCTCTCATCCTGTTGTTCTACGATCGGGCTACCCACGTGCTCAAATTACACTTACCCTCGTTGCAAGAGCTCAGGGACGCAGCAGAGGGCGTCGATAAGCCAGTGAAAGGCGATTGGGTAAGTCCAATTCCTTGCAGATCACCGTTCCCGGACACTTATACCAATGTTGTAGTTGAAGTGGCTGGACAAAGCCATCAGTAATAACTTCCAAGACACAATCAAGTTACCGAAGCCCTTCAGGTGAAAGTATATATGAGGATCAACTGAACCATTTCTTCTATGGGTGTTCTTTCGTCTGCCTTTGCCGAAGCTGTATTGGTCATAAGGGCTTCATGCTAATTTGCTTGTGTATTAGGTATTAGTTAGTTGAATATTCAAGACAGTCGTGACCATCATTACTATCCCAGCATGTTGAGGGTATGGATGACTGCTAACATAGTTTAAAACACGTTTACATGACAATATTTGAGTAGCCCGCGTGTGTTCACAAAAAGGGGGCGCCCAAGTGGTGTGTTTTCGGTAATTTCCGAAAAGGGGTACGTGAGATATGGGCACGCGACGCTCCATAGACCCTCTTGTGTCTTGATTCTCCCTCAGTTCGACGGACATCAGATCATCGGGATACTCGACTCGGTTCAAAGTAAGCTCGATATCTTGTATCGTATCAGACTGATTAGGCTTCCACAATAGGCAGGTTTCGGTTACTGATCCACTATGAGTGCTAGCAACGGCGAGAGCTCTGCAGGCATGCAGAGCAACACTGGAAATGCACAGCGGCAGTTCGAGAACTTGATCAAAGAATGCGCGAAGTGTCGTAAATCCGAGGGTTTTGCTCAGATATCCTTACTGGTTTGCGCAGCGTGCAAGAGGATTATTTATTGTGTAAGCTGATTTTCTCACTCTGTCCGGAATATGCATTGCTTCATACTACCTGTGCTCTAGATTTAGAGCAAAGAATGTCAAACGGCTCACTGGCCTGAGCACAAGGTATTCAAGATTCCTATGCTGTGCTGTCAAAGTGGCTTCTCTCTCGTGCCCTTCGCTCATGACCTTCATTGGCAGATGCAATGCAGACAAAACAAGGCCTTGGTGCAAAACGATGGTGGATCGGAGGCTGCGAACGATTTTGCCAGATTGTCCGTCTGCTTCACCCTTTCCCCCTGTAACTACTGACCATCTATGCTAAAATAGGGTGGAACTTAACAAACCAGTGTTTATGGTTGCGCTCTACTATGCACTCGGACTTAAAGCACAGCCGAATGCATTCAAGCGCAGTGGCGCGATTATCCAATTTATGTCGGAACCCAGTCGTCTCAGCTATCCCCTCCAGCGGAGGTACAAAGTCAGCAAAGGATACACCGCAGGTCTCGACGTTATTATCAAGGCTGTTCCCGCACGACTTGCGAATCTCGACGACTTCAAGCTGTCCACAAGAGACGGCGATCGAGTGGGCATCATTCTACTGATATGCGAAGATAATATCCAGTTGCTCAAATTACAACTCCCGTCGACGAAAGAGCTGAGAGACGCAGCGAGAAGTATCGCGATGCCACTAAGGAGCGATTGGGTATGTGCAAAGATCTTGAATGGTGATTTACGGGTAACTTAAAGAAATGCGGCAGGCACTGTGGCTGGACAAAGCCATCAGCGAGAATTTCCAAGCCAACATCAAATTGCCGAACTCAATCGGCGGAAATTAGTTTATTCGATGTTCTTTTCGTTGTGTCCGTCGCGCGCTACAGTCACTCCTTTTTAGGCCAATCGAGACGTACCAAGAGAGGCTCAGAAAGATAACGAGTGATATTTGTACAAGGAGATTAGGTGCCAGTAACATAGGACGTGATCCAATGTGCAACTTGGTCACAGAGCGTCTTCGAAGCATGACTCAAGTGGCGAGGTGACACTTGGGCTTAAAGCAAGTGCTGCAATCCGGCAAGGACCGAAAGCGCGTCTTGGTGTCGCGCTCGCGTCGCGTTCTCCTGCTGTAGCTGCCTTCTTCCACCACGCTTTGTTCTACCCACATAGACGAACACCAGCTCCCATTTTTTTCATCAAAAGAAACAGAAGCATCGTGAAGTTGAACAAAAGGTAAGCATAATCTCGCTTCGCCCATCACCGAGCGATTGTAACAGTGAACGGCAGGAGGTCTTGCGCCGAGAAAGAAACCATGAACGCTAACATCGGTAAATCGACAAATACTGCGGCTGATCATCGGAATGAGGAGATGGAGTGGAAGGGCATGCCTTTACTCAAGTTATGCGCCTGGTGCTCGAAGCGCCAGTATCCTGGTCAGAAGCCGCTACAGCGTTGCGCAGCCTGCAAGGCAGTCGTGTACTGTGTGAGTGCATACAACTGACTTTTTTGGTTCGCCGCAAACACCTATCTAATTCGTTTAATCAGAGTCGAGAATGCCAAACAGCTGATTGGTCGACTCACAAGGTGCGGCGATTTCTCCAAAGCGCGATCCCCATTGGGCGCATACAGCCAGCCAAACGAGCGTAGGTCACTGATGAGCTTTAATCACAGAGAATGTGCAAGATAACCATTCAGTTGGCGCAAAAGATCAAAGCAAGTGATCCAGAAGAGAGGAGTGCGGCGACAGAGTTCATAAGATGGTACGTCCGCTTCTTAGCAGAGCTACCCCCAGTAACCAACTCGACCTAGGGCACGAGTTCATAGTCCAGTGTTCATGATTACACTTTATCACGCACTGAAACTTGACGAGAAACCGGACGCATACAAGTCTAAATGCTTGTTCGTTCATCTTACGGCGAAGCCCAATCGCCATAATTATCCACTTCACCAGAGGTACTCTGTTCTCGGCGGACGCATTACCGACCTCGACTACATTCGTCGGCTGCTGGGCGGTAGGTTCGGTGATGAGACCGTAGGCCTGGATAATGTTGGGACGGGAGAGTCTAAGGAGGGCCTTGTTATGCTCGCATGCGACGATGTGATCGGACATTCGGAGAGGGTGCCAATCTACACGCGCGAGGAAGTAAAAAGTATCATGCGAGGCGTCGAGGTGCCATATGACTGGGCAAGCAGTCCTTTCCGTGATACTTGGAGCTGATGTTGATGATTATTCTGCAGGTGAAATGGCTAGACAAAGCCGTCAACGAGAACTTTCGCGCCAAGGTTAACGTTCCCAAGTCTGCTAAGGGCAACCAACGGTAGTCTCATGCGCTCGGTAGCTGTGTTTTGTTACGCTCTCTTTTCATGGCAAATTCTTGGACTTCTTGACCATCACACTGTAGTCGTCACATGAGCTCTTCCGAAAACGATGGATATGTTTCATAATGCATCCCACCCCGCATCCATGCCGTCAATCCTTGAAACCGTACATAAGATAATGTTTTAGAGTCGGTACATAACGTCATTCTATTGTCTTCATATACTCTTCCACTCTACAACATCGATGCATGTTTCCCGTCAGAGGGAGGGGCTGGTGTTGAGAAGCTCGGAGAATACCCTGTCTTTTCCACAGCTCGCTTATACGTATCCGATGCATGACATGCCTGTAACCATGCCTCAATCCTTGGCCAAGGACCACCACCGTCAATACCTAACCGATATAACATGATCATATCGATGCTGAACTCCATCATCGTATCCGCGATCGTAACCTGCGCCCCCAGAATGAATGGTCCGCTGCTCTTTGCAAGCTCCGCTTCGAGCCAATCGAGGTCGCGCTGCACGTTGACTGACATGCCCTTCACCATCTGGGCGAGCGCATCCGGGTTGGTTTCCTTGAGCGCTGGCGGAAAGTTGCCCCTCGCGTAGAAGATGGCCATGCTGTGCAAGAGGAACGTCGCTTCGGCCGCGTGTAGCCAGATCTGGGCGCGGGAGCGCAGGGGTTGCTGCGCGGGGTAGAGTCTGTGGGTTGTGTCGTACTTCTCGCAGAGATATCTACGATGTTTGAAGCCCAGCAATGAGCATTACGATTCGATTCGCGCGAGATACATCAGATAACACGTACTCGGCGATGGCGCCGCTCTCGTACAGGCAAAGGTCGCCGTCCTTGATAGACGGAAACCTGCCTAGAGGGTTGCCAGATCGTTCTATGAACTCTGGCGGGGCCTTCATGTTGACGCGACTGGAGAACTCGATGTTGTAAGGTACACCGAGCTCCTCCAGTAACCAGGCCGTACGGATGGCGCGCGAAGTTTGAAGAAAGTACAGGGTGATGTTAGCGGTCATGATGGTGGGGAGTTAACCTGTGAATTGGTTCCGTCAGGGCTCCTGCATGTCATCATGGGTGGGTCCGATCTGCACGGAAAACGGTCATCACCTGAGAGACAATCGTACCATGTCGCATTTAGTGCATGTAGCTTGTGAGGTTGTGCGCCATCATGATCAACATCCACATCCTTGTCATTGATGAAGTCAAATAATAGCACTCCTTACAGACAATTACTTATAGCAAGAATCCTGATTGTACGGCTCCATCCTATGCTTCGCCCCCGAATAACCAGATAATCATTGTGAGCATGCAAGGTTGGATGCCAATGCATGTACAGTATAAGCAAGTGGGATGCACAGTACCGTACGCACCAAAATGTCGTCCTAGCCTTCAGATATATATACAAAATTCTAGTAGTATCCACTATATGACGCGCATTGCGTAGCACCGTGCAGAAAATGCCTCGCTATCATCCTTAGATCGCCAATATCGTGCCCTCCGCGAGCCCATCTCGTCCTACGCGCTCGCATACCTCCCCACGGACCTCGGACCCGCCCATGATCCTTGCCTTGCACTCCCACCAATCCGATCGCTCTCTAAATCCTGGATACCCTCCGTGTTCTCGTACGTACTTAGCCTTGAACTCTTCCTCTTCGGAACCAGCCTCGGCCGCAACCGCGTTGTCACTGGCGACGTGGACAGCGTCCCAGGTCCGATGAGAGGCGCAGCCGTGTCGCCTCCCGCTGCCTCAGACGCTTCGGCTTCGTGCGACGGGGTGCCTGGAATGGCCATCGGAGAAGCTACTCGCGTCTCTGCGTCATCATCGTCACCTTCATCATCCGAAGCCTCAGAGTCAGTGTAGAAGGGAGATTCGGGCATGGAGGTGGCATTGTCGTCATGCTGTGCAGAGCCTTGGGCAAGTGCGCCGCCGCCGGGAACTCCGGCTCCTCCGCCAGCGCCAGCATTCACAGTAGATGCTCGTTTGGCTCGTGGGACGTGGTCGAGCTCCTTCTCGGGAATCTGCACAGTTGTCCAAGATGTTAGCAGACCTTCGAAGATGACGTTGCGAATGTACATACCGGCAATCGTGCCGCATAGGCAATCAATGTCGAGCACGCAGCAAGTATGAACACTGCCCTCAACGAAGCGGCATACGCATCGCGTGCCGGTTGCTGCAGTTCAGGTGGGAGATGGGACACTAGTGTCGCAGAATGGCGTATCTTGCTGATGATTTCTTCAGCGTCGGGTACCGTAATACGCTTTCGCAGCTCGCTGTCTAGCCTGGACTGGAAAAGTGCTGAAGATACAGCAACACCACTGACTTGACCTGTGAAGCGGCGCAGAACGTCAGTTGACGAATCGAGAGCGGTCGGCAGCGGCGAACGCATACCGATGCCACGGAAAACCTGGCCAAAGCCAGTACCAACAGCCATGGAGTTCTCTGCAATGCAAGTTAATCAGATTTCCTAAAACTGAACATCCGAAGCATTATTCACCGGGTAGATGAGCGAGGAGTGCGACTAGTATTAATAGATAAGCAGATGCACAAATACGCTGTAGAATACGCACTAAGCATCGTCTGAAGCACCACAGCATTTCCGAAACCGCAAGGGATCTACATGTCACCATCAGTTCCGCCAAGTAGAAATCGTTAGAGCAGAACGTACGATACTAAGCCACATCTGCAAAGGAGGCGAATCCTCACGCATGAAGAGGATGAGCATGATGCCCACGAAAGGGAATATCCCGAAAACCATGTTCATCAACTTGTACTTCCCCGTCTTGTGCATCATCCATCTGTTTACTCGACACACATCAGAGAAGGCACGATTAAGGCAAACACTAGACATTTGGTCACATACCCAGCAAACATCGATCCTGCCGACATGGAAACACTGTTTGGGAGAAGATGCAGCCCTGTAATAGGCAGACTTTAGAGCTCGCCTGATTATACTATGTGAGACGTACCAGCAACAGACGCGCTGGTGAGAGGCACCGTCTGGAACCACATTGGGAAGAAGTACATAATAGAGAAATTGCACAAAGAAACGAAGAAATTGCTGATTCCGACGAGAACGGGCACCTTTTCCTTGAGTAGGAACGGTGCGAGCACTGGTTCGGGAGCAACGAAGAGCTCGACGAGTATGAAGCCGACGAAGAAGACGGAGAAGAGCGTGAGAGGGACGACGACGCGTCCATCATCCCACTAGAAACTACGCGTGAGCGAGATTGATGGCAAACGAGAAGAAGATGACATACGGAAAGGTCTTCGTTGAACTTCGTACTAAGGAAGACTAGCAAGCTTCCGATCTAGCAATAGATTGAATGGGTGCGTGAAGAGCCAGCAGCTGATAACTTACCGCAACAAGAAGTGTCATGCTGCCAGCCCAATCAACGCGCTTCAGCACATCCGTGGCCTTCTTGCTTTTACCCTGCAATGAAATGTTTACAGTGAAATGCCGGTTAAGACTGACGACAATACTCACAGGCGTAGAATACCGCAAGTAGTACTGCGTGAGGGCCAAAGAGAGAAGGTACAACGGCGTTTGGATCAGGAACGCCCAACGCCAGCCCAGCCTTGAATTGCACAATTATTTCAAAAATAAGGCATGAATAGAAACGCAGATACGCACCAGTCGTTGATGAAACCTCCAATCGGGCCACCGAGGCCCATTCCCAACTAATTCTTCCCTCTCAGGAAACCAAGTCAGGAAGATTTACGAGTGAGCTTACACCGTTGAAGAGAGAAGCATAACCCTGCGCGAGACCTCTCTCCTGCACCACGAGAGATCAGAACTAGTATGATGCGTGGCCGGCGTAGTACTTACCCGCATGGTAAACATATCGCTAGTAATGATCCTGAAAACACGGTTTGCGTATCAGCACTGTCACTCCTTAGGAGCGCAACAGACGTACGTGCTTGTCGTTAAGATGCCTCCACCCCCCATACCAGCGATCTACCAGGGCGTCAAAATTATGCCGTCTCGAGTAGCTGTGTAACTCACAAAACGGGCAGCAATGAGCATCTCCATATTGCCGGACAATCCGCAAAGGATGGTCCCGCATGCCGCAAGTACGACAGCCAACTGGTTCGCTCCACGCCTACCGAGTACGTTGCACAGACGTCCGTAGAGTGGAGTGAACGTGCAAGCTGCGAGCAGATAACTATAAGGGAAGTGAGCTCAGAAATTGCATAGATAAATGAATGTATGCGCACGCTGTGCCCAGCCAACTTGCTTCATTTGACCTGTTGAATTCGGAGGATATCGATGGGAGCACTGTCAACCGTGGTCAGGAATTAAGTAAACCAAGAGCAAAATGACGCACAGGTTGCTACCAGTGTCGCTGAAGATACGCCAATCCGTCAGCTATACCAGGGATCGCGTCAATAGCACCAACTCACTGTTCAGGGACTGCACGCGACATTAGGCAGATTTCATACATTAAGGTGAAAGTTGTCACGTACCGAAAGAAATGTGGCAGACCATAGTCCAGCAAGGATGCCATTCCTTGTTCTACGTGGTATCTCAAGCGGTCCCACTGCCTGAGATTTCAGCCGGTCCGTCGATTTGACGGAGCCGCCGGCCAGCAAGGGGTCGCGTTCGGTAGTCATGACGTCGGCCTCGTACCTTCCAGGTACCGAAAGTCTGATGAGGATATCAGATTCCCAGCCAAGGGCCAGGCCAAGGAAAGGTGGAGGTGGAGGTGGGACGAAAAGAGCTTGTTGACTTGAGCAAGACCACGGCGTGTGAGCAGTCGGCCGGCTTGCCCGGCAATGACCTCATTGCCGTTGAAACAATGATCGGCACCGGCTGGCCGAAGTCTGCCGCGTCTCGGCACGTGTCTTTGGTCGGCATGGTCGGCCGGCGGCCTTTTCCGCTACTCACCACCATGTTCTCGACTCGTTCATCAGAAAAGCGGCGCGAATTTGACCCCAACCAAGACTACGAGAGGATCGGTGAAAAGCTGTCTTGCATTAATGCTGTGGTAAGTCTAGAAATAGTCTTATTTCCTCACCTCTTAGTGTGCCGTTTCTATCAGATCAGATACCACAACTCTAGGTAGACGTAACGTGGGGGTGCGCATATACTCAAGTCGATTGACCCTCTCTGCACCTGAACGCAAGTCTCCGAGTTTCTGATCGACATTTTCCTGCATATGGTTTCCTGTTGTCAGATCGGTCATTAAAATCTTTGTTACAAGCTGTTTTTGGTCACAATGGTCTCTTTTTCTTTCAGCTCGTTACAATCGCCTCCGAAACAGTGACCGTCTCATTGAAAGTGGACAAACGTTCGGTATCTGGAGACGCTATTATTCCGCGGAGATGAGTCTTCCTGCTTTTTACAGGTTAAATAACCCTGCTACGGACCAACTAACAAGTCAACGCTTGCCAGCAGCGTCTATCTGATAAGGTTGGTTCCTACGGAACTCAACAGTGTCATTCTTCCATAGCTCTCACCTACTCCCAGAGAAGTCGCATCGTTGATAATGTATTCTCCGCAGCTTATCTGGCATCTCCCGAGAACCTTTTTCTTTCGGGTCTCAGGTGGTTAAGAACCAAGCCGGCGCTTCTAGTCAGCACAGCCTTTCAAGCTATTTCTGAGTGGAAAGAAGTGCTGCCCCATAATCGTCACCTGCCCGACGATCTCACAGCGCGACCGCAGCGTGGCGGAAGCATGTCTGACCACCCAATATCGCCTTATTGGGCAACAGCGTCCGCCCCTCCTACACTTGCTCGCTTCAAAACGCAGTCGCAGGCTCCTGCATTCAGTTGCGAGAATACCCCGTCAGAAAGCTTTGACAGGATAAAGACAAGCGTATGCACTTTGTAATTACGATGATATTGAACTGATACATTTCTGCTTATGGGTCCAGTCAATCGGGCTGGCATTCCCGACCGACTGTCTGATGGGGCCCACTAGGCCCCACTGTACTCAACATTGGCCAAGTCGGGTCAAATGAAGGTTTGATCGCGATCTACCTCCCTCTACACTCACTCCAGGGCCTTGGGTCTGCTCTGCCCCACTTTCGCGGAGGCATTGCCTTTGCGGATACATTGTGGGTGAAATGTTTCAATTCTCAAATGACTTCTTCGTTCGATCGCGGTCCTCAGCCCAAACCAGACATTTGATTCTCGGTGCTTCTAATCCAGGAACAAGACATACTTATGGCCTCTATGTTATGTCTGACCCTGCTTGTGTTGTGGTAATATGTGAGGAGTCAAGTTTCACGCTGCAACTCCTTGTGGTCGCGTTGATATTGGCAACACCCGCCCTCGACACCCGCGTTTCCTCTTTGTGAATCTGGTTTGTCTCTTCACGGGGAATACTACCGATCACTACCTCCGCAACCCCGTACACAAGTGCTAGCGCAAGTACCAGTGTACGGGCGCACCAGGACTTCGGCAGGTACACTCCGATGGATCTTCGCCGATTCCCGGGCAAACCACTAGCCAGCCTGCGCAGCGCTGATCCTCTCTGCCCTAATGCAATATCTCCTTCAAACACCTCCATACACACTCGCACTGCGCACCTGTCCAGCGGTGTCCGTCCTATCAGATCTGACCTAAGAGCAAGAGAGTACACACGCACAGCAGCCCGCTGATTCCTGGCTCCTGCGCCACTCGGGCACACCGCCTCGCCTAAACGTTCTGCCATTGCGATTTGCCATTGCCATCGCACACCGCACTCCTCCGTAACGTGCTCGCTCCGTCGTATCAGACGGATCATCCACAGACTGCGACGCAGTTCGCGGTCCAGCTCAATTAACGACGGTACAGGTCCAGGCCCTCCGACGACCCACGGAACACGCCCATCAATGAGGACTCGTCAGAGGGTACTAAGTAGGGGCGGTCGCCACCCCGTCCTGATCGTGTGTGTGCGTGTACAGTGTCTAAACCTTGATTTCGCCCGTCCAATGGCAGGCCTGAGGTTGGCGGGGGTCGCCCTCGGAGCGTCGACTTGCGGCTGCTGCATCCAAGGGCGGATGGAGAAGGAAAAGGGGTTATTGTGCCTGGAGAACCAGTATTCTGGAGTCCGTTTTGCGCTTGGGTGCTAGCTTGTTGCATCGCCATTTTATTCGGACAAGAAAAGTAGTGAACACAATGCTAATTTCCGAGGACATTCCGCAGTGCGTTTCGTGGTGCTGGTCGTCGTACCGCGGATGTAGGCAAGCAGCAGCGCATGGTGCAGACGGTAATCACGTTGTTGCTACTGATCCGTGTAAGTACGTTATGTGCGAGCATGTACGCCGCTCATTTCATCTCAAATGAAGCAACGGTAGGCCAATCATCGCTAATAATAGGATATAATTTATAGCGAAGATCCGGGTTTAGCTCTTACGCGCGTTGCGGCTAGAGACGAGCGCCGGAGAGTGACAAGAAACGATAAGCCAATGTAAGATCAAGAAAGCAGGCTATGATTCATGTGACAGAGTAGTACGTACAGTACATACAGTATAGTGATAAATTATCTACATAGTTCTACAAAAGTCCAGTCAGACGTGCATATTCTATATGCGAGCGGGGATGAATGCGCATGGAAACAAAACGAGGTAGATCAGAACAAGACAGTACACGATTAGAGGTGACAATGAGAACCCGCGAAAATCAGTATGTACATATTAATCAGCCGGGTAGAGTAGACCGGGGCCCATTGACCGGGTCGAATGGGCGATGAGTACCGGGGGACTTCAGAGCTCGACTAGATAGCACAGCGCTGGAAGCTGCACGCTCGAGCGAGGGCGGCGCGCGGCTCAGTGATGCATCGCATCGCCGTGCTGCTCGCAGTTCGGGCAGAGCCTGTTGATGTTGGGAGCTGTGAGGGCGGGACACGATCAGCGGGCCTGCAACTCAAATCGACGTCGGACGACGCGGAAGCGAAGAAGGACGCACAGTATTGCTGGGGATACTGACGGCTGATGGCCGAGGCGAGCAGGTATCACCACGGGAAAGAGCCATGCACACGCACGTCGGCGAGCGTCGGCGTCGAGTTACGTATTGTATGTGTTGGATGCGTTCAACAAAGATCGGATTTAGAGAATACATTTGAGGGTCGTGTTGACGTTGACGTTGACAATGGTTCGGTATTAGCGTTGGAAGGCGACAGGCGACAGGTGAGTGTAATATGGACATGGTAGGACATGTATATTAAATGAAAGGGACCAAAAGCAATAGTCAGCAACGGATCGCGGGGATAATGCACTGGGAGAAAAAGACGCACTATTGCCAGCAGGTCTGCCTGCACTGGGGCATCTGGCAGTTAGCGGGATGGGCGGGGCTGAACTTGCAGTTCGGGCTCTCGCAGGGGATCTGTAAACATAGAGCCATCGGTCATCGGAGGCGGGGGAGCGTCTTGGATAGGGGCACTGACAAGCTCGTCGGGCTGCAATTAAGGTCAGAAAGTTTAAGTCAGCACATGTAGTGAAAGCATCTAATGACCGCGGTGGTCGGAAGCGAACATACCATTGTGTACGCGTGACCGCACTGGACGTAGACGTTGCGAACGCTGGAGAGAAACGCGGCGGGTCAGAGTAAGGCCGGCGTGGACAAAGGTGCTCGGGCGACGCGTACCGTCTGAAGCAGCACATGTTTATCGAAGAGCAAGGGTTTGGGGGAGGTAAAGTGTTATAGAAAGAAGAGCGAAGACGCGAAAGAGAGAGAAATGTAGTGCGTGTTCGAGAGAGAGCTTGAGATGGGCAGTCGGCTTGACAGACGATCAGACGTGTCGTGCTCGCCTTATAACCTCGGCGCTGTGGGGGGTCTGGTGCCGATCCGGGCTCGGGACAGGACATGGGCGACCGATTTGTGGGCAAGCGCCCTGCCGGGTCGTAATGACACCGGGAAGGGGATGATGAGAAGAGGGCATGTTGACCGTTGCAAAGACCAAAAGCGACCAAAAGCAGGGGGATCCGCCAAGTCAAGTCATATCATAGTGAGAGTGACGTGAACGCACAACGTCCACTCCCAAGAGCGAAATGAAATGGGATGGCAGTTTTGGAATTGGCATGGGGAGGAGCGCTACAGCACGCACGGGAATGAGGATTGAATAGGATTGGGATGTACGAGCGAGCGAACTGAGATTGAAGAGATGTTGTGGTTGTGGCGGGTTCGATCGTGTGGCATGGCAGCAGCGCAGGTGGCTATGGTTCGCGCAATGGGCGGAGCGGACAGAACGCTTGGACGGCAGACCCCCGCAACGTAAAATAATAGCCAATGGCGGATGGAGGAGGCCGGGATGCGTCATTTGATAGCGTTTTCGCAGGCGCTGTCGTCGAAAAACGCCTATTCGAGTTAGGCACACACGAAATCAAAACCGCGTATGGCCCCTCGACTCCAATCCGCTGGGTCGCTAGTGGACCGGAAAAGGTCATATTAATGGGCCCGGACCCGGCCGTTGCGCTGAATGGATGTGCGCGAGAGCGCGCCGAACTCGAAACGGGGGAGCCCTGACGCGCGCCAGTGGCCGCAGGGAAACGAAAAACGAGATTTTTGCTGGTCAGATTGAATGTAGTCAGATTGGGTAGCGAGATAAATTGTCAATGCCGGCATGAAAGGTGGCGGTGAGGCTAAGCATCCCTGGAAATTTGCCCTGTATAAACTCAGAGTGCATCCATGCCAATCAGACAGCTGCCCGTCGACCGACTGACACTCCGCGGCAAATTCCGTTGACAGCACCTGTTGCGGACGATGCGGACGAATGAATCGAATGAATCATATGCATCGTCGTCGGATGTCTTGAACAGGCCTCCTGGGGGGTGACAAATCCAAAAGCTAAACCGACAGCCTCTCGGCGCGACCGAGGTCAGACGCGTCACAGTGTGACTAATATTATTGCCAAAAATGGCAAGGTCGCGTGCAAGGACGTCAGCTCTGTCCCCTTACGCCTCGCTTTAGCCTTTACTTCCGTCAAGCATACATTTACACCCGCGCTTATCTCGCCATGACAGCCAAGACGGCCGCGCAAAGCCACAAGAGGACAAAGAAATACATGGAACACGGTCAGGTGAGTCACAGGTGCCCCGATGGCGGCCTGGCATCACGCTCACCCCCGTTGATGAGTCGAGCTGTGACAAAAAAACTTTTGTTGCCTCCAGGACACCTTGAGTCTGGCAGTAGCCATAGCGAACTCTCAGGAGGAAAAGACACAGCGCAAGACACAGAGACAGAATCAGCCACAGGTGTGCATCCTCGCCTCGTCTTTGACGTGTTGATGCATTGTTCACCGCCGGCTTCTATGTTCATCTACCCATCGGTGCATATGGCATCCATCCATTCTCCACCCCATCGCGCATTGCATCATTAGCCCGGACAGCCTAGACCAGAACCACAGTCCAAGAAGCGTGGTACCGCGCGACGGAAAGACAAGCTTGTGAGTCCCACGTACATAATATTCTCCAGCCCCAACGCACGCCGACGAAAAGACGTTACATCACGACCCCTTGCATTACTACTTTCGCAGAAGGAGGTCAAAGCCACCATCGTCAAGAACCAGGCAACGCTCAAAAAAGAGAAGATCAAACGGCGCAAGCAGCAGCAGCAGGGCGACATACACACTAGCACACGAAACGGAGGCGATCAGCCGCGATCTGCGCACTCTGCCACTGATGCACCGGTCGGCTCCGAAACAACTGCTGGGGCTAGTGCTAGCGAGAAGAAGAAGCCCGCGCGGAAAAAGGTTTCATTTGCTTAGGCTTTAGTAAGTAAGTATCTCCCGGTTCCTGGCATGTGCGCGTGTCTTCCCTTCCATTGAACATTGAACGTTTGAAACATCGTGCCAACCTCGAAACGCAGCGACTCGAAACGTGGCCGCTTTCTCAGACTAGGCTTGTTCTTTCTTCTCTTGGGATGGCTTCCGAGATCTGAGCCCCGCAATCTGGGCTGGTGCCTCCCCGCGTCCTGAAGCGAAGCCGAAGATGCCCTTCGGGACGATCCGTCCTCACCCAACTTGACCCCCCTTTTTGCAAAACGTCAGCGTTGCGCCACCACTATCAAGCCCGATTTATTCGTTGTTGCAGATGGTATACCCCGTTGACGTTGGTGGTGTCAAGTTGATGGGAAAGCCGAGGACATGGAACCTCGGACGCCTCCGCTAGCACGGTCCCTTTACCTGCACAATGCAGGTAGTATGACCTATGATGCTGGCAGACTATAGCCGCTGTTCCGGACGTAACCTGCATCGCTCCCGAATGGCGGCGTATGCCGAGGTCACGATCGCCTTCCCTTCGCGAGCCACGAATCGCTATTGTCCTCTGCTATGCGCACGCGCTATGGTATACGGTACTTCCATCTAGCATCAGGCACGAGCGCAGCCACGATGTGGTGCTTCGAGCGGCGCCCGACTCTCATGTCACGGCGACTCGCCTCGCGATTAGCGGCTTGGATGATTTTGGGGGTTTGGATTCGGTGAACTCGTTCACGTTGGGCGATGTGGGAGGGCGGCGAGCGTTGTCACGGTACACGGCATGTTGGGCCTTCGCCACGCTACTTTCCAAGCTGTCATGACGTACCCCTCGGATGTCTCGCTGATCCGTCTTAGGTGGCGGTATAGAACTGACTCACTCGATGCGAAGTATGCATGTGACATGTTTGTGCAACGGCAATGCATCGTTCATCAGTCCTGTCAAAGTCGAGGCGGTGATTTCGGCCTGGCGTACCGCGTGCAGCGTAGCCTTCGACAATGTGCATGTTCGCGCACGTCAAAATGGAAGATTTGATTTTCGCATTGGGGGCGTTGGGCTGCCACCGAGATCACCGCGTCATGTCTGCCACTCGCCACAAATGACATTGCTCCTGTGCATCGGGATATTGTTTTCCAAGGACCACGTTTCTTGCTCTCGGAATCGGCCGTCGTCTTTGCCATAAACGCCATCATCGACGGAGATGGGGCATAGACATACCGGGTCATCGTTGTCCGAGCAGCCCGTACGTGGACTCCACTCTGAGGCACAAAGAGGTGTAAGTAGTATCCATTACTACTGATGTCTCCGTCTGTTACGGTCTCGGACGTTTCCTTGATACTGATATTTGATTTTGACTATGTAGAAAGAAGGGTGGGTCATCAATACGCCGTGTCTTCCAAAAATGAGTCGTGTTATGGTCTACGGCACTACATACAGACGCAGCAAATTAGTCCTGTTTCGACACTGTCAAAGGGAGCGCTTTGACTCTCAAAACCCGCTTTTCTCAGCCTCGAGAACTTGGTTTTCAGGAAAACGCGGGAGTTGCTCTCGCCACCATCGACGTTGCGAGGTTTCACTGGAGCGGGCTCTCATGGACCCACCCTTCGGGTCCTGTCATAAGTATCATGGAGTGGACACTGTAAACGTCTCATGCAAATTTATTGATCAATCGCCTAGAGCGTTTCATGTGCTCATTGGTGCAAGCTAAGAAGTTGATTCTCTCTCCTCGCAAGTTGCCGTTCCGTGTTCAAAGTAGAGGCTCGATACGGGCCCTGAGTGTGATCCCGGGATTAACGCAGTGGCTGGTCGTGCGAGCGATCAGCAGCGCGGGCGGCTATTATTGTGCGTAACGCGTATTTATAGCATGTGCGCGGCGTTCGAGGCGGATGGTGAGGACGTGGTGATTTACGTACGTTGGTGAGCAGCGGATCTTGCGTTGACGACCTACGGAGCTGTCGTTGTCCGGTTGCGGTTGGCAATTGCTTAGTATGCTGTGCTGTGCTGCAGAACGTTCCTAGCTCGCTCGCTCGCTACTAGTACGCGTCTTTTTCCGCGGCGCGATTTAGCCATGTAGAGCGCGTGTCTCATTTGGATTGTTTTCGCTTCGTTGTCCTGTGCGGGTATCAGGATCGCGAGCCATAAATGCGTACGTGCGTATGTATGTTGCGCGTAGCCGACGATGGTCCGCGTTTTTCGTGAGACGATCGGTGCGTTTCTAGCCTTTGCAGATTGGCCTCCCTGCGGTGGCCTCGTGTCCGTTGGTGTTTTATTGATCCTGCCATGCCCAATTGCGCTTCTCCCGCGAGTGCCTTGCAATTGAGCGGTTTGGGTTGGAGATCAAGTTGGACCCTTGTGCGAAGCCACAAAGCTGTGGCTGTGGGTACTAAATCACAACCCTTGCACCCTCAATGCAACATGCGCTGAATGCGCTCTCCCTAGCCTTTTCTTAGAAAACTGTATCATATATTGACCTGTAGGTTTGTATACATGTGTTCCACCAGCCCACAAGAAACTGTAGTGTGAACAAAAGAGCAAACACACCCCGTTGCATTGTGGGTGCTGTGTTGCATCGGGGGTGCAAGGGCGGTATTCGTATTTGGAGATGCAATATACAGCACCCTGAGGTGGATAGCTCCACAGAAACTGAATTGAAAAGTGGGAGAATTCATTGCTGAATGAATCGAGTGCGGCTGACATCAAGTCGACCTTTACGATTTATGTGGAGCGGGGGTTTCCAGCTGTGTGATGCACCATTGTCTCCGCAGATTTTCCTGCGCAAACGCGGGCAGAGCGTGCTCTCTCGAGGCTTCAGCACTCAGCTTCAACTGGAGAGGCGCGTACAGTTCCTGCGTGCGTCTCGGACCGGCAAACACCGGGGACAGGTTCAAACTCCGCACACACGGACCTGCCTGTTATGGCAATGACTCCTGGGATGTTCGAGTTGTGAGCGTCGCCTCGTCCTCGACGTCGAGTGCATCGACGACCGCCCCGCCTCTTGCCTCGCCTCTTATTTGCACACAGCGCAAGTCGCTGCTATTGGATATCTCCGACTATCTCGCTAATAAGCCTCTGATATTGATATTGGCATAGGCAAGTGTCATTGCTGCAACGGGCATCGGGTCGCTGACGACATCATCGTATCAGGCTACCGGCACTGGCGCCTTGACCACAGGAGGTGATTGCGACATTGTTGACATCGACGACTAGCTATGTCTCTCCGTGCCCCTGTGTTCCCTTCCTCTGCCGCCGGGAATCATGCCCGCATACACGCGAACGTCTCGGTCGAGCCCGAGGCGGGACCCTCCAACCACAACGCAGTCTCCATCGCTGATCCCAAGTCCAAACCTCCCAAGGCGAACGGGAGACCGAAATCAAAGTCCAAGTCAAAGACGGCCTCATCGCCGTCCAAACCGGTTTCTAAACCTGCATCTAAAACCGCACCTGCACCTGCACCTGTTGCAGGCCCAGCGGCGCAGCAAAAGCAGAGCTACACCGACACCCTCCGCGCCATGCACCTCGCCCTCGCCTCCGTGCCCGACGTCCTCGCACCCCCGTCACGCCCCGCCTCGCCCACGGCCGCCGCCCCGTCGCTCCCGCCCGACCCGAACGCGGACGTCCCGTCATCCACGTGTCCCGTCTCCCTGCCCGCGTCCCCCGCTGCGGCGTCGGCGTCGGCGCTGACGGGGCACGCCGCAGAGCTCGAGGAGCGCGTGTCGGACCTCGTCACGGCGCTCTCGGGGGACCGCGCGTGTCCGCGCTGGGCACACGTGAGTGGGCTGCTGCGCGTGGGGTGTGTCAGGGGGCGGTTTGTGGTGCCTGGGCCGGCGGTGGTGAGAGAGGGGGAGGTGCGCGTGGAGGGTATTCCGGATGATGAGGAGGAGTGGATTGCGTGGGAGAGGGAGAGGGAGGCGGCGAGGAAGGGTGAGCGGGATGGGGGCGAGGGGAAGGAGAAGGAGAAGGAGAAGGAGAAGGAGAAGAAAAAGGAGAGGGAGAAGAAGAGGGAGAGGTCGAAGGTGTGGGAGGTGCTGGCTGAGGAGCTGAAGGCGAACGAGGCGCAGGGGAGCGCGAGGACGAAGCCGACCGCCGCTAAACCTCGTGCGCCGGTCCCCGACGAACGCCGGCGCACCTCGTCCGCCGTCCCTGCCCCCTCCACCGAGCTCCAGCTCGCGCCCGAGGCGGCGAAGCGCGCATCCAGCTCGCGCCCCTGCGTTCACGCGCAGGCTCCCGCTGGTGAGCCCGCAAACGCGGCAAAGGCGAAGATGGACGCTAGAGCGCACGCGCTCACCAAGTCGGCGTCTGTGCCTGTCGCGGGCCCGGCACAGCTTACGCTCTCGGCGGTCAAAGAGAAGGTGATGAGGTGGCAGGCGGCCGTGTCCACCGAGCCCTTGGACGAGCCCGGACCCGAAGCCGGTGCTCACGCGCCTTTGGGTGTCGCCGCTCGTGTGGAGGAGGATGTGTTGATGGCTGACGAGAAGGAGAAGGGAGGGGTGAGGGACGAGGTGAAGGAAGGGGTGAAGGCGAAGGCTAAAGCGCAGGTGCCGCTCACTCTCACGAAATCGCACTCGGGCAACTCATCGGTTGGCTTCTTCCCCGTCGTGAAGCGCGCGTCCGTCGCGGGCGGTATGAAGCCCAAGGCGAAAGGTCAAGGTCAAGGTCAACGCTCGGGACAGTCTGGACCCGGTCAAGGCATCTCGAGGGTGGCCTCTGCGGCTGATCCTACACCGCCTGGCCCTGGGCTCGCGCCAGTGCCTGAGGCAGATGTTGGTACCAACGACAAGCCATCCGGCGTAAAACAGGGCGCGCCCGCATTGTCTCGCAACCCCTCCGCCGCGTCCGACCACATATCACCCCCATTCAATTTCGAGTCTTTCCCCCAAGCACAGCGGCTCAGCCGCCAATCGAGCCCGCGCCAGCTTACCCCGGGCAGAGAGAGCGACCCGCACGTCCATCTGCACCCCGGCGCTGCGGGCGATCGCGATGAAGAGATGCACGATCCGGACGCGGTGATGCCGCATGTGGCGAGCGGGGACGACCGCGAGCCGACGGAGCTGTCGCCGCATGTGCCGTATCAGTTTGACGGCGGCGGCGGCGGGTCTGCGCAGACGATCAATAAGCTGAGTGAGATGGTGCGTTTCGTCCTATTGTGCTTTTCGCCAGTCTCATTTATATATTGACATTGATTTTTTTTCTTCTTTGGGTATATGAAGTCGTATCTACCGCCGTCGTTCCCGTCACACCTCGACACGTCGACGCCGCTGCGGGATGGTAGCCTGGACGCGCTGTATCGGCGGAAACCGAGTCCGATTGCGCATGTCCCGCCGAGGCTGTCGGGTAGTCCGGTGGAGAGAAGGTCTGAGGAGGAGGAGCTAGCGGCGCCTGTTCCGCCTGCGCCTGTGCTCGGGCCGCAACGGGCTGCGTCTGTGTCTGCGCCCGAAGAAGAAAGCATTCCGGGGCTGGGAGCGAGGATGGACGGGGTGGTTGGGACGCCTGAGGGTCCGAGTCCAGTTCCAGCCTTGAAAGCGGGGAGCAAGCGGCCGCGGTCGGTTACGCCTCCGTCGTTGCGGGTGCGGGATGACGTGCAGCCGGGGGACTTGTCGGTTGCGATCGATATTGATATTTCGGACCCTGGGGCAGCGGGGCTGGCGAATGGCGGGAACGAGGATGTAGAGGGCGAGGCGATGGATGCGGCGGAGGCGAGCATTGTGGAGGCGCATCTGAGTTCGACGGATTATGCGCCGGCTGCGAAGAGGCTCAAGGTCCAGCAGGAGCAGGATTCGTTCTTTGGGCCCGTCAAGCGTAGTGGCAACGGCAATTCTGTCACGGACAGGGAGCATGATCAGCAGCTCGACCAGATCCGGGAGTATGCGCAGAAGCATCTGCGGCCTCAGCCGGTGTTTCCTGTCCCTGTAGCTGCGAGCTCGAACACGCCGCCGAGGACGCCTGTGCAGCAGCCACGGCCTGTGCGCGCTGGCGGGGGTGCGCCGGCGTTCGGTCTGGGCGGAGGGGCGGATCCCGACGAGGGGATTCCGAACAGCGCGCTGCCTACGCTCGGCGAGCTACTTGCGTCGTCGAGGAAGGCAAAGGTGCGACCGCGGCCGCCGTCGAGGAAGGGGATGCGGACGGGTCAAGGTCAGGCACAGGACCCGGACGCGGATCCGGGGCGTCATCTCTCTGGATTTGATACTCCCAACGACAATCACAACCGCGAGCCGATCGACATCGACGAAGACCGCGAGCCCATCGATCTTGACGGCGACGAGGAAGAGGAGCGGCCGCATACGCCCGAGCGCGGGGACGGGGAGAATGTGTCGCCGAGCAAGTCGTATTTCTCGTCGCCGGCGTCGGGGGTGTCGCCCGGTGCGACGACTGCGCTGCCTATCCGGTCGCCTGTGAGCCCGATGTTTGCGATAGGTGCTGCTGATATCACGGGAGGTGGTGGGTTCGCGCCGCCGTTCACGTCGACGCAGCATGCGGAGGAGTATGTTCCTCCTCTGAAGCGCGGCGGCAGCGGTATGATTGGGGGGTTTGGCGGGTACAGTTCGCAGGTGCAGGTGGATATGGAGGGCCAGGTGGAGCGGGTGAGCGAGTTGTTGGATAAAGATGTGGATTTCGATGGGTGGTTGAGAGATGTGGTGTCTGCGAGTGCGCAGGTGGAGGAGTCGCGTGATGACGATTCGGATTGAGAGTTTCTTCCAAGTGTGCGGCTTATTGGTTGAGCTTACTCTTGGAGAAATGGGGGTCACTAAAGTTAGTTTTTGGTTATGGTATCATTATACTTTTTTGTCTTTTACTGTGTCCACGAATGAATGCAACGCCACGATGCTGCCTCGAGGCCACGGAGCCGTTGTCTGGTCCCTTTCACTTTTCCTTACAAGGCACTTTGTTCTGAGATGGGGTCACGGAAGATGCCGACACGCCTCGAGGCGGGTGATAGGGGTTAGGGTTTCCTTACTGAGCCACGGTTTGAGTTGCACGTGATGGGGCGCATGTTTGATATCAAAGTGAAGGACACAGCCAGCCTCCCCCACCGTCCTCCCCACCCACAACAACGCGCAAGACACCCGCCCGCTGCAGCCCACGATGAGCAGGCGAGGTTCAGCGCTGTCTCTTAATGACAGGCAGAACGACACCCTCAACGCGTTCGAGAACTGTGAGTCAGCTCTCCCTCGTTCAAACTTGGGACCTCGACCACGTGTTTGGGGCTACTGACGCTGCTTCCCCTCGCAGTCAAGAAGAAGTGTCTCCTCGCAAACACCCACATCACCAAGTCTGTTCTCCCTTCCACGCTTCCTTATGAAACGCCTGTTCTTATCAGATTAATGCTTGTGTCCCAGACTCAACTCCACGCTCAGCATCCGGATCGAGGAACTCAATGCCCAGATCTCCACGCTCCACGTCGAGAATCTGCGTCTGCGCGCGTCCGAGATCAAGCTGACCGCCCAGCTCAAGAAGGAGAAGGACAAGTCGCGTAAGGTCATGGCGGACACCGAGGCTGCGGTGCGTCCCCTGTCTTTCCTGACCATACCGCCGTCTCACTATATTCTGCTCTCCCATCCAAAGACCCACAAACTCACAAAACACCTCCACTTCCTCCGCGACTCCCTGCACATCCCGCACGGCCCGCCCTCGCCCACCCCCGAGTCCGCGCCCGCGCAGCGCACCGCCAGCAGACCCACCCCCGCTACCTGCGGCTCGACAATGGTGCCGCGCATCTCGCGCCCGCCAAACGTTCCGGGGATCTGCGAAGAGGACGAGACGGGGGAAGGGGAGGGAGAAGGGGAGGGGGAAGCCGAGGACGACGAGCCGCGGATACCGAGCCCGACGCTCCGGCGCAAGGCGAACAAGAACAGGCTGTCGGCGTCGCGTTTGCCGCTGCCTGCGAGGGCGCCGACGCCGACTGAGCTGGCGCCAGCATCTGTGGAGGAGAAGAAGAGCGGGAAGAAGAAGAAGGAGCTGTCGGCGAGGAGACAGGGCGGTATGCTTGGTGATCCCACCGGGCTTCCAGATGGCGACGAGGTGCTCGTGCCGCATCGGTCGCCGACGCCCATGCAAGGGTCGTCGACAGCGGTGTACCGCGATGCTCCCATCGAGATCGACGAAGACGAGGCGGGTGTGGCCGAGCAGGTCGCCGCGCCTTCAACTTCACGCAAGGAGAAGGAGCGCACAAAGGAGAAGGAAAAAGCGAGAGAAAAGAAACGGCCGTCGAGCCGCTCGAGCGAGGAAAACGCCGCGTATAGCACTGTGGACGAGTCCGAGTCGGGCAAGTCCTCGGCGGCAGCGTCCAGTGGGTCGCGGGACTCGAAGGAGAACGAGAAGAAGCGCAAGCGCGACGCGCGCGACGAGGTACGCGAGTACGAGCTTGCGACGCCCGAGGGCACGGCGGTTCAGCTCAAGCTGAGGCTCAAGGACGTGACTAACTCGCCGCGGAGTCGGAGCAGGGCGCAGTTGCCACCGATTGATACGACCGGTGCGTGTCCGTCATTTATCTTCCCCCTGTGTAACAATGACTGATTGGTCGATGTATGCGCTTTGTAGACCTCGACCGCCACCACTCCCATAACGCACGGACGCACTCTGCGCCCTCTGCGTCGTCCATGTCCATGTCTACGTCCGACGCCGAGCAGCCGACGCCGCTCTCGACGATGTCAGCTACGACAGCGACGTCTGCGAGTACTTCACGCACGTTCTTGTCCAATAACAGCGCGCTCAGCACACCTGCGACGACACCCGCGCCCTCGTGCTTGCCGACGCCGCGAACGAGCACACCTCCGCCGCCGCCGTTCCCGGACGAAGACGCGACGTCGGTCGGCGGGCGCGAGCGGAGAGCGAGGAGGAGCGTGAATTATGCGGAGCCGAAGCTCAATACGTACGTCTTTCGTCCAGCCTTTTCTTTCTATGACGTATGATCATCCTAAACCATATTTGTTCTATGCGGTTACAGCAAAATGCGCAAGCCCGACCCGCAGCCCGGCTCCGCGCCCGCGCCGGCTCCGAAGGGGAGCAGGAAACGCGTGTCCTCGCCGCCTGTTATGCCTATGTCTGCGACGTCCGCGTCTGCGCTGGCGTCTGCGATCTTCGAGTCGGGCGCGGGGGAACCGATGGACGTTGATGCGGATCTGACGCCCCGTCCGCATCGCCGGCGGTCGAAGGAGAGCGTGCATAGTGTGCATGATGAAGACGCCGAGGATGCGATCGAGGAGGAGGATTGTGCGGGGGATGATGACGGGGAGTATATCCCGCCGGCTCATGCGCGCCGTGTCTCCGCTGCTTCCTCTTCCTCCTCGGCGGGTAAACGCCCGTCCGTGGCGGACGCGCTCGTCCTGCCCCCGCGCTCGAGCTCGGTAGCGTCCTCGAGCTCGGGCGTGACCACGAAGCGCAAGAAATCGCGGGCGCATGGCTCGTCGTCGTCGTCGGCATCGTCGTCTACCATCGCGCATTCCCGCTCCCAGTCGCACTCCAACGCAGAATCAGGGTCAGAATCGGAGGTTTCAGATCCCGACTCGGGGTCGGACAGCGCGGGCACGCAGGGGGATGCTGAGTATGGCGGGCTGGGTGCTGTTGCTGCTGGCGGGGCGTGGGTGGGCGCTGCTGATTCGGGGCGGCGGCGCTCTGTCGCGCACGGTAAACGCGCGTCTTCGGCGGGCGGAAGTGGGAGTGGGAGTAGGGGGTTTGGGGACGGGGATGATGCGCGAAGGCATAGTATGGCTGTCTAGGGCTGGATTTTGGGTCTAGGCGATGCGACGCTCTACGGGTGGGTTTGTGGGCTTGTCTTTTGCGTAGGTTGTGCTGAGAAGGAAGGAAGGAAGGAAGAAGGAAGTGCTCTTATGCTTGTGTACGACGACATGACCCGCGCGTCTGGTGTGGTTCTGGGGGCTTTGCAAAGATCAAGTTCGAATTTTCAGCTATACCTTATTATCTTATCCATTCATAGTTCACGTTTTTCTATCCCGTCATGATTCTCTTTTCTCTCTTTTTTTCTCTTTTCTTTTCTCGTGGTCTTGATTAACGATGTTATATCCTGCATATTTTATTAATCTGCGCGCATACCATACGCTGCGTCTGTTTTTCAGGTGGTTGGGTTTTTTATTGTATATATTTCAAGGTTTTTACTGTCGGCGGATTTCGAATGCTACCCATGGCCAGAGGAATGACAGGATGATTGGATATTGAATGGAATAAGACGAGGTGATAGTCGTTCAGCGGAATACAAGATGATGGTACATTTGGTGGTATAGGTACAATGGGGACTACTTCGACGGGGTGCCGGAAGGGCAAGCAGGAGGGCGCATTTCTTCGGGAGAGCCTCATAATGGTTGTCAAGGACGCGGTGGTTAAAAGTACGCCTGGAGGATCGTGTTCAGCATGAGAACTAGGTAGCCCAGCATGTAAGGAAAAAACGTACAGCGGCGTTGGGCGGACTTGCGGCACCGCCGATTCTACACCGCGTAAACGTGATGAGCCCATCAATTTCAATGAGGAGGAATGGGGTGTACGTACATGTGCAGAGGCCACGAGGTGAAGAAGAACGTGTATCTGCCTGTCGCTTTGCAGGTCTCGGACAGGGCTTCGACGTCGAAGAATTCGCCTACGTACGGTCCAGGTCAGTTGCGAAGCGCATGGCGAGGTGATGATGAAATTTTGAGGAACTGACCTATCGGCATGCCCCAGAGACTTGATTCGCCTTTGTGTTAGCACGAAGTTTTGGGGTACGTTGTGGTCACGATGTGAGTGCTTACCCGAGGAACGTCTGGTGCAGGTTCTTGACACCCTGCGGAGACGGCCATCGCTGTGCAGAGGGTCATCGTGGGCAGCGCACTCGTCGAAGGGCGGCAGCACGAACCTCCATGGATGGCTGGTCAGATGCGACGGCTGCGAAGTGGTTGTTCCTGGACACATGCGATTCGGTTATAGATCAGATTCACGTATAAGAATGAACATGTGTACCAGAGGAACCGCCTCATCTCGTCTGTCTGCTCGATGCCCGCGCTGCATCGGATTTCAGCTAACCCAGCAATTCACATACATCGAATAAAACGCACAAATTCTCCATATGCTTCCCCGCCCGCAGACTGTGCTTCTGTTCTAGACTGACCATGTAGTACTTCTGCATGAAGCCCACCCTGAGCAGCAGAATATCCCCAGGACGGAACTTGACGCCCTCCTTCTTCGCGACGGCCTCAAGATCCGCGACGGTGATCGGGTGCGACGTCCACGGGTCGTACGGCAGCTCGCCGCCGTCGGCCGTGTGGTAGTTGACGATGTCGAGCAGGACGCCGCGGCCGACGATGCCGTGCCGGGCCCAGTCTTAGTCGAGCGTCACTGTCAGTCCGCGGGGTAGTATTAATGCTGAGGAAGTTTAGGTACGCACTGTGCATGCCGAGCTTAACCTTGGCATAGTCGATCTCGCTTGGGTCGTTGATCTCCAGCGGGCCTTGGGATAGCGCTTCCGCGGGCGTGCTGTAGGTGCGCGCTGTTCGTCAACGTGTGTTCTGGGTTCGCCATGAACTGACTGTACGTACTTGTTGTAGAAGATATTATAGTCCCGCATGCCGTAGTGCTTCAAGCCGTCCCATTGAGAGCCGGATTGGGTGTTCTAGAAAACAGTTCATGTTCGACGACTCTACAAGGGTGGGGAAAGAGAGAACGTACAATATGGATAACGTCGTCGCGCACGGGATCGTCATCACCGTACTTTGGGTACGTGGTGATCTCAGGCACTTTCCGTTCGAACACGGGCTGCAGTAATTCGTCAGTACTCTTTCAAGAGCCTTGAGGAAACTATCTTTGCATACCCTCGAAGGGAAGTGGATGGGCCTGTGAGCCAAGGCGGTATTTACAATGTCAGACCGGTACATTCCAGTCGAACATCTAACTGGGTACCCACCAGTTCAAACACACAGCCTTACCAGTCCTGAAAGTAATATTGTTAACATCCTCTCAACACCACTAATTTAAACGAAGAAACACGAACAACCCCACTCACTTGATCTCCTCCCTCGCAGCCCGCGCGACAACCTCCTCCGTGAGCAAATTGATCGTGCCGAGCTCGTCCTCCTTGCCCCACACCTCCCACGCGCACCCCTTGAAGTCGTGGAACAGCGGCAGCTCGTCGAAGCTGGGAATCGCCTTCCCATTGTGCGTCACAAGCACGTTGGGCGTCAACCCGTTCGTTGTCACCCCATTGATGCCGTTCTCCTCCTTCTCCTTTGGCGAAGTCGGCGAACGCTGGGAAAAGATGCGCTTCAAGAAAACCGACATTGTACGTTAGTACTTGTACTAAGACTGCCGGGTGTTGGTGTTGTTTGCTGGTTAATGTGGCTGAGCAGCGTCTAGCGGCGAAAGACAGGGGGAGAAGCGGGTGTGAACATACTTGGAGACCTTATATGCATCCGTTGGGTGGAGGCCCCACCCAAGCGCCCCAGGTGACTATGTCAGAACGCCCACAACTGCTGAACGGAGGAGCCATAGCTCGCCGACGGGCCACCGTACCCGTAACCATTGACATGTCTCGTACCGCACCACCGGTTGAATGTGTGGAGGCAAGCCTTCGAGTTCCGCCAGCCCGTGACCCAGATGCTGAATTAAAGCGTGTTGATAGATTGAAAATAGAATACAAAGATACCTAACAATTAGTAAAGGGGAAGGGATAAGGCGAACAGAGGTCATGAGAGCGCTGCTGCTGACCCCAAGAATGATGCCCGCGACTCGCACGTATTCTTAGCTCTCGTGCTCTTCCCACTTCATATCACCCACCTGCATCTATACACTTTCTTCTATTCGTTCGTCATCCGTATCATCCTATCCAAATGCAGCGCCCGCTGAGGGGGGTCATCCACGGATAAACGGGTGGATAAGCGCTTCCTTGGGCGTGATACGCCGTGCAGGATCGAGCGCGAGGCACTTGTCGAGCAGGTCGATGAATGACGCCAGCAGCTTGCTTTCGTCATCATTCATCTTCACGGCCGCGGGCGGCATCAGCCGTGCGCGAAGGTCCCGCGCTGGCTTTGAGACGTGCACTTTGCGCACCACGTTCTATGGAAAAGTGCATCAGCTGACTGCACCTCCAATGTACGCGCAGGAATGAATGGGTGAAAAGGACATGGGAGCGCACGAAGGGGAAGAGAGGCATGACCAGCGTGAAATGAGAAGGAAGACTTACCGCCCCAGTCACACGATCCACCTCCAGACTTTGGAACGCGCCCATCTCATCAAAGTACACGTCCCCAAACTTGGCCTTCTTGATCATTTTGGTGTTGAACCGCCCCTTGAGATCCATCATGAGCAGCAGCATCTGGTTGTTTGAACGCCCAGGAAGGAGGATGCGGCCCGTGTACAGCTCATATAGGGTGCACCCAATCGACCAAACGTCGAGCGCGGGGTCGTAGGGTACTCCGAGGACTAAGATGTCAAAGTAAGAACGAAGAAACGAAGAGATAAAGAGATAAAGAAACGAGAAGGCCAATGCTTACTGATTTCGGGGGCACGGTAGAACCGCGAGACGAGGTAAGGCGTGATATCATTCTCCGCTGCGTCGGATGCGGAGCCCAAATCGCACAGCTTGAGCACCGTCTTCTGCTCATTGACCTACGTAACCATTCCATAAGGCATGACACGCATGGGGATGGATAGAAAAACGTACGAGGATATTATCAGGCTTGATATCGGCGTGCATAATATTCAACTTCTTGAGTAAACTCAAAGAGAGGAATAGCTGGTGAGCGTACGCCCGCACCGCCTTGATGTTTAAACCAACGTCCTTGCCAAATCGCTTGACGACGTCTCGAAGATTCATACTGCATAAGTATGTTAGCAGAATATTTCTCAAGCAATGGGTATATGCGCACCTCATAGACTCGAAGACCAAGCACAGATGTCCGCGGTGCTCGAACGTCCGCTCAAGCCGAACGACGTGCTTCTTGTCTTCTGGGTCAGCCTGCTTCAGCTTGTTGAGGATCTGCACCTCTTTCTGCCCTGCGCGATACCTAAGGCGAGAAATTGTCAGGCTCACTGGGCGATAAGAAATGAAGAAATGACATGCATCGATTCCTGAGCGCGTACGATCTTGATCGCAACTTCCTTGTTGGCCGGTTCGCCCGGCTCGGGTTGAAGTACGCGAGCCCGAACGACATTGGCGAACATGCCTTTGCCGATGGATGAGAATACCTGATACCGCCCGCCGTCGAGCTGTTCTCCAAGGATGACGGAGTAGTATCCCTCCGGATCAGCGGCAGTGTCGAGAGTGGTAGTGATAAGCGCGGGAGCGGCAGGTTTCTGCTTGAAACGCTTGGTTTGCACCGAGAGCGAATGATAAACTAGGAGAATGCTCACCACTTGAGCGACTCTCTTCACCTTCTTGGGCTTCTCTCTCGTAGCAACCGCAAACATATCGTCAACGTCATCCTCCTCTTCCTCGACATACTCGGTCTCCTCGATGTCCTCTACGATGACGGGGTCTACAGCCATCGGTTCGTCCTTCAATACGCGTCTATGTTCGTCTTCACGTCGGTCAAGGCTGGGGTCGTAATCGGCAGCCGAAATTTGCATAGACGTCCCGTCCTGGGCTTCTTGTACTCGAGCTTGGGCACGGGCCTCTTCTTCTTCTCCGTCTTTGGCGAGCTCGAATGCACCTCCTGTGTCGCCTGACTCTGGGGCGGGGGAAGGGGTGTCGCGTTTACCTAGAAGAAGGACACGGTAAGATATATGCGCTTAGTATCTGCTCTTATAAGTGGAAATAGAATCGAAACCTACTCTGGAAACCGCTCGGTGGAGGGACGGACACGGAGGGAGATGCTACTGAGCTGGGGAGCTGCGACGCGGAACGACTGTCAGATACGGGTAAAAGCGAGGGAGGCGGCTGGACCGCACTGCTGCTTGTTCCTGTTGCGGTACCAGGGGTTGCGTTTGCGCTTGGGTCAGTGCTAGAAAGACCCGCGTGCTTGGCAAGGATGGCCTGGCGACGCGCACGACGGGCTGCGAGTTGCTCCTCGATGGACTGGGCGGGGAGTTCAAGCTCTAGTTCTGTTTCGGGCTCTGCAGGCTTTGGGAGTTGCGGAGGAGGCTGGGATGATTGGGATGATTGGGCCTTGGAAAGAGATATAGGAGGGGGAGGGACAGGTGCAGATGAACCGCCGCGCGTGGAGGGTGCGGCAGAGTCGTGGCGCGTGCTCGGCTGAGGCGAAATTCTTACGAAAAAGCGACAGCATGTTAGTACACAGCCTACACGAGTGTAATTCAGCGCGTATAGGGAGGATACTCACTCGCCTTCTTCCTTGTCCGAGTCGTGTTTTGCGGATCCTGTTCCGAGTGACAGCCCCGGGGAACGTCTGTCGCGCGTAGAGCCAGCAGGACTGCGTCGTGCGTGACTTTTCCCTTGTTCACCATCCCTCCTCCGGTGGCTGAGTTCTCGAGAGCGAGAGCGACGCCGTTCGTGTCTGCGGTGGTCGTCGCGCCTATCTCTATCCCTCTCCGTATCTCGATGTTCCGAGGGGCGCCATGAGTCGGACCGTCTATCCCTGCCGCTCTCTCTTCTACTGGATCCAGGCTTCCCTCCATAACGTCGACCGTCTCCATTCCTTACATGGCCGTCTCTTCGGTCTCGTGAGCGGGAGCGTGGCCGCTTGTGGTTGTTGCGAGTGTCGGGCTCATCCCTTGGACGCTTTGCTCCTGCGGGTGGGTTAGTCATCTTCTTTGAGTAAGATTCGGGTTACAAGGGCACCGCACGATCAAAGGAAAAGAGAGGATATGCGGTTAAGCACGGGGATGCAAGGGAGGTCGGGGTCGGGGAGGAGCAAGAGCTACTGCTGCGCCGCGTTTGGCGCCGTCCAAGACAGTTTGCAGTCCAGACCTTTGTTTTTTGGTACAATCCTACCGGACTCGGCCATGCATGAGCCAGAATCTCACGGATTTATATATATTTACTGCTGATATGTAGAGAATTCACACTGACTTCCGAGTCCGACGCGTGGTGCGCCGATGCGTGGCTTGCTGTCATCTGGTCAACTCGAGCACTCTGTCGAACCTCCAAACGGGAGTTGCGCTACGTTACGTGTTTTACTGCTGGAACATGTTAGTCTAACGGCGACGGGAGTCTAATTTTTTGCTGAACGCGGCTCAAAAACGCATTAGGTTTGCTGTACGCAAGTCACGCTGAAAAAAGATGAAGCATATATGTTTCGTTTCATTGTGACAGATGCGCTGAACGCAGTATTCTTGCTCCGTGGAAATCTTTCACTACTGGTGGGGGCTTGCTATCTTATCCTTGGGCACCTTGATCTTAGCTTGGTAGTTCTCGTTGATAGCTTTGTCCAGCCACGTCACCTGCACGATTGTGGTTAGCTTGGCTGGTGAGCATTGTAGGAGCTCGCGGACTTGCCCAGTCATTGACATCGAGGATATCAAAGCTGCTCGATACCATGTTGAACTCCTCGGGTGGCAACAGGTGTACTTTCAAAAACTGTGTGATCAAGTTGTCACAACTTAGTACAATGAGACCTATCCGGCGTCCATCTGACAAGTCTGGGAAGACGTCTCCGTGCATGTCGGTCGTGGCCATTCGAATGACCTCAAGGTCAGCGGTCTGCCCTTTAACAACATCGTACCTCTGGTGGAGCGGGTAATCGAGGCGACCAGCTTTTGGTGTGAACTTGACAAGCAAGCCCCGAGACCTGTACGCCTCTGGATTCGCGTCGAGTTTGAGAGCATGGTGGAATGCTAGCGTAAACACCGGAACTTGAAGTCGCGCCCTGAAGTGGATTCAGAACAGCCCTTCAACGAAAGAGAGCAAGCAGACGGACCATTTCTCGAACTCTTTGACGGCCCTTCCATCATCAGGTTCAGTTTGCATGGCGGCTTGCCTCATCCTCGTCGTCATTCTGCACATCCCCTGCGAATGGCCATCACCAGTGACGTGCGGTTAAGTATAGTCCACTCCATGGGGACTCTGGACAAATACAGCACCTTATGAACAGGCCAGTGGGATCATTGGCATTCCGGACTCTGTTACAACCACCACGTCAGCGAGACTAATCAACCTATATTGCCAGCAAGCTGATGATCCAGGCTCACGCAGTACATGACTTGCTTGCAGCCTGAGCAACGCTGCAGTGGTTTCTGCCCCGGTTCTTGGGGTTTTGCACAAGCGACACATGCTTTGACAAAGCGTGCACTGCCCTGAGACTGCAGCGTTCCGTCTACGATGCTGGGAATGTGATCCAAGGATACGCCATCACTTGCGCTCATGGCTAAGAGGGACTATGTGAGGAGCGTGCTGGATATTCTGTGAGTCATTCTCTGGTCATGAGTACGATATATGCTTACATGGGTTCTGATCAACGGTCCTTCTCTATCTCAAATCCGTCGGAGTTGAATGGTGGAAGGTGAGATGAGTGCGCTAAACTTAATGCGGGTATGTATGGGCACATGTGGAAAGCACGTTTTCAGTGCTAGCCGAGCAGTGAGTTCGATCGGCACCTCCTTTTGCACACAACGCACAGAGTACTTGAATATTGTTATGTAAACGTGTTTGAAACTATGTTAACAGCGGTCCATCCCCACGACATGCTAATAAGTAGTAATACAGTCACGACTATCCTAAATCCACTGACCAAGTAATCCCCCGTATCACTAAAATTATGACGCTTTCTTTGTTTGCCACTGTTTATTGCATTGCCTTGAAGCTCCGGCGGCGCCTGTGCGTGAAAATTCCGTAGCGCTCTCCGTTGCATTTTGCACTGGATTTCCATTGTGACACTTTATCCGAGTTTGGTGTTTCCTCGTGTGGCGTTATGTGTGATATCATTGCTTAGCAACCTTTTCTTAAGTCCTAAAAATGGTAATTATTGGGGGACTGAGCATATAAAACAAGCCCCAGCACGTAGCATTTCCTCCCCACTGTTCTCTCCCAAGCTCTCATAGTGGAACACCTATTCTATGCAGCTATGCCCATGCGATCAAGCTTAAAAGACGAGTACTGTAGATTTTCTAGCTGTCCTGCGACCTGCATTGTGCTACCATGTCTCAGACATCCTAGATTGCTCTCGTACCCGAGGAATAAGTGTTTTGGATATTCCTGTTGCATATCTGTCTCTTCAGGACGTTGCCGGGATGCGTAGAACGCGCTGTTGGCTTGCTCCCCGTTTTTTTTTTCTTCCACAGAGATTCAGAGATATCTTGCATGTGTTACGTTAGTATATGTGCCGTTTGTTGTCAGCTTCAGCGTTTCAATGCTGTTCCTACTGAGTTACATGTGTTAAACAAGCATTAGCATGAATTACTACCCTCCAAGACGTCTAGACCTCCCATTTTAGAGTTGTAAGTATCGAAGCCGGTGAGGGCTACGACATGTGCTCTCACGAGTTCAAAGGGGATCAAGAGAGAACCGAGTGCCGATCGATTGCTAGGGAGTAAGTACAAAAATGCGAGTATCTAAATCTTCGAAAGCGAAACCTCAAGGCAAACGTGCGATGGACATACGGTGGTCTAGGTGCAGACACGATGCTACCCTTACAGAGTTCTCGCTTAGTTTGTCATTTTTGACAGTCACACTACCAGAACGTTTCGTAGGAGATACTGCATGAGTCAGTGGTGCTGTGACCTAAACTCCAGGTGGAGCGTTATCGTAACCTTTGAGTTCAACTCCCGATTTCTGTTCCCAATTTACAATAGTGCATAAGTAGATCAGAATACCCAATATTATTTATCCAGAATCCATCCACCGTATCCACTGTATCATTAAAATTATGACCCTTTATTTGCCGCTATTTACCTATTGCATTGCCTTGAGACTCCCGTCTGATACGAATTCCGTGGCGCTCTCCATTACATTTTGCACTGGATTTTCAGAGGGCTTTATCCGAATTTGGTGTTTCCTGGTGTGTCGTTCTAAGTTAGATGTGCTAGACATGCATTAGTAGGAATAACTACCCCAAAATATCTAGATTTTCCATTCCATATCACCTCCGTTTTTGCTGTACATTGCCCATAAATAGACATTAGTGGATCGCGGGCAACATTAAGCTATGGTGCTGTCACTTTGTTTGCCATTTTTAGCGATTTCATTGACATCGCGGCCCTGGAACTTCCGTGGCACACGGCATAAGTTAATGGTGCTTTGCCCCGAAATTCTAGTAGTGATCCGTCCTGGACTTTTGGTATCCGTAAAGCTCTTATTTCACGTTCGTGGTTGACTAGTAAACAAGTTTTAATCGTTAATTGAGTCGGGATATCACATCCTACTCATCCTACAGTGATAAAACCGGGGGAAAATTGTATGGCTATCTATTGCAAAGCAACCCTTAGTTTCTTAAATTGTCCCTTTCAACCGTATCTGACCTCTTAGTTGGTATCCACGCACTTCAATCGTAGCCAATTCTCAGTCATTTTGGTCGTTTGACATTTATCTTGACTGTACTACGGCCGTCTGTCATGTCTCGGCCTTATTCTCCTATCACCACTCTTGGGCAACTCTTGGGCGTTCGAGCGAGAAGTGGTATAAACCGGAAGTAGCACATGAGTAATCATTCAATCTAAGCCAGTATCAGTTACAGGAACTATAGTGTAAACAAACCGGAGTGGAACGAAGGTGTTGCCAGTGGCCTTGTACTTAATAGACAAACGACTTAGTATGAAATCCTTGCGATCAATATAACATCAACAAAACGTAAACAACATAACATCCTTTGTAAAAATAGCGTCCTTTGCAGAGAATTTTACCTGAAGGACTTCGGTAACTTGATCGTGTCCTGGAAGTTCTTATTGATGGCTTTATCCAACCACTTCAACTACAACATTGCCATAAGTTTCTGGGGACGATGACGTGCAAAGAGTCAGACTTGCCCAATCGCCATCCACTGGTTTATCGATGCCCTTTGCTGCGTCTCCGATCTCTTGCAACGAGGGTAAGTGTAATTTGAGCACGTGGGCAACACGATCGCAGAACAACAGGATGAGACCCGTAGGACGGCTGCCCTTTAGAGTCTCTATACCATGCACTCGGTTTCGAAGCCGACCCAAGCGCGTACAAGACTAGAGGCGTCGTTGTCCAGTTTGCGTCGAAGCCTAACCACCTTAACTATCCGATGTGTTGAATTCGTGAGCCTGTCATCGTGTTCACGTAATCAGCCGATGCCGAGATAAGATAACAAGACACGAGATGGGCGGATAGACCACCAGACGAGTCACAAGTCCCGGGCCAAGGCTCGGGAAAGCAGAAGCTATTTATTAGAGAATCAGAAGCTAAATACAAGTACAGGAGCTACAGAAGTACTCCTAATGTATTTACTAGTATAAAGGAAGCGAGAAATCATACCTGAGCGCTATCAGCGTATCGCACACCCTTTCTAAGCGTGAATCCCAAGAGGTTATGAGCCCCGCGCTCCCGCTCGCATATATTTACACCACGCTTCTTCATCGCCTCGCTTGCCACATCCTATTCCTCACGCACCGTGGACAGGCCATGCCGGAGAACGGCAGCAGAAGCACATCACGTGCTTGCGCGTTCGGACTCAGACAGTCCATACGAAACTGGCGAAAGCCAGATTCGTGCAATTATATTTGCAATTCCCCTGAGACGGTCCATGTTACCAAATGGGTAGATGACATAATAAACATTTATGTGAATAAACAAAAACAGAAGTACTCGGGTGAGATTGCCCGAGTAGAATCTGCATAAGGCCGAGAAGCCCAGCAGAAGACCAAACAAAAACTAGATACTCTCTATTTACGGAGCAGGTATTTGGACACGCATTAAGCGGACTGGTCAGACAATGTCCTGCTTACGAGAAAAAACAAACATGACACATGTTCCCAAACCTCAGAATTTTGATTTGTTCACACGTTTGTAACATACTCAAATGGACTATGAAGTTCTTTAAAAAACTACGAAAGACAGACATAAAATAAAAGATACACCTGAAAGGTTGTAGAATAAGTTCGACAAGCTGTGTTCATCATGAGAGAGAACCCGACTCATGTTCTTTGCCGAAAAAGGCAAGAGCTAGAACTGAGATTGAAACAGTCAAGATGAGACTGACTCTCTATACCATATATGGTAGCAAAGTTTAAACTCAGACATGAGTAGTCGCACTCGAAAGTGCTCAAATAAATGAGAAAATATCTATAGAAATATAGAGTGTCTCGATGACATATACTCCAAAGACAAGATAGAAGTCCGAATAATTGGGCTGAGACAGTCAGACTGAAGTTGCGCGCCAAATATGGCAAGAGCTTAAAAACTCAGACAGAAAAATCATCATATAAAAGAGCCTATCGAAGACAGGTCCCTGAAATTATTCCCCCGAGCATACTGACTGAAGTCAGGGGGAGTTAAAAATATGAGAGATGGAGACGAAAATATACAAAGTTCGGGAGACAAAAATGTCCCAGCGAACTCTAATGCACTTTCCCAGCCGGGTTTCCGGCATGAGGGGGAGTAGTTAGATACCACGCCGAAACCGGCATATAAAAAGCTGCTTAAATGGGCATAAAGAATTCTAGAGTAAAATACGAAAGCTAGAATTAGATCCAGCGTCAAAATAGGCGAAAAACGTGATCAGACTAAAGACACAATCAGAACAAAATCCGAGTAGAAAACTCAGTAACAAAAAACCAAATAAGAATCTGCGAGTCAAAGAAACAAGGCTATTAAAAAGCGCTACTGCGTGGCCTAACTATACACTAGACCAAAGGCATAAACAAGTCAAACCCTAAATGAATAAATAATCATAAAAGCTGGGATGCATACCAGCCTAAAACAAGACTTAGCCTAATAAATAAAAAGTTCTCTTGCATGCTGAGAATTTTAAGAATAGAAAGCTCGTCAGATTAAAGAGCACAGTTGAAAAAATCTTCGAAGTAGACAAATGGGTCTGATGTATCCTCTGGAACCAGCATCCGATAAAATATGAAATAGCAAACTGTGGGCGTGAACATGCTTGAATAATCAATGCTGGCACGCGAAACTAAAGAATAAAATATAATAAAGACAACAAAAGCAACTGGCCATTGCTTAGTCAATTCAGACCTACAAACGGAGTAAACGCTCGGCGAAAAATGCCGTGTAAACACCGCGTTTATTATACAAAAAGAATAGACATAAAATATGGATATAAAGAAAGCATAAAACACTTTCAGACCATATATCATTCACGAAAAGAATTAATAAAGAACCCAGAGATGACACAAGATTATCAGAACAAGACAATGACAGTGACTATATTCACCAAACCTCTCCCAAAACCAGGACACGAAAAACGTGTCCCAGACTCGGCATGGACCAAGGTTTGAGGGGGAGTGTTGAATTCGTGAGCCTGTCATCGTGTTCACGTAATCAGCCGATGCCGAGATAAGATAACAAGACACGAGATGGGCGGATAGACCACCAGACGAGTCACAAGTCCCGGGCCAAGGCTCGGGAAAGCAGAAGCTATTTATTAGAGAATCAGAAGCTAAATACAAGTACAGGAGCTACAGAAGTACTCCTAATGTATTTACTAGTATAAAGGAAGCGAGAAATCATACCTGAGCGCTATCAGCGTATCGCACACCCTTTCTAAGCGTGAATCCCAAGACGATGTACCAAAGGTATAATGTTACTGGCGGGTTCACTGAGGACCTCGATACCATTATCCAGTCGGTGCCTCCGCGATTGGCAAATTCCGAAGAGCTCAAGCCGCAAGTGTGAACACTGGGTTATTCAGCTGCACCCTGTCTCGGTTTGATTGGTTTGCCGTGCGAAGAGAATAAGAATGAAGCACACGGACCATCTTCCGAACTCGTGGACTGCCCTTCCACCATCAGACTCTCTTGATTTGGCGTTTTGAGCTGCCTTCCTGTTCAATTTACACGCCACCTGTCAATCGGTGCCGTCAATGCAATGAGAAGTTAGAAACACGCTACTCTCTAATCACGGCAGGGTGAATACAGTACCTTGTGCTCGGGCCAATGGGCTAGTTGGCATTCTTTGTTCTATGTTGAAACAGATGATATAAAGCCGTGTCTCGTGAGACTGTGATAACTGGCTTACGCAGTATCGGACCCTCCCGCACCCCGAGCAGCTCAGAAGTTTCTGATCAGGAGTTTCTGGTCTATCGCAATTAACGCACCCCTTGATAAGATGCGAGGACAGGACTACTAGCTCTTCTTCTCCAGAGTTGCTGCCCGGCACGCCTACCGAACTGATACTGTAGCTAGTGCTCATGAACCACAGATAGGAGATCGGCTGTGGTGCTGTATGTTAGTTGCTCTCCGATTAGTGACGCAACATCAAACATACTTGCTGTGGGTTTGACGAGCTATCGTTTGCTCAAAGTTGTTTATCTGCTATCTGGTGCTCACCAGGGTGATGTGAGACAGTTAGCTGCAAGCTGAAGTGGGACAGAGGAGCGCATGTCTCAGATCGCCCCTGTTGGCAACCAATCGGCAACTGCCGGAAACATACCTTCGGAACATACGCGCGGGCACCAGGAAAGTAAAGGCCTTTGCAGAGCTTGAACTCTAGTCTGTCATCACTTAGAATGGGAATACATCTATAATCACTGAAATAACTATATGTCCGTTGATACACTGGACTGATGAGCACAGTGGGTGACGGGGCGAGGAATGACTGTCAACCACACGTACGCATATATGACAAGGGATGCAGCTCTCCAGCAATGAATAGAGATAAATCCTTCTCTGATAAAGAACCTATAAGAACCTGAGCGGGAGCACAACGCGACCAATCATCGTGATCACTATTTCTAATGTTGACCACCCTTGAAATCCCTCGGTAATCTGATCTTAGCCTGTAAGTTCTCGTTGATAGCCTTTTCTAACCAGGATACCTATGCAATTGCTATGAGGTCGCAAGAAGAAATCACACAGAATTAGCGGCTTACCCAGTCCTTTGGTATTCCGATGCTCCTCGCAATTGCTCCAAGCTGCTCAAGCTCCATCAGTCCCAACCGTTGCCACCGCGCCATGCCGTTGAAAGTGAGCAAAATAACGCCAATTTGACGGTCCTCTTCCGGCCTTGGATAGACGGTTGCCAACTCTTCTCCATGCGGCGTCTCGCTTACCATTTGATGGAGAGTATCTAGGCTAACAATGCATCCCATGCCGACGTTGTACCTTTGGTGTAGCGGATATTTGTGGCGATCGGGCTTGGCGGTGAACTCGACATATAAGCCATGAGACTTGTACGCGTCTGGATTTTTCCCGAGTTGCAGGGCATGATAGATTGCGAATACGAATATTGGACGGTGTAATGTAGCCCTAGGTGACGTTTACGGGAGCAACGGGAGCAGAAATAAGGAGCGGGCGAACCATTTGTCGAACTCTGCTGCGACCCCCGCAGCTTGAGGCTGAGAACCGCTGATTTCTTGAAGCATCTTTGCATTCAATTTGCAGAGTTTCTGACAGGGAAGGTACTCAGCGCGGGCGCCGCATAGACGTTGTGCTCGGAAGGAATGGTCATACCTTGTGTATAGTCCAATGAGCCCTTTGACATTCTGTACTCTAGTGTGAAGTGCTGAGGTAAGTCTGTATCGCGACGGGGCCATAATTTTGGCTTACGCAGTATAGGACCCTCTTGCAGCCTGCGCAGCGTTGTAATCGTTTTGAACCGGGGCCTTGGTGTGCGTCGCACGAAGCACATCCATCAGCCAAGATCCCGGGCCCCTGCCACTTCGCCTCTCCACCATAGTCGTCTTGAGGGGCGGGTTCCGATTTTGGGTCCTTCATGGTTCACAAATCGGGTGCGTCTGGTTGTGGATTCCTCCGTTTACCCTGCATCAGGTGACACAGAACATTGCATACCGAATTAGTGGCGCTTTCAATGTATGAGCGGTGGACAGGGGGCTACCTGGAACTCGGGGAAGGGAGGGGACGTGATAGAAAGAGGGAAGATGCGCATCAAGCTTTAAAGCTTTAAGAGTGCGACGCGTCTTGACGCGGCTAATCCGGCGCTTGCCGAAACTACAGTGGCTGCTTAACTTAACCCTCTAAGGTTTGCTCAAGGTATCGTGGTGCATCCCCGCCCTACATCACTCAGCGAAGTACGACGAGACAAGAACAGCAATACCATATAGACATATTAGTGACGCAAGGTGTAACGTTAAAGATTGCCCAATGCGTGTTCAGTAAGGCCCTTCAGATGACCACGATCAAGATAGCTAGAAGCATGATAAAAGAATGCGGTATACTAGTATGCACGCGATATGAAACCCAGAAAATACAACGATACCAGAGGCAAAAACAATATCACATCTAACGCCGTCCATCATTGCGAGCGGGTGGCTTTGAGAACTTGATTTTAGCTTCGAAGTTTTCGTTGACGGCCTTGTCCAGCCACATCACCTACAAACATAGCTACATGAGCTCGCTCAGCCACTAGTATACAAATTTGTGGACGTACCCATGAGTCTCTTGGCCCTTCGACGGTTCGCGCGGCTCTCTTGAGAAATATCGGCGGCGGCATAGTGACTCTTTGCCACTGCCTGACCAGGTTTTCTCTGTAACAAAAGACCATAATGCCCATTCGGCGGCCCTCTGCAATTGCTTGATCAAAGTCCGAGAGATCGCCGTCGGTTGTCCGGCGAATGAAGTCGATATTGCAGACATGTCCTTGAGCAACATTGTATCTCTGCGGCGGCGGGTAGTCCATGCAGTGAGGTTTGTCTGTAAATTGTATAATCAGACCCTTGGTCTTGTATGCATCTGGATTATTCTCGAGGTCCAGTCCGTGATGAAGTGCCACTGTGAACACGGCACGATGATGCGATATCCTGCTCATACTCGAAGGATTAACTCTGATGTGCAGTCGAAGATACGCACCAATTACAGAAGTCATCGGCATCCTTCCTTAATTCAGGACTGAGCATCCTTTCGTTTTCGCGCGACTGCATGTTCAGGCGGCATAAGTTCTACCAAATAGGTCACGTAAGAAGCCCGCAATAGCGACGTCCCACTGAGCGAGTATAGTCATAAGAAATGGCTGACCTTATGGATAGGCCAGTGAGCTCGCTGACAGTCCTTATTCTACAACCAGTGAGTGATCCAGAGTTCTATCTCAAAGATGTAGATGATATGGGCTTACGCAATACAGGGCCATTTGGCAGCCTGAGCAAGTATGCAGCCGTTGCTGTCCGGGTATAAAGGATTTATGGCACCCAGAGCAGCCTTTAACTAATCCTCCTTGCCCTGGACACTGCATACTTGGACTGTTGTAGGCAACAATATCTCCGCGGAGTTTGTATGGTTGCTGGGCGATGCACTTGAATATGTACCGAAGTAAACTTCATGAGTTACGTAGCGGCATGCATGGCGAATATCATAATTATGGCTTTACCACTGTCCAACGTTTAACCCCGGATATTCCTTTCTTATTCTGGAGCTGGTCGTTGGCTACTTGCGCTGGACGCTTGGCTGAACGAGATGAAGTGGGAGTAAGGCAAGCGCGCGTCGTTCCACGCCGTGATGCACCCCTATTTTAGCGCCTGCCGAGTCACTGACGTCACTCACAAGCGAGACAGTGGCAGTGCTCGAAGACGCTGAGACGCACCAATTTCCAGTGGACTGCAAGGGAATCGTTGGTGGAGGGCTGTAAAGTAGCGCTGCTCATGACATACTTGTACGAGTAACAAGGTAGCAACAAGTGAAAACCAACAGTGACCTGAAAGCCTAGGTACAACTAGCATTACTGTTTCCCACTGGACTTTCCGAACTTGATCTTCGTCACATAATTTTCGTTAACGGCCTTATTCAACCATGGAACCTAAGAGGATTGTGTGAGCTTCTTCACCCAACATTTACTATGATGAGCTTACCCAGTCTTCAGGAACACCGCCTACAATTGGCGCTGCATCCTTGAGCTCTTCGGGCGTCATCAACTGTGCTCGTTGCCATTGACACAGCAGGGGCGGGCACATCAACACAAGCATGCCAATTCGGCGGTCAGACGCTAGCGCTCGATCGTAGTCCGCGATGCCACCGGCGCCTGAAGTGTTAGCCACACTGCGAACCATGTCGAGGTCCGCGACATATCCAAATGAGACGACGTATCTCTGGTGGAGCGGGTAACTTTCACGATTCTCTTTTTCTTTGAAGCTGATAAACAGGCCTTTGGTTTTGAACGCGTCCGGGTCCGTCTCGAGCTTGAGTGCGCGATAGAGCACCAGGGTGAATAGAGGGTTGTGATGAGATATCCTGGATTTTGTAAATCAGTAATATCCAGAATACGAGGTGACAAGGAAGACAGCCAAACCATTTATCGAAGTCGTGCACGGCTTTTCCGCCGTCGGGCTCAGCCGATCTTATCTCTCTTCGCCTTTTGTCTTTAGAATGGCAGTGCTCCTAGCGAGTAGTAGCCGTTAGATAGCGTGCAAACTGTGTGAGGATGATGGAACATGACACCGTACTTTGTGAAACGGCCAGTCAGCCTTCTGGCATTTCGTGTCCTAGAGTGAAACAGTTAGAAGTGAGACCGGCCAAAGTCGGAGACATCAGTGGCTTACGCAGTACAGCGCGGTCTTACAGACTGAGCAACATTGAAGAGTCTTCTCTCCAGGGCGTTGAGCTTTGGTGCAATAAACACATCCTTTGACTAGATGACCTGGTTCCCGCTTGCCGCTGGGGTTACTATTGTTGGTGCTCATTACCTGCTATAAGGACTTCTCTTGAAGCAGAGATCAGGCCATAGGTACCAACAAATCCTTACCAGATGGCTTGCTCCAGAGTGTTTTCCTCCTGATTACCCGTGGCCGACAAGATGTATGCGAGACGAGATAGTAGCGAGAGGCAAACAAGAGGAGCGGACATGGATCAGAAATTGACAGACGTGTTGGTGACGTTGTTGTCTCGGCACTTACCGGACCCCAGTGATGACGCGAAAGTCAGACAGTGTTCCGAACTTCCCATGCTGACATGCCCTGTGCTAGGTGCTTCAAATACTTTGGTCATGATGCACGCCGTCGGTGAAGTGGCGTCAGATTAGGCGCCCAGTGCCCTCAATGTGGCAATGCACCATGGGAGTGCGCGCCTACACTGCTACCTTGCCACATCCTATTAATGCATTGCACATGTAATGCCCACAAGACACGCCGAGCTACGCTCCGGCACTTGTCCGGCACTTTCTATCGAAGTTGGCAATATCAATGAGCTCGAGCTCACACCGCTACAGCATATCAAAAGTTTCCCAAGGGCTTAGCTAAGGAAAAAAAACGCACCATAGATAACTGCACGTATCACCAGCAAAGTCACGGTGTCGTTCAACCACGTTCGGGATTTATTCGGGGTAAGCATGGCAGGCCAAGATCAAAAAGGAAACCCTCATATCAAAATGACAAACAAAGGGCAACAAAAGCCTACCATAATTTTGAAGATACGAGTTATATCAACGGATGCGCCAAAGCGCTCACTTCCTTGTTTCTGAGACAATAGGGCGTTTCAGCTAGTAGAGGGTGAAAAACTCGTGGTGCGGGTCGATGTCGGATACACCGCTGGTGCGGTAGATAATGGTAGCAGACGGGACCAAGTGGCTATTTGTCACTGCTCGTAGGAACGCGACACATCGCCCGAATTTTCTGCGATAGGTCAGAGTGAAACATGACTGAATAATGACACAGCTGTGGTAATAGGTTTGGATGTTAGTGACCGAACGTGCTCCCTTCGCTCTGTTAAAACAGCTGAACTTCAGTCGGATACATCGGTGAAAGTCGAACTATCATACAAGCGAAGATAGTCTACAGCCTGACAACAGACCACTTAAGCCACCACCACCCCTTTCCCCCCGAGTCGGTATGCTCCTTCGCCAAGTCTGGACGTATGTACGCAGTCGCGTCTTCGAGCTCCGCTTTAACCTCCACCGTGCCCTTGGGGAAGACGACTCCGTCCCATAGCTCCTTCCATGTCTCGGGCGAGTGGCAGAAGATCTGCACCTGCCCTGGCCCGGGCGGGCCGTATGGCTGGAATGACGCCTCGAATTGACCGGTGTGCGTGCCGAAGATGATGGAGCCCGGCTTGGGGGAGAGCAGGCCCGCGAGGCGCGCGGCGAGGTCGGCCTGTGCGTCCTTGGAGAAGAGGTGGAAGAAGGCGGATGCGTGGATCGCGGAGACGTGACCGCGCAGGGGGTTTAGGCTGGTGAGCGACGAGAGGTCCTCTGGGCGCTGAGAGGGCGAGGAGCTGTCGGGCAAGGAGAGCATGGCGTCGTCGAAGATGTTTCCCGGGATAAATTGGGCCGGGAACGACTGAGGAGTGGATTTGAAGAGCTCATGGCCGAGGTCCCAGAACTCTGCAGGGAGCGGGATTGGGTGTGGGGCATGAGGGAGGGTTAAGCGTAAACGCACCTGGGTGTAGATCGAAGGCTACCACGTTCTCTGCAGGAAATCCATCAGATACGGACTTTCGCGCGTCGTTGCCGACTATGAGGTGCCACGGTTTCAACAAAGAACAGTCAAAACGCGATGAACAACGTACAACAGCAACCGGCGTCAACTAAAATGGCACCGGGACGCTCTCTGCCGAGCCTAAGGACATGCTCATATGCAATGGGCGTCATAGACGATATCTTCAGCCTGCATGAGTGATCAGAGAATAGGGCTCAGCGCGAGTAGCTGGCAGAGAAATAGTCACCTACTGAGTGAAAGCGAAGCGAAGAATGCACGAGTACGGGAAGACCTAAGAGAGTGATAAGTTGATGTGAAGCGGAAAACGCTAGCGCAAAAGTACCTTGTACGCCTTCTTCTGTATGGCGACGATATGCTTCTTCAGCTCGTCGTCGTTGGCGATTCCAGTTTGGGCCTTGAAAAATGCACTTTCATCTGGCTTGAGGTTGTAATACCTGTCGTCGACAAGCTCCTTGTTCTTCATGTCGTAGCCTCTCTCGACGTTGGGCTTTGAGTCTGACATTACGTTGTAGCAGAGAGAAAAGAGACTTGGGTTCAGGAGGGGGTTTGCGAAACAGAAAGAGCTCAGTTGACGTCGTTATAAGGGACGATGAAGCCACGATGAGCGTGGCGATGTGATGTTGGAGCCAGTTGTCAATTGCACTGTTAATGAGATATCGCCTCCATGACAGGCGCTGGTATTGGGCGCAAATGGGGTGCGATCTCGGTGATAAATGTATGAAGGGTTGCAAAGCCGGAGCGCTGTACAGAAGCAAGCTGATAGAGAAGAGGAAAAAGAGCGCAGATGGAGATTGGGTCTTTGACCTTCTGTGTCAGCGACTACCATGTCTTGCACCGGTTTGAATTTTTTGGGCAGCTTCATTCGGGCGCCCGATCGAGAGGGCATGTCTCACATCCCCTGGCTATACGCGCCGATGGCTGTGCATCAAAGGACATTACGCCTAACGGTTTTCAGAGCGCGTCTGTTCAGCCTTCCTCGAGATCTTTTGCAGGCCAACATAGAAAGAGGTCCAGTGAATCTCTAAAAGCGAGACAAGCGCGTGTCGTGAGCCACGGCAGGGGGTAGGAGGTGCGTGTGCCTGTCACACCCGGTCTCGCGCGCAGGCTGAGAGAGGGGAGCTCCGCGTCAAACGCGCGTAACCGGGATATCCCGGACAGGCAGCAAGCGGGCACTGTTGCGTTTATCCCCGCCCACTTTTTCAGTTGCTTGTCACCGTCGCCGTTTCGCTCGTCGCCCCCCTTCACCAGCCAGCCAGCGCAAACTCAGCCAGCCATGTCCCAGCGCATCCTCGCCTCTGTCCTCCGCGCTCGCCCCACCACCGTCCTCACCCGTGCTGCCCCGCGCGCACCCGTCGTCTCCGGTCTCCGCTGGTCCTCGGAAGCTCACGGCCAGGAGTCGTTCGAGTCGTTCTCCGAGCGCTACATCGCCTTTTTCCAGGGCGCACAGGACCTCTTTGAGGTCCAGCGTGGCCTCAACAACTGCTTCGCCCACGATCTCGTCCCCTCCCCCGGCGTCATCGAAGCCGCCCTCCATGCCGCCCGCAGGGTGAACGACTACGCGACCGCCGTCCGCGTCCTTGAGGGTGTCCGCGAAAAGGTGGAGAATAAGCAGCAGTACGATGCGTACTTGGAGGAGCTCAAGTCTGTTCGTGAGGAGTTGGGTGAGTCGCGTCATATGTTGGAGTTAATGTTGAACTTTTCGCTGACGGGTCATCCCGTGACCTAGGCATTCAGACCAAGGAGGAGCTGTACACTTCATGAAAGCTTTCAACTTCAGTCTGTGCTTTACTGTGAGTATTGTCAGCGTTCGGGGATGAATTCTTGCTCATAACCTGCGTAGTAGATTCAATGCCTTATTCGTATCAGTCCCCGAATGCGTCCACCACAACTCAATTCTGGATATAGACCTAGCAATATAAAAGGCCTGGGACTCAGCTTTGGTCCGTTCATTTTGGGCAGTCAGCACTTTCCCAGTGGCAAATCGGCCTGCCGCTCCCCAGATAGTGTTCGTTGGGCCTTCCACCTACCGGTGACGTTTCCCCGTTTGCGTCTTCCAGTCTTGACCTTAGGGCCACTCCGAGTGAGAAATGTTTGCCAGTGCCAATGTGATGCGAGTTGCACATTCTGCCAACCCTCCGCGTCGTCTTTACCGATCTTTGTCTCGGTCTGAATGCCAGGCCGTGGGCAGCTCGCTTAACGCGTTGCCCGGTGGGTCAGCGTCAGTGTTCGACAAAGTTCCGCAGGGATAAACCGTATCAATGCAGTTTATCGCGCAGAGCAGCGCGGCCATCATCACACGTTCTTCGACATCTTGCAATTGAACGTACAGTCGAGCATTCCGAGCGTGAACCATATGACGATTGCGCTCATAAGTAAGACGTGATGACGGCACACAGGGCCGGCGAAGCCCGATGCCGAGTCTTCCAGTCATCAATTCCACATGGACGCACTTCATGCTGCTTCTCTTACCTGCCCTCACCCAATTGCCCTCACCGTGCCTGTTGTCCGTCGGCCCCCGTGCTGATTTGTCACAGTTGCTGATCTACAAGCAAATGCAACATCCAAGATTTTGCCGTAGCTTCGACGCTTCAGCGGGATATACATGCAAGATGCACTGTTCCTCGGCTCGGATGCGAGTAACGTTTCATGACAAAAATCCCTCCTTCGGGCTCGTCTAGGCGTATATTCATCATAAGATGCTCACACGGACCCAAAGTCTGACGTCGGTAATGAACCTGGCTCGACGCATTAAAGGTGGGACGACATCGCAGCTACATTCATGAGTTCACCTACACTTTCATCATCCACCCTCGCTCACACCTCACGGGGCCTCAGCCAACCGCCATGGCTTCCAGTCTTCCACTTGTTTCACTCTCTCTTATCCTTGCATATACCTCTGCCACTACGTATGCCCAGGCAGTTCCAGCCAAAGCGTACACACCCATCAAAGGCCCATGTCCAGCCGACTTTGAGCTCGTCCGCATGGCCGGATCCGCCGCGTCGAACCAGACGTTGAGCACCGGCGAAGCCGCATACATCCAGTCGCGCAAGAGCGACGTCATTCCCAGCGCGTGGCACACCTATCTCTCCAACGTGGAGGCGACCGGGACGACGCTCCCGTCGTACGTCTCGGCACTCCTCGCGAACTCGAGCGACGGCCCGACGCTCGGCATCGCAACAAGTGGAGGCGGATACAGAGCCGCCATTGTCGGCGCGGGGTTCCTCAACGCGCTCGACGGGCGGAACGGGACGAGCGCGGCCGCGGGCACGGGCGGGCTGCTGCAGGGCGCGTCCTATCTCTCTGGTTTATCCGGGGGAGCGTGGTTCGTCAGCTCGCTCGCGCAGGCCAACTTCCCTACCATCCAGGATCTTGTTTTCCCGTCTACGGAGTACGCTGCGCCCGGGGGCGCGGGGGACGCGCATGTATATTGGGGTGGGTGGCACGCGAACTACAGCCTGGCGGCGCCGAGTGGCGACCTGCTCGTGGATCTCGCGTACGTCGATGCGTGCGTGAGCGAGATCTTGGACAAGCAGCTCGCGGGGTACCCTGTTACATTTGCGGACGTGTGGTCGCGCACGCTGGCACGGCACTTTGCGAACGGGACGACGGAGAGCAACTTTTATGACGAGGCGTACCCCCATGGGGCGGGTGTTTTGTTCTCGGATATTGCAAATACGTGAGTGGCACTTTTGCGTTGATGGTGATATGACCTGTTGACCTGTTGCTGACGTATGGACATGCATGTGGACGACTGGGCCAAAAGGTCGATGTTCGAGTCGCGCCAGATGCCGTTTCCGATTGTCATCGCGGACATTGATGTCCCCACCACAAACGCTTCGGAAATCATTCCAGGCGACACGGAGCCGCTAACAAATCCGATTTTCGAGTTTAACGTTTGTGCGTACCTGCGTCAAACCTGCGTTCTCCTTTGATAGCAGCAACAGAAGGCTGACCGTCGAGCTTGGATATGTTCGCACTCCTTCTAGATGAGATGGGCTCGTACGACCCGATGCTCTCTGCATTTGCGCCGACAAAATATCTCGGGACGGCCAACGGCAGCATGTGTGTGACGAACTATGACCAGACGTCCTTTGTCGCTGCTTCCTCGTCGGAGCTATTCAACGACCTTACTTTTGATGTTAGTTTTATCTTTCCCTCACTGGGTCTTCCCACATGACTCCGAGTCAACGATCTGACTGCCTGTCCCTCTCCGCAGTTACTCAATGACACGTTCGGCCCCCTTCTCGCGGCTGCCTCAGACACCTTGCCCGGGTTGCAAAACGAGTTATACGCGTACTGGCCAAACCCATTCTATGGTGTCGCTTCGGATACATTCGGAGCCTCAAAGCAGAGTAACCTACACCTCGTTGACGGAGGCGAGGACGGACAGGTTATTCCGCTGCAACCTTTACTTGTGAAAGCTCGGGGTATCGATGTCATCGTCGCTATTGATGTGGTGGGTGTTCTGCTATACAACATCTGATACATAGACCATGAGGCTCATTCATTTGTAGAACAACGCCGAGAACAACTTCGCCGACGGCGGTACCCTCATTGTAAGCTCTTCTCCCTCTCAGATACACAGTCACACTGCTCACATATATTCATCACCTCGCAGGCAACCCAAGACCGCAGCGCCCTCTTCCCCTCCGCCTACTCCTTCCCGCCCGTACCTACCACCACCGCAGAATTTACCTCGCAGAATCTCACCACACGGCCCACCTTCTTCGGGTGCACCACGACGCCCGCGAACCTCTCCACCCCGCTCGTGATCTACCTCGCGAACGGCGGCCCGCCGCACGACGGAGCCGCGCCAGTGACGAACACGTCGACATTCCAGCTTACGTATGAGGAAAGCGAGGTGCAGGCGATGCTCGACCAGACGTTCGTGCTCGCCACGCAGGGGTACCCCGCGAATGCGAGCGAGACAACAGATTCGGAGTGGCCGGCGTGTCTTGCGTGCGCTGTTGTGGACCGCGCGAGGGCGCGTGCGGGGACGGCGAGGAGCGGGGTGTGTGAGAGCTGTTTGGATAGGTATTGTTGGTCTTAGTCGTCACAGACAATAGGTTAAAGTCACTTGTTTATTTAATCTATTGCTTCGTCGTGGTAAGATATGCACTTCACACCACCAAACAGGCAGAGGCTAAAATCGCAATAAAGCGAAGGAGGGGATATAGTCTTGCGTGCAGCATGTAATCATTATAGTGTAAGGTTTTCAAAATTGTGTTTGGTTCCCTCTAGTTGATTTCAGGAATACAACATGTCGACCACTGTAACACGATAACTCACACTGCAGACAAACGGCGATTTCACCCGGGATGAAACCGAGAGAAAGAGGCGGCGAGATGAAAGCCTTTTCCTCCGAGTTTTGGAACCCCCTTTTGCACAGGAAAAGGTGTTCTTTTAGCCAACATTTGCGTCAATTTTATGCTGGTAAATTGGGTGGGTTACCATATTTGGACTCTACCTTCCTGATTCGGACATGTTTCTATCAAATCTCCGCACAGAAATGCAAACTCCGAGGCAAAAGTTTCACATTTCAGTAAAATTTCGCACAGCAAAAGATGGGTGAAAAAGGCTTTCATCTCTGCGCCTTCTTCAATCACTTTTCGTGACAAAAAAATGATAGTTTGTCTGCAGTGTCAAAGCCTCAATTTCACGAGGGGTGAATGGGGACGGGCGGAGCTGGGCGGAGATTGAACTGAGCTCACTTGTGAACTGGCAGCAAGTACCCTTCTACTTTTTCTTCGCACTAGTACTTTCCCTACTCGTTCAATTCACTTCGGAAGTGAATTACATATGACACAACTTCATGCAGAAGCTGTGTTTTACCTCCCAAACGTCAACTCGAGAAGTTGGCCGTAAACGCAAGCGGATAATGAGCTCGAAGCTCGAAGCTCGTGGTGGCGTCCCGAGCGCCGTGCCCTCGGGTAGGATGCACAGCCTTGCTACAGGAACATGCACGTTACTCAGAGAGCCATCCGTCTCAACATATCGTTTAACGGTCATTCCTGTAACTTATATCCCTTTACAGTGATGAGGGAGGCGTCTCCGACTGTGGGGATAAAAGCACGACCTCGGGATGGCTCGACGGTCGTGCCCTGCTGGCCCTTGTCCGCTGCTCGATAACACCAAGCCGTTCCTGCTCTTGCACCTAGCCATCACATCACGCACTTCCCTATCCTTCTTCACTCTTTATACCATCTGTCCTTTTATACCCATTCATTCATGCCTCGCTTCACTCAAATAATTCTCTCCCCTTTCAAGCGCAAACGGAACGTATGCGAACCTAGCGATGGTACGGCTCCCGAAAGCACCAAGACTACCTGGTTCAGTAAACGCAGGCGAGTTCGTCAGTCTGCGTTCAACGATACCCCATTCGCGCCATCTCCACATACTTCTCCGCCTACTCGAACCTCGATGTGTCTTTCTCTTGTCGAGATCTCTCCGCTCGGCACCCTTGAATACCCTTATGGACTTGAATCTCCCGCATGTGACCATCGCTGTCAGGAGGGCGTTCTCGATGCGGGACCCCTTCTTCTATGCAACGAACCGTCAGCAGCGAGCGAGAACCATCAAGCCAACAACGGCGCTCTGGTTTCCCCGCTGCATCTTCCTACCACTCGTCACAGCCCTCGACTGGCAACCACTTCCGGCACTCCTCTCTTGGAGCACACTCCACGAACTCTGGAAAGCGACTTTCCAATCACCCCTCAACAGCGTGGTAACGCATTAGACCCAGTGATTGAGACGCTTGCAAAGGAGCTTGTCGCCGCTGGTCCAGGCTCGCCAGACTCTGATTACCATGATAACGTTCCTGTGTATCCTAAAGGCCTAGCCATCCGTGTCTGTTCTCGTCCGCTTGCCTCATCCGACCGTAATGCTGTCCCCGTGAGGTCGTCTCGACACCACCAAACCAGAGACGAACGCTGCGAAAGCGATCTCGTGTTTAGTTACCCAGCCTTCCCTCCCAATCTGCCTCCTCAGGCCTTCGTGCCACCATACGGACCTCATCTTGCGTTTGGCGGCATCAAGTTCTACCCCAGCTCTCAGATCGGCAGTGGCAGCTTCGGCACCGTCTGGCATGCGTTCACGAACCAAGGGCAGGAAGTTGCCATCAAGCTTCTCCATAAGCCGATGATCCTATCCAACGGTCTATCGGGAAACGGCACGGGCATCCAGAGCGAGATGGAGTTCGTCGAGAACGAATGGCTCGCTCTGAAGCGTATTACAGAGGCCGGGTCTCCTTTCCTGACCAGCGTGTTGTACTCGTTTGAGGACGACGAGAACATTTATTTCGTCCAGGTTAGTAACGCGCGCGCTTGTTACAGCAGCTATAACAGCGATGCCTCCCACAGAGACTCTATCCCTCTTCGCTTGGTGCACGGATACGGGATTCCGCGAGTGTGCCCGTCCAGCTATTCCAGATCCGAATTTGGGCGGCCGAGATTGTAAGTTACTCTGGGATCATTGACACCAGAATCCTTCTAAGCTCTCTTATGTCAGGTTTTGGCTATCGAAGATCTTCATAACCTTGGCATCGTTCACCGCGACATAAAGCTCGACAATGTCCTTCTTTCCCCCAACGGACACGCCGCACTAGGTGACCTCGGCCTCGCCTGCATCGCAGCTGATGGTATGTCCCTGAAGGACATGGTCATGAGGTCGAGCTGTGGAACACCGCACTCCATGGCACCGGAGATGTTTGCTCGCGGTCCCGAAGATCCGGCGTACGGATACAAGACGGATATGTGGGCGTTTGGTGTCTTGCTTTTGGAACTCTGCCTCAGGCTTCCTCATGTAAGCATACTATCGTATATTAGCGATGATGACTTGCTCACATGAAATTGTTTCAGTGGAGCGACTGTCCATTCTCGGGGATGGGTGGGACTCCGGATCCGCGCAACTGCATCATATGCGTGGGCGACCCTTATGCTAAGGATTTGATCTCTGATGTACGTGATACTTCCTCCAAGAAACATCGAAGCTCTGATGTTGCCATACCGTGCGGTAGCTTTTGCAAGAGGATCCTACCAAGCGACCAGGCTGGGACGAGGTTAAGAGGCATGCTTTCTTCAGATCGCTTAACTGGAGAGAAGTTGCAGCACGGAGCATCCCCAGTACGTACTCAACCTCCGCCAGCCGCCAGAGGACTAATAACCTATTGATATCCCTCTTAGCAATTTGCGTGCCTCACTTAGGCTCCCAACGGTCTCCACGACACAGGCTTGAAGGATTTGTGGAGAAGATAAAGGCAGAGGGTAGATTCAACGTGGACGAACTTTACGAACTAACGAAGACAGTGATGCCGACGACCAAGAGATGGGACTTTCAGTGTCCACTGGAGCTGTTGGCAGACCCACAGCACGGAAAGAGCTGCATCGCGCTGGGTGACGGAAGATGTGTGTATGAAGGCTCGCAGTTCCCGCATCATGAGACACATTGACGAATCGCGCATTATACTCAACGTTCACGTCTTGTCATTGTCTTTCATGATCACCGCAAACACGTACTACGTGCTGTCTATTTTATTTATTGACGTAACGTTAACTTGAAATGATAATCAGTTTTGACATTGCTCTGATACAACGGATTTCGCTAAGGCCACCGTGGGTAAATTATAGATTGTGCGTCTCCGACACGACACGCCGCGAACTTTCTGGCTTGATCATCAACCATCCCCCGGCAGTTATCTCCTGTGTAAACCTTTTGTTCCATAACGCTTTGTGTAAGTGATCTTTCCTGCATGAAAGCACACAAAGTCTCAGGGCTAAGGATCATCTAAGGTTTATGCCTGAGCAAACTCAAACACAGACACATCAGCAGGAAGGTGCCGTTTCTCCAGACGATGAGCTATCGGATGGCATTTGTAAAATGTGCTGGGGACGAGTCATCCAAAACCATCTAGGACTCTCTTCGCCTTTACGTCGACTTGACGAAGATAAACAGGCTTCCTCATACGAAGGCGGATGCTCGTACACTACGTCTGAGAAGGAACTCAGGCTGGATGCCGCTCGAGGATGTCGGTGGTCTCAGCTGATAGTCGACAATATTCCGGTTTTTACTCCCGATATGACTTACATTCAGAGAGGAGAGACGTGGTCGGAGGAACCTATCAACATCAGGATAGGGAGACTTGAACTCCCCACCACCACACGAGCTCAAACATCACTAAATCGGGGGAAAAATTTCGAGGCATAAACGAAGTTATCGGTGTTATAATATGACCGTTGATAGAATCCTGTATGATCGTAAATGGCGAGGATTAAACATTGGTTAAGCGTCAGCCCACCATATGAGAATGAATTATGGTAGAATATCATATTGTCGGGATCTTACCATCGAGTACCATATGATCGTGAGCTTACCGTGGACCAAAACTCAAGGTAAAATCGCTCGCGATATGTTGGCACATGAAAATCTGGATCTCATTGCGAAGGCAACATGATCATTCGATTATAAGAGACTGCTCACAAACCGGTTGTCAACTAACAAAAGCACGCTGAGTAGTAGAAGACTAACCTCTACAATGCATCAAAGCCAGCCTCGTTAGCGAGCGCTTCATCCTCACCCAAGAAACCTCCCTCATCCGCCTGCTCTTCAATATCCATTTCCATCTCAGCCTCATCCTCGTCGCTGCCATCTCCGCTGCGGCTGTCATCTGTGAGTTCCTCAGGCTCCTCACCTTGCTCTTCCTCATCGCTGAGGTGGTCATCGAATAGTTCGCGCTCCTCGGCCTCGGGGACACTCGAAGTCAATGCTAGGAGTTTTCGGTCCCAATCTGGGGGTAAGTTGTGGCCAATGCCACCGCCTCGAAACCGCATGAGCATGTCCCTGTCAACGAATCTAAGGAATAGTCAGTAGAGTACATTAATGTTCGAAGAAACACGTACATGTTCACATAATAGAATAGCCATTCGCTCACTGAATCGGGGCTCTTCGGCCCAAAGTGAAGACGTCCTATATGTCGAGGGATTGATGGACCAGGTGTTTGCTCGTACTTGAAGGCTGGAATTAAGTGGGCACCTCTAATAACAGCGGCAGGATCAATAAAATCCCAGCATTGCGATGTTCCAAGGGGGTGGAAGGCAACACGAGGTAGTCGTCGTTCTTCAAAACCACAGCTGTATGTCGAATCGTTCTGAAGCCACCGGACAAGGAGCATAACAATCTGTCGACTCGCAGAAGGACGCTCGCCGCGGAAGTAGACATTGACATGAAAGGTGTAAACGAGTCGAGCAAACCAGTATGGATACGGGACATCGTCGCTCGCAGATGCGTCAGACATGACCATTAGATCCGTTCGTGAACGAGGGTTCAGGATATCTTGCTCGCGCCGTAAGTCGTACGTGGTGTAGTTGATTCGAATGGTCCTATGTTCGTGGATCCGGTCCTTCTCGATAATCAGCGTGTCAAGCTGTTGGAGTGAGTAGTCCATGTCGGGGGAATGCGCTGGTAGACCCAGTACGTCTGGCACGTCCTTTTGCTCTATCAGACGGTCGAGGATGTGCGACTTGAAGCACGTCATGAACTCCTTTCAATGTAACAGTAAGTATACAAAAAGTGACACAGTGAACAAACGGACGCACCGTATTATCGATATCGAAAGCATCGTGCAACACGTCTCTAAAGTCCCACAGAGATAGAGACTGCTTCGAGTCCGAGGAGACCCAGTATCGGTCTTCAGGACTGCTCTTTGCTGGCGATACTTGCTGAGACTTCTCAGCTGTTAAGAAACCCTGTGGCATGTCTTCGTCTGATGTAGCCTTGAGATAGTCAATGAATTTATGGAAAAAACGCTCGCGGGTCTCTAGACGAGTCAAAGACTCAACCGCACTCTCGGCTTTCTTGCCAGTCTTGAACCAGCCAGCCTTGGGCCTACGGTGGGCGAGCTCTCCCTGTTCTCGGCAAGAATATTTAGCATAGTGAGATTGTGACGACGTAGAGAGTACTCACAGGCTGAGACGAGAAGTTATCAGTGGTGCCGTGCTCCTGGATTGTCTGTACATAGTCTCCGAGAGAGTGAAACTTGTATATAACCAAGTTAAGCTCTTTCCGGAGACTTCTTGATGAAATATTGACGTCAGCGCCCTGAGCACCTGAGCCAGCTGCCTGATTAGCCAGACGAGTGACTGCTCGGCGACCTCGGGCAGACGTTTCTGTGGGAAGTTCGCGTGTATCGTAGTGGGGACAGACCTCGGACTGAAACTCTCGTAGTATTTTGCCGAGACTGACCGTCGCGGATCTGAGTAATCGAAGCGTATCATCGGTGTGCAGTCGTAATTTTGCAAGGCCGTGCCAATTGGCAAGCTCAAAAAGGAGGTCTAAGATGACCTTCCGATGACCTCGGTGGGGCCATGGGACAGCCTCGAACACGGGCAGCGCGCACTGTTAACATCAGTTTACAGCTGTCTAATAACGCGTGAATGAGTAGCATACCTGTAATAAATCCTCAAAATCGCGCGCTGCTAATCTCTTCATAGCACAGATGTTTTTGCGAATCTTCCGGATAGTTACCCGTCCGAACGTAGGCACTTTACAGTAGCTTCACACTGCGTGAGGGAACACATTTACAGGTGATATGAATGTAGAACATACCTGCTATTAACAACCTTGACTGCGTTGCCTCCGATCGAGAGCAACATTCGGACTAGATGAGTTAGTACAGTCTTCCAAACCCCGAGTTCAACCTCGTGAAGGAGATCCACCGGGAATAATCTGAAATAGTTGACTCCTCTGGGGAGAAAGAACTCAGAGAATGCGTTCTAACAACCAATGATCAGTACGTGTGATAGCTACTATAGTACCAGCGAACTTACAGATGCAGCAGTGTATGATCCGTCATTAAGGAGGGACGTCACTCGACTAGAACCAATAGAATAACCTTTCTTGAATATTCTGCTGCGAGCTAGCTCTATGCGTGCTTGGAGATCCTCCGAGTCCTTGCGAAATTTGGAGCGCATCCGCATGTCGCGTGGCATCCCCATCTCTGCCAACCGAGCCTTTGGAATAAGGCAGCGAGGGCAGGGAAATTTACCCAAGTATTTAAGCGTAACAAGAGCGATCCTGTCCGTGCAGATTATAAGTAATGAACATGTATGAACAGGTTAAAATGCACTTCTCTAGAAAATCGCCTGCATACGTATTGAAGCGGATGAATGCTCGTCGATCAAGGCCGTCTCCACATGTTGTTATGATCCCCTTATCGTATGCGCGCCGAAGACGTCTATCGCTCAATAAAAGCCGCCATACAGCTTGAATGAGCTCACGCCTCATATGTGTATGGACGTCTTTTGTGGGTAGCTTCTTGAATATATCAGTATACGTGTTTTGCCATCCATCTGGTAGCTACAGTGTATATATAGTGAGCGATCTGAAGAGCATAAAATAAAAGGAACTCACATCTGGAATATATGCCAGATGATGGCAAGATTGCGTCGTTGGCTTGCTTCGAGTATACTTCGACTGGTTAGCAAAGAACATGTATATTGGATGGAGCGATGCTTCGCCAAAGTTCGCCAGAAGCGTTCCGTCCGAATAGAGATCGACGAGGATAGTCATGCGCTCGAGTGTGTCCCCTGGTTGCCGTGGTAGTGAGTTCACCTCGCGATATGCTCTGAGAGCCGAATCGGCAGTATATGCCTCTGAGTAAACGCGTATGTCGCGGCCATCTGGAGTATGATATCGTTGTTCGAAAGGCGTCGTGTTGAAGGCGGCAAAAGTCGATGGGTCTTGAACAGCGGCCAGTGCTATGTCAACGATGTTTTGGTGAAATATACCATCGACCGTAAGCTTTGGAGCGCCTGCTTCGCCTCCAGGGTTGCGACGGCCTTCGAAAGGGAGGGGAATGTCGGCCGACGAAGACTTCCAGCCATTCTCTTCACGAAAAATATTCTCCTTGCCCGATCGCTTCAGGTATTTGTCTAGTCGCACGTTATTGGTGTGCGGCTTGTAGTCAACGAGCTCTTCTTTCTTGAACAGCGGATGGCTGAGTAGCCAGGTGAGCCACCGCGCGTCGATCTCTGACTTGAGTGTTGATCCAGCATTAAGATGCGCGAGCATGATCCCACAGGTAGGGTTCTTGAACGCGGCCATGACCTCATCCAGAGTCCAATCGCCAGGAGAAGGGGTACCCAGGTAAAGCGAAGTAGTCGAATGCTGAGAAGAGCATACTTGTAGCAAAGGAGCATCTGTAGCATCTTGGAGCGTGTCGGCGGGTATATGCGTCGGTGATCGCTCGTATATGCGATACAGCCCGAATGTATTTTCTTCTGTAGTGTGGTTGACCGCCTCTACAGGCGGAGGAGGCGATTCCGAGCTCGGAGAAGGTGGAGGAGGAGGTGTGATAGCACGCTCGTTATTCTGGCGTGAGGATAGCGGCATGTGAGCGAGGTGCGTCGTGCTGCTCGGTATAAGGTCTTGAAAGTGAGCCGGCATTCGTACCGTGCGCCCAGAGCGCTTGGAGACATATTCCTGTTAATAGAAAAGTTCATAAAATGAGATTGTCATGAATAAGTAGAATGAAATACGCACCAGAGGTAGAGATGACTGAGTTTCTGCTTCGTGCACGGAGACTACAGATGCAGTCTCAGGGCATACCTTAGCATTCTCACTGTAGTTTGTCTGTTCTTCATGATCCTGCCCGTATGAAAGGCTGCTCATAGCCGTGTACACACGAGACGGACCAGCGGAAGGCTCTTCCGAGCTCGGAGACGCCTGTCTTCGACGCTTGGTGGGTGAGCCGAGATCAGCAGCAGCGCCATACGCTCTCTTGCGAGCATCATGGGCTGCTTGGCACGTTGCTAGATGTTTCCTGACACCGTTTTCGGTACGTAGAACCTTCTCGCACTCAGGGCATTGAGGCATAATGACTTTTATTGCAGTGGGGAGGAGGGGTGTGGCTGGAAGGGGAGAAAAAAGGGGATTCCGTCCTCCCTCCAAGACGCGTCGCGCACAACGGCGATCTCGGGCTATTGGCTTCTCGCAGCGGAGCTACCGGAGCTATATTAAATAAGCGAATCGAGCTTCGGGAAGCGCGATCGTAGCTAAAGATAGGGGCCGTCTTCGTCAGATTCCTCGTTTCTCCTCATTAGCGGCCGTCATCCAGACCTCTGTTCATCCATCCACCCACTACCCTTCGTTTTAGACCCTCAAGACACTCAGAAACAGTCCACAAGGCTCAACATGAGGTATGTACATCGACTTTTCTTTGATTGGCTCTCATTGGAAATACACAGTGACATCCCGATCGTGGATTGGCAAGATTATATTGATGTCAGACAGCCTCATCCAACACCACTCACGCGTGGTTACGAGTATCTAAGGTACGAGTATCCGTTTTCATTTGAGGCTCTTGTAATTACGGCTATATGCGCCAAGTAGTGACATTCCCCCCCGCTACCGTCCCTGGTTCGATATCGGACCCGATCTCGACGCCAGCCTCGACGCGGACGACAGCCGATCGGAGGCATCAAATGACTCCCGCAATGATAGGGTTGCCGACGTTCTCGTGGATCCCGAGTCAGGTTCCGGCGGCGAGGAAAAACCGGACCCGGCGCGGATGCTCACTGTCAACACAGCCGAAGCGCTCCTCTGGCTATATCAAAATGGGTACCTCAACGACAGGGCCGGCGACGGACGCCGAGAGCTTCAATGCCCCGAATGCAACACATGGGTCCAGACGTGCCTGGCTCCCTCGGTCGACACGTTCTCTGCCCCGGAGCACCTACATTCACTCGCCCAGCACAGAGGCAGCCGCAGCTGCCACTTCAATCTTACATAGGTACATAGTGTATAAATATATATGCTTTTTTTGTGGGGATTATATCTCGTTCGACGCGTGAAAGACGCGTCTCGATCCGCGTATGCGCCCACCGGGCGACTCGGGCATCTTCCACGCGCGGGATCTAGTTCCGTGGTGGCTGTGTTCAGGTCAATCCCGCGCTCAATATAGGGAAAGGACGGCCATCTCGGGCTATTTGCCTGATCATATTCACAACACGCTCAGTGTATTCGAAAACTTCCAACATGATCATATTCACAACACGCTCAGTGTATTCAAAAACTTCCAACATCATGTCTTCCTCAGTTTCGGGGCAGGCTACAGGCATCGGCCAATTCGGCCTATTGCCTTCTCAGCCGCGGCGGAGTTGCCGAAGCTGTATTAAAGAAGCGAGTCGAGCTTCGGGATAAGCGTGAGAAATTAATTCGAAGCTCACTGTTTCATTAAAAGTACGCGCGCGTCTATCTCGCCGCCGCGTCTTGTTATCTCTTTCTTTGCCCCCTTTCTTTCCTTCCCTCCCTTCTTTCCTTCCCTCCTTTCCTTCCCTCTCTCCACCACCATGCCACACGCCCCCAAGCCCAAGCCCTCCGCTGAGGAACGGGCCCCTCGCAAGAAAAATCGCGCCCCCGCCCCGTCTTCCACTCAACCCAACCACGCCTTGGCCCCCGGTTCAAAATCCCGACAGCCGCGCGCTCCTGCACCAGTCGAAGAGGACACCGACTCCGACGACGAGGATGCTCGAGTGCCCACGAAGATGCACGGCGCCTCTGCGCCGAGCTCCACTCGATCGGCGGGCAGCAAACTGTCCAGCTCGGGCCCGCATGATGTCTACGAGGACGAGGACGACAGCACCAGCCGCCCATCAAAAAGGCGCCGTACAGGCCCTACGACACACCAAAGGTATGCAGATCTTTTTTTGTTATTCTGTACTAACCTTCTTCTGTTATAGCGACGACGATCAGTGTCTACATCTAGCACTGTATGCCGTCCGCTCGGGCGGCCTCTTTCTGAACTTCGACAGCTGCCTCCAGGTCGGGGTCTACCGCGCCCTCGACACCCTCGAAGGCACTTCGCTTCGTGCCCTCAGCGCTTCAGCAAAGCGCGATTATAACGATATGTAAGTTTTAATTTAAGTCTCGGTTTTGTCTCTGACAAGCTGACTATATGCGCATTTTTAGGAAAGATCACGAGGTCGATTATTGCGACCGGCTATGGCAGTGGATCAGCGACCACTGTCGATACTTCTCCGAGGTTATTCGGGCGCCTGGAAGGTTCTCGGAACTCAGCGATCGCGTTACATGGGTAAGTTTTCTGTAAATTTGAATGCATATATGCGCTGACTATTAAACACAGATCTCGACAAAAATCGGTATACATCGCAGCAACGACATCAAGAACACGAAGTTCTACATCAACCAGATCGCAGCTCACAACGCCGACGTCGGCCTCGACAACACTGTCCATCACAACGCCGATCGGGCGCTGCTCGGGTTCTCACACAAGGAGCTCGCGCGCCTGCTCGTCCCAGCAACATATCTCAGTCAATACCTAGAGGACGAAGACACGTAAGTATTCCTCTTCATCGCATCATTGTGTACAAGCTAACGAGTTTTAATTATCTAGAATACGCTTACAAATTAAGAACGACAGTGCGCCCTTCACTGTTCGTTCGGGTCTGCTCCCCTCGTTCCTGTACAGCGGTAAGAAATACTGTGGCGACAAATTCGATCCTGAACATCCGTGGCGAGGGCTCTGCGATGGCTATGCCCTATCGCGCGTAAGTTCTTCTTGTCTTTTCTTCTTCCGAGGCTCAGAACTAACATGACGGTTTTTTATACAGTTTTTGAAGATGATTCTTATTCGGCATAAAGCCGTATGCGAGCCCAACGCGTCCTCGCTCATCAACCCACGCAGCAACTGCATGCTGATGGAGACGCCGGTCGTAATGCGAGAGCACATCGCGTACTCGTTAGTCATAGTAAGTTCTTTCGTCGTTGTATGCTCGCTCAACACTGATTTTATTTTATTTTAGCTTCGCTTTGTTATGTCTTCGGTGCCTTCATGGCCCTCGAACGACGCCGCGTACAATTTTGCACGCGCGCATCGTTACTTCCTCGAGTGGATGCACGATGACCGCGTCAAGAAGCACGTTGACGCTATGGTCGCCCGCGTTAATAAGTGAGTTTTTTTTTATTGCATCACAATGGAAGCTAACTAGCTATAGGAAAGTGTTCGGACATGAAGAAGGCTACAAGCCTGGGCAATGCTACGACGAAGACGCATCCGACGACGAGGAGAACGACTTCGACCGCCTCTTATGTCGTCTCCCGACCGCCTCTCCAAGCCCGACTCTCGATCGCGCACCACGGCTGCGAACCGCCGACCTTCAAGTCGAACTCGGCGATGATACAACACTGGACGACCTGGCCGACTGGCGCACAGACAGGCCCGACGACACCGAGCCCATCTCAACAACGGGCAAGTCGTCTTCCACCCGCAAAAATTCCTCACGACCTCCTTCGACGAGGAGCGATTCCTCAGATGAGGACGAGGACGAGGACGAGCCGGGGAGCGCTGTCAAAGCCCCCACCATCGCCCCCCACCCTCCTCCATCTACTCGCAGTCAGCCAAAAAGGACCAAGGGCCCAGTGGACAGCCAGCCCGCCGCCATCTCGAGCAGCAAAAATTCTGCAGAGGATGGCGGCGTGGACTCCGAGCTCTCCTCCATCGAAGAAGATGAGCCGCCGCCACTGTCTCTCTCGCCGCCCCCTGTCCCGCCGCCGTCCCCCTTGCCGCCCCCTATCGAGCCGCCGGCCAAGATCGTCCAGACGAGGTCAAGGGCCCCCCGTATTACAACAGGCAGAAAGTCGCCGAGGAAGCACGGTAACTAGGTATGTTATTCATCATGGAGGTTGCTCATGTTGCTCACCACTCCCTCTCTATTAGACCTTACGCAGTAACGTATTAATCGCATGCTCTCAATCAACGCTCATCACCTGCTCCCATTCGTTTCGTCTTGTCACTGCTCTCGTATATTGCTCATACTCATCCTTTGCAGACAGTAGCCTCAATTAATTCTCTCGTATACTGTAACGTCTGCTGTAGAGTGCACTGTATTAATTGCAATGAATTTCTTGTTATTGGAAACCTCGTCGTGATCGCAAGTCATTATAATGCACCTGCTGTGAGTTATAGTAGCTGTGAGTACCCATATGTTGTTATCATGCGGCCTTTGCTGATGGTAAGATGGCGCTTATATTATATCATGGATTCTAATAGATGTGAGTACCCTAATAGCTCTGAGTACCCGTATGTTATTATCATGCCGTATCTGCTAATGGTAAGATGGCGCTTATGTTAGATCGTGAATTCTGATGGATGTGAGTACCCATATGTTATTATCATACTGTATCTGCTAATGATAACACGCCCCTTCGAGTAGATAACAGATTCTCTGATATGAACATATCCCCGCGATCTTCCCTGTATGCTAAAAACAGACTTTACATGCTACGAGTGTCGGAGTCTCACCATTTCCCCGGTGTATGTTTGTCATGATCTGTAATGTCGGTCAAGATCATTTACTTATCATTCATCCCCTCATTTAGTGATGAACGTACCCCGCCCATGTCTGTAAGGGACGCGCTGTGCGCGCGCCTAGACGCTCCCTGACTGCTTGCACCACAACCCGATCGCTTTGACCGCCCGCTTCGACTCACCCCCGATCAACGTCGTCGACCATCCGCCTCCTACGCATTGTCTCTCATTGTCCTTCCGGCCTTGACATCTCGCTTGGACTCCCGACCCGTACCCGCAGCAAGATCTCCATTCATTGTACCTAGATTCTTTTGTCTTCTTTTCACGGTCTCTCCTTATCGCTGACACCCAGTGCAAACCTCATGTACACGCGTTCGTTTTGACTCGTAATTTCTCTTACTCACACCTAGTCTCGAAACCGTATAAATACAGCTCCTTGTCGTAGTTAGTCTGCATTGAATTCAGCCCCAGTTTCCCTCTCAAACTCGAGTTCAGTCCGAGTCTCAATTCCCACTCGTATTCTTTACTTCTTCGGCACTCTCTGTTCCTATTCCCCTTCGAACTCGTATTTTCCTAGTCCAGCCACTGAACGGCTCGGCTACCCCACATGTCTTCCATATATACATGGATAATAGGCGAATATTTTTGGGATACATGTACACCGACGAAGGTAAGCAAGGATTTTGTTCACAAGTCTACCCGAAGGCTCATCGATGCTTAGAAGATGTAGCAGCGGGTTACATTGGGGGAAGACGCCTTGTTCGCGACATTGGATCACCGCGTGCAATTTCGTCGGCGATGGACCTGATGCAGGACTGTCTTCGAACACACGACTGTCCAGCCCTTCAAGATGCACTTCCTTTCCTTCCCACCCGCGTTATCGATTGCAGCGATCCCTCTCATCCTCGTCTTTTCGTATCCGGTCACGCGCCCGGTCGTTACATTGCGTTGAGCTATGTCTGGGGCGAACCGCAGCCGTACAGCACTACCTCCTCGAATATCGCATCTTACGTTCAACACATTGACACCCAATTTTTACCGCAAACGATAAAGGACGCAATTATAATTACGAACATGCTTGGAATTCGCTACCTATGGGCGGACACGTTGTGCATCATTCAAGACTCGGACGAGGACAAAGTGCATGAGCTCGGGCATATGAAGAACATCTACCGCGATTCATACTTGACAATCGTCGTTGCAAGCGCGAATCGCGTTAGCGAGGGATTCTTACACCGGCGCGAGGACACTCTGAGGCTCAACAGGGCAGACTTCACGCTCCCTGTGGTACTTCCAGAAGGACGTGGCACCGGTTCCGTTTCTTTTTCTCCCATGTATATGGAAATTGACAATCCAGTCACGATGGATGACACCTGGTACGAACCCCTTAAAGAGCCGGTTCACCAACGGGCATGGTGCATGCAGGAGCTCTTTCTCTCTCCACGATCCCTCGTCTTTGCATCACACACGTTGCAATATCAGTGCCAGAAGGGAGCGCGGAACATCGGTGGCGCAGACAACGAATACTGGACTGATGATCGCATTCCGTGGAGTCGACCTCCGCCGATCTCGGGCATTCCACAGGACGTTAAGACGATTGACGACCTCGATAATATTTATGGCGCATGGAAGACCATCGTACACAGCTACACGCGACGCAGTATATCAGTACCAGGAGACAAACTCGTTGCACTCGCCGCCCTCGCGGAATACTTCCATGCCATCGTCCAAGCGCCCTATCTGGCTGGAGTGTGGCAGAATACGCTGCTGATGGACCTCCTCTGGGCACATGTTCACACCACGGGACCGTGGCCGCGTCCATCGAAGTACCGCGCTCCATCGTGGTCCTGGACTGCTATAGATGGCCTTGTGGCATACTATGACGGATGCGCGAAGGGATGCTTGGTTTCTGTGGCGCCGAAAACCATGCATGCGTTCGTCGCTCAAGTTGTTCTATGCGAGACGGCCTTACAGGATGCGACACTCCCGTTCGGTGCAGTTTCTGGAGGCGTGCTTGTCCTCCGTGCTCCAGTAATTGAAGGTGTGATGATGGGGTTTTCTCATCAGCGGGAAGATCGACGAAAGTTCTACGTAGACAAGGTGATGGTCTCTGGAGAGGCCCAGCAGGCAGAAGATACAACGGAGTCAGAAAGTGAAGACGAGTCGGAAGATTCCGAGATAGAGGAGATCAGAGCTACCCATCGGGAGAAGATGGAGTCGAGCGATGAAGAATGGTTCAACAAGGACACTGGGCGCTGGATGCTCAAAATGGGTGGCGACTTCGGCGGCTGCAGACTTGACGCTAAGGACGAATTCTCCGACATCAACATTCGCAATGCTTCCGTGGTGTTCGTGCACCGTGAGGAGCATGGGTCAAAGATGCAAGGTCTCGTCGTAGAGCAGGTTAGTCTCAGCTCCCTGGAGGGCGAAACCACGCGATACCGTCGCATTGGCCTCTTTGAAATGAACTATGACTTCGGTTATGACGGACGCAAGGAAGTTGACGATTGGCTAAAACGTGCGGAGATGAAAGAGGTAGAGATCATATAGCATACGCAGCACGCAACACTTCTATAAATCGTTTCGGGTAATCGCATCGGTAGAAATTGATATCCAGGTTCTATGTTATTAGCAAAGTGTAAAGGCAATCTAAAAATGCAGGTTCGACCACATAGACAAACCCGAAGCTGAAATATAATGTATCGGTAAAAACGTCCATGATTCATTCGTCAAGATATCATAGTCCTAGTTCGTGACCATGATGACATACTTGCAAGCACGTTTCTCCGTGCTCGCTATCCTTCCACATTATCTTGGGGTATTCGTAGTCGAACGTTAGCGCGCCCAGCCCTTGAAGCTCGGCGCGCTGTGTCGTCATCACGTCCTCGACGTATTGGCGCTCGGCGTCGCTATACATCTCCATAAAGAAGCGTTGCCCGTCGTCAGGCGCTTTGAAGTGTTCCTTGGCATGAGGAAGGACGCATGGCGCCTGGAAGACTTGGTATTTTCTCTCGGCAACACGCGTCCAGTCGAGGTCGTTGAAGAATCCGAAGGTGCGAGCGTCAACCCAACGAGGACGATGCTGCGGGTTGTCTTGAACGAGCTAAACGGGTGATATATATTGATGAGTTGAGAGAAGGGGGAGGCTCGCGAGAACGTACACGTCTGATGAAGAGACCTGCGAGCCAATCTTTCGCATCGACCCGCTTTATGACGTCGAACGGGGTTGGCTGGTGCTCCTGATAAGTCATGCCCATCGTACATTCGTGATCGAACGAGGACCACCAGCGCTTAAGAAATACAGCTAAGTCCCGGCAACGCTTAATAAAATTTCTGAACAGACACACCTTGCCGTCGCCGAGAACCATCTCCATCAATACCAGACCATACGCGTACACGTCCACCCCGTACGAGTACCCGCCACGGGGGATTCTCCCATCATGCTGCTCCGGCGCAAGATATCCGGGGGTACCCACACAGTTGCTCACCGCAATGCTCTGCTGAGGAGGTAGGACGGCAGCGAGACCAAAGTCGGCGATGGCGAGGTGCCCCGAGGGTGTCACGAGTATGTTCTCTGGCTTGAGGTCGCGGTGGATAACACCGAGATAGTGAAGGTACTCGAGACCGAGAAGCTAGGCAAACCCTTGAGCAAAACGAATACACGGAACGTGGTATACTCTACGCACGAGTTCGGCTCCCCATACGCGTGTCTGCTCCGGGCTCAGGGGCGTGTCCTTCAGGACTTGCCGGAGGTTGAACGGGTACATGCGCTAGCACACGTGTTGAGACGTCGCCAGTAAGATGTGCTCAAGTGAGAAAAAAACGTTTGAAATACCCACCATGACAAAGTAGACGTTATTCTCGTCCGTCCATGCGTTAAGCATCGGGGTCAGAAATGGACTGGCGTTTGGGCGGGACGTGATAAGATGGAGAGCAGTGAGTTCGCCGAGGATGTCGTCCGCGGCCGCTCTGTTGTATGCAGGGACCCATTCGCGAGGGACGTTCCGCCGTAAGACTTTAGACGCGAGGAGCTTGCGCTTGTTGACGATCTTGATGGCGACCTCGCGCCGCTCATCGGTGCGCGCGTATACGACGGAGCCAAACGTGCCGTTGCCAATGGACTTCAAGACCGTGAAACGCTGTGCATTGCCTTTGAATCGAACACAGAACTGGGCTGCCTGAGGCCTTGGCTCGGCGGATTGGGGTACCACAGAATGTTGAATGCCAGGCTGAGAAAATCGAACTGGATGCAGAGCAACCGGGAGGAGAGAAGGTCTGTCGATGCGTGCACTGGACTGCGGTAGGTCTGCACCTGAATCCGGAGCGTTGACTAAGAGAGATGTCTGCCTGCGACGAGCGGTAGGGCCAGTAGCATGTGAGCAGACAGTGTAGGGAGGGATGACCGCAGCGCTTGGAGGATCAGCATATTCGAGAGGTTCGTCGCGGATAGGCTGGGGTTCAAGTACCTCAGGTTGGCTTAGTAGAATGACGGTATCCGGATCAGGAAGAGGGTGGCTGGTCTGAGCACGCTGTCCCGCATCTTGTAGTCCTGGAGGATCAAACACATCTTCGGGGGCGTCGCCTACGTTACTTGGATTCAAATCAGAGATCGCAGCAGATGTACTCGAGCGCAAGGACGACGACGAAAGACACCACTTGCGGCTAATCTTGATGGTAGCAGCAGGAACGCCGCAGGGGTGGTTGTACTTCACGTCCACAGCTCGGACGTCAGACGACTTCCTCGCGAACTCCCAGCCGAGCATCTTTGCGTTCCCCAAGAGCGGAGCGTAAGGTGAGGACTCGGAGCATTGCTGTTCCCTCTGAATGAAGCTGGCGGGGTTCTCGTCGTCGATGGTCGTGGATCGTTTCGGAGTTCTGAAGATGGAACGGATGATGTTCATCGTCGACCGGGTCGACGGGGGGAACGCAGATAGAGTGCAGGACAGAGAAGAAAATCCGATAGGTGATGGAAGAGAATAAGAGGTGAGCGGGGGTGGCCTGGAAGAACAAAGTAGAGACCGCTTCAAGCAAGCACACGACCTTATAATACCTTGGTTGCATAGTGGCGTCCTTGTTGGATGCCACGGCTAGGTGCGAGTTAACGACAAGATGACGTCTGATCGCCGAAGACTTAGGACCTGGTACGGTACTCGCGCTGATCAAAGAGCTTCTCTCGAGAAAAGGCAGGCCCAAAGCGAGTGACAGCAAAGACCACGTTTTGCACGATGCGGTGAAGTCTTCCATGCCGTGGCAGTGCGCAGGGTAAACCTGTTCCGCGGCGACGAGCGGGGCGGGATGAGTCGCGGTACACTGTTGAGAGAATATTCGGAGACATCTTGTTGACGGGTGAGTCTACGGATCATGTCAGGTCTCTTGGAGGTGCATTGCGAACAAGTTGTCGTGACTCGCGAGCGGAAAGAAAGCGGGGCCGGAACAAGCCGAAAATTTGAGCCCCGATCATGAGGGAGCACACACGGACACACAATGTTCGGTCTCTTGTCGCCTTGCTCTCACCCACTCTCGTCTGCCACCATCGTATGCAACCACTTGCTCTTTGCTCAAAGCTGGGTTATTCAGCACCCATCAAAAGCACTGATGTGGCACAGGGGACGAGGCTCAAAAGTATCACTTGTGCATATCCTAGTCTGGTTGTCTGGCGAAGATTGGACGAAGGGACGAAGGGCGTTTAGTGTTCTACTCGTAAGTGAATCCGAAGTGAGTCCTTGCGCCTGTTCTAGGGCGGGACAACATTCGTGGTTCCGAATCTCCGAACCCCATTTCGACTTCCTCAGGATATTGCATCACTGTCGAGTGGAGCTCAACAACGCTAACTTCGCCTGCAGGTTGCCTTGCACGCAACGCGTTTGTTTCACCCGCAGTCAACGGGTGCAGGTCTCCTCTTGGTATTTCATTCTCTGCTTTGTCGCTCATAACCTCCTGGCATTTGGCCGACCCTTTACTCGCGATCTGACGATGTGCTTCCGTCGTGTGTCGTAGGCAACACCACAGGTGTATGCTCGGCATCTCGGGCCGAGTTCGCTTCAACGTGGTTGAGCTTGATGCCACTCGCATATACGGTTGGATCATGAGACATGCGCGGCCCTCGAAAGTCGACGTTTTGCGAACCTCAACCTGCAGGGTCGGTTTCGCCCAGGGCTGCAAACAGACTCGGGGGGCCAATGGGGGCTGGTTATAACCGCATTCCTCATGCCCTAGATTAGAGGCTTAGCGATCTCGACTGGCTCTCGAAACGTATAACTACGCGTCCACCTCGAGGCTCGAGCCTTTGGTCAACCAACGAAACTCCCGATAACCTCCTCCTTTCACACTTCTCCTCCTCCTTTCGCTGGGACACAATCTCCTACAAACGGCCTCGACTTGCCTCAAATGAGTGACTGGCCGCGACGCGAGGGCGAGTTACCGATGCTCTCGTATCCAACCCAGTACGATTTGAGCCAAGCGCCCATGGTGCCTACGCAAGAGCTGGACAGCATCATCCCTGTGCTGAACTCCCTCCCCGACGACCTCATCAGCAAGAAGCGCGTTTTCAAGCCCACCGTCACGCCAGCAAATTGCGCTGGACCGAGCTGGGTAACTATCGTCAGCCACCACAGTCCTTTATGCGATCCAGTGGCGTTGACGATATTGATTGTTCATGTTCATCCAGCGATACGAGCTGCTCCGTCATTTTCAATCCGAAGACTGGAGGTTCCTCAACTACCGCTTTAACAGCGTGCGCGTGTTCCGCGGCGCGTCGCGGCTCGGTATCGTAGGGCACCGTACGCGAGTGCCGGTGCGCCACGAGGTCGCGCCCGAGATTCTCCAACAGCTTTGTTCGCTGCCCGGGGGTGTGAAGCCGTTCCCCAACTTAGAGAAGATCATCTGGACCGCGGTCGACCGCGACGCCTTCTTGCTCATGCGGACGCTGGCGGGTCCGTCTGTCACCACTATACACCTCGAGGGCATGAGCTTCGTACCTGATCGCTGCTGCTGGGACGCGCATGACAACGTGGAGGAGAAAGACATAGACTCGGACGGCGTGACGCTCGCCCGCACGGAGGCGTGCCAGAGAGCCATCGATGTGCTCGGTGACCTTGGCAGGCTGTGTCCCTCTGTCCGCTCGTTCTCCTGGACCGACTACTCGTGTAACCCGTACGTGACGTCCGCCGTGAGCGAGGCTGTCCGGTGGTGGTTTCTTGAGGATGTGTCGTGCGGCACGCTGAACATGAGAGTCGTGCAGACACTGATGACGAGCCGATCTCTGCGCAGGCTCGAGATGTTTGTCCCGCCCCACAACGGTCCTACCTCGATTGAGCCGAACTGGACTATAGGCCAGGACTTTGCCCGTCTGGATAGCTTGCGCTTGCTTAGGGGTCGTCGTGGGTTTATGGACGCGGTCGAACTGCTCTTGGCTATTCGAGGCGCTATGCACGTCAAACACTTCAGCGCGGCTGTATCGACGTGCTCGGAGGTCCCTGACATCGGCCCGCTCATCATCGCTCTGTCGAGGTCCTGCCGCTACACCGTTCTCAGCTCTGTCTCGCTCGAGGAAAACTTCTTCAGTCAAGAGGACTGCAACGCGAAAGTGACGCTCGTCAGCCGGGCTGGCTTCGAGATCACTATGCAAGACCTGTCGCCCTTGTTCAAGTTCTCCAACCTCACGTCGCTGGTTATCGACACGCAGCGCGCGATCTATCTTTCGTACTCCGATCTGAGGCAGCTGGCCGGCGCGCTGCCGCGTCTGCGCGTGCTGCAGCTGAACCGCACGCACGGGTGGCGCGTCCGCCCGTGGATGACATATCGGCAACTCGTGGCGCTGTGCACGAAGGACTTGCCGGGTCTGCGCGTGCTCGCGCTCGCGATCAACGGAAAGAGTCGTCCTGACACGTGCATGGGCGGATCCGACACGGAGGCGCTGTTCGGGCGCGGTGCGGCAGGCCAGCTGGAACAGCTGGAGCTGCTGGATTCGCCCGTGGGGGATGACGTGCATGCGATCGCGCGGTGCCTGTTGGCTCTCGTGGCGAGGCCAGAGGCGTTCAGGGTGGACTTTTGGCGCGGGCGGTGTATTGGGGAGGTTTCAGCGGTAAATGAGGGGTGGATGGAGGTGGAGAGAGCGGTGTGGGAGCTGCATGAGTGGGCGATGGGGAGCAGGAGTGCGGGTATTGCGGAAGGGAGGTGGCATACGCGCTTCAGGCCTGTGCTGCCGCTGCCTGAGGGCGAGGTGGGAGGGCCGGCGGTGCCGATGCTGAATGTATCTTCTTTCCCTGCGCCGCCAGTTTCGCGTGGTATGCGACCTACATTGCCTAGGCTAGAGACCGGCGTGGATGCAAGAAGCGGGATGATGCCAGGTGCTGGGCCGTCGTCGACACAACCCCAGAGTCGCTCGCAGAGGAGGAAGTAAGTCATGGGATGGAGGTACGGTAGTCTTGAGGATGGAATAGAACATAACGCAACACTCCTCTCACTCAACGAAGTGTATGATGAAATAGACACCCAAACAGTGAACCGTGTTTTGTCAAGGTCACGTTGTCCAGTTGCAAGACGCGTCGATATTTGAAACTCCGACAGCGAATTCGGGAAATGAACATCCGAACCCGACCCGAGAGACGAAACTATCCCACTCAACGCTGACCTGAAGACAAACGGACGACCACTATAACGACAATTCCTGAACATACCCAAGGACAACGGTGAGAGCATATATGCTAGAATTGACCAGCATTTGAACATAAACACGCTTTTTAGCCAAACTTTGTAAAACTACAGGAGCACGCCGACAACACGAGCCATGTCTGCCGCGCTCAGTGCGCGTCCGGACTCGTCCAACCAGTCAGCCAGCACACCAGGCGACCTCTCCCTCTCCCTCACCGGCGACCCAAAACTTGCAACGCCTGGTCGCTCACTCCGTCTCCCTTCTGCTACCTCCACCGCCCCTTCCTCCTTGCCGATATCCACGCCCTCACCAGACGCCTCATTTCAGCTCCGCAAGAAGATCGAAGAGCCTCCATCAACTGCACGCAGAATAGCATTCTCGACGCAGAGCGGTGACGATGACGGGAACGAAGGAGAGGTTACCAACTTCCTGAACACGCCTGGCAGGGAGAAGTCGACGTGGAATCCAAACGATGGAGCTGGCGAGGGGCCGGAAACGCCAATGCCTAACAGAACGAAGCGGTCGAGGACGACTACAAACGGGAACAAGGCTGTTACGCTGACGCTACGAGATCAGGAGAAGGTGAGCCCTTTCGTCATCCTCGCGCTGTTCCCTCTCCTTTCTTTGCTGATACGCGGTGCCCCTCCTTTTCCCATGTCTCCCTCTCTCCTCTCCTTTACGTACCTTCTCAACGATCACCATGCAGCACATCGACAGCCTCAAGAAAGAAAACTTCAACATCAAGCTCCGCGTCCACTTCCTCGAAGAACAGCTCGCCAAACTCGCCCCAGACCAGATCGATGCCGCCCTCAAACAGAACATCAACCTCAAAATCGAGGTCCAGCAGCGCGGCATGGAGCTCAAGAAGCTCAAGAAGCTCGTCCTCGAGCTCGAGCGCGAGCTCGAACGCTCCCAGCGCGCCTCCGCCTCCTCCTCCAACGACGGCGGCCGCGCGCGCGTGAAGGAGCTCGAGGAGCAGCTGCAGGACGCCGAGTACGAGATCCGCGAGCTGCGCCGCGGCAACGCGAGCGAGGCGGTCGAGAGCGCGCTGCGCGCCGCGGAGTCGCATAATGCGGAGCTCGAGGACGAGCTCGATAGCGTGCGCGGGCTGCTCAAGGATAATATGGACGAGATTGAGCGGCTGCGCGATGCGCTTGAGCGGCAGGGCGACGCGTCGAAGGACGAGGGGCGCGCGCGCTGGAAGCGCCGGGCGGAGGAGATGGAGGCGCAGAATGAGAAGTTCCGGAAGCAGGTCGAGGAGCTGTCTGCGGTGCTGAGCCAGAGGGAGGACGAGAGGGAGGATCTGCATGATGAGTTGGAGGCGCTGCAGCTGGCGATTGAGGATCTGGAGCGGAAGAGGGACGCGGAGATGATGGAGCGCAGTCAGAGCCGGGCGCAGCTGATTGAGGAGAGGGAGGACCGCGAGGCGATCGAGGACGAGATGAACGGGCTGAGGGACAAGCTGGCTGCTGCGACGATTGAGCTGCAGCAGAAGGAGGACGAGGTGGAGATGAAGAACCGGGACATTGACAATCTCATTGCGGAGCATGACCATGTCGTCAACGTCGTCGAGGAGGAGTGGCGAGGGGAGGTCGAGGAGGCGCGCAACCAGGTTGAGGAGCTTCGCGATGTGCGTACGGACTATCCATGCATGCTGGGAAATCACTAACTGGAATCGACACGCGTGCAGGTCATCGCAGAGCGCGAAAGCGAGTCGAAGGAACTCCGCATGAACATCTCCGAGCTCGAGGCGAACACCAACGAGCTTCACGCCAAGTTCGAAGCGACCCTCGCACACCTCGAGCGGGAGGCAGACGACAAGGATGCCGAGCTAGAAGCTGCGAACCGTGAGGTCGAGAAGCTTGGCGAACATATCTACGAGCTTGAGGAGGAGAATGAGCGGATCAAGGAGGACTATGAGCACGCGAGGGAGGAGGACGTTGCCGAACGCGAGCAACTCGAGGCACTCTCGTCGGCGCTCAAAGAGGTGCGTATCCTCCGCTTCCTAGTCCCCGTAGTTTCTAACGATGTTTCGCGGATAAAAGAAAGTAGCCGACCTCAAGGCCCAAGTCCAGGAGCTGCAAGAACTCTACGACGAGTGCCGCGAGGAGATCGACCAGCACCGCACGCGGCAGGAGGAGCTCGCGCAGCACATCGAGGACCTCGTCGCCGAGAACGAGCGCACCGAAGACGCCCGCACACAGGCGGACGCCGCGCTCGCGGAGGCCCAGCGCGAGCACGAGGCAGCCCTACGCGCGGAGCAGCGCGCGCTCGAGGCGAAAGACGCGGCGCTCGACACGGCGCACGCGGACCTCGCGCGCACGCGGGAGACGCTCGCGCAGCGCGAGGCGGACATGCAGGCGGTGCAGGGCGCGCTGAGCAGCGCCGAGGCGCAGTCGCGCGCGCTCGGGGAGAGCCACACGACCGCGCGGTTCTCGCTTGAGCTCGAGGTGGACCGGCTGAAGCGGGATGTCACGCGCCTTGAGGACGATCTTGCGCGCGCGCGGCGGGACGCGGAGGAGCGGGATGCGGGGAAGCGGGAGAGGGACGGGGCGCTGGATGCGATGAGCGCGGAGATGCGCGAGTTGAGTGCACAGCTGAGTGCGCAGATGCAGGCGAGGATGAACGCGACGGAGAAGCTCGATCAGGCGCAGGCGGCTCTGAAGAAGGCGGAGGAGGAGGCTGCGGCTGCGAAGGCGCGCGCTGGGGAGCTGCAGGACAGGCTCGCGAAGGACCAGCGGAGCTTGTACAGCGCGGAGAACCAGTATCGGGATCAGCTGACGGAGCGTAATACGCTGCTGTTGACGATCTATCAGTACATGGATAAGATCTTGGGCGTCGACAAGACTCCGGTGCGTCTCGTTTTGCTCCCTGCCTTGTCCCTGTCTCTTGCTAACACCGTCGTTTGGTCTGTAGAAGAAAGGCGGCGCAGCTGAGACGAAGCCGTTCACCAACTTTGGCGTGTTCCACGACAACCTGATCACGCGGCTCAAGTCGCTCTCGCAGATCCAGATTGACTTCGACAAGCGGACCAAGGAGATGGAGGGGCGCTTCAACGAGAAGATGGCCGACATGCGCAAGCAGCTCGACTCGCGCTGGAGGCAGATCGACAAGTTCGAGACGAGCGTGCGCTCCTACGGAGACGCCAAGGCGAACTGGCGGCGCAAGTTCACGGCCAAGGAGGGCGAGCTCGAGGCGCTCAAGGTGCGTCTGCGCGTCCCACGCACCGATTACTCTTGCTAACGCAGAAACAGGCGACGAACACGGAACTCGCATCGCAGCTCGGCTCCGCGACGCGCCGGCCCACGGGAGACGCCAACGAGGTCCGGAGTCTCACGTCGCGCGCGACGAACGCGGAGAAGCGGCTCACGGTTGTGCAGAACCAGCTGCTGCTCGCGGAGGAGAAGATGTCGACGATGAACCAGCGGACGAGCGCGACGGACGCGCGGTGGGAGGCGCGCGTGAAGGAGTACGAGGCGCGCATGCGGGCGGCCGAGGAGAAGTACAAGCGCGAGCGGCAGGGCGGCAAGGAGCGGGTGCTGGAGCTCGAACATCATGTCAAGTGCGTTTTGGATTGTAGTTCGTTCGTCTCGGGACGCGTTGTTGATGATTTCGTTTTTTGCAGGAGTCTGGAGAGACAAATGGAGATCGCGCAGAGGCGCAGCATCCAGCTCGACAATGTTAACGAGGCCAACACGCCCAAGATGTCTCGAAGCGGGACTCGATGATCGCTTTCACGTCCCCTCCTGCCTTGTTTTGTTCATCTATCCTTGTTCTTAATCTGTTTTTCTTCGTCGCCTTGACTCTTGTTCCTAGATATGGCATACCCTCAGGATATGTATAACTCACGCCTTTCACGAACATTTCCGCCTGCACGATGTCCGATCTTCGCTGAGCGTTGATTGCACCTCCCTTCGATTTTTGCTTTCGCTTGCTCTTGCATCATAATAATCGTACCTATTAATCGCTATATCCTTTATTTACGCATTTGTACTTCTATCCTGACACTATACATCATGCTAAGCAGCACGTTTGAATCGTCTTGAGCATGACTCTTCCTGAGATAGACCATTCTCTTGACGTTTGATTAGTTCATGGCGTGGATAAATGCGTATATTGCTGATAGAAACTTAGGGTCGAACATTCAAAACCATGCGCAACTCGAAGGCGTTGCTGATTCCGGCAAACGACCTCACGCGGATCCGTTAAAATTTTCAAAGCTCGGAAGCTCTTATCAATCGCGCGCGACAATATTATCACATGTTTCATCAGATGGCAAAGGAATACTATCGCATTGCAAAAACTAGTTGTACAAATTACAGTATGTAAGAGCCCATCAGACAGACACCCCACTCGCTGGCTTGCGTCCGTGGCACCGCAAGCGGTAGCGACGGTCGCCGTGCCAAACGTCATCGAGACCCGCCCAACGAGGGGCAGGCCATGTTCTCTGTTTTACGAGCGGGTGCGAATATCATCGAGTGGACTTGAAGGATGTGGCATGTGTAAACATGCGAGACTCGAGTTAGTTTCTATAGAATAGATCCTAGCTGAGTATGTTCTAAGGAGACAACCAACGTCGGGCGCGCCTCTTATATATCCGTCGGTAGGTGGTCCGTGCGCGGGAGGCTCCTGCTTGATATGGGAGGCATTGAAGTTTTGATACATGAGACGGACTGCTTTAATTGGATGAAGCCCCTAAGGGCTGCTTTTGACCTGACCGTCAGTTCTTCGCTCCCTTCACCGCTGCTCTCACAATACGGTAGCGGGAGGGACACGGTGAATCATCTCGCTTGCCCCACCTGTGTTCAAGCTGCACAGAAAGCAAGAGTATGTTCATATGCCCTCATCCTGCCTTGTCTTCTCCGCAGAAAAACACGGGTCACTTAGACACGAGGGTAGAAAATTCAGGTAAGTTCGCTTGTCATCTATATCCAATGTCGTCTCTTTGAGATGACGCCCAAGGCTACAACTCCGCGCTGGAGTCGCGGTGCTGTTTATTGACTGGGAGAACGATGAGAGAATACGGAACTCGCAGCAAAGTGGAAGCTTGGTCGGACTTGGCCAGATTCGCACATCGTCGAATCGCGCTTGTATTTGCACAAGCTGTGGCTAGTCATCATCACCGTCACCATCACCTTTATTTTTGTGTTCTGAATCCTATCGAAGTTCCCAATATCAAATGTCTCCCTTCTTAGACTCAGGCGCCGAAGCGCTGATACATCAGGTGGACGTACGCCACCTTCTAGAAGTCGATGAAGCCATCCAAGTATGGTCCCAAGACCTTAATTTACAGTGCACACGTAAGTCATGCGGAAACCTCGCAGGCCCATGTGCATGTATATAACGAGTGGATCTATTCCCAGTGCGATGTGTAAAAGAACCCTCACGCTGCAATGACAGACTTCTACACACAAGGACCCGCCATCGTGGGCGTGTCGCTCGTCCTGGGTGTATGCGCGTATCAACTTATCTCCCGAGACAAAGCCCCCAGGAACTCGCAGCCGCCTGGTCCAAGGGGCCTCCCTTTCATTGGTAGTGCCTTGGATGTTAATCCTGCCGATCCCAGCTCGACGTTCGTCGAATGGGAACGGAAATACGGTGTGTTCCCCTTACGATGGCGTTTCTTGAAGCAGTACCGCTCAACTCCCGTCGCAGGCGAGCTCATCCGCTGCCGTCACTTTGGGAGAGATCTGTTCATCATCAATTCCGAGCGCATCGCGCAAGACCTGTTTGAGCGCCGTTCGCGCATATACTCGGATAGAGCGGGATTCTCGGCGCTTGAGCCGTACGTGCTGTCCACCATGCTTTTTGTGATAATCGCTCTAAAGATCAACTATCTCGCGCTAACTAGGTACGGCGTCCTGTTCAACGTGGGCATGGTGCAATACGGCGATACCTGGCGCATGCACAGGAAGCTGATGAATGGGCTCATGCGGCGGGCCGCTATCCCGAACCACCACGATTCAATGACCAACGGTGCTCGCATTTTAGTTTCTAGATTGAAGTACTCTCCTGAGAGGCACCTAGAACACTATGACGGGTAGGCTTATCTTCTAATCTGGTGTGTATGTAGGCGTTTAGGCCCCATGTCTCAGGTACGCCGCGAGTAGCATTATGCACATCGTGTACGGCCACGACCTCGAGAAAGACCAGGAGGAGATCGTCCAGGTGTTGTCTCAAACTGCCAGCTGCTTCGTCGAGAAAACGTCGGACGCATTTGTGGCTCTCGTGAACATGTTCCCCCTACGTGAGTCTCTCCCCCCTGCCCACTTCGCGAGATGATCCAGACAGAGGATAGTCAAGTACGTACCGGCGTGGTTTCCCGGCGGGGCCAAGTTCAACGCTGCAAAATCAAGAGAAACGATAAGCTCTCTTGTGTCAACGCTTTATGGAATGCTCCTGCGACAAGCTCCTGAGGCACGTTCATCTTATCGTGCACCGCGTGCCATCGTTGACTGAAGTGTTTTCACGTAGGGGAACTTTTTGCTACAACAAGAAATCAAACACACAGGGAACGAAGCTGTTCAGGGTATGATCAGAGATGTGTGCGCTGCAATATTTGTAGGTAAGGTTGAGACTCGTTCCCCGACGTATGTTAATGCTGATATCGCTGTGCCGCTTGCAGGAGGATTGGAGACCGTGTGTAGCGTTGATTAGGATGTAAAAAATGCTAATGCTAACGTATCCCGACAGACCTCATCGATGCTCTCAATATTTGTTATGGCAATGATGCTGTTCCCGGAAGCACAAAAACGCGCACAAGCGGAGATCGACAGAGTCTTAAAGGGGAGGCCTCCCACATTTGAGGATCGCTCATCATTACCTTATGTTGAAGCTGTCATGCGGGAAGTGATGCGATGGGGTCCCGTTGTCCCTCTAGGTACACTAACTTAAATTCTCTCACGCGCAAAGAGTCCTTGAGTTGATCCTGCGTTCATCAGGTGTACCGCACTGCGCGCTGGAAGATGACGTTTACGAAGGCTACTTCATTCCGCAAGGAACAGTCTTGATTGCTCACGCTGGGTCGATATGCGTTCTCATAGTCTTGACTTAGTCAGAATGTCTAAACAATTTCTAGGAGCATGCTGCGCAACTCAGTGCGCTATCCCAACCCAGAAAAGTTCTATCCAGAGCGGTTCCTCAACGAAGATGGGTCACTCAACAACGAGGACATGGGCTATGTGTTTGGTTTCGGACGGCGAATCTGCCCAGGTAGATACCTAGCCGATGCCTCAGTTTGGATCGCTATGGTCTCGATACTCGCAGAGCTGGATATCAAACCCGCCGTGGATGATGATGGGAATGAACTCGTCTTCAAGCCCGAGTGGATTCACGCCCTTACGTCGTGAGTACTAGTACTCTGATTTTCTCTCCCAATGATTGCCTGATGACACTTCCTATTCAACACATAGACGACCCAAGCCGTTCCCTTGCTGTATTTTTCCTCGCATATAGCCCTCGTGCATTGGAAGTAGAACGTAGTTTGAGCAGTGATGCACAAAAGGGAAATAGCCTTAAGTGCACCTGCAACCTTTCTGTGATGTTAACGAGACTCTATGTTATGAAAATTGTCAAATAATTCGCAATTTATCCATGAAAGCGCCGAGTTCAAGTGATTGACTGAGTTGATCATCATCGTTTCTTTACGATCCCGCTCGTCCTCCGAAATAAATCGAGGTATCTTGTGCAGCGAATTCGATGTCCCACGCACGTAGCACTGCCACCATTGCCCAGGTTTGCGATTGTTTCATCGCTTTGGCATGACGTCATTACTGAGTTTAGCTCCGCGTCCAGTCAAGAGGCGCATCTAGGCGGTACCTGACGCGCGGTCACCTACGAGTCACCTAATTGTTTCACCTCCTCTCATTCAGTGCACTTCACCGATAGACAATCCTAGGCAAACGAAGTACTATTGTACCGTAAGCCATGTATCACGCTCAACGTCTATTTCATTAAGCACATCGCGGAGTTTTCCTCGGACAGATTCAAGTGCACTACAAGTGACAGCGACGGTCAAGCGACAGTACAAAATCGACAAACATCATGCTTGCTAACAACAGTCAAAACGCTGGGCGAGGAGGGTTAGGCAAAGGCTGCTCTGGGTGCGGTAAATCCCTGCTACGCGGCCAACAAAGGCTGCACACCTGCTCAGACTGTCAGATGGCACTGTACTGCGTAAGCCAGTGCCCTATACTTTCATCAGACATAGCTCAGTTTCACTTATTGAATGTAGAACAAGGACTGTCAGCGAGCCCACTGGCCCACCCACAATGTCACTGAACTATCATTTCCATTTCTAATGGGACGTTGCCAGTGCGGGCTGCTGACCTGCTCCGATTTTGCAGAACTTATGCCGCCTGAACATGCAGTCACGCGAAGTTGGAAAGATGGCCGGTCCTGAGATAAGGAAAGATGCCGAGCTCGGACGCTTACTCGGGTCGCGGTGGATAAGCTGAAGTCAAGCCATCGATGAGCCAGTGGGGCAATACAAATCGTTAGGCTTCGTACCTGAGCGATGAGGTGGCGCGCCTCATGGTTGTCAACAAGCTCAACGGCAGCGTTGAGACTGGCGCTGCCGCCGTCTACAGACGGCGGAACACATTCTATCCAGCGCGACCCCTGTTTTCCGATACTCAGAAGTCTTATCAGCAGGACTGTACAATTACGCACCTCAGGGACTCTCAACGAGAGCTCGAGTAAAAGTATGCCGAACGCATACATGTCCACCTTGTAGCCGTACTCGACACGGCCTCCGCCTCCGGATGGGTGGATCATCTCAGGAGCCATGTAATGGAAGGTCCCGCAGCCGTCCGTCATCACAGCGTCTTTGAATGGAGTCGTTGATGAGCTGACATGATGAGCTGACATACACCAGCCCGAAGTCTGCAAGCGCAGCGTGTCCGTTAGGGATAATAGGACGTTATCCAGTTTGATGTCGCGATGGACAATGCCTAGCTCGTGCAGCTCCTCGACAGCCAGTAGCTAGAAGAATGACAAGATCAACTACATATCGCCGGTGAAGGGGGAAAGCACTCACAGTCTCCGCCGCCCAGAGCTGTATTTGAAACTGTTGTACCGGTACTCGGTGGTTATCAACTAAGTGTCTCGCCAGCGATGCCGGATATAGTCTCTAAACCGGATGTCAGCCTCGAAATTCCAACAAAGGACGCGAACTACAGACCTGCACGAATTATATGTTCTCCCCATCTTCGAAAGAGTACAGCAGGTCCGCATAGAACGGCGACGCCGCCTCCGTAACCATCTGCAAAGCCGCCCACTCGTTCTCCAACTGCTTGATTGCCGTGTCGAGGCTCTTTCCTGCGTTCATCACCACGAGCGGTTTGTGTATGACCTTGATCGCGATCTCTTCCCCTTCGTCCGTCACACCAGCCCACACGACAGCAAAGCCGCCGTAACCGATGTCGCACTTTGGGAAGAACTTGCGGCCTCTGAATGTCAGATGCGGCTCTGAGCCATCGTCGGGTTTTGAGGCAGGAGGGAATGCAGGGTAGGTCGAAAGGAGTTCCTGGAGGGCGTCGGCGTCTGTGGTGCCCTGAGGACGCGCAGGCTCGTAGTAATCGACGAGGGTGCAGACGGGAACAGCGGGTAGAGATTTGTTGATGTTCATCGGTGGTCGCTTTGAAGACGAACCGGGGACGAGTTTCTGGGCCATCCCACGCGCCTTCTTCGACACACGCTTCACGAGAGACGGCGTTCGAGGAACCTCGAGCTTCTTCGGAGAACGCTCTGGTGAAGGTACAACATTGACAAATCGCGGTGTAATAGGCAGCTCGCTCTCGAGCGTCTCGGGGGTATGGACCAGGAGAGGAGTCATAGAGTCCCGAGCGTGTAGCTCAGGCCTCTCGGAGGGCAGGAGGGACAACACCTCCGAAATGGCGTCGTCGTCTTGGTGAGACCGCCATTCCGCGATTTTGCTGAATGAGGACAAATTGTCGCAGAAAATCAGGGGAGTAGGGACCGCGGAAGTGGCGTCTTCCGGAAGGTGGGCGCGAGGAACGATGGGCTCTTCGACGGGACCGTCCCATAGCGGGTACACGCATGGGGGTGCATCAGTCGCCTGAGAGACGTTGAGGAGCGAGGCTAACGTGGTTGAACGCTTCCTAGGTGGACGTTTGAGAACAGGACGATCGTTCGGGTAAACAGATCGACTCTCAATCATGAGATACCATGAGATGTCTTCGCCTTCTTGCTCGCACGCGACTTCTACTAGCTCATGGCTGAGTCTACAATCGTCCGGCTTGTTCTTGGTCTGAGGCGCGAAGGAACGACGGAGTCTGGACTTCTGTTTCAAGACGTGAGAGAGCATGAACTGCGAATGTGAGGGGGAGACCAGAGGAGAAATGAGGCGAATGCGTACCAATGAGTCCCTTCATACCCTCCTTTTATGCATCAGCTTAGGGCAACGCATAGTTTCTAGTCGAGGATCACCGCCATCAGCCCGCCTATTGTGTGACAATGGATAGTCTGCCCGTCGCGCAGGCCAGTGATCGGAGACAAGGTTCGATAGTTGAAGAACAAGAAGGCTATTGTGTTTTCGACCCTCACGCCTGTCATGCACGCCAGCAACTGTGGGCGCATATATACAGGAGATTATACAAGGCGAACTTCGCAAAGGGACCGAGTAAGCCGAGGCTTCGGGTATTGAAACTCCGCACATTGGCGCCCAGGCCAGCTTGTAACTTCGATAAGCGCTCACACGTTGATAACGGCCCCTGGCGACATTAGCGAGTCTGACACCGTCTTGGATCCTTGGCAACAACGGGACCTTTCCTTGTGTTCTAACTAGGCTTTAGATTCTTACGAAAGCGCACATTCAACTCTTAGAGTCACAGGCCACGCGGGCTACCACACAACCTTCCACTCTCGTTCGCACCCATTACAAACCCAGTCAGGACTTACTCGGCACAAGTCTCTTTCGCAACATTGAGTAGTATGTCCTTCTTCGCTATCGATCGGTACTCTTAACCTTTCTTCATACAGCCATGAGCGCTTGAAAGTATCCAAAACCCATCAACACTACGAATCTCGCTCAGGAAGACGAGCAACGTATCGTATCCGAGGTTGTGGTGACAACGCTTCAAGCGAACACGAACGCTGACAATCCAAACATCTTCCACTGGAAGATCTTTCTGATTTTTGCTGAACCTGAGGTATCCGCAAACTCAAAAAGGCGGTACGCACTTCCCGATATGATCCCTACTGGCATGAACTGCGCCTGGACTTTTGTGGACGGTCGTCCGAAACAGGACGTAGCAAGTTGGGCCGGCACGCTAATGGTCTCAAGCGAGCTGGTTTCAGATACCTCACTTTATGGCGGGCTCACTCATGTCGACCTTTCTATCAAACTCTCAAAGGAGTTCACGATATTGGACGTTCTCGACTTTCTCTTGGACAATCACATGGACCGCTACAACTTCAATGCACACGGGATGGGGTGTCTGCACTGGATCGTGATTGCCATTCAACAACTTCAAGACGCCGGGTTTGTCGAACCACAAGCTGTGGAAATGCTTCAAGCTTTCCACGCGAAACAGCTGGAGCTTCACCCGGACAGGCACCCGCTTCCATTGCCAAAGGGGAGTTCTATGATTAAGGCGAGTATCTCCGTCATATGATCGTCAAGTCAGCCTTTAACGGAAGTCCTTTTAAATGAAGATGTACGTACAAAGAGAGAATCCACTCGATGATGTGCAATGTCTTGTATTCACTCTTACTAGTAGTATAGGTGACTCGGACGATTCCTGCGCCAGTAGTTACACAGTCTCTTTGACCCTCGTTAGCCCCGAGACTGAGCGACGTAGGTGTGCGCCGGGAATCAGAGTTCATACAGAAAGGACAGTACACATGGTTTACTGCTTAAGTGAAAAAGGAGTTGGATGAAAGGGATGGTATGACAATAAGCCTCTGTTTTTCTCGCGCCACCTCGAGTTCAGGAGGGACCGAGTGGCGACCGAGTGGCGCACTTCACTTTCCTAATCTAGGACATCCGCCCGGTGTCTCACCTTGGTGATCGCTTGGTCTTGACTCTCCTCCATTTCTCTCTGAACGCCACGCACCCAGATCGACATCTTGCGGGATCGCCGAATATATTGTGAGTATGAGGCTGAGTTTCCTATCAATGTATTGCCACTGGATAACGATCTCCTACAGCGCACTATGAGCACTAGCAATCGCAAGGGCTCGGAAAACAATGAGGTCAACAGCGATGAAGAGTCGGACCTTGGACATCTGGTCAAGGGATGTGTTTATTGCACCAAAGCCCAACCGCCCGGTCAGAGAACGCTGCGTCGTTGTTCCCGTTGCAAGACGGCATGGTACTGCGTAAGCTGGTCTCGTTCATAGATACAATCTAACCTCCCATTTCTGACTTTCCAACGGTCGCACTCTAGAGTCCAGAGTGCCAGAAGGCCGACTGGAAGATTCACAGAGTACTTTTTCATCCATCCCTATTAAAGTCGCAGTGGAATTAAACTATACGCTAAACGTTACCTCATTACTAGGAGCACTGCAAATCAAGAGAGCAGATGCGTCAAGAGGCTGGAGAGACGGATCCTGATGAGCGAAAGGCTAGGAGAGAGTTCGAAAAATGGTGCGTTTCCCTTGTGTAATCTTCATTTCATTGCGTAGCTGATCCCTTAAGTCGCCCCAACTTAGAGTATCCCACCACAACCCTGTGTTATCACTCGTGATCTATCGCGCGCTTAGGCTGCAGTCGGACCCAGACGCGTTCAAATCTAAAGGCTTGTACATATACTTTGAGCCAAAGGCCGACCGCCAAAGCTACCCGCTACATCAGAGGTATAATGTCGTACGTGGAGTCGTTGAGGACCTCGACTCGATTCGCAACGCTGCGATTGCCTCCGGTGCTGGCGGTATTGAAGACCATGGGCGTGCTCTATCGGAGGGTCGTCGAGTCGGCATGCTCGTGCTGAGTTGTCCACCTGTCTCGTGTCATTGGCAACGGGCGCAGTTAATGACACCTGAAGAGCTCAGGGAAGCAGCTCCGATCGTGAATGAAGCTTGAAGTTCCAGAGAACTGGGTGTGTTTGATACAGCATGTATGGTTTATTAGGCGCTCACAGAATGTTCTTAGGTGCCGTGGTTGAACAAGGCTGTCAATGAAAACTATGTATCGACACTATTATACAAGTGACATTGGCAATGGGTGGAAATATAGCAATGATTGCAGCTGCTGTATGTTCTGAAGACAGTTCGCGTGCTCAATATAATAAGTAGCATATTTAATCTTAGGTTTGAATTCCTGTCAATACAAATTTCTGTGATGTTCTGACACATACGACGACCATCCTCCCGACCAGGACCCCGTCGAGTCAACGACTCTAAGACAGTTGTAAACATAAGCCATTTGCAGCTGAGACGCGGAGCTAGTGCGGTGTTTGAAAGTCTTCGGATGGCGCGCACTGCGGCTGATGCTGCCATTATTTCAAGTTCTTACCGTTGTCGATGGCTATTTTAACGACGATGGCAACCACACTCAACTCCAAAATTGTAACGCCGACGAAGGATCCCACATCAGTTGAACTCTCGAACGTTCTTCTCAAAGGGCTTTCGCAGACACTTTCACGTAGCTTTCATCCTGGGGAGACATCTCATCATTAACCGACAAAGACCTGTTCGCCTTGTTCGACAATTCCGAATGGAGGCTCTCTGAGGCAACATACTTCATAAAAACCTCCGTTCGTCGCATTGCCTATGACGCCGTGATAAAAACTGGGGGGCCAGACTCGGAACCGCTCACGATAAGCCTTGTCCGAGCATCGTCCAGCATCGCAGTTCCTGGTGTCCTGCGTGTTCTAAATATCGGGACACGCAAAGGCTTTGTTATGGAATATATCTCCGGAGAGACAGTGGAGAAATGCTGGGAACACCTAGGCTTATGGCAACACTTCCGCATCCTCTGGTCAATCCGCAGCTACATCCGACAGCTTCGGCGAATCCTCGTTCCCAATACTCCCCAAAGCAAGCACTTTCCCGGTCCAATAGGCGAAGTGCCTCAACTGTGCTATGGACCCACGTTTTCTTATGACTATGTAAGTCGCTTATTGTTCGGCGTATACGTAGCATTCATTTGCGTCCCAAGGGTGGTGGTCCCTTTGCTTCCTGTGACGAGCTCGCACAATGGTTCAACCACAAAGTAGAAGTATCCCGGCGTTTTGGGAGAAACCTTCCGCCGCACCTCGCCTTTGATTCATCCTTGCCTCTCGTTCTGACTCATTTTGACATTGCGCCTCACAATGTCATGGTTGACGGCAATTATCGTGTATGGCTGATCGACTGGGAACACGCGGGTTTCTATCCGCAATGGTTCGAGTACGTCGCTATGTATAACGGCTGGACGCTAGATGGTCGATGGAAGCGTTGGATCGTCGGATTTGTGGCGGGTTTCTATGAACGTCAAGCAAATTTCATTTCCATGATTGGGTGGGCTATTCATACAGGACATTTTGTGCAGTAACAATAGTTGTAGATATGTTTGTCCCACCTTTTGGCGACAATAAATCTGTGTATCCAAGGACGAGTCGTCTTAGTTCCAGTAGACCCCTCTGAGTTCATGATATGCGTCATTGCCTAGTACTGCGCTGACATTGACGCCGAATTAGTGTGGACAGCTTCCTGTGACGCCTGATTTTCACTGTCGAGAAGGTGTGCCAAGTGTCTGCTCTACCACTATTATCATGACTTGGTGGCTGCTTTTCGCCTGATTCATAGCTTTTTCCATTTAGTTGGAGCCAGGACAAACTCGGGACGTCGGGACGAGGACCGATGTGATAGGGGCTTTCACCTCAAATGGCTCTGCCCGCGCGGCGGCCTTCCGAAAGCTTTGAGTGCTGTGCTCAATGATCAACGCATACAGTCTCCAAAGTCTCCAAGAGATACCTCAATTCGATAATCGTATGCAAACGTCTATTCCACACCAATACACACGAACCTTCTATGCGTCTAACTCAGTGCCGTCGCTGCAGAGATAACGAGGGGCAACCTGGGAGTGGTGTTGACGTGGACGATTGATGTGATGGTCAACGACGGCAAGCTCAAAGCCAATTCAAGGCTCCGCGCCGCTGCTTTCCGCCCGCAGGAATCAACCTGTATTTATTTTATGATGACAGGCGAAAATTCCCCGAGGCCCCGAGCAGGGTGCATTGCCCATCCGTTTGCAGGCCACTTTGCAGGACTATCTACTCTCACCACCATTGGTCACACATCTTCGCCTGAAGCTTCTCCACTTCACTGGCTAACGGAACGACTGGGACGCCGTTTCGGAGGTGAGTCCCGGTTCGAGAGCGTTATCAAGACAAGAGTGAGATTATAAACTGATAGAACAAGAAACGCGAGTCACCTGTCAAAGCCCACTTATTCTGACTCGAGCCTCGAGGCCGCCCCAATCGCGGAGACAATATAAAGGAACACGCTCGCCCTTCATTTTCCTATCCGTCCGTTCCAAGTCTCCGAAGTCGGGCTCTTCGCTTTTCCTTTCTCGCCCATGTCAGCACAGCCGGCACCACCACCGCTACACAGCACGGACGGGGAAACATGCCCCCTCCTTGCGCAGCACCACCAGCCGGCGGAGGATGAGGCGCTCGAGGAGGCCGCACACGACGTGATATACAGGCGGTTCTCGCCTTCCCAGAAGAGGATGATACTCGCGATCGTGTCGATTGGTGGCCTTTTGCCGCGTGAGTCGTTAAGTTCTCTGTGTGTCCTCTTATCGTGCCGCTAGCGCTGGTCCTAGTGCTGGTGCCTACACACACAGTCGCGTTTTACGCGTGTGTCACGGCCAGCTGTGATGTTTTCGCTATCGCTGACCTTTGAACCTTCTATGTTGCACCCATATCGCGTATCCGTGCCATGTTCCGTTGTATCCAATCGCGTCTGCGTTCTGACATCGTGTCTGTATTTATAACCTTCGCCTCGGATGCTTTTGTTGTGCTCCGTCGCCAAATCGACTGATCGGACGATGATCTTGGGTTTTGGGTTCAATTTTGACTCCTTCTGACTCCACCTGCATCACGGCGGAACGCGCGACGCGATGACATGATGTTGCGTTGGCAGTGTTCGTGTCAGGAACGTTTATACCTTCCATACCCGAGATCGCGCGCGATATGGACTCGACGGGCCCGGTTGTGAGGTAAGTTTGTGTCTCCATACCTGAATGCCCGTACCGTTCTGCTCGTGCTGAACATGCTGTTGCTGGTCTTGTGTCGTAGTCTGGCCGTGAGCCTGTCTATACTGGCTACGGCGTTCGGATCTCTCATGTGGTCTGGATACTCCACGTATTGTACGTGCTTTCACCACTTACCTGAAGAGAAGCACCATTTGCTTACTGCTCGTCGTCATGAAGACGGCCGGCGTGTCATCTACTTCGCGAGCTTGCCCATCCTCGTCGTCGGGAGCGTCGGTGTCGCAGCTGCGCGTAACCTTCCGCAGCTACTCTTCTGGCGATTCATCCAAGCTTTTGGATGCGCAGGCGGCTTTCCGCTCGGGAGTGGGGTTATCGGGGACATATACAAGCTCGAGGAGCGGGGCACTGCGATGGGCATTTTCTTTGGGGTGAGTAGCGATCCGTACGCAAGGTATGCCTGCGGGCAATTGCTGATCAACTTCGTATCTTTACGTATGTGCTATAGGCCTCACTTTTTGGACCCGCAATTGCTCCTCTCGCCGGTGGTATGGGCTAATCGCCAATGTCTTGAGTGGCCTTGTTCTGACTGCCACTGTCTCATCCCAGGCATTGCCGCAGAGTACTCATCGTGGCGCGTCATGCAGCTCATCCTCGGTCTGTGGGGGTGCCTTGAGTGGCTGCTCATATGGGCATTACTACCTGAGACGAGCCATCCAGGTCAACGCGGGATCGACAAGGTGCCGGAGGACGAGCGCGTCGGAATCAAGATCATCAATCCTATCGCAGGGCTGGGGCTCATGCGCAGTCCGAACTTGTTCTTCGTGGTGAGCATGCACTGTGTTTTTGTGAGGGGTACCGAGGGCGTGCTTATGGGTGTCCGCAAAGTCGATAGCAGGATCTGTTGCGCTGCTGACAGATTTCGGTGAGCGTACATCATACACGGTGGCTGAGGTGATGGACTGAATCGGTTTGCGCAGTTTTGCTAGTCCCTCTAGCATATACCGTGGTAAGCCGATTCCTGTATACGCACTTGCTCTGCTCAAACGCTTGAGTGATGTTCTTGTGTTTCAGGGCGTGCGATACAACATCACCAACTCTGCTCTGGTGGGCGCATGCTTCATCCCCAACGGGGTTGGAAACCTAAGTACGCCTCCTTTGCGTCCTCCACGATGGACTTATCTGGAAGCTGACCCTGCTTCGAAGCTGGCGCACCACTCGCAGGCCGTCTCTCGGACATTGTCGTTCGCAAATGGCGCAAACGCCGAGGTGGCAAGTGGGTGCCGGAGGACCGCCTCCGGGCTGTATGGATTGGCGGCGTCTTCCTTGTGCCGCTCTCCGTCGCGGCTGCGGGTCTCGTCACCGAGTACGTGGATGGTACGCTTGGGCTCGTACTCATCTTGATTTGTCTCTTCACGAACGGTATGGGGGTAAGTGTTCTGCGTTAATTGGCCAGAAAATATTTGGCCCTGTGGAATGAGAGCTGACGACATGGTTGCATGGTGTAGGTCGACTTCGTGCTGAGCCCTTCAGCTGCGTACGGCGTGGACCTGATACACTCGCGGAGCGCGGAGATTATCGCTGCTAACAGGTGAGCGGGCTGTAGCACCCTAGACTGTAAACCATTCTGACACATCGCTGTGTTTTCCGCTACGAAGTGCCCTTCGAAGCTTAGTCATCGCTGTCGCAACCGCAGGCATCCTGCCTTCTATAGAGCATTTCGGAGTGGCTGCAACAAATATCGGCGCGGCGGTGCTTGCGTGGCTGGGTTACGGGTGAGTGGAGTTTTACTGCTTAAAGAAGTCATGTTCCGTGCCGCTAACGTGCGACGACTTGGTAGACTCATCCACATCACGATTCAGTACGGAGAGCAGTTCAGGGCTTGGGTTGATGTTGGGTACTCCACTGTGCGAGACAACTGAGGTTCCGTACCGAGAACGCGTGGCTTGAAAATAGAGTAGCACCATCGTGGTGTAGGAGTTCTTTTGAGGCACCGAGAACGTCATGCACGTCATGATCACAGGGAGCTTGTGTTGGGCTCCGAGGCAGAGGAGGAACAAGGAGCAACCGGCACAGACAGGAGCTGCTTGCCCATATAAGAAAACATCGTCATGGGTTCCTGACCCTAGCACAGGGTTTGGTGGATATACCGTCTCAGTTCCTGTGCAGTGCTGCGGCCCCCAATGGTGATGAAGGACTCAGCCATTGACAGCGGTCCATAAGGCCAAGACATCCGGACGGGCTCAGCCTTGCAACCGAGCTTGATCCAGATCCATGAGCAAGAGCAACTTCTTCAAGATGTCGAACCACAAGAACCTCCTCCAGCCCGTCGCCAACGCCGTCCAGATCGCCCAGGGCCTCGGCGAGCGCATGAGGGCGAAGGGAGGGTTCAACCCGGCGGAGCGCGCGATGGCGGCGGCCGAGGAGCTGAGTGTCGATATCAGGTTTGTGGATATTACGATTCAGGTGAGCCGTCTGCTCATGATCCAGCCCCGTCCATCTGCATCATCTACCAACTGCATCTGTATCGTCCATGTGAGCATGCATGCATATATGCGCGGGCAGGCTGCCCTGGCTCCAGCGAACGTTCGCGTGGGAGGGCTTGCGCTTTTTATGCACCAGTCTGTTCGCTGAGATGAAATCATCTTCAGCCGGTGGCCGGCTTGCTCTCTTCCTTCTGGCTGCCACCGCGTGCTATTATAATATGAATGCGAACATGAACTCAAGCCACACTGCACGATTACTGACGTTGATCGATCGTTATGTTCTATCGCTCTAGTTCATCGGTGCCGCGAATCTGCCGAAAATGGACATTGCTGGCACCGCAGATCCTTACTTCCACGCACGGCTCGACAAGACGCTTCTCTTCGTGTACGTCTTACCATCGCGTCGTGTTTCTCTGACACACGTATGATGGACAATGTTGATGTGCAATGATGTTTCATTACAGGTCGTCCGTGAAGTCGGGAACACTCGCACCTGTGTGGAACGAAGTGTGGAAGGTCAAGAACGTACCGTCGACAGCGACTATACAAGTTGACCTGCATGATAAAGATAACGGCGCTCCTGTCGACGACTACATCGGAAAGTTTGCGACCTCCGTCAATGCTGGAGCACGTGAAATTGAGATTGAGGGACCTATTATATCCAAGCACCGCGGCACGTTCTGGTTGAAGGTGTGTTGCCCGCGGATGCTATGTTTTACATTCTTCTAATGAAGCGATTATGGTTCGCCTTGCCTGCCACATCACACAGATAGACTCGCAGCCTTCTGCCCATGATGCACGCTCTCACCCTTACCTCTTCGATGGCCCAATACGCTATTCGAAGCACAGCTCTCCAACAGTTGGGGCCCTTGCGAACCTCAAAGATACCCGGCTTTACTCAACGTGGAAGGTGTATGTTAAGGGTATACCACTCTTTTTTGGCGACACGGTCCAGCCGTGGAACAAGGACTACAAGGCCGCGCAGACGATCTTCAAGGGCCCCACCTCGATAGCGGTGCGCAAGGGGATCCAGGCCGGGCATCACCTGCTCTACGCGCGCACAATGTCGAATGGATTTGGTGACCTTGACCATGCGGGCGACTTCTTTGCGCTGCTCCACGGCGGAGACAAGCAGCTGGCAGGCACGAAGGAGACGCCGTTCGCAAATCGGATCAAGCCTGCCGTGTATACCTACGTGATTGCAGAGCAGGATCAGTCATTCCGGTTCTCGGAGACAGGAGCCGCGTTCTTCGTCGACTTTGCGTCCAAGCACGCGCTGCACTCGAACTGCGCCGAGAGCGTGTACTACAGCGGGGAGTTCCACCCGCGGCCTAAAGGCGGTTGGGACAAGTTCTCGGATGACGTGCCGGACGACAAGGTGAAGTGGGAGCTCGTGATCGACAATAACTCGGGGACGTACGCGCCGGACCCGAAGATGCTGCCGCAGCTCAAGGCGCTGATGGAGTACAATTTTGCGGACTTTGATGTGTGCGCGCTGGACCACGGGGATCCGGAGCTGAAGAAGAGCACGGATGCGTGCAGGGAGTACGCGAAGACGGTGCGAGGCGTGTCGGAGAACGACCTGGAGCCGCATGCAGCTGAAGGGGAGCAGACGCTGTGGCACCAGGCGTCGCATGGGAAGGCGATGCTTGGGGCGGCGGTCCAGGCGAAGATGCACGACGCACCGTCATAAACGTTGTGTTGTTGTATGTCCATTATGTTCTGATACGTATTTATGAAATGGGATTGGACACACAAGCTGTGATGGACGTGGAACGCATGGGGGCCTCATTGTCGGAGTGAGTGGCCCTGATTGAGGATTGGCGTGCTTGAAGCGTGTAGAGGGCGCTATTACGAGTATGGAGTGTGTGAGATGATTGATGTAATTGATAGAGCCGATTTGGCGAGTGGGGAGAGAGAGCCTGGGTGTGGCTGGGAGAGGAAGCGTGGCCGGGTGGCTGTTGCTTGTTTCTCCGCCGCTGCGAGGCCATGGCAAATCCCGAGCGGGCCCACTGTCTCCGCCACTCTGCACACGAGGCTCACCACCTCCAGCTCTTGCTGGGCCCTCCTCCTCCTCCTTCTCTTTCTTTTCTTCATTCTCCTTCTCGACAACAACAGGCTCTTTCTCAGTGGGATGTGCAGTAGCGTTTTCGGTTCTCTCTAGCTCCGTTGTGAGTACGGCTCTCCATGCCTTTCTCTTTTTTTCAACAAAAGCCCCAAAGCCCAAGCGCCCCATGACAATTGTCTGACACGGACCCTCTTCAGCCCTCTTGACCACCATCGAGAGGACACAGCGCACAAGATGCTCCATCACCACACGGATGCTCTTGTTGCGCCCGTTTTTATACCCCAGCACTCCCGCCCACCACCTGCTACCGCCGAACTAGCCGCCATCTCCTCTTCTCCTACCCAGGTGTCGCCGAGCCCACCCGCCTGGCACAGGAAACCCGATCGTCCCGGATCTGCCACCGCAGTGGCCCGCTCTGCCTCTGAGGAGTTCCCGACCCCATTTTTCGACACCCGGGACCGCCAGTGTCGTTCGTTCAGCCATCCATCGGCCCGCGCCATCTACCCATCGCCTCCGAGTCCCTCGGGCGACCGCGCTCGCAAGAGCAGCGTTCCCCTCCCGGACGATGAGGCGCCGGGTTCTGGCTACCTGCCGGTGTACGCGGCAGGTCTCGACGCCGTGTTGGACTCCCCGGAGGTCATGCACCGCGTCGACCTCGCTGGATACAAGCCGTTGACGCCACCTCCGACGCAGCGTCACCCGACGCAGGCACTTCCTGATGATGATGACGATGAAGAAGAGGACGACGACGAGCAGTGTACGGATGATGTCCCCGGTGGACATGGTACGGAGGAGGAAGAGGATGAAGACGGCGACGGTGACTTTTATGACGATGACGATGGTGATGAGGACATGGATATTGTGGACGACGAAGAATGCGAGGCAGAGGCTCAAGTAAATGAGGTTCCCCCTGTACTCGAGGAGGACTCGACGACTGACCAGCCCCCTTCGCCCTTGTCACCCGAATGGCTCTCGCCGTTCGACGACGCTAATTCCGCCCTTTTGAACGATTCTTCATCCCATCCCTCGACGAGCAGCAACGATGACTTTTGGATGCCGCTGTGGTCGCCCGAGTCTCCCCGCGCCGGCAAGAGCGGAGACCTTCTGCCGCCAGATCTGAACATGGACCACGACGATGAGGATGAGGATGAAGACGACGATGATGACGACGATGCCCTGAACGACCTTCCACGACTTGATTTCTCCCCTATTCGCGACCACCTCTGCCCCAACCCATCGGCATATCATCACCATCATCGATCGCCCAGCCCCCTATTTCGCCGAGACGATGAGCACGAGCCACGAGACTTCTGCCCACCCAGCTCGCCGTCAATATCCAGCCTCGATCTGCCCGAGCTTGACGATGAACCGCCGCTCGTAATGCCTGAGTCCCCCTCGATTCGCTCTGCAGCTATCCTCCCGGATAGCGACGTGATCATGGTCGAAGCTCCCCACCCTCTCTCCATCATCTCGCCGAGCCAGGGCCTGCTCTCCCTTCCCGGTGGAGACGTCGACGATGACCTCCTCCCCGCGCTCTCGGCCTCCCCCGGCGCACTCTTCGTCCCACCGCTGACGCCGAGCGAGCCACTGCTGCTGCTCGAGGACCCGCAGGACGTGCCGTTCCCGCGCTCGCCGAGCCCCGAGGACTTTGACCTCGGCTTTGGTTTTGGCTTGAGCGCGGACGACGGCAGCGCCAGCGCGGGCGTCGAGCATCCGGAGGCGGGCAGGCTGCTCGAGCTCCGGAGGCGGTCGATCGCGGCGGAGCGCGCGGCGTCTAGGCTGGAGCATGCGGCGGTTAGTGGTGGGGTGGATGTGGATCTGATGACGCGGGCGGAGGCGAGGCGGATACGGAGGCGGGAGAAGGAGAGGAGTAGGGAGGTTAGTGCGCTGTTGAGGCTGAAGATGGACGAGTGGTGTGGGGCTGGTGTTGGTGTTGGGGCTGGGGCCGGTAGCACGCCGGTTCCGGCTTCGACGTCGACGGGTTCGGGTGACGTCGAGGGTAGCCTTGGCGAAGGGTCGAGTTCGAGTTCGAGTTTGGGTTCGAGTGCGAGCGGTGGGCTCGGGGGCTCTCCAGAGAAGGAGCGGAAAAGCAAGCGCGCGTGCATGTTTGGGAGCGTACGCCACCTCGTCGCGCAGATGTATTTCCGGCGCAGCGACGTCTCACGCCCGATCACGAAGCGCAGGCCGGCGGCGCCGCAGGAGTACGTCAGGTCCTCGCTGTCGCATTCTGTCTCTACTACGCCGCTCGATGCTGCTGCCGATGTTGATGCTGATGTCGATGCCGACGACAGCGAAAGCGAAGGCAGCGGCGATGAGCGCGATGTGGACATGAGCGTGTCGGAGATGGATCTCGCCTGAGGGTTTCGTAGTCAAAAAAAATATGGATTAGGCTCGGATGTCTACGGGTGAGTGCTCCCTTTGTTCTCTTTCGCCGGAACGTTTTGACTGATCATATCGCGACTCCCAGACTTTTTCTTATTTTCAAGACAAGAAAGGCGGCCTATGCTGCCCTGTACGCTATGCTTTCCGATCTACGAATCATCTATGTCTGCTCGCTCTGCTTTTCGCTTTCCTGTCCTATCCTCTCGTCTCCCCATCTCGTCTCCCCCCCATCTCACGCCGCTCTATTGGTCATCTCATGGTCATCGGTTCTCTCTCGTCTCTCGGTCTGTATGCATCCTTGTATCTTCTAGCTGCATACCCCACGCACGCATGCACTCCCGCGCACTCGTCAGTCACCCTTCGGTATCGGTATCATCTACGGAACTCTCTATCTGTGCCCCATCTATCCCCACCCCCATCCCATCTATCCAATGCCCCTCACTCCATCCTCCTCGTCTGTATACTTGCTTGCCGCGCCCCGCCTCGTCTCGCCTTGTTTCGCGTGTAGAGGAGCAGGCTCGGCGTCTATGTTCGCATCAAACCTACGTATGAGAAACGTTGTTGTCTTTGGATCGTGATCGGTCGCATTTCCTTGCGCCTCGTGAATCCCTCCCTCCTTGTGCCCTCCCCTTCGACGCGGCGTTTGCTCCTAGGCAAGCAGTCAGGCGACGCGGGTGGGCTGTGGATACGGTGAGACTAATGTGTTGCTCGCGGTGGGTTTTGCGTGCGTGGTATGGGATATGGCCACTATTCATCGTTCTTGCTTTTTCTGCTTTCAAGTTCTTGGATATGAACGTGGATATGTTTTGATGCTGGATTGGAGCGGCGCGGCGTGGAGTGGAGTGGAGTGGATTTTACAGTTTCACATGGCATGGTCGTGGTGTGTTCAGCGTTTTGGCGCCTGTTCTTTTGAAGCATTGGCATTTTTGCATTTTGCATTGCGAACATGGCCCGTGGACCTTTTAGAGACCAGGGACCGTTTTTGCATTATCTTTTTTTTCTGCTTTCTTTCCTTTCTCCCTTCTTTTTCTTTTGCTTCTTGTTGTACATATATTTTGATTGTTCTGCTGCTCTCGGGCCGATCCATTGATTCGACCGCGTCGAGTCTTGGATTAGGCTACGCACCGTAGTTATGTCTCGTTTGCTTGTTTCATTTTTCCCTTGATCTTTCTTCATCTCCTTCTCTGATCTTTCTGCTCGAGGATTTAGATGTCTTGGATACGTGCTCGAAATCCACCATGTAGTAGTAGTAATGATCCGTGGCATTGTCGTATAATGTAGTATTGCTTTTGTGGATACGAGTGTGAAATCCAAGCTTTTGAGTTGCGATCGACGGCGTTCAATCGAGAGCACGAGCCAATGACGTTGTTCCATCAGACGATAGGCGCTGGCCAATAAGAAAAAGATCGCACGATGTTGATGAGCGCCCACATAGGCGCCTTATACAGCAGGAGAAGTCGGACGTCGCCGAGTCCGGAAGTCTTTTGCGCCTCGTGTCTAACTTTTCACAGAGCGACCGTTCTTTTCTGACAGAACATTCCACGATATGTCTCTGTTCACTTGGCGATTGGTGCGCATCCGTGCATCTCAAACTGATAGGCGCCCATACCCGTCCATAAATACGAAGTTTACAATGGAGACGATTCACGAGGCGCAGGGCTCGGGCTAGTTTCTCCGATGTCGACATGCAGGCAAGTAAATCCGCGGGGATATGCGATGGAGTATCAAAACCTCCATTAATATTGAGGTAAGTCGCAGCTCATGAACCTTCGTATGTATATGGAGGCCAGCTGACAGACGTTTCCAGCCAGATACCTGGGCTACACTTGACCATAACAAAGCCCCATCAAGCTATCCCTGGGCTTACAAAGGCTTGTCAGGTGGCCCGAAGTCACCAACACATCGCGCTTAATCGGCTGTTTCGGAACAAATAAACGAGCTTCGCGCCGTCCCTGAAAGCGTGTTCGCTTAAGTATAAAAGTCTATCGGTCTCGAAAGGTGCGTTGTTCGCGTTTTCTCACCTCACCACGACTGTCCTCGATCCCGGACATTTCGGGGGGTTCACGACTGACGATTTACGACACACGCTTACGAACGTCAAGAGCACTACTATAAGAACAACCTTAAGGGATGACTGTCGCGACCGGCTCCTCGACTCCCACTACGCTCTATGACGAAGAAGCACCATTGCTGCTCGCTGCAGGCGCGAAGCAGCACCAGGCGGTGTACGATCGCTTTACGAAGTCCCAGAAAAGGGTCATTTTGTTTCTCATTTCTTGGGCTGGCTTGATTCCTTGTGCGTCCTTCTGCGCTTGCTTGCACGTCTTCCGTCGAGTTGACGAATCGGTCGTCGCTTAATGCTCTCTAGTTTTCCTTTTTGGCTCGTTCATACCGTCGATACCGCAGGTTGCGGATGAGCTTGGCTCTACTCCGGCCATTATCAGGTACGTTTCAGGCGTGCAGTATTCTGCTCGGTGTTGTTCAATTTCGACTTGCAGCTCGACGATCAGTGTCTCTACCCTTGCCTCAGCGTTCGGCGCTCTTTTCTGGGGACAGTTCTCTGGCTACTGTGAGTGTTTGTAAACAAAGATTGCATTCTCGCCTTCAGCACCACTCATGCTGGAACCGAAGACGGGCGCAAAGCTGTCTATCTTTTTAGCAGCCCCTGCCTGATCGTGGGCTCTCTTGGCTCTGGACTTGCCCAGAACGTGTCCCAGCTCGTGGTGTTCCGCTTCATTCAAGCATTTGGCGCCGGAAGTAGTCTTTCAATCGGCTCGGCTGTCGTCGGAGACATATACAGGCTTGAGGAGCGAGGTGGTGCGATGGGTATTTTCCTTGCCGTAAGCCTTGTCCTCGGTTCATTTGATAGTCACCGGTCTAACAAACGTATTACTTTCAGATTCAGATGGTCGGTCCTTCGGCTGGGCCAATTTTGGGCGGTGAGCGCCGAGCGCAGCTCGGTCCCATGTCCTTGGCTGACAGTTGGCACAGGTCTTGCTACGCACTATGCTTCTTGGAGATGGATGCAGATCGGGCTATTCTTCGCGTCGTGCATTACTTTCGCTCTGATCTGGCAGTGCTTCCCCGAGACGAGCCATCCGAACACCCTCGGAATTGATAAGACGGAGCAGGAGACGGGTGTTCGTAGGAAATTTGTGTTCATTAACCCGTTCAATAGTTTGGCGCTCTTGCGGAGCCCCGTTATTGTGATCATAGTAAGTGCAATTCAGCACATTGAATCTTCAACTGATAAATCAATGCGTCTTCAAGTGCTTAATCGGTACTTGCACGCTGTACACCGACTTCGGTAGGCACACTCCTTTGTTCATTTCCTTGACATGCCCTGACATAAATGTTTCTACAGTACTTTGGGTGCCTCTTCCTTACACCATCGTAAGGCACCAGCTTATTCCTTCTGAGCTTTAATCTAACCGCACGTCAAGGGCGAACGCTACGGCATCACGAACGAGACTTGGGTCGGCGCATGCTTCCTCCCCTCTGCAGCTGGAAATCTCAGTAAGCCCCCCGTGCCGCCTGATACCTGCCCGAATTTCTAAACGTAGCCGTCTTCCCTATTCGACTTCATTTAATTTTACCATCTTCATTTAGTCGCAGCGCCTTTTATCGGCAAGATTTCGGATCGCATCGTGAAGAAGTACGCAGAGGCACGAGGCGGAAAGTGGGTGCCCGAGGACCGTCTGAATGCGGCAAAGTTCGGTGGCGTCTTTCTCGTTCCGGTCTCGGTCGTTCTGGCTGGCTTCGCGTCGGCGTTTATTGATAACCGGCCGCTGGGAATCTTCGTGAGCCTCGTAGCGCTGCTGATGAATGGTCTTGGGGTGAGTTTGGGTTTGACTTGGATTTAGCTGAGCCGTCGGGCAGGATACTGATTGTTCATACTAGGTTGTAGCTGTGATGGCAGTTCTGCAGGCGTACATTGTAGATGTGCTGCATAGCCAGAGTGCGGAGGCGTCCTCGGCGTACTTGTGAGCCTTTCTCTTCATGCAATATTTCTAGGCTATCCCCGGCACCGCCGTAAACACTCATTCTAACCCTTTTCCGCCCTTGTTTGCCGCCAGTGGTGTCCGCTCTATCCTTTGCTCGATTATCACTCTGGGCATCATGCCTTCGATCGAGCACCTCGGCGTCTGGTATACGGATCTGTTGTGCGCCGCCTTCGCATGGATTGGATATGCGTGAGTCTTTCAAATTCAGTTGCTCTTCCTCCTTTGACATTGCGCGCTTATACTTGGACAGCTTGTTGATGGTTCTATTGCTCCGCGGAGACAAGCTGAGGGCATGGGTTGACATTGGTTATACAACCAGTATGGGCGACAATTAGTAGGGGCGGAGGCGATGGATTGGAGAGTGTGCTTGAAGGAGAACGTCGAGTGCCTGTTCGCGGATGCTGTCGTGCCAGCAACTGGAAGAGGGACGAGAGATCTCCACCTACTAGATATTCGAATAGAGATTTTGCTATAGGTGTTTTCATGGCCGATGGACGCTATTGTTGCGCAAGATGTGGCATATCCACAAGTCGGATCCCTCCGCGTTGACGGAAATGGTCAGATGTGGCGTTCTCCATGAACGGATCGGATGAGTACCATACCAGTAGCGGAAGAAACAGACTTAGAGAGGCGCCAATCACGAGTGCCCGGCCGTAGCCGAGGTTAATGATTTATCTGGTCGTTGGCCGATCTTTAGCCGAGTTCGGTTCCGTTGCGCAATTTGACCATGACATGCGAATACGATGCTAACTGCCCTTGCACCTCTTTGCACAACCACCGAACCACCATTAGGGCCATTAGGAGTCTACCATAGACGTTTGTGTGCTCTAGGATACGATGATTACCACGGAACATGATGAAGAAACACCTCTGCTTGTCGTGTTTGCGACCCAGCAGCATGACGTGGTGTACGACCGGTTTACGAAGGGACAGAAGAGAATGATTGTGTTCATCATCTCGTGGGCGGGCTTGATACCTTGTGCGCACCATTTAACCTTCTCGTTTTTCTCGTGTCTTCACGGTTAAGTTTAGAGAAGCACAGTTAATAACGTGTCCTGCCTTTACTAGTCTTCCTGTCTGGCTCATTCATACCCTCGATTCCTCAGGTCGCTGAAGAGCTCCACTTGACACCCTCTGTCATAAGGCACGTCTATCCTCAACTCCTATCTATTTCTGCCTGTACTCAACATGACACATGTCACAGTTTAACCATCAGCGTGTCGATGATTGCCTCAGCTATTGGCGCGCTCTTCTGGGGCCAGTTCTCTGGTTACTGTAAGTTATACCCATCCTTCTCAATCGTCGTCACTCCCTCTTATGCGACCATCGATACGCAGATGGGCGCAAGCCCGTGTACCTCCTCAGCAGTCCCTGCTTGATCATCGGTTCTCTAGGCTCTGGTCTCTCCCAGAATGTCCCTCAGCTCGTGATCTTCCGCTTCATCCAGTCTTTTGGCGCCGGAAGCGGCATATCAATAGGCTCTGCGGTAATAGGTGACATATGTAAAGTGGAGGAGAGAGGGGCAGCGATGGGCATCTTCATGGCCGTGAGTCACCCTACGTTCTACACGCCAAACGCGCGGCTTACAACTGGTTGTAACACTCAGATCCAGCTTACGGGTCCTGCTATGGGTCCAATTTTGGGCGGTGAGTTTCTATGGTCTGTTCAAGTGGGATATCAAGTCACACATGGGGTGGAGCAGGTATGGCAACGCACTACGCGTCCTGGCGATGGACGCAGTTCGGTCTTTTCTTCGCGTCGTGCATCACGCTTGCTCTGATTAGCTCCCTGTTCACCGAGACGAGTCATCCGAACACGCTTGGGATCGACAAGATGGAGCAGGCGACGGGCGTTCGCAGGCGGCTTGTTGTCATCAACCCGTTCAAGAGCCTCAAGCTCCTGCGCAGTCCTGTCGTTGTTCTTGGGGTACGTGATACTCATAATATGCGCAGACGTCAAGGCTTAAGGGTTAGCTGTAGAGCTTTATCTGCGCCTGTGTCCTGTTCACAGACTTTGGTATGCTGCTATTGCTGTCTTATTTCATACACTTGTTTTCATTCTTTATTCCCACACAGTTCTTTGGATACCTCTGCCAATCACGATTGTAAGTCTCAGTCTCTGAGCGTCCCTCACTTCCATGACAAGCACGATCAGGGAGAACGCTACAACATAAAAAACGAAACATGGGTTGGCGCATGCTTCATCCCATCCGCCATAGGCAACATTGGTGAGTCACGCTACCCCTTTTGACTGTTTATGGCCACCATACCCTTCCACACAGTGGGTGCTCCACTCTTCGGTAGGATCTCCGACCGCATCGTGCAAAAGTCACGAGAAGAACGCGGGGCCAAATGGGTCCCCGAGGACCGCCTGAAAGCGTCGATCGTGGGCGCTGGATTCCTCGTCCCGGTGTCAGTCTTGCTGGCCGGCTTTGCCTCGGAGTTTGTGGACGGGGCTCCAGGTATCGTGTTGAGCCTAGTGGCGCTTTTCATGAACGGGTTGGGGGTGAGTCTTCAATTTGCCAGTGTCCAGGATGTTGCGGCGGGAGATACAGGTTTGCTCATCTGGCTTGATTTGGTTTCTAGGTTGTGTCTGTGACGACGATGCTGGTGGCGTACATTGTCGATGTATTGCAGAGCCAGAGCGCAGAGGCATCCTCGGCGTACCTGTGAGTACTTCTTGCTTGTAATCATCCTCGTCGCTCACACTTTTCTTGCGTTTTAGTGGCGTCAGATCCGTTCTAGTCGCGATTGGCACTGTAAGCATAATGCCGTCCATTGAGACGCTCGGTGTCTGGCGGACGGACCTGTGGTGCGCGGCGTTGTCATGGTTTGGCTATGGGTGAGTTTGCGAGTTTACTGTTCGACACTGTTCGGCATGCTTTCGCTTTCCGAAACTGATTTTCGGCTATGTTTAAGGCTATTGTTAGTGATGATTCATCGTGGAGAGAAGCTCAGAGCATGGGTGGACGTCGGGTACACGACTGGCAACGCAAACAACTAGACAAAATCGAATGATAGGATCGCTATTTTTAGATATTTGTTACAACACCACATAATGTGGGCCACCCTATAGTAGGATTCTGTTCAGTGACTATACTTCGTACACTCAAGTCAAGCTCCTGTTTGTAGTTGTGATAGTTGGCTATACATATGGTCTGTCAACGTTGTAGCGAGCGTTGCCTCGATTTGATAGACATCAGTACTTGCTGTATTGGGGGGCGAGCGTATGTTAAAGAAGGCTAACTTCATTACTTTGTTTATCCCCGGAACTGGGGACGACCGTCGCATTTTCACTTTCTTGCTGACGCGTTGTACGTCCGTCAACTAGGAATCGTGCGAGTCATTTTCAGAGACCTCGTCTTGAGCAGATTCACACTTTCTGGACTGTCGTTGTGGGCGTTATTGTCTGTGACTTTTGGTCTTCATCGCCCCGAACTATGCATGCGCAGCACCCAATACGGTGCTACTCTATATTCATTATCTACATTGTCGGATCGGATCATTAGTTGTCTCACAAAGTGGAGTATCCGACATCAAGAGAAAAAGCCCTAAGCTGCTTTCCATACCGGATTGTGACATGAATGAACCTGCGAGTTCAGTGCATGAGCGGCATGGAACGCGAGTCCTCTGTGCAGCAAATTGATACTTACCCGTAACCCAGCCATGCAAGAACCGCCGCGCCAATGTTCGTCGCAGCCACTCCGAAACGCTCTACAGACGGCAAGATGACTGCAGTTGCCGCGGCCATGATCAGGTTATGAAGCGCACTGAAGAACAGAAAACACAATAATGTGTTGGAATGTTTTACAGCATAGAAGGGGAAAGAGCACACTCACCTGCTAGCAGCGATAATTTCCGCGCTCCTCGAGTGTATCAGGTCCACGCCGTACGCTGCCGTGTGGCTGAGCACGAAGTCGACCTACAACATGCAGCCGTGTCATAAGCTCTCACAATTTTACGTTCATACTCAGAGGCCAAATGCGTCCATATGAAACAAAGACAAAGAAAGTACTCACCCCAATGCCATTCGTGAAGAGACAAACCAAAACGAGCACGAGCCCAATTGTCCCGTCCACATACTCCGTGACGAGGCCCGCAGTTTCAACGGAGAGCGGCGCGAGGAGGACGCCACCGACCCACGCCGCCCGGAGGCGGTCCTCCAGCACCCACTCGCCGCCTCGGCATTTCCGCCATCTGCGAACTATGATGTCCGAGACACGGCCGCCGAGTGGCGCGCCAGCTTCGAGGCAATGTTAAAGGCAAGGAAATACGGGACAAGGTATAAACGTACTGAGGCTCCCGAGTCCGCTGGGGAGGAAGCACGCGCCCACCAGGGCTGAGCTAGTGATGTTGTACCGCACACCCTGAGTTGCAAGGGCAAGGTAAGCAGGTTTATTCTATGTGTTGACCAGACTGAGCGCCTGGGGGACATGCTTACGACAGTGTATGCTAGAGGCACCAACAACACTACGTTTACAGCAATCCGTTCAATATGCAACCACGATAATACGTCTTCAATGCTTATTACACACCGTAAGATGTCAACAATACAGCAGACCCAGCGACAGACTGTACATACTATAAGCACCCATTCTCATACCATTTCATCATAGATGAAACATGCTCACCACAAAGAACAAGTTCGGACTGCGCATGAGTCCCAGTCCTGCAATGGGATTGACAACCATGATCCCGCTGCGCTCGCCCTCAGGTACCTTGTCGATCCCCCGCTTGCCGGGGTGACTCGTCTCAGGTAGCAAAGCCCAAATGGGGACGTACTCGAGACATCCCCAGAGACCAAGGATGAGCTGCAGGATGCGCCATGAGGAGTATTCGGCGGCGATGCCTGGGTAGACAACGATCAAATCAGATGAATTGCTCAATGAAGTTGTCTATGATAGCTTGGCCCGTACCTCCGACGAGAGGGGCGATGGCAGGCGCAAGAAGCGAGGCCTATGCAAGATATAATCAGCCCCTCCCACCAAGTATCCCTTGCGTATAGATTGTGACTCGCCCCAAAGAAAATACCCATCACTGTCCCCCGCTCCTCGAGCTTGTATATATCCCCGATCACACCGCTCCCGAGCGGAAAACCGCCTGCACACCCAAAGGCCTGGACGAACCGCCACACAAGCAGCTGAGGCAGTGTCTGCGCCGCGGCGACGCCGACGCTCCCAACAACAAGGATGTGCAAGCCTGCAAAATAAATGGCGCGCCTTCCGTCTTCAAACATGTAGTAATGAGTGGAGACGTCTACCAGAGAAATATGACGAAAGAGCACGTACAGTACGTCGAGTAGCCCGACCACATGAGGGATCCAAGCGCCGTGGCGAGGATGGACAGGCTTCCGGTAAAGCTAGGGACACAAAGTGAGCATAGTGGGACACACGAAGCGCGGAGGCGTGAGCTTACCTCACTGCCGGACCTGTTGAGTCAATATCGCGCGCAATTTCGGGTACGGAGGGTATGAACACTCACAATGCAAAAACTGCTCAGTGCCAACACCCAATCCATCGCGTCTTAAGTTTTGTCATGAGGCAGGCATAGCATGGCGCGGATACGCGATGTGGGGTACCAACGAGAAGATGAAGAGCTCAGCGAAGGCAATGATTATGATGCGTGCATCACAATTGGCTGGCAACGTACGGACGCAGTGCACGTGTGCGCATCAGACGCATCCGCTCGTACAGGTATAAGCACCAACACCAGCAGCGAGGCGATGAGGGCCGCCTTACAGAGAGTGAAAATTCCAAAGAACTTGAGACTCACGCGGTAAAAACCCGCCGACGGACACAATCGCGACTATCGCCGTTTTCTGGGAAGGCGAGAATCGTTGGTATATCACCTCGTGCGTGGCATCATGCAGTGCCTTAGCTTCTGCCTGCTGGTGACGCTGGGCGAGGAGGGGTCGTCTTTCCGCCTCTACATTGTCAGGTGGTGGCAGCACCGGTTTTGACGACATGGGTGCGAAAGGGAAAGTGATGAGCCCAACCTTGGAGACTTGAGGTGGATGTGATGGAGATGAGGTGGCTTTGAGGCTAGAGTTAGAGTAAGAGCGGGTTAGTCTGATTAGGTCACGTACAGTATACAATCTGTACTTGGTTCGACAACACTCTCGAATCCTGGAAACACGCTCCGAAACAGTGACCCGGTAATGCCTCTAAGTGGCAAAGAAAAGAAGCTTCAACCGGAAATGCGTCGCCGGTGGTGGTGAGAGTAGATGGTCCAGTAAAAGCGGGCTGCAAGCGGAGGAGCTTACACACGTCTTTCTCGGCGCCTCATTGCCTTATCGTCTACTATTGTGGACTGAATACGATTTGATGCTTCTGGTTGGAGAGCAGCGGCGAGCCAGAATTGGTTATGAGTTTACCACCGTCGACCATCGTATTGGCCGTTAGCGTCACTTCCAGGCCGCTTCCCGCTTTCTGCGGTCTTCCAGCGCCGACGTTTGTTTAGATGATCGAGAGGGTCGTATAGGCTGACACGAAACAGAAATATTGCATACAATGTTCCTAAAAATGTCGACTTTGAACATTGTATGCGCTGATCAACGAGCGCGGCCAGCATGGAAATTTCTGGAGACCGCCGCTTGACGGAAGCCCCTGTCATATCGGTCTTCGTCCCGGCGTTCCGAGATGAGACCCATTACAGTTATGGACCAAGTGAAGCTTTAGAGTAGCAACTAACACACGAAAATGGTGGTATAAGCTTTGGCATGTCTTCTCAAGAGAAGGAAGGCATCGTAGGGAGCTACACAGTACCCACCTATCCAGGATGATTCGATGACTTGTTGGCAAAGAGGAGGAACTTGCGACATCGGCACGCATCATGGTTTTGGGACTCCGCAACTCGGCCGCAAATGCCGCAGGCCAATTCGGCGTGCCATCCGATGACGTTTCAGACACCACACTAACTGCGCGACCATCCTCAGCCGCAAATATCTTGCACATTTATACTGCAACTCTTTTAGAGAATCGTTGACTCGACGACGAGGCCCTGGTCAGGTACATAGCCATCGTATGTGTGAGAATATATCACAGAAATTCAAATTGACAGAAACGCAAATATGAGAGCAAACATGCTAAAGTTGTCTTTAGAGTCATTGAGCATGCGAGCTGTACATCTTCAGACAGTAGCTACAATCTGCGCTGCTTTATCTCCACCCATCACCAACGTCACTTGTATAGTAGTGTCGATACATAGTTTTCATTGACAGCCTTGTTCAACCACGGCACCTAAAATACTCTGTGAGTGCCTAACAAGTCAGGCACGCGGTATCAAACTCACCCAGTCCTCTGGAACTTCATTCACGATCGGAGCTGCTTCCCTGAGCTCTTCAGGTGTCATTAATTGCGCCCGTTGCCAATGACACGAGACAGGTGGAAAACTCAGCACGAGCATACCGACTCGACGACCTTCCGATAGAGCACGTCCATGGTCTTCAATACCGCCAGCACCGGAGGCAATCGCAGCGTTGCGAATCGAGTCGAGGTCCTCAACGACTCCACGTACGACATTGTACCTCTGATGTAGCGGGTAGCTTTGGCGGTCGGCCTTTGGCTCAAAGTATATGTACAAGCCTTTAGATTTGAACGCGTCTGGGTCCGACTGCAGCTTAAGCGCGCGATAGATCACGAGTGATAACACAGGGTTATGGTGGGATACCCTAAGTTGGGGCGACGTAGGGATCAGCTATGCAATGAAATGAAGATTACACAAGGGAAATGCACCATTTCTCGAACTCTCTCCTAGCCTTTCGCTCATCAGGATCCGTCTCTCCAGCCTCTTGGCGCATCTGCTCTCTTGATTTGCAGTGCTCCTAGTAATGAGGTAACGTTTAGTGTATAGTATAATTGCGCTGCGACTTTGATAGGGATGAATGAAAAGGTACCCTGTGAATCTTCCAGTCGGCCTTCTGGCACTCTGAACTCTAGAGTGTGACCGTTAGAAAGTCAGACATGGGAGGTTAGATTGCATCTATGAACGGGACCAGCTTACGCAGTACCATGCCGTCTTGCAACGGGAACAACGGCGCAGCGTTCTCTGACCGGGCGGTTGGGCTTTGGTGCAATAAACACATCCCTTGACCAGATGTCCAAGGTCCGACCCTTCATCGCTGTTGACCTCATTGTTTTCTGAGTCGTTACGATTGCTAGTGCTCATAGTGCGCTATGGGAGACCGTTATCCAGTGGCAATACATTGATAGAAAATTCAGCCTCATACTCACAATGTATTCGGTGATCCTGCAAGATGTCGATCTGGGTGCGTGGCTTTCAGAGAGAAATGAAGGAGAGTCAAGACCAAGCGGTCACCAAGGTGAGACGCTGGGCGGATGTAAAGACTTAGATTAGGAAACTGAGGTGCGCCACTCGGCCCCTCCTGAACTCGAGGTGGCGCGAGAAAAACAGAGGCTTGTTGTAATACAATCCCTTTCATCCAACTCCTCCTTCACTTAAGCAGTAAACCATATATACTGTCCTTTCTATATGGGTTGGTTTGGTTAGGGTTCTGAGCACGTGTTTACAACACATGTCAGGAACAAAACTAATGGCAAAATCAGCTACTAGATAAGATTGGACTGCCTCGACCAAGCTCAATCTAGTCCGTTAACCAGGTCGCAATCGTGATCAGCCGCACCTCGGAGTTGCCGGCGTAAACCATACATTGCAAGCACAAGCCAAGCACAAGCGGTCACTGGATAAGGATTGATACGGAGCTAGAGGAAACACTAAGGTTGTACAGTTGCACTGTCGTCTCATTCGTTGGGCGCTCTGTTGGCTGGAACAGGCGTTCTCCCGTATCATGCCGTCACAGCAGCTGAACAATAAGAGTGTAGGCGAAACTACACAAAATGGCCTGTGTGAATAGCCCACCCTATTTTGGAAATGAAGTTCGCTTGACGTTCATAGAACCCTGCCATGAATCCAACCATCCAACGTTTCCACCGGCCGCCTAACGTCCAGCCATTATAAAGGGCGCTATACTCAAACCATTGAGGGTAAAAGCCCGCATGCTCCCAGTCAATCAACCATACGCGGGAGTTGTCGTCGACAATAACGTTGCGAGGAGATATGTCAAAGTGCGTGAGTACGAGAGGGAAAGAGGAGTCGAAGGAAAGTTCAGGTGGAAGAGCTCCACTGAAACGTCGGGTTGCTTCTACTTTATGATTGAACCATTGTGTGAGCTCATCGTAGGAGTGAAACGGACCCCCTCCCTTGAGAAACAAATTAGCCATACTTAGGGTGACGAGGAAACTGGCTTACGTAGTCATAAGAGAGCGTGGGACCATAGCACAGCCGCGGCTCGTCCCCTATAGGACCAGGAAAGTGTGTTCCCTGGTGCGTATTAGACACGAGGATGCGCCGGAGCTGCTGAATGTAGCTGCGAATTGACCAGACCACGCGAAGACGTTGCCAAAGGCCCAGTTTCCCCCAGCAGTTTTCCACAGTTTCCCCAGTGATATATTCCATCACGACGGCTTGGCGGCTACCCGCTCTTAGAACACGTAGTACGGCAGGGACAGGGATGTGGGATGACGCGCGGACAAGGTCCATTGTGAGCGGCTCAGAGTCCTGTATCCCTGACTTCATCACGGCGTCAGAAGCAATCTGACGAACTGACGTGCAGATGAAATATGTTGATTCAGAGAGCCTCCGCTCGGATTTGTCGAACAAAGAGAACAGTTCTTCATCGGCAAACGAGGATATGTCTATCCAAGACGGAAGCTGCGGAAAAGTGTCAGCAAAGAACCTTCCATGGGGGAGTCAGAAAGTGTAACTGATTTTGACTCCCTGAATAGTGTGGTGGGTTTGGCGTCAGAGACGGTTGTCATCATCGAGGGGTGGAATGTTGATGTCAACGTTCCAATGCAACGAAGTCATGGTCAGTGGACGTCGGTGAATGAACTTCAAACTCCGCTTACCAATGCAAACACCCTGAACGCGGCCCGGCCACCCGGACGCCTCATCTGACTCCTTCCGTCGTAACTTACTGGGACTCGCATGACCCGCATGGCCAGCGGAAACTGCACAGACTTGCAGACTGTAATTCTCCCAACAACTGCTTCACAGTGAAATAGCCACGGCATTCGTCGAGAGAGCAGTACTGCCAGGGAATTATACTGTACTTTTACGACCGTTCGCTCGTGGGAGAATACCTTCCTAATCCGGGTGTCCCACTTTCTGGCTCGGGGGACAAGGCTCGTCAGGGGCTAATTATCCCGAGTGTCGCGGGAGGTGTTGCGGGAGGCGCCGGACATTCCTGCTCTCCATTCCCCGATTGACAAGGTAACTCAGGGAGTTTATAGCTCGATGATCCGGTCGTGGCTCACGAAGTTTGACGGCGACACCTGGCTTGAGCCCGGTGATCTCATGGCTCGGACCTTGAATCCTGAGCATGCGGGTGAAGCAGGCGTCGGTTCGGGGATGATAGATGATGCCAAGATCGACCTAGATCTTGTTGAGATCCCACAGAGGCGTCGGGGGAAGCATCGAAATTGTGCTGAAAAGTATCCAGCAAGAAGTTTGATAGCTACAAGGGTTGCCTATGCTTCGCTGCGGCTGAGTGGCGGAACCGACCCGGGACAGTGGGCGCTCACTTCCGGATTCCGGATTTTATATGAGGTGTCAACACATTAGATTGCTGTACTCTATACATGGTCATTATGCCCATGTTCGCGAATGTGTTTGCATCTTTGGTGAGGTTGCCATTGCAGTAGTTCCTGTCAAAACGCCAGAGAGACTTGTTGATCATCCTGCAAATGCCATCCGAGTTAATGACCTTCTGTCACTTAGAAAAGCATTCCGAATAATGGAAGGTTATGTTCTGCTACTGCAGATGGATGGCTCCACTTCGGGAAAGTAGTGGCCAGGCATTGAGATGAGATCTGGCACTCACAAGCCTATTAGCCTGATCATTGCCATATAATAGGGCTGCTGCTGGCCTTGACATGAGGTCATCTAAACAGAACCACATGTCAACACACGGCATAGAAATTCTAGGCTGGAATTTATTTCAGCATGGAGTCGGCAGAAGATGCAGACAATTGGGAGAATGCAGATTGCGCCATGAATATTTGAATTACGGGTACTGAATGACAATAAAGCACTTAGCTAAATCATAACTACGGCCTTGCTTGTGATAACACATCGTAAAAAACACCCAGAAGAGACAGAGACTCGAGGTGGATGAAGGAAGCACGCCAGTGCATTCACAAAGGGTTGCATCAAACCTTCTTGCATTTATTGCAATATCGGCACTGAATATTTTATAGCATTGAAATAATTCATAACTTTTTCGTCGAGTCAGATACCCTAAGAAAATATTCGATTGTAAATATGATCAATTAACGTACTAGCTACCATATTGGTAAACTCCCTTACTTCCTACCCGTGCCTCCTTCCGACAGCTTCTAGAACCGACGCAAGACGAAAACATGTAGAGGAAGAGCGAGCACTGTCTCACATGTAATAGCTGTCGACCTATGCACCAATTTGTAAGCACCAATACACAAACAACCACAAAACTACTCACCCATTAACCGGCAAATGCACACTTCCCCAAGAATGACAAATGTCAACCTATGGAAAGTGTGAATATGTTAACTTGAGACCCATTGAACCACTTACGCGATGGCTGGATAAGAGGTACTATCTCCGCAGATTTCGCTGCCAATCTGAGCAGCAAATTCAATATGATGTTGCAGAAAATCACAACACCACTTACCTGTTTGCCATACCAGGGGTGGACAACGCTTCCCTTGCAACTCCGAACCACTGGATGAGGAAGGGAAAGTAGCACATTGAAGGCGGTGGACAAAAGGTCAAACCACATTAGCTCATCCTTTGCCTTGCCACTCGTGACGGCAAGGACACCCGCAGGCAACTAGGGAGGGTGTCACCTTTGACTAAACAGAAGGGCATGCCTGAGGAACATATAGAAGAGGTTTGAAGCACGTAACATACCAATGATGAAGGCGTCAGCCCCCATATCAACTCTTAGAATACTGTAGACATCACCAAGCGGACATTAACGACATGACCACAATGGCATGGCTCATAGACACTCACCTAGAATTGAAGACTGAGGTACGTGAGGGTGGTGAAATGTAAGAATGAGACTAGAAGGAATACCAAAGCAAGCAACGTACCGGGCTATGCAAAATGGATGGGAAAGAAAAGAGGAGGAGACGAGGGGCGGCAAGAAGAGACGAGGCTTATATAGAAGGCCTGTGCTCGACTGCATGCAGAAACACGAGATTAAGGACATGGCTGCTTTCCGAATAACATATGTCGCAAGATTGGCAAAAACCGGTGCGAATGAAAGGAATTAGACTACACCTAGTAGGGGCGCGAGGAACCCAGTATCATTGGAAATACTTAGGGGCAAATACGACAAATTGAGGAGCAAAACAAACATGTACATATGAAATCCGGGCAGAAGATTGAAGATACGAGTTACTTGGGCCGCTAGCTACCTCTTTTACGCACTGGGATTTTTTTCTGATTTTCTATGAAATTTTACGCCATTTTTACCATATACAGTCCCACCCCTATAGGCTCGCTCGTTCGGTCCGTGGGACATGGGACGAGCGAATGGTCGTAAAAGTACAGTACGCTGCCAGACTTTGGTGGCGAAGGAGATGTGTGTGGGTGACAGGTTGGACTTCAGTGTTACTCAAGAGACCAAAGAGGACTTGAGAACAAGGAATATCTGCTTTTGACTTGGCGGGAGAACGTGCGCATTCACAGATCTAACTCTTGGATGAAATCAAACATGACGAGTCACTGACGTCGGTTTGACTCTAACACTTCTGGTATAGTTAATTATTTCTCCCATGCTGTAATTGTATGCCGCATATTTTGATCATGTTAAACCAGTTTGCCTAGCACTAAACCTGAAGAAGCATATATTAAAATGGCCTTTGATGTAATCTAATCTCAGAATCGATGGGAATCAAAGAGTTGTACTAGGGCGCAGAAGCTGGAGTTGTATATGTCTACCAACTGTCCCACGCACGAAATATGCGAACAAGCCATTCCGCATACATGGTTAATGGATTCTCTCTTTTTAGATTTGTCGTCATCTAGAAGACCTCCCAGTAAGGATTCTACTCGATGATAACGTAATGGGGACCTCCGAGTCGCCTCAATCATAGAACTCCCCTTTGGCAATGGGAAACGGGTGTCTGCCTGGATGAAGCTCCAACTGCTTCGCGTGGAATGCTTGGAGCCTTTTCAAGGCTTGGGCTTCTACAAGACCTGTGTCTTGGAGGCGCTCCATGGTAATCATGATCCAGTGCAAACACCCCATACCGTGTGCGTTGAAGTTGTAGCGATCCATGTGACTGTCCAAAAGCAAGCCAAGAACGTCTGGTACTGTGAAGTTCTTTGAGGGTGTGATAGAAAGGTCGACATGGATGGGACCGTCACATAGTGAGGCAGTTGACACCTGCTCGCTCGAGACCATCAGCGTGCCAGTCCAGCTCGTGACGTCCTGCTTCGGGTGACCGTCCATGAACGTCCAGGCGCAGTTCATGCCAGTAGGGACCATATCGAGAACTGCGTACCGCCTTTTTGAGTTTGCGGATACCTCGGGCTCAGCAAGAGTCAGAAAGATCTTCCAGTGGAAGATGTTTGGATTGTCAGCGTTCGTGTTCGCTTGAAGCGTTGTCACCACAAACTCGGAGACGATACGTTGCTCGTCTTCCTTAGCGAGGTTTGCGGTGTTGATGGTTTTTGGATACGTTCGAGCGGTCATGGCTATATGAAGAAAAGTGAAGAGTACCGATCAACAGCGGAGAAGGACATACTGCTAAATTTGCGGAAGGGACTTGTGCCGAGTAAGTCCTGACTGGGGTTGTAATGGGTGCGAACGAGAGCGGAAGGTTGTGTGGTAGCCCGCGTGGCCTGAGGCTCTAAGAGCTGAAGCGTTGATGGTACGCTTCCGTAAGAATCTAAAGCCTAGTTAGAACACAAGGAAAGGTCCCGTTGCTGCCAAGGGTCCAAGACGGTGTCAGATTCGCGAATGTCGCCAGCCGTTATCAACGCGTCAGCGCTTATCGGAGTTACAAGCTGGCCTGAACGCTAATGTGCGGAGTTTCAATACCCAAAGCCTCGGCTTACTTGGACTCTTTGCGAAGTTCGCCTTGTATAATCTCCTGTATATATGCGCCCACAGTTGCTGGTGTGCACGACAGGCGTGAGGGTCGAGCACAATAGCCTTCTTGTTCTTCAGCTCCCGAACCCTGTCTCCGATCACTGGCCTATGCGACGGGCAGACTACCCATTGTCACACAATAGGCGGGCTGACGGCGGTGATCCTCGACTAGAAACTATGGTTGCCCTAAGTTGATGCATAAAAGGAGGGTATGAAGGGACTCATTTGGTACGCATTCACCTCAGCTCTCCTCTAGTCTCCCCCTCGCATTCACAGCTCATGCTCTCTCACGTCTTGAAACAGAAGTCCAGACTCCGCCGTTCCTTCGCGCCTCAGACCAAGGACAAGCCGGACGATTGTAGACTCAGCCATGAGCTATTAGAAGTCGCGTGCGAGCAAGAAGGCGAAGACATCCCATGGTATCTCATGATTGAGAGTCGATCTGTCTACCCGAACGATCGTTCTGCTCTCAAGCGTCCACCTAAGAAGCGCTCAACCACGTTAGCCTCGCTCCTCAATGTCTCTCAAGCAACCGATGCACCCCCATGCGCGTACCTGCTACGGGACGATCCCGTCGAAGAGCCCATCGTTCCTCGCGTCCACCTTCCGAAAGACGCCACTTCCGCGATCCCTACTCCCCTGATCTTCCGCGACAATTCGCCCTCGTTCAGCAAAATCGCGGAATGGCGGTCTCACCAAGACGACGACGCCATTTCGGAGGTTATATCCCTCCTGTCTTCCGAGAGGCCTGAGCTACATGCTCGGGAATCTATGACTCCTCTCCTGGTCTATACCCCCGAGACGCTCGAGAGCGAGTTGCCCGTTACCCCGCAGGCCGTCAATGTTGTACCTTCGCCAGAGCGTTCTCCGAAGAAGCTCGAGGTTTCTCGAACGCCGTCTCTCGTGAAGCGTGTGTCGAAGAAGGCGCGTTGGATGGCCCAGAAACTCGTCCCCAGTTCGTCTTCAAAGCGACCACCGATGAACATCAACAAATCTCTACCCGCTACTCCCATCTGCACCCTCGTCGATTACTACGAGCCTGCACGACCTCAGAGCACCACAGACGCCGACGCCCTCCAGGAGCTTCTTTCCGCCTACCCTGCCTTCCCTCCGGGCTCACAATCCGACGATGGCTCGGAGCCGCATCTGACATTCAGGAGCCGCAAGTTTTTCCCAAAGTGCGACATCGGTTACGGCGGCTTTGCTGTCGTGTGGGCTGGTGTGATGGACGAAGGGGAAGAGATCGCGATCAAGGTCATACACAAACCACTGGTGGTGATGAACGCAGGGAAGAACCTCGACACTGCGATCAAGCAGTTGGAGAACGAGTGGACGGCTTTGCAGATGGTTACGGAGGCGGCGTCGCCGTTCTTTGCGGGCCTGCTCTATTCGTTCGAAGATGGGGAGAACATATACTTTGTGCAGGTTTGTCATTCGTGTCATTTGCTGTAGTGTTAAGGCTGATGTCCAGAATAGAGATTGTATCCAGCATCACTGGCGAGACGATTAGTTGATGACCACCGAGTACCGGTTCAACAATTTCAGATACAGCTCTGGGCGGCGGAGACTGTGAGTACTTTCCCCTTTCGCTAGCGAGATGCAGGTTTGAGCTTGTCATTCTTCTAGCTATTGGCCATCGAGGAGCTGCACGAGCTAGGTATTGTCCATCGCGACATTAAACTGGATAACGTCCTATTATCCCCTAACGGACACGCTGCGCTTGCGGACTTCGGGCTGGCGTATGTCAGCTCGTCAACAACTTCACTCAAAGACGTTGTGATGACGGACGGCTGCGGGACCTTTCATTACATGGCTCCTGAGATGATCCATCCGTTGAGAGACGGAGGGCATATCGAGTATAGCTACAAGGTGGACATGTATGCGTTCGGCATACTTTTACTCGAGCTGTCGTTGAGAATCCCTGAGGTACGTAATTGCGTCGTCCTGCTGATAAGACTGCTAAGGATCGGAGAACAGGGGTCGCGCTGGATAGAATGTGTTCCGCCGTCCATAGACGGCAGCAGCGTCAGTCTCAATGCTGCCGTTGAGCTGGTTGACCACCATGAGGCGCGCCACCTGATCGCTCAGGTATGAAGCCTAATAATCAACATCATCCCGCTAGCTGATCGATGACTTTGCTTCAGCTTATCCACCGCGACCCGAGTAAGCGGCCGAGTTGGGATAAGGTCAAGTGCCACCCGTTCTTTGAAGGTATAAACTGGGGCGATGTCGAAAAGAGGTCGATACCTAGTATGCATTTCTTCGCCTTATTGACTGCCCCTGTGACTAAACACCTCCTTTGCAGACCTATGCATGCCTCACCTCGCGCCACGCGGGTCGCCTCGACGCGCTCTGGAGAAATTCGTGACGGACCATGCGGGTGTTGGCGTCCCAGAGCTTTATGCACAGGCTAAAGCGGTGATGCCGGTCACCCATAACTGGGACTATGAGAGTCCTCCATATTTGCGCGTCGACAGGCTGCACGGGACAAGCTGTTTGAGGCTCGGGAACGGGACGTGTCCGTATATGCGAAGGCAGTATGCACACCATGCTGCGCATTGATGATTTGGATTGATGATTTGGTGTTGATGAGATAACACGACGGACGTTTACGATACGCAACGATTAGGCGACGAGTTAATGAGTTTGAGATAGCGTGATGACACGAACATTGCTTATATTTATGATTCGAACGTATACTTTCACGATTAGCATGCTTTTAAACCAATTTTATACCCACCATACGTCGTTCCATGGAAACTTGAAGCATTGTGCAGGGTCACTCAAAAAGAACCAATGTACACTTCTCAAATATGTAGTAACGTAGCCTCAGATCGCGACTGGATGTCTTAGAACTTGGTATTGGCGTAAAAACCGAACGCATTGGTCGTTAACGTTTTGAGCAAGCTGCAGGTTCATGCTAACTTATGCGACAGGGGCTATTTATCCGCATTTGTCACCGACCATCCGGCCTTTCTCCGACTGGCGTGTAGCTTGTTGGGCGCTTGGACCCGCGCCTTGTTGTTCACTGGCACCTCCAGCTCTGCTCCAACGCAAGGTCATCGCAGAATGGTTCATTTCCTGGCGGCATCCTATTATCCTCCCAGTAAGGACATAGAGTGGCATTTCAACTGCGGCCTAAAACATCAAACATATGGATCCTGAACTCCGAGTGCCACCGCCAACGCGTTGGAAGGCTCGACGCGCGCTGTTTCATACCCTTTCGCCTCCAGGGAGCTCCAGGGAGAGCCGGCGGTAGCAATAGGTGAGTCTAAGCTCACTGAAACCAACCCCATGTATATCTGATGCACGCCTTTGGTAGCTTAGACCTGCCCATTATGGGCGGATAAGCGTATGGTCCAAGCCACAGTGGCTTCGCTCGCCGCTTTGACAATGGGCCACAGCGTAGAGGCGATATAAAAGAAAGCTGGGAGAGATGTATTCTCTTCGTAAGTCATCTTTCATCCCCCTTTCCTTCCCTCGTCTTCAATGAGCCTGTTCAGGGACCTCTTCTGCTTTGTCACCGATGATCTACTCGCTCGTGCATCCGAAGCCTTGAGCAACTCAGCACCTTCTCCGCCACCGTCAAGGCGCCGGGATCCTATGGCTGAAAATGAAAGCCTCGATACTTCAGAGTATACGCGCTACTTTGCTCTCCCTGCCTCGGAAGCCACGCTTGCTCTTCGTCGCGCCTTTGGAGTGGACACCGTTCTCCACCTTGCGCATGTCAGGTACCTGAATCCAAACAGCGTTACCTCTATTGGCTTGGGTACGAGATTATACGCCCATCCGCTTATCGAAAGGCCCTATCTCAACTCGATCATAGCTCAACCGCAGCAGCCTCAAGAAGCCTCCTCCAGTGTACCGACTTCACACAGGTCACGTCCAACTGCCAACTCGCCGCCGCCTCTGGCATCTGGAAGCCCAGCTACTACGCCGCAACCTCGCATTCTTGACTCGCCTGCTCTCTTGGATGATGCATCTCGTGCCTTATGTCAACAGTTTATCGCATCGTCTTCGCCCCACGACTCTCCTGCTCAGTCTGTCCGTTTTCACTGCGACCACCCTCGCCAGGCAGACTCCTCTCAGCTGCTGACTGAGCCTTTCGCTCCTGAAGAACCTGCAACGCTCCCGGCAGATACTCCTTCTGTCACTCGATATAGCCCATCTGAGTCTTCTGATGACGACGAATCCGCCCGCGGCTCACGAGCGGCTGGCCGTACCCTCAACATCTGTCATGCTGACCGAGAATTTGTTGTCAAGAAGACTATAGGGCACTGCGCCTATGGTCTCGTCTGGCACGCTGACATGGCCAACCTGCATTCCGGTCAAAAACGGGAGGTCGCTATCAAGGCGCTGCACAAGACTACTATGCTCGTCGCCCGCACCCGCTCTCGCGGGCAAGGCCAGGATCAGCGCGACGCCATCGTTGATGCTAATCTAGCCCTCGAGCGCAACATGCGCAATGAGCTGCACGTTCTCAAGAAGGTCACGAGGAGTCGTAGCCCGTTCCTGAGTCCGTTGCTCTATGCCTTCAGCAAGGAGAAATACTTCTACTTCGTTATGGTGCGTCTGATCGATGTCCATTTGATGTTCAGGCGTTGATCGCTCCCCTTTACCGGCTACTTAGAGGAAGTACCTCACGGACTTGCGCACGTTGACGCATGTTAATAAGCATGTATCGACGAAGCAGAAGCGGACATGGGCAGCTGAGATTGTGAGTGCAAGTTTCGTCCAAGACATCTTTTTCAATGACGTCTGACTTGTCCCCGGCGTCCAGGTTTCTGGTCTCGATGACTTGCACAGCCTTGGGATCGTTCACCGGGACATCAAGCCCGAGAACATCTTCATTAGCCCCTCCGGTCACGCAGTGATCTCCGATTTTGGGCACGCTGCGTATGCCGGAGACGACCGGGGAGTCGAAGACCTTCAGATGAACGCCGCCTCCGGAACTCCTGGATTCATGGCCCCCGAGCAGATCCCGCAGCGTTGCAGCGGTGGATATACGTTCAAGGTCGACATGTGGGCGTTTGGTGTTACTCTGATGGAGATCGTCCTCGGTGATGTGAGTCACTTATCTCTCTTTCTTTCCATGCGAAGCATTTGCTGACGGCAATTGGCACTGATAGCGCTGGGATTCATACGCGTGCGACCGCGATATGCCTTCAATGTCGCCAGAGTGGCTGCTCGATGACGTGCGGGAGCGTGATCCTTTGGCTGCGGACCTTATTGGAAAGGTAGCGCCTCCTCTGCCTTCATCACGCCTCGGTGCTGTCTGCTGATATGGCCCTTACCGTATAGTGTTTGGATGAGGACCCGAACGCACGTCCAACTTGGGTTGAAGTCAAGTGCCACCCTTTCTTCCGCTCCGTGGACTGGGCAAACCTCGGTCCTGATACTGACGACGGTTGTGAGTTCTTTCTTTTCGAGTAGTCCTCCAATGGCCTGTTGACAGATTGCTATCCAGTCTCATTCGTCCCGTGCGTTGGCCCTTACGCTGGGGAGTACACTGAGCCGTTAGCGGATCTTCGTCCGTTCTACAAGTGGTCCATCGATAACCCGGCGCTTGCTGAGGAGTACTGGGACCATATACTGGAAGGGAGGAAGCAAGGCCGTGGAATTGGTGCGCTGAGAGTCGACTATCAGTGTCCCGGCGATGTAGAGAGGGACGCGAGCCATGGGGAGACATGTATGGCGCATGGGTGTCAGCATTGATCACACCCCGAACGATAAGCTTCAAACGTTCTCTATTACAACAACAAACAATAATCGTTATTATCCGCTGTACTCTGGATCCACATGTAATAACTAATGCTTTCTCAATCAATCCTTCATTGTTACTTTACGCTTTCGGTGCGGTGGCCCCTAGTATGAGGTTAGGGTTAAACTTGATCAGTTACGTATTCAAGCAATGCGGGCCGTTTAGTGTTAGCGACCACATGTCGAATCCTTGCTGCCACCACGCCTTTCAGGCTTGGAATCGAACCATTTTCTTCCTCGTCTTTGGAGTGATATCCCTTCTTCAACGAGCTCAGGCTTTATCATAGCGTCTGTTTGTTCTCCGTCAGCGAAATCAGCGGTGAGTGCCACTTCGGGCACGGCGATCCTACGATCAGAACGTAGCGCTTGGCAAGCCAGACTTCCGCAACGTCTAACGTGCTTCTTTGGCAGGTACGGAAGGTTCTGTAACTAGGCACACGAAAGCAACGTAGTCATGACGACTCCAAAGCCACTGGTCTTCTACGACCTGGCTGGTAAAGAAGCTGAAATGCCATGGTCTCCGAACACGTTCAAGACTAGGTGAGTTCGACCTTATGCCCGTATCGTATCTTCCTGCTGTGAGCTCAAAACTCGTAATGCTGATGCTGTGGCCTAGATACTGCCTGAGCTACAAGTGCATTGCGTTCGTCACCATATGGGTAGAATACCCCGACATCCAGATGGTCGTCAGAGCTAAAGGCGGCAAGTCGACGCTCAACATCAACGGACGCAACATCTGGACCCTGCCCGCCCTCCTCGATCCCAACACGAGCCTCTTCATCTCCGGCTCCCTCCAGATCGCCGAATACCTCGAGTTTCGGTATCCCGATCTCCCGGCGCTATTCCCCAACGACTCCATCGCCCTGCAGGTCGTCTTCGCGAAGACGTTCGATGACATGATCGAGCCGCGACTATCGGCGCTCAACGCGGTCTTGGGCGCGGAATGGCTGACGTCCGACAGCAAGTGGTTCTTCATGAAGTCGCGGGCGGAGCGATTCGGGAAGCCGTGGAAGGAGATATGTTCGCTCGGCAGCGAGGAGCGCGACGCGGCATGGAAGGCGTTCGAGGAGACCCTGGGCCTCGTGGACGAGTGGTACCAGCGGAGCGGCGGGCGGTTTATCCTGGGCGATGTGCCGTCGTACGCGGACTTTGCGGTCGCGGCGAGGCTGAAGTGGTTCCAGACGGTGCGGCGCAAGTCGACCGATCCGGGCGACCCGGTGGATTGGAATACGGTGTGTTCGTGGCATGGGGGTCGATGGGAGAGGCTGGTGAAGGATCTGGATAGGTGTCTGCGTTACTGAGCTGGCTCGGACAGATTTGTATAGTTCCATATCGTTCGTTGCCTGATGTAACGTATTCAAAGATGAGGTGAAGGTTTTGAGAGTCTATATCGCAAGAAACTCCATTTTCTTTTGTTTGCCATATGATCAAAGGTACCTCTGACCACCTCCAAGAGTGGATGTCTACAGTGACGACGTTTTAAACCGTACTGGACGAAATGAGACATTACAACGTAGCAGACTTAATTCAAAGGATCGCGGTGAGCTCTCATCGGGTCAATGCAGTAAGAATCACAAATAAAATATCCAAAAGAGCAGTATCATGGCACACAACGTGTGCCAAAGGTCATTAAAGGTTACACAGTAATGAAATAACGGAGGGATACAAATATGCTCTAGCTGAGCGCGAGGAAAACATTGAAAACGACCTAGTCGAGATCGACTAGTCGCTCAGAGAGGTCGTTCGTACCATTATCTGACAGGTATCCGTCCGTAGAAACTTCTCGAAGAGGGTCGGGCTCCTCGCGTTTTTCCTCACTGGGCGGTGTAGCAACTAAAACGAAACATAATCAAATAACCACAGAATCAGAGAATACCATAAGATGAACTGACCACTCGGCGGAACGAGGCTTCGCGAGTGGTGTATAGCGCCGTGGGCGTCTGTTATGGATCATCATGAGACCATAAAGAGAGGTGGGTTCGCTAAATCGATGGCTTACCAGTGGCCAAAGGAGCTGTATTCCGGGCGGCTGGAGAGGGTTCAAGGTCTGAAATATCGCGTTTGGTTCCTTGAATATGTGAGACGGTTTAGCACAAAGGGGCTGGAGGATAACAAGTACGGGCGAGTCCCACCATTGATCGGGTCAGATCCGTTGTTCCCTGGAGGAGCCTGGTCGCGTTCGTGGTGAAGGAGATTATGCTTGACTGCGTAGTCGTGTGCGTCTTCGATACCGTCGAGCTCGTCGAAGGATGAGTCAGTCTCTGTGACTGAAACGGGGTGAGACAGGAACACGGGATGGAGTCTTGAATGCTGGGCTTACCATCACGGCGGCTAGCAGCTGCACACATGAGTCGTGTCTCAGTGCTTGTAAAATAAAATACAGGCGGGGGAGGAAGCTTACCCTTGAGCGTCCCGCTTGGAATACCTGGGATCACACCGTTACGAAACGTATTGACATACTTGCCATCATGGACTCGGACGCCCACGCTCTTCACTGCGTCGCTATAAGCGCTTTTGACACCGGGAACGGCGCGCTTGCTCTTGTTGCGGGCGTACTCTTCGGAATCGGGGAGGAGGTCGAGATCGCCCTTCTTGATGCCAGAGCGGGCGATGAGGCACTGGATTTCTGTGTCAGACGTGAAAGCATCAAAGGGAATTGGGGACAGAGGTTTACATCTGTGGCATCTACATAGGGGGGCAACATTAGAGCTGAGCCGCCATGATTTAGCGGGAAAGGACATATCTCACCGTTGCAGGGTATAGGCGCGGCAAATGCCTGCTGCGCTGCGAGGATGAACGAAAGGAGCGCGAGCAGGCGAGCACTGAGCTGCATGGTTGAGTGATAGGTGGTCGTAGGGGCAAAAATGAGTGACCGGGGTAGGATACCGTATCGTCCGATGGGGAGAGAGACAGTGAAGAAAAAGAAATAGTGTTTGATCTCATTTTATAGTTGGCTAGTCTTCTCATGGCCGATCACTTGTTTTCACTTTGACTGGAAGGACCGTAGTTTGAGTCGTACCCAGAGCCGTCTCGCCGTGCGACAGGTGGCTGACAGGAATAAGAACTTCAGTCTTGACAGGTCCGAGACCAGAGCCGAACGACGTGCGTGGTATGTGTATTGCAGTGGTGGCCGTCCTTGGTCGCTGGGAAGGACCTCTGTCTCTTGACACAGATAGGGTGCTGTTCGGCACTGATTGAGACGTTAATCGGGGCCCTGATCATTGGCGCTCTATAGCCGTCTTCTAGACTCGGAGAGCTCGGAGAGATGAGTGTATGTAGGAGGCATAGACCGTTCCAATCGGGGCCTAAGCAGAAGGATTCACGAGTCGCCATGTACCTGGGGAAGGAGGCACGAATGTATGCGCGTCATCGTTGGCGCTGGAGAGGTCGTATAAGAAACGGAAGAGAACAACCAGCAAGATGATTACCGAGGGCTGGGGACGTTTTTCTGATGTTGAACACACTGTGAAATGACAAGTCCGTTTTCCGTGCACCTGTCATGAACCGTCGCTGGGTTTCTGCAGCAAAAGCGCGGCGCTTTGAGTCCGCGCTTCGCATAGCGTTCGCAAGACTGAAGTCAATGAATTTTATTTCAGACGATGGTAACAGCCTTGAGTATGGAATATTGCTTACTGGGGCAGCGCTGGTCTGATAGAAAATGTCTGCTTCCCCCAAGCGCTGGAAGACTTAAGAGAGCCGAGATACCCCTGTGCAAATCGCTGTGATACACGGTGCATGAGCTACACGGCAGGTGCCAATGTGACTGTTGGGTGTTGCAACACATCAGCAGATGGGGTAAGTAAAGGCTAAAGCTTCGTTATTGGAAGGTTTCCACGTACTGCACCTAGCCGATTCCAGTTACCCTGCACGGTCCGAAGATAGGATCGCTTGAGTGTTCATCAAGAGCGAATGAGGTCAGTTTCGCGTGGTGATCATCCCCGTGGTGATCCCTCCCAGACATGAGGCTTGGGGTGTACAAAACCACGGTCCGGGTGAAGGTCGCCGCATCATAAATGTTGGCCGCTGTAGATCACCGGAGGTCATATACTGAATTGCTGTCAAGAGAGTCTGTCAACGGGACAGACGCTCCGCGGCTTTTCGACCGTTAGTGTTGCTGCGGTTCGGAAAAGCAGCCCAAACCGATTCCTTGAAATACCCTTTCTTGCCATTGTACCCACCAACTAGGTGTGAACCTTCGCGGTTTTTGGCCTCTACACAGCGACGAGGTCTGTTATCTGGATGTATGATAAGTGTAAGTGCAAGTTCTTTTGGCCCGGTTCCCGCTGGTTAGCCAAATGTGGCAACACTACCAACCATTGAAAACCGAAGCGGAAGCCAGCCGAGTCGATGTGCGGAAGGCTGATGGGGATCATCGTCCCGATTGCCGCAAACTTGATTAAATCGTGCCGTGGCAGGGTTAGCTTCACAGTCGAAGGTTAATGTGTAGGACAGTGTAGAGATGCGTGGAGACGATTACAGAGTTCAGGCAGTGCTGTCACGGTGGTTTATCGATGCGACGAGTGCGGCTTCAGGTGCCTAACAGCGTGTAGATATGGGTTGTCCAAGTATACACAGCTTGGCAATTAGCTGAGTGAGCGGCGCGTACCCCTGACAATGAACGAAAATACCGAAGCAGGAACACGCAGCACGACCAAAGAAGTCTAGGCGAGGAACATGGGTTTGTGGCTGCCCACAAATCACAGATAAGTGCTGGAGCTCCAGAGATTCACGGCGGAGACAAAAAGAGGCTTTGCTTCGAAGTGAAGGGGAGCTGAAAGGAGGTTAGAGTTTCATCGAGAGAGATAGAGCTCTACAGAGCACCGTTCCTGTGGGGCGAGGGTTGCGCTACGCCTGGGATGAGCTGCGCGTCGTGGATTCGGCAACCGGAACGAAATCCAAAGAGAGACAGGTTGGGGCAGGAGGGACGCGTCGCACGTGAGAGGTGGACGACGACGCGTGGGTGCGTGTTTTATTGTGGGGATGGCTAGCCGAGTATGGTCAATGAAAACACGTGCCTGCCTCATTGCGTCTGGATCCGTTCCCCACCATATAAGCCACGGTGGCATTCCGCCGTTTCCTCAGGTTCGTGTTGTTCATCAAACAAGAGGTCGCCGTTGCCGACTCCCCAGGAAACAAAACGGCTGGAGTTCTTCGCTGAACTCCTCTCCAACCCGTCTTTTTCTTCACCTTTTCACTCTCTTTCACACTCGACAAGTATAATCGTCTTACCCACCTAATCAATCCTCCGTCATCATCGCCGTCGCTAGCATCGCCTACCTGCACTCACATTTACACCATCCCACATCGACTCTCTCAAACACCAAGGCCACCAAGATGATATACCGCATCCTTTCAGCACCTCTTGCTCAACGGCACGATCCTCACCCTCCCTGCTCATCCTCCACCGCTTCCAGCCCAAAATGCAGTCCATCCACACCCATGGCCCGTGCCCTCTCGGACTGCACCAACGCTGCCCCTGGTCCCACCGCGGACGCTGACCCATTCTTCTCTGAATATGCGTCCGCACCCGCTCACAAGAAGCAAGCCTCTCATTTACTCTTTCCCTCTGCCAAGCCAAACACTTCACCGCTCCCACCGACACCACCACCCACGCCCAGCCCCTCGCCCACGAAGGCCAAGTCTCAGCGAGATAGTACGAGGGTGGCATCGCTCCCCGGCCAGCGGCTGAGGAGCTCGAGCGCCCGTGTCGCGAGCGTCACGGCGCGGCTCAAAGCGCCACCCACTGTTAGGCTTTCGCTATCCAACGCGAGCGTTGCTACGGTGAGCACGGTCCTCGAATATTTCTTAGCGATGGCTGACAGGTTGTAAAGAGCGTCGTCCCCTTCCCTTCCGCCACATCGGATGCCCCTCAGCGGCCTCTATCATCGCCTCGCTCAAAATCATCGCCCTTACCAGTACCCACGCTTAATACCAGCACTAATCTGGGTCCATCAGTGCCCCTACCTAATTCGCCCATCTCCTTCCCTTCCCCTCTTCCCGAAAACTTGGAAGACGCAGAAGGGCCGGACGCCGACGCTATGGCCGTCGATGTCCACCCGCCCTGTACGCCCGGACCGTCGCTGCTGCAGTCCGAGCTCGCCCCGTGGTCGGTCCCCGCGCGCAAGCGCCGGCACGCCCACCTCGCGACGCCCACGCCCGCCCCGCCGCGCGGGAGCGCCAAGCGCGCGCGTCTGCTGCGGAGCCTGCTCGCGCTCGACTGCGCGTCGTCCGTTTCCTCCTCTCCCTCCTCCCCTTTGGCTTCGGCTTGTGCAGCAGCAGGCGAGTGTGAGGTGATCACGGATCTGCGTGCCCTCGATGGGATTCTCGCTGCGCGCCTGGGTGCGCGCGGTGCCTCGATTGGCGATGCGGACGCCGATTCGGGCGAGAGGGCGTTGAGCCCGCAGCAGCTCGTTGCGTCGCTCATTCTGCAGCGGTCGGAACGCAGGAGCTCGTCGAAGAAGAAACGGCGCGCGGTGGCGTATACCGAGGCGGCCGCGCGGGTGGAGGGGTGCGTGGTGGAGCGGCGGCCGAGTCCGCTCCGCGCGGTGATGGTGTTTGGTGAGGAGGAGGATGGTGATGTTGTGGAGGATGTGGAGATGGATATGGTGTGCTGAGGGGATGTGTTTTTGCGCGCGATGGAGGTGGGTCTGAGAGCTGGATTTGCTGGAGGAGTGTGGAGTGGGCTGGTAGGCGCGGCGAGGTCAAGGGTGCGGACGCTCTCTCCCTCGCGTGCGAGGTCGAGGTTGAGTTGTCGTATCCCGGCTTTATCGAGTCTCAACTCGTTTCTACTTCCTTCCCCCCTGGCCCTATGATACTGCCTTCCGTCGCGCCCGCTCTCAGATCCAGTGGAAGAGATGGGTATATGCGCGCCGCTGCGTCAGCCCTGATCACGTTGTCGTATCGAGTCGCGTTTCCGCTTGTCCCGTCGATAGCGCTAGCAGTCCCGTCCCTTTTCCTCGCTGGGTTCGATGGCAATACACATTCGCTTGCTACACACTTTCATGCTCTCCCTACCACTTGGATCTGAATCTCCCCTCGACCCCGGCTACGACGTCGGCTTCGAGGTTTTTGCAAAATCTGGTTGCTCTATGGCGACACGCTTGGGACGCTCCTCATTCCTCTCTCCTCTTATCTCCCTTGTCCATACTTTGCTGGATGAATTTGGCGTGTGGTGTCGATCGCATCGCAGGACGGTTGGTTTTCCTTTTTGGATAGTTTGGTTAGACCGCGGTCATGGCATGGATCTTATACGAGATTTACGATGTTTCATAAGAGGGTTACTACAGCATATATGCATGGTACTCGCATTTACATCATGATAGACACTTTTAGCATGGGGCTGGTAACATAGTACAGAATATGTACAATCGTTGTGTTTTGTTTTCGCGGTGGACGGTTGAGTTCGAACTAGCGGGATCTCAACAAATTAACAGGCTAGTGAACATGCGACATCTAATGTTGACTTGCTGCAACTGCTTCTTGCATTCGACTTCTATCTGTCTGCTCTACTTCTCGTTGCTCCCTCCTCAATCTTCACTGCCAGGCTCGCTGTCCTAGTCCCAGGACGAAATGAAATTCCACGATATCGACGAGTTACGATAGGAGGCCTTCTACAAAAGAACATTTAAGATTTCACATGGAGACACATTGCAAATCTTGTCGCAGCTCGCATTTTTGACTGCCATCGGTCGTCCTCGTCTTTAGAAGACGGTCTGCGTCGTTGTTCTTCCTATCTTTTCTCTCGACATCCCCCCTCTTGTCTGTTGGGCCTGTGACTATTTGCGACGGCATGCCGGCCCACAACAGCGACCGTCTCGCGGCCGCTCAGACTGGATCTGAGGCAGAGCCTTTGGTGAGCGCTTCGACCATTGCGTTCAGCTCGTCCTCACAGCAGCGCATGCATACACACAGCTGTCTAGCGCACTCAGATCCCGGTCTGGACCCGCGGTTGACGACATCGAGTCAAGTTCGTGCTCGTCGCGGCTGGACTCGGGCACACCGGATCCGTATGGGATCAAGGCTGGGTTCAAGACGGACGACGAGCTCGCTGAGCTGCGGCAGCATAGCCCTGGGGGGAAGGCTGGGAGGCGGCTTGAGGGGTTTCATCGGAGGCAGAATGCGGTGAGTTCCTAAGATTGTTGAATATGAACTATTGGCTATGGATGTCGAGGCCCGGGTGTGCTCACCAATGTTGAAGCTGATCGAGGCGCTGCTGAAGCCGATGGACCAGCACACGATCGAGGCGCGGGAGGAGGAGGAAAAGGCGTGCTTGCCGGTCAAGATCGCCGTTTATGCCAGTCTTGTTGCTAATTTCGCGCTGTGCGTCCTTCAACGTGAGTTCCAAGCACAGTGGTTGTAGCCGCTCTTTGTATGCAGCTGATGGCCTGACCATCACGTCCGTGGTAGTGTACGCCGCCGTTTCCGCGTTCTCGCTGTCCCTTATCGCGACGTCCATCGATGCCATGTTTGACTTCGGGAGCAACGTCTGGCTTTACGCGCTTCACAGGCAGGCGGAGCGGCTGGACGTGAACAAGTGGCCGGTCGGCGGATCGCGGCTCGAGACCATTGGCAACGTCGTTTTTGGTGCGTTCTACTGCATTAGGCCGACCAGCGCGATCTGAAGCACTGACCATGAGACAGGCTCTTTGTAAGTCGGGATGTGGGATTAACACTGAAGCGCGCCGGCTGATTTGATTCCGTCGCGGGCTCGACGGTTCTCAGGATGTCGGCTGTCAATCTCGTGGTCGTTGAGGAGTCTGTGAGGTCTCTTATTGCGCGAGAGGATGAGAAGGAGTTTCATCTCGCGTCGATTCTCGCGGTCGCGTTTGCTCTAGGTGCGGTTTGAAGACGCATATACTCATGTTTCAAGTCTGATCGCCGTGTGCGTATAGCCGTGAAGACTGCCCTCTTCGGCTACTGTACGGCGCTCAGGGGCAAGTCCAGCCAGGTGCAGATCCTCTGGGAAGACCACAGGAACGATATCTTCGTCAACGGATTCGGTCTTATCATGTCTGCAGGTGGCAGCAGACTGGTTTGGTGTACGTACACTGCGCCCTCCGTCAAGGTTTTGATGGCATGACGTACCGTCTTTTCTATCTAGGGATGGATCCTGTCGGCGCCATTGTGGTGGGTACAACTTACACCCGTTGCATTGCGTTATGTTGATGAACCGGCGGGTAGATTGGTTTGGGTGTCATCATTGCGTGGGGAAGCACCATCTCCGAGCAGTTCGAGCTGCTGGCGGGCAAGTCGGCGCCACACGATTTCCTGCAGCTCATTGTGTACAAGGCGATGACGTTCAGCGAAGAAATCGAGAAGATCGATACCGTGAGGGCGTACCATGTAAGCCCGTCTTCCCGCGTCTGTCAAGTATACACGCGCTGACGAGCGACTTTGTAAATACTTACAGAGCGGACCAGTGAGTGTGGCATATTCCCAAATGGCGAACCATTGTGTTGACGTTCCCCGATAGAACTACTTCGTCGAAGTCGACGTCGTGATGGACGCGTCGACGCCGCTCTGGAAGGCGCATGACGTCAGTCAGCAGCTCCAGGACAAGATCGAGGTTCTCCCAAACGTCGAACGTGCGTTTGTACATGTCGATCATGAGACGACACATAGGCCTGTGAGTATTATGCTCGAGTATTTGCGTCGACCGATGCCTGATTTGGAGTATAGGAACATCGGAAGATCTGGTAGTGCCCTCGCGAGCGCGGTATTGGCGTGGACTAATGGATACACAACGGCTCAAGAAGATCGTACAACTTGGCGGCAGGCCGCCTTGTGCAATCAAAGTGTACATTTAATGACAAGCTGGATATTAAATGTCGAGTATCACAGATTTCAGCGTATAATGATAAGGCTGCGCTCTGGTGCAGCGAGGCTCGCTACCGAAGACAGTGCCAAACATATAGTCACGATGGATCCAACCGAAAAATGCGTAGCGCGTAAGTAATAACATAAGACCCTGTTCGGTTGCGGTGCCTTGGCGCTAACACATTGTGATGTCACCCCCTTTAAGTCAAATACACTTGGCGCTACGGTGGCCTTCATATCCGGCATGCGAACAGGCGTTGTTGGGATTGTTCAATCCAAGGTATTGACCAGCATTTTGCCAACGTTAGGCGAGGATGTAACGCAAGCTGCGCGGGGCGCTGGGATCCACAACGGCGGGTGGGTCCGTGCGCGGGAAATTTTACCTGAAGTTTCGACTCGCGACGCCTCGGAGCCATCGTGGACTTACTACAAACCGTCATACCCGGCCGCCGCTCAAAAATTCAAACGGCGTACTCTCGCTGAAGTGCTGAACGCTCCATCCAGCTATCCACAAGTACTCCATCATGATGAAGGTGGAAACTTGGAGCTTCTTGAGCGTCTCTGTATTTTAATTCAGTAACGTCACAACCTAGGCTCTAGCTCGCGCGACGGCGACGGCGTTTTGGTACGAGAGCTCGTCGTAGGCCCCCTTCTCTACAGCACATGACAGACAGGAGTCAAGAAAACCCGTTATTTATTACTGCTCCTCCCTGCAATCAGATCAGATATCTCTCAGGCGCTATGTCTTCGCTACCACTGTCACAGTCGCTGCCGTTATCAGTCAATTCATTCCTGGACCCGACTAAGTATGCCATCCGATGTGGCTCGTCCCTGCGCCTCTTGCTCCCAGATTTCAGCCCCCTGCTGCCAACTTTGTCGCTGGTGCGTTCATACGTCTCCCGGTAAGCACGCTTCACCATACTTACTAAGGCGACAATTTTATGAAACGGATTCCCACTAAATGCCATCTATCTCAATAAACCGAGCTATCTCTCATTTTCAGAACTGAATTATAAACCAAAGTGGGTAGGCCCCAAATAACTGCGAAGGTGTTCCACGATTTGATGCCCGACACCATATCTACTTGGCCTTACGGCACAGATAACTCTAGGGGACTCATGTGCAGGGGACCTGATTTGGGGATGGGATATAATATATAACGAGTGGTGGTAAACGCTCACTTGAGGCTCAACATAACCTACAACGATGGACTCCTACCTGATACCCGGCTCAGCTGTTCTCGGCGTGTCGCTCGTCCTGGGTGTCTGTGCGACTCGAGTCTGGAGCAAACCCACCACCCCTCATCTTCCTCCTGGCCCGAAAGGGCACTTCCTCTTCGGAAGCTCTTTCGACATAAATGCTGCTGACCCCGGATCGTCGTTCGCTCAGTGGGGACGCGAGTATGGTACGTCCCACTTTTTTCGTCGTTGTTTCAACGGGGATTGACGTTCAGCGCATCATGCCAGGCGAGCTCGTCCACGTCCGCCACTTTGGCAGAGATCTCATGATCATCAACTCCGAGCGCATCGCACAAGACCTACTCGAGCGCCGTTCGCGCATATACTCGGACAGGGTAGATTACTCGCCTATCGAGTCGTGCGTCTTTTCCCGAGCATGTTACAGTCATGATTGTACTCATTCCAAATTCGTTTTTACTGCGCGCCTTAGGTACGGAATGCTGTTCAACTCGGCCATGATAAACTACAACGACGCCTGGCGCTTCCACCGCAAGATGATGAACCAGCTCATGCGCCCAGTCGCTATCCCCAACTATCACGGTGTCATGGTTGACGCTGCTCACACCCTCGTGTCTAAGTTGAAGGACACTCCCGAGAAACACTGGGCACACATTGACGGGTATGGGCTCGTTCTCCCTACCAAAAGGGTGCCTGTTGACGTTTGGATATATTTCATAGGTACGCCGCAAGAAACGTCATGGAGGTCATCTTCGGTCGCGGCATCGAACAGGATCAGGAACGACTTGTCACAACGTTTTCTGAGGCCGCCACCTGCTTCATGGAATCGACGTCAGATGTGTTTCTTGCTATGGTGAAAACGTTCCCGATGCGTGAGTTGCCGTTACCTTTATGACTCAGGCGCTAACATTTTGTTTCCGAACGCTAGTCAAATACGTACCAACATCGTTCCCCGGCGGGCGTTTCAACGCTGCAGAAGCAAAAGAACGAATGAATGCTTTCAAATCAACGGTATATGGACTACTGCAAGAAAGCAACGAGGTATGTTCAGTGCAAACCATGTCATAGTTCGCTTACAGACTATAATTTTCGTTAGGATAACCTACTGCTACAACAGGAAAACCAGGACGAGGTTAAGAACGTCTCCGCTACGGCATTTATAGGTGAGACTGACTCCGATCGTCCGATTGATGACCATGCTCATATCATGTGCTTCTTCTTTTCAGGGGGTGTGGAGACGGTACGCTACTCTCGTCGTTTGGTATTTAGAAGAAGACTAACGCATCTAATAAAAGAGCGCAGGAACTCTCTCGGTCTTCGCCCTCGCGATGGTGCTCTTCCCCGAAGCACAGGCGCGTGCGCAAGCTGAGATCGACAGCCTTCTGAAGAGGGAGAGAGCCCCCTCGTTTGACGATCGCGAGCTGCTCCCTTATGTTGAAGCTCTCATGCGCGAAGTGCTTCGATGGGGACCCGTTGTCCCTCTAGGTACGCTGGCTAGAATTTTCTTTCTCGATAGGTAAGCTAACGGTGCACTCTACAGGTGTACCCCATTGCGTGACAGAAGACGACCATTATGAAGGCTACTTCATTCCGAAAGGAACGGTGCTAGTCGGCAACGCAGGGTCAGTCTTCCTCATTCCTCGGCTCCTCGATCAGTAGTATTCTAGTCATCTGACCTGTCGTCCTAGGGGCATGCTGCGTGACCCTGTGCGTTACCCTAACCCAGAAAAGTTCTCTCCGGAACGCTTTTTGAACGAAGACGGATCGCTCACCGACGACGATGTGCCCGCTGCGTTTGGATTCGGCCGACGAGTGTGTCCGGGCCGATACCTCGCGGATTCGAGCGTTTGGATGGCGATCGTTTCGATGCTCGCTGAGCTTGACATCAAGCCGGCCAAGGACGAAGAGGGAAATGCGATTGTGTTTGAGCCTGAATGGAATCACTCGCTCAGCTCGTGAGTACTCTTGCTTATTCGTCGAGAGACCTGTGACGTTGACTCACCGTGCCGCATGTAGTCGACCCAAGCCGTTCCCTTGCAGCATTGTCCCTCGAAACTAGGCGTATACAGTAATGTGGGAGTATGATAATAATGTTCAAGCCTGGAATTACAGCAATCCCAGACACTGATATGTACAAATAATATCATTGTGTTTCATTACCCGCACGAGTCCGCAATGTTAGCATCACAGACTGCAAGTTAGGTTGCATCTTCTGCCTTAGAAAAAATGGCTATGATGCATCCCTAGTGGCATGATTCAGTTTGGGCAATTTCATTCTCCCTTTCCATCAATAATATGGGTACGGAGAGTCTGACGGCCATGGTATAGCTTTGAGATTTGAGGGTGTGGCTGTGCAACTTGCACAGGCCAACTCCTGATTCGATGTCCGCCTTGTTTCCTCTCCTCACACGCTCATGTCGCCTGACATGCTATGTTTACTTCCGCAACGCCCACTATGGAGAGCAACATACGCCGTGGCCGTATATAGAGGCTTTCATATTCGTATACCCAGCACTGAAAAGGCTACACATCCTTTGGATCGGTCATTGCGTGGGGATTTCCCAGGTTCGATTGCAAGTTTAGCCTACGTCGTACCCATCAACTGCAACTGAGGTTATCTGGTGATCTTCCGGAGAAGGTTCCTCCTTCTGCGTCGGAGTGATGCAGGGCTTCCAGCATATAAAGCCAAAGACAATCTGATATCTTTGCTCATGGACCCGACTACAGCGTCAATTTGTATTGGACTCGCACCAGCACTCGCGCTTGGCATATGGCTGGGTAATAGGCGCAACAGTGCTTCGTTTCGGCCTGCTCCACTTCCACCTGGTCCTAAAGGTCTGCCAATAGTAGGAAGTACGTTCAGCATCGATTCGACCAATCCAGGGTGGACATTCATCGAATGGGAGCAAGAGTATGGTAAGTTGCATTATTCATAATCTTGGATAACATCGTCTACAATGTACATACTGATTTGCGGCTTGGTGGTAGGGGAGATTGTTCACTGCCAATATTTTGGCAGGGACGTTATTATTCTCAACTCTAAACATATAGCTGAAGACTTACTCGAGCGGAGATCACGCATATACTCCGACAGAGCGGGATATTCTGCGCTTGCATCGTGAGTGATTAGCTTCGTCTCACAGGTCTTCCGTCTGACCATGAATGGTATCAAGCTATGGTATCCTCTTCGACACAGCGATGATACCCTACGGGGATGAATGGCGCACTCATAGAAAGCTATACAAGCAGATCATGCGTCAGACTGCCGTTCCAACCTACCATACAGCCTTCGCATCGAATGCATGCAAGCTCGTGAGCGATCTTACGGCGTTACCAGACCGCTATCCAAGTCACCTGGATAGGTAGCTATGTTTCTTCTCTTCGATGAAAAATTTCGCTTAGATTATTTGACCAAGCTACAGCGCTGGGAATATCATGCACGTAGTCTGCGGCCAGGAAATCGAAGATCGAGACGAGGTTGTGGGGCTGGTGGCAAGAACAGCTGAACGGTTTGTCAGAATAACTGCAGACAGGTTCGTTGCTACTGTGAACGTGTTTCCATTCTGTGCGTACTTCTCTTCGTGACGTCTAATAGACAGCTGATTCATTATTGACTAGTAAAATACATACCCTCTTGGCTTCCCGGAGGCATCTTCAACGCCTTGGACTCAATGAAGCTAAACGAGTCTCTCGGTAGAGTTCTACATCGACTGCTATCACAACAAGATGCCGACGTACGTGAACGCTTGTTCTGCACTCACTACATTTTCGCGTTTAATCTCCAAGGGCATTGATGGATGTAGGGAAACTTTTTACTCAGGCAATTGAAAGAGCATGTCGAGGAAGATATTATCCAACGCTCTGTCAAGGATGTGTGCACTACGTCTTTTGTTGGTAAGCCTTAAGGTCTCTAATAATCACCTTTTTTGTTATGCTCAGCGAGTTAATAGCTGGGCTGGACACTGTAGGTTACTCCGAGCCGCGACTGAGTCCCGCTGAGCTACGTCATAAAACAGACCTCTTGCACCCTTCTTATCTTCGTATTGACAATGTTGCTATTTCCAGATGCGCAAATGAACGCGCAGTTGGAGATAGATTGCGTCGTGGGAGCACACCGCTTTCCGTCGTTCGAGGACAGGCCGTCTCTGCCATATGTTGAAGCTGTGCTGAGGGAGGTTATGAGATGGAGGCCTGTTACGCCACTCGGTTCGTGTCGCTATGGTTAGCCGAGACATCTCTAACAGAAAAACTATGTAGGCATACCTCATTGTGCCATGGAAGATGATATGTACGAAGGTTATTTCATCCCAAAAGGTAACATTCTCGGCGCCTTAGATTGGACTCTAAATTTCGTACACTTTCTTGACGCAGTTCACAGGGACAACAATTGTTGCACTTGGTGGTGGGATGGCACGTCACTACGATAATCCTGATAAATTCATTCCCGAACGATTTTTGAATCCCGACGGCTCGCTAAACGATGACAATATGGGATATGTGTTTGGCTTTGGTCGGCGGATCTGCCCAGGCCGTTACGTTGCAGACGCGTCAGTCTGGATTGCGATGGCTACAATCCTGGCTAGGCTCCGTATTGAGCCAGAGAAGGATGAAGAAGGAAAAGACATCAAAGTGGAGCCGGAGTGGGTTACTGGGTTAACCTGGTGAGTACTAACAACTTGCTCAAATCTTATGGCGTTGATATGGTGTGCGGGTGAAGCCATCCGAAGCAGTTTCCATGTCGGTTTACACCAAGGCAAGCGGCTTCCTAGCGAAAAGTAGCTGTATTGTGCTGTCAACATCTGGCTTTCATGTATTATAACAGTGTTATTGAATGCATAGTTGAATCGGAATGACATATAATAAGTAAAAAGATAATCCAAGTACATAAAAGTCAACTCTCCCAGTTCATCAAGGTCACGATGAGTGTCACTACAATAACCGCGTCGTTTATAACTGATATACGAAAGGAATGACCACCACTACTAGTACCAATGTACATGTCTTTCCGCTCTCCCCCATGTGTCGACATCCGGCTTCCGAGGGTATCTTTGGTATCCATAAAATGCCGGGTTTACATGAGGCGTAGGGTATGGAGAGACATATGGCCCCTGGCGCCTTGCGTCCGCTTGTGGGTGCCACACTCCAGCCCTATGATGTGGCGTCCAATGACCGTTCCAGAAATGATGGTGTTGGTGTCGAGGCTTGTTGGGTTCTCGTGCTAGGCAAATGTGAGATTTAATTATATGTTCAGAAGTAAGGGAAGACGTCTTACGTAAGTTAAACCGGACCCTTCGAGATTCTCGCGAATCATAGGTCCCATAATGACTACGTTCTTCTCCCCTCTTGCGTTTGCGTCCAGCCTTGAAATCCGAATCTGCCGGGTATGGATCGATGTGGCGTTGCTTCCGATCAGGCCAGAAGGGAGGTCGAAAGTTAAACATGGACGGCTGGCGTGTCGAAGTTGGGATATATGTAGTGAGGCGAGCAAATTATAACACAGAAAGCGACAGAGAAGTTGAAGTATGAGGACAAGGAAGGAATGGCGAGGGAGTCTACGGTCACTCAGCGAGGCGTACTTATATTCTCTCCCGAAGCTGTGTCCTGACACATAGGACCTGCACCCCAGATGCCTCTATATGTCAATCTGTGGTAGCACGTAGCCTGTCGGTGGGGAGCCCTATGTATTAACGGACGCCATAACACGCGAGATGCGAGGGGAACGCTACCGATCCAGTGTGGCGTCCGAAGGGGCCAGTAAAGCATGTGAATTATTGACCAATGACACAGGGGAAGCGCCAGAGCATAGCACCGAAGGACTAAAAGTGAGTTTGTCGAGTCAATACTCCGGGATTAGTACACACAAATACAAGCCCATTGCTATCCAGGCACCCAACAAAGCCGAGGGAGTCAAGTCATTTACACGGCTGTTCTACTGCGTATCTCAGTTATCACAGCCTACCACAATGTCAAGTTGCAGCAGAGGGCCTGAGGTGTTAAATGCGAGCAGGGGTGGGTACACAGCATGTCTTGTAGGATTTGTGCGGCATATGCTGTGACACAAATCTGAGAGCACGATACCTCAGAAAGGCTGGTTTGTGTAACTCTGCTGACTCTATAGCCACAAATGCGGAGGTATGCGAAGACGTATGAGGCTTGAAGTGAGGTTCTGAGTTCGTATGCTAGAACTCGGCTCATGATGGAGTCCGTGGATGATAACGTGTGGCTTTGTGGGATGTAGTGAGCCATAGCACTGTCCGCAGTTATCACAGAGCCTTAGCGTGCACAGGAAAGAGTTGCGAGATATGGAAGAAAATGCTTGGTGCGTGCTGCACCAGGACATATGATCATTATGGGTATAAATACTACTTCCACCAAAGGCTTTTCCCAGAGATAATACTAATAGGACCCTAATGTAAAGGAATTTAACAGAAGGTGATGTGGATCTAAACGCAGAACGTCAGTGAGAGTACACAACAAAGCATCAGCTGCAGCACGTACACCACAGTTGTTGGCCTGGCAGTCCTTGAGGGGGACCTGCGGGGGGCTGTGCGATGCCTCGGCGCAGTTGGCCGAACCGCAGTGGAGACCGTCCGAGCACCCGTCGATGAAGTTGAACCCGAGAGGGTACTTGCTGCAAGCACGGTCATACGATTATGAGACACTCAGATGAACGAGCAAAGGCGAGAAGGGACGCACTACAGGTGGTTGCCTTCGGGCTCAAGAGTGATATCGGCCTGCGAGTAGCCCGTGTTCTGGAGCGTGAACTCGACGGCGCCGCAGTTCACGCCGTTGTTCTCGCAGCCGTCGGCACCGGAGAGCCAGGCGATGCCGCCGTTGAGCTCACCCTGGATGGTGCGAGCGCCACCAGGGCTGGAGTTGCCCTGGTACAGGAACTTGGGCGAGCCTTTGCCGCAGTTGTTGGTGAACTAGAGGGGAAAGAAGAACATGTCAGTGGGCGGTTCGCGAGAAAGATGACGCGGGATTGTTCACCGTAACGCGGTGGGACTCGGCAGCAACGTTGCTGGCGAAGGCAAGGGCAGCGACGACGACAGTGTAGACAGCGAGCATTGTGAATAAGAGAGACTGAGAAAGAAGATCTAGTTGGAGGGTAGGTTGATGGCTATTGGAGGATTGAGAAGCCTGTATTTATGCGTTCGCGATATATAGCTCGAGGTGTGGCCATGTCTTTGACGGCGCTACAGCCTCGTAGCTCGCAGACGATAACGTGGTGCCAGCGCAACGGAAGTGTCTGGTGCGCTGAGGCGAGGTACACTCGAGAGGACTTGATCAAATATCTGCAGGGGCAATGCGAGTTGAGAAGACGAGAAGGTGATCCGGATTCCCCGCGCTACCCCGTTGTCTCCGACTCCCACTGATCGACGGTCACTAGGGACCGTCCAGGACTCGACCACATGCCGATCAGTAGCTCGTGGAGCGAAAACATGAACGCTCGTCACTTTACGTCGCTTCCTTGATCATATAGTCAAGCATCGGGGAAATGCCGGCGGATCAAACATGAGAATATTCCCCGGAAGGTGATGCCCGCAATGTTTAGTTGTAAACTTACCACCGGCATGTCCTACGCAGCAGTCCATGTTATTTCTCCAGCACTCGGCCACAAAGCCTCTGGTCGGAAGGGCCGAGGTTAGATGGCATGTTGAGTTCAGGTGAATTGTGGCCCGTTCAGACGGACCTTACTCTCCGTCAAACAACCAGGGATCAGAAGTCCTATGCAGAAGGAAACGCAATTCGGAATAGAGCACATGAAAACATGTGCCTGTAATGTTTTGATTGTGAAACGATGTTCGAGCAAATGATGAATCGCAAGTCTGTGCGGTTCTTTGCCAACCATATCACAAGTTAGGGGAGTTGATGGACGTCAAGAGTTCAAGAGTCAAGACGGAAGAGATCACCGTCGGCTAAGACGAGGCGGAGCTTAATTCAGGCACCGAGCTGGCACAAAATGACAGGCCTCCCCGAGCGACCGATTGCTTCCGAGCGGTCCCGCCCCGGACTTTGCTTGCGACACATACTGACATTCAAAGCGCCGGTCTGGCTAGGCCGCAGGGATAGTAAACCTATGCAATGCCAAGCTCAGTTTCATCAGGTCCATTTAAATCCACATCACGACTCGCCGACGTAACAACCAGCCGCAAGTTCAACTCGGGTCATTTCCCGCGAGGAACGGAACAAATGCGAGGCTCAATCAACGCAAGGATTCTTCCTGAACTCACGGTCTTTGTGATCTGCTCCGAGGCGCTGCCAACAATGATAGTATAAATCTCGTGATGATTCAAACGACGAGACCAGCCACTCACCGACCCCCTCGCACCTTTACCACCCGCCATCATGAAGTTCTCTCTTGCTCTCACCGCTGCCGCCCTCTTTGCTTCGGCATCCGCTTTCACCATCAAGTTCGACAACAAGTGCAGTTACGGTACGTACCGAGCGACCATTTTTGCTCCTCGACATCTCAATCTCTCGCTTCTTTTTACCGCAGCTGTGTGGCCCGCTATCGGCAAAGCTCCCAACGGTCAGCCTGACCCTTCGGTCGCCCACGGTGCCAAGCTCGCGGCTGGGAAATCCATCAGCTGGAGCGTCGCTGATACTCAGATTGTAAGTTCTGAACGCACGACAAAGCTCATTCGTCGCTCACCGAGCCTTTGCAGGGTATCCGCGCATGGGGCCGCACCGGCTGCGCTGACAACGGCACCGGCTGCAAGACCGGTGGCTGCAACGGCGGTTCGTTATACCACCATACACACCACACCCAACCCCAACCGAACTAACTTACCAAATCCTTATTATGACTAACAGGCATGGTCTGCACCGACGGCGGCATCACCGCCGGCGTCATCCTCTCCGAGTACGGCTACGCCGACTTTGGCGCCCAGTACGGCGGCAAGCGCATCTCCTGGGACCTGAGCCACGTCGACTCCTCGATCAACCTCGCCACCGGCCTGCACGCGAGCGACGGCCAGAGCGTGCGCTGCGCGTCGGGCAACTGCCCTGCCAACCAGGCGTACAACAGCGCGACCGACTACGCTGCAGACCGCAACTCGCCGCTCGGTGCGACGTTCACGCACACGTTCTGCGCTTAGAGGGCTGGGGGTTTTCGCGGAGAGCTGTAACTTGTTTGTATGGTGATTATCGTACCTGAGGTTTGCGGGTAGTTGGTTACACTGCAAGGTTCTTAATGAGCATGAATGAATCCATTGGATGAAATCTATGGGTAACAAGAACGAATTTCTAGACCAAGCCTAAATCCAAAACGACTTCATGAGGAATAATTAAGGTCACAACACCACTTGAGGTGAAGTCATCGCTCACCACTAGCTACCGCCCATCATTGCCTTCACCTCTCTCCGCCGACCCTTCACCAGCGAAATCACCTTCTTCAGACCCTTCATCACTCCTTCTCTCACCGCCTTCTTGTCCGGATCCTGTCCCTCCTTGATAGGATACGGAAAGTCGGGCGACGCAAACGACGCATGAGCAAAGTCAATAAGAGAGACCCTGATGGAGGGTGCTGGCTCCTCTACGTCTTCTTCTTCTTCGTCACCGTCGTCCAACTCTATCTTTGGTTCTTCGTCGTCCCCCTGCTGTCGAGCGTTCTCGCGGCGGATCGCCTCCTCGGCCTTGTCCCAGTCGCTCTCGTACACGATGAGCAGGCTGCCGCCGATCATGCAGAGGTCGAGCTGGTCGTCCTCCATGACCGTACGGATGTCATCGAGGTCTGACAGGAGTTGATCGAGAAGGGAGAGAAGGGTATGTGGTCGATGGCCAGACGGAGTGGTCAGAGGTTCCGGCCAGTGAGAGGACATCAGAGTAGATGGTTGAGTGTGCCTTTCTGAGCTAGACGGGCCCGCTGAACGTGACGAAATTAGAGAGTGGACACGCGTATATTATGCAGCAGACTCACTCGATCCATTGGAGGCGATCTCGGACCTCGCCACCGGAAAGAAAGAAGCGATGGCTTCGGGGAGGTTGGCGGTCTTGATCGACTTGCCGTATGGCTTTGGAACGACCACGGGTTCGGCGTGGTCGTTATCGTATACCTGAATGAAGGCACTTTTAATATGACATCATATGACAAAGAAGATAACTCACGCAAAACCCAACGACACGCATTCCATCTGTGCCTGAAGTGGTATTCTCCGCCGCTTTCCTCATCCTCTCCTTCTTCTCTGGTGTCGCATCCTCAGCATAAAGCACCGATCCAAGCTTGATGTCTATGACACTCGGCTTTTTGAACCCGTGCGTCAGATCTTCCAGTACCAGACCTCGCTGGAGCGTGGTTCAGCAATCAACCGCCGAGTTGACGGTACATGGAAAGCCTAACTTTATCACTCTCGTGGGCGTCATGAACAGGCACGACCTTGTTCATATCCACGCTATCACTTCCGCCTCCCGTTTTCCTCTCCGAGGAGTCTTGAGAGACCTGCCCGACAAGATCTAGCGAGCCGATGAAGGTTGGGGTATAGTTGTGCAAAAGGGCAAGCGACGAGACTGTCCCGTCCTCTTGCACCGCTTCGTTCTCAGCTGCAGACGCCAGCGCTTTGTAGAACGCGATCTCCTGGGGAAGAGCGGGCTTGAAGAGGATACCTTCTGATGACTTCACCCCCGGGTGCCCTCCAACTTGGTATGCCAGATGCGCGTTGGATGGCTGGGACGCCATCTTCAGGCTGCAGGGTAATCGGCGAACGGTGGTGAGTGCTTCCAGAGGATCGGTGAGGCCTTGGTGAGCTTTGTTCCAATCCCCACGAGACTCTCGAAGTTGAGCCTTAAGGTGGGGATTCAGCGAGAGAAAGTCATCAATTGCTTGGCGGGGGAGCTGAACGCGTTGCTCGCTAATGCTTCCGTGGCGAGCGGGTGTTATTCAAGCTCCGATCCATGTCCGCCACAACTCCGCAGCCGCTCCCGCACCCCGCGAGACTTGCTTTTGGTGACGACTCGTCTCGATCTTTAACCTCTTTTATGACCATCGTCTCCATCCTCTGCAGAAATGGCGGCTTCACTGGATGCTCGAGTCTATTATACTTGTTTTGTTGTATATCCAACAATCTGGACGCCACATCAGTATCACTACCTTGTTTGCCAAATGAAGACATGCTGTGAACGCTTTTGGATGGCCTTCATTCTGGGAACAACTGAAACTCGGACGCCTCTCGCTGTTTTGGATTGCTCTCTGGGCTCAAGGTAGCCCTCTTGCTGATGCTGGACGCCAACTGGGCTCAGTACCTTCCCTAGCTGTACGATGTTTGTTGGCTCTCAGGGCGGTACGCTCCCCAGAACGTTATAAAGCTCGGCCAAAGCGTCTTTGGTAGTCAGCAGCTCGTCTCTAAACACCCTCAGAACCCACTGGCCAACTTCAAACCTCTTATATTTGCCTACCAGCACCCGCCGCTATGTGCCCAGTCATACCGCCCAACCCCTACGTATGCTGCTGCAGTCCAGCCGCACCTCGCCCGCCACAGCGCGACTGGCAGGACGTTCAATTCGACAATATCCACGCGCACATTCACCCCAAGTTCATGGAAAGTGAACTCAAGCGCCAGCACGAACGATACCAGGAAGTGGAACAGCGGAAGAAGCGCGATGAAAGGCGCAACAAACCCCGCAACTATGGAGTCGTATGCAACCCTCGTGAGTGCTCTACATTCAAAGTCACATTTCGTACTGACAGCCATATTTAGCTTTGCCAAAGGATTGCACGCTCTCGCCTCAAGCCGTCCAAGCTGCTATACACGGTTTCACGCCATGCCAGCCCGTGCCACTTCTGGCGCCGACTTATACACCTCGTCCCCCTAATCGATACACTTGGTTCACCGCGAACGGGCAGTACCATTGGGACCCAAGCCCGCGCTGGTTTTGAAGTCAAGCTTCAATGATCCCTACACGTTTTTTATGACACACGGACTTTCATTCTATCGAATTTATGTCGTTTATACCCATTGACCATGTATCCATATCCTTGTTCACGTTTACAATGCATCATAGTCTCCTTTTCCCCTCGCGAGAACCAGCTCGTCCTCGTCTGTTTTCGCTTCATCCAGCACTCTCGGCCATCCAGCGCACTATAGGGCTCCGGCAAGATACTTCTCTGTTGGCAACGTCTTCGGTTGCCAGCATGTGTAACCTCTAAAGGCATCCTATACTAGAGACCAGCGTGACCCCTGACTTGCCCCATGCAGTGCGGGCGTTCCTGATGCTAGGAGCCTCCTGTCGTGCAGCCACATCAATCACGCCCCCGGGGTCCTATTTTCCCCTGTTCTTGTCAGCTGGGGATGTCAATCACCGAGACACCGTCGAGACCGTCGGTGTCGAGTATGCGCCATTTCATCTTACCAGAATCTTATCACAGCATACCCACTGATGTAATGTCAATGCCGCCGGTGCAATACGGCATCTCACAACTCGACACACCAGGCAGATGCGGCGAGATGTCGGCGCCCCTCAGTGCCGTCGGTGCCGTATGTCAAGGCTCAGTAAGGAAAGTATTGGATTGATAGGTGATGCTCGGCTTCGCTCGGTCATATCGTCGAGCTTTGCTTGACTGTTTTCAGCCAGCAACCCAAGAAATAGTAACCTCCCGTCGACGATCAGCGGCGGTGTTCCTGGCACTGCGATGTCGGCGGCTTCTTGTTCATGGTTCGACAAACCTCCGCCCCGGTATTTCCCGGGGGCAAACGGGTGCTGATCCTCAGGTACGAGTTCTACCTTGTCATGCTAACAGTCTGGGACCATGAACATGTAGGTAACGTGTCGTAACTCGATCAAGATTATTTGAATTTTCCCCTTGTAAATAGACGTCGCGAAGACGATTCACACACGAACTGAAGTGTAACTTGGCCACGATTGCACCCCGCTGCATGGCTGGAAGCCCAACCACCACTACTCAATCACAGCATGCCACCAAATAATTCCACGTCCTACATAAATCGCGCAGCGCACCACGCGGAAAGCTTCAAGTACGAAATCAGTCAATTCTGCCTAACCATAACCATAAGTATACGAAAGCAAGGACGAAACTAATTAGCAGGAAACATCATAGAGGCCCGGGGGTGCGCCCATATATGCACATCCATAAAACCCCGTCATATCCAAAGTCCATAGCAATTCCATAACGTCAGTCATCAATCACAAAGCTCAAGCGCACGCCCGACTTCAAGCGTACGTCGCAGACGGTCCTATCTTTCTAGATGCGCGTTTCTCTGCTTCCCTGCATTTCTTGCTCGCACGGACAATCGTGTCCATCCACAGCTGGCAGTCTCTAACCGAGCTCGCACGAAGCGCAATCGTGTCTCCGCCACGAGGGTACGGGAGAAGCACACGGAAGGCCATGTCATCTGGGGATAACGTGCTGGGTCAAAGGGCCCTCTTTGTCATGCGTAACACGACGCACCTCGTCTGCCGGCATCTTTGATCTGGATTTCACCGAGAGGAATAGGCTAGAGGGATCGTCGTGTGAGCGTGTCGTCAGGAATGGTATATACGTAAAGCGACATACTATGCGATATAGTTGCTTTCCAGCATCGTCAGTGAGCACCAAGATATCGCTGCACAGGAACGCGCGAAGTTTGCGACCGCTCTTGGACTTGGACAGTATACCTTCTTTCAGAAGCCTGCGAGGGCCCATATACCTCGTCGGCGCAGTCAGATCCAAGCGCCTGTAAATAAAATAAGACTGCGTGTCGTGCATCTCGCCAAGCACGCTTAAGACGCACCCCTGCCCGATCCAGAGGTTCCTACTGATTTCTCGTAAGCGCTCCTCGCCCTCCTGCTCACGTATGGTTTCATTGATATGGCTGAGGATCCTTTCGGCGGTATGGAGGGCGGCAGATATGTCTGCCTTGTCTTCTTCCAGCTGTGTGTATTGGAGGACCTAAAAGTCATCGAGTGAGCACAACATGCCTCGAGTTGGAAGAAGCATACCTGTCGGATGAGGAGAGGATAGCGAGTCATGCGCTGCACTTTACGTGGAAATAATATCAGTATGGAGCATACATGACTCATTTCCATAGTTGACTCACTAGGAACGAGAAGATAACTTGACAGATCAAGATTGCGTGCGGAGGGTTCCTCGCGAATGCGCTGTTCGAGGCAAATTTAGATTTCTCCTCTTGAATCAAAAATGAAGAAAGAACCTGAAGCTGCGCCGCGAGCTCGGGGTTCGAGTCGCGCATGGATTGGAGAAGTCTGCTACCGTTTGTTTGGTTGACGCAATATGACTGCAAACATCGACGTAAGGCCATATCCTCATTAGTGAACGTTCGGCCTTACGAGGTAGACGCCCATGTTCGGCATATGAGCCTTGAAAATGTCGCCAATACGATCGATATACAACCTGCACTCTTTTTGGCGCTGCTCAAGGGAGCTGACGAAAGTCTATAAATAGGGGCGGGTGAGAAAGGGGACGTCAAGAGGCGGGATTTTTTTTTTGATTACGCACCGTGTTTGTGAGCAAAATATCCTCGATGTTGGCAAAGACGACTGCCGTCCCTTTCTCACCGAGTGGGTCCATGAGGCGTGAGTAGAAGAGCTTAACAAGTCTGAGTGTGAATGACTGAGGATAGTTGACATTTACTTACCTCCACCATGAGCTGCAGGTCCCTAACATAGTCTGCCTCCGTGGAGATGAACTCGAAGATAGCCTCGGGTTTCGTCAGCATCCCTGCCTCTCGGCAATAAAAAATACACACCTCTTGTCTCCGCCGCTCATGCTTCGGGATTTCCTCCAGTGCAGTCTTATCCACCAAGCTCGCCCACGACTAACCATTCGAAGAAAATCAGCGGCCCCTCTCAACCAACAGCAAAATAATAACAAGACCCACCGAACCAAACGCAGGACTCTCCTCCCTCGTCAGCTCCTCGCTCGCCAGACTCTGCCCCGACACCTGATTCGACATCGGAATCGGCCCAGAAATCGGGCCCGATATCGTCCTCCTCTCCCTCTCCCTCTCTTCTCCCGGCGTCGCGCTCCGCCCATGCCGGCTCAAAAAGCTCAAAAACTGGCTCGTCCTGCTCTCCCCCGCGCCGTCGCGCGACCCCTCGCGGTAGTGTCCTACCCCACTGCCCCCGCCAGCGCTGCTCGTGCTCATCGTCGGCACGAGCGACGTCGCCGGCGACCGCGGAGGGGGCGTGCCAGACGACTGCACCCCCTGGGCACCTCCTCCTGAGGCCGAGGAGAGCGCGGCGGTGAAGTTGGAATCGACGGATGCGACAGACATGCGGTTGTTGCTGCTCGCCACGTGCGTCTTCCTAAAGTTCTCGTACCGGTCGAACGCGTCATCGACGTGCGTCGTCGCAGTGTAACTCGAAGAAGAAGGGGGAGGAGATGGGGGAGAGGAGGGAGAGGAGAGAGGGGCCTCTGCATAGTCAGCATCGCCGCCCGCATCACTGCGGGGTGATATGGGAGGGAGATCCTTCCCCACTACTGAATTGACGCCCGCCGCGGCCGATTCAGAAGAGCGCTGAGGGGCTGCAGGAGGGGGACGTCGCTTTCGCACAGCCGCCATGTCCACGTCCTTGCTCACGACGAACCCGGCGGCTTCGAGGACGCGCTGGCGCTCGAGCTCGCGCGCCTCACGGTCCTCGACAGTGTCTTCTATGCTGTCTTCGTCAGAGTCCGACTCCGACATCGAGTAGTAGTCATCATCGTCAGAATGATCCTGCGCGGTCTGTAGCTCTTCGTCCGAGTCTACGTGATCTTCGCCCTCATGCGCGTTGATAACTCCGCGTGGTGTCACGATCCTAGGCAGCTCTGGTCGACCACTTTGCGTAGGCGCCGGTCCTGGCTCTGGTGCCGACTCTGACACAGGCTTCGGCACTGGCGCTGACGGAGGGGGCGGAGGTGGAGGCGGAGGAACCGACGAAACACCGACTGACAATGGTCGCCAGCCAAAAAAAAAGGGCAAAGGAAAAAATCCGGTTTATTCGAACGACGATACGTGTACGAAGCAAAAACAAAACAAAAACATAGATTTAGTTTAGTCTATCAACCATGACGCGAATTGAGCCACTCAAGAAAGTAAATTTGAGCGCGCCCAACTCCCCCAACAGGGAGCAGACAAGACTAACCCTCGACAAGCTCCAGGTATGCGGCGGGGACGATAAACACGACGCCGTCCTGCTCCGCCTTCCACCAGTCCGTCTCACTCTTATCCACGATTGTCAACGTGTCGCCCTCCGCAAACGGCAGCTCGTCTGCGTTGCCGCCAGCGTAGGAGTAGAGCGCCGTTGCTTTTACTACAAAAACCAGTCAGTTCATCGAACAACACTCGATCACAATGATACACTCACCAGTCTCGACAGTCTGCACATACGTCTGCGGGAAGAAGCCCGACTTGCCCTCCTTCACCAGCGTACCATACCACCAGTCGCCGCCCGACTTGGACGGGTGCGCCTTCATAACGATGTTTTCGCCAAAGCTCAGATCCTCCGCGCGCTGGCCCTCGTACGCGAACAGCGAACGCACACGGTATTCTGTAACCCACCCGCAAAATCAGCATTCGCGCTCTACTCACTCCCTAAAAAGAACGGCTGCAGCAGGCACTCACCCTTCGCCATATCAATATCCGCCATCAACTCATCCCCTTGTCCACCCACATGCTCAGCCTCATGCACCTGGATCTGCGGAACCCCACCATGCCCAGCCTCTCCCTCCACACTCTCGGGCCCAACATGCTCATAATCGTCGTCGTCTGATGACTCCTCCTCCTCAGCGACCGTGTCTGGAACGTGCGGCACCGGGGGTTGACCATGGTCAGCCGCGAGACCATTGTACCAGTCGACCGATTCGCGCTTACTGTGTCCTCCTCCTCCCATTCCCCCTGCCCCTCCATGGGCACCGTCCTCTTCTCCCCCTGCATACCCGTACCCCATCCCCGGCGCAGGCGGCGGCGGCGGCGGCGCAGCGACAGGCGGACTAGGCGCCCTCGGCGCAGCATTAATATGCTCCGGCGGCGCCGCATCACCCACAACGCTCCCCGCCAAACTCGCCTTGCTCCGGTCGTTCGTGACCACCTTCCTCAGCCCCTTCCCAGCCTGAATCGCACTCAGCAGCGCACCCCTATCTCCATCCCCTCCACCACCTCCGCCTCCTAGCGCAACAGCAGGCCTAGGAGCAGGAGGCGCAGCCGGTGGCGCGGGCGGAGCCGGTGCAGGTGGTGCAGGCGGGGCCGGAGCCATCCCAGGGGGCGCCGACATAGGCCCAGGGCTCGCAGGCCCGCTACCACCACCGCCACCACCGGGCACAGGCCCAGCGCTCTGCGGGCGCGACGGCATAAGCCCGCCAAACAGCTGCCCCGCGATCTTCGACCGCACGTCGCGCGAGAGCTCCTCGTCCGACGAATCGCCGTCGTCCTTCTCGACAACGTCGTCCCAGTCGTCGTCGTCCTTGGCGCTCGGGGCGGTGTTGTACGAGCCCTTGGGTGCCGGGGGCGTCGGTGTGGTCGCGGTTGCGGCTGCGGGGGAGGAGCTAGGTATAGGCGCGGTTTGCGGGCGGAAGAACGGGTTCGGTGCGCCGTTGGGTACAGCAGGGGGGCTCGTAATGGTAGCGGCAGCAGCAGCAGCAGAGGCACCCCCGCCCGCGAGCATCTTGCTGAACGGGTTGTTCGTCCCCTTGTCCGTCGCGGGCGCGGGCGCTGGCGGGGCAGGTGGCGGTGGAGGCGGCGGGGGCGCAGGCGCAGGCGGAGCCTCCGTAGCGGGCGTGCTCTGCACAGACGACACAGCCGGAATCGGAGGTACGGGCGGCGGCGGCGGCGAAGCAACCACAGGCGCAACCGGAGGAGCAGGCGACCTCGCAGCCGCCCTCCTCGCCGCAAACTCCTCCTCCGCGCGCCTCGCCTCCTCCTCCTCTTCCTCGAGCCTCCTCAGCCGCGCCGCGCGCTCCTCGCGCTTCTTCTTCAGCGCCGCCTCGCGCGCCTTGATCACCTCGTCCTCCGAGTCCGACGATTCTTCTTCCTGTGCCCGAGGCTGCGGCTGAGCAACAGGAGCAGGTGGGACAGGCGGAGTCGGCGCAGGCGGAGTAGCCACAGGCAGGGCAGGAGGCCGCGTCGGTGTCCTAGGCATCCCACCCCGTCCACGAGCCGGCGGCGGTGGCGGACGCGCTTTCGGCGCAGGTGGCGCAGCCCTAGGCGTCGGCGTCTGAGGTGTGGGCGGCGCCGGTGCCGCTGGAACCGCCGGCGACAGAGGTGCAGGCGACGCCTTACCCTCCTTCACCGCCCTCTCGCCCATCAGCCTCTCCTGCCTCGCGCGCTCCCTCTCCTCCGCCTGTCTCTCCGCCTCGCGCGCCTTCTCCTCCGCCTCCTTCTTCTCCTGCGCGAGCCGGTCTTCCACGCTCGCGTCCAGTCCAGTCGACGACGGCGCGGCCACGCCGAGCGCCTGCATGCGCGCGTCAAGCCGGCGCTTCGCCTCTGCGCGGATGAACGCTTGGCGCTCTTCAGCGCTCATGTTCTTCATGTTCGACGTGGGCGCGGGCGACTTGGCAGGTGCGGGTGGCGGGGGCGGTGGCTGGCTGATCGCGCTGGGCACTGCAGGCGGAGGCGGGGGAGGCGGGGTGCGCGACGCGGTGTTGGCGTTGTTCGCAAGACCGCGCACGCGCTCCATGTCGCGGTCCTCCCGGGGGGCGTCGCGTTCGCGGTACGGCCTGTCCCTATCATACTCGCGCTCCCGATCGTCGTAGCGCGACCCCCCACGCGAATATGGTCTCTCCCTCTCCTCATCCCTATACCCACGCGCAGGCGAATACGCGCCCTCCCTTCCCTCCCTTTCATCATACCTCCCAAACCGATCATTCCTCCGATCCCTCTCCCTTGTCCACTCCCTCTTCTCCCTCTCCTTGCGCGCCTGCCGATCCTCAATCCGCCTCTCCAACTCCGGCAGCCGCTCATGCATCAGCGCCAACAGCTCCCTCTCCAGCTTCCTCCTCTCCTCGTCCTTCGCCGTCGACCGCGGCCCGCGCGACACATACTCGAGGTCCTCCTGCAACCGCTTAATCCTATACCGCATATCGTCCATCTCGCGCTCGAGCCCATCGTCCTCCGCCGTGCGCGACGCCTCCGCCTCCTTGCTGTCGTCCAGCATCCGCTGCGTGCTCGCGAGCTGCCGCTTCAGATCCGAGAGGTCCCCACTCGGGTTGTCGTCGTTGCGCGACCGCACCGCGTCCCGGTCCAGGTGCCGCGAGCGCGGCTGGTAGAACCCGCCCGGTGGCTCTGAGTCCGAGTGCTTGTAGACCGTCGCGTCCTGCCGGCCGCCCGCGCCCGCGGCAGGCGAGTTGAACGAGCGTTCTTTGAGGCGCGAGACGGGGCTGTCGACGCCAGATGGGGAGCGAGCGCGCGTGTCGTTCTTGAGGATGTCTTTCAGGAAATTGACGGAGGTGTCGAGGTCGCGTGATGAGGGAGGGATAAGTTCGGGAGGAAGTTCGTTGGGCATCTCGTTTCCATTGAGCCCTGCAACAAGTTAGTAAAACTGCGTATGTTGTGACCAATCAAAGTACATACTGCGGTAGATCAGACCCATTGCCACGTGGAACTCTGCCAAATTCAACTTGCCGCGATTGTCACCATCGGCGAGAGACCTATGGAGAGCACCAGTCTTCTCAGCAGCTGCGATAAAAAACGGGCGTGGTGACATAAACGCACCAAACCTTTGCAAGGTCGTTCCTATCCAGCCCGCTCTGCCCAAACACCTCGAGCGCCGTCTGACCGTTGATGAACCCAGTACCCTGCGCGTCCCACGCCCTAAAGATCTGATCGTAGTTCTTCTTCTCCGCCTTGGAAAGCGTCCAGGGCACCTTGGGCGCATTACCCACCCCGCGCTGCTGGTTGTGCTGCTCGAACGACTGTTGGAGGGACATGCCGCCAAGCTGCTGCGGCACGGACGGGAGCTGGGGCGCACCGCCAGCGGTGTAGGGCGCAGAGGTGTTCACAGGCATGAAAGAGCTGGACATCATCTGCAGACGCGGATCGACGAAGCCAGTCATCTGGGGCGCCAAGGGCGCGGGTGTGCGCCCCGCGAACCCGGTCGGCTGCGCCGTAAGCGGACCGCCGCCGAATCCTGGCGACGGACCCTGGAAGCGGTTGGTGCCCTGGTTCGCGCCTAAGAAGCCGGTCTGGTGGGGTTGCTGGGGCTGGTTATTCTGAAACTGGCTGGGGATGGGCGGGACGGGCGGGACGGGGGGCGGTGGGGCTCTGTTCTGCTGGCCAAAGTTGGACGCGCCAGGGAAGCCGGTGGGTTGGGCCTGCATGAACCCAGACCCGCCCGGACCACCGCCACCTGGGAATCCCGTCTGCTGCGGCTGCTGGAATCCTGTGGGCTGCGGCTGCTGGAAACCCTGGGGACGCCCTGGAAAGCCCGTGGGCTGGGGTGCGAGCCCACCGCCGAATCCACCTCCCATCCCGCTACCACCCGCGCCAAACCCGCCTTGCTGGCCGCCAAACTGAGGATTCTGTCCTTGAAACTGCTGTTGCTGAGGGTTTTGTTGGAAGCCACCTTGGCCGGGGAAACCGGTCTGCATGGGGTACTGGTAGCCCGGTTGCTGCCCCCATTGCGACATGTCGTGCGCTCACACCACCAAGATCGACCTTGTGAAGCATTATAGACGATCTGAAGTAAAGATAATAAGACAAACTTACGATGAAATGGCTGGGATGGATGTTGAGACGCGTTTGTTGGTGCTCTGATGGACGTTGGAGGCGATGATGCTCTCTGCCACCGATTTTTGGGCGGAGCTTCAATATACCCCTATTACCTGTCGTCGTCCACTCCTTTGCTTATGGCTGTCACTTTCCAATCCCTTGCATTCTCAACTCTTGCTTCGCTGGTCTGCCATGACTTCTAAGTCTCGGCTCGATTTTTGTCAAGCTAGACGGCAATGGGTCTATCAACACGTATAAAGTGCTGCATCTAGGACGTAGTGACCACCGAGCGAGTATCCACTCGGAGCCAGTAGTTAGCTCGCCTGCTACCGTACACCGTACGACCGCGCAGCTCAAGATGCAGCTCAGCACTCTTCTCCGTGCTGCTTTCTCCTTAACATTCTTAGCCCATCAATCTTTCGCTGTTCCTGTTTCATCCAGTGGTAAGCTCACCCTTGTATCCTGTGCACAGATTCACGGTCTGACTTTGTGCCGACGATAGTGCCATCCCTGTCAGGGGCACCGACGGAGAGCAGAACACGTACGTTATCTTTTAGTCGAATGCGAGCACTTCGTATTACTTAGCCCTCAGCTCTGACCGTGTTCCGCGTATGGCCTCACGGATGCGAACTGGTAATCTCCCGCTCGATATCGAGATCCCCCTCGACTCGTTCCATCAGGTCGCCTCCCAGGCAATCTCTGAGACCGCGGGCGTACTCCATCCCGCGGGCGCGATCGTCAAGAAAGACCCGTAAGATGTTCACGTCGAGCGCAACAAACCTGCGCTTCTCTCCCGAGCCTCGACGCTGGTGTCTTAGTCGGAGGAAAGGGTGACCTCGTCTCATTCAACCTTGGAGAACACTCGATCAACCTATCGACGTCAATGCTGCGAGTAGCAATGCACTGGATGGACAGACAATCACCCTCTTTTCTGCTGATCTCGGACTTTGTCGAGATTACGAATCGGCTTCACTGGTCGAGAGCTGATTCTGTCAACGCATGCATTTCCCCGAAATATTGACCTGCTCCACAAGCTGTTCATTACCGCTCTACGGGGCAATGAGGCGACGAGCGGGGCCGAATAACACCAACACGCAGGCGAGTGGCAAATGTCGAACTGCATACAACGACCCTGTTTACGTGGGCTTGGCTCGTTCTTGGCTCACGTTCTGGGGGACTTTTCCGCACTGGTCAGCCTACGCGACGCAGTCTATCGCCGACGCTCGAGGGTCGAGGAAGCAAAGGCTATAAGGACGCGTCGAGCAAGCGAAGGCGCCCCCGCTTTCATTCTTTCCCCACTACCTCGATATCCTTGCTTGCTTCTCCACCATGCACCTCAACGCTCGTTCCCTCACGCTCCTTTCCTTTATCCTCGCCGCGCAGCAGGCTCTCGCTGCTCCTCTCCCCTGTAACGGTAAGCTGCCTCCCCTCGATTGTACATGTCTCCCTTCAAGCCTAACTCTACCCTCGCTCTAGACGCAGCTAGCTGCCAAATCGGCAGCGGCATCAAAGAAGGCGACCTCGACCACCTCCCCACCGACAACACCTATGCCCTCCAGGCTCTCGCTCGGTGTAAGCCCAACCCCTCCTTGACCTCTTCCCCTTTTACCTACCAGCTAACACAACGTGACTACAGCTCTTGCAGAGCAGCACAGCGCCCCAGACGACCTCGACGGCGTCGAGGACTGGCGCGACTTCGCCAACAAGCGCGGGCTCTTCCGCCGGCAAGACGACGGCGACGACGGCGGCAGCGTGACCGAGGGCTCGGTGTCACAGGTCCCGTCCGGTCAGACCGGCTCGTACGAAACTGCACAGCGCCGCCGTCGCGCCGCGTTGGACAGCGCAGTGAAGCCGCTTGCAGACCTCGCGGACCTCAAGAACCTGCCAGAGGGCGCCATCGACAAGGGCCCCCTCGGTCGTCGTCAAGATGATGGCGGAGACGATGACAACAACTCCGAGTCCGGAACAAACGAGACAGGCGAGTACGATGGCGCGCGCCGTCGCCGTGCCCTCGCTGCGAGTAGCGTGGCCTCCTCGTTCAACAACGTCGCCAGCTCGGACGTCACGAGAGTCGAGCCGCATGTTGGCAGCCGTGATGAGGGCAGCATCGCCAGCAGCAGCGCACATACCTACTTGTCATCGAGCTATGCCCCGACCAGGGCAGACGGCAACGCGCGCCGGGCGTTAGCCACTGGCCAACTGGACGAGTCTCTCGCTGCCCTCTCCAATCCGGAGCTAAAAGACATCCACTCCCAGCTTCCTCGCCAAGACGACGGCAACGACACCGACACCAACTCGGAGTCTGGCACCGACGAGACGGGGGAGTACGATGGCGCGCGCCGTGACCTGTCTCGCATCAACTCGCAGCTCGCCGACCTCTCCCAACCGGAACTCAAAGATGTCAAGTCACAGCTCAACCGCCGCGACGACGGGGACACCAACTCGGAATCTGGCACCGACGACTCTGGCGCACCCGCCGCCGCGCGCCGTGCCCTGTCCTCCATTAACAGTAACTCTCTCGCCGCCTCTGCCCCCGTTAATTCAGAGCTGGAGGCCATCAGCTCCGACCCCCCGCTCCGCCGCCGCGACGACGGCCCCAGCGACGGCGAATCAGACGCCAGCACCGACAGCGGCTCAGAGTCCGACGACGACGGCAGCGACACCGATCATGACTCGCAGTCCGGCGGCAAGGGCAAGGGCAAGGCCGGCGGCGCATACGTCCCTTCCCGCCGCGCCATCCGCGCCCTGCGCGCCGGGCGTGCCCCCAAGCGCTCCCTGCGCCGTCGTGCTGGTGCAATCCCCGACGCTGCCACCCTGAACCCCGACGCAGAGCTTGCCGCTGCCGCCATGCTCGACTTGAAGGATGTAGAGCAGCGAGACCTCGCTGGTGATATCAAGCCAGTCATGCAGATGACCAAGCCGACTACGGAAGCGGTCAAGAAGGGCGCCAAGACCGCTGCTTCTAATGCCAAAGCCCCGAAGGCAGCGGTTCAAGCTGGTGCAGGTGGTGTTGGCGGCGCAAAGGTTTCGACTAGACGTCACTTCGACCTTGACTAAGAGATCAATTTTCTTTCTTTCTTGAGAATGACACGTGGGATTCATCTAGTTTTGATACCATACACCAGCGTACCACACTCGTTTTCGTAGTCCGATACGATACCCTCCATCTATCATAGTACAGTCGATTGACTTAATTTCGTTAATGAACGTTTTCTTCAGCCATGTTTGCCAGAGTCAAGATTCTCGGCAGTTCTGCAAGTTTATGGCCCTCGTTTCTTGGCTGAAGGCACGGGAGAGGAAATCGAACATTAGGAAGGCGGTGTCTAGATCTCCGGCCGCCACGCCGCTTCGGTCCGGTGCCGGAACCGGCTTTTCGAAACCCCTTGATCACTTCACACCATCACCTCGCATTTGATAACTCGAAGTGCTCCCGCTCGCCTTTCTCAACGCAGCCCATGTTGTCAATTCCAGCTAGAGAATGCATACCTTTCATTCAAATCTCGTCATTCCTAGGACTGGTACAATACGAAGTGGCTCTTGAGCTCGGCCTCTGGGTATGCTTGCAACAGTGACCCGCCTAGCTTAAAAGAGTGGCCGATCGCCGCGTCATTTCATCGGAAGGAGAGAGTTCGTTCATTTATGTCATGAATATATGTTGATAGTCTAACACAGCAGCTAATAATGGAGTCAGATTGTAGCTTCAGCGTAGTAGGACCCCTCGATATCTTGTCCGTCGTAGCTACCAAAAGTGGAAAGCACTGATTGCAAGCTGACACTTTTATTGGTCTTCGCACATTGAAATCCCCCTCACACTGGTTCACACAGGAAGGTAGTGCGTGAAAAGAGGTCAAAGAAGTCGTCGCCACCTAAGCTTTGCGGCGCTAATATCTCTACCGCCCTCGTGCCAGGAGGGGGGAAATTTAACTTGTGGTGCGGCGGAGAAAATTAAAACACAGCGCTAGTGTATAGGCACTGTAGGGACACGGCATCAACATTGGGTTAAGATGACGGTGCCGAAAAAGCTAGAGAGCAATTTAATCAAGCAAAGGATGGATAGCGGAAGCGAGTCGCGTCCAATATTGGGCAGGCCCGGGTGTGCTGACTAAGGTTCATGCACATGTCTCAGTTTATTGTTTGGTTCGGTACACGGGCCTTCGCTGGGAAGCTTCAACTCGTTCAACGCGTTTCACCCAAGCTACCTCCTTTTCCTTGAGGCTTAACACGCCATCGCAAAAGTTCTGCCAATTTGCGGGACTTTTGCCTCCTCGTGGACATTCAGCCCAATCAGCCGTAGTACGTTCTTCCTGCCTTTGAAATTCTCGTGCTCGTTTCTGACACGCGTACAGTTTTTGGACGTTCTGGACCTTCATTTCCTTTTCCACAGCCCTCAGCTTATGTCCAACGACAACCTCGCCAATACAGTCGCCAACATCATGTGGTCTACCTTCCCCTTCGCGGTGTTCCCCTTGACATGAACACATCCGATGTTGTCAGCCCATTACGTCCTCTCCCATCATGCCGAAGAGGTTTTTAGTCGCTGTACCGGAAGTGTCCGTTCGTTCTCGCATTTTAACCGTACGGAATGCCACGAACCCATCCTCAACGCTCCCTCGTCCCAGTCACCTGAAGTCCGACTTGCACCATGAGTATAGTCATTACCCCTCCCTCGATTCCGGTCAGCGAAGCCCTCGTCGTCACATACCTCCCTAGCTTCCATAAAACCTATACCGACTACGGCGTACGGTTAACCATTCTTCCTCCTGGCTTTCGCACTGGCATTATCGAACGTTTCCTTGAAGGTGAAACTCTCCACCGAATTCAGCCCACAAGAGACACTCCACTCGCCGGCGTTTTCGCCGCCTTGGACAGCCACTCGCCCATCAAAACATGTTCTCTTTCTATATTCTTCGTCACACCGCAACGCAAAGCACCCCGTAACTTGGCCATCTCACTACTATTCCAACGTCTCTCGCAGCGTGTGGACGTCGCTCTCTTGACAGTCCTGTGCTTTTACGAAACTGGGCATCATGACCGCTCCTTCGCCACGGATACAACCAACGACCTCACCTACGACACCCTCAAGCCCCTTTTGGAGCTGCCGTCCCTCCAAGACTTAACCATCGATACCCGTCGTAGCGTTCGGCTCACCAGCAAAGAACTCGTGCAATTCATCCGCTCTTGGCCCGGACTTCGAGCGTTACAGATTAATTCCTATGCTGGGTGGGGCGTCACTAAACCCGAGCACCTTCCTTCGCTCTCTGTAGTGATTAGAATCTTACGCAGGTGGCCCTCGATGGAACGCATCGCTCTCGATGTCTACGGAGTTGTGGCAGCCGACGTCAATCTTCCGCTTGATTGTCGAGTAAATAATCTGCGACATGTTGAAGTCCGACTTGTTGGCTCTGGCTCTGTTCACCAGGACATTATAAATCGTACGCAAGATATTCTGAAAGTACTTGCGCCTCGGGCGTGGGTTACCGTACGTTCACGTACTTGTTGAATGCAGTTTCCAGTACAATTACTGTCGCTCAAGAAATATCAATTCACAAAACGTTCTGACCAATTTATGTTCGACGTAAATCGTCTGCTGAGAATCGCAACACCTTTTGTACTGTTTGAAAGATTTTCCAGTTTAACTGTTGTCATTTGAATTTCACCAAGCCTTATTGCGATGTTCCTGCCTATCTGACCTCGTTCAGGAAATATGAAGTCCATGACCGGGGATGAAAACGCCTAAGGGTAAATTGAAAATGAATGAAAGGGCGTCGGAAGTATTGTTGATTGTAATAGAACAGAAGACAAGAGCGGGAACGAGCGTATTTGACATAGAGCTGCTAGATGACAATGGAGTAAAAGAGCGTGTTCAAGGAAAATAAAGAGAGGGCCTGCGCTTATGTTAAAAATGAGGTCGTCCCTAGAGAACGGTTTACAGTGGCTTCCCGAGAATGAGCGCCCTCCACCAATCAGTGTGGTGCTCTGGGTCAGAAAAGCGCCCATTCCACGCTTCGATAGTGGCATCTGGCGTCAATGCTTTAAGCAGTAACAGAGACGAGACTGTCTCGTCGCGATGGCCACAAAACGAATCAAGGAGATTCAGGTTTCGGAGGCGATGACCAAGATACGAATTATACTCTTGAAGGGCAGAAATGGTCGCACCGTTGATCGCCATATTCAGGGACTGGAGATTAGGACAACATTCCAGGAGCCTGCAGAGCGCGCCGGCGGAAGGCAAGTCTGTCGCGAGCAGGGCGCCCCAGCCGGCGGTGGAATTGAGACGAAGCTCCCGTAAAGCGGGCCTGCCATTGGCAAAGATACTCCGGAATTCAAGGTCGTTGAGTCGAAGTCGATGTCTTGTGTCCACGTCGATGATTGTAAGGTCGTTGAGCCTCGACAGGGAAACCATACTAGGAAATTTCAGGATGCCACCGTCGAATATGCTTTCCGGAACGGGCGACTCAGAGTCGGATATGTACAGCTCAAAGAGAGCTTCCGGCGAGTTTATAAACGCCTCTGAGAGTTTCAGGATCAGCCTGCGAAAGAGTTCGGGACCCCCATCGGTATGAGGGCTCGTCAGAGGGCTGACGCCATGGGAGGGAGCGGAAGAAGCAGACAAGTGAAGGCAATCCAATAAAAGAGACACTAATGAGGGTACAGACTTCCCTTCAAATCGTTTTGCCGTAGCCCGACTTCTCATTTCATAGATAACCTCGGTACCATTGAGCATGCATTCACGAGTCGCACGAACGTTCGAGAGGTGCACCATCTTCGTGTCCTTCAGAGATGTGGCACTGCTGGTTTGGAGTGAAGGAGGAATAATTGGCCAGTCTTCTTCCAGTTCGTCGAAGGTGATACGAAATATAACGCATTGTGAAATCGGCAGTGAGTTAAGCGTCGCCAGCGAGCTTCGCGGTGCGAATACGTCCATTGAGTTTGCATGATAGTTCATAGTGTTGGTCTTCGACGGCCGTCTCGACGTTATGCTGTGTCCTTGAATAGTCTGTGTCGTGTGCAATTCAGTCTGTAGCACGAAATTTGGGTACATAGGCGGAAGGCAGCGAACCTGGGAGTACTGAGCCTATCCTGCTGCTGAAGTGTTTCTGCGTGTAAGGTTATATGGGAGGGTAATGAGCGGTTGAGGGAAGGAATGGATGGCAAGGCTAACCAAGCGAACGCGCCGGGATGGCTTAAACAAAGCTATAAACGGAACTTAATTTTATAACCGCAACGCGGCTCGACTCGACCAAGTAAACAACTCCCACAGAAAGCGTCCACCGCCACTGCTTGCATTGTTCGCCATCCATTGTGGTTCGGTAACTTCACTTGGTGTCAATCCGCTTGCTTTTACCTCGTACTAGAATGTATTTATTGTCACCCGCCCTGCGACGCACAGTGAATGAAGGAGACGAGACAAAGCTCACTAGGTCCGCACATAGACTTTGCTTGGAGGGTGGTCCCTGTATTCAGTGGTTTTGTTCGACATAGGCTCCCGATATGGACCACCTTTTGTCAGCTCTCCGTCTATGATGGAGCTTACAATAGAATTCTGACGGAGGACACATGTTCATATTCTGGGCCAACACCGTCCACCTAATTCCGAAGTACGCGACGTCGCCACGACGTCAGGAAAGTAAAAAACATGATCTGAAGTCATGACACGCGTAGGATCTTTTCCAGAGGTTAGTACGCGGCTCCCCTGTTTCGTCAATGGAAAGGACACCCCGTACACTCGCGATCGCTGGTGACGCGAGGCAGTCCTCGGTCGAGACTTCCTCGCCATACCTACAGATACCCAGTCAAGGACATCCTCGACATACGTGCTTGACCTTAAGTGGTCATTTAGAGCGATCTCTACGCTCGTTTGGAGACAAAAGTAGACTTGTGTTAAGGGAAAGAAGTCTAGTAAAAGCTTCAAGCTTCACTGGGGGCCTAAGATAGTATTTTGGTCAAATGAGAGGGGCTTGTATTTTTGGCGACTCGTTAAGAAGCTTGTGACTCAACTCCACCGAGCATAGCATTGTATGTTTTATGGACCCTATTCATGATTATCTTCAATAAAAACGAGCAATTAGAGCAACAAAGGGTCGATGACCGACCAAAGCTACAGGATTCGGGATTGTGAGGAAGATGAAAACATTAAACACCGTTGATCTGGCGTATATCTTAGTAGGCTCGTGATACGTCCCAAAAGAGCTGATCAACATACAATAGCACCGTATTCTGCCTCAGACCTATAGAGACACACGTTGATCGCATCACGTATTCAATAACTTAAAGACGTTCGAGTTCAGTGCGATAAGACACGAGCCCGGGTAGAGGGGCAGAGATCGACCGGGTATCGGCGAGGAATCTTCACGTCCTTGCTATTGAAATGATGAAGTGGTTTCTATTTCAGTTCCTCTTGATACACATCTTCACCAACCTACGTGTTGCTATTGATTGCGGTGAGATGTCATGAAAGACCTGGTTACCGACCTATTAGTTAATGGTTCAAGTTTTGCTATAAATATAATACAGTTCCCAATTCATGAGGTCTAATGGCCTGTAAAAGAGGGTTGAGTCGCCCTTTGAAAGCGCTGTGGGACTCACTGGATTAGCAACGTGATCCACTACGGCGCTGCGCCCCCACTGGACTCGACATCACGCTGAGGTTAAAACTCCGGCCGTACTGAGAGGAGCATGCTTGTACGCCTTCAGACTTCGAAGGCAAACACTGCAAATACTTAGACACGATAGCGAGCCACATACAAAATAATCCAGCTAGACATGATTTGGTTTGCATTATGAATATTAAGTAATACAAAGTGGGATAAGACTCTGCTAGGCCCTTGAGCCCATACTTGCGTCGGGCTCAAGTCTACTCTCAAAAAACACACCGAGAAGATACTCTTGATCACCTAACGCCTCTTCTCTACATAAAATGCGAACCTGAAGACTCTCTAGCTCTTTCAGGTCCAAAGGCGTGAGCCGATATTCCTTTATGCCCCTTCCAATAGAATCACCATCGAGGGTAATGGCGATGTCCCGGAAACGTCTCATCTCCATGATAGTCAGCAACCCAGTAAGGGTAGGAACAACGTATTGGGTATCCGTTAAGCTACACCATCCGCCAGCTAAGTTCAGGCGAAGTGTAGTTAGCTCCGGCAGAGACTGAACAAGCTGGATGAGCTCTGCGTCGCCGAGGCGAATTTGGCGGGCCACCTCGATACTCAGAGCGGCGAGATTAGGAAAGGCCGTCAACGGAAAGATGGTTGAGAAGGTCACAATCGACTTTTCGTCTGTGTCTCTGAATAAGAAGTCGGTCGGATGGTCAAGCTGTTTCGACTCCTTGACCACGACCCTCTTCAAGGCAAAGGGATCAACATGAGCTGAGATAGTCTCCATGACTTCTTGTAGTCGCAGCGATGGACCGTTTCCCCAGTCCCTGACCTGGAGATCGATTATGAGCGTCCGGGTGTCAAGTCCCTTGTATTCCTGGAGAGCGTCTTTTACAAGAACGAAAGGAGTGTCTTTTCCATGCCCCCGGAACATATCAACGTCAAGGGATTGATCTATTGGGTCGTCTTCAGCAGATGTCGGTGTATATTCAACTCGAAAGTCGGCATCCAGTTCGGTCGTTGCACAAGCCCGGATAGTATGAGTGATCTCCAAGCACCCGAGGTCAGGGTCTTCTAGGGCGACGAAGTTCTCGAGGGAGTGTTCAGAGCGAGAAGCGTTGTTGATGCAGAATAGTCGTCGAAGCATGATCAACTTGTGGATGGGAAGGAGGGAAGAAGAGAAGGGTTACTGCGAAGATGCATGTCTAGAGCTGTTTATATCTCAAAATCAGCCTGAACTCATAGATCAAAGCGATGCGACTCCGTAGAAACTGTGACAAAGCGAGGGGAAAAGAACCAAAGCGCGACTAGCCCACGGGATGAGCATAAGCGAATTCATATACGCTTGGTCATCGCATCGCAGAGTCCCGAGCACTCCCCGCAGGGACTTCAACCACATCGTCGGACCACAAAGTCAATCTTTGGCTACTGACATGCTCTAGTCAAACTGATGTCGAGCTGAACCAACTGAGATATCAGTAGAGAAGAACACATACTATGACATAACGCCCTAGATGGGGCCTTGGGGACGCAGCCACTGCTATAAACACGCATGTATGGAGAGAACGGTGTGGAAGATGTTTTCGAGCGAAGCGGGAGTCTCTGACGGAATATGATTGAGATGTTCTTGCTCATGTCAATGATTCTGTTGCATCCCGGGCGTAAAGGACGTTTAGTCTCTCAAAAGTTAGAAAGTTCGCGGGAACGAGTAAACGCGTAGTCAATGAGTGGTGAAAGGAGCAGCGTAGCCAGATCGGGTTTCGGGTATTTAGTCGGAGAAACAATATTTTGATAAGCGCCCTTCGGCGCTTGTTTGCGACGCAAGCGTTGCGTGTTGCATTCGAGCACTTCATCCCCGACTTCTCTAGATGCATATCAAACATCCTGCACACCAGGATAGCTACTATTACTGTTCTAGGTCTTGAAATTTATCTAAGAGTCACCCCACTGAACCCCCCAGGTATCGACCTTGCACTGGATACGAGCCGGCGCTAGCACAAGAGCGGGCATCACAAAAGAAAGAACAGGTGAGGCCCCTACACGTATTTTCCATTCTGAGCACCTATCATCGAAAATGGTAATTCGATACGATTATTTACGGTGCAAATCTAGAGCTTTGACCTTCAGAATTACCAGCTCAAGTAATTCTGTCAGTCGATTACTCTCTAATTCATCCCGGCATGGCAATTTTGCCCTCGAGCAATCCAACGGCAGGAATGGCTTGTTGACGGGTTTCTTTAAGCAGTAACTTCTGTGGAAGGCTAGGGCAGAAACCAAGCGTCCATCCTTGCTTCCTGTACACCGTGTGTGGGTATATAGGTGGGTTGGGGCGAGCGACAATGTCCAATAACGCCCACTCGCCAAACATCTTTTTACGATCGCATCCTCTCCTACAACCCATCTCCTTCCTCCCAGCATCAAAGTATCACCATAGAATCGCATCGTAGTGCTTGACCATTGTCTCTTTACACGGCATCGTTCCCGCTTCCAAAGTTCTCCCCAATCCTCTCAGGCGTTCACTATATCACGATGGTCACAAAGTGTCCTTCCAAGGTCGAGATCGCTGTAAGTTTCTACGTACCACTTGTACCCACGTTATACGTACTGACCTGGATTAAGGCCAATTCAAGGAAGCGCTTCCCTTGTGTTTTGTGCGGAACCACTTTTACTTGCGGTAATGACTTCAACGAGCACGTTGACACCCACTTGTCCCAGCAGTCCAAGCCCGTGCGCATGCGCAAATGCCCGTACCCTAGTTGCACGTTTACGGCGCGGGATATCACCGGGTTGAAACATCACTGGAACAGGCAGTACGTTAATTCTCTCAATTTCTTGCATACACTACGTGTCTTACGATATATATCAAATAGCACCGGACAGAGGCCATATCACTGTCTCGTCGGCTCGTGTGACTATAGAGCTGTACATCCGTCGAACGCTGTTCGTCACCGTAGCTCTATACATAATATGGATATCGCCGGATTCAAGCTCTACTGCAAAATGTGCAACGTTGACCCTTCACCCGTTTGGGATAAAGCCTTACCTGGTCCTCTTCCAGAACTAGTCGTTAACAAACTCTTTTTCGGTAGCGAGACCTGCAACGTCAATGCGAACGACATCCATAAACCCGTCGACATCCTGACGCGAAAGCCCAACTGTGATTTCGCCCAAATCCAGGCTCAGCCAGTTATGGCCCCGACCAACGCCAATATGGGCTCATTAGATATTCCCTCCAATCCGTACGCCGACGGGACGAACCCCAACCATGTGCTTCCGGCTACACTTACTGCTGACATCGCCGTCAGCTTGACGAACACCCAAACATCCCAGGGATATCACCCGTCCGCTTGGTCTTCCCTCGCAAACTGGAACGGAGCTGCGACGTCTTCTGTCTCAGACTACGAGATTTCACCCGTGGATGAAGACGCTTCTTCCGTGTCGTCTGTTACGCATAACTCTGAGTTGCTTGGCTCTCTGCATCAACATTCCGACGCTCCGATGACGCCCACCTTCAGCTCTCCGGCTAGCCAACTTGACCCGCTTGAGCATCTCCTCGAGGCTGATCAAGCGAACCAGTACTCCATGGACTTCACCAGGCCCCGCCAGCTCGATTATGACATGAACTCTATCGAGCCTATGCCGACGGCTAACGTCACCCCTAGCGAATTCGAGTACGTCCCTCAGATGACAGAGGAGAACTTCGTCAGGGAGTACCTTCGCCAGATCGAAATGCACTTTTAACTGCATTTCCCTTCATATCATATTTATCTACAAACGTTGTGCTATCAGACTGCTGTCTTACACGTTCTTTGAATACATGTCATATGCATTTTCTCACTCATCCATATCTCATTCCTTGCATCCTCAATTCTTACAACCTTCATCGTACAAATAGTGTTGCACTTTAGATTGCAATAGACAATCATAATTAATCTTGCTGTTAGCGTAGTGGTGTTTGATACCCTCGGGTCGTGATGGTCTGAGAAGGAGATCTTGAGGCACCATCCCGAAGGTCTGACCTTATGGTTGATGTACGAGAGACTTGTCAAACTAAGTCCACACGTCGATGCGTACAAGTTGGAGTGCGAAAGGACGACGGAAAGCAACCGACGAGGACAGTACACATCATTTCTACCATTTATAACAACCGAAAACTCGAACCTAATAACTTATGCATCCATCGGACTACAGCTTCGGCTGAGGTGCTATACCCTGAACTGCCAGAGTATGGCCGCCGTCGAGAAGGATATGAGCGCCGGTAACGTGCGCAGACGCCGACGACGACAGGAAGAGCGCGATTCCAGCAAGATCCTGGGGGATGCCGGTCCGGCCTATCGAAAAAAGACGAGAAAGTCCAGTGGGTAGCCGCTCAGAGAGAACGCATGGAATAGAGATACGTACCAGTAGGTTGATGCTCTGCGATTTTCTCCTCGCCAGAGGTCTTGAACGCGAATGCAGTCATTTTGGATGGGAAGATGCTGAACGCTAGTTATAATCGCCCGTTCATGCTGAAAACTTCACCGACGCTTACCCAGGGCAAATTGCGTTCACGCTAAAGACAATTATCAGCCTCACGCAAGGGCCGAGTGATGGTCTTTCCACTTACCAGACGTGGCTGGGGCCGAGCTTGACGGCGAGAATCGACGTAAGGTGGTTAACTGTTCAACATCCAGCCTCTAAACTCTCAATCTATGCAAATAAGCAGGATGAAACGCACCAGCCGCTTTGCTGACGTTGTCTAGTAATCCAAGAGTCAGAGTAGTGGCACAATTAGCAGACGTCGCACATACAAGCAATGGTCCCATTTCCATCGGCGCTCGTAACGGACTCCGTATGAGGAGTGACCGAGGCGGTGGAGGAGATGTTGATAACGTGTGCAGGATCGTACGCGGTCGAGTCCTTCGTAAGGAGGTCCACGAGCCTACGTTTCCTCGTAAGCCGCCATGAACTGGGCGAATCCGTTTGTATCACTCACCCGACCGTCACTATTTGGCGACAAAGTCAACATAGAAGCGTGGAAAAGCGGGGAGGACAGACACACGATAGAAGATACTCTTCACGTTAACCGCCATAACGTTATCCCAGCCCTGCTGTTCCGGCACATCACGGAACGGCGCGCCCCACGACACGCCCGAGTTGTTCACGAGGATATGGATCTTGGACGTGCGGCGCTTGACCTCCTCCACAAGCTTGTCTACACCCGCTTTTGACTGTGACCATGAGGTTCGAGCTCTCAGTCAGACGAAGAGGCCGAAGGTGTCGTCAGGGAGAGACATACGTTCAAGTTGGCCACAATGTACTCCACGCTCCCCTCCCGTACCGAGTTGAGCTCTTTCACAGCCTACGCCGTCACATACCCTCATGAGCACCCCAAATACGCACTGGAAGCCCAGCGAGAACACTCTGACACACCTGCTCCAGCTGCGCCTCCTTCCGTGCCGCGATGTACACCTTGGCTACGCCATTCTGAATCAGCGCGGCGCTGATGGCCTTGCCAATACCGGATCCGCCGCCGGTAACGAGCGCTACCTTGCCCTTGACGCTGAAGACAGAGTTAATGGATAAGTCTAGCCGCCGGCGTAAAGAAGCGAAGACGGGAACAAGCTCGGTCAGTGCCATTCATTTAGCCTGCCGGATTTCAGTTCTGCTCACCGACGGGTGCCATGTTCGTCGGTTCTGCTAATGAGAGTAAGGGCTAGGGTAATGAGAAAAGTAAAAGGTAAAAAGTGCCCGAAAGCTTTAAGAAGACTCAAAGAGATGGTGGTTGACGTGCAAGTCTCTGGTCAGAACAGTGTGGGGTTGCTCAACGCGCGGAGAACGGTTCCGGCTATCCAAGTAGCCGGGATGTCTTCGGAGGACGTTGCCCCGGTCTCTTGTCGTTGACACTAACTGTCCTTGTTCACGTTGGCTCACACAAACATGGTTGAGTATGACAACCATCAATTCTACAGTGTGAATAATACATTCTCTACGAGTACTTTTGAATGCTAAGTTCGGTTCGGTCTATCGTTCTACAGAGTTGCCCGCGAAAGCTCGTGCCAGAGATCCATAAAAGAGTCATCGGGGAAAGAGTAACCGCCAGCTGCCAGAATTCGAGTTCGAGGACGTCTTGAAGTTTAAGGGGATACGCCTTTTCTAGAGAAGGGAATACCAGAGAGAAAAACCAGAGTCGAGTACCAGATATTGCCAGGTTTTGCCTGCGTAGCCATCAAGCGATCCCAGGCGGAGGCACGTTGCTCCCCTTCCTCATCGTAGGAGGCCTCGGGCTCCCCAGCCGCGGAGACCCAGATCCAATCGGTCTCGGCATCGGCGTCGGCGATCCCATAGCAGACCTCGGAGAGCCAATAGGCGCAGGCATCGGGGACGCGACACGAGAGCGCCTGGGCGAGCCAGTGCCGATCGGGGCAGGCAGCGGCGACGCAGCGCCGGGCGCGATCCTCGGTGATCCGAAGGGCCGAGGCGAGCCGGGTCCCGGTCCGATAGGCGCGCGGAACGGCGAGCCCGCCGAGCGCGTGCTGTCCGCGCTGAGCTTGCGCGCACGGGTCAGCGTGTCGGCGTACTCGCGGATGGCCGAGTAGAGGGGCGCGTTGAATCCGATACATTGCAGTCCGACGCATCCGATTCTGAGGGCGCCAGCAGCGTACAGCTGGCCGATCTCGTAGAGGGTTTGAGGGGAGACGTTCTTGCGGGCCGCTATCGTCTCTTTGATCAGAGCCTGAGTCGCCTATGGGTAGTATAGTGAGCGATGCGAATAGGCCGAAGGAGGTAAATAATACTTCGTGTGATAGGGCATCCCATTCCTGCGTGGTGAGGTCGTCCATGCGGAACAGTCTATATACGCCAGCGTAGTACCACTTGCCATCCGTGTTGTAAAAGCATTCTACAGTACAATAGCACATTTTGTCAGCTCTTGACAGGTTCACCAGCGTTCACGCACCAATTGGTTCAGAGGAAGGACCGATGACATCGACACCACCCCATCTATGCGCAGTGGTAACACGAGGATTCGTGCTGCACCGAAAGATAGGGGCTAGGTAGTATCCATGCTCCTCACGGTCCGGGCACCAGTATGTCGTAAGGTCGTACAGAAGTCTATACTGGGAGAGCCTATGATATCAAGTCAGTCAGAGGATTACATTTTGTTTCAAAGGAACAAACAGGTTTCTGAGATGCTGGACGAGACATTGATATCAGTATTGCACTTGCCATAGAACGAGCACGAACCAAGGGCGCGTTTCCAAGAAGCTCATGCAGCGTATATGGATGTGGAAGCACGATAGGTTTAATATCGTCGTCTGGCATATCCATAGGTGACGGGAGTGACGCGAAGACAGCTTTTCTCGCATCGATGGACTCTTCAGTTGTGAGCCCGACCGGCGGGAGAGGCTAGACATCACATCAGGCTAAATCATCTTATCCATAACATCTTACAAGTGGATAACGCACCTGTATGTTAAAGCCACGATCACTGCGGAACAAAGAATGACCTTGCGATAGCGCCGAATGGTTAGATTGAAACGTCGGGCTGAATAGCCCCCCTGAGAACGGGCTTGGGAATCCCTGGCTCGGCGTCGCAAACTGGGAGGGCGACGATGTCGGTCGGTCTGGCGTTTTCTGATATATGCGTCGTGCGGAGGTGAGTTTATCAGATCACGTTTAGTGCGCAAGAACATACGTACCGGTGTATCGGAAAAGCCTGCAAAGGGCTGCGCCCCACCGAAGCCCCTCCTCGCGTCAAGGTGTAGCTGTAGTCCGAGCGGAGTCCCTTTCGATATTACCCCAGGAGGAGCGCTTGCAGAACTTCCGCGGTCAGGTATTCCGAACACGAGCTCGTCGCTATCAGCGTTAGTCCCAGTCGACACCACAGCAGTAACCTTCGTCGTAGCCTGCCCAGCAGAGAAACCAGAGAAACCAGAGCAACTCGAGTCATCAGCAGCGGAGAATTCCTGAGAGCTAGCCAGAGATCGGTCCTCTTCCTGATCCTGATCCTGATTCTGGTCCTTGTCCTGATCTTGATCCCGACCCTCGTCGCGAGTGGCAGCCGGAGCGCGCGTCTGGGCCTGAGCAACCGCGACCTTCATCCTCCCTAGCTCCTCCTCCAGCTCTTTGATCACAGCGGCCTTTTGCCTCACGGACACGTACGCCGTCTCGAGCCGCGCTACGGCCGAGTCGCGCATCGCCAGCGCCTCGTTCACGCGCTTGCGCTCGCCCTGGATCGCGAGCGCGAGCTCCGCCGCGAAGATCGGGTCCCGCGAGACGTCGACGAGCCGCTCAAGCGAGGAGAGCCCGATTCCGTTGTCGCACATCGAGGGTAGATTAAGGCCGAGAGCTCGGAGGTCGAGGGCGTTGGTTGGAGTTGAGGGACTGGTGGATGTGTCGGGGTTCAAGTCGTCTTGAGCCGCTGAGATGGAGGCTGGCCCTCGGAGGTGTTGAAGTTCTTCTGGACCCGTCGCAGGCCCAAAGAATCCGTTAAACGGTGGGCTTGATTCCGTGCTTGCCTGGCCGCTAGAGTCGGCGGCGATGTATTCGTCGTCAGACATGGTGAAGGAAATGAACAAAGAGCAGACGCCCAAATCAGGTAAGCCGCGCGCCTTACTTTTTGTCTAAGCGCTCGCGCGCCGCGCCAAACTCACCAAGCGCCGAAGCAAAAGCCCGCTCCCTGGCATCTCACACGAAGCATAGAGACAGATTATGGTGTTTTATTCAAGAGATATGTACAGGTACATGATACAGGGGATGGATCCGATGTTAGTGCGAAAATAGATAAAATGAATGCGTCGAGGTGCGAAGGAAATGATGAAAATAAAGAGGTATATTGTAAGGGTAAGTTCCAAAGCCACATGAAGCTCGCATTAGATAAAATGAAAGTCCAATCATAGATTGTTGAAGTAGAGAAGACGAGAGCGTTGCGGACTATCCAATTTCCTGACCACGCCTTACAATTAGGAAGAGGACTCAGGCGCAAACCAATCGGCCCAGAGGCGTCCGCCGAAGATGCTAACACCACGAGGAGTCGCCGTAGAGACCGGCGCAGGCACCTCGAAATCAAAGTCGGGAGCGGGTCCGTCCATTTCAATGTCAAACTCCTGGTCCCCATCCATAGACGAAGCCAGATGCATCTCGCTGGAATAGTGGAATCCCTGCTGCGCATCGTGTCCGTAAGAAGAAGCATCGATCTGAGAGGAGTGGTCGCCGTGGAGCGTGTTTGTCCTCATACACAGGGGGTAATACTCAAGAGAGGAAGAAAGACGGCCGCCGTATAGAGACGTGGGCGAAGGGGGCTGATAATTCTCGGGCATCGGCAGGATGGTGCTCGGGTCGAACGTCCCGCAGCCGACGTGGGTGGAAGTTGCAGAAGAGAAAGAATGCACCGATTCCGAACGATCCGGCAAGCTAGAGGAGCCCTCGGCCTCGAAGGTGGAAGATTCCCGCTGGTAGGCCTCGGTGTATGCGGTGGACTCGGTCTCTTGAGGGATGTTGTCATCGATGACTACGCGAGTGATGTGGTCCTCGGGAGAAGGAGGAGCAATACCAGGCTGAGCGAGATGAGGCGACGGGCTCGCAGCAGGAGTCAGGGGGGAGTCAGGAGCATAGTAGCTGATATCGACGGGGCCAGCCTCTGAATGCTCCTCGCTGAACGCGATAAGGTCGTCGAGGTTCACTTCAGAGTTCCCATTGGGAGCGGAAGAGGATGCCGCCGAAGGTGATCCAAGTCCATAGCCAGAGTCGGTGCGTTCAGAGGTCGCCTCCGTCGGAGCGTGAACAGATCCAGGGCGGGTGGGTCTCGGACTCGCGTCGATACTGTGAGTTTTGCAATACTCCCTGAACTGCTTCGCGCTCATGAGATGAATCCTCTTGCGATGACGATTGGCGCTAGATGGATCGGTGCAGCTGAAATCGCAGTCTCCAATGAGGCACCAGCGGAACGCTGATTGCGTGCTACCCTCGCTGTGTCAGCAATGGTTGTATGAAGAAGAATCGTGATAACCGACGTACTGCATGACCATATGGTTCTTCAGGTTTCCTTTCTGCATCGTCCCGTATGAACAACCCGGCTTTGTACAGTACTGCTTGAACTTTTCGGCATCGGGGCGGTGGCCTATCGCATGACGCTGCAGATCCGACTTGCGCGTGAAGCCCCTGTCGACGCACTCTGTGCAGAAAAAGACTTTCGCATTTTTGCGCGTTGAGTCGGTCTTGTTCTTGAGAAGCGTTTTGCCGTTCGGAGGTGCCTTGGCCTTCGAAGGAGCCTTGCCCATGGGGACCGCCTTGGCCTTCGGGGTGGCCTTGGCCTTGCGGACGGTCTTAGTCTTGGGCGCTTCCTTCGTCTATAAGAGTATAAGTACGTGAAGAGTATGAATTAACATGATGAACTTACGATTCTCCCAGACCTGGTAGACGAACGGGTGTTCATAGCCTTGGTGGAGGAGCGGGTGCTGACCATTGGGATGAACGATACTCGAGTCCGGTAGTGAAATGGGTATGCGAGCTGAGTATCGCCTGAGAGGTGCGAAGCAATGCGAGGGGGAAAGGTCAAAGGCTGATACAAGGGTAGACGATGACGATAGAGCTCGTTGAGTGGGTGCTGGTGGGCATGAGCGCCTCCCAGCCCGCCTTTATACCCGCCCCATGGTAGGTGCGTCTCAAGCAACGGTGCTGGATTGCTCTCAAACCCCTCCGTAAAAGTTACCGCGTATAGAATCGCACACAAAGACCGCTCCTATCACCCGATTGCTTGAGAGTAAAAACGCCATACTGGGAGAGGACGAGGAGCAATTGGTTGACAGGAGTGTCCGAGCTAGTAATTTTGAAGTCAAAGCCTGTCACAGCCTCAGGATTGGTGCTTAGGTCTAATGCAAGGAATTACTAAATCTGCTGAGAGTTGCTTCGAATGGGAATTTTGAGCTGGGTCCTTACCTTTTGTCTCTTTTGTCTCGCTTGGTGACGTGCTCTTGTAGCCGGTGTCCGCGCACGTGGAAGGGACCTTGAAGCTTTATAACATTGGCACACCCGTAGAAGTGGAGCAAATCATCCAAAGTCAGCTATCGAGGTGGTAAAATCTGGTGGAGTCGGCGGGTTTCAGTGGTGTTTGAGCTGGGACGCCAGAGCACAACGACGATGGTGACCAAACAGCCCAACTGCGTCTCACAGTCGCTCTCTCAATATTTAATCTCCGACCAAAATATCACTTTTGCTTGCTGAAGTCCTGCACTATCGCTAGCTTGATATAATGGCATTGGTAATATTTCACTCTCCGCTGATCTCCGGTAGATCCCGCCTACTTCATGACACTGCAGACAAACTGTCATTTTTCTGTTACGAAAAGTGAGTGAAGAAGGCGGACAGATGAAAGCCTTTTTCACCCATCTTTTGCTGTGCGAAAAGTTACTGAAAAGATGAACTTTTGCCTCGGAGTTTGCATTTCTGTGCGGAGATTTGATAGAAACACGTCCAAATCGGGAAGGTGGAGTCCAAATTCGGTAACCCGCCCAATTTACCAGCGCAATATTGACGCAATTGTCGGCTAAAAGAATACCTTTTCCTGTGCAAAAGGGGGTTCCAAAACTCGGAGGGAAAGGCTTTCATCTCGCCGCCTCTTTCTCTCGGTTTCATCCCGGGAAAAATCGCCGTTTGTCTGCAGTGTGAGCGCTTGTGCGATGGCGTCTGTTTCGTCAAACAGCAGAGCACAGACCTGCTCAGACATTGGCACCTTCCCACTTTTGGTTCCGAAAACCGCCATTGGATCATTTATCATCACCAACCGTTCGGTTACGACTAGTTCACAAAGCTGCTATGCTATTATTGGTTAATTATAATGGTAGTGTTGTAAGTAACGACCGTGTGCATAGAAGTACAACTTGTCGGCGATGATAGATAGATCCACACTAAGGGCCATGATACAGCATAAAATTAACGACGAGACCTATTGTATCCCACTGCCTTGCAAGCCCTTTGAAATGTGGAAAAGACAGACCTCGATTCTTCGTTAGCCCCGCCCTTTGATCTTTGAATGGACTCGATAACACGGTGCCACCAACTCGCATGCGCATCCCTGAGCCCTGTAGTAAAAGCGTCATTCGTCCACGCAGATATATCTGCTTGCTTCAATATACGACTAAGGAGGATAGCAGCTTGTTTGATGTCCCTCGCGTCGCCAGAGGTAGAGTCGAGGAGGTCGATGGTCCTGAGGCGGTGCTCCGGGATGGGAACACAAGGTTGAAAAACCCTGATCGCGTCGCTGATAGAGGTCCCGTCGATCGATATGTGCAGCTGTCGTAGATCGCTGCACGCAAAGAGCAGACGGATGATCCCCGTGAGCGTTGGGCGCCGGGCCAGAGACGGGTGGTAGTGATCCGGAGAACCCCAGCCGTACGAAGAGTTAAGCTTTAGAATTTGCAGGGAAGGCCAGCATACAGCGATGCTCATGAGGTCCTCGTCGCCTAGACTAATGAATCGTTGCGTGTCGATGTCAACTCTGGTAATGTAAAGAAAGTGGGACAACGGCTGGAGCGAGTCGAATGTGACGATGTCGGCATCTGAGTAACTGGCGCTAGCGAGGAGTCCAACCGTCTCCTTGAAGACGTATGTTTTGACTCTGTATGCCGTGTTCGAGTCGGTGAACTTCTTGGCGACGGTATAAAATAGCTCGTCGACTGGTAGAAGTCGATGCGGCAGATGAACGTCGTGAGTGTCTTGAATGTCGATAAAGATATGCTGCGTATCGAACTTTGACCTGTCTTCTAGAATGTCGCAGATGGCGTTGATGGGAGCACTCCTGATATCTTTGCAGTCCTCAAACTTGCGTGAAAGTTGGTGGAACCAGTGGCAGCTAGCCTGGTCTTCGATCGATACGTATGTCGGCAAGGTTCTTAAGAGCACTCTGGAGTACTTCTGGCCTGTCATCCGCTTGTCAAGTGTTGTGTCGTACGACAGTGCGATCGCATTGCAAGGCGGAAGCGGCGGGGGAATATCAGTCCTTGAGAAACCCATGGTAGTGAGAGAGAAGGGTGGTACCTCATCCGCACAATGAAACGGCGTTTAAGTAGCAAGGGCCACCCCACTCAGGGAAAGCAGCTTTGCGTCTAGCCTTGCTCGGGTCGGTAAAGCTCGAAGTGCATAGATACCTGCCAAAGTCAATGAGAAACAATGCTTGATCCAACCCTGCGGACGCAGCGCGAGTCAGGGTTGGCGGATTGACGTGCTTAAGCTCGAACCTCCAGTCTAGACTTCGGATTGCAGGGTCGGGTATGCCAAAGAGTGGACATTAACTGTCACATTAATCCAATGGTTTCTAGGGGGTCTCATTCAAGTCAAAGCGAGATCGATCGTAAGTGCGCCGATACGACTTCCAAGAACCGAAATCGCCTGATTTTTACAAGTACTGTTGTCGTAAGCAAAAGCCCGGCAGTGGTGGGCTGTGCACTTGGAACGGAGACGTATAATTGTACCTTTCCCCATAGTGGTGACAAAACGACCAATATTTCAGGCTAAGCAGTGAGAGGAAGGACTTCATAATGAATTGAAGGGTAAAGAAGTGGAGAGGCTCTCGGAAGCAGTAATCGGCTGTATAGAGTTCCGGGGTCCGTCGCCCCCGCGGCTATTTCCCGAAGCTGTCTCCGCTTTGAACGCGTCTGCCATGTCTGATATTATTGCGCACCATCCGTCTCCCATGGCGAGATCGTTTTTTCTCACTCTGATTATGATTTATTTGCAGCAATTATGATGCTGGTTATGATCAGTAGAAGTCTCGCTATCGTTCTTGGTCTGGGCGATAAGTACTCGCTCCATCCTACGCAACATCTTAAACCCAGATCATGGCGCCTGCCGCCCGCAACGATCCCCAACACGTGTACCACGCACACTTGAACCCAATCGTCATGCATTCCGCTCTCCTTGTTAGCGAAATCTTCGCCCAAATCCTGCTTGAACTGTCCAACAGAGACCTGTTCTCGTTGTCGACTACCTGCCATGATCTGTCAGAACCGGCATTAGACCAGCTTTGGAGTACGCAATCGTCGCTGGTGCCACTGGTCAAATGCCTGCCGAAGGAGTTGGTATGCGACAATGGAGTGGGGGTATGTACATTTGGTCCTGTTATCATTGATAAGTTCTCATATGTGAGTGAATGAGTCTAGGAACTCTCGTTCAGTCGAGCCCTAACCTGTGCGGATTGGGACGTGCTCGTCAAATACACCCATCGTATCAGACACTTGAAGGAGGTTACGTACGACAACAGCAAGTGCGACCATGGATGGGTGCCAGGGGTCGAAAGGCTATCTCAAGACATCCTACAAGCGCTCTCACATCCTCCGCCACCAGCCTCCAAATCGCCATTCCCGCGCCTCGAGAGCCTTACTTGGCTGGGCTTTGATGTGGATGCGGAAGCTACATCATTCTTACGAACGCTCTCTGGTCCACGCGTCACTTCCTTAGACCTGGGCGGGTTTACTCTACGACGTGCTTCTACCGAGTCCGCCGACCTCTTCCAGTTGATCGCCGACTTGAGCGTCCTCTTTCCTGCGCTGAAGTCCTTCGCATTCTCTCTTCCCTCCATGCACACTCCCAACCGCCCAGATCTCGTGGCTGCGTTCTCACGAGCTGTGTCCGGATGGAAACACTTGCGCGTGCTGAGTTGCGGTCCCTTGGATGTTCCTACTCTCCTGCATCTTGCACATCTACCCGCGCTTGAGAATCTCGACACGTCCCTTCCCATCTACGGACTTGATTCTAGCAACACCCTTCAGCTTGCAAAAGGGGCTTTCTCGCGCCTACGCGACCTCGCTATGTGGCATGGTCATGGGTTTAAACAGGTCATCGACATCTTCGATGCTATACCCCGCCGCCTTCCGGAACTTTCAAAGCTCTATCTCAACGCGGAGGATCGAGACGGCCCAGACGACATTCAAAGGCTGAACGACATCATTTCTCGCCGCGTCCAGGTCAAAGCTTTGAAAGAACTGGCCATCAAGGAAGAAAGCACCGTGATGCACAGCGAGGACAATTGGCGGGTGACGCTCTTGACCTTGCAACCAGCGCTGGTCTTCACCCAGCTTGAGTCCGTGATCCTCTCAACTTCTCGTCCCATCTCCCTCACCGACAGCGAGCTTGTGACGCTTGCGGACGCGTGGCCCAAGTTGAGGTCGCTAGCAATCAATCCGAACTATGGATGGATGTCGCCGTCTGGCCTGACCATATCAGGGCTGGCGGCAGCATTGGATCGCTGGCCAGAGCTGCAATATCTTGCGCTGGCGATCAATGCGCGCGAAACATCCACCAGCACTTCCTGTGCCGACGTGTCCCTTTGTCAGCGCGGAGCACCTGCTTCCCTGAAAGACCTGGACCTACTGGACTCGCGCATCGGGGACAATCATGAAGCAGTTGGGACTTGCCTAGCCAATATTCTGGCCAACGCTCGTTATTGTCAGGTCTCAGCATGGAACGGTGTGCATCCTGACTACGCCCTTTACGAAGAAAGCTGGCCGAAATGGCGCCTGGCTGTTGATTTCATGAGGAATAGGTTAACGGCCGAGGTATGACCATCGTGATTATGCAGCGATTGTAGAGTGCGATATTCTGCGTACGAGACGTTCATATGGTACGGTCAAATATAAACTCTCTCTTGGGAACCTGCTATTGAGAATCATGGGGCATCGATTCGGCAGTATCGTACGTACAGTAGTGGCAATGGTTGGCTTCTACCTCGACAACACCCACTGTTTAATTTGAACGCGTCTGCCAGTGTTAGACAGCACGTTTCCATTCGTCTCCATAATGACAATGCAGTTGAATCTGAGCGGCTCTTATCGAAGGCTGGACGATGATCGCCCCATTCTCAATCCCAAACTAGATTATAGGTCCAAGCGATTCCCGGCTGCCTGAGCACGTGTACTCGGCACACTTGAACACGACCGTCATGCATCCCGCCCTCCTTGTTAGCGAAATCCTCTGTCAAATCCTCTCTGCACTCTCTGACAACAAGGACCTCTTTGCGGTCTCGGTCACTTGCCATGATCTATCGGAGCCGTCGCTAGACCAGCTCTGGAGCACGCAGCTATCGCTGGTGCCACTCGTCAAATGCCTGCCCAGGGACCTGATTCGCTGCGAAACTGAGCGAAATGCAGGAGGAGTGGTGCGTGCGATCGCTCCCGATTTTCGTAGCGAGTGCTCATACCTGAGGGATCTACTATTCTAGGCCAAACTCTCCTTCACTCGGGGCTTGACTAGTGCGGATTGGGATGTCCTCCTCAAGTATGCCCATCGTATCAGGGTCTTGAGAGGAGTTACGCGAGACTCGCACCACAAGACGGTTGAAGGTTGGGAACTAGGGAGGGAGAGGCTATCTCCAGAAATCCTGGAGACCCTCTCGAACCCGCCCAAAGAGATCATCTTCAATGCGTTCAAGAATGCGTTATTCCCGCACCTCGAGAGCATCACTTGGCAGGATTTTGACGCGGACTCTGCGGAAGCCATGTCCTTCTTGCGGTCGTTCGCTGGTCCAAAGCTCAAAACCCTGAGTATGAACGGGTTTTTAGTACAAAGACAATATTCTTCCGAGTTCCTCAGCAAGCTCGTCTCCGAATTCAGCGTCCTCTATCCAGAGCTGAGGACGTTCACGATTCCTCTCATGCGCATGCACGTGCCCAATCGTCCAGACATCGTGTCTGTGCTTTCGCGAGCGGTGCGCGGGTGGAAAGACATGCGCGTACTGAAATGCGGTCCTCTGGATGTCCCAGCTATCCGGCATCTTGCACACCTACGTGCCCTCGAGAGGTTCGAAACCGACCTGCCGATCTACGGGTTCCGCTATAGCAAAACTCTCCAGTTTCCAGACCAGGCTTTCTCGTGCTTGCGCACTCTCGGTCTGAACCATGGTCGCGGCTTCAAACAGATCATCGAGTTCTTCCAAGCCATACCTGGTCATCTTCCACAGCTCTCGAAGCTCACTCTCCTATCAGACCGTCAGGACAATCCAGACGACATTCAAAGGCTGAATGACATCATCGCCCGCCGTGTCCGGACCGAAACACTGAGAGAGTTAATAATTGTGGAACGAAACATCTTGGACCCGCATGTCGCGGATACGCGGGTGACATTCTCAACCCTGCAACCCTTACTTGACTTCGCTCGGCTCGAGTTCGTGTGTCTGACCACTGATCGCACCATCGTTCTCACCGATAAGGAGTTTGTGATGCTGGCGAACGCGTGGCCCAAGTTGACAGCCCTATTGATCAACGAGACGCACGGGTGGCAGTCGCCGTCGGGTGTGACCATCGCGGGGCTGACGGCGGCGTTGGAGCGTTGGACGATGCTGTACTACCTGGCGTTGGCAATCGACGCGAGAAAAGTATCTACCGACGCTTACTTCGCCGACGTGTCATCGCATCAACGGAGAGCACCCGCTTCTCTGAGAGATTTGAACTTACTGGACTCGCGCATCGAGGACAATCATGAAGCTGTTGGAACCTGCCTATCCAAGATATTGACCAACACTCGTTCTTGTCATGTTTCAGCGTGGAACAACGCGGGAGCTAGCTATGAGCTCTACCAGGAGAATAAGCCGAGATGGAGCCTAGCTATCGATTTCATGAAGGATAGGTTATCGGCCGACTCATGAGTGTGTATGTAGGGTGGGGGACCCTGTAGAAGGGACGACTGATTTGTTCCATTCGCCTACGAGAAACTTGAACATGAAGTACGGATCTGTAATAGGCACGCTTCCAGACTTCGATAGCATGAGCACAAGATGGTATGGGGGATAGTGAAGAAAGGTAGGAAAGGATTTGGAACAACATATAAGAACTCACGCAGACTCACCTATCCATCCACCCACCTGCCCTAAAGCACCATTGGCACACTCAGAACTCGTCCCTCTTTGCCCTCGTCCTCCGCTTCTGCACATCCACCCTCGTAACGCCCTCTTGTGCCTTCAAGGCTTGTGTGAGTTGATTTTCATCCGGGGTGTCTGCTTGTGGGATGAGATTGAAGACGTGGATGTTCGCCATGTCGCCCGGGCCAACTGGGCCGACGTGCTGCAACGATGCAAGCACTGGATCAGCGCGAGCCAGCAGTGCCGGATCGCTAAGTACGGAAGAGCCTTGGGCGAATGAAACAGCAAATTGTGTAAGTTCAGACATGGTGATAGTTGAATGTTGAAGAGATAGGACGCGGCGACAGGACCCCGCGCCAAGCGGAGGACTAATTCCTACTTCCCAGGTCCTTTCTCCTTTCTCTCAACGACGCCCACTGCGGTTCTGGGCATTGCTGCGCTCGTGTTCGGGGCCAGCAGCTATGACGCCGAACTCAGCCTCTACCTCAATCTCTTCGCCGAACTTGGCAGCCAAACGCGGAACATCGACGCCGAACTCCAGGTCGGTGACGCTTCGGTGATCGACGCGTGACTTGTTCATATCTGCGGAGGGCTGTTTCTGACAGGTCCTTTCATCTTTATGCTCCAGTAGACCAGTGCACTCCAGTGCTCGACGACGACTACTGACATTTCCAGGCGGCTAACATCACAGTATCGCATAGCTTTGGCGTCTGAGGCTCGTTTGAGCCTCATCCTCTCCGATCATTCAAATATGCGTCCACAGCCTCTGTGTTTATTAGAACTATTCTACTCCTCCAACGATATCAAAACATGTCCTCTCCAACAGTCACCACCAACCTAATTAGCATCAACACCAACAGTACCAGTCACATCCCAAAGACTTCCTCAGGTCTACCACGCATACCCTTCGACCTCCGCGCCCATAAGACCGGCATCATCATCACCTGGTCCAGCATCCTACTCACCTCATGCCTCCTCCCCATCCTGGGCTATTTCCTGCTCCGCTACAAAACCTCGCTTGAGCTGACCGTCGTCTTCGCCATCAGCACCTCACCCTGCGGCGCCGTCTCCCTCTTCTCTCTGTTCAGCCGTACCTACGCCCTCTTCCGCAAAGACTCCACCTGTCGGCCCCTCCCCTCCACCAGTTCCACCACACCCTCGCGCGGCGACACCCCAGGGCGCTGGCACCTCGACAACTTCAACTACAACTTCGCGTTCTGTTTCGCTATCATCACCATCATACTCTCAACGGCCATCTCCCACCAGCCCACGTCCAACATCCGTCTCATCTCGGTCCCCATCGCCGTCCTGCTCCTGCTCGTGTGCAGCCAGCTCGTCCTCGTCCCGCTGCTCATCGCGCTGGACGTCAGAGCGCCGTTCCGCTTCTCGTCGCTGGCAGCGGGCGAGCGGCTCCGCCCTGCGACGTTCATCATCGCAGAGGACGTCGTCGCTGTCGATGGCGGTGGCGGAACCGAGTTCAGGAGGCGGTGGAACGAGAGGTACGACGCGAGCGCCGATTTTAGGAGGTTGATGGTGAGGCTGGATCTACTGTGGGGGTTCAGCGGGTTGGCGCTCGCGGGCGGGATTTTTGGGGTGGTTTTTGGAGTGCAGGAGGAGAATGTTGGATACGTTGTTGGTGAGTCTTTTCATGGCTCAGAGGGTTTGGGTGTGCGAGAGAGATTGTTAACGTTCGTTGATCATGATAGGCTGGGGAGCGCCGTGGGTCTGGGCTGCGGGTATGGCCCTCGTGACGTTGCGGATGACGACGGCAACACTGAGGCGTGAGGAAGGCGGGGAAGGATGGGCTTGTTAGAAGTAATCGAGGCTCGATCGCGATGAATGGGAAACATTGACAACTCTGCTATCATTATTATGGACCTAATGAAGCGAAGGGACAACTTTTTATCCAACAATACGAGGGGACTCTGTTAGTTTATCTACCGGAATGATGGGACTCTATTATAGTTTACCTAACCTAAACGAAGGCTAGTAGTCGATGCATCAGAAACAAAATGAAAATATCGTTAACAAATCGTGACTGTCTCAGTCGTAATAAATAGGGAATGATGAAAGCCGTGCGCGGTTCTGCTTGATCGTCCCCTAGTTCTCTCAGCGATTCTCTTAAACCTCGTTTGTGCGACCGGGTTGCGGCCATACTGTGCCTTGTAGCAAATGCGAAGACATGGTGCAATAGAAACCCTTGAGTACTTCGCCAGCTAGACGCTCAACTGCCTGCTCGTCCTTCACGCAGAAATTGAGAGACAAAGAAGATGGTATTGGTAATAAATTAGCGTTTTATATCACTACATTATGGTGTCTAGATTACACCCGACAGCCCCAGGTATATGAACAATGACAGCGGTGAGATTCATGAGTCATAAATTCTAGAAGAAGAAAAGGTGAGCCCCGTGAAAAAGACGAAGACTAGCGAACAAACTTACGATGATGATATGCGTAGCTTGTAGTGTACGGGTCACTTAAGCCTTTTTAGCGGGTTTCGTGGGCTTGGCAGGAGCTTCCTGGGAAGGAACGCCAGGGATGGAAGAGATGATTTCCTTCACAACGCTAGCCAGGGTCTTGACGTGAGCGGGAGTGAACATCGTGTCGTGAGTACCAGCAGCGACCTTCATGTCGAGGTTCTTGATACGCGCGTCCCAGCCGTTGCGGTTGTCGATACCCGAGTCGAAGTCGGCAGCGTTGCCGGAGCGGTACCATGAACGATCCTTGGGGACGACGAGCGTGGTCGGGCCATCGTAATGGTCGGGCTCGTAGTCGAACATGGAGTCCAAGTTCTTGCGGATCTCGGTGCGGAGCTTGCTCTTCCACTTCTCGCCGATCTCGGGGAAGTTGGAGGAGATACGGTCGATCGAACGCTGAGTCCAGTCCGTGGATTTCAAGCTCTGGCGCTCGCTGGTCGGGATGAAGATGGGGTCGAACAAGATGAGGTGAGCGACCTCGTCGCCACCCTTCATGAGCTTGGAGGCCATCGAGAGCGCGACCGAACCACCATAGGAGTAACCACCGATGACGTAGGGGCCCTGCGGTTGTACAGCCTTGATGAGCGAGATGTAGTGTTCCGCCATCGATTCGACAGTTCCGAAGCCCTCCGAGGAACCAAAGTGCTTGTCACCGATAGCGTACATCTCGTTCGGCATATAGGCACCGAGACGCATGAACGGCGTGGCCATACCCGTAATGTCGTGGACGATGAAGAAACGGGGCTGGATACCCTTCTTCTTGATGGGCAGGAACTCGATGAGGAAGTCGGCATCAGTGTCTTCGGCCTCCATGATGGCGCGGCTGTCCTGACCCATACTGTCGATGACAAGAGTACCGAGCTCGCGGAGCGTGGGCCTAAGTGCAGGGAGTGAGCGATTGCTGGAAAGATTTGAACAGAAAAGGTGCTTACCTCAAGTAGATGTTGTTGAGACCGATGTGCACGTTGAACGTCTTCGAGACGACGCCGGCAGCCTGTACTGCCATCAAAGAGTTCATGCCGACTTGGAAGAGATCGTGCGAGACGCCGAACGAGTTGGGGTCCACCTTGAGCACCTTCGAGAAGATCGACATGAGCTCGACCTCAACGTCGGACGAAGGCTGTCCCATGTCATTGGTGAGATCGGGAGCGAACGCAGCGAGGTCCATCGACTTGAGGGTATTGCGGTCGATCTTGCCGCTACGGGACGTGGGCAGCTCGGGCAGGGCAGCGATGAGCGAGGGGTACATGAAGCGAGGCAGGCGCTCGGAGACGAACATCTTGAGGCCTTCCTTCTCGTCTTCAATATTCTCGACTTCGTTCTTGTACTCGACGAAGGCGACGATGGCAAGCGCGTCCTGAAGGGTGCGGATGACAGCGGCAGCACGCTGGACGGCGGGGTACTTGGCAATGACGTCCTCAACTTCACCCAACTCGATACGCTGGCCACGGAGCTTGATCTGGCGATCGGCACGACCACAGTACTCGATGTTTCCATCAGTACGGTAGAGCGCGATATCACCAGTCTTGTACAGACGCTCGCCAGGGACGAAGGGGTTGGGGATGAAAGCCTGCTCAGTGAGCTCGGGCTGGTTGAGGTAGCCGCGAGCGAGCTGGATGCCACCGATGTGCAGTTCGCCCTCAACACCGATGGGCGTCGGACGGAGTTGTTTGTCGAGAATGTAGATGCGGCAGTTGGCCATCGGACGACCAATGACCCCAGTGAGAGCGGCCGAGGTGACATGGACGGAGATACAGTCGACGGAAGCCTCAGTAGGACCGTACATGTTGCGGAAGTTGACACGAGGTGCCCAGTCCTCGATGACCTTCTTGCCGAGAGCCTCACCGGCGACGACCACAGTGTCAAGACAGGGGTAGTCGTCGGGGGGAACGACAGCAAGGATACTGGGCGTGACGTGGAGGACGCTGATGCGAAGCGAGCGCAGAGCCTTGGGAATGTCACCGAGGACAAGCTCCTTTCGGCCAGTGACGAGGGTGGCGCCGTTGGTGAGAGTACCAAAGACGTCAGCAACGAAGGGGTCGAAGGTGTACGCGAGCGACGAGAGGACGCGGGCACCCTGCTGATAACCGTACACCTGGGAGTTCTGGATTAAGTTCGAGATCGCGCGATGCTCAATCATGACACCCTTGGGCTTGCCAGTCGAGCCAGACGTGAACCTGTCGAAAGCATTGTCAGATCACAACCAGTGAAATTTGTCAAGATCACTTACATGACGTAGGCAAGGCTTGACGGGGTGAGGCCCTCGACAGCGAAGTCGGCGGCATCGAAGCGGCTGAGACGCTTGAGGTAGCTAGGATCGTCGATGTACGCAATCTAAGGGAAGAATCATTGACATCAGACTGGTATCATCAACAAGCAGTAGTGATCACTTACCAAGACCTTGGAGGCCAGGCTCTTCTGGAAATCGCGAGAGTGGTTGGTCGTCGAGATGAGGACCTTGGCACCACACTCCTCAACCATGAGCTCCTTACGGAGTGTCGGGTCATCGGGATCCAGGGGCACGTAAGTGCATCCGGCCTTGAGAACAGCGAGAATACCGGCGATCTGATGGACGCCGCGATCGAAGCAAACAGCGATGATGTCGCCCTGCTTGATGTCCTGTTGAATGAGCGACTTGGCGATCTGGTTGGCGCGCTTGTTGAGCTCGAGGTAGGTGAGAGACTGGTCCTCAAATTCGACGGCGGTGAAGCGAGGAGTCTTCTTGACCTGCGTCTCGAAGAGGTGGTGGAGGCAGGTCTCGCTGACGGCGAAGTCGGCGTTGGATGAGAGCTCCTTGAGGATGCGGTCGTGCTCGGCGTCGCTCACAGCAGAAATCTCCGCGATCTTGCGATCCGGCTCGCGACCCAACTTCTCGATGAGGGCAATGTACGCGTCGAGGAACTGGCGAGCAGCCTCCTCAGTGAACATGTGGTTGTCGAACCGGAGGAGACAGTGGCCACTCTTGTAGTGAACGGTCATGAGGAATTCGTACTGCTCCTCGCCGTTCGGCAGCGTGATGATGGCCTTGGTGTCCAAGTTGGCGGCCTCGAGCTGGCTGATCGTCTCCATGTTGACACCGCCAGGCGCAAACAGGTGCTTGAAGAACGAGCGGCCGTGCGAAGATGTCTTGGCTTGAGTGACAATGTCCTCGTACGTGACGTCGTCGTGCTGGAGGCATGCGAGGACGTTGTCCTTGAATTGCCCGAGGTACTGCTCGAACGAGTCCTGGTCATTGATCTCGGTCTTGACCGGGAGCATGTTCGCGAAGAAACCGATGACGTTCGAGAGAGCGGGAACATTGCGCTGGGTGACGGCAGTACCAACGACGAAGGAGTTCTGGTCGGAGTACTTGTGGAGCAAAATGTTGTACGCCGCGAAGAAGCCGGCGAACTGAGTTGCGTTAGCACCCTGAATGACTTTGACGAACGACTCGAGAGCGCTCTCGCTGATCTTGGCATCGATCTGAGTGACAGGGGCGAGCTCGCGTTCGGAAGGAGTGGCGAGGGTAAGATGGAGGGGCTGGGTCTCCTGGAGGTACTCGGCCCAGTACTGGAGATGCTCATCACGGAGCTCCTCGCGTTTCTCGGCAGTCTCGCCGAGCCACTCACAGAAGTCAGAGTAGTGGTACTGAACTTCTGGGAGAGTGCCGGCGCCTTTGATGTACAGGCTGAACAGCTCGTAGAAGAAGGTACCGAGCGAGGCCTCGTCGATGATGATGTGGTGAATGACGATGTTGAAGGCCCAATTGTCACCGCCGAGGTCGAACATCGTGGCGAAGAGGAGAGGGAGTTGGTCCAGCTTCCAGTCGGGCTCCTTGTTCGCGGCCAGAGACATCTCATAGGCCTTAGTATCAGGGTCCGCCTCGCCGGAGAGGTCGACGATGCTAGACTTGAACGTGACGGAGGGGTAGATAGTCTGCTCCAACTTGCCCTTGGCCTCGTTCCAGGCGAACGCAGTGCGGAGAGCACCGTGACGCTGAACGACCTCAGCGAAGGCCTCAGCCATCCGCTCGGTGTCGAGGGGAGTCTCGGTGTGGATCTTGACGAAGTAGCCTTCGTGCGTATCCCATTGGGTGGCACCGAAGCGGGACATATTGGCGTCGATGTTGCTGACACCACGCTTCCTGGAATTGTCGTACTCGCGCTGAAAGTTTCAGTTAGCTACATGACGGTAGCACAATCGAATACGATGCTTACCTGGGCAAGCCAGATGCGGTACTGGTGAGGCGATGCATCGGTGGTGTAGGGCTCGTCGTAGGCGAGCTTGTCGTTGAGGATGGGCACCAATGGCGCACCATACCTCGCGGAACCATCGTCCGTCGCGCCCGCGCCCTCTTCGCCACCCGCAGACTGACCAGCCTTGGCCATGTGCTCGTTGAGAATGGCGATGGTCATCGAGCCGAGAAGCTCGATCTGCGAGACCTTGATGTTGAGCTTCGAGCGAAGCTGGTTCGAGTACCGGGTAGCTGTAAAGATGTTCATGAGCAAATGAAATAAGCAATAGGCCTAGAGACTTACCACCAAGCGAATCGAGACCGAAGCTCGTAATAAGGGCGTTCTCGGTGATCTGGTCGGCCTCCATACCCAAGAGAGCAGCGAGAAGCGATGCAGGGGAGTCGACAGCGCCATCGCCCGACCCGCCAGCAGCGTTGGCAACAAGGAACTTCTTGTGCGTAAGGTGTTGGTAAAGACGCGGCTCGCAGGCGGGGAAGCCCTGTGCGACGTCCTGGTGGGCGAGCAGGGGCACGTAGTGGGGAATGCGGCGGGTAAGCGAGTCGCCGATGAAGTTGCAGACCTGCGCGGTGGTCATGCCAAACTTGTTGAGGCCGGCGGTGGCCTTGCCCTGCGTCGACTGGACAAGACGCTTGAAGATACCCGAGTCGGTGATGGGAGGGAAGGACATCGAGATTGTGTTAGGGACATCTTCGGCGATCTTGTCGAGGTAGCTAAGGAGGAATGAGCGTCAATGTTTAGAGGAAGTATGTAGGAAGACATACAGTTGAGCCGCGCAGTAGGCAGCCTGGCCAGCGTTACCGAAGACGGAGCCGATGGTGGAGAAGAGCAGCATAAAGTCGACCTTGTTCATGTCGACGCACTCCAGAAGCGTGTTGAGGACGAGGACCTTGGAGTTGTAGACGGTGTCGAAGGACTCCTGGGTGAGGCGGTCGAACTTGGCATCGCGGAGGACGACAGTCATGACGAAGATGCCGCCAAGACCCTCCGGAGCCTTGTTGGCCTCAGCGATGACGCGAGCGGTGTCATCCTTGCTCATGGCGTCAGCGGCGATGACATCGATGGTGCAGCCAGCCACGGTACGGAACCAGTGGTTATACATGCGGTCGACCTTGGCGAGACCCTTGTCACCACGACGAGAGGTCATGATGATGTGACGGGCACCGTTGACGACCATCCACTCGACGATGCGAACACCGAGCTCAGAGCAACCACCGAGGAGGAGGTAGCTCTTACGAGGGTTGAAGAGCATGACGGTGGGGTCGATGCGAACCGGGCTGATGTTCTGCGAGAGAACGACAACGGAATCGATGGAGGCGTCGGCCTCGGATGCACTACCGACGTTGATGACTTTGGTACGCAACTTGAAGGGCTGAGCAGAGTGAGCGTGAAGGATAGAGCCGACGATCGAGACGAGGTTCTCGCGGGACGCAGCAAGGAGCTTGCTGGTCTTCAACAGGTGGCTGATGGGGGCGTTCGAGGGCAGGGCGACGGCCTCCTCGGTGATCTGGTTGTGGATGTACCAACCAGCGGGCGAGAGGAGGTGGGCAGTGCTCGCGAAAGCAGCCTTGCCGCTGCCGTTGAAGATGAGGTCGAACGCCTCGATGTCGTTCTTGCGGAAGTAAGCCTGGGCAGTCGCAGGGAAGTCATCGATGAGGGCGATAGTGTCGAGTGAGACACCGAGGGCAGCGCTGAGCTCCTTAGCCTCAGAAGCCTTGGTGACGGTGCAGAACACCTGTCCAGCGAAGCGCTGAGCAAGTTGAACGGCGCTGAAACCAGCAGCTGCGAACGCCTGTCAGATAGTGTCGAATGAATGATCAGATAAGATACGTACTGCTCAAAGCATCGTGCACACAGACGACGGAAGTTGACGAGATGGCAGCACGCTCCATAAGGGCAATCCACGAGCTGAGGAAGGCAGGGACGACAGCGGCGGCGTCGACAGCCTTGACATTGCTGGGGAGGGGAGCAACGGTCTCCTTGGCGGCGATGATGACGTTGGCCGGGTCCTCAGCGGAGATACCAACGACGGCAGAGCCAGCCGCGGTACCGACGAACGTGATGTAGTCGTCAGCAGCGACGGTGCTGGAGCCAATGGCCTCGACGGCGACCTCGACGTCGCCAGAGGTGACGTGGCGAGGGAAGTGACCGGACGCGTTGGCACCGGTCTTGGTGAAGCGGACGGCGGGTGCGCGCGTCTCCTTGAGGGCCAAGAAACCGGGAACGAGACGACGGACGTAGACGTCGCCATTCTTCGACACCTTCATGTGCTGCTCCAGGAGGAGCGAGTGCTTGCGGAGGTCCTCGACAACCTTCTCACGCTTCTCTTCGTCGAGAGTGTGGTCGGAGAACAGAAGGGAGTAGCAGCCGAACTCAGGGAACTCGGCGAGAACACAGGCGGCCGTGCCGAGGGCACCGATACCAGCCGCGTCGTCGTTACCGGTAATCCAGAACTCAGCCTCGCCAGAGATGTTGGAGGCGATTTCGACAAGCTCGCCCTCACGGCCGTGCTCGAAGGGAGAAACGATAACGCTCTTGAACTGGGGAGCGGGGACGGCAATGGTGGGCTCCGAGGCGCGAGCGACGATGATGCCCTCAGCGACCTGGACATCGACACCGGGGATGGCGCGGAACTTCTCCGCGAGAGCCTCGGAGGAGAGCTGTTCAACCTCGGCGCCCTCTGCGGCAGGCTCGGATGCGCCAGTAACTAGGATGGCGACACCGTTGGGGACAAGGAGGTTGGTGAGACCAGCGATGTCCTTGGGGACAGCGGAGAGGTCGACGGAGCGGAGGACGACATCGAAGCTGATAAATATATATCAGAACCGTATCGTATTTAAGAAGAAAGGAGCATACCTCTGGAGCTCAGGAGCAGAGCCATCAGCAGCGGGTACAAACGACTCGACGACAGCCGACTGCGTGTACTTGTGCTCGAGGACGGAGGTCTTCGCGTCCGCATCGGCAGCGACAGGAGCAACGTTCACATACTCGACAAGTAGCTCGCTCTCGAGAAGGAGCGAGTTGAGCGTCGCGTCGAGCGACTTGGCGAGATCGCCGGTCGTTGATAGATCCGCGACGCGGATCGTGCGTTTGCCACCAGCCTTGGAGGCGAGCGCGAGCTCGGTGAAGGCAGAGACGACGTCGGGCTTGGTGAGCTTGAAGCCCTGCGAGGGGAAGCCCTTGGGCTGCCAAATGGTGGTGAGACGCTCGTCGAGGCTGGCGTCGTTGATGACGGCGGACTCGGCGCCGGGCGCCTTGGCGATCTCGAAGCCCTCAATAGTGAAGAGGACCTTGCCGTCGTTGTTGGCGATGACATAGTCGCTGATCCAGGGGCCCTGAGGCGCCCAAGTGCGGGCGATGAAGTAGGTCCAGAGGTTGCCCTTCTTGAACTCCTCGTCGAGGCTGGGGGCGTCGGCGGAGTCCCAGCGGCGGATGGCCCGGATGTTGACGGGAAGGAAGACGCCGTTGAAATCGAACTGCTTGGTGTCCATGTTCATGAACATGCCAAGACCGCACTGAGTGATCGAGTCGAGAATACCCGGGTGAATGCAGTAGCCCTTGCCGTAGACGTCAGGCGTGTCAGCGGGAACCTCGAGGCGAGTGAGGTATGCATAGCCGCCCCAAGACTCGGCGTCGGGAATTTCGTGCACTTCCTTGAGGTAGTTGCGGAAGTGGTCCTGGTAGCGGTAGGCCGATGGGATAATGTTGTAGAACTCATCGCCGGTTACGCTGCCAGCGGACTTGGCGAGAATGTTCTGCCAGTCGAGGGTACGAGGGGTCTCGGGATCGTACGCGGTGTTGACCTTGCTGAAGTAGCCGGTGGCGTAGACTGTGTCGAGGACGATGTCGCCATTGATGAACTCCTCGGACGTGGAGGCACGGAATTCGTACTTGTTGCCGTTGATAACGCAGCCAGCGTGGGCGGGAAGCGAGCCGGCGCCGTTCATAACGAAAGGCTTGTGGATGGAGACGTCGTACACCACCATGGCACCGTTCTGGAGGATGGTCTCGACGTAACCCGAGGCGGGGAACAGAGGGGCATCGAAGACGATGTGGCCCGTGAGGTCGGGGTGGCTATCCACGCTGATGCGGAAGTGATGAGGGGCGATCGGGCGAGCTGGCTGGCGGAGACGGCGCGAGCGCTCGCTCTCGGACTCGGACCAGGTATGCGACTTGTTGTAGGGGTACTCAGGGAGAGTGGGCTTGGTGAAGCCGGTCTCGCCAGAGGGAGACGCGCAAAGCTTGTCGAAGTCGGCGTTCTTAAAGCCAAGAGAGAGGAGATTGCCGATACCCTCGAGGAATTGGTAGTGCTCGCCGGTGTTCTGGGCGGGGACCTTGGGGTTGGGACGCTTGACGAGAGAAATGGGCTCGCCGCCGCACTGCTCGATGTATGCCTTGAGAACGGGGTGAGGAGCAATCTCCATGAAGAGAACGCCCTCGGGTCCCGCGTCGTTGCGAAGCTTGTTGATGGCTGTGCCGAAAAGGACGGGGCGACGGATGTTGTCCCAGCAGTAGTTAACGTCGAGTTCGCGGTCGAGCCACTTGCCGTCGGTGGTCGACATGACGCGAGCAACAGGGGCATTGGTGCCGTGGGCAAGAGGGGTCTCGAGGACCTTGCTCTTGAAGAGCTCCTCCTGAGGTTCCATGAGGGGAGTGTGGAAGGCGCAGCCGACACGGAGCTTGGCGGCGAAGACCTTGGCGTTGGGGTCGTTGGCGAGCTCAACCATGGCGTCGATGAGCTCATGAGTACCGGCGACAGTGACGGCCTGGGGGGAGTTGATACCAGCGATCCAGAGGCCCTCGGTGACCTTGTACTGAGAGAAGACCTTGCGGATCATGGTCTTGGCCTTCTGCACGCCGACACCAAGAGCAACCATGGCACCGTTACCCTCGGCCCTAGTCATGGCAGCGGCACGCGCAACAGCGATACCGACAGCCATCTCGCGGTCGTAGTGGCCTGAGGCGTAGCCCATGGCGATCTCACCGATGCTGGGAAACGACGTCAGTGCATGAGCAGATCGCGGTGATCTGAACGACTCACGAGTGACCAACGACGAAGTCGTACTTGATGCCAAGGCTCCTGACGAGGTCGGTCATGGCCATCTGAACGAAGACGAGGCCAAGAACGACCTCCTGGACGGGCCACTGCCCGTTGGCGGCGAGTTTGCACTCGACACCAGGGATGAAGAGACCAGTGCGCTCGAGCATGCTCTCCTGTTTGTAGACCTGAGTGAGGATACGGTCCTGCTCCTTAACCGCCTCAAGGAAGGTGGGGAACGCCTCAGCGAGTTGGCGACCCATGAAAATGTGCTGGGGACCTTGGCCGGAGAAGACCAGGCAGAGCTTGGGCGACGCGTTGCTGTTGGTAAGCACTGGCTTGCTGAACTTAGTGGTAGGGGTGAGCGAGGGAGCAATCGCGAAGCTGCGCGCGGGGTAGGCGCGAGTCTGACGGCCCAGAGAGCGGGCGAGCGAGCGGAGGGTGGTGTCGTCGCTAACGCCCTCGTACTCCTTGCCGAGAGCAGTGTGCCAGCGACCGAGCGAGGACTCGGTGAGTGAGCCGACGGAGAAGAGGTAGAGGGGGTTCTTGGGGGCGGAGGTCATGACCTCGTCCTTCGAGAGCGAATCCGCGGTCTCGATAGTCTCGAGGACGACGTGGGCGTTGGAGCCACCTACACCGTAGGAGGAAATCGAGGTGACCCACTTGCCGTCGGAGGCAGCCATCTCGGGAGTCATCTTTTCGAGCTACAGGGGGAATGAGTTCGCCAGCCACAGCTGATATCTACCAAGCGACGGACCTCAGTTTGAACCTTCATCTTGCCGTTGGCGAAGTCAATCTTGGGGTTCGCGCTCTTGAACCGGATGTTGGGAATAATCTCCTTGTGGTGCATCATCATCGACACCTTGACAAGGGAGGCCATGAACGAGCAACCCTCCGCATGACCAATGTTAGCCTTCACGCTTCCAACCCTATCAAATGGACAGTTAGGACGATTTGGGCGCATACATGCGGTAAAAACTTGCCTCAGAAGTTTGTCATCGGGACGACCCTTGGAGAAGACCTTTCCTGCAGCGTTAGCCTCAATGGGGTCACCGACCTTGGTACCTGCCAAACGGGTCAAAACGCGTGCAATGACTGCCACTAAGATATATGCGTACCGGTGGCGTGTAACTCGACGTAGAACGCCTCGGCAGGGTTACGCTTCGCGATCCTATAGGCGGACTTGACGGTCTCCGCCTGCATATCACCCTCAGGCATGGTGAGGGACTTGCCCTTGCCGTTCGCATTGATGGCAGAGCCTGTGATGACCGAGTAGATCTGGTCCTGGTCGGGGACAGCCTTGTCGAGGCGCTTGATGAGGACGGCCGCGATACCCTCGGCACGAGCGTAACCGTCGGCGGACGCGTCGAACGACTTGGAGGAGCCAGTCGGGGACAAGACACCGAGCTTGGAAAAGGAGACGGTGTGCTCGGGGTTGATGATGGTGTTGGCACCTGAAAACGGAAGTGGTCAAGGGCACTGTGCCAGTGGCTGTGCAAGTTTTCACTTACCGACAACAAGTGCCTGGTCGCATTCTCCGGCCCTGATCGAGCTCAAGGCGAGGTGCATGGCGGTTGCAGAGGCAGAGCAGGCTATTTGTCGTGATCAGCATCGGGTTCCTGTGGCATAGGTACGCGATAAAACTCACCCGTGTCGACCGTGAGCGACGGGCCCCTCAGATCAAAGTTGAAGGAGATACGGTTGGCGCGAATAGAAACGGCGCGTCCGACACCGTTGTAGTTGTTGACTTCGTAGCGATCATCGTCCAACTCGTCAGCAGTCGTGAGCAGGTTGCCGAAGAAAACACCAGTGTTCGAGCCGCGATAGTCAATGCCGGAGTCTTGGAGCGCCTGTGACGTTTCATGTTAGCCAGGGATCTCACGGCGCAAGTTACACTCCAATTTTGGACTAAGGCGCTCGCGACTTACCGCTTGCGAAGCCTCGAGCGTGAGGCGAATAGCAGGGTCAAACATCGCCGCCTCCTTGGACGAGATACCGAACTCGAGGTGATCGAACTGGTCGATACCATTGATGAAGCCAGCCTTGGCGCAGTGGTACTTGCCTGGCTCATCCTTTCCGCCTGGAGAATGAAGAAGAGTTCCGAAGGGAGGATGTAAGGACACGTGTAGGGTTCCGACAAAAGACACCTTGCGCACCGTTCCACTCGGCGTGAATCCATCGATCGGGCGGGGGCTCGACCATTCCATCGCCCTTTGAGAGGCCAGGTGAACTGGATATCATCGATGAGAGCGCGGACGACGCACCTTGTTTCTCAAGAACTCATAGTACAGATCTTTGTTGTCGGACCCTCCAGGAAACTTGCATCCGATGCCAACGATGGCAACGGGGACCTCAGCAGACATCGCGTTGTTCGACCTTCGAGGCTCAAACTAGAGAGGTATGTCGGCCGCCGACGCAGGTATTAACAATGATGGCAAGCGCCGATAGATAACGAAGTGGAAGGGAAGGAAGATAGAAGAGGAGGGCGGGGGTGAAGGGAGGGAGCGGTGGAGGTAGAGGACAAGAGGTGAGCTTGGCTTGGACCAAGACCTTTGCTTTTGAATCCCTGGCGGGATGATTGTGATAATCTGAGTTTTACGATGGGTTAATAATAAGATTGAGCGTCTGGTGCGCGGAAAGATCGCCATCAACCTGAGCCGGCCTGGACCTGACAGAATGAGAGCGGCGACAGTTGTCAGGCAACATCATGATTGCTGTGTGCTTGATGTTCCGTTGAGTCTGTGGGTAGTTGATGGCAGACCTGTGCGACGAGACACGTTCACATGCCCAAATGTAGAGGATCTCATCAACCTGCTCAAAAAGCATCAGATCCGGGGCAACTATCCTGATGGTAAACTTCATCTCCATCATTCCGTTAGTCCTCCTTTGCTTATCGCAATTTATTTGAACCAATCCCTTTACGCTCGGACGGGACTACGTACCTGATAATTACCGCCGACCAAGGCTTTTTCAAACTATAGGCGTCCTGAAACACGGCCAACGGCGAGACAAACTCGGAATGTTTCGTGTCTGTGCGTTTTCTGTTTGCGGTTGAATTTTGTGTTCGCAGATGGCTGTGGCTGTGCACCTCCTGTCAGACCAGAGCTCGCGGGATCTGAAATTCGTTTACGCCTGTCATATGTCAGCCTATCTGTCCCTTCCATCCTCGGGAAATGTCACCTTGCTGAAGGCTCAGAGGTAGCTTCGTCTGAGGCTGCGGAAGTCTAAATGACATCTTGTGTGTAGATATAAGCCTTAGATTCTCAGCAACCATCCCCAATGTCGCAGGTGGCTTTCTCAAGTCGTCTAGCGTTCTCATGATCGCCACTTCCGAACCAGTCAGGCACCCAGCGCTGTGAAGATCCAGCGGCATTAATTAACCCATCGCGTCCGAAGAACAGGCACCATCCGGTACCGTCAACGCCAATCCTTGCCCACTACAAATCTGCTGAGAACGCAGATGATGGTAACTACTATAAGCGAACGATCTTTTCGCCTTTCTATTTATCATCAGGCTACCTAGGGCTACCTCCATGGTCAATGCGCTGGCCACTACTTTTGACTCTTAGGTCCCTCCCGTCGATCATGTAGGCCTTCGCTTGCGGACCTACTTATCTACGCGTAACAACAAAAGCATCACACAGACATCAGCGTTGAGACGTTTGCTGATCCAGGCTGACCCCTCCACGCCGGAGCGAGGAGTCCGTGTAAATATGGTGCGAGGACTCGGGGCTACTGCGTTGGTAAAAGCTGATATGGATATTGCAGCTGCAGCCTATTGCTTAGATCAAGACATGGCGCCTACCAATCGGAAGTAAAACTCGAGGCCATATGGCGCTACTGTATGTGCAGGGCGCTACCAGGCGCTACCCAACGGTGCTTGCCACTGTTCATCAGTGTTCAATTAATGCTACTTTCCCCCTTTCCACGCAATCCGTTTCTTGTTCGTAACTTCAGCCAAGCCTACTAAGCATGCTGTGCATGACGCCTGATAGCGCCGTAGAGACTGAACATGACGCAATCCTCAACTCTGCGCAGTGCTTAAACTCTGAAGTTCTTGCATCATACTCAACCTCCTTTCACAAAGAAACCACAAATCTCACTACAGACTCGGAGTCACAGAAATTACTCCGGTTCCTTACTGATCGACGTCGAGCTAAGCGACACGAATCGTACCTGATGTTCGTTGATGTTACACCTTGTTACACCTTGCCGCTTGCCTTGTCGCATGCGGAGGCCAAACGGGCAGTTCCTGGGCAGATGCGTGGCGGTGCAAGGCTCCGATCTCTCATCCGCCCTCCGACTTTCCCACTCTCCGACAAGTTGGCCGTCCGGGGCAGGGCCACACCGGCCCGAGTGACCCTGAGCCAGCCCAGCTGGTCGCTGGCTCGGGCGCCACGGAACTGGACGTAACGGACGTGTCCCTGTCAGTCAGTCCATACCTTTACAACCATCACTGGCAACAAGCTCGTAACAAACACTTGACCTGCTCTTGCCGAATCACTGAATGCTTGGGCGAATTCTCTTCAAAGCTCCGACACTGCCTCTCCTGCAGCTTCGGCGCTATCTTTGTGCTTGGCTTTCTGTGGCTGAACTGGCTGATCCGGTAAGCGTTTCGTACTACTACCAGCGCGATCTGCAGTCCCGTGAATCCTCGTGAATCCTCGACAGAGATCAAAGAACAGGCACACCTGTCAAGGCACGGGCGAACTGTACACGTCTAACTGAACGTTTCCCTTATCAGCAACGGTCTGCGACGGTGCGACCTTGGCAAAGATGAAAACGCATCATCTCGACCGCAGAGTGCGATCTCCGTTTCTGCCTTTGGTCTCAACTGGTTTCCACCCGAACGGCTGAGACTTTGCTCACAAATACGGCAGCACCATCGTTGATGAGCCGCACTGCTTTGACTGCCAAGCTAAGGCCCAAGACAAGGCCGTGTACGACAAGCAGGGACTTGGCGTTGAACATGTATTTCGCTCTCCGGTTCATCGCCCTGTTCCGTATTATCCGTATCCCTCTAGAGATTCTTTTTCAAGTACATCAATGCCATCCTTCGTACTAATGAGCTCAACTCGTACTCATCTCGTTTCTTCCAGGTCACATTCCTGTCGCTGAGGCCTTACGAGGTGATGGAACAAAGTACGTGTCCATTTATGACCGAGCTCAACCAGAAAACTCCCCCGCACAACCCATCTGGATAAAGGTAGCCTCACCGCAAACACATGTTTCTTGAGGTTCCGCGCCCCGATGATCTCATTCTCTCGTCCAATGAACACTTTATGCGCGAAGCACGGAGAGAACGATGTCAAATCAAAGCCTCATAGCTCGACTCAACCTTCGCGGTCACCACTCACCAAGTGTTCGGGATCGCTGTCGATCCTGCATTCACATCTCAGGCCCAGAATCAGGGGTAACGGTGGCGCTTTCTATGGGGGCAATCAGGGCACAATGAGGCGGTGAGAATGAATCGTATGTATAATGCAGGTGTACTAGGCCACCAAGTAACCCGTGTTTTGACCCAAAAGACGGCGGCAAAAATACCACTATGCATACTAATCTCCTGTTTGATAAACATTTTTCCGCGTTGTCCTGAAGGAGAAGCGTGTATTCCTCGTACCCTTGCTAGCTCGTATTAGCCTTCGGTAGACTGGTGACCTGCTTTCAGATTGATCGTAAAAACAAGGAGAATATAAGGCAGTCGCATTCGTCCGATCAATGATCTTCATAGGAGAATGCTTCTATGAAGTTACATATAGCTGTGAGGCCTACCCGGGAGCAGTGATCAACAAGCTTTGATCGGGAGCGGAACTCTGCATAGAAGAACACGCTCGAAGCATCGTCGCGATCCTACCTCACTACCTCGACTTCTTTAGGACTCGAGGGAACACCTGTCACACACGGAGTCAAAAATACACCAGGACGATCCCAGTCACCGCCACTCCACCGCACCCGAACCACTTACACTTAAGCATTGACGGCTTCTGTCATCAGATTTTGCACCCGTTCGGAGGGACAATCATATGGCCAAGCCTCAAATGACGAGGTGGCTCTGTTCCTGATCGTTTTCCCCGCATGTACGGGTGCTGGCCAGTGACGATGACGTCGAGGGCCGCCGCTTGGATTTCTCTGGGTTTTAGTCGGCCAAGCCCGCCCGGGATGATCTGCAGAAGTGCGTCGTGGCATTCATAAAAGCATAGGCAATCAGGGGTAATTTACACTGCTGTCTCGGACTTCTTCTTTATTTGATCAACGAGCTAAGAATGCTCCCGCGGCACGAACTCGCACTTAAAGTGTGGTTGGCTAGCACAGCGGATAGTCAGGACCTAGTTCATTCAATACATGCTTATGAGAGTCGCTTACCATGTCAGCCCTACCTCCCACTTTGGCTCGCTGCGAAGTACCCTCCCCCGCTCGTCTTTGGGGTGCTCAATACGAAAGCTCGCCAGAATCGATGCTATGGCTATCCACACTGAGGATGTGGCGAGGTGGCGACCAGGACACATACGGCGCCCGAATCCGAATGCATAGCTGACCGTGTCATCGTTGAGTGTGCCGTCCGGTAGAATAAACCGTTCCGGCAGGAAGGTGGACGGAGACGGGTATCGGCTTTCGTCGTGAGAAATCGCGCTGGGGTGCGAAACCGTGAGACAAATGCTTCAGTAGGGTTAACAGCGGTTGGACTAACCCTGTATGGCCTATGACCACCGACCCTGCAAGAACTCTGAGTTTGCGAATCGAGTCAGCTAGCTGCTGAACGGACGTACCTTTGGGAAAGAAGTAACCTTCATAGACATCGTCTTCAGTGAGGCAGTGAGGAACGCCTGAGATGTATTCAGCTTATAGTCCGTTGGGGCGACCATAAGAAATGGCAACTAGCTCACCAGTCGGGACAACGGATCTCCATCGCAATGTCTCCCGCATAACAGCCTCGAGATAGGGCATCGACTCTCTGTCCTCGAACGTCGGAAGCCTGTCCTTCCCGACGACATGGTCAATTTCCTCTTGACCACGTCTTTGAACTTCTGGATTTTGCAGCATGGCAAGGACGAATATCAAGAGTGCGGAAGTTGTCTGTAGACGAGATTAGTTTCGGAAAATAAGCTGAAAGTGAAGGGGACTCACTGTCTCCATTCCGGCTGACGGAGACAAAAACGTCAGTTGATGTTTCCGTGTACGTTAACTATCGGGATAAACTGTACCTAGAAAAGATGTAGCGCAGACGTGTTTGATTGATTGTTTGATGGAAGCTTCGTCCAGATGATCCGTTCGCTGGTCCAAAAGTTGAACAGCCTTTCCTGGGGATGAGTAACTGTTTCGTGCCAGGTACGTCAAGATACGCACATCAGCGACAACGAGTCTCTCATATAGTCCGTCAACGAGAGCATCATTGATCTTACGGGACTCTGCCGCGTTGAATATCCCTCCGAACAACCAAGCCGGGGCATACTTCACTGGATAGGCAGAGATGAGCGCCTCAGAGTGAAGTATAACTGTAATGATGCTTACTAAACGGCAATGCGTTGATGGTTGCAACGACGATGTCCGAAGCAACGATCTTGAATCGATCCGCACAGGTAGAGGTCAGTTTCGCGATATCTTTCTCAAGCTCTTGACGGTGCTCGATATTGTCGCCGTATAAAATGCTCAAAACGATGCCGACGCTGAAGCTGTTGGGGTACCAGCGTTATCATATGTGTAGTGTTCAGAAGATTTGCTGACTCACGTGTCCAAGTTGTCACGGAGTTCGGGGGGATCTGTAGACAAAGACGATAATAGCTCCGACGCTTTGCGGTATTGAGCTGCGTGGAAGTTCGGTGTAACAGACTCCCGCATGATATGGCTGTAGAGTTTTCGATGGAAGCGCCATGTAGGTCCGTATCGGACGGTACCCGTATTGAGAAGGACACCGTAGCTACCATAAAAGTTGAGTAGACGTCATGGTAACCGAATGGGGGAGCGTACTCTTCAAGACTATCAAAGCCAGACCTGTCAGAGTACAATCGAGAACGCCGCTCAAGTAGATCTTGAGCAGCCCGTTCCGTGTTCAAAAAGATAAAGTCTCTGCTGAAAATTCGGCAATGCATGATGTCCCCTACCGGGCGTGAGCATAACTTGGTTTCAGGCGTGCAAAAGGTGGCTTACCATACTGACGAGACCAATCCATAAAGGTCTCTAGCGGATTCTCCGCGTTGACACTCAAGGCGCTCCCAAAGAATGGAATACCCTTGGGCCCAGGTGGCAACCCATATGAACCATTTCGCCGTCGTAGATAACGCAGAGCCAGTCCACCAGTCAATACCAAAGGAAGAGCAAACGCATAAGCAGGCAAGCTGGAGGAGGATGGCTCCATGAAGGTCCAAGGTAGGCAGATAGAAGATGCGAAAGGATGGGGTAGAAGGGCACAGACCCAAGGTCGCAACCTCAGCCTTATCAATGGCCCACCAATCGTGCTGTGGTCCAGGTTCCACATACCAACATATGCGCAAGTGGCTCGCTCGATCACTCGGATGCTTCTAGTCAATTTCGGGCAGTGAGGCTGTAAAGATGGGACCCCTTATGACTGACCAGGTGACACAGCTTGTGTAATGGTACACCAACAATTTGGCCAAAGAAGGCGTCATTGACCTTGCGAGAGCCTCCCCATCAATTCAAGAAGGAGCTCTCATAGGCGCCCACAACGCATGAACACAATGTACGAAGGAACTTGCCGTCGATCGCGAACGGGCTTACCGTATTCTGAAAACAGATCACAGTAAACCTTGCCAGAAGTTCAGTGAGCTATATCTGAAGTCCGATGATCGATAGAAGAGCCATGGGGCACGGATGAGTGGGGTGTATGATGTAGACACCATCAAACTTCCGCTGACGCGTCCTGACAGTTGTGTACAGCCGATGAGGGCGCATACACGTTTTCCTCGCAACACCGCGGTGGTGGTGTTTCCCGAGCCCATTGGTCGGTCAGACGCCACTACCGATTGTCCAAAGTGACCTGCTGCTGTTTCTGTTTCGCCACAATCTCCATTAGTAGAGCACTTGAAGCTAAGGACATACGCCCCCAACCGCTGATCCACAAAGCCCTAGGACCCTCGGACTTCCTGTGCACTGTAAGTCGGGTGAAGTTACTCGGTGATGAATTTGTCGTAGCCGAGTTATGTCAGATACCGAGAGGTGTAGCAATGGCTGCCGACGGCTATCTGGAGCGAGCAGACTCGGAGTTTGCAATCGAGCAAGGATATTGAGTCGGAGTGGTCGGAGTTTGAACCGCCGATTTCGACGAACCCATCAAGTAACTTCCTCGCCGGAGAAACTTTCGTGCGTGCAAGACTCCTGAGACGAAAGCATGCGTCGAAGTTCCAACAGCAACTAATGGATCGCCAATCAGGAACATCTATTTGAGTATGTCATGGAACCTTCTTAGGATATCGCATAGTTGACTTATGTTTGTCGGGCCTCCATCCCGAGATGCCATATCTTTGTTCGACGACATCTAGTGACCCGTGATCTCACGGTTCCAGTAGACACCCTGCACTAGAAGTTAAACAGGCTCTCCGTCATATCCTCAAAGGAGTTATGCTCCAGAATAGAGACAACCGATATCCAATTGGCTACGACTTATCGTTCGTGGTCCAAGCCAATTCTGGATGAGCTTTTATCGGGTTCGGGGTCTACAGCGCTTCATGCCTTTCTTCCCTGAGAATCTGGTTTGTCAAAGCTGCATGGTTTCAATTTATCTTACTTTCGACCCAGCAGCGCCCATATTTCCCTGAAGCGATCGGCTCCTGCGTTCCACTCGAATCCGCTTTTTGTTTATACCGGACTAGGTGGGTATTAGGCACACCCGTTCAGCTGGTGGTAGCAGTTAAACCGCCTCGGCTTCGCATACTTCCTAGAAAAATAAAATCATTGACACGTTTAGCGCCCAGCCGCAGGATCTTCACCTCTACAACTCAACTCCTGATGGTCGCTCGCTTCCTAACTGGTAATGTTCAACGGGTGTTCGTTCCGAGGCCTCTGGGTGGATCCACTCAAGTCCGAGAAGAGGGCGCTCTCGTCATCTACACCTACGTAAACTGGTGACAAAACTTTTGCTTTGTTTCTCTCCGAGTAGACTTAGACAAAGTTAGTAGCATTGAACCCTGTGGTTGGCGGGGGTTGATGACGATATACCCTCCGAGAGGCTTTCCTGCGCTCTTGCCGGATCTCTCAAACCCGGAGCTAACCATAGGCGGTCAACACCTCTCCATGGAGATTTGTGGAGGTCTTGAAGTTCGCCCTCATACAAGTTCTTATTTTGCTATCTTCTCAACCTGTCTTTTGGATTTCAGACTCACTTTATGAGGTGTCGTGGAGCCCAAATTTGTCCTCTTAAACCATTAACCCAGTCAAGCTTCTGTAGATCGTACGAGAATAGATTTTGTTTATGTCCATGAGGTGAAGAAAACCTGAGTAGTCAATTCACAATCATTCTTCGCAAGGACTATCGAAACTTTCAAACATGATGACTACCGATTAGCTTTCGTCTGAGAACAGGGAACCATAATTTACGGAGCCTTCGTTCATGGCTTAGACACGTAGAAGCGCTTCAGCTAGCGTAGCCTTGGAGTTTTGGAGTCTTGGAGGGCACAGCCTGTGTCACCTTGGCGCATTTTCTGGGGTCGGAAATCGGACTTCACTTCCGATGACTCGACCGGCGCCGGCAGGTAACCGTCCTTGGTCAAAGACTCTCATCACCCTGCAATGCATTTCGTTGTCCATCATTCAAGTCATAATTTCATGCACAGATCCGCGAAATAAGCTCTTCAACCTCAACGAAGCATAGTGTTCAAGGCAACAAAACAGTATCAGCAGGACACGGCGAAGCACAAAGCAGATGTACAGTGTAGCGATAGCAGGAAACTGGACTAGAGGCATCGGTGTATGGTGAGTCCCCTCAGTCCGTTTGCCAAACTCGCCCCCGCATCTCCTTCGAGCCTCCACTGAACCTTGTCTAGGTTCTCCAACACCTTCGCAACAATGACCCCAACCGCAATCGGCGCCCACCTCGCCCCAAGGCACTTCAACCTCCCATGTCCAAACGCCAGCATCGGCCTTTCCTCGCTCTGCTGTCCCTGAGTCAGGCCCTCCCTGCTTGGGTCGAAGACATTCGAATTGTCACCCCACGCCCTCGACCTCTGCGCCACGTTAATATCCGCGATCCGCACCACCGAGACCGTGAACGGCCACGAGACGAGCAGCGTTTCCCTATATATCTGGCGGTTCGGCGGATGCATGCGGAGCATCTCCATCACCACCGCCTCGGCGCTCGGCATCCTCCCTCCCTGCCTGGGCGCCTCGAACTGGCGGGGCGTAGGGTTCTCCCCGAAGTCGAGGAACGCAGACTTGTAATCGTCTTGGTCGTACACCATTGCGACCGTCGACGCGACCACACTCCAAATGGTCTCGTATGCGGGCATGATGTAGTCAAGCGGGTCTTCGTAGCGCTCGTGCAGCCACTGCCTCAAAATGCTGTGGACACGCTGGAGTTGCTCGGGGCGGGCAGGGGCTCGCGTGCAGAGCTGGTCGAGCATGGATGTGACGAAGGCGACATCTTCGGGGTCGAGCTCGCTCAGCGTTGCACCGAGGAAGCCGATCAGGACGCTGGTGAAGGCGATGGACTGGATGTACGTGCGGAACGACATGCTGTGTTGCTCGGGTAGGTACCGCTCCACGCACCCCTCAATGGCAATCACCCACTGATCCCAGCCTTCCCGGTTTTCTTCAGGAGAGAGATTACGGACCATAGATGCGATGGTTCTGAGACGGTCGTCGTGGGAGGGAAGATGGTTGTTTTCGAAGCTGTGTCGCAGGCCCGAGTGGTACCCGAGGCGTCTATTCGCAAGTGTCCGCTGAAACCTAGGCTGCATTGAAGAACCCGAAGCCAATAAACTCCGAATCTCCGCTGAATCCGTGTATGTAAACGCCCATCGCAATGGACTCATGACCCAATCCACGATTATCAGAGCGCAAGTACGCAAGTGGGCGAACATTTTTGTGGTGGCAGGGTTTTCGATAGGTAAAGTGGGAAAGGTTTTTGACCAAAGTGAATTGCTGCGCTATTGCAAACTGCTTATATACTTCAATGAAGCCGTGGCTACCGGTACGTACCTGCTCTGAGTCGCAGTCTTCCTAGGAAGATGGAAATCTGCTCGTTCTGATTGCTGTCTTTGCTCAGCAACACGTTAGGAGCATGGTGCATGAGCGGTGCCAGCCACCACCCCCACTTACCAGAACCTGGCAATAAAATCGGAAGGCCGGCCTGGTTGAGGCGAGGCTCCGCGCGTTTTTGAGCTTTAATGGGACGAAATTGACAGCTTTTTCATCAGACACATACATCGTCATCCTCGGTGGACATCGTCGTCCGTTTGCCAGTAGAGCGGTGTGCTGATGAACATGCCGCTCTTTGCGCATCGGTCCAATACACTCTTCCTATGGGAGAGCCCTATCCTTAGGCTGTCTAACTTCGTCACGCACGGCGCGTGGCCGCATCCGACTGCGTACGCTAAATGCCGCGATGCTGTGCTGTGCATCATGTCTTGAAGCTATGCCCAAGTGCAGGCGCTTGGGTCGTTAGACGCTCATGCGTGTAATAGGCATGTAACGTTCTGCTCTACCAGTACCCGACTTCCATATCACAAATTCGCATTCGTCCTGCTGGAAGGGGATTTCTTGACTGATATGTCGTCTCCGACGGATACGCATCGTTTCAGACAACTATAGCAACTCACAGGCTCACAGGATAGGGTTTGTTCTGTGAGATGGGTCGGCAGGCGAGGGCCGTATGCCCGCGTTGCATGCAATTCGTTCATATAACTGTTTAAATGAATGGACCTTCGCTGATGACGACATTGTAGATGAAGGATTCGCATCTAGAAAAAACGTTCTCGGGAACATGAAACGTGACCGAGAACAACCCTCAGTTGGAATGGACCTACAGTCCCTCGGCGCCTTCTAGATGCAGGCGTTATGTTCACAGTTCAAAGGTCGGAGAAGGGCGGTAGGTCTTTGATGTGTCGAGGCAATGTTACCTCGTTGCGCTTTGGTAAGGTCCTTCCTGTTTGCTCTTCTACGCTAGTACGGAGCTCACGAGCACCTCCAATATCGGTATCTGTATATGCATTCTCTCGATGCAGCCGTCAGGCAGTCATCCAAGGACCAGCCGTCTTCAATGCTATGGTATCGCCTTCTTCGTTCTAATTTCCCCATCTCGTTCATAGTTGATATGTCGGCACTGCCAGCTCGGTATGTGCTTCTCTGATATAGTACCTGCTTACTACTAATACAAAGTAAGTCCACCTCCCGTCTCCTTGGTTTGCTTCGGGTCTTGAGTTCGCCATCCCGACAACCGATGATTAAAAGGTGGGTAACACGTGTTTTCCGCACGATTCCACGCGGCGATTGAAGCTAATGCTCTGCTTACAGCAGAGAGCACCAGTGCCCACTGGTTCATAACCTGATTGCGTACATGAATCCATCGAAGCCTTTCTCGCCAACGGTGGGTATCGCAGTCGCGTCGAACTCATCGTCTTCTTTGACCATCGCCACCAGCTTGCGGACGCCCAAGACATCTGGGTCTTCGTACTCCAAGTCTGCAACGCGTCCGTATCGGATGACATTGTCGACAATCTGGCGAACCGAATAACAACGTTAGAGACAATTATCGCACCGGGATCTCGGTACGGGATATCGATCAGGCACGACTCACGATGACACCGCCCTTGCGCACCATGCGCCTCGCCTCCGTCCAGTACGCCGGGTAGCTCTTCTTGTCCGCGTCGATGAAGATCATGTCGAACGGCTCGGACGGCTGGAGCTTCGCGAGCGTGTCGTGTGCGTCGCCGACGATGAGCTCGATCTGCGAAGAGAGGCCTGCGTTTTCGAAGTTCTGCTTGGCGACCTGCACGAAGCATGTGGAACGTGAACATGGTGATAAATTAGCCTTCATCTCAGCATTTGATACTCCCGCATGACAGTGGGGTGGGCGAGGCAAAGTCACTCCCGCTCTAACTTACCTCCGCGTTCTTTTCGGACACCTCGAGCGTTGTTATCCGGCCGTCCTGTGGCATGCCTTGAGCCATCCAAATCGTCGAAACCCTATCGATGCGGTGAGCCGTGTTTACCTCAATGTTAATCTTGTCCCGCGTTGAACGCGATTCAAGCGCGAGATGAGAACTGACCCTCCGAGCGTGCCGACCTCGAGGATCCGCTTCGCACCGAACGTGCGCGCGAGGAGCTTGAGGAACTTGCCCTCGTTGTTTGGGACTGCGATCTGTGGAAGACCATTATTGTCGCTGTTCTCCAAGGCGGCTTCGATGGTCATGTCCATCTTGAGCAGGTAGGAGTCGTGAAAGCTAACGGACTTTGCCCATTGCGGCTCAGACGGATCCATGGGTCGAACGCCAGTTGAGAATGCGGTAGTGGTTAACATAGAGAGTGGCAGGGGATGATAAGAAAAATGCGTAGTTGAGCGGTGGGCAACGCGATAGCCTTTCCCTGGCCCAGCTACTAATATACCTTTATAGTCCTTCTTTCGCCTCGTCATCGTCCCTGCAAATCGGAGTGTCTACATACTATTTACAAGGGCAGGGCGCCATTCTTCGTCCGCGAAATTGGACCAGATTAACGAGCTGACATCTCGGCTATGCTCAGCCGAAAGGTAGGACTGGGACCGGGACGTCAAACTTAGAAGCTTGGCATCGGCTATTTGCCCGTTGTCCCGAGCCGTCCGGCCGTGCCAACGACGGAAAGGCGGGGCAGATAATGTGCGAGACTCAAGTTAGTTTCTATAGAACATATCCTAGCTGATCGTCATGGGTGTCTGTTGGTACCGACCCGGCCTAATCAGTCTCTGACGAGCTTTCGTTTCAAACACAAACCGTGCTAGCTGCTCTGACGACAACTACTATGACTGAATCTTGACACCATCTCCTGGCGTACAGGTATGAAGCGGAACACCAATTGACTCGCCAGTGCTTATTCGAGGTATTGTTTAAGTGATCTTCCCACTGCTAACCGGAGCTAATCATCCTAGAGCCCGCAGTGACATGAAGATACTGACGTGATAGAGACGCTACTATTCAAGCTTACTACTAACTTGCTTCTATTAGAGACGAGCTTGCGATCGTACCATTCAAAGATTACACGACCTGCGAGATGTGATATTGACAACAAATCGCTCTGCGCTGTAGAAATTTCATGAAGCTGTGCTAATCGTACCGGCAATATAAGCAGCTACCTAATCAAACAGTTCGATGTTCGTATGAAGAAGACGTATAGTGATGTGCCTATTGTCCTCCAGTCCATAAATCGATACTTTGCTCCCTTCAACAACCAAGTGTAGGTATTCAACATGACCCCCGTGTTTTGGTAGGTTCTTGAATGAGGGACGATACCTCGCAGGAAGCCAGCAAATTCTGGTTCTCCTCTTTTTAAGCCACCCGTCCCTGGTCATGCAAAGATCCGACCATGAGTCCGTGTCGTGGATGGTATCCAGGTCGTTATCTTGATCTTCTTGATACAGCCAGTCTTGTTTGTCTCCTGCTAGTGAGCCTCCGAGCCGAACATCCTGACTGAGAAACAGTGAGGGTCTCAAGGTTATAGCCTTCCCACTATGATATATCCGAGTGAGGCCGGGTGAAACCATCGCCAATGTTCTGAATGCAATGGCCCAGTCCCATAAGACAATAGTAGTCGTTTTTGGCTCCGAAATCAACCAGTTCACTTGAGTGATATGCAAAAGGCACCTTGGTTTTCCAAATGTTGAATGTTCCAAGCGGTAAAAAGAAATCTTTTCGCGAGTCACAGAGGCAATGCGGGGCACTTCGTCGCTATACATCGAGACACGAGGAATAGAGAAGGTGAACTCTTGCTGCAATATATTTCCTTCAAGGGAATAAGACACAAACGTGAAAACAACACCTTGGTCACAGTCGGAAAGATCTTCGAATAGTAGAGCTAGCATTGATTCATCTTTTGCGAAGTGGATTTGTTTGGGGTTCTGAGTCCCGTATACGAGATTTTCAGTACCCCACGTTCCTATCTGAGAGCCCGACCTGAGATCCCAGACCTCTAAGCAAAGCCGGTCATCCCATTCCTGTATGGCACCACTGCATATAGTACATGCAAAATAGGTGGACTTTGGCGATATCGAATGAACTTTTAGCACCTGCTCTGAGTGCGACGATGTCTCTAAGACTAGTTTGTTCCAAACTGATGACTTGGAGGAACAAAGGGAATAGAGGAAATCGACAGGGGTGCCTTGAGGCCCAAGGTTTTGATTGGTCGTCGAAATATCAGAAGGAGATTTAATAGTAGCCTGAGAAAGATCCACAAGATAGATATGGTTGCCCTTACGAAAAGCACCAACACATGGTTTGTCTTGTGTCACCCAGCTGGTTCGTTTACCATCGCAGAATCCACACATATTCTCACCAGCCTTTTACCCCAACAACCATACCAGAGTGGACGATCAACGTTTGTTCTGGAGTTGAAGGCGCTCGGTGATCTACTGAAATCTCTCTCTGCAATTCGCAGGCGTCACCAAGCGGAGACGTAGAATGGGAAGCTGATGACGTAGAGGGTTGACCCAACGGATCTAGAGATGTTTGAGAGCACATATTGCCCTTGGCCTGCAAACTGGAGTATGCGCACGAGGAAGGGTTGTCTGAAAAAGATGTGGTGGTCCTACTAGCTTTTTTGGTGATGTCGACAAAGGAGAACTGTGAGATACTAGCTGAATTGCCAGGAGAACTGCTGGCGTGAAGTATCCTTTTGTTGTCTGTTCCGAATAAGACTAGATCCGCGCATATAGCATCCGTATCGTTGCAGCGTGCCCATGATAGAAGCCGGCCGTCAATGGTATCAAAGAGAAGGATGTGGCCCGAAAAGTGTACCACGAGATGCTCCCCCGAGACAGAAAACTCGATTTCGATACGCTCCCCACCGCGGAATCGTCGATGGTCGTCATTTGAGCGTGGCGCCAGTGTTTGAAGAATCTCGTCAAGTTCCAGGAGTGTCAGCTCTTCAAAGGTAGCAATGTCGTAGATAGCGATTATTGCGTAGCGATCGTCAAGTTCGGTCCAGAAGCATGCAATTGTAGATCCATCAGAAGAGAGCGCTATACGACGGCAAATTCGGCACGATGACGACTCTAACGTTCCATCCCTGCGATATGCGATGATTGCGCGGCTAGATGGAATCCAGACTCTTATTGTGCCATCTAAAATACCGTCACTTATGGCTGTTGTTGTACAGGAGTTATTGTGTGCAAAATCGTGGAGGATGTCGTCGTTGGAGCCGTTATAATAGGCTGCAGCTCCAAAGGGGGCTGTTGCAACATGAGTTCCTGTGGCTGTGTCCCACACCGTCAGCGAATTCCGACCCAAACAGCTACTTGTGATGCATCGGGCGATAGGACTGCTTTGTCAACCTTCTTCTTCAAGTCGATTACCCGCAGGACGCAGTCCCATTTCTCATCAAGACCTTCTTCAAACTCAAAAGCAGCTCCTTGTTCCAGATGCTGCTTGTAGATGCGACGAATCGTGGACTTTGCCGGGGTACAGGGAAGGGCAGACTCGTATACATGCAGAGCTGAAACGCTGATGGGATCGAAGAAATCCAGAGCGAGCCGCCAGCTATCGTGTAGCAGAGAGACAGCGACATCCTTTTGAGCGAAGGTATTGTCTGCCCAAGCCTACGTTGATCGGGGAATTAGTACTTGCGATGATAGAGGATGGGCGGGGATCGTACCGAGATGGTGTTTCGAGCCTCTCTTAGTATCCCTACCCCAAGGCCCAGTTCACCGAGTACCGCGTAGGCTTCAATGACAAACAGAAGGCGCTGCTGGAGAAAGTCTGACAAGTGTCCATGGACCGCATCAATTCGGGGAGCGAGTTTCAGGTGATGTAGCCAGTAGAGGCAAGCATATCGTAGCGCTCGAGGAATGGCATCGCGTTTCTCGGCAAACTTCAGATCCTCGTCATGCAACAACGACGGATCGCTAAGCCCACAAATATTGCGTTTCAGCAGCTTTCCCATAGTCTGAAAACAAGAAAACGCTAAAGAAAAATGAACATGCTCCTGTTCGTCTTGCTGATGAACCTGTAAATCCTGTTGGTAAACCTGTAAAAAATCACGAAGGGATGGGTGGAAGGTCTCAACCGCCTCGTTCGTCCCGGGAGACGGGATAGAAATCAAGGCTGAGAATGGAACCAGGAAGGCATGAACGTCTCCGACTAGGAGTGTATTCAACTCAGAGAGAGCGAGAGGCTCGGCGAGGTTAGCTATCAGCTTGAGATATCTCAGACCCTTCGCGCGAATGGTCGGGTCAACTCCGTCGATGATGGAGGAGTACAGTTGGTCAATGCTCCCCCACACGCTCGCCAAGGTGCCGCGTAACATGTCACAGACCAATCGAAGACGTTTGTTGGGTTCTTCTTGATCTATCAAGCGAATGACAGTTGCTGCGAAAATAAAGCGGCCTTGGGCTCGCTCTGCTAACATTGCGAGCTCGGCTTCAGGGGGCCATGGTTTACGGAAGAGAGATTCCAGAAAATGATTGTCATAAATCTCGTCGAATGCGTGTCGGAAGAAGCGAGTGACATCCTCGTACGAACCGTAATCTTCCATACGGACGGTCTCGACGATGTTCGGTGCACGCAGACTGCTCATAGCCGACCTGATCTGAGGCCATGGGCGGCTGAAAATGATGACGTTGCGAATAGGAAGGGAAGAATCCGTGATAAGACGTCCGAGAAGGGAAATGAAGGGTGAGATTTTGCGAGCGCTTTTCGAATTAGTAGCAGTGCCTTCATCAAGAGCGTCCAAGATGATCGAAACACCGGGTTTATCATCCCAGCTCAAAGCAGACTCTCTCAGAGGCTCGATGACGAGCTTCTCTAATACCTCGTTGGACGACTTTTCCGGAGAGAGAAGTGCGGGGTCATCGGAGATGGCTTTAACGATGACTTCTTTAGCAATGTGATGCTGTAAACCGATTTGATAGGCAAGTGTGAGGAGGACGAAGTCGAACGTGCTGCGCTTGGTGTGTTTTCTGGAGAAAAAGAACGCAGCTGCGAGCTTCCCTTCTCCGCGAAGGTCGTCGGCAAGAGTATGGGCTACAGTAGACTTGCCAGACCCAGACTCGCCCGAGATCCAGATGATCTTGCGCCTGCCGTCGCCAGCCAGATCCTTGACCGATCGAAGTAGCTCAACTCTGGTGCCTGGGAGGCAGTGAGAGTAAGTAAGATGTTCGTTTGAGTCGTAGATAGCGCTGTGAACGCATTCGTGTGCGAGCTTCTGCCAAGCGTCGCTTGCCGGTTGCATAGTTGAGCTGAACAGTTCGTGTCAGTCAGTACTCAGGGTCAGAGAACGGCGAGACGTACCTTCGAAGGTCTGACAGTCTGTTCAATGGTCGTGGTTCGAGTTCAAGCTTGCGCAAGTCTGTATCAGCCATCAATCAGCCTTGAGGCCCGCCTCGAGGATGACCGGGTCATGCCGTGCACTTGGCGAACCTTGAGCTTGTATAGACGCCAAAGAGACGCTCGATCCTTAGGCAGTGCATACGTCCAATCGCATGCGTACGAAGTATTCGTGAGTGTTTGGACATCACGACTTCAGTTAGAGAACTTTAGTACGATACAGTAGCCAGAAACTTGCTCATGGATTGAAGGTGTTCTGAACATAAATGTCTCGAAAGTCTGGGTTCGTAGAGGTGACGGAGAGTGCGGATCGAATCCGGCCCGACCGACGCATCCGCACCCGATTTCCCTTTTCGTGCGCTGATGCAGATGTCCGCCGCCAAAACACAAAACAAAAACATCCCGTCCAATGTCCTCCTCGCCGGAGCCCACCCTCCTCGCAAACCAACCCAAGTCCTCATCCAAAACCCAAAAGTCGAAATCAAAGACATCTAGCAAGAGCAAGTCCAATGCTGTCGCCGTAACCGGTGCAGCGGGCACAAGTTCTGGCATCACCGCGCGAAACGAGGGCGACGACCCGTACTGGGCGTATGAGCCACCAGCGGGCTCGAAGCTCCTCGAGCACGATCACGAGGATGGGGATGATGCGTTTGACTGGGACGCGGTGAAGAATGATGATGATGTGGAGATTTGGTTGGTTAGGGCACCAGAGGGGGTATGTGCTTCCTTCTGCTCCCTTTCTCTTTGAGCTCTCCTTTTCTTTCATCGCTCGTGTCTTTCTTGATTGATGATTTTAAGTATGCTGATGTGGCTTCACATATCAGGTAAAGCCTAAGCATCTCTCGGGTATGCTCATCGACGAGCCCCCCTCATCGTCGGCTTCGCAGTCGAGCAAGCGTCGGACGACCAAAGCGGGCACGCTCAGCAGGAAGAACGCGTCGTACGACGCATGGTACATTGACAACACTCCACGCGACACTCATGATCGGGACGATGAAGACCAAAATGAGGATAGGGATGACGACGGCGGCGCGCCCATAGGCGCAGAAGAGCTCCCAGGTCTAACATGCCTACTACCGCGCAAGAAAAAAGGAGGAAAACTCTACACTGGTACGCTCTTCTCCCTCTCCCCTTCAAGCTCGCTTCCGCTCATCCTCCCCTGATGACGACTAAATCCACGCATACAACGCACAACCACCAGCCCCGAAACCCATCGCCCGCCACCTCGTCATCACCGCCGCACCCGCGCCGTCCTCGCCCGTGCAGATCCTGCAGCAAAACCCGCCGCGGCCCTCATATCCGCCTGATGTGCTCAAGCACCGGTTCACGCCGCTCGGTGCGCGCGAGCCCAACATCGCAGACACAGACGAAGCGCAGGAAGGAGACGGGATGGAGGTGGACGAGCTGGCACCCGCAAAGGTCAAAAAGTCCAAAGAGGAGAAGGACAAGGCGAAGAAACGGAAAGGGGAGAAGGGAGAGGCGGGAGAGGCGCCGAAAAAGACGAAGAAGGCTAAGACGGCGGGGTAACAGATTTCTCTGGTGCTACTTGCTTCATATCGTGTGCAATATCACTTATACAACGCGTTTTTGCCACGAACTAAAGGGTATAATAGCGCGAACGAGTGAAGAGTCCACCGGTGGTACAGGCATTAGAATTGAAAAAAAGAAAAGCGGGTGAACAACAGCACAACGCGAACACCATGGCGATAGTAGTGGTAACAGTGTAAGTACAAGCCGAGAGAGCCTGCGGATGTGAGCAACGAATAAGGATAACGCAAACACGTCCAGACCCTCACAAACCCGCTATCCCACATCCATCTGATCCCCAATCTCCCTCCTAGACGGCGCCAACAGCGCTCCTAGTCCTCCTGGCAGCGCATCTCCAGCCCCACCACCACCACCACCATCCACATCCATCGGCACACCGCCGCTAAGCTTTCTCTCCACCTCTTCCTGCACACCCTCGAACACGCTCCGCTTCGGCAGCCCGTATATCCTCCCCGGACACTCCCTCTCCTTCTCTTCAAAAAAGTCGCCCACCAGCATACCATACTGCGTCCGCGAATCAACGAGCGCCTTCAGCTGATCGTTCACAGCCAAGTTATTATCCTCGTCCGGTCCCAGACCCAGCGCCGCAGGACTCGGCGCGAGCGCGCTGATCGCGCTCGCCCCTCCGTTCCCGTTCCCATTCCCCGAGGACGACGCTGCAGAGGAAGTGGAGACGCCGTTCGGATCGCCCTTCTTGCGCTTCTTGGCCGCCTTGGGCGCCTCCTTCTTCTGCAGGCGCGTGTACAGCGTCGTAATCGCGCGGTCGACTGCGTCGCGGTTGTCGACGTATTCCTGGTACGCCACCCGGTCCTTGGCGATTGCCGCGAGACGCGCCTTGCGCGCCTTGTTGAGCGCGACGACACCGCGGAGCTCGTGCTGCATGTGCCGGAGCGCGGTCGCGATCGGGTCGTCGACTTTTTGGGTGTAGTCCGGCTTTAGGTCGGGTTGTTAGCACGGTATAATGAATTTAGATGAACAAAAGATGCTGGACCGAAAGCTCCAAAACAGAAAAGACAACTCACCGGCTCCTTCAACAGCCCGTGAAATCGCATCGTATCCTGAATTCGCTCCTCCAGATCTGCCACGTTCACCTTCTCGCGCTTGCTTGCGGCCGCGCCTGTCCCACCTGGGCGGCCCTCCATCGCGTCCTCGGCGGCCTTGACGCCCTTCCAGCCCGATGGATCGTTCACCTGGAGCAGCGCGCTCACGAGGCGCTCCGTCAGCGGCCCATGTGCGCGCTCTTCCCCGAGCAGGTCGGATTCGCTGAGTGTCGAAGGATCCCATTTCACAGGTGGTGGATGCCCAGCTGCACCCGCACTCGTGCCCTCGCCGCCAACGGTAAGCCCTCCCCCGCTCGATCCCGCTCCCTCCCCACCGCCCGCACCAGCGCCACTCCCGCTCCCGCTCGCCACGCCCTGTCCCTGTCCCTGCCCGCTCCGCACCACGCTCGGCTGAAACCCCGGCATCGGCCCGCCATATGCAGCGATGTCCGCCTCCTCCCACTGCTCCGAATAGTGCTTGCCCAGCGGGGGCACGACGAACGGCTCGACCTCGTCCGCGGTGAACTCGAGAAAGCCGACGTCTTCCTCGCGCACGGGGCGTATCCACGGCTCGATGGAGGTGTAGAACGTCGAGACGAGCACCTGCGAGGGCTGCTTGAGCTTGCTGAAGTCCTCGGTGACTTCGATGGGCTTCGAGGGGCCTGCGATGGGCGCTGGCGGGATGGGCGGACGCGGGGTGATGAGCGAGGTTGGTGGGGGAATGGAGAAGTCGGGTTGGAAAGAGGTCTGTGGGGATTGTGAGGGTGGGTTTAGCTCAGGTTTGAAGAGAAGAGAGGGTGGGTGAGCTGACCTTGGCGAGGTTGGATATTGAGGGGAGGGATTTGGTCGGTTTCGGGAGGGATGGGAGTATATGTGGTCGATGAGGGACGGTTTTGATGGAGCTCATGTCTACCGTTTGTGAGTCGATGTATGCGCTCGATTTGTATGCTTAAGCTCACCTGACTCTGCATCACTGACGTCCTCTCGTGGGCGCTTCTTCTTCTTGTTCTTCTTGCTATCGTCCAGTAATCTATCCGAGCTCCTGTCATGTCCCGCATATCATTCGCATAAGTGAAGGTGGACATACGGTTTACGAGGGTCCTGAGACGATCGTGCCGAGTTGGCTACGGAGAGGGGTATTGAGGGTGCGCGGGATTTGGCGTGGCCACTGTTCGCCCGCGAGTAGTCGACTTCGTCTACATCGAGAGCTGAAGCATCCAAGTAGTATTGTAACCACAAATCAAGAGTCGTGGTGCCACGACCGACAGCGAGGTTGACGGTGCAGTCGGTGGCCGTCAAACGTCATTACCGGAGTAGTATCGGTCGGGACGCCATCATTTTGGGGAAAGACAGGCAGAAGAGCGAGAACACCACGCATATAGCGACCAAAGAGTATAGCATATAGGAAAAGGAGCACGAAATTTTGACTCTCGTCAATGTTGTCCCGACACATCAGAGGGCAATGACGACACTCACATGCGCGTTCGCGCCTGAGCTTCTCGGCGCGCAGCTTTCCCTTCTCGCGCTCCTTGATGCGGCGCATGGACTCCTCGAGAGTGCGGAGGTCCTCTCCAGCCTTCTTAACTCGCTCGAGAGAGCGCGTCCGGAGCTGGGTGAGCTCGGCGTGGAGCGCCTCAAGCTCGTCCGTCGGGGGCACGCCCTCTGGTGGGTGTTTCAAAAGAGCAGAGCGCACGGGTGGTGGTGGCTGGTACGGCGTGAGCTTGGACATGACTTGGCGGAGAGCAGGATGAAGTTAGGCGGGGGCGAGGCCAGGGGGGTGCAGGTGGTGTCCGTGGTCACGGTCTGTTTGTCCGGCGGGTCCGGCGGGTGGCGGCCTCGCGCCGGGGAGACGTGGGGCGGTTCAACGTGATGAGCGCGGTGCTCCGGGATGATGTAGGGCGTGCGCGTGTGCTCGTCGTCGTGGGCGGCGATGAGGAGAGGTCGGGGACGGCGCTGGCTGGTGAGAACGCGGCTGGTGACGAGCGTCAGTCGACAGCTTTTGTCGGCTCTTACTGCCACCGACATTTCCCACGCTCACAGGCAGCACTCCTCGCTTCCACTTTTGTTGCCTTCAACTAGTGAGGATATGTCGGACACACGGCATAGGGCAATGGACTCGCTCGTCTTCGACGCTGGCAGCGACAGCGAGGGCGAGGGTGACATCGAGCTCGGTGACCTCCCAGAAGAGCAACACCGGCCCCCTCGTGGCGGACAGAGCCCATTCATCAACGACGGCCAATACGACTCCCCCGCAGACTCCATGGACCTCGCCAACGTCGACGAGGGCCGCACCGCACTCCTCGGTGCAGAGGGCAGAACACGCGGCTGGGAACGGCGACCAGCTGCTCCACAGAGCACCTGGGCCCAGGTCAGCGGCATTGTGCTCGAGGTACGCGCCATGTTTTGCTGTGCCACATAATCGCACTGACGCATACACAGAGCGCACCCACACTCCTGCTCACCAGCATTGGCCTCCTCTTCACTGGAGAGCTACTAGACCATGTGTCAGTGAGTGCCCCGTACCCCGCCCTTCGCCCCTCTTGACCGTCTCCTCTTCCCATAACAGCGCTGGCGCGCCATGCGCACGATCGACGAGCTCATCATGATCATACCCGTCATCCTCAACCTCAAGGGCAACCTCGAGATGAACCTCTCCGCCCGCCTCGGTACCGCCGCCAATACCGGCGTGCTCGACGACCCACACGTGCGCAAGCGCACGGTCCTCGGCAATCTCACACTCTTGCAGGTGCAGGCGACCGTCGTCGCGTTCGTGGCTGCATGTGTATCTATGCTGCTGGGGCTGTTTGTTCCAGCTGTAGCGAGTGCATCTCCAACGGCAACGGCGGAAGCGGGAGCGGTTGCGGCAGGAGCTGTGCGAGGTCTGATATTCAAACGCAAGCCACGGCCAAAGCCGCCAATTATTGACGGGAGACCGAGGTCAGGGATTGCAGAGTACGTCTCCCCTTCTCTAGTTCATAAACACGTACATATACTCACCACCCCTAGATTCATCCTCGTCGCCTCGACAGCCATGCTTTCTGCATGCATGTCCTCCCTCGTCCTCGGCACCTTCATGTGCGGTCTCATCCTCCTCTGCCGGCGCCTCGGCCGCGACCCGGACAACATCGCTCCCCCAATTGCCGCGTGCCTCGGCGACCTCGTCACGCTCGCCCTGCTCGGCCTTACATCGTCCGTGCTCATCACCTTCGTCAACACGTCCTTCCCGCTGTTGATCGGCGTATTGCTCACGGCCTCGGCGGCGTTATGTGTGACGATGGTGAGAAAGAACAGACATGTGAGGAGCTTATTGACGCAGGGTTGGGGCCCGCTGTTCGGTGCGATGGTGATCACGAGTGCGTCGGGGATCGTGCTGGATATGTTCGCGCAGCGGTATCAGGGATTTCCAATTCTTGCCATCGTCATCAGCGGTACGTTGATCCCTGCCATCCTTTCATCTCGTCTTACTCATTATCGAAATCGCAACAGGCCTCCCAGGCAGCGTTGGCTCCATCTTCGTCTCCCGCCTCTCCACAGCCCTCCACGCCTCTGCAGCCTCTGCAGCCCATCCCCATCCCTCCTCCGAGCCATCCAAACCTGCCCCCGCCGCCCCAGCACCACGGCTTGTCGCGCTCACCCTACTTCTCGTCACCCTCCCCGTCGAGGTCCTCTTCCTCACGCTCCTCCGTGCCTTCGGGTGGCTCTCCCTCCCGCTCGTCTTCGCCGTCTTTGCCATGCTCTTCTTCTGCACCGCCGTCTCCATATCCCTCCTGTTCGCGCGTCGGCTGACGGAGTGGCTGTGGGCGCGAGGAAGAGATCCGGATATGGATGCGATGCCGCTGCATAGCGCTGCGATGGACCTCCTGGGGCAGTTGTTGCTTGTGCTTTGTTTTGAGCTGGTGGGGCTGCTGGGTGTTAAGATGGAGCGGTAGGGGATTTGTATGAGCTGGAGAGGGAGGACTGGAGGATGAACGGAGAGGTCGTTTTATATTGTACGTGATCGTGTTGTTTTGTTATGACGGCGATTTATTTAGTGACATCCGTGGCTATACTAGGACAACTGTTGTATCTGTGCTTGGGGATGTTATACAACCACCCTCTCTCCTATCCTACCCTCGTTGACAGAACGCAACCCCAACACCGTGGAAATCCCCGGTTTATCAATGTATCACAGCTTGACAGCATACAGAAACCCATCATACCCTTCCTCGACGCCGTGCACACTGTCGTCGCGGCGACCTCCTCGTCCTCCCTGATCAGGCGCAACATCTCACGCGTGCCCTCACTGTCGGGGTCTTTGTCGGTTAGATCCCCGACCATGCCGTGGAATATGACGTTGTCGACAATCTGCGTCACCGTCCGCCCGCGTTAGCATTCCCTATTCTCAAAGTGGCTATACTACGGTATCGCGGAGAGGTAGAACGCGGACTTACGATGACACCGCCCTTGCGCACGAGGCGCTTCGCTTCAGCGAAGTACGTCGGGTTGTTCGCCTTGTCAGCGTCGATGAACGCCATGTCGAATGGCTCTTCTTGGCCGTCGCGGTTAAGGGATGCGAGGATGTCAACGGCGGGGCCGACTTTGATGGTGATCTTGGACGCGATACCGGCGACTACGAAGTTCTCCTGAGATACCTTGATCAAAGCGCCAGTTCATCATCAAATACTAGGGGCATCTGTTTTGTGCTTCGCTTTCACCTTTGCATTGTGCTCGGATAGCTCGAGGTGTTGTGGTGTGCCCGTTGTCGGGAAGCGCTTGGGCGATGTAGATCGTTGACACACTGTATGAAATGGTCACGGCGATCAACGTCAGAACAACTTGCATTGTGGCACACATTTCGTCAACGTATCCTCCAAGCGTGCCCACCTCTAATACCCTCGTTGCCCCGATACTAGGCACGAGGAGCTTCAGGAACTTGCCGTTGTTAGGCTGCACGGCCCAGTCGGGCAGCCCCGACGCAGGACTGTGCGCCATCTGCGGGTCGCTGGAGGAGGAACGAGTTCTGGAACTCGATCGAGCGCGCCCAGTCTGCTTTGGTGCTGGATGTCATTTTAAATGTGATTTTTTCTTGGGTGAGTAATGTGGAGCGAGGATTGGAAAAATGGTGCGGATACATAGACGAAGATGAGGGAACATGTTATACTCATTCAACTGGTGCCTATGTCTCCAAAAGCCTTATTCCAAGGGTGGTAGCGTGCAGATTCAGTACGACACAAGTCGCCTGCGAATTGAACATCTAGACATATGATCGCGAGTACCCGCATCGGCGGCTTGATGTTAGACTTTGTCATAATTCTCACTATCGTTTGTGGAGTGACTCGTACACTATCCAGGATACTGCGATATACTGCGGTCTTGCACAGGCGCGAAATGGTCAACAGAGCTAGGTTGTTCGTTAATCCGCAGCTTGCAAGAAGATGTTGATTATCCGCTTATCAGATAAGCACTACCCCAATGGTAAAGGTTGCGTAGACTGTACACAAATGGCATGATATACGTAGAAGTGCAAGGTTTTAATGCGAATGAAATACCATCCTGCCAGTGGTCTCATGCTTAGAGTTTCACAGCGTACAGGAATCCATCGAACCCCTTCTCTCCTGCTGTCCCTATCGTCGTGGCGTCCACCTCGCTGTCCTCCTTGATCAACCGCAGCATCTCGCGCGTGCCTACCGTTTCACTGTCTTTATACTTCGGGTCCGCGATAGTTCCATGGTAGATGGCATTGTCGACGATCTACACCGAGCCGCAGGTCAGCAATAATATTGAATAAGAAAACAATATCAAGGCAAGTGAGAGCGGACGTACAATAACGCCTCCTTGGCGAATAAGCCGCTTCGCTTCATTGTAGTACGTAGGGTTGTTCGTCTTGTCGGCATCGATAAAGACCACGTCGAACGGCTCGCTAGCGTCGAGGCCAGCTAATGTATCGACGGCGTCTCCTAGCATAATTCTGATCTTGGACGCTACTCCGGCACGCTCGTAGTTCCTCTGTGCTACCTTTGTAAAATGTGTGTCAATGCAAACTATCAAAGGTGAGTGGGAAGTGTGCGTACCTCTGCGCAACGTTTGGACAATTCGAGAGTGACGATACGACCATCTGCGGGCAACGCTTGTGCCATCCAGATTGTGGATACCCTTCACCTTGAAACATGAGTCCCTCGAAGCTTCGTGGACAGGTTGAGCGGAAAGCACAACGTACCCTCCCAAAGCACCTATCTCCAATATCCGCTTCGCTCCGATACTCCGAGCAACGAGCTTCAAGAATTTCCCCTCATTCCTTGCCACCGCCCAGTCAGGCAGGCCGGACTCCGCGCTATGGGCGATAGCCGCGTCGACTGCTTTGTCGGCTTCGGTCTGAAGGAGGAAGGAGTTGTGGTACTGGACAGAGCGAGACCAGTCTGCTTGAGTACTAGACATGCTGCGCGATGTTGTCTTGCAATAGACGGAAGAGAAAACTGAAGGTCGCGAGTGAGAAGTAGGCAGCCGACAGAGACGCAAGACAAGAATAAGAGCCGTGCGCATGAGAGTTTTATGCGGTGGTGGGTGGTGGAGACCTCATCTTTATATATATCAGCGCGAACGAGGGTTAAGTCACATCATGGCGACGCGCTACCGGGAGCCGCTTGCACGAACGTAATCAGAGTGCAGTGTCAGATTGGTTATGAAGGATAATTGGCGCAGAAGCTGGCGAATGGGGTTTCATTGGTAAGAGTTTATAGTAAACCTGACAAGACATGCCTTTGTTTCGCTGCAGCGGACATATACTGACAAATTTGTACTACGTAATATAGGTGGTGTAATATGATTTATGAAATCGCAATTGTGGGCAGCCAACATGAGTTTCAGCAGAATATCAATGATACCAAGCCTCCTTCACTTGCCTGATGTGCCAATTGGACCTATCGAACAAGCGTAACTGAACGTCTGGTTGTGTTTCCCTAAGTAGACCGATCCACTCCACTGCCCAGTCGACCTCTGCGTTGTAGAAACCGACGTCCTTGAGACGGCATTGGGAGCGCGCAAAGAGATCTTCCAGCGTCTCCGCGATTGAATGCGGAAACTGGCATCGACGACGTGGAAATCCACAAATAACCTCCGAAAGAGATGGAAGAACCAATGACCTAAGTATCTGCACCGTATGGTCACGTTTGTTGTTCCAGTCCGTGAGGATACATAGGGTTCGCAGATGAGGCACCTGTACTGATGCTTCGGACGGCGTGGAAGATGATTCTTCTGTGATAGTGGGTGGCGGTAACAAGATGAGGCGCGAGTGAATATAGAGCTCCTCTAAGTGCGGAAAATCGGTAGCGAATTGTGAAGTGCCGAGGCCCAGAGTACTGTATGAGTAGGTGGTGTCCAGAATCAAGCGCCGCAAGGTCACAGATGGAAAGGTGAGCATAACATTGGTGTCGTTGAAGTATAGGCGCTCTAACAGAATGTGAACATTGGTCATGTGAGTGTAGAAAGGCGAAGGCGGGGGAGGCGGGGGTTCGTATTCATCGGGAGCCGTAAAGTCAATGATTGAGAAAGAGTCCAACACGATTCCGTGTTTGCAAAGTAACCGAAGAAAGACGTCCATCCAATCCCAGGTATCAGCATCCCAGTCATCTGGCAATAGTTCTATGCCTTTGCACGAAATGTTGAGGCGGTCCAGAAAGCCAGTTCTGTTCAGCTCCCACAAGTCCAAAATGGAGCTATAACGGATGAAAAGGGAGACAGGGACGGCACGGCTACGAGAGAGCAGCTCGTCGCAGCGGGGAAACACTGCCCTGTCCAGATAACCTGGATGTGTTTTCACGGACATCGCTATCCTGTTCCACAGTCTTGGGATATCAAGTGCGAGAGTCCTCCATCTTCGGCATACTTGGGCTACGTTAAGGTTGACACTGCAGCCGAGCAGACTGGATTTGTGATCCTGGATGGATGGCACCTGCAGAGTCGAAAGGGGAGTTTGAGATCAGAGTGGGAATCACATTGATCGTCCCGGAGGCCGAAATCCGACATCGGAGCCGCAAAGCTGCCACTACTAGCCAGCCTGAGGTTGCAGGTAATTTGAGTGGTTTTGTGACGTCGGCGTCCTTGCTTAGATACATACGGACAAGTAGTATAAAGAGTGAATATATTTGAAGGGAGAATCTATCTCTTCCCCGGCATACATCCGTACTACTAGCGAGCTTCGACTTGACGCGCGCTAGCTACTCGATTTACAAGTTTTTCATATCTACGATTACTAGTAGTGATCCCATCTGATTTTGCAAGTGAGGCGCTGACTTCACTGTTGTCCCCGTTTCTTGCTTGAGATAACGAGCTTAGCAATATTAATCTTGAGCACGATGGACGCAGTCAGATACGTCATGCAAATCCAATCAAGTGCTGAACGTTTTCCTTCATCCATGAGTGTGATATCGTGCAAGGGGGCGGCGGGTGTGATCTTAGACAGACTCCAACACTCGAGATAAACTTGACGTTGTTCACCGTTGATCTGTCCATCATTGATGGAAGGGAGTGCTCTCCGTGAAATTTAGAAGATGTGATTACAATGAAGGTCATACACCGATGGCATAACCACGTTTGTTCGTCGGGTGGGGCGGCGCAAACGAGCATGAACGTGCTGTGATCATGTGAAAGTGAAAAGAAGCGGGTCCGGGCCCGTATTCCGAGCGTCGCTGTGATCATAGAGAGGTTTTTGCAGTCTCGGGATCAACTTGTGATTTCATCATACGGCGGGGCATGTCGACGGGCACGACGACAACAGGTGCAAGGTGATGAGGACGTCGGTGTGATGACGTGAAGGGTTGATGTGATGTGTGAAAGGGACGAGGGCAAGTCAAACTCGCGTGGCAAAGGGGCCTCAATTTTCTAAACGAGGTGACTGGTTCGAGCTCAGCCGACGCGTTTTGACCTCTTTCGACGACCATTGCGCCCATCGACGAGCTCATTGGCGACTCTTGGACCCCTCAAAGCACTAAATTTGTGTCTTGCTAGGCTTTTGTCGATTATAGGACCACATAAATGTGATTACAGAGAGGTGTAGCCTGACGTCAAGGCGACAATGTTCGACGCGTCGACTTCCTTTGTCTCGAAGTTAATTAACCGTTTAGCCACGCCCCCCGGGTCAAATCCTCCGCCATCCCTCCGTCACATCTTCGCGTTGACACTTTTGCTTTATCAATCGCGCTTTCCTTGACACTTGACGTCCTCGCACCTGGCTTCTCCGTTCATCTGTCTGCCATCCTATGTCGCTTCACCCTCCCTCTCGCTTTCACCATGCTGCCTCTGTCGCAAATGCGCTCCTCGACGCCTTGATGTCCAGCGTTCTACCTCTCGATGCTTTGTCTCTGTCCTCTTCACGCTTCACCATCCTCCTCATCGTCCTCTATGTCGAACGCGATATTTAACCTGGTAAGTTCCCCTCCATGTCGTCCTCATCGGCATCGAGCTGAATACCTCACTCGCCTCATCATCCTCTGCATCGCAAACGCGTTCCCCGCCATTTTTACGCGCTTTCTATACATTTTCATACATCATTATTATGACGTACTCCAATCCTCTCCACCCCGCTGTCTCTAATTGCTGCAACTCGTCCTTCTCCTCCCTTTCCCCGGGCCACTGCACCCCACACTCCGCACTCCTCCCCGCCCAGCCCCCATTTGCCCAGTATCCTCCCCACATCCATCGTGTCCCCCAGCCGTTCCCTAAAAATGCGTCTCCGCAACGGTCGCCAGTTACGTTTGACCTGGTCGGTGCGCAGACGTACGGGATGGGCATGCCCGTGTGCGAGATCATCGCTCGGGGCGGGGACGCGCTCTCCCGGATGATGGTCGGCGCGTCAGACCGCGTCGGTCAAGTTATGGACAGCGGCTCACGCAGGATCTGCCTCAGCATCGTGGTACGTCACTATTTGTATCAACATGTCAGATTAGGGTTGTTGACTTTACCCTTCTTTTTCCTATATTAGTGGCCGGGTCACGAGGGCGCGAACTGGGCACACTCGATCGAGCTGTACACTCCTCTCGGTCCGCTGACGCGCGCTCAGCTGGCCGTGCTCGTCTCACAGATGATACTTTCCTTCGCCGAGGTAAGCAGCGTCTCCCATTTTTTCTTCTCAGCTGTATAACTTACCCACTTTATTCAGGCCACCAAACAGTTCCCTGCCTCGCGCTGCCCAGAATGGCGCATCGGTGCCAGCGGTATTTCCCTCAACCGCCTCTACCTCGCCGGCCTCTGGAACACCTCGCCGGACATGTGGATGGCCGAGATTCTGGTCGACACCCGGTGATCGTGGCAGGACTTCGATAGGCTGCTGGATCGGCGCTTTCTTGGGGCGTATAACTAGCATGGACGCTCTCATATTTCATATCCGTTATGACCCTCTCATGCCCCTCATGTCTGTCTCCTATGGCCGCATGAAATTAATACTCTCGCATGTTTGATAGGAACTCGCATATACCATAGGCATATTTATGTATCAATAGCACTTCACACCTTCAATCAATGCTTACTCTACGTAAATATTAATGCGCAAAGGAACTATTAGGGCCCGCTCGGCAAAGGCTTTGAGGTCGAGAGTTTGGGCGAGCACGAGTTTGCTTAACCCGGTTCGGCAGGTGTCCTAATCTCCGCTCCACGAATGAATTTAATCCCACTGTGGACGAGCTGTTACGCTAACTCAGAATGGTACATCAAAACAAACCACGAAACCAGAAATATTACCCACGTTTCTTCTAGGAGTACCATGCAGCCATGATAGCGTTGATATCTTCGTAGGATTTATCATCGACCAGCTGAAGTTGCGGATAAGTGCTCCGGAGGCGTTCAACCCATCCACCGATCCATATTCTGTCCTCGTCCTTGGTGCGGTTTATCACGTTCATTCGCTTGAGAGGACATTGCGAGCGAGCAAGGAATGCTTCCAAGATCTGGGTTTCCTCGCCTTCTTCCCTTGCAAACTTGAAGGGGAAACTGAGCTCAGAAAGCGACGGAAGCACTAAAGACGCAAAGAAAGGCAGGAGCGGTTTATATCCGCCCCAAGTCGCTCCTACTGAGAAGACTTTTAGCTGAGAGAACTGTGGAGCGTCTCGAGGTGTCATAGAAGACGCCGCTGCATCGACGCTCGATGATTCTCGGATTAAAAGGGCGTGGATATGAAGTTCTTCCAAGCCAGGAAAGCAGTAGTCAGCTGACTGATGTCCACGGATACTGAGACGGGTGTTGGGGCAATGCGAATTATCAAGCGTCGCAAAGCAGGTAATCGAATGTGATAGATAGCGCGGATGCCAATTTCTTGGAGCTTCTTCTCTTCAGTAAAATGAACGTAGAGGTTGGTTAACCGAGAAAGGGCTGGAAGCGGCGGATGATTTGCCAGAATTGGCTCACGAGAAATATGACTCGTCAGAGATAAAGACGTCAAACTAGGGAAGTTTTGGCCAAGCCACTCATCCAGCCGGCTTGGGAGAATGCCCCTTTTGTCGCAAAAGTGTAACTCCAACCCCTGACAGGTATTCCTCAACCCTTTGAGTATTCCGCTTTCAGCAATATTCTTCATCCGGTGAAGAGTCGAATTGAGAATAAGCAAGTAGACAGGATGTAGGCGACGCCTCGACGCCAGCTCAGAAAATTGAGGAGACATTGTGTCCGGTGCAAATCTACTTGCATTGAGAAAGATGTTGTTCCATAGTTTTGGATTGCCGAGTGCAACAGTTCGCCAGCGTCGACAAGTGTCGGAGAAGTTGAAGCAGAGCGAAGGCCTGTACTTGAAGAAGCCATCTCTGCCTCTTGCTTGTGCAAGACTGCTGTACTCGAAGATGATAGACAACACGTCCTCCGGTATCCGTCCTACAACTGAGCGGAACCGGGAGTGTTCGCGTTTCGTGGAGTCAAGCAAGGCTTTGCGTTCGGCGAGTTGCTCGATAACCGAGTCAATACTGTTGATTGCTCCGTCCATCTTCCCGATGATGTCGCTAAGCTGGCTCTTCTCGATGCTTGACGAAGTATTATAGTTGGTCTGGTAGAAGGGCGTGAAAGGGGTTTTCGTGATATCCTGGATTCCGGAGCAATGCCATCAGGCATTAAGTCGTTGGATCGCACATGTGGCTGCATGAATACGCACATCAATTTTGGCATCAAGAGATGCTATCTACATGAAGAGTGTCAGGGAGTTCTGTCGGCCTATCTTTGAGGAGAATAAGGGTGACACGCACAAAGTGAGCAAACACCGAAACAACAGTCATGATGTAAATGTTGTGGTTTGTCGTCTTACACGCGATTGGCGGCCTCAGGCTGGTAGCTAAGCGGCGGAGATACTTCGATGAGACTCGTGGATCTGACGACGAATGAGGTGTAAGAGACAAAGTGCGGTTGTGCGCTATGCTGCGTGGTTCAAGTTTCGGAAGCAGGAGTCGGAATTGTCGGCCCCTCGCGCGTTGAACGACCTCTTTGCCATCATGATGCTCCTTGTCGGGACTATGGGCAGTGAGTGGCACTACTGTGATTCACCGTCAGAATAGACAGACATTTGTGCAACGTGTGTGGAATATTTTTCCTTCGCCCAACTTGCTTAAATTTAGGTTTGAGATGTCCTTGGTATGCGATCTACCTTCAAAAAAATCGCTGAGTGACGCAAGCATAGGGTGCATGTGCAATGCACGAATCAGTGTTTTAGGCCGAATACCGTCAGAATAGACAGTCCGCGCGGGTGGCGATAATCCATATTAGGCAGGCCGTCCACCATAGCCGGTCTCAAAAGGAAAGCCAGGGCGTTATCGCTGAGCCGAAGTCGCCGTTACAGCGGCTATAAGATTATGGCAAGGCTCGAGAGGACACTCTGTCATCGTTCCGACATATTGAGAGTTGTCGCCTTTTGCAGCGCCCAAAATTGTTTCAACGAAGGGTAAAGATGTCCTTGGAACATATAATAGCTCTATCATCCACACTGTGTCGCATGTTCACAGCTGGTTATCCGCCGAAGCTAAGAAATCTTTTACAACACCCTGTTTTTCATGCTTTGAGGCTTGCAGCTTCACATCCAGACGTTCCCTCGCCAATCGCATGTACAGGCATAAATTAAAACATGTTCTCGTAATTACCATGAATTTAGTTTGAATGATTTGCCAAGGAAACGGGCACAAAAGCGAGTTGTCTATTCTGACGGTGGTGTCTACTCTGACGGTGAATCACAGTACATGGCTTCTGGTCGACACCTGATCATGCGAGGACTTCGATAAGCCGTTGGATCGGCGCTGTCTTAGGACGTACTGTTAGCTTGGGCACTCTTATAATCCATCCCCGTCATGACCCTCTCATGCCCCTCATGCCTGTCTCATATGGCCGCATTAATTAACACTCGCATGTTTGATAAAAATTCGCATATACCATACGCATATTTATGTATTGGTAGCATTTCACGTTTTTAATAAACGCTAAATCTTCACCTATAACGTGCAAAGGAACTATTGGAAGCTGTGTCACTAATCAGCTTCCGAACACTCCGAACCTCCCCGGCAAATGAGAACTTGGATAGTACTCTTGTTAGTGGTAGAAGTGAGATATATCGGAGCCGTTGTACCGTACAGAATGCACATTTGTACATGTTGAAACCGAAAGGCGGGTGTTAAAAGCACGAAGCGGCGAGTCGCCAATATGAAATGAGACGGCGGAAGGAATGTGGACAGCCTTCCTCTCTTGTTGTAGTCCATCGCGAGCATCTAATCGTGTCCCAGGTCGAGTGCCTACCGCTGATCCTCCTTGTTCTAGATCCGGGAACATGTTGTGTTTCTCGCTCCCGAGGCAGGGTCTTACGCTAACGAACAAAAATAAAGGATCGGTCCGGATAGTCTGGTATGATTGCGAGTAAACGATATGCTGCTGATGGGGCGATAACTAAGTATAGCGTATAGATAGCCGTGACCGACGGCTGAAGCGAGCACGCCAGGGCCCCTATACCGGCAGCCCGTCACGGGAGGTGATGTACAGAGAGGGGAGGGGAAAGTAGAACTACATAGGATCCAAGGGTGTCTGTCTCCACTGGTACAACCGCACTCCCTCCGCGAAATGTGTATGACTGGGGCGGTAGGTAGGAAGCGGTGCTCTGGCCCGGCGTGTGTGTTATCTGGTACACCGTCGTGATGGTAAGTCGTCGTCGTGCTTCATCCTGGGGTGTGAGGTGTGAGCCTCGAGAAGCGGGGGTGTGCGGCTCCTATGATATAGGGGAGATGGCCATGGAGGAGAGCATGACTCCATAGCTAGAATAGCAGGAGCGCGTCATTAGCATGCGAATTTCATGTACTCCGCCGAAGGACTGTGCGCTTACTCCTCGATGGCTTCGTGGCCCGTTCCGTCTGAGTGAACCTTTGACCGCGGCTCGAACAGAAGATCGCGAGCGACGTCCCCGATGCTGGGCATCCGCTTGTGATTGCGGGAGAAGATGGCCCAGATTGCGCCGGCTGCTGCGAGAGGTGCGAGGACGCTCATGGAGGGGGCAGGCTGATGCATGGCGGCAGGGGAGTGGTATGGGGAGGTGCGGGGGTGGGAGAAGCTGGAGTTGGAGCACGGGCACTGGTCTTCGAAGGCTGTCATGCTCGCGCTTTTATACACATTTGAGGAGTCTTGTGCAGCCGTGCATAGGCTGGCGTGCGTCTGCTGGACAACTGAGCATTCTTTGTGCAGGAATCCACCGGTAGGTGGATCTCAGAGGCGCACACGAGGTGAACATCACGTCTGGGGGGCTAGCCGAGGCGAGTTGCTTGTCGCGACACATCCACATATTCCCGGTGTCTGCGGGCCAGAGCAGGTGACGTACTGCACGCGTTGTTTCTACAAAGAAGCGACGCCATTGAGAAGGAAGGTGTGTGTATCCATCGGTAATCGAAGCCTCCTTCGATCATCCATCGCTCTGTAACCTTCGGCGACTAGCAACAGCCAACAATGGGTGCGGTTTATCTGGGGCGACTGAGATGCGGTCTGGTGCGGCTGCAGTGAGTCTCGTGGCGGGTGCAATGAGCCTCGGGTCGGGTCGGTGACGACAGGTGCGAGAACTGACTCCACGGAGATTCTGTTCTGGTTGTCCGGGGAAACTCTGACTGAGGCGCAACAGCTTCAACAATAGCCAATAACGACCAGAGATCGCCAAACGGGTCCGCCACGTCAAGATCTTCGGCGGCTCCGCTTGAGTCCGCTCGTCGATTTGTGACCGTCGCGAGCGAGTTGCACTGCCGCGGATGCACTCGTCACCAACCTGTTGACGTCTCGTTCATCTGTCGAAGCGCGCATTGTGCTGGTGGAATTGCACCCGGACACCGAGGCAGTCCAGAGGCTTCGGCACAACGTGCACTCGAGCTCTCTCGAGCTTACTAACTTTCTCAAGCTATCATCGATGATCATCAGCCATTTTACATTCAAGCGAAACGCGTACGATATGTTTGTGAGGAACGTATTTCACGACCATCTTCAGTCTTTTGACTTCATTGCTGTTATTGTGAACACCTTATTACGCAAGATATGTGAGGGAGGAGGTGAAAAGGAGAGGGCAGGAGCGTTACCTCCTTTCGCGAGCCACTTTCAGTGCCGCGGTATGGGCTGGCATGGGAACAGCTCCAAATGACCGCAGATAGGGAGCAAAGAGGGAGCAATGATCGGATTCCGAGTTTGATCCCAACAGCGTCGACAGGCGTCGACCCCAGAGCGGAGTTCGGACAATGACATGACAGCCGCCGGTCCACTCACCTGTTCAGCCTCTGCAGCCGCTTTTCCTCGAACACAACCAATGTTCCCGCTCTCGTCCTGCACCCGGTCAGTTGAGAGTAACGCGGGTATGCATTTGTTAGTCATTGCGATCCACGTTGACGGCCAAGGTGGCGCCCGAACCGAGTCCGCCGCTCGAAGCCGAAGGTGCAGTTCACGGTGTCGTCATTCAGCGTTTGAAGCAGCATTTCATGCAGACGTGCTTCTTGATACGAACTCGAATCGAAGAAATGTACCCACCCCTCAAAAGCGCAGGGTCCGACCCTGTGCACGACGACGGCGACGTCCTTGGAGTCGAGGAAGGGAGTGTTGACGTCTGTTTATCGGCGGCGCCGCTCCCGGAATTCCGCACAAGCGAACAATCGCGGAAACCATGACGAAACCTCCTGCCGAGTCTCTGACTTTTGACAATGGCGACACCGGAAGCAACAAATCGGGGCGAGAAACGACGGTGACCGAGCAGCACTTCCAACAGCCCTCGCCCTCGCCACTTAGTATGTCCCAGGAGAAAGCGCGCAACTACCTCGACAGGGAGCTTCGTAAGCTCGACGGTGATTGGAAGAAGCGGTGCGTCACTCCATCTTCTGAGCGAACCGGCGTTCTGTGGCTTATCCTTATCTTCGACCTCAACTTCCCTTACAATTCGCGGTTCACAACTCACAGCTCGGTTCCCTCGACCGCCGCCGCAACACTCGCGCAGTACCTCGACCGAGCCCAGCGCCTGCTCGAGTTCACACTGCAAATGCCGCCCACGGGCTCGTGGGCGTGGATGCGTATGGACTTTCTCTTGCGCCTTATGGGCGACGCGCTCAAGAGCGTGCCAAAGTATCCCTGCCCGCCACTTTCAGTGTCGTCCGATGCCAATGGGGAGAACAGCGTGCTCACGAAGCTGCTCGCGTTCCTTGATGCACTGGATCGGGGATGGCTCGCTGTGCTGCGTGGGCAGACGTGGGATGTGGAAAGGGGGGAGGGGGTTGATGCGATGGATGTGGATACAGGCACTGGCACGAGTACGGCGGGGAAGATGAGCCAAACGGAGCGTACGAGGCTGCGAAGTATGCTTTTCAGTGACACGACCCCGCTTGAGGCGTGGTTGATGGGCGAGAGCGAGAGCGGGTTGTCGGAAGGGGCCGACTCGGGAGAGAGAGCGATAGCGCTGGAGAGGCTTGGGCTGAACGATTTGTTCTCGCGCACGCTTGGGGAGCTGGAGGTGCTGAGTGGGGTGGTGGTTAGTCAAGGCAGCGAGGCCAAGATGAGTTGAAACAAGAAAGGGTGGAATGGTCAATGCATGTATGCGGTGTATTGATTGGATTAGCGAGCATGGTGTGGTGGTGTACAGTAGCAAAAACGCGGTGGTCGGGTAGACGTCTAGAGGAATAAAATGACTCCTTGCGATGCAAGACACTACCGCTTCTTCCTTGTCGCACGACGTCCCTGTCCTGCACAGCCCAGTAAGCTTCGAATACGAAACACGAAAACGGCACGCACCCTTCTCCTTGCTCTTCTTCGGCGCGCCCTTGCCTCTCGCCTTTTTTGCTGCAACATCCTCCAGCCGTTGTACCTCTGCAAAATTGACAAGCTCGAGGTCGGGGAACTGTCTGACAGCCTTGGCAATGTCGACCTGGGGCGGGTAGTACTTGACCATGGAGGGCCCACGGAGACGCGCGCGGAGGTATTTAGCGCCCGTGCGGATGGAGTCGGGGTTGTAAGAGGTCTGGAAGACGGCGCAGCGCGTGCGCACTAGCTCAGCAACGCGCGAAGGTTTGACGAGTGCGGAGAGGGCCATCGTTGGCGGTGGTGAGCTCGAGTGAAAAAGTCGAGCGGGACGGGGAGGATTGAGCGTTGCCAACAGGGACAAACAACGCCCGAGAATTTCGCGACTCCTGTCTTTCGCGTCCTCGACGTTTTTGTCTTGCAGCGTTCGTCCACTTTTTCCTTTTTCTCATTTGTTTCATGCTTTCACGATGTCGACGCTCGCTCTCATCTACACTTCAGCACGACAGCTGGCTCCTCCTTGAAGCATCCTATCCCCGGGCTGCTGCTACACACATCGCCTCTTCATCTTCTACCACATTCCGTCGCTGGCGCACAGGCAAGGCTTCAAAGAGCTTTGCTCAAAACCAAAAGCAGAAAACCCAAGTAGCCTTCGGCGGCCGACCCAAACACGGCTTCGGCGACGCCTTCCTCACCGAACGTCTACCCAACACCAAATCCAATGGCCCTGGCAAGAGCAATGCGGGCAGAGCGCCGCGCAAACCCCCACCCAACCCCGACCCCTACGGCAAAGCCCTCAGCTTCCCGCCCAACTGGAGCATATCCCGCGCGCTCGAGTCCCGCGTCGGCGTCTGGTCACACCTCCCGCACGTCCACCGGCGCCTCGTCGCATTCGGCGTGCCCGACGCAGACATCGAGCCCATCCTCGACGCATTCGTGCGGCAGATCGAGCAGGAGCAGCTCCTCCAGGACCCCGATATCGCAGAAAAGTACGACATCGAGCGGCTCGCGATCGACAGGGACGAGCTCGCCAAGGGGCGCGCGCTGGACGAGGCCATGACGCAGCTGCTGTACACCTGGGCGGCGGACCCCGCCACGTCCCCCACGCTGCCGTCCACAGTCAGGCGCGAGTCGCTCGCGCAGATGGCCAACCTCGCGAAGACGGCGGACCTTTCGTACCCGGCGGAGTGGTTCCCCGTCGCGCGTGCGATGCGCAGGAAGGTGATCATGCACGTTGGCCCGACCAATAGCGGCAAGACGCACAACGCGCTGCGTGCGCTCGCGGCGGCGCGGTGCGGCGTGTACGCGGGCCCACTGCGTCTGCTCGCGCACGAGATCTGGGAGCGGCTGAATAAGGGGCAGATCGTTCCCCTGGGCGAGACGCCCGATGCGGACGCGCGGCCGGACGAGAACACCAATTTCGACCTCGAGCCCAAAAGCGCGGGCGCGGGCGCGGCGACGGCCGCGACGGTGGCGGTGACGAAAGACGGGCACGCCAAGTACGCGCGCGCGTGCAACCTCCGCACGGGCGAGGAGATCCGCATCGTCGAGGACTTTGCGGAGCTCACGAGCTGCACCGTCGAGATGCTCGAGCTCGATGCGCAGCCCGACGTTGCTGTGATCGACGAGATCCAGATGATCGCGGATCCGGAGCGCGGGCCTGCGTGGACGCATGCTGTGCTCGGGCTGCCTGCGAAGGAGCTCCACCTGTGCGGCGAGGAGACGGCGGTGCCTGTTGTCGAGGCTATTTTGCGCGACACGGGCGACGAGCTGATTGTCAATCGGTACGAGCGGCTGTCGCCGCTCAGTGTGGAGGAGAGCTCGCTCGACGGAGACTGGGGGCTGGTCAGGAAGGGCGACTGTGTGGTCACGTTCTCGAGGACAGGGATATTCAACATCAAGCGCGAGATCGAGGAGGCGACGGGATTGCGGTGCGCGGTCGCGTACGGCAAGCTGCCGCCTGAGATCAGGAGCGAGCAGGCGGCGCTGTTCAATGATCCGAACAGCGAGTACGATGTCATGATCGGCTCGGACGCGATTGGGATGGGGCTGAATCTGTGCGTTCTCCCCTTCTTTCTTACTCTTCTCTATCCATCGAACCGCCGTTCTGATACAGTGGCTTTATAGCAAAATCAAACGCGTCGTCTTCGAGACCCTCCGCAAATTCGACGGCACGCGCGAACGCTGGCTCTCCCTCTCGCAGATCAAGCAAATTGCAGGGCGCGCAGGGCGCTACGGCCTGCACGCCGAAGCCGGCGGCACCGTCACCACTCTCACGCCCACCGACCTCCCCATGTTGCACAAAGCGCTCGCCACCCCCGCACCCGCCGTCCCCTGCGCCATCCTCGACGTCGGCGGCGCGCGCCTCGAGGCCCTGTCGCACGCGCTGCCCGCGAACGCGAGCATGGAAGCGCACCTCCAGGTGCCGACGTACATCTCGCGGCGGCAGCGGCCGTTCGGCGTCGTGCGGCACGCGCGGCTGCCGCAGATCGCGGAGTTTTTGGACACGCGCGGGACGGATCTGACGTTGGCGGAGAAGATGACGCTGGCGTATGCGCCGGTGGCGTGGCAGGACCAGCTGACGATGGAGGTGCTGGGCGAGTTTTGTAGGATGTATCGGAATACGGTGCTTGTTGATCTGTTTAAGGCGCTGGAGAAGGCGCCGTTTGTCGAGACGCTGGAGGGTGTTGAGGAGCGTGCGGCTGCGCTTGCATCTTCTGGTGTCGCTGCTGCTACCGCTGGTGGGGACGCTGGCGAGGGCAAAGTGGTGGTGGAGGCGCAAGGCGAAGAGGTGACGGATGCACGCGAGCTGCAGATCATCGAGACGCTGCACAAGGTGCTCGTGCTGTACCTGTGGCTCGGCAACCGCGCACCAGCGGCGTACCACCAGACGGAGCAGGCGTTCGCGCTCAAGACGCGCGTCGAGCGTGCGCTGGACGTCGGTCTGCAGAGCATGTCATGGCGCCGTGCCGCGAAGGCGAAGGGAAAGGCGCGTGTGCCTCTGCCACCTTCGGTTGTAGCTTCCGCTGTCGCTGCGACTGGAGCGGGACCTGGGACGGAGGCGGGCAAGATCCAGTGGACCCGCCTGCGAGCCAAGTCTGGGGACGACGAGAAGCGGGAGTTGGCGGTGAAGCGCGCTCGGGTGCTTGCGGAGCGGCAGATCGAGATGGACTCGGAGGCGGAGGTCTACTCGTACTAGTTGCCAGTGCGCTGTGGTTGCCGCTGTGGTTGTTCATTATTCCCTGCTCATTCGGTTTGTAGCATATGTTCCGCTAATCGCTCGCATCTATAGATTTATTACACAGTAGCTCATCGACATCATGCATTGCATATGCTAATTCATCCATGACATCGCATACCTTCTTTTCTGCTTTGATGGCATGGAACACGCCCTTTTTCTTCTCGGCCCGAGCTTCTCGACATCCTCGACGCCTTTCCTAGGGCCAATGCCAATATTGCTCCGAATGGGCGGAGAAAATCAACTCCACGTGATAGGAAGCGCGATTAGGTTTCAGTCTCGCGACGTGCATCGCGCTCGCCTTTTGTTCGTTTCCGCCTCATTCCTGCTCGCTGAGTCCCTTGTTACTTCTGTCTCATATCGCCGTCTTCTAGCGAGCAGGTCTAGCTGTTGTACGGTATATAGAAGACGAGCTGCGCTCCTGGCCGCGAGAGCAAGAAGAGGAACCCGAGACCGTCAGGTATCTTCGGCTGGCATACCGCTCATATAACCCATCTCAGGCGCTCTTCCGTGCTCCAGCCACCCACAACTCCTTTGACCAGCAACGCATCCGCTCGGTATGGTTCAGCTCCTGAACCCTGCGTCACTTGTCCTTGGCGTCTCGCTCTCCTTCCTCCCGTGGGCCTTTGCACTCCCGGCAGTGCCAACTCGGTCAGATACCCTCGCCAAACGTACCGTGCCAGACTCACTCCTTGGACACGCATATCACATCCACGAACACTCCGCACCCCACGCACGCGATGGTACCGGTTCAAGTACCGGTCGAGGAGCGACACCGCCGTCAAGGCCCGTGCTGCTAGGCTGGGGACGCGGCTCCGAGCCGCTGCTTCTGCGTTCGCGAGATACAAGTCGTGGTAGCGAAGACCACGATGCTTCACCGGCCGCGTCAAGCACACATCATGGCCTCGCCGGCGAACACAAGCACGCTCCAGCGACGCAGCCCAAGAGCGAGCCTCAATCCGAGTCGCGGGACGGAGACAAGGACCGGGATCAGAGTGGGGACGGGGACCGCGGGCGGGGCCCCAATATCTCGAGGCGAGGACGCAGCATCTCGAACGCATCGGGCAGGGACCGGGCGCGTGTGAGAGAGGCGCTCATGGCGAAGCAAGCGGCCGCCACCAGTGCGCGGGGAAGGAGTCGGCTGGGGCACCATGATATGTTGCGCTGATGCCTTCGGTGAGCCCAGATAGGGGAAGGCTGTGATGATTTGGGATTGAGAACAATGCTAGTCCTTCGGTTGGATCGTGTTTCGTTTATCTACGCTCGTTTTGTCTTTCACTCATTTTGATCGTGTTTTTGCGAAGACTACCTTTTTTCCGTGATTGTCGTTTTGTAACCTCGAGCACTATTTTGTAGCTGGGATGTGTGTTAATATGTACAGCCGAATGTACATTCATAGCCATCGAACCTGGACCCCGCGTGTAGAATCCAACCCATATCACCTTTCCTTGGTGGATGTAGGAGGATGTAGGACAAATGTAGGACGGTGGTAAACAGATGAAGAGCCTGAGGGGACCTTGCCTCGTGGCAATTCCCACGCGCGTTTCGCGTCGACGCTTTTTGTGACTCGTTTACTTTCGACATTAATGCCAGTCTTTCCGTCACCCAATCGTTCGGTGACCTCCTGAAGGCCTATTTTATGTCACGACTATGCTTGCTCTCTATTCCAGCAGATTTGGGCGGCACCTTAATACCATAGACCCCACCGCTCGCAGACCGCCGACGTCACGACCGCGACCCCAACTTGAATAAGATATTCATTTTCCACCTGTCGGCCGACATCCCATGGCGCCATTTCTCCGAAACCACCACGGCCTTGTGATGAGACTGCTGCGGTCCCCATGCTAATGTCCGTCTCAGATTGACAAGACGAGGTCGGGTCCATCCGGCGCCTTTGATCTTGGGGTGAGATCTTATCAGATAGTACGCGGCAACCGGATCATTCCCATACAAGATAGCCCTGAACGTGTCGTCCTCCCCTGGCAGGCTGGTGGCCTCGTTCTGTTACTTATTCAGTAAGTGGCGGTATCTCTCGCGGTTAGTCTCTGGCTAACCCGGACATGCTTGATCACGCCCGGAGCAGGCTCACAGTGCTGTCTTGAATAGCCCCACGGATTTGCTATGTGCCTCGGTAAAGTGGTACCGCTCAGGCTCAAGCGTGCGACGCGACTGATGCGGTCGTGTCCAATGTTGCGACGCGCTCCTCGCGCCTCGGGCTTCTGACAGGCCCAACCAGTCGCCGAAACCGTGCTCGAGAGCATCTGGTTCCCTGAATGGCACCACTTCATTAACTTCGTGACCAGGTAGACGCGTGAATTTGATCATTCTGACTCGACTCACGCTGACGCAGGCGCCCCAAAAACGGTTCCGCGCAGTCAGGCCATTCAATAGCATGCCGGTTCTACCGCATTGGACCCATGTTTGTGATAGTGTTTCCTAGTATCATCTCTACGTATATAAGGGTAAGCGAGTAAATCTACTTATCCCTTCAAGTCATCCCCCACAACTTCAACCGAGTGCATTCTTCTAAAACCGTAATTTCCTCCATGCATCACACCAACGAGTCACAGCTCACCCTAGTCGACGCTCCGTCTTCTCCACTTCCACGGTGCCCTCATCCCTGCGGCACTGACATGCGCCTCGATTTCTCCCGCACCGGCTCCGACAACGTCGTTGCGCACGCCCATCAGCCTTCCTTCACCAATGTCTGACTCGCGCCCTCTATACGCCATCCAATGCCACGGAAGCGCTGCCATCATTCGACGCCGCGACGCCGTTGTGGGCGTACTAGAGCGTCGAGGCGGGCTTGTTCCCAGCCGCGAAATATCGCTCTGGCTCGGCGCCGACGAGAACGTCGACCTTGACGTCGACGATTCCGACGCGTGCACGATCGTACCTGGTTCATCGTCTGAGAGCGATTCATATCTTGAAAAGCTGTCGACGCGTCCTGGAGGGTATCGGACGAAGCTCGTGAAGTGGCTCCGCACGCCGAGATTCTCGAGGTAGTAAGTGCCGAATACAACTCTCCTTAAATATCTAATGGCTGACTCGGTGTTTAATCCAGCCCCGTTACATTCTCGGCCGAAGGAAAGACGTTCGAGTGGCGCGAGAGTGCGGCGGGATTGTTGGTTGTGAGCTCAATCCATCCAGTTTAGATCACATTCGAGATGCTGAATCGTGAATAACAGGCACGCGAAGCCGGCCAGAGAGGAGACCCTCCGATAGCCTACTTCCAGCACTCTCGCGCGGCAGCAAGCGGGCGAGTGGAGTCCGCGACGCTCACCTTTCCCAGAGTCGACGACAGCAGCCTCGCAGAGCAGGATGCGATTTTCATCTCTCTAGTCGCAATCGCTCAGCGTCAGGGTTCGGCGTGTTCTGGTTTCAGAACACCGGTGTTGCCTGAGGCTCAGTCGCGGCATACGGCCACAGTATGTGTTTTATTTCGCTTTCTGCTGCTTTATATTTACAGACAGCTGATACTAGTGCTTTGTTCATGCGACGGGGCTACGTCTATGAGCCACATGAATATATACAGATAGACGATGTGTTGTTCTCGGAGGGTAGGGCGTTCTGGGAGGCGGCGGGTGTATGTTAGCCAGTAAGATATCGTTTAGCTTTTATTCGCTCTTTAGTACGACTTGTGTGTTTCATTAGTATACTTCCGAGTAAAACTTATGAATCAACAACTTCATTCCATCCGTTTCGTGACTTTCTGTTGAAGGAACATGACTTGCTAATTAGCGGTGAAGGGAAGCTGTTGGGAAGCTGAGGGAGTCCGTGCCGGAAATCGTGTGGCTTCAACTTGTTCAGCGAGCTCTTGGAATGACATCCTCGGAAATGAAGACACTTTGCCGCCGCCAGCAAACACCTATGCAGAGAATCGGCTCCGAGTGGCTCTTCAATAACACGAGGCTGCGCTTTACCGATCTTCTAGACCGGCGCGACTTGGAAGACAGGTGGTACGAGAAAAAAATCTTATCAGATAGCAACTATTGTCCGATCAAGAGCCCAAGGGACCGGTCAGGAAAATCCGAACACCCCGTGTTCAGGCTCGCCTTTCGCAGATTTTCACACAGTCTGCAATGGTCTGATGGGTGGTACCATCTTATCTGATAGCCAAGTGTCCACTCTGCCTCCGTGCCCCTTTCGGACCGGACGCGCCCGCGACGCGTTTCTCGGATGTTTCATTGCCCGAATCCGGCCTGACTTGTCGCATTCTCGCTCCCGCTACGCATGGTAGGGGTTGTTTTTGCTGTTAACGAGGAGCTGTATCATGATTCTGTTCTGGCGTAACTTTACGAGTCGCTTTCCCCGTGCTCCGCCACAGGTATAGTGCCAACCAACTCTGTATGTTTTGCGGGCTCAGTCTTTTCCTCGTAATAATTTTGACGCGTCACATTTTCAGCGTGCCTTCCTGCAGGCTCAGGGGCCTATACACCATCTATAGTTCGAAATATATGGAGACATAATGTCGGCCGAAGACGAGCTGACGGCCGGAATGTACGTCGAAAATGCGTCCGCGTCTCCTCAAGGCTCAAGCGCTCACCCCCGACGAGACGCTGTCTCGTTTATCAGATAACCAAGTAACGGCCTCGAATCTCGTATGACATCCCAGAGGAGTGGTATCCTATCCTGTTCCATCGGGAAAAGTCAACTTGCCCCTCTCCGCGTGGGCCCCCTGTTACACATGTCCATGGCGGTGAAAATATGGAGCCACCCAGCGTCGCAGCCAAGAAAACATCTGACGTTCATCCCTGTTTTATCATTCTCCAAAACTTATATCTCTCGCCATCTTGCGCATGAGAGGTCCGAGAACGGCTATCTCCTCCTCTTCTCTCCCTCGCCTCAGTCCGTCGTCGCTGATATTTCACCATCCGTCTCTCCTACGAAAATGGCGCAGGAAACCTCAGCCACGGATAGACAACTCAGCTCGTCGCGGACGAACCTCTACCCCCTCGAGCTCTGGTGGTCCGTCGCCATCTTCATGTTCGTCGTCGGCACGTTCAACTGGGGATCGTACATCCACGCGAGACTCAGTCGCTCGCGGCACCATCGGACCATAGACATTGAGCGCGGACCATCACCTCCAACCCGTGCTCACCCACTTTGGCGATATCCATTGGCTGTCCTCAATGTTTTCCGCGTCGTCGCGTATCGCTGGACGCTTAGCTTTGGAGGGTCGTATTCGCTCAGTGTCGCGGAGATGTTCGTCACGGCGGCGTACGTTGCTCTGGTGTTCACGTATGCTTTCATTAACTGTACGTCTCCTAGTTATTCTTTTATCTTCATTTTGCTGATACATTTCTCCGTTAATAGCAACGGATCTGGAGGGAAACCGGTATAACATGCGGTACTGGAGTAATCGAGCAGGCATGCTCGCATCTAGCCAAATCCCCCTCCTCACCGCTCTAGGCACGAAAAATAACATCGTCACCCGTAAGAGTCATTTTTTCTCCTCGTTCGTGTTCTAACTCATGTCAATATTGCAGTGGTGACGGGAATTAGCGGCGACCAAGTGAGCACGTAACTTAAAGTTTGGCTCAGTTTTCTTACTTCGGAACATTCCACAGCTCAACTACATGCATCGAGTGATAGGACGGACTGTGTTTGCCCTGCTTTGGGTGCACGGTGGCAGTGAACTATACCGGTGCCTTCAGACGTGAGTCACATGCATTATCGGTATCGACAGGACGATACTTAAATGACCGGTACTCTAGGTTTCCTGAAGATCTGGCCAGTGACTGGCTGCGCCTCGGCTTGGTTGCTCAGGTTGCCTTGACTATCCTTGTCATCGTATCGATACGTCCCATCCGGGCTCGCTTTTACGAGTTCTTCTCATTGACGCACACCGTCATGGTTTTGTGAGTGTAGTTCAATTTATATCTAAGCCATACGTTTAACCTACCTTATCAGTATCTTTGTTTTGGGAGGATACTACCACGCCAAACCACTTCAGTAAGGAGCTTCTCTGATTCGTATGTCTTATTGCCCCTCACCTGTTTATCCAGCGGTGCATACTGGATCTGGTCTGCGTTCGTCTTCTGGGGCCTCGACCGTTTCATTCGCCTTGTCCGCCTCATCGCCTTTAACTACTCATATTTTGGCGTCAAGTCCGGCTTCGGAAGCACGAACGCCACGACAGAGCTCATCTCCGACAACCTCGTGCGCCTGCGCATCAAGCGCCCGCCTCATTTCCACTGGACGCCCGGGCAGACCGCCTACTTGGTCATGCCGTCCGTTTCGACGCTTCCGTTCGAGTCGCACCCGTTTACGATTGCGAGTGTTGATTCTGAATGTTTCGTTTCTGCGCCAGGAGAGAAGAGCGAAGACGAGGAAGGGGCGATGTGGGGCGATGTTGTCTTCCTGATCAACGTCCACAAGGGTTTTACGAAGCGGCTTGGGAAGGTGGCTGCTGCTAAGGGCGAAGTGAGGGTGTTCGTGGATGGACCTTATGGATCGACGCCCGAGATAGGGTGCTACGACACGTGCGTCTTGGTGGCAGGTGGAACCGGCGTCGCTCATACCCTTCCCGTCCTCTTGGGAATTGTCGAGTGAGTTAATTGTTTTGACGAGTGTATTCGTTTGCTCATCTCGAAAATGACAGAGCTGCTCGTAACAACACCAGCAGATGTACCCGCGTCTCGTTTATTTGGGCCGTACGCGATCCTAGTGGGGTTTTCATCTATGTCATTCTCCCGCAGTAGCTCATGTGCTTTTAGATCATATAGAACCTGTCGAGCACGCGTTGGCCAGAGCCATAAAACTCGCCCCTCCAGGCCTCGCTGTAGCTATTCGCATACACGTCACAGGCGCTTCCGCGCCAAGCACGGCGGTAACCTCTCGTACCATCTCCATCACAGACGACGCATCCGCGGCCACTGCCGCAGCGCTCACGTCAAATCCTGTACAAGAAAAATCGGCTCTTGCTGCTCTCGATGCTGTACGCGTTGAGTACGGCCGCCCTGATCTTCAAACGCTCCTTTCTGAGGAGACCTCAGCAACTGATGAGCGTATATTTGTTGATGGTAAGTCGAGGCATCCCATTCCCCTTGAGTTTTTATTGACAGACAGTGCTTTACGTATAGTGTGTGGGTCGGACGCGCTCACTCGGGCAACTAAAAAGGCCCTGTGCTTTCCCGTCTCTGGCCCTTCGAGCGTTGTAAGTGGTGGGCCGAGTGTAACGTTACGTGTTGATTCGTTTGGGTATGCATAAGCGCGATTGAGCTTAAACAGATGCTGAGAAGGGATAAACCAAAAGAAGCTCGGCGATGAAGTAGTTTTTAGATACATCTTATTTGTTATCGAAGCATTAGAACCCTTCATGTATGTATATCCAGCGCCTCCACTCTCGAAGTCATGAAGTTATCCACGTCTCAATTGTTTCTCGATTCCGAACCTTCGGTTCAAGCAACTATAGCGTCAATTGTGGTGTCAAACTCTATCCTCGGATCATCATATCCTCGCGAGGAGCAAGGGAGACCGCAGTCGGTATGAAGTGTGCTGATAAACCGATGACTTGATCAAGTCGCCCAATAGCGAGCATCGCGGAGACACCCCGCAAATTATCTCAGGACCAGGCGATATGCGACGCTGCGAGAGCGGCGGCATCAACAACGGCATGACGCGCAATGGGGCTGGCTGACTTATCAGATAACAACGCGTCTGATGAGATTTCCCCGTATGGGAAAGCTGTTGTTCCTGTGGGCCTGCGGGCGCCACCGTGCTGAGTTATCAGATAATAACGTCCCACTTGATCTGAGTCACTGCGTGTACATCAATGTGACCGACGCAATGGTACCGACATTGCACCATTGCTCTGACCAACATGGGCTGACCTGTGGTAAGGGACAGAAAAGCGCAGTGTGTCGCTGGGTATAAAGCCTCGACGCAGATGTTCCAAGAATACGCATCGAGCCTTCCACACTCTATCCATCCCTCGGCCACCTCGATACATCGCACCACTTCCAGCACCAATGACGACCACCTTCAAGAACACCAATGAGAGCCGCCCCGTTCACGCAAACGAGCAGCTCTGGGCCAACTCCATCGGCTTCCACAACTCCTACGTGATCCACAAGGATGAAGGGATCGACGCCGCCATCGCAAACAGTGAGAACAACGAACTTCCGCAGATAGCTGTTGCCGCGAACGAGGGCAAGTTCCTCAAGCTCGCCGCGCAGACTATCGGCGCCAAGCGCGTTCTCGAGGTCGGAACGCTCGGAGGGTGCGTAGTCCTATGCTCTGCTTTTGGTGTGGGTGGGAGTTGAAAATTTCATGCAGTGTCTCGACGATCTGGATGGCGCGCGGTATCCCCAAGGATGGGCGTATCGTTACGCTTGAGGTCAAACAGAAGCACGCAGACGTACGTTATAAACAGCCTTCTCATACTGCATATTGAGCTGAATCTTTGTCCTAAAGGTCGCCAAGCAGAACTGGGAGTTGGCCGGCGTCGCATCCCAGATCGAGGTCATCGTCGGCGACGGTGTCGAGACCATCAAGAGCCTCCGCCCATCCGAACCATTTGACCTTGTCTTCATCGACGCAGACAAGAAGAGCAACCCGACATACTATGCGGAGGCCAAGCGCATGCTCCGCAGCGGAGGTGTTATCGTAAGCCCTTCAGCTCCCTGAGGTTTGGTAGAAACGCGAGGTCTAACTCACGCCACACAGATCGTCGACAACGTCGTGCGTGACGGCCGCGTCGCGGACCTGAGCAACGACGACCCGACCAACGTTGGCATCCGCCAGATGGTAGCATTGATCAAGGAGGACAAAGAGGTGGATGCGACCGTGATCCAGACGGTTGGGGATAAGGGATTCGATGGGTTCCTGTACGCAAGGAAGCTGTGAGGTTTGGTAGTAGCGTCAGGACGACGCTGAGTGCGACGATCTCGGATTGTTCACCTAAACGCTTGAACGACGAGATACTGTAAAATATACCTCCTGAAATAACGAAGCGATGTATGATCCGGCGTATCGAGTTGCGTATGAAGCGCAAAGAAGTGCTATTGGACCCAGGAGACGCCGAGCTTCGGTCGCCGCGTGCTCCGATTCATAGATGTCTGCGTAGGAACCTAGACACACAACACAGCCTTGTGAGCGTCAGCGACGATCCAAATTCCTACCACCATCTCCTCGAAGCTGTTGCAGCCATGGTCCGTGACTTTTCACCTAGCGAGAACTGGGGTAATGGGAACAGTGGGTCACCGCCATCGAGGGCTGCACCGAGAGCTACCTACCCAAACACGGTATGTCCTTTAAAACATACATCCAGTCCGTCACCAGCGTCCTCATTGGCTTCCTCGGACCGACAATGACCAAGCTCGATCCGCAAGATGTTGCGGCCGTCACCACGTTGCTCGCCAAACTATGCATGCCGGAGCACGGACCTGGCCGCCCGGAGCAGCTCGAGAGGGTGCACAGCGTCCTCCGGCCGTAACTACACGAGCGCTACGAGAATACGCTCGACTTCATCATGCCAGCGTATGAGACGATATGGAGTGTGGTTGCGTCGACAGTGGCGATGGTGTACGAGGAGGACGCATACAAGGCCGCGTTCCTCGACTTCGGGGAGAACCCTACGCCTCATCAGCTGGAGGCACCTAGGCAGGGAGGGAGGATGCCGGGCTCCGAAGCGGTGGTCATGGAAGTGCTGCGGATGCATCCGCCAAACCGCCAGATGTATGTGGAGACGCCGCTCATCTCATGGCCGTTCACTATCTCTGTCGTCCGCGTCGCAGACATCGAAATAGTGCGACGGTGGAAGCATGGGGAGACGATGCAAACACGTTCAGCCCTCGCAAGAGGAGGTTGACTCAGGATCGACAAAGCGAAGACAGGCAGATGCTGGCGTTCGGACATGGGAGGTTGAAGCGCGTTGCGGCGAGGTGGGCGCCGATTGCGGTGGGGATCATTGTCGCAAAGGTCTTGGAGAACCTAGACAAGGTTCAGTGGAGGCTCGAAGGGGATGCGGAGGCGAGTCTGGCAAGGGGATTAAGAGGACTTACGATACACCGATGCCTCTAGCCTACAATATCCTTCTTAACATTTTCTTCTTCTGTCCGTGTTCATTGGCTCCTTGACAAATCTTGATTGCACCAGAGTAATAAATATAACGGCCTGTGGCTGGATTGTGAGCTGAGAAGAAGAATTCTGAGTCCCGTAGTGTCCATATGATCACTGCAAGGAGCAAGACAAAGGGGTCGCTGCGCGCGAGGGGGCCGACAATTCCGATTCCCGCTTCCGAAACTTGAACCACAACGCGCAACTGCACTTTGTCTCTTACAGTTTACTCCTACTCCTCGTCATCAGATACATAAGTCTTCTCGAAGTATCCCCACCGCTTGGCTTTTATACCGTCAGTCGTATCTGAGGGGACATACCACAACATCCACATCATGACTATCATTTCGGTGTTTGCTCACTTTGTGCGTTTCACTCTTACTCGTATCAAAAACAGGTCGACAGAACTCCCTGACACTCTTCATGTAGATAGCATCTCTTGATGTCAAAATTGATGTGCGTATGCAAGAATCCATGAGAGATACAGCGTCTTAATTCCTGATGGCATTGCTCCGAAATACAGGATATCACGGAATCTCCTTTCACCCCATTCTACAAGACAAACTACAACACTTCATCGAGCATCGAGAGGAGCCAGCTTAACGACATCATTGGGAGGATAAACGGAGCAATAGACGGTATTGACTCTGTTATCGAGCAACTCGCCGAACGCAAAGTCGTGCTTGAATCCACAAAACGCGAACACTCTCGATTCCGCTCAGTTGTAGGACGGATACCGGAGGACGTGTTGTCCATCATCTTCGAGTACAGCAGCCTTGCACAAGCAAGCGGCGAATACGGCGTCTACAAGCACAGGTCCTCGCTCTCCTTCAACTTCTCCGACACTTGTCGACGCTGGCGGACTGTTGCACGCGGCAATCCAAAACTATGGAACAACATCTTTCTCAATGCAAGTAGATTTTCACCGGACACAATGTCTCCTCAATTCTCTGAGCTGGCGTTGAGGTGTCGCCTACATCCTGTCTACTTGCTTATTCTCAATTCGGCCCTTCGCCGGATGAAGAATATTGCTCAAAGCGGAATACTCAAAGGGCTGAGGAATACCTGTCAGGGGTTGGAGTTACACTTTTGCGACAAGAGGGGCCTTCTCCCAAGCCAGCTGGATGATTAGCTTGGCCAAAACTTCCCCAATCTAACGTCTTTATCTCTGACGAGTCATATTTCTCGTGAGCCAATTCTGGCAAATCATCCGCCGCTTCCAGCTCTTTCTCGGTTAACCAACCTCTACGTTCATTTTACTGAAGAGAAGAAGCTCCAAGAAATTGGCATCCGCGCTATCTATCGCATTCGATTACCCGTTTTGCGACGCTTGATCATTCGCATTACTCCAACACCCGTCTCAATATCCGTGGACATCAGTCAGCTGGCTACTAGCTTTCCTGGCTTAGAGGAACTTCATATCCACGCCCTTTTCCTTCGAGAATCATCGAGCGTTGATGCTACGGCGTCTTCTACGACACCTCAAGATGCTCCACAGTTCTCTCAACTAAAAGTCTTTTCAGTAGGAGCAACTTGGGGTGGATATAAACCGCTCCTGCCTTTCTTCGGACCTTTAGTGCTTCCGTCGCTTTCTGAGCTCAGTTTCCCCTTCAAATTCGCGAGGGAAGAGGGCGAGGAAACCCAGATCTTGGAAGCATTCCTTGCTCGCTCGCAATGTCCTCTCAAGCGAATGAACGTGATAAACCGCAGCAAGGACGAGGACCGTATTTGGATCCGTGGGTGGATTGAACGCCTTCGGAGCACTTATTCTCAGCTTCAGCTGGTCGATGATGAATCCTACAGTGATATCAACCATATCACGGCTGCATGGTCCTCCTAGTAGAAATGTGGGTAGTATCTCTGGTTCCATGGTTTGCTTTTATGCATCGTTGACCTGGTTTAGCGTAACAGCTCATCCACAGCCTTGAGGTTCAATGCATTCGTGGGGGCGGGGTAGACGGGAGGGACGTTGGTGAAGGTTACTTGTTCGCATGGAAGGCGGGAATTGACTGGTTCCGCTGCTTAACATACCATCGATTTTTTGTCCTTTTGCTGCGGATGCTATTGAATGAAGCCACTCTTCACGTTTGTTATACAGATATCCACAAGGCTGCCGACTGACCACTGCAAGCAGTACTCTTCCAGCGTAAGAGATGTCATTTTCCATGTCTCGGTCCACAGCAACGTTTTGCAGTTACGCAGCTTAGAGCCTGAGAACCTTCCCATTTTAATGTGTAAGACCGTACGCTTTACATGGCGAATAGCTCTCAAATGGTTGATTACTTTCACTAACACGATCACTATTCACGTTCGCCTGAGAGGCAAGGACTGAACTTGACCAGTGACGCAGCCCATAATAGTTCCTTTGAACACTTCAAGTTGGGTGGAGTTAGCATGTATTGAGAACGTGAAGTGCTATTGATACATAAATATGCTTATGGTATATGCGAAACTCTATCAATTATGCGAAAGTACTGGTTTCATGCGGCCATATAAGATAGGCATGAGGGGCATGAGAGGGTCATAATGGGGATGAAATATGAGAGCGCCCAAGCTAGCAGGACGCCCCCAGATAGCGCTGGTCCATCAGCTTAGCAAAGTCCTCGTGTCGACCAGAATCTCGGCCATCCACATGTCTGGCGAGGTATTCCAGAGGCCGGCAAGGTAGAGGCGGTTGAGGGAGACGCCGCTGGCACCGATGCGCCACTCTGGGCAGCGCGAGGCAGGGAACTGCTTGGTGGCCTTGATAAAGTAGATAAGTTATACAGCTGGAGACAAAAATATGGGAGACGCCGCTCACCTCGACGAAGGAAAGTATCATCTGAGCGACAAGCACGGCCAGCTGGGCGCGCGTCAGCGGACCAAGGGGAGTGTAGAGCTCGATCGAGTGTGCCCAGTTCGCGCTCTCGTGACCCGGCCACTAAAATAGGGAAAGAAAAAGGTAAAGTCAATAACTCTAAATTGACGTTTCGAGAATGTGAAGTGTGACGTACCACGATGCTGAGGCAGATCTTGCGCGAGCCGCTGTCCATCCCCTGGCCGACACGGTCAGACGCGCCGACCATCATCCGGGAGAGCGCGTCCCCACCCCGAGCGATGATCTCGCACACGGGCATGCCCATCCCGTACGTCTGGGCGCTCGCCAGGTCGAACGTGACTGGCGACCGCTGCGGTGACGCGTTTTTGGGGATCGGCTGGGGGACACGACGAATGTGGGAAGGATACTGGGCGAATGGGGGTTGGGCAGGAAGGAGTGCGGAGTGTGGGGTGCAGTGGCCCGGGGAAAGGGAGGAGAAGGACGAGTTGCAGCCGTTAGAGACAGCGGGGTGGAGAGGATTGGAGTACGTCATAATAATGATGTATGAAAATGTATAGAAAGCGCGTAAAAATGGCGGGGAACGCGTTTGCGATGCAGAGGATGATGAGGCGAGTGAGGTATTCAGCTCGATGCCGATGAGGACGACATGGAGGCGAACTTACCAGGTTAAATATCGCGTTCGACATAGAGGACGATGAGGAGGATGGTGAAGCGTGAAGAGGACAGAGACAAAGCATTGAGAGGTAGAACGCTGGACATCAAGGTGTCGAGGAGCGCATTTGCGACAGATGCAGCATGGTGAAAACGAGAGGAAGGGTGAAGCGACATAGGATGACGGACAGATGAACAGAGAAGCCAGGTGCGAGGACGTCAAGTGTCAAGAAAAGCGCGATTGATAAAGCAAAAAGTGTCAACGCGACGATGTGACGGAGGGATGTGAAGACGGAGCGGAGGATTTGACCCGGGGCGTGGCTAAACGGTTAATTAACTTCGAGACAAAGGAAGTTGACGCGTCGAACATTGTCGCCTTGACGTCAGCTAGACCTCTGTTATCACATTTCTGTAGTCCTATACTCTCCAAAAAGCCTAGCAAGACACAAATCTAGCGCTTTGAGGGGTCCAAGAGTCGCCAATGAACTCGTTGGTGGTCGCAATGGTCGTCGAGAGAGGCCAAAACGCGTCGGCTGAGCTCGAACCAGTCACCTCGTTTAGGAAATCGAGGCCCCTTTGCCACGCGAGTTTGACTTGCCCTCGTCCCTCTCACACATCACATCACCCCTTCACACCATCACACCGACGTCCTCATCACCTTCCGCCTGTTGTCGACGTGCCCGTCGACGTGCCCCGCCGTATGATGAAATCACAAGTTGATCCCGAGACTGCAAAAACCTCTCTATGATCACAATGACGCTCGGAATACGGGCCCGAACCCGCTTCTTTTCACTTTCACATCATCACAGCACGTTCATGCTCGTTTGCGCCGCCCCACCCGACGAACAAACGTGGTTATACCATCGGTGTATGACCTTCATTGTAATCACACCTTCGAAATTTCACGGAGAGCACTCCCTTCTAGTGTTGCCGCGACTCGGCTCGGCTCGAAGCTGAATCGCTCCCTAGTAAAAATAACGATTGAATTTTGTAGCGTAAGGTTTATGTTTCGAAGCGGTGACTGGCAGCGACGATGGCAACCATGACATGACAATTACCTCACTAAGTATTTTGTTGCCTTTATCGTAAGTCCACCCAATCGGCTTGAGCCAGCTCCCGAGCCGCGGCAACACTACTCCCTTCCATCAATGATGGACAGATCAACGGTGATGAACACCAGGCGGTTCTCAAGAGCTGGAACCTCTCTAAGATCACATTGGCTCGCAGTGTCCCCTTGTACGATATCAGACTCACTGTTGTTGGCAAGATGGAGGGTCAAACCCATAGTTAGCTCACATGAGCTATGTCAAATGGTTGATGAGATGCAATTGACGTATCGAAATGGGGGCATTGTGCTCCTTGACTGACTTCAACTTGCATCTCAATCAACACGACTCGGAAGGGGGCGCACTGAGATAAGAGGGCAAGCCCACCTACAGTCGATTTTATTCACGCTAAGAGCTTCGCTGCAGGTGCATATTTACCACGAACTCGTAGCACTGGACGTACTGTACTTAAGCTTATTACCTTTCAAGCTCAGAACGGTGGATCGCTTAAACATTGAGTTGTGACATGTGACAGCTTGCGGTTCAGTGACATGCTAATAGTGTATTGTGACAGTTACGTTCAACCGTCACACCGATGCTAGAAAGCAACCATGCCTTGTGCGCGTACTACCACCACGCAACTATAGCGCACAACTGCACATTGACTTTTACTTGTCCTACAACGCTCAGGTCTTATTCAGGGACTTCCACTGCTTAGCTTCGACCCCCCACTCGCCTTCAAGAGAACACCCAAATCATGGCCGTTGCCTCCGTATTTGCTCAATTTGTGCGTCTCACCCTCACTCGCGTTAAAGACAGGTGGACGGAGCCCCCTGACACTCTTCATCTAGCTTTTTACACTTGATGCTGAGGTTGACGTACGTATAGGTTTTCCCAGACCTACACACCGACGTTTTAACCACTGATGGCATTGTTCCGGAATCCAGAAAATTGCAAGAACCCCTTTCACTCAGTTCTATGGGACGAACTACAATACTTCATCAAGCATCGAGAAGAGTCAAATCGGCAACATTATTGAAAAGATAACTACGATCGTCCATGAGATTGACTCTGTTGTAGAGCGACTAGCCGAACGGAAGGCCTCGCTTGAGTCTATGAAGCGCGAACACTCCCGATTTTGCTCGGTAATGGGACGGGTACCAGGGGACGTCTTATCCATCATCTTCGAGTACAGCATCCCCTCCCATACAAGAAGCAGAAGCGGTTTTTCCCAGTTCACTGCCTCGCTTTCCTTCAACGTCTCTGGCGTTTGCCAATGGTGGCGGACTGTTGCACTCCGCAATCCAAAATTATGGAACAAGATCTATCTCGATGCGAGTAAGGTTGTACCGAACACAAGGTATCCTCGTTTCACCGAACTAGCGTCAAGATGCCGCTTACATCCTACGCACTTAATGGTCCACAATGCAAATCTTTCCTGGATGTCAGGAACGGAGCACGGCGCGATCCTCGAAGCGCTGAAGACTACGTGTCAGGGGTTGGAATTACGCTTTTCGAATAGAAATGGCCTTCTCCCGCGTCAACTGGACGAATGGCTTAGTCGACAGTTTCCCAACCTGGCGTCTTTATCTCTGCTGTCGTGTCACCTCTCTCGTCAGGTCACGGCAAATGGTCCGCCACTTTTAGCCTTTTCTCAGTTATCCAACCTGCATGTTCATTTTGCTGAGCCGAATAAGCTCCGAGAACATGGTGTCCGCGCCATCTATTATTTGCACCTACCCCATCTGCAACGCCTAATCGTTCATACTATCCAGACGTCCTTCCGAGTAACCGTCAATATAAGCCGGCTGGCCACTAGCTTTCCCGGTTTAGAAGAGCTTCGCATTCACGTCCCACTCATTAAACTTCAGATATCACGGACTGAACTTGCGGCGATGTCTCAAGATGCTTCACGCTTCTCTCAGCTAAAGGTGTTCTCCCTGATAACAAGTGGTGGCAGCCACCACCTCCATATATTCAAGAACCTGGTGCTCCCGTCGCTTTCGGAGCTCAATTTCCCCTTGTACTTCGCTGAGAAAGAAGGCGAGGACCCGCATACTATAGAAGCACTTTTCGCTCGTTCGCATTGCCCGTTGAAGCGGATGAATGTGATAAACCGCCGCAGCGAATCAGACAGACTCTGGGTCCACAGATGGATCGAACGCCTGCAGAGCACTTATCCGCAGCTTCAGCTGGTCGACGATCGTTCATACGAGGATATCAATGGAATCAAGGCTGCGTGGTATTCCTAACGTATATTTATGTAGTTGGTTTGGTTTCATGTTCTGGCTTGTGTATCAGCTACCTGGAACGGGGTATTAGTTTGTCCACAGTTAGATTCAGTGCGTTTGTGGAGCTGAGGAAGAGACACATGGGAGGCACCTGGGGAACCTTGAGTGACCCGAAACAGACCTTGGGTTGACAACGCTGGAGCGACTGGGTGTCGGATACCCTCATTCCATTCCTCGTCTACTTGACATTATGGGCTTATTTTCGAATCAATTCTGTTGGATGCCGTGATTTGAGCCCTCGATATGATGATTGGCTCCTATATTCGCTATTTGGGAATTTCGTGACGTGTCTTGTCAATGTCTTTTTGACAATGCCTAAATTTTTCTCGAGGGTTCATGTGTGGTTGCTCGATGAATGCTTCTAAGGCGTCTTCATTAACATCAGAGTTGTAGTCATAAATCCATCTATGAAATCTAAACAATGCATCTAAATTGTGAGTCTATAATTCCTAGGTAAGTAGGAGTTGAATACCGTAATAGCGTAAAATCTAAATCTAATCTCAAACGAGCATGAGAATGGTCCAGCCATCGAGGCTTACGTCTAGGAAATCTATGAGTGGGTATCCAGAAGCTCGAACACCTGGCGCCACCGCTCGCGCCAGCACGCAGCGTCGGGGCTCATTTTGGTCAGGACCTTGTCGCGGTTCCACGCGCGGGCGTCGCACCCCGGTGCGCAGATGAACTTGGATAAGAAAGAAGCGACAGTCTCGTTATCGGTGCCCACTCTCGAGTCTAAGAGGTCCAGACTACGCAAACGGGGAGAATACTCGTTGATGGTGAGCGAAGGATCTTCCTCAACCTGACTTGCAAGAGGTCGTGCATCGACAGACACAGCGAGGTTCTCGAGGTGCGGGAGAGCATGCACAAGCTTGGCGATGCCTATCAACGAAACGCGCGACTCGTTCACCCACCCGGCGTTCGTGTTGATCTCCAATGACCTAGCATTTGGCCACGCATGCGCGAGCTCGAGCATGTCCTCGTCGTCCAGCGCAATGGCGCGTGGGGTGTCTACATAGATACGCTCGAGGGCGCTAAACGCCATCGCGGGCCTTAGCGCATCCAGCGTGACGCGGAAAGGATGCGAACGGATAACGGTTGGGAGTAGTATGTGGTGGTATTCCTGAATATAGAGCGACCGGAGGCGCGCGGGGCTGCAGCGCTCGAGGAGTGTATCCAGCAGCTGGCGTATGTCGTCTTCCTCGGGGCACTGGAACGCCTGCGACTCGAAGCGCGAAATGGGGAGCGGGCCGTCGATGGCGCGCAGGAGGGAGACCATGTCCGACGGCGAGCCGGAGAGGCAGAGGGTGTCAAGCTGGCTGAAGCGCAAGTTGTTCGGGATGGAGAGGCCTTCCTTTGGTACGTGCAGCTGGAGGTGGCGGAGGCTGGAGAGGGTGGAGAAGTGCTCGAGGCAGACGAAGTCAGGAATGGTGCAGGTGATGGATTCGAGGTGTTTCCATGAGCGGATGGCCGGTGAGAGGACGGAGGCATGTGGGATTAGGGCAAAGTTGTGTGGGGAGTGGAAGGATTTCATGGAAGGGCAGAGATCGCCTAGCGTGGCGAAGAGCTCGAGCACGGTGGCATAAACAGATTGCATGAAACTCTAGAAGACCATCAACTCGTTATACAACGAACGTATTGCACGGTTGCGACTTACAGAAAACCAGTGTACTGAGATCCCCGGCATATGCAACGTCGTCACAGAAGGGACCACCAGGAGGTGCAAGAGCTTCGCGTTGTTGATGTGTGCGTTATACCAGACTACCTCGTGCAGCCTTGGGAATAGCGGATCCGGCGTGCTGCGCGCGGCCAGCTCGCAGAACATGTCCTCGCCAATGATCATCGTTGCCTGCGTCCAGTTGTCCCATGAGATGGGCATCTGGTCAAGGGAGCCACGAAACGCCCTCACGCGAGTTGAGTATCGGCGAAAGGACGCCCAGTCGGACTGAATGAATGGTCGAGTCATTTTCATGGCCTGCAAGCACAGTAGTGAGCGTGTCTTGTAATAAGCGAAAGATGGTAAGTGTACGCACGATTCCGGCCAGAGTGGTCTTGTCCCCAGGGCTGTACTCCCACTCAAGAAGACCCTGAGGCAGCGCGTTCAGCAGCGGCCCCAGCGAGTCGAGCGACTCCCAGAGCTCGTCCAGGGCAGGGTCGGACCATGCACGGCATGTCATGGCTACCGACGCGAGGTCGCGTTTGTTGAGGCTCGAGTCGTTGACAACATTGCGTAGAATTTCGTCGACATCCAGCGCGGCGTGCATAGCGGAGAGGAAGGGGATGGCGGGGGGTATCGTGGTGGTCGTCAAGTGAGTCAAGTCTAAATTGTGGGGAAGCGTGCTAGCCTCAGCCACGATGCTGCGAGTGGACCGGTGTTACATAAAGTTAACGTTATCGGCGTCGTTGACAGAGCGGGCATTACATTGACGGGAGATAACATATGAATAGGAAGTTCGTCAGCAGATGACGTACAGAGTAGACCGTCCTCAGGGGGCTGCAGACAGCGACCTATCCGGCGTATTGTCTGCTATCTTCCGCTGGGAAGGTGAAAGCTGGTGAAGAACAGTATGTGGTCGACATGAACGACGTTGACGCGTCTGAAGGGAACAGACGCGTCTCGGGGCTAAGAATAGCAATGTGACAAACAAGCGCCAACAAGATGCGGCGACAACGCGGGCCGCTCTTTGCACGGAGCCCTCGATTGTGCGTCCTGCTCCCATCCTCTCGCCATGGCTTGCAAGCGACACAAGAAGACAGGCTTTTGAGGCTGGATGGGAGCATACATGCCGCTCTCTCGCACAGAACTAGTGCCTTGCCAGCTCCTCTCATGGAAGACGCCAATCAACAAAGTTTGGCGATGAAACATGAGCACTCAAATTCCTTAGGCCACCGACTCTGTACTTGATGGTCACAAGCAAGGTCTCTGCATCAAAAACTTCTAATCCCGGACATGTCTGAATACTTCGACTTCTCTAGACGCTATACTAGCCCCAAACAATCTCAGCTCGTGCGAAGAGTCACGTAACTCCTAGCCTCCATGCGTATGCCTTACAGCTCAGCACAAGTATAGACCCCTCGGTTAACACTATCCAGGCACTCCGACAGTAGCGCTTATCATATAGGCCTCTCGGCGCGCATGCTCAAAAACAACTTCGTCTTTATTGACACTTTGAAGCATGTGGAAACTGTGCTAGTGCACGCGCTAAGAAAGGAATACCTCCCACAAATAGCTCTCGTTCCCATGGCTCTCGCGGGGGGTTAAATGAAGACGTGCTTGCAATCATGATGTCCACAAGCTCGAAGGATCCCCGCTCACAGCCCTCGCACTTGCTTGCTTGACTCTGCCTCCATGCCTTCCCTTGCTGCTCTCCTCCCGTTAGTCGCGCTTGCTACCGCCTCGCAGGCGTTCGTCACCCTGCCGCTTAACCCCGTCACGGGCCGCGAGGGCGCGTACCTCAAGGGTCTGCCCGACGCGGACCGTGCGCGTGTGAAGCTCCTCAAGTCGCGTGCGTCGAGTGGACCAACGACTGTCCCTGCGACGAACTTGGCGTATGTGCAGTACACGACGAGTGTTGGTGTCGGCAGTCCGGCGACGTACTACAACTTGGTCGTGGATACTGGGAGCTCCAACACGTTTGTGGGGTGAGTGCGACGACCTTGCTCTACGGAGGCGAGGGAATCGATCGCATGCTATGCAGAACGGGTACGAAGTACGTCCGCACGAGCACGAGCGTTCCAACCGGTCAAGACGTCAACGTGACCTATGGCTCGGGTTACTTCTCTGGCGTGGAGTGTACGTTTCCTCACAAATCATTCTGATCACCATGATTGCCAAACTTGGATGTCGTAGATCTCGACCAAGTGACGCTCGCTCCGGGCTTTGTGATCAAGGACCAGTCCATCGGTGATGCTCTCTCATGGGCTGACTTTCCCGGCGTTGATGGTATTGTCGGTGTGGGCCCCGCGGACCTCACAGTTGGCACACTCACCCCCGACGTGGACGCGACGATCCCGACTGTCATGGATAATGCGCTCAAGCAGGGCCTCATTGAGCAGGAGATCCTTGGCGTGTCGTTCGCACCTGCGACGACCTACAGCGACACGAGTGAGTCCCCATTCTTGCAAGTTACTTGCAAGTGAGATGCGAGAAACCTTTTCTAACGCAAGATACCTGCAGACGGTGCTTTGACGTATGGTGGTATTGATTCATCGTTGGTAAGTCTCACAAAGCAAGTCACACATACGCGACGCTAAGAGAAAACTAGTACGAGGGCGAAATCACCTATACCCCGCTCACGACGACCTACCCCGCGGCGTACTACTGGGGCATCAACATCACCGACTCGACTTACGGCACCACGCCCGTCTTCACCGACTCCACCGCGGGCATCGTCGACACCGGAACCACCCGTACGTCTCCCCACCCTTCTTCCCCCTTCCCTGCCCCCCTACTCACACACGCTATGAACTGGCTCCCCACGATACATCAGAGATCCTCCTCGCAGACGACTACTTCGACAACTACATCGCGGGCATCCCCGGCGCGTACATGGACAACACCACCGGCCTGCTCGTCGTCCCCTCCTCGTCCGTCGCCGGCATCCAGCCGCTCAACTTCACGATCGGCGGGACGAGCTTCGCGCTCGACGCGGCCGCGCAGCTGATCCCGGAGGACCAGAATATCGCGTGGGGAGGGAGCGCGGGCGTGCAGTACGGTGTCGTGGGCAACCTTGGCAGTCTCAGTGGCGAGGGGCTCGATTTCATTGTGGGGCAGAAGTTTATGGAGAGGTATTATGCGGTATGTGGGCCTTTTCTTTGGTTTGTGCGGCGGACACGGTGGTGGCTGACGCGAGGGATGTACTGTAGATCTTCGATACGCTAAACAGCCGTGTTGGGTTTGCGTTGACGTGAGTCCTGCGTTGGATTGGTTCCTGAGGCTTTCAAGCTGATGTTGTTTATTTTTAGGAATCACACGTTCTCGACGTACAGCGCTTAAGCATTAGCCTGTCATGACTAGCTCTGATTTAACTTGGTGACTTTAGATGGACGTTTTGATCTGCTGTATAGGACTCGAACCCGGACGCGGTGACATTGGCCATAGAAAATCTACCATTCTACCATGTTTTTCCGCCCCAGTAATGTGTCTAGCTGACGTACCGCCATTGCTATCAACGTAGTGACCTGTCCTGCGCTGAACCTTGTTTTTTGACGAGAACAACGTCTACATCGTTCGTGTCGAAACAAGGTGTCGTCTGTACCAGTGCGTGCGTGCTATGCGGCCCTTCAGCTGTAGGTGGAGAACCTGTCAATCTGGTATGACGTGAATCTCGTAGGTCAGTTTGCAGGGACTGATCAAGCCCAAGCACGTACATGATCGCTGATGCTGTTGATACGATCATCAAGCACCTATAGACAACCGAGGCAGTAAATTCAAACGTAGTCCTTCACAAACGGTCGTATCGAAAGTGTAAGTGATCAATTCAAGTTGGGCTTAGGTAGCAATGCGAATATTGTCTCTTTGTACACAAACCAGATGTTAAACCGTCAATGAAACGCAGAACAAGACAAAGAAAATTCCAAAAACGCTGCAGTGTGCAATCAATCAAGCCAAGACCTCGTCACTTGCAAAATATCCCAGGTAAGAAGGTCGAACGAATGCGTCCGGAGGCTCGAATGTGTTTCCCTAAGGTGGTTGATCCACCCGTCGATCCAGCTAACATCGGCGTGATAGAAGTTGATCTCCTTGAGACTGCAGTGTGAGCGGGAAAACAAGGCTTCCAGCGGTTCAGCTATTGATGCTGGGTAAGACAAACGATAGCATGTACAGCCAATCATGACCTCGGAAAGGCATGGAAGAGCTAAATGTTGGAGTAGTCGCTCCATCTCATTGTCCCATACTGCGAGAATGCATAGGACTCGCAGGTAAGGTACCTGTGTTGGCGCGTCTGACTGCGAAAGAAGCCAGCGTTCTGACGCACTGAGAGACGGTAGTGAGATGAAGCGAGATTGAATGTAGAGTTCCTCCAAGCGCGGGAAATTTTGAGAGAGGTGTGAAATGTCAAGGTACGTGCCGGAGTATGTGTTGACCAAACTTAGACGTCGCAAGTTGGGAGATGGGAGTTGTAAGATGATGCTTGCGTTAGCGCTGTCTTGTGTCTGATCTAGCTGGATGTGAAGGCTGGTAAGGTGAATAGAAAAGGACAGGGGACGTGTAGGATCGTCGTAGACAGGTAACCAAAGGAGTGATAAATACTTCAGCTTGGGAGTGAATTGACAAAGAAATGCATCCATTTTGGCCCATGAATCCACTTGCGAGGCATGGTAAGACCTGATCAGCTCCATGCTGGTGCATGAGTCGCTGAGACGGTCGAGGAGCCCATTCTTGTTCAGAGAGTATAGGTTGTATAAATCGCAATAACGGATGAAAAGGGACACCGGAAGAGAACGACTGCGAGAAATCAGCTCGTTGCAGCGGGCAGGTGCTGTGCTCTCGAGGTGAGGTTGTTCACGTTTAGCGTCAATTAGTATCCTATTCCACAGCTTCGGAGTATCCAGTGCCACCATTCTCCATCTTTGACATACTTGAGCTACGTTGAGACGAAGGGTGCACCCGAGGCGGTCGGAACAGACATCTTCGTAGGATGGTAAGTGTGCGTAGCAAAAGATGACGGATAGAACGTCTTCCGGGATGCGCCCAATGATAGAAGAGAATCTCGAGTGCTCTTTTTTAGCGCGGATGAGCTTGATCCTGGACTGAGAAAGACGATTAATGATGGTGTTTAGTTCACCATAGTAGGCTGTCATGTTATCGATGATGTCATCAAGCTGGTTTTTTTCTGTGCTTGGACGAGCAGCGCTAAAATTCGTCCCATAGCAGTGAGTAAAAGGCGTCTGTACGAGTGTCTAAGAAGTCATCTGACGATCAATATCCCCGTCAAAATCTAAGCACTGCGATACATACATCAACCTCGGTTTCGATGTCCGAGACCTGAGCAGGATAAAGAAGCGGTCAGGAGCCTATAGCTAACCCAATCTAAGAGACTTACATATCGAATGATTCCTGCAAGGGCCATCCTGTTGATAGCAGCTGTTTACAAGAGTCGCAAGACGAGGAGGCTGAGCGCTGAGATCTAGGAGACTATTAGGGGCGTCGCTTCGGCCGTTCAATTGGAAGCGGAGATTGAATCATCGGGCCGCAAAGCTCCAGCGAAGGGGCCTGTTTCCAGTCAGCGACCACCACCTTGTTGTAATGGCCTACGATTTCGTTTGCAGCTTACAATCTAACGAGAGGCTACGAGGGCCATATCTCACTGTTGAATAGGATTTTCCCTCTGCAATATGCCAGTTTTTGCCGTTCGAACGGCAGAGATGGTGAACATCTGCGAGATGAGTACAGTGACGAGACCTCACCCACGGCGTCATACACACATCTGGCCGTTCCCGGTGGACACATCGAGTCCACTGCAGTGTGCACCTCCATGACCACCGCCTTAGTGCTTGTCAATCAAATATCATTTAAGATTGAGCGCGGACTCACATAGTGTATTTGTGGTCACTAAGAATGTCACGCCAGGAAACAATGAAGGGCGTTTGGGGGATCCATGCTGTCTTGCGCAGGGCGTGAGGAATAAAAAAAGAACCTCACAGGAATCAAAGGCCGTACTTAATCATCTCCCTTGACAGTTGGTTAAACGAAGTTTATTTAGATGTAGTAGTGAGCGACATATTAGTGAATGACCTCTACGCGCAGCTGGCTGTATCCTGTAGGTTGAGTAATGCATCAGCTCGGCGTCGACGACATGATAACCATTACCTACTGACAACCTCGGGCGAACGGGCCAAGTGCCCCCTCACGAAAGCCCCAGAGCTTGCCTAACCTCCTTTATAACCCTGCCCGATCGCTCCCTCGCCCTCTCTGCGCCCTTGCGTGCCACCTCCTCCAAATATGCCTTCTCCCCCCTGATGCGCTCAAACTCCTTCCGCGGGCCCTTGAACACACTCTCCACCGCGTCTGCCACGTCTGACTTGAGCTCACCGTGCCCCTTGCTCGCGTACGCTACGGCCACCTCGTGCACGTCCTTGTCTAGGCACGCAGCAAGGATCGTAAGCAGGTTTGATGTGCCTGGGCGCGCGACGGGGTCGTAGGTGATGCCTCGAATCGAGTCTGTCACGGCGCGTTTGAGCTTCTTGGAGATCTGGAAGGGGCTGTCGGTGAGCAGAATGCGTGAGGAGGTGTCGGGTGCGGATTTGGACATTTTGGAGGTGGGGTCGGAGAGGGAGAGGATGCGTTTGGACGGTGCTGGAGGTCGTGGTAGCGTAAGTGAGCTGTGGAGAGAGGTAGAGGGACATGGAGGTGCTCACTGTTCATGAACTCGGGGAGAGGGAATATGGGCTTCGTGGGGCTGGGGCTGAAGTTGCGGTTGAAGATCTCGGCGATGTCCCGGGTGAGCTCGAGGTGTTGCTGCTGATCTTCGCCGACGGGTACATGGGTGGCTCTGGTGCGCATATACTCAGTAAAAAAAAGTGCGAGATAGAAAGGAGAAGTGCATACTTGTATGCGAGGATGTCTGCAGCCTGGAGTATGGGGTATGTAAATAGTCCTGCGTTAAGCAAAGACTCGTCTACTTCATCCTCCGAGCCTGCGTTTCGCGACGCAGCTAGGCGAGTCTATCGAAGGAAAAGGGTGAGGTTCCTAACGTCAATACCTGACAGGGTAAACGTACCTTCCACGTAGTCATACGCCTCAGCTTTCCCGTCGGCGTCACGCAGTCAAAGATCCATCCTAATTCGACGTGGTCTTGATTCTTGTCGAAACGATCAGCACCTCGCGGATTCTAGGGGGATAGAAACGTACATGGTCCTGGTGGAAGATGATGGACCGCTCCGGGTCAAGACCTATGGCGAGTAGAATGGCAAGCATGTCGCTTCGCGCCTCCCGAAGTGCGGCAGGGTTTTGCGGTAGGGTGAGGGCATGCCAGCCGACGATGGAGAAGAAGAGCTCGTCATCTGGAGATGCGTCTTTTTGGAGCTTGACCCAGTTCGAGAGTGCTCCAAGGTAGTTCCCGAGCTGTGGAGGTGGGTTGAGAGAAACTCAATTCCATAAAGCAGTGTCTACTCACATGGGGAATGCCCGTTGGCTGGATGCCAGAGAGGACAATACGCGGTTTGCGAGGCTGCTGTTGCGGTGCGTTGCTGAGCACCGCAGAACGCGTCAAACATCTCTTTACACCTTCGTGACGCCCAAGCGAAGATTGTTGCTGTCTGAAGTAGTGGTGCAGGACCGTCCTGGTCGACGAGCACAGCGGGCGCGACATTGATGAAAAGTCTACCGTGACGGGCCGAGCGGCACGTGGGTTTGACGGCCAGAACAAAATGGCTCAATTTGGTCGGCCGACTCTTAGCTACTGTTCTGGGCTTAGCTCACTGTCAGTCCCTCGTAATCGCCCAGACGCAGGAGTCGCCCGTCGACAACAGCGGCGACCGTATGGTCGGATGGATTTGGATCCCTTCATCGAGCTGCCTGGCGGAGACGACTACTACGATGTCACGGATGTCTTTCAGAGCGCGGCCAGAGGTGTGTTATGCATTCTGAGTGTATGCTGTTTGCTAAGATGTGACGGTATGCTAGATATGGTCCCAGGGGAGTTGGTTTTTGCGCCCGACTTCACGCTTCAGGATGCGATGGGTGCCTTTGAGGTTTGTGCCTCTATGTCATGCATTCATTGTATTCCCTGAGGTGTTCTTACGCAGATTGGGGAGCCGCGCTTCGACAGTGGAATGATGTCTGAGAACCCACCAGCCGAATTCAGGCCCTTGATGCCCCTGTTTCCACAGGAAGTGTGCTGGATCATGGACAGGATATTTGCTTGCGAGGTGCGTCCTCATACTGCTCATGAACGATCCTACACCTTATATTACTGCTCGAAGATGGAATGGCACGTCGGATATACACTTTCTCAGACAATCTTCAGCTGCCACTATGTGCACAACTTGCACTACATCGATCCCGAATTCGTCGACCCAGCTGCCATCACGATTGACCTCTCACACTCGTCTGATGCGCCAACCCCACGTTTCGACGAATCCCATCCTCCAGAACTAGTTACCCGTGTCCTGCTTGGCTCTGTGATGGCGTTGCTCAAGTGCTGTGACCTCGTGTGGCGAGAGCTTTCCAAGGATAACATCATTGACGTACGCTGTTGACACTCGCTGCACGTTGCGCCGCGCACTCATCTTCAATTTGTTGCCAGACAGAAGACTGGCAGAGCGAGAAATGTGACGTCTCCATGAAGGAGGGCTATCCTGTTCGACACATTCTCAACCTGCTGGACGCCGGTATTTACTGGGTGGAAACCTATCAGACCAGTATGTTCTCCCGAATCAGATTGCCTTGACGATGTGTAACCCGTGTTCAGGCGACCCGACATGGGGAGACGCTCGCGAAGCTTTGCTATCGAGGCTTCGATTCCGCAAGGTGCATGATCCTCAACTTGTGCGATGCAACCTAGGCTAACGTGCTAGCTACCTCAGCTTCTCCTACAAATATTCGACACGCTCCTCTCGAAATCCTACTTCTCCCTCGAACCACTAATTGCCTCCGCCCGTGCCGAACTCCGCATTCTCCGCAAGACGCACACCGAGCCTTCACCCGAGTCCCCCGCTAGAACCGCCTTCGATCCCCAGCTCGCACGATCGCTGAACTCGTTTATACCCCTGCATGTCATCGAGATTTCGACTCAGAACGCAACGTGGGATAAGATGGAGGCGTGGCTGGAAGGGCTCAGCGAGATGGGGCTGTTGGCGAGTACGGAGGACATATCCACTTGGGAGGTGAGTCACCAGCGTAATATGGTCTGTGCCATTGGATGCTCATGTAGTTGTTCAGATAGTGGGACATCTTCAGACGTGGGTACCTGATCCGAACCGGCTGAGGCCGTATGTCCGTTCTGCCACTATCGTGAGTTAGATTTCAGAGCACCTCGTGAGCTTCACAATTGACACTTTGACACGTTCACCTCAACAGTCCGCGTTCTCCGACGGCGTCCTCAGGATAGACCGAGACCCACACAAATACCTCCTCGAAGAGTGGCTCTACGAGCGCCTAGATACCTCCCTCGGCACGTTTCAAGAAGCGCTAAGCACCCGTTGGCGCGCAGCGGGGCAGCCCCTCATGTCCGATTTGCAGGAGCCCCTGAGGCAGGTACGCTTATCACAATTCTGCGTCCTCGATCTCTCGTTATTGAGACCTCTTTTATTGGGTAGCTCCTCGCTGCACACATCAAAGGCTCGTGGTACAACGGCCCGCGCCGCCGGCGACACTACATGAAGTCGCTTGTGCACTGGCACGAGCTATGTGTCACCCTGCAGCATGTCTCGAGCTGCATTGAGCCCGTTGTAAGCACCACCGCTGTTCATCTTGCATGCTCCACCGTAGCTAACCTTTGATTTGGTCTGTCTCGATAGCAAGGTGCAGATGTCGTCGTCCAGGTCTCGCGCCTCGCGCTCTCGTATAGGTTGAGCATCATCCGCGAGATCATTTTCTCAGGCTTCCAGCTGGAGTTATATAACGCCGAAGAACGCGTGTTCGCGTATTGGTACGCTGTGCAGGTTATCGGTGCAAATTTGGAGGTGTGGCATGCCATGCTCGTGGGATTGGGCGAGGGCAAGCAAGGTGTGTTCGCACAGTTCCTCCCTGTGCGTGTCGGGTTTGCTGAAGCTCAGTTGCACTTGCAATAGACACGAAAGCGGCGCAAGAGCTGAAATGGCAGATTGGCTTCTTCAGAGCTGTCCAGGCGCTCTCAAGTGCCATTTTTGCTGTATGCCTACACCAACGCTTCCTCCATTTGACTTACACATAACTCATGCACGTTGGACAGGTAACGCTCAAGCAGCTGAAATCTCCATGGGAGCGCCTACAGCTCAACTGCGCACGGCGGTACAAGTGGGCGTCTGTGGACGAGTACGATGATTCGGACATTGCGCCTACGGGCCATCCGGATTTCTGGGGATTTACGCGGGCGTGTCAGGCCATAATACAGGTACGCTCCCGTAACTGTGTGAATACATTTACGGAGCTAACTGATTGAACAGGACGAGGCGTTCTCCCCCGCGGCCTGCGTCGCAGACGCCAAGCAGATGACCACCGAGCTTTCGAATGGAAGATGTGGGGGATGGGCTGGGAGGTGGTGCAGTGATCGTCTACAGGTTGGTCTCCGCCTCTTTCACAACCATACTCGAACCGTCCTAACGCTGCTGGTCGAAAGTTTACGCGCCGGCTGATCGACGTATGTGATGGCCTCTCCGGCCTACCAGAAAACATGAAGGAGGCCGCTTCGTTCGATCCATCATACCTGAAATGGGACCTAGCGGTGCATCCTTGGTTCCCAAAACTCGTGCAACCGTCGTCTTGAACGAATATGCGACGTGTTTCAGGCAAATAAATTATTGGATGGAGGACATGTAATGTAAGCGTGCCCTATCGTCTCCAGGAGAACTCATATACGATCGTCGCCCCAGTATAAAGGTCTTGTACGCGGTTCAACCATAGATTATAATGTATTGCGAACTTGGAAGGGAAAATCAAAATCAATGCACGTCTTTGCATTTTCTCCATCAGGTCTCCATCCGAACGAGCTTCACCATATCCTCGGAGCGAGGCTTAAATGTGCATTTGAATGTACTCGGTGCCCTAAACAAAATGCATGAGATAACTCGGGGGAGGAAGGTCAGAGGGCTGGCTTACGTGCTCCACTCCTCCCCCAAGCTGATATCTTGCTCAACTTCGTTTCCGTTCTCGTCCATGGGAGGCAGGATCTCGAACGTAGCGAGTACGCTGACAATGGTCAGCCACATGACCGCATCGGCGAAATGGCGACCTGGACAGATGCTTTCCGAGCGTTTGCAGTGTCAGCAGGTGTCAGCCAATAATCCTACTAACATCGTATGGGAAAACAACAAGCACGCTCACCGCCTGCCAAAACCGAACACAGCGCGCTGCGGGTCCGGCTTCGCGGCCTTCCCAGGGCGCGAGAGGAAACGTTCCGGCATGAACAGCTCTGGCGACTCATACACCGCCGGGTCGTGCATCATGGCCCACGCATTCGCGATGATCGTTGTGTCCTTCGGGATGAGCCTATCCCGGTACACATCGTCTTTGGTTGCACGGTGCGGAACGCCTTTCATCCAGCTTCAATTTGTGCTTGAGAAGCAATTATTGTAACTGTGGGCTTACCGATAGGCGCAGTCGGGTGCCACCGCGAGACTTCCTTCAGCAGTGCTTCGATGTACGGCATGTTCGGGCGATCGGAGAAGTCGGGTAGGCGGGCGCCGCCGTTGGTGACGAGCTCTAGTTCTTCATGTGCGCGTCTTTGGGCTTCGGGGTTTCTGAGCATGCAGAGGACGAAGACCATTAAGGAGAAGAATGTCTGGTACGGGAGGTGGAGAAATGTCAGTGATATAATAGCTAGAGAGCAGTAATCGCTTCTCACCGTATCCACGCCAGCTAAGTGATATAACAAACAAAACATTCAGATGAGAGTTATCCCGGAGGACGCACCCCACTCACCCCCATACAAGGTGCTCGCACAATCCTTGATGATTTCCTCACGATCGAGACCAAAGGTCTTGACATTGACAGTAGACTCGTCTTCGAGGAGCATACTTGTCAGACAAGGGACTGCTGTGCCTGCCGCCTAGATTCCCAGTCATCAGACAGCGTCAACGAATAGTTGTGAGAGAACCGACCATTCGCTCCTTGACCATGTCATGCGGCTCCGCTCTCACTTTTTCAGAAACCAGACGCGCTTTGCGCGCGAATCGCTTGAATGCAGCGCCAGGGAACCACTCAGGTATGTGCTTCACTGGTACCCAGAAGTCAGCCCAAATGACGAACAAAGTCAAGGCACCCAAAAAGCTCACAAGATGGAAATAGGGCTATCAGCTTATACCCGTGGGCCTCGATGGCCGTCTCCCCCGCACTTGTGATCAGGTTGACGTATTTATCATCAGTGGGATCGACGTGATGGCCGTAAACCATCATCATGATAAGCCAGGAGTTCATGCTGTTAATATTTCAGTAAGAATCAGGAATGCACGAGAAATGGCACTACTGACTGTCTGAAATACCTCCTGTAATCCTTGGGATCATCAAGGAGATTCTTGAGTAACGATGCTACACCCTGTCGCATGATAGAGTGATATGATCGCGCAACCACACTGGTCTGAAGCTGCTGTGTCAGCAAACGGCGGACGGCAACGAACCGGTCGTTCTCCGAATCCATCAGGGAAAGGTTCCAGTCCCAGCCCATCCTACACAGTGCGCCTGGTCAGCTGAATGCACAGGCGCGAAAAAGGACAAGGACCGACAACTCGTTAAGCATAACCATGCGTGGCCTTCCACTACTATTGGCACCTCGTTTGTTGAGGAGGTCGTTCGCTGCTTCGTACGAATTCAGCACGAGTAGCTTACTACCCATCATGTTGAAGTTGACCCAGTCGCTGTCTGCATCGCCTCAGTCTCCTGCTCTCGACGAGGTCAGATATGCGACTTACCAAGCTTCGCAGCTATATCTCTGTGCTGGACCCACATGTCTCCCTTAGAAGGAACATCCTTCATGTTACCAAAGAGGAAACTCTGCGGCGGCGAAGGCGGAAGCTGTGGGCGCCTCTTGCGCTGATTGTGGTTGTAAATGAAGAGAGATAGCGCAGCCGCGCTGGCGAGCGCAAGGGCTGTTTGCGTCGATGACTCCATGCGGCGAGATATTGTATGAGTGGGCCATTGGAGGGAAAGCTAGGGGGATATTTAAGGGCACGACGACTTTCATTCCATGCATAGCGGTTCGAAGAAACCAGCATGTCAGCAATCCAGCATCGGGACGTTCGTCGGAGCGCTGTTCGGTGCGGCATCGTCTCGGCTTTCCTTTTGCGGTAGGCCAGCGTAAGTTGAGCGGCGCCAGCGAGCAGTGATCTGAAACTTGAGTCAAGGTGTTTCTGAGAGGCGGGGCGATGAAAGTAGCCCTTTGCAATTATGGCTGATTATGAAATGATATGTACAGCGAGGAGATCGTAAGTGCGGCAACGTCCATGTACTTGAAAAACGCGAACGTTCTGTAGACGTTTCATGGGTCAAAGCAAACCAAGTGTTCGTTAAAAAGCAAGAGTGAATTTCAAACTTCCATCCGAACAAGCTTCATGGCAGCCTCAGAGCGAGGCTTGAACACGCACTTGAACTCCGGAGGCGCGCTGAATAACAGGTACGGTGAGATGAGGCCTTCAACCAAATTGTCATGGAGATGACTTACGCAGTAAAGGTCGATGTGACCTCGACAGGCCGCTCGACACTCCCGTCCGTCGGAGCCAAAATGTCGAACGTAGCAAGAACCATAGCCACCGACAACCACATTGTAGCGTCCGCGAGGTGCATTCCAGGACAGACACTGCGCGCGGGCGTCAGAATCACTTTACATCGCAGAGCAGCATCCACCAAGGAGTACACACCGTCTTCCGAAACCAAAAACAGCGCGCTTCGGATCAGGTTCCGCGCCTTTACCTGCGTTAGCAATGAATCGTTCGGGCATGAACAACTTTGGCGACGCGTACACCTCAGGGTCATACATCATCGCCCAGATGTTCGCGAACACCGTCGTGTTTTTGGGTATAAGTTTATCTCGGTATGTGTCGTCTTTGAACACCCTGTGCGGGACACCTGTACAATCATTTCCGTGAGCAAAAATCCAAGCTACAAGGCTAAAAGCCTGTCGCGCTCACCGAGTGGGGCAACGGGCAACCAACGCAGAGATTCTTTCAGGATAGATTCGATGTACGGAAGGTTCGGGCGGTCCGCATACTCGGGGAGGCGGGTTCCTCCTGTGACGCTATCGAGCTCTTTTTGAGCACGTCTTTGAACCTCGGGATTTTTGAGCATGCAGAGGACGAAGGTGGAGAGAGAAACGGAAGTCTGTGAATGGATAAGAAACGATGTGGATGGTCGAGAAAGTTCAGGAAATTACCGTATCCACACCAGCTAAAGCAGTGATGAGTCAGTCGATGGACCCCATAACAGCTAAGGAAGACGACGTACCGCCATACAACGCACTGGTGCAGTCCATGATGAGCTCTTCGCGATCGAGACCTGAAGTTTTCAGGGAATCGTCGTCCAGAAGTGTCGTCATCATGCATGACTTTGCTGTGCCTGCAACCTGCGCAATCGTGAGGAAAACATACAGTGTCGACTGATAAAAAGGCTGACCAATCGTTCTTTAACCGTAAGATAGGGCTCCCGCCGCGCTGCTGTGGAGACACTACGTGCCTCACGAGCAAACTTCAACTTCTTGAAGCCAGCTCCAGGTAACCACTCGGGCAAGTGTTTTACTGGAAAGTGTGTATGGATAAGTGCAAATAAATGCGAAGATAGTGGGAGGCGATGCTTACAGAACGGGAAAAAGTCAACGAAGCTGTACTTTTCGCTGGCTACTATGCTATCATCACGTGCATCCTCCATGATCTTCACGAATCTGTCTTCATTGGGGCTCGTTCGATGCCCATAGACAATCATAAGGATGAGGGAAGACGTCATACTGTTCAAAGGTAAGGATCGGCACTTGAGCGTGCAGGAGAGCATACATACTGTTTGATAAGTTGCCGGAAATCTTCAGGACGGTCCAAGATATTCTTAAGCATGACCACAACCTCGGGTCGAATGAGTGGGTGGTACGACTCCGCAACCGCGCTCGGCTGAAACTGTTGCGAGAGGACGCGTCGATATGACACAAAATGTGGTTTCTCCGCGTCCATAAGAGAGAGATTCCAGTCCCAGCCAATACTAACATACGCGATACCGCGAGTCAGGTAAAGGACGCGGTGCCGAGAGAAGGAACGTACAGCTCGTTGAGCATGACCAGGCGCGGTCTACCGCTGTACACCGCTCCTCGTTTGTCAAGCAGCTCGTTCGCCGCCTGGTACGAGTTCAACACGAGCATGTTGTTCCCCATCATGTTGAAGTTGACCCAGTCGCTGTCTACATCACGCTCGGCATATAAGCAACCCGATGGCGACAGTAGGGCTCGGTTAAGCACGTACCGAGCTTCTGGGCTATGTCTCTGTGCTCGACCCACATTTCTCCTTTGGACGGAAAGTCCTTCATGTTGCCAAGAAAGAATTGTTGCGGGAGCGAAGGAGGCAGCTGGTCGCGTTTCTTGCGTTGAGTATTGCTGTAAAGCGCGATGGACAACGCGGCTACGCCTAGGAGGGCGAGTGTACTTTGTGATGGCGTCTCCATTTTGCCTGATGGTGGTGAACGAGACGGAAAGAAAGAAGGATCTCCATGTTCCAGGAGACAATGAGCTTATTTGTCGCGGCAGTGTTGCAGCGAAACTACCAAGGCGGTGTCCGTGTCCGGTCGCTCGGTCGGCTGTGGGCCATTCTTCATTTCAAGGTGGTGCGATGGGCGCGCATGACGAAGAGACCCCAGATGAGGCCAAGACTCAATGACGGCAATGGAGGTGAGCTTACAGAGCAACAAAGGTGAGAAAGTCGGGCTTTTGTTGCCGACGTGCGCGCTCAAGGACGCGTTGCGACCTCCACAACCTCAGCTTGACGGCTTCATTCAAGCTCGACTGTTTCACCTACGACAGGTCGACCGTGCTGTCTCAATCGTATCTTATTCTTTGTTAAGCCAGCATGTCCGCTGTCAGGCGAAGTTCTAACAGACTCGCCAAGTTAACAGCCAAAGCCAGTCCTTACAACGCATCGGTCACCCTTTATGAAGCCGAATTCATTACAGAAGCTTCACCCACAAAACCGAGACCAATCGTAAAGAAACGCTCAGAGTCAACATCCGCTGCAGCATTCGGAGACGAACCAGCCGACATCGAAGACGTCAAACCTGTGCGAGCAGAACCTGGGCCATCGAATCCCGTCAAGAGGACGGTGAAGACGAAGACCAAGGTCACGACCACAACTAAGTCACCAAAGAAGCCCAAGGTCATAAAACAATCGCTGGAGACGCCGCATCCCGCTCCACCACGATGGAAGGAAACGTACGACACCATAAAGGAAATGCGAGCAAATATTATCGCGCCCGTGGACACCATGGGGTGCGAGCAGGCTCAGTTGACGGAACAGGATCCTCGGGTGAGTATCATTCACTTCTTGCCCCACCGGAGAGGAAACTAAGACACCAAGATGCATCTAGAACCAGCGGTTCTCCACGTTGGTGTCGCTGATGCTCTCCTCACAAACAAAGGATGAAGTCACGGATGCTGCTGTTCGCAAGCTTCGAGAGGCCGTAGGCGGCACCTTGTCCATGGAAGCCATCATCGCGGTCGACGAGGGTGTCGTTGCGAAGGCCATTGAGAAGGTTGGGTTCTGGAGGCGGAAGACCCAGTAAGCACATAGCCGCCTATCCCGCCACCCTCCCTCCGAATACCATGATATGGGCTGAGCTCGACACAGGTATATTAAACAAACTGCGCAGAGATTGAAGGATGACTTCGACTCAGAGGTGCCGAAGACGGTAGATGAACTATGTTCGTTACCTGGGGTTGGTCCAAAGATGGCCTTTCTGGCACTGCAAGTCGCGTGGAAACTGTACGCACCTTCTCTTCCTGCTGCGAACCGCCACTCACTCGCGACTAGAAACGTTGGGATTGGGGTGGATGTCCATGTTCATCGAATAACGAACCGACTAGGCTGGCATAAGCCTCCAACGAGGGAACCCGAGCAGACGAGGTAAAGCACCTAGTTACCTTAGTTAGAAGCTAATGGCGGCGCCATCCCGTCTGACTTCCCTTTGCAGGCTGAATTTACAATCTTGGCTGCCGATTGAACTACACCCCGATATCAACCTCATGCTGGTCGGATTTGGCCAGGTGCGCGTAGTCAACTTGCTTCTTCTGTCAGCTCTATTGACGCAACAGCTCCTCTACTAGACCGTCTGCCTCCCAGTAAAGCCGCGCTGCGAGATGTGCAAGCTAAGCACCATGGACCTGTGTCCCAGCGCAAAGCTGCCCAAGTCCTCGCCATCCAAACCCCGGAGGGTGACTTCAGAGGAGCTCGAGCAGCTGAGCGACCTGGACTAACTCGTCTGTCCGCTTAATCGTCGGCTATACCTACGTGACGTGTCTTCATAATTTGCTTTCGATGCTCCGGATCTACAGTAAGTCTAATCATAGTATGCTAGTTTCTGTCATCTGTCGCCATGTGCATATCATATCCTCGGTTTTGGTGTTTGGCCTCTGTCTACCTCTGTCTGCATCCTCGATGTTACATGTGTACCGCTATCGCGAGCCGTCGGTGCGGCGGCCAGCTACAGTCTCACTTGAGCTCGGGATAATCTGCCTGTCTCCTGCCTGTCAATAATTTTAAGTTTGCTTGCTTTTCTAGCTTGATCCAGTCCGCCTCGACGCAACTCAGACATGTCGTCCTAAATATGTAGATCATGCTTCTTTTCTTCCTCGATGAATCACGAACGTGTCGCTGTCGAGCTTTGGAGTGGGTCCGAATGGATCGCGTGCGTGCGCACATGTGGGACTCAAGCACGCTGTCGCTCGCGTCATATGCACTCATATGCATCATGTCTAAGCAAACGCTCAACCCAGCTGAGGGCTCATCGACATCCACTCATCCTTGCGACCAGTCGTGAACGTTCGAACTTTTACACGTATGCACGAACGAAAGAACGGAATCAATCTAAGGATGTTGATATTCTGAGTATCTTTGCGTACCCCAGATATCCGATTTCCTCTGATACCGCGAAAACGGTGGCAATTTTCGCTTATCGGGCCGAATGTCACCTCATCTTAAAGCCTGAACAATCGTATGTACATACAGACTGCGTCAAACTCTGAGTGCAAAGCTTCTATCCGCCAGCGGCTTTGCGATAAGCTGTCTACGAAAGTCGAACCCTTCTTCCATCAGATTACTTTCTCCAGTCTTTCTCCCCACGTCAAGCTGAGTTCTGCCAGGCCTCGCCTCGGCCCAATCCTGCCCAATCGCGACTGCAGATGTCCTGTCGCTAACGTATGACAGATCTGTTATGTCAGCGTCGGGTTCACGGACTTTCATTGTAATGAACTCGGCTCTACATATCATGACCGCAAGTTGTCCAATGTATGGCGGACGTGTGTCTTGATGAGACCCGTCGGAGACGCTGATGCATGTCTGCGGGAAGATCAATCATCTTCAATCACTAAAATGCAGCTCTTGCGTGATCTTTGAGAAGCGCTGTCGAGCTGTCGAAATATGTCAACCCTCGAAGTTTTCCTGGCGTATGATTATGCATTGTACATATACACACATATCAGTCAGCTAGACATGCGCCCTGAGATACTGGCAGTCTTACGCATAATAATCGGTCTTGGTACATAGTAATCGTACTTTTAAACGATGGGGTTGTACACCGACAAGGTTGTACACCGAGTAAGAGAGAGTACATTAATAATGGGACAACGCCTAGCATTGAGCGTCCGTGTAGGTATGGGATAAATATCCGCTCGTGGGTCGTGGGGTATCAGTGAGGAGAGCTACTACAGTACTATGTAACGAAAGGAGCGGCAGGTCTGAAGGGTCAGGTATGATGGACGGTTGTAGAGAGATAGAGAGTAGTGATAGAAAAAAGATGAAGACGAGGGGGATGTCTCACGGCGCCTTTCGCAAGAAATCATCGTTGCTCCCGCGGTCGCCGAACTTGACTTCGTGCTCCGCGAACGTCTCCATGTTGACGTCGACACCAATCTGAATCGGCTGCGCGCTCGCGTACGGGTCGAAGTTGGCGCGGCGAGGTGACATGGGCACGGAGCCGAAGGTGATAATTGGCTTGGAAGGGCTGCTGTGCGACTGCGTGCGTGAGCGCGAGCTGACCTTGCCGGTCTGGTTGCTGCTCTCCGTGGTGATGCGCGTGAAGAACGCGACGAGCACGCTGAGGTTCGTGACGATGAGAGTGATGGACATCTGTAGGTCAACGGCAGACACAAGGATCAGGCATCAGAGGGTTGCTCAAAAGCGATAGGTGCACTGAGGCGTGCAGGACAGGCGAGACATACCTCGGTGATGCCAGCCATAATCTCATCAACTCCTCCAACGCGCAGCAGGTAATAGACGTGCACAAGACTGACGATGGTCGTGATACTCGTCGAGCAGAAGATAGCGATGAGACGGATCTTCTGGGCGCGAGAGAGCCGGACATTCCAGACAAGTCGTATAGGCGCGAAGATGAGGATGAAGTCCGCAATTACATCAGCTATCGGGAGCATGATTAGATCCGGCTCGCATGAAGACATGACGCGGAATAACTTACTGATGACCTGAGCAATCGCAACGTTCTCGCCGAGAGCGCACTGAGGGACAGGTGTGTGCTTCCACGAGCCATCCTTTTCGCAAATCGCGACTTCTTGGAAGACGAGGATGAGGAGCGTCGCGCCGAATAATCCGGCGATACCCATGAGTATCCTACGCTCCATCCGCTTCACGGTCAGACGAATGATCGTGAACAGGATCGATATCCGGGTAAACCAGATAACGCCATAAAACGCTTCGGAAGCCCTGTTTGTATTGCAACCATGTTAAGATCCGTTCTGGGAGACCAGGAACAGGGCATCTCTGGATTAGGGTGAAGACTCACATGTAGTATGCCGCCACCATGGTCGCATTGGAGTAAGCAGTCGGTTGATACCGGATCTGCGTAAAGACCAGCTGAAGGAGCTGGAATACCATCGCGAACCCGACCGCCGCGTCATCAAACCCCACTCGCGATTGTGAGGTGCGGATGCCCAGCCGGAACAGCGTACATGTGATGGAGAGCAACGACATGATAAGACTCGCGACTATGCGGAAGCGAAAGGCTGATCAGCAAAGAGACCAGCGGACACATGGGAGCGGAACTCGTACCTTTCACTCCTTGAGGCGTCAACATCGTCAAGGTGGGTGACAGGGATGTAGAGAGAGGAAAATAAAGGGAGCGGAATTGTCGACGGCACCAACGTCTTTATGGACTGGCGAGCAGACGACAGGACCCGGTGGCTCCAAGCATAGCATTTATACCCCCAAGCGAGTCTTTTGATAGAATCGCATCGGTGCGTGTCGGTGCGTGCGTCAGCGGAGGTCAGGGGGCGGGAAAGGACCACGCTGGCGACTTCGGCCAAGCTCGCGGTCGCATTGGGGTGGTCGCTAGCCATCAAATTTGGCGCCAACGCATCACCCATCAAAGTTCCCTTCCTAATCAGGAAGCTGATTCGCTCGAATGTGCGGTTTCAGGTCCTTCCTCTATCCTTTCTCTGCCAGAGGTGTTGATGCGCAATATACGCTATCAGTATGATGTATGATTTATCTGACTCGCTAAGAATCAGACCTTCTCAAAAAAAATTCCCGGCCGGAACGCAGACCGCTTCAATCGCGCATCCTTCAGTCGACGAAACCTAGCTTTGACTACTTGCAAGCTTCACTCGAGCCATCCTGCGCCCTGGAGGGGTGAGCGAATTGTTAGGGGACATTATCGCAAAAGCACATATAGCGACTATGTCAAGAGATGTCAAGCAGGCTGTGTTTGCGATGCTGGAAGCAATGAACCTTAAGTAGTCCTTAAGTCCATGGGGCAGAGTGTGGGCAGAGGAGGGAGGCTAGAAGCACCGAATAGCAGCGAAAAGCTTGATGATCTGCGATCGTCGATCCGCTCATACGCGTCGGCAAGCGGTTTGCGGGGAAGTGTCTCAGGTGTCCCGCATCCATATGGTACGGCGGGTGACCTATTTTTGAACGATTTCCCGAAGAACTTATTTCCGCCCTCTGTCACGACTCCAATATCGCCATTCGCGACTTCGATGGCTGGTATACGCTGGTATTGTCTGTGGGTTGCGTCACGTCAGCTTAGAACGCGTTGAACCGAGAAAAGTGGGAATATCAAGGAACCATGAAAATGGAAAACGGAGAAACTTAAAGGCGCCTGTCTGAGAGCTCTGTCGGGGCTTCCGAGCGATGCATCCAATTGGATTTCTCACGTCTGAACTGCCAAACTGTCAGCTGCCATTCAGAATCAAAGCCTTCGACCCTCGGTATCTCGTGGACCACGTGGGAGTCGAAGTTTATCTTCGGACCGTCGGACTTCCTTCAGTCCTTGACAGCTCATGAAAGCGTCATTGCCATGTCCCAGAAGCCCTTTTCCAGCCGGACGCATCTCTCCCAAACGCTCTTCCACTCCTCCAGCCTAACTTCCGAGGGCGGATCGGCAGCAGCCCGGCTCTCGATCGACTCTGAATGACGGATCGTGGAAGAGGATAAGACGGGCCATACAGGAGGAAAAGGTAGCGATTCTTACCGATACCAATCCTAACCGCATCTTGATATTCCTTGCCCGAGTAATCTTCCATCCATCGCAAGTATGGATTACTCTCCCAATTTACCCAGGAACCCGGTTTCGACGCCTCGCGCTTGAGCCAAAGCCCCACCTCGCCGTAACCCAGGAGGCACGCCGCCAGGGACATGGTGAGCGCCATCGTATCTCCTGAGAATAATGATGTATCAATATGTCAATTCGAAGTTCGTTGACCGTATAGTAGACGTGAAGAATGAATTATCGGAAAGGTTGAGCAGATAACGTACCTCGCAGTCCGGTGTCGATAAGGGAGGCGCCATATGCCGTTGTCGCAGGAGACTCTGGTGCTGTGCGCAGTTCCTCATCCGAGACACCCCATTGCTTGCAGAAGGAGGCGTGCATACTACTCTCAGTGATGATACTAAGCAGGACATCGGAAGATGACTTGATGAGGGCAAAGTCGTGTGATTTGGCTGCGAGCATACTGGGAAGGTCAATGAGCGGCTTTCGCAGTACGACCAAGTTAATGAACACGTACGCGTAAGCTCTTGCATAGTACTTTAGATAGAGGTAGTCTTGTCTACCAAGGTTTGTCAGATAGGGAGTAGTAATCCATGCTTATCATCTACGTACTTAATGAAATGCAGGAATGACTCTCGGGGCAATGTTCCCTTCCCGAGAAGTCTGACAAAGTCATGCTGAACATACTGCTTCCAGAGCACAGCGGTACTCTGGATGCACAGTCGGGTAAGCGGGTGAGGATTACCCGCCGTTCGTCTGCATTGCTGTTAGCTGACTACGCGGCACTCAGCGAAGAGATGATGACCTGCACTTACATCGATAACGGGCGAAGCAAGACCGGATGGGCATGGTTCAGGGGCCCATGCCCCTTTCCGATCGGCGGAGCAGTTTCTATCCCAAGATGCGTATACGCTGTAGCGTACCTAACTGCGTCCAAAACTGCATGTGTATCATCAGGTCCCAGTATATATAGAACGCCATGAGAACAAGGTACACACGTTGCCGTCCCCTGGCAAGCTCACACGCTATGGCAGCACTGAGAGTGCATCCTGTTCCATGAGTGCTCGTCGAATCAAGCCGAGGTCGAGGAAAGAGTGTGACGCCGCCGTCGATCTGACAAAGCACGTCAACCACGAAGTCCACCCCATTCGGATCCCTCTCGGAGACTCTAAGGATCTCGACGTCGTCGGAGAAGGAATCGTCGCTGATAACGGCTATAGACGGGTCTTCCGCCCTCGCCGTTTCGAGATCAGACAGGCGAACAGTTACGTGACCTCCTTTCAACAAGACTGCCTGAGATCCGAGTTCGAGCAAGTCTTTGGCGCCCTGCACCATCTCGCCGAGCTTTTCAACCTTGGACGAAAACCCTCTTCGCGATAAGAGGACACCCGCCTCGGAGAGGTTCGGCGTGATGATGCAAGCTAAGGGGAAGAGTTCATTGATCAGGGTCTCGATGGCATCAGTTTCAAGGAGTATATGTCCGGATGTTGAGACGCAGACGGGGTCGACGACCAGAGGAACATGGCCGTGGCTACTGAAGATACTCTCAAGAGTCTTCGCGACTGCGAGAGTGTTTTTGGTATCGAAAAGCATGCCAGTCTTGATCGCCGAAACTTCGGTGTCATCCATTACTGACCGGATCTACATTTTCCGAGGTTGAGTCACGTTGAGGACGAAAAGGTGGTTTGAAACTTTGACTATATGCGCACCTGCTGTTCCACAAACTCTGGGGGAACGCCATGTACTCCCTGAACCCCCATCGTATTTTGTGCAGTAAGCGCGGTCAGCACACTCGTCCCATAACATCCGTGAGCAGCAAACGTCTTGAGATCAGCCTTTGCGCGCAAATGCAAGGGCGTCAGCTTGCATGCACCTAATCGAGTCACTGTCGCCGCACTTGTATGCCAGCTCCTCCGCTCGAATCACTCCCGGCTATTGTGAGGGCGACGAGGCATTTGGAGTTGGATGTGTGCTCATGGTGCACCATGTCGACCACTGTGTCCGTTGAATGGAGATAACGGTGGTTGACGTGATCAGGTAACCTGTGACCGCCGACGTCAGAGGCGCTGAGGCCTGAGGGTGCATTGTTTGGTACGGAGGCAGTTGCCAAATAAAGCACTTCGGAAGCACATCCGGGTCGGGTGTTCCGTCGCTCGTTTCCATTGTCGTTTCCCCTTTCCACACACTCAACGGTGCCCCCTTGACCTCCAACTGGGTGGACCACTGGCTTGGGTAATATTCAGACTTTCCGAGACATACGAATTCTATCTGATTTCCGGATGTAACCACTATGGGGAGAATACGGCTTGAATCGGAGAGCGTAAATTGGTGCGTTCGCTGTTATAGCCTGCCTCTTCCCTTAGGTGAGACGGAAAACTGATAAGACAAGTCTTTCCAATATAGCCCCGTTCCAGCGGCTATATCGTCGTACATTCAATCGCGTCTATAAGTGCTTGGGCATTAATGTCCATTGCGACAACCGTGTCAATGCACGGAGAACTGGCGTATTCTCGAATACGTGCTGTACACCATTATAGACGTCAGATGGTACCGACGAACGGAGAGTTCTCTTATCAGTATGTGTCCCTTTTTTCCAAGCATCTCTGAGGTGCTTAAAATATCTACAATCCTCACTATTCGGTTCTGCTGCGCAGTCAATAGCCACGCGAAAGTGGCATGATCCAGACGAATGCACGCTTCTTCGGGGTTCCCCTTCACTATATCGTGACATTGAAAGACAGATAGAAGGATCATCTCCGTATTACTATGGAGTATGAAACCTTCCACTATGCACAAGATGGAACCATCAATGTCTTCAAACTGGGTGCGCTCCCGACACTGGGCCAGGTTTCACTTTAGTGGGTCAGGCATAAGATCGCGTGGTTTCGCATCTGTACCTACATCGGACCATCGGACCATCGCTCCTTTTTCCTCGTGTATGTGCCGAAGCTGGAAGTCACTGGTTTGTTTTGCAATCAGAACCCCGCCACATACCCATACAGGCGAAATCGTCGCCGGTTACCTCGGACTTGGTGCCTATAAAGTCATCTTTTCATAGGCCATGAACTCGGGACGTATTCATTCACCCTACGCTCATAAGAACACAAGTAGAACTCGAAAGCGGGATACGCGTCAGCGGGCCTTTCAAGCCACTGTTATAATTGTTCTGCACGCATATGGCAGGTGCGTTTGTCTTCTCGCACATGCATCGTTCATTTCCCGTTAATTTCCTCGGCAAGAGTCTTCGCATCAGACCCATGATTGGCAATCCGAAATACGACGGAAAGACTACATGTCCGACAAAGGGAGGTACCCGGGATCATCTCTCCGCAGCCTTGCGCAGGCCGCAACAGCGTTTGTTCGTCTCCAGTGCGTAAGGCACCACACCACGATGGAATCGAGACTTTACCATCAGCCAGGCCACTGTCCAAAGTCACTGTTTCGCTGATACTCATCAAAGCCGCCCACACGGTGACAGTGGGCGTTTGGCACGTTTCAGTAGAGCGCTTATCTGTCATTGGCGGCTTCTCCGGTCGACTTTCTCGCCCCAGGATCACCGTTATCAAAGTTGATCTCGGGGACATGTCGAAGCGTGGCCCTACAGCTGCCGTAAGTACAGGGGCTCCATATAGCGGTGTCCCTGGCGCTATTTTATGCTTCGTCATGCTGCGTGGTATAAAGGTGCGAGATGAAGTAGCGTTCTCGGCCCATTTGATCCCTCGCTTTCTGACTTCCGGCCCTTTGGATAGCGTTCTTGGGTGTACTCCCCCATTTCTCCGCACCTACACCTCGTGCAACCCGGCTAGGCGCGATGAACTCTACAGCGAGCGCATACGAAAAGGAGATCATGGCTATGGCTCGAGCCGACGTGCTCCAACGCTACTTCAATGGTGAGTAAGTTCCCGGGCGTTGACGAGGCAGCGTCTTACTCAATCATGCCTCGCTCTCCCAGTGGCAGCGTCGATTTTCTACGTGTACGACTTCCGTAAGTACACCTCGCCCGCGAGTATCGAATTACGCACTTATCGCGTGATTAGTGATCACGTTCGATCATGAGGTAAAGTAGACGCTTTCGGTGTTTTCTTGCTCTGAATTCTGATCATCACTTCCGTCTCCCGTGAACTAGGTGACCGTATGGGTGCGTAATATGTGACCTCATGCACCTATCCGGGTTTATCTGACCCTCCTACGCATTAGGCCAGCCGCTTCAGAGGGATGAAAACGATGTTTTTGATTAACCGCTATTTGGCCCTGGTCGCTACGATCCTAGAGTCATTCTGTACGTGCAATATAGCTTGCGATAGAACGAAACTTACGCAATGATTAGTTAGCATCCACGCTCTTTCCTCGCCATCTTGGTGCGATACAATGCAATGTCACTTAGTGCTGTTGCTGATATGAGGACTTAAATCAGGTGCCACGCAAGTATGATGAGGTTGCTCTTCGGTTAGTCCTGCGAATACTGCCCTCTGTGTATGGCAATTCCTGATACGCCCCTCGTTAGCTGTCGTACTAGCGGGAAACACCGAACGTAAGTCATCCCTCGGGGCTGGCATACTAGCTAAAGCCGACCAATTGAGCAGTCGTCTTGTTGAAACGCATTTGCGCCATCTATTGTAACGGTGAGCTCCGTTCATCAGAATTCATGACTCCCCAGCCTCAATTATGCGCAGCCAAACACATTGTTATCGCCACCACTCTCCTTTACGCATTTTGTATTTGTACGATGACGGGTTTGGTCATCTCTGTAGTTGTATTGGATACCGTCAGTGAGTACAGCAGCCGTCAGGCTGTGATCACGCTAACATAGCCTATGCGCACACTGGTATAATAGATGCACAATCTCTTTTGATATCTCTGGGATGCCCTGCAGGTCCCGCCATATCCTTGCAACTGATGGTCGGGACGTGGTGCGTTTGACATACACAGCCAAATACACCACTTTTACGCTAAACACTGCCACAGGATACCCATGATGATTTTTGACTTCGTGCTGGCCGCTTTGGCACTTAACAAAGCAATCAGCCATCGGCGCGAGGTTGTGAACAAGGAATGGCCCGCTGTTCGCTTGCTCAACTGCCTCGCACGAGATTCTGTCTTTTACTTCCTCATGTACGTTCATCCGTTCCATCGACTGCCGCACCACTCATCGGGACGCGTTCTTTGATGCTCAGAAATTTCTCCGTATACTTCTTTGCTACCCTGCAGTACAAGTATGGCTCGCTGCAGACGATGGAGCTCGCATCGGCGCTATGCTTGGTTATACCCCCCGTATCAGTGACACGCCTGTTCCTGAGCATGCATCAAGCAGTGCACGGTGATGAGGACGAGCACAATATGGTTGTAATCAGCCTGTCTTTCAACCACTCGAGTGATACCCAGCTTCCTACTCCTGTATCCGAGACGCAAGTTGGTGTCGCGTTTTGACTGAGAGTAGTATAAATATTCCGGACTCTTACTGTGTTGTTATGCATTTGTCGATTATCAAGCAGTCCTACCGAGTACAACGGCTCATACTGTCACTTGAAATACTGGATGTTCGTGTTCAGTAAGGTAATGGTAAACTTCTTCTGCTCCTGAAAGTTGACCATCGTCACTTTCTGGCCATCTGCGATCAGAGCTAATATCTTCTGGTGGTTTGGGAAGAGGGAAGGCCTGTATCGCAGCGGAAGCCAGCATACCCTGCGTTCCTGCTTCTTGAGCCATCCATTCTGGCTCATACAGATATCTGACCAGGAGAGTAGATCGAAAAATCAGCTGAATCGTTGCCCCCGTTGAGCTCATAGGAGCTGTATGGTACACCAGAGTCGCCTTCTATGGGCATCTGTTTCGAATGAAGTGAGGAATCGTTCAAGTTCAAGCAGTGCACTGTTGCCGATTTCAGCTCGTCCGGGTCCGTATCGATCGCAATGTACATCCGTTTTTCGTTCGCGGACATAACATAAGAGAGAGGGGTGTTTAAGAATCGTGCCGGCAAGAATGCAGTACACATCTTAACGAGTGTCGATTTCTCTGGGTTCCACCGAAATTGACTGATAAGGCTGTAACATTCGTTGATGCAACACATATCGACTGCTCTTCGAGTGACCGTGACGGAAGAAATCTGACATGTAGATAAGTCGACGTGGGCTGTGTCAAGAAGCGCAAGTGTTCGCCGCCGGTTGTTTCGATGGAGAAAGCGGATATCATCCATTTTTTATCGAGCGTGGAGGAAATTCTGAGTATAGCAACAGTTTCATCCGCAGAGAATTTGATGTCGATGTGAGCGCCCTCAGGGCCACTACCATGAGAAAATGGATACGTCATTTGAACACTTCCTATCTGAGTGCCCGACCTTGACACCCAAACACGAAAGCGAACATTGTTAGATGTCCTTTAAAGACTTGTATTGGTGACAGCAAAGAACGTTGACTTCGGAGAGAATGTTTTTGCTGTCATGATCTGTACGTCAGAAAGTGGTTCGGAGCCAGGAAATTTCATAGTGTCCAGCAGATCGACAGTCGGCAGACTCGGAGGAAATAACCCCGAGGACACCGCGATGATAGGCTTTGAGAATGAGTTTCTCTGAGATGTAGAGTGGTGAGGACGAAGTGTCTTCCAAAGAAAAAATCTCAGAAGAAGGTGGAATCGGAAGCTCTTGACGGGCCAGTTGATCAAGGTCCAAAATGTGCATCAACTTCCCTTGCAAAGTAACACCGAAAGAAGAATTTGGAGAAGGTAACCAGTCGGTTCTGTTTTGTCCACAAACCCTCTGCGTTCTATCACCCAACTTCACAGCCACGAATTTCTTGTTATGAAAAATAAGCTCTGAAAGATTGCTTTGAGACGGAAATGGTCTTTCTAGCCCGAACTTGTATATGGTACTAGATAATGGCTGCGAGGACTGGGACGGACCTTGGCGGCGTCTGTTTAGCCATTGTTTCAAGTTGACGCTGAAGCAAGACTGCGACATATCCTCTCTATGTGTCAACCAAGAGGAGGCAGTCGGGAACAGGAGATGGTCAAGTGGTAGGATAGGAACCGTATCCAAAGGCAAATGCGTGATTGTTGCCAAAACTAGTAGCCATTGAGTACCTCTATCTGGGGGGCACTGCCTCGGAAGGTGGTACAGCCAGTGGCGACAGGCGTATCGAAGAACTCGAGGGATGCATCTCTCGCGTCTCTCCGCAAAATCAGCGAAGTCTGTATGAAACAGCGACGGATCTCGAAGCTCGCATATATCGCGCTTTAGTAGCCTCGCCATGGTTTGGAAGCAATGAGAAGATAGATGTCGGTGAGCAGCACGTGCGTCTGCGGCCTCGTTATGCTGCTGCATCAGGAAAACGGCACTTCGCTTATGAGCCGAGGTAGCACTTACATACTCGCTTAACATACCTTATACAGTACTGTCGGCTTGTTTGAATATATGCCAAGCTCCGCGGTTGCTCACAAGCTATTGGGGCTCCTCATAAGCCGACGACTGGTTCGCCGCGTTGTGTAAGTAGTCGCGAATTCAGCAATTTGCTATAAGTCCGTTATAAGTGTCATATGAAGTATTGATGTATTAAGCTAGTTCAAATGCGTGGTGATCTACAAAACGATTGACGTAGAAGAGTTTATAGTCGTCTAATGATGTATGGCAGGTCTCGTCCCTCGATACAAACTTGGCCTCAAAACAGGGTAGTAGGTGAGCAGCACGGACGAGGGAGTCAATATGGACAACTTCGACGTGATTCGACCCGCTCGGATTCATGGAAGGCTGAACCATATACATACCGGTAAGCTCGTCGCGATCCTCCCCGAACCACTTATACCAATGGACAACAACGCATGGATACGCGTGGTCCATATATCGGAATGAGAAGAATGCGAGGACGCGGGCCACTTCCATGGAGAAGATTCCGCTCACATCGGGCCGTGTGACGACGAACGCGCAGTCGCGACGTCTTGCCTCGTTGCGCCAGAGAGGTACTGAGCGAATACGCTCCCGCTTCAGCCCCCCAGAGCCACTAAGATCACTGGGCGCCCGGAATACCGAGACGGCTGAGTCGTAAACTCGGAGCCGGTCGGGTAAATTCGGAAGATCTTGCGGGGGGACGGACCGAACTGTACGTCGGGTGCTGTCGGAGCCAAGCTGGGAGTGCAAGAATCGGCGAGTGAGACGTTTGAGGTTGGGGACGTCGACTTCTGCGGCGAGCGCGGCGAAGGTCCGAGCACGACTTGTATCTTGTATTGACATTAGCACGATGCTCTGGCTTATAAGAATAGAGTCACGGTACTCACTAGACTTCGCCGCTAAGTTAACCTCTGCCATCAAAGTTGTGCCGTCTACCGCGGGCTCCTCCTCCTCGTCTTCTGGATCTCTGACCGAGCACGATACAGGTTCGTGTATTTGCAGGCCACCATGACCAGTGGATGAAGAGGGTCCTTCATCTGGCGGGTCTTCCACCTGCGAGACTAAGGGCAATGTTTCAGTGCCCGATTCTTTCGGAAGGGTAATGACAAACGTACGTTGCTGTAGCGCGCGAAGCTCTGCTGAGAAGAAGCCCGAATCCAACATCCCACGTGCCTCGAAGTTCAAGCGGACAGCCTTGATCTTATCGAGCCGCTGGTTCGTTAATAGCATCTGCCCGAGCGCATTAAAACGACTCGAGCGGCGCCAGGGTTCCTTGACCGCTTCAATATGCTTTGACTCCGTGATGGACGAGCACAGTCCGTTGGGAGCGCCAAATTGCTGGATGAGGAAGACGTAGTGGGCGAGGGAGTGTTGGCGTGGAAGGGAGAGGGATGCTGTAGCGCCGGATTCCTCGAAGATCGTTCTATACCGGTGGAACTCTTCAAGGGTGCGTTGGAGGTTGAGGATGTCCTTGTCCGTCAGGGAATTATGTCGGACAATATAGCAAAATTCGAGGAAGGCGCGCATAGCGCGTACCATGTCGTCCGGGACATGTCCTTCAATCGCGGGTAGATAAACCTATAACAATTAATAAGAAAATGGAAAGGCAAGAGGGCTCGATGACGCACCTTCATTAGAGCCTTCGAATCGTCACCTGTCCACTGCTTAAACCCTCTTCCCTGCGGAAACCGTCGTAATCCAGCGAACGGAGCGGCCACAGCGATGCTGTATCAAGATATGAATACAAGACTATCATAGAGATATTGACAGCTGACTTACCGACGATCGATGTTACTCAGAATCTTTTTGTAGTCGCGTTTCGAGTGATTAGCCTTCAGATACTTGCGCACCCATTCAACTAGGTGGTCCTTGAAGGTTCCCTTGACGAGTTGATGGAGGATGTCGGGCGCGATGAGTTCGTGAATGTCTCCGCGGGGAAAGTCATTCGTGAAAGGCTAGGCTTGAACGTTAGACTGGGCAAAGAGGCTGAGCGAACTTCACATACCACTACATTCGCTATGACACCATACGAATCCCACAAATGACCGGGGTGCATCTCCTCAATGAGCGCTTCCGTGTGCTCCCGACATCGTCGAAGGTCTCCGGAATCCAACTGGTAGGGAAACGCGAGACATCTACAAAGCAGCATGAGCGTGGTTTACAGTTGAATAGAGACAACATACCGAGGGCACCACCCTTGCACTACTCCCGCCAGAAGGACTTGCTCTGGGTAATCCGCGATGTAGGGGCCTATGCCCCATATAACGCGTCGGTGATATCCGTCTCCGAAGAGGACTACTTCGGGCGTTGTCATTCCGGGCTTGAAGGATTGGAGAATTGTCGATATTGAGGTATGATACAGTTGTCGTCGAAAGTGGCGGAAGTGGGGATCGTCGGCGTATGATTCGTCGGCTGGAAAAATTCGTGAGTTTTTAGAAAAATTATGAGCGGGAGAATGCTTACTCTTAGGGACCGATAAGAAGCCAATCAACGCAACAGCGTTGCGGCGGGCGCGGCGGGCGGGATTGTGGATGTTCCCGGGCGAGATATAGAGGGGATAGTATTCTGTCTGGCCTGTCGCGACGGATACCGTTGTCTTGTCGCTGCCCAAGACGAACGGGATGAACGTGGATCCATGCGTATCCGGGTCTTGAGCAATCTGTGTCTAAAGCTAATGAGTATTGAATGCACAAATAGTAAGACATTAATGTAACGCACTGCTTGATCCCATGCCCAGTCCCCTGAGAACAAGTTCTCATACTGCCGGTCCCCCTCGCCGTTATAGTCGCGATATGGTGTCAAATCCATGTCGTCCTTGAGGTCGGGGCGAGCAAGAATGTTCTTGACGACCTCCCGGGGGTCGCGGAACCAAACATCGAACTCTGCCTCCATCCACGTCGGAACATTCTGCTCGGGCCTTGGTCCTTGATACGTGACGTTGAAGGTCTGCCATGGAACATCACCAACTTCGATGGCATCGATGCTCTTGAGCATGCTTTCGTGGTCCTTGAATGGAGCGGGGATGTTGGTCGAACTGAGACTTGCCGCCCAAATCTTGCAGAGGACGTCGACGAGCGTCCCGGACATTTGGTCACGCCGATAGAGAAGATCCGCCGTCTCAAACTCCAGCTGGTTATTGAAAGGAAACCAGTCGGACTTGTCGCGTTGTGGTGGGGGTGAAGGGGTTGCATCCGGAGGAAGAAAACTGCCTTCGGGTGAACACTTGCGAGCTATCCTCAGGCGTTAGAGATATGACACAAGAAAAAAATATAGAAATTAAATACCTGTCATGTACTTGTGAAACACTCGAACCAGAGGACCTAACTCGACTTCCTCGCCCATTGCGTGATCGACTGTTGGTGTTGGTGTTGGCATTGGCACTTGTTCTTGCTCGAAAGGAGGCGGGGGTTGCATCTCTTTGTCATCGGGTGAAGGCGGGGTGGCAGCGCGACCAGCATTGTCTTCATAATTGCCGAAGTTGATTGGAGAGAGGGGAGGGACAGACGGGGATAGAGGCATGAAGTCGTCAAGATTTGGAAGGTATAGGGACTCAGGTTCTGGAACTGGTTCTGGCGAAGGTGCTGGTGTGGTTGTTGGGAGCTGAGAGGTGGAAGCAGCAGGTGGTGAAGGACTGGGAGGTGGTAGACATTCTGGAGCTGGCTGGTGGTAGCGACGAGTCCGGATGACTTGCCTATGGACGCGGTTGTTGTGCTGAGTGAGTCCTCCCTTGGATCTTGGGATGGCATTGCAGCCAGGGACACGGCAGGCGTATCGTAGACTTGATGTCCGCTTGTTCTCGTAGGAGATAGGACCAGCGGCTTGAGACATTGGCAAACGTTGGGTTGGTGCAGTAGGGTGACGCGCGACTGAAAGAGCTAAGTCCGTTGGTCAATTACGTGTCATGTTGAACATTGAACTTTTCGCACGTACCAACGTGACTCTTTGTTCGTTTTCCAACCAACACCTCCAACCCAGCTAGACGTCCTCCATTCCACACCATGACAAACAACCCAGCCCGTAGAACCACCCGCACCACTGCAACCAACAGTGGAGCACCTCCTGCACCACCTCCGCCTGCCACGCGCAGTCGCAGGGCCCCACAGCCCACTGACGAGATGGCGGAAGGACTGGCGGTAGCGAAGAACGACAAGCTTGCCGCCCCTCAGGCCAAGATGTCCGTGCGCGCGAAGAGGACGCCTTCAGCCCAAGCGGCTGTGCGTATTTCAGACATCCAGGCCGAGATGGCCATCAAGCAGGCGCAGGTCGAGAGGCCAAAGCCTGCACCCAAGCAGACACGTCAGTCCACTGCAAAACCTGAGTCGACAGCCGCACCTTTGTCCACCAAGGGTAGCAAGCCGGTGAAAGTGGCTTGTGTCGCCGGGTCTGGCAATGTGCAGGATAACTTGGCAGAAGGTTAGTAGATACTTTTGACGATAGCGCTCTTGGCTCACCATGGTTGCAGGTCCGGGAGCCCAGACAGAAGGGGGGGAGAAAGCAGGAGGAATGCCGACGAAGGATGGTACAGCTGCAAGTGCCAATGGAAGCCACAAGCCGGGGCGCATCAATCAGAACACTACCGGGAATGGTAATGACGTCATGGGTGATGGGCACCTGTAAGTCCCATGATCAATTCTCACTATCCTGGGAGTTTCTCACTGACGACTTCTTCCGCCGGCCCCCATCATGCTCCTCCAACTCACCGAATCGACACTCTATTATCGCGACTTGGCCCTCGCTATATTCAGCGCTCCTGCCACGTTCGACGATGTCGGCACCCGGATCAAGGCCTGGAATTCCAAAGTCACCCATACTGCTCCCGACTCCGCGTCTGCAACCTCTCGTTCTTTCACCACCACCAGCAAGAAAAGCGCCCTGACAGCTGCCACCTCTGTTGTTTCTTCGGCCAAGTCCAGTCAAGCTCACGCCAAGCCTACCTTGAAACCAAAGCCTTCGGAACCATACCGCAGTCTTCGCGATGAAGAGGACAGTGCGGATCAAGTTGAGCGCGAGGCGGAGTCTATTCGTCACCAGACGAAGGAGGATTTGATGGTAACAATTATTTTCTGTTATTATATGCTATGATACTGATCAGGTGTAGGCGTCTACGGTGTCAATTGCCCAGCCTTTGGGCACGTCTACCCGTGTTCAAGATTCGAGCACCGGCTCCGGTGGTACTACGACGGCCTCCTCGCTTAAGAGGAAACTCTCTGAGGTGGCAGCAAGGTCTTCGGATGAGGAAGCGTCCGAGACGGAGGATGTAAGTCTCTCGCCATATGGACTCAGCTTCTGACACTAACTTACTTTACCTAGGTTGTCCCTTACGAACCCCACCCCGACGACAACGCTGACGCTGATGCAGGCGACTACGCTCCTCAAGATGATGTCGAGATGCTCGACGACAACAACAACATAGATTCTCACATCTGGGAGGGTGCGCAACCTGTCCACGATCCCGCCTTCTTGGCCTGGGTCTATGGCAAAGACTATTACGAAGGTGCTGACGAAGACATAGCTGACAAGGATGGAGCTGTTGACACTGACAGCAATGCACCCGTCGGCATGGATGAAGACAGCGGTGAAGCTCAACCGGATGGCGACGAGGATCAACAAGAAGGCGACGAGGATCAATCAGACGGTGACGAGGGCCAACTGGACGGCAACGAAGATCACCCAGGCGCCAACGAGGATCAGCCGGAGGGTGGCGAGCACCAGCAAGACGGCGACAATAGTCAACAGGTCGTTGAGGGCGAGCAGGGCGGCGAGGGTCAAGCGGACGAGGGTGAGGATGTCGTGGGCAGTTTCGGACGGAAAAGCAAGCGTACGACGGCCACGGTGAGTTGTCCCTTACTTCGACTTTGAGCATGTTCATATCCTCCGTATAGACAAATGCCAAGGCTTCAAAGCCGAGGTCTCATCGTACGAAGCGTATGAAGACCGGCAAGACCAGCGCAGCTACACCCGCCGAGGGGAGCAAAGGTCCCACCAAGCCCACCGTCAACGACTTGCCGCCTGAGTGCCAGCAGCAGAAGTCATTCTCCGTCGACTTTATGCCGACGCTTTGTGTCTACATGGGTGCGTTACCCACCCCCTGGGGCCCTTCCGACGACATTGTCGAGGAGGCTTGTGCTGCTATCTTCCGCGTCATCTACAAGCGCGAGTTCTCTGCATTGCCGCAAGAGCAGCAGACAGCCGTGCTGAGCATTGTAACTATCTCCTTTTGTCTTAAGAACTAGTTACTGATTCCGCGCACTAATTTACAGGCTTGTGATCGTTTGTACCTCTGGCGCAACAACTTCAGCTCCACCGCGGTTGCGGCGCTCCTCGTCTTGATGGGCGCGCGCAAACTCTTTACTGATGAGGAACGTACTGACTTTGCCAAGCGCCTTCTCGTTGGGGGCGCTTTCTTGTACGAGAAGATTGTCGATGGCAAGCTTACGAACATCTTCCACGGCTCCTACTTCACCATCGTCCTCTCATGCCATTTCAATGCCATTAAGGGGCACTACGACGTACCGGCGCACGCGGAGCAAACTGGGGGGCCCCATGGTTACCTCCCCCTCGGCGCATTTGCCTTGGCCGCGGCTGCGGTACCCCATTCCTTATGTCTGTCTTACTCATCACTGATATACGTTTGTAGTGTGTCCGCGCAATCCGCATGATCAGGGATGGCCAGCTGGCCAAGATCGACAAGGCCATGTCCAGCATCACCGAGGCCGGATGCACTCCGGAGAATGGCTGGGCTGCCGTGTGCAAAGCGAGACGGCTCATCACTGAGTCCACCCGCAAGCCCAGGTCTTCGAAGGCAAAAGGGAGAGGCAAGAAAGCTCAGGCCAATACCGACGCCGAGCCAGACGCCGAGCCCGGTCTGCCCAGCTACCTCCAGTTCTCCGAAGCGAACTACGGCGCTGAAACGGATGACTTCCACACGAGCGCACTCCGCGCCGGTCCTGTCCGCACCTCTGGAGGCTGGGAGATTGCCATCAGCCACGTCGTCAATCACGATGAGGACGAAGAAGAGGACGCCATGGAGGACGACCAGGATGAGAAGAAGCGGGGTCCTTGGGCTACGTTGGACATCCAGTGTAAGTCCTTTCTCGTTTCATATTGGATTAAACTAATTTCATTATCACTAGGATCTGTTCCGGGGCCGATGGGAAGCTGCGCGGGCTGTAACGAGGTAGATTGCTTGCTGCAACGGTCAATCTCTCAGCGTAGCTAGAATACGATTTTTGTTTTATATACTTACTCTGCATCTTATCACGCAATCAATGGACGCTTATCACGCTTTTCGAACGCTGGATTTTTAACTAAGCACGCAATAAGCAACAAATGGGCTGTGTATAAGAAAGATTCAAAAGCCTGCACGGCATCATAATTGTGGTCTCTACTTATTATAAGATGTATCCAGACACCCGACGCCATATCATAAGCTCTGAAAAGTCATGTTGTAGCTTAAAATGAGAAGGTCCTAGCTCGTCACAAAGCCGGCGGCATCTTGTCGGACGCGTCGCTTATCCTCGGACTTATGGCACCGAAGGCTCGGATAAGTACCCAATAAGGCAACTGCCATTTTCCTGATGTGCCAGTCATGAAGGAAGTCGCGGAGCGAGTTATGATAAGTTTGTATCGGCATGTCAGGAGACTCGGGAGCTGGGATGGAGACCAAGGCTGAAAATGGAAGAAGGAGTGCACGAACGTCAACTCCAAAGAGGCGGCGTAGATCCGATGGGGAGAGAGGTTCGGCGAGGTTGACTACAACAGAAAGGTACTTTAACCCATCGTCACGATGGAGCGACTCGATGCCGTCGATTATGGAAGCATACAGATGATGGACATCGCCCCAGACCTCCTCCACATTTCCTCGTAGCATACTGCAAACGAGCGGGAGACGATTATAAGGCTCGTCCTGGCGGATAAATCTGAGTATGGTAGCCGCAAAGATGAAGCGACCGTTGGCACGCTCAGATAGCGTCGTCAGATCATCCGGGGCGGGCCACGGCTTTGGACACACTGTTGGTAGGTCGAACTCGTCGTATATGCGGTCAAAACCGTCTCGGAAGAAATGTCCGATATCCTCGTGAGAGTCATAATCCTCGACTTGCACGATCTTCACGAGGTCTCCTAGAGCATGACTGCGCATTGCGGCACGGATCGAAGGCCAGACCCTGCTGGTAATGATGATGTTGTGGATGGGAACCGATTCGTCGCGGATGAGACGAACGAGCAAGGATATGAATGGTCCTATGTGATGTAAGCCGCTGGCCGTACCCTCGTCAAGAGCATCCAGGATGATCGACATCCCGACTTTATCCTCCCAGACGTATGCAAGCTCCCGCAAGGGCTCGATGAGGAGCTTCTCTAGGCGGTCTCGTGGAGATTTCTCCGGCGAGAGCAACGCTGGATCAGCAGCTATGGCTTTCTCGATGGCCTCCTGAGCAATGTGGTGGGCCATACCCAGCTGGTAAGCGAAGGTAAGGAATACGTTGTCGAAGGTGCTCCTTTTAGCGTGTTTTCTGGAGAAAAAGAACGTCCCTGCAAGCTTTCCCTCCTGGGCAAGTTCTTCTGCGAATGTATGCGCTATGGTCGACTTTCCGGAACCGGATTCCCCGGCAAGCCAAATGAGATTTCGATCCTTACCACAAGACACGCCATCGCGCGGGGCGCTCCGGCATTCAAGTAGATGTTTTACGAATAGGTTACGACGAGCAGATACGGCGCGAAGTAAGCAGAATTTATGTAAGCCAGTTAAGCGAAACTCATGTCGAAAGGCCTTAAGGAAGTCTTTGAAGAGCCGGCCTCATTCAAGCTGAATGATGCGGTCTAAGGTATCCAATGTTGCCAGGTCGACAGCAGCAAGCGCAGGAGCATAAGAGGTAAGGTCACACCCGCATTCGTGCTTGAGAAAAAGCCATAAGGGGCCGTCGACGGGTAAAAACACTTTTTCACTCTCACTCTGAGGTTCGTGAGCACGTTGAAGACCATATCAGCTAGAGCTCGTACTAAAGACACGACAGAGAGGAAGACCGCGTGTTAAGCTGTTCGGCGGAGACGGGAGAGCGCGCGGGCGTCAGGCTGTCCGTCTCCGATTGGTCGGGAGTCAGCAAGGCCTGCTGGAGAAGAAATAAGAAAACATCGCTCAATAATGCCATATTTGTGTTGTTGGTGTGGCGCGAGCTTGCCCATCACCATCTCTCGCTCCCAGCGCGTCGCCCTCAAGTACCGAACCTTGCTCAGGGACCCCCAATCCTAAATTTCCGTGGGGGAAAAGGAGAGGGTAAACCAAAGGCTCCCACAAATGGCTCACAGCAGCGATGTTTTGCACGGTATTAGTCAAAGAACGTGACACTGTGGGTCAACGAGCGCAAACCTGAGTTGAAGACGTGTTATCATAGCACATGACGACTGCAATCTCGGTGGCAGGGACACGCCTCCGCTGCTTTCCAGCATTTAGACGACAATGGTAGGGAATACGTTATTTTGGTACAATAATACCTAGTGACGTAAGGACACAGGAAAGCACAACGTCTCCAGGTCAAGAAGCAACAAACAACCTGTTTCAAAATTCTTTCGTAAAAAAGCCTGTGTTAATGATGACGGCAGGCAAGTACGTGTAAAATCTAGAACGCGCGCCAAAATTCATACGCTTTCAGAAAGGTACCCTGACTAAACTATAAGATTATGTGCCAGTTTTTCAAACGATCCTATCAACATGATCTTTGTTGGACGTCTTACATGCCTTCAGGGTATCTACCACACCCACGATATTTCAAACCTATCAGTTGGGATTGATTTTTTTTCGAACACTCTCAGCGCAAGTGTAATGCGTTCGGTCGCTTCTCGGAGCCAAATCCACGCGAGCTGACAACACATCGGCATTTGGACGGCAACGGAGGGGAATACATTATCATTTTGTTACCACGGTCATTAACAGGACGATAGCAATGGTGCAAGGACAGTGGATGCACAATCCCAATGGCGCCGCGAACATACTCTAACGCCGCCAGATCAAAAATATCGGACAGGAGCCGACACGCTACTCGTAGACGGCTTAAGCAAACGCACTCAATTGCGGATACCATCGGGTGATTGAATATTCTGGGTCCATCAGAGCGCCTGGCTATATACTCACGACGAAACTTATCATGACACGCTGGTCAGGCCAGAGAAATAGCGTAACTCTACGTACGGTGCATTGGCAGACTCGCTTGCCCTAATCTGGCGATAATAATTCTCGTCCTAACGACGACAATGCCCTCGTGCATAGGGTACTACAACTCGCATGATGATAAGGGGCGAGGAAGGGGAAGTCAAGGTGAAGGGAGATGATGAGGCCTCGAGGGACTGGACGATTTGGGCGACGATTGGCCCACTCTTATAGATGAAAGGGCCCAGGGGCTTAGCACTGCATCGGGAAATCGTCTGAATACATTTGGACGTTAGGGGATGTAGGGCTCTGGATCTTGAAAATGCATCGACAGAGGGGACACCAACGCACGTTCCGATTGGCCAATGTATTCTACAATTCAATACAATTCGCACTCGAACAATTGTGCTTCAACAAACCGGTCGATCCCGTCGTCTTATGGGCATGAGCTGACGCGGCCCACATTTAACATCGGTTCGTACACGGGTGCGGAAGTGTGATTTGGGGCATTTCTCCGGTCCTGCATTCAGTCTTTCGGAGCAGTGAGCGAGGGTACTGTGAAGACCATAGGAGTCTGCAACCAAGCAACGGCAAACAAAAGCCGACCATCTGCTTGTAGATACGATTAATCAACGATATCTCTGAGCGTCTGAAGAATGCCAACCCGGGTATCCGGGAGGCAATGGGAGTGTGGGAAGCGTTCATTTGAATCGTAGATGGCGCCATGGGCGCACTCCTGGGCGAGCTTCTGCCAGGCGTCTCCTGCTGGAACCGATCCTACAGTGGGACGTTAGTCCAAACATACGTCGAACGCCAGCAGAGACCGCACTTTGTGTCATGATGCTTTGAGCTGATGGTCGAGAGTCAAGAGCAGCACAGGGTTGAAACCAAGGTGACGTGTGTCCCACATATGACACGGCCTCTGCCGAGTCCTGATGCTATAGCAGTCATAAGCCGTATCTCAGCGTCTACTTATAGTACACCACGACAAGTGACAAACTTCAAAGAACACTTGGATGACGAGCGCCTTAATGTCTCAATTCTTCGATATTAAATTGTATCCGCTGCGCATGCCAACCGAGGCGAAGAAGAAAGTCAACCCGAGAAAGGGATAGATATGCGTCTATTGGTGTAGGCGAAAACGGACGACATTGCCTAGCGTGGGTCTATAACCGCTCACCCAGGACCTCGACTCTTAACAACGGGCCCACCGTCATCTCCAAAACTCCGCGACATGACCGAAATCTAGAGTCCTAAGTGTCCACAGGTGTCAACCTAATGAGCGTGGTTCTTGTGGTGCTCTAAAACGAAGTTAGAACAAACAACACTATCCACAAAGATACGGCCACGTACTCAAGTGCACTACACGCCACCAGACACGAAGGGGGAGACGAAGAAACCGCGTCAGCGCTGACCAACACGAACCAACATAACCTGCCACTCACTCTGGTAGTCGATGGTGTAGCCAAGACCGAAGATGCCGAGAATGGTCCAGACGAGAGGAGCACCGCTGGCGTTCTTGCCGTTGAAGAAGCGGGCCTTGATGCCTCCGCCGGCGGTGGTGGGTGCGGGGCCCTTGGGGAGCTTCGAGTAGAAGTTCACGAGGGGGTTGAGGGCGGCACCGCCTCCAGAGGACTGTGCATCGAAGACGCATCAGGACCAGGCGAGAATGATGAGCGTATGCGGATGTTGCCGTAGTGTGCAGAGCGAACGTAAGAGTGAAGTCGAAGTATGGTGCGAGGCGAACAGGAAAACGCGAGGCGGGATTAGAGTTAGACTAGGCCAACACATCCCTTGCAAATGAGCACGTACGAGGTGAGAGGGAGTGGCAATTTTGGGCGGGACAAGGCCACCAAGGCTGCGGCGGATGAGCGAGGCGTGCATCGTCGACTACAAAAGTGGGATAGGGAAGAGGAAAACTGAGCGGGGCGTGGAGGTCGACGCTGGTTCGGATGCACACGGAGGAAACGCCGCTTTTGTTTGTACTTGTTGTCGTTAGCCCCTATCTCTGATGCGTCTGTGTGCTCCGAAGTTGGACGTTCTGAATCCCTCATCGTCCTCGAACTTTGTGTGCGCACCAGAAACTCAAGCAGACACTTTCAATCAACCTGCTGAGAAAATTTAGGTACTCAACTCGATCGCATTGTCGATGTTCATTTCGAGCTCCCCGAGACGGTCTTCAGCCTTCAATGATGCACGGGAAGGCCGAGAATATTACAGCATGTAAAGATAATTTATTCTTTGATTATATCGTATGTCCAGATACAGAAGTTCCAGTCAAGCGTCTACGACAATCATAAGAGATACTCAACGTAACTGGATGGTCTGGTATGTGATATGCACCCGACGACCCTCCCTCCCAGATGTTCACTAACGGCAAATTCGAGAAACTCTCCATGAACACACCCAACTCTGTCCCTTGCAATCCTGTAGGATCCGCGAAGAACTGTATTCTCTCCAGCGTCGGCGTGCGCCGACACACGCCCGTCAACACGTGCCCCAGAAACCGCAGCGACGGCTCCGACACATGCTCTGCGGTGAACTGTATCCCCAGCACGCGCACAGGAGGGATCTCGAGATGCTCCGGGACATCGTACCCGGTCTTGATCGTGAGTGTGAGCCGTTGAGGGTTTGGACACGCACGAGCGACGAGGTCGACATCACCCTGGAACGCGCCTTCCGTGTACACTCTCGGGGGCGCGAAGCAGACGGAAACAAGACCTGGGCCGCATGTACGCAGCAGGGACCGCCAGAAGCGGCCTGGGGGCCTCGACCCGGGAGAGATGAGATTGCGGAGCGCCGGTAAGGATATTCGTCTTGATGAGATGCCTTCATCGGGGTCCGAGGAACGAAACGAGAGCGTGGTGAGTGTGTTTGAGGCCAAAGGTATCTCGGAGTTGCTAGGGAGGGTGAGCGAGAAGCAGGAGAGGTGGCGCAGGTTGGCGTGTGAGAGCAGTATACGAAGCTGATAGGGAGATAAACGGATCAGGCAGTTGCTCCAGTCGAATACTTTCAGCGTTGGACGGCGGCAGATAGACATAAAGGCCAGCACGAAGCTGTTTATCTGGGCAGGGTCGACCTGACAAGAGTCGTGGAAGACAACGATGGAGAGATTCGGGAGGGAATCGATGATGTCCGTGAGGTGCGACCAGCCCAACGCGACCATCTTGCCGGGCAATTGGGCTGAGAAGGACACATCAATACGCTGGGTGTATGCTCCAAGGTCGAGGTGTTTCTTGTTCTTCCGTACGTTAGATCGGCTTTGGGGGTTCCTTGATTGAAGTAGAGAGGCGAGTGAGGCGGCGGTATCGAGGTTGGAGAGATTGATATCGATGGATTGGTACAGGAATCTGATGGAGTGCCCGTACCATGTCTTGCAGACTAGGGGGAGATAGCGACGAGTTGGGTCCTTCAATGCGCTCTCGCAGCGTTCCTTCAGCTCCGTTGTACCGATGAAATCTGCGACATAGCCGATATAGGGTTCGAGGGCGTAGGGCACATACGTGGCGAACTCGAAGATAAGCTCCCAGATCTCCACAGGTAGCGCGAGGTGTGATGGGGTTTTAGAGGAGACGGGCATAGAGCAAGGAGGCGTAGTACTTCCAGGAGGGATTATAACTCGTGCCTGGCATACGTGGCCTCTTGAAGGTCGAAGGGAGTGTTGACAATAGTTGGGTCTGAATGGAACAAAAAGCGAAGGCACGACGCGGGAACCCTGATCACTCAGTGGGCGCTTGGTCCGTGCCGAATATTTAGGGCAAACTCAGATAAAGGCAATCCACAGGCGCCTAAAAGCGCACACAATACTGAGCCGAGACTACTGTGGTGCTATTCCTCGGCCTCGATCATGGTGGCCTTCGTGAGCAGGTGCTGGCATTGGTGTTTGGCAAAGAGTGATAAGGCGAACGGAGCAGTGAGCAACGGCGGGCATAGGAGTTTGCTTTTTGAGGTTTACTATCATGCGTAGAATGCAGGCGCTGATCATGAGATATGCGCACAAGAAGTTGTGGGACACTGGGTGCGATGGAAGAGAAGTTAGCCGTTGGCGGCAAGCTGGTCAGCGGGAGCATATGAGAAGGGGTGCGGATGTTCGGAGCGGAGGTCCGGAAGAGAACGGCATGTTTTGATGCCGTTCACAAGCCGTTCACTTGCTCTGCTCCTATGTTCATCCTTGCGGCAGATGAACTCTAGACGGCTGAAGACGGGCAGAGAGTCAACGCAAAGTTCTCTGCCGCCACTGCCGTGTCTCTGCCAAGTGCACGATCTGGGGTCAGAATGTCGCGGGCCGAAGTTTCCAAAGGCCTCAGCCTCAAGTCCAGCCCGGCGCAGGCCCGGCTATGCCCGAACTTTGGTGGGCCGACTCGCTGCTCGTTGGTTGCTCATGTTCCTGACCAACTTCACCTCTATGATTCGTCGATCTAATCTTCCAATGATTCACACGCTATGTTTTCATTGGATAGACTTCAACAATATGTAAGGCCAGAATTTCGGCAGCCATTTTCCGCATCCAAGTCCTCTACACACCACACCGGTACTGACTTCCAGTCGCCACCAAACTACTTTTATCACTTCACCCTTGCTCCCACGAATGCATGCCGCACTCGCGATTGACGAAATTCTTCGCAATGTTGTCAGCGACGCTGAACTCACGGCGGGAGACCTTGCGGCAGCAGCAGAGACCTGTCGCTCTTGGTCAGATCCTTCCCTTGACGAGCTTTGGCAGTCCCTACACTCCCTGGGCCCTCTTATCTCTGTCCTGCCCCATGATCTCCTTACCTGCCGATTTACCACGAGAAGAGATCAAAACTTATTACCCGAAGTCGTACGTCTATTGAATATATGCGCCTACAATGTTTCTAACTTTAATGGATGTAGGTACTCGAGATGAAGCGATCCTTCATCGAGTCCGACTGGGTCGCCTTCCGCAAGTACTCTAGTCGAGTTCGCACCCTCTGGGGCTCTCTTGATCAGATGTTACGCAAGACCCCCGAAGGGAATCAGACGATGATGATGGTCATCGCTCCGGACTTGCTCGAGGCGCTTGCCTTCCCGAACTCCCCAAAGGGTTTGTTCCCCAAGCTACGCAAGGTCGCGTGGCTCAATGCCAACATCAACAATGCCAAGCTGCTGCATCTCCTCGTGGTCCCTTCGCTGACCACACTTCATCTTCCGGGTTTTAATTGCTCTTGCGTAAGTTCCGCTTCCACCTTTCGTCAGTGACTTTTCTAAGTGCTTCTTAGGTCCAACACCAAGAGGTCTACGGTGATGTTGTCGACATCCTCGACCAGCTCGGGGACCTCTGCCCCGAAATGAGATCATTCTACTTCCTCTACAGCCTCGCTCACGTACCCGAGGCCGCAGCCGCCGTCTCACGCACGATGCGCACCTGGGACCACCTCGAGTCCATCGGGTGCCGCGTGCCGGACGTCCCCTCCCTGGGCCACCTCTCCGAGGTTGCATCCCTCCGCCACCTTCAACTCCACCTCCCGTACGAAAGCTTCCGCACCCGCCTCCCCATCCACCTCGACCAGCTCGAGACGCTCTTCCTATCCGGCTCGCCCGCAGACATGACGAACCTCCTCGAGTGCGAGGACGGCCAGCTGCGCATCTGGCGATTCGAGTCTCAGGCGCTGTACAGCCCCGACCGCGACGATGTCCGCAAGCTCCTGAGCGCGCTGCAGGAGCGCTGCTGCCACGACAGTCTCCGGATGCTGTCCATCCAGGAGTACCACCACTCGCTCCTGCCGCCCGTCGTGCGCACCGAGTTCTTCGGCATCACGGCGCACATGCTGCAGCCGGCGATGTCGTTCCACGAGCTCGAGCGCGTGTACATCGACACGCCGCGCGCGATCTCGCTCGATGACGAGGACCTGATCACGCTCGCGCGGGCGTGGCCCAAGGCCAAGTTCGTGGAGATCAACCCGAGCATCGGCTGGATCGCCGAGTCTCGCGTGTCGCTGAAAGGCCTCGTCGAGGTCCTCAAAGTGCTCCCGCAGCTCGAGCGCCTCGCAGTCTCCGTTGACGCCCGCGTGCTCACTCCGCCATCGTCCGAAATATCTGAAGAAGGGCAGGCACAGCCGCTCGCGGGGTTTGTTCATGGCCGACTCGCTAGCTTGGACCTTCTGGACTCACGGGTCGGCGAGGAGTACGATCAGGTCGCGGCGTACCTGTTCAAGTTTGTGTGTCCGCCCAAGTGCAGAATTACCGTCTGGGAGCAGCCGAGGATTCTGAGCCGTGTAGTCCAGGCTGCGGAGATATGTCAGGCGAGGTGGCAGCGCGTGTTTGACCTTTTGGCTGATATGCATTGATTTTTTGTCTGTTTCATTTTCGGACATCGGACGCGACGGACTTGTAGCCATGTTTCTCCTGTAATTCTGTAGCGGTCTGTTCCACATCTCTGTCGATTAGCCCCGCTTCATTCTGATTTACTCCGTTGTCTGGCACCTCGGTGCATTCTTCTTTTGGCACGAAAGTAGCTTATATGTATCAACTAGGGTAGTTGCGATCTCCTCTGGATGTATTTTTCTTGGGATTCAAGTAGACGTTATATTACGAAACGGACTGATTTAGATAGGGAACCTCCGTCGGAGATCACTAGCGTTACTCATAGCGTATGTAACAAGCTAAAGTATCACAGGCTCAAAAGGAATGCATATAATGTTTCCCGGCTAGTCGTCATCACCAGTGCGTTTTTGTCCCATATCGATTGATTATCAGAGTTATTGTCATTGATTCACCATAAAAGTCCGAGTACAACATCATAAACGACTATCATGTCAGTTTGTCAAGTACATAGAGCCGATATCAAGGGCCACCTTAGTTCGTACTGTACGTCGCGAACGTATTGTTGCTAAACAGTTGGTGATAACATCAGCTCTGATGACCCCAAGAAACGAAGCGGGACATGACATACGTAAATGCGAATCCAACTCTACTGTTCTGCCTGTCGAACACCTTCAAAGTGCCCACATCATCAGCCGCTCTCGCACACTACACCTCTGAGAAAACAAAGGGACATACCGCGTAGTATCTCTCCAAGAACTTCTGCCCGAGCACAAAATCAAGTCCCTCGCCACTCGCTCGGCCGAGGCTGCCCACAGCGCCGTACTGCACGCCGGGCTTGCCGCCCCACGCAGCGCTCCGGTTCTGCGGGATCAGCTGCGCGTCGGGACTCAGTGTGAGGCTCGTTCCGCCGATCGTGAAGTCGAGGGGCTCGATGCCGGCCACGGAGGAGGAGGGAATGACGAGCAGGCCGGTCGAGTTGTCTATGTGCGCACCGGGGATGGCGGAGATGTAGTTGGCGAAGAAGTCGTCGGCGAGGAGGACCTCTGGAGTGGGTTCGGAGTATTAGCGTCTGCCTTTCATGGGCAACAACTTAAGACAGAGGAATGACGTACGGGTGGTACCGGTGTCGACAATTCCAGCCGAGGACTCGGTGAACACGGGTGTAGTTCCGTAGGTCGAGCTGATGATGTTGATTCCCCAGTATTTTGCGGCGGGAAGAGTTGTGGTGAGAGGCGTATAGGTGATGTCGCCGTTGAACTGCACGACTGTAAGCGCAGTCCAATAAAATAGAAGCGCCAGGACATGATCGTACCAATTCCGTGTCAATATCACCGTATCCTATTTCGCCGTCTGAGAAGTGCGATGAGAATTCATCCTCATTTTCGATAGTGTAGCTTACTGTATTGAGTGTAGTTCGTCGAAGGCGCGAACGAGATGCCCAGGATGTTGTTTGTGATCTTCGTCTGGTACACTGCAGTGTCCATAACCGAAAAAATCAATCCGATTGGATCGGATGGAACTGTTCCCCGAGTCAGCTCGGTAGGGCCTAGACCAAGGATCCCGTCGACTCCCTCAGGGAACCCAGACCATGAAAGAGCAACTCCGATGGACTGGTTAAGGAAGACCCCAGGCGCAATGATGACTTGGTCAAGATCTATATTCTCGGAAGTTAGACATCTGAGCCTGAAGGGCGGAAGAATACGTACACTCCGCTCCCGAGAAGCTGTGAGAACCAGAATTCACGCTGACGTTGAACCCGAGAGGAATGCTTGTTTCTGTGCGATTGTACTTTTTACCCGTGCTATATTCATACATTCAAGTTAGTTCTCAGCCTTTCCGAAGATCTCGTTACACTCACCCTACAAAGGTGTTGCCGCTCCCGGTGTCCACAAGCAGGTTGTAAAACGTCGGAGGGTTGCCCACGCCAACCTCAACGGTGTACTGCATATATCCCAGGCTCTTTGCGATGATACCTGCGTATTCGGTCGTGTCTCGCGCCTGAAATTGGACCCCGCGCGCGCGGTCAGCATCCGGCAGGCCCTTGATATACGAGCCTTCATGGCTTGTGACCGGGCGCAGAGGAAGGGTGACGTATGCCTGGACGGCGGTCGCGAGCACAGAAAGTGATAGAAGTCCAGCGATGGTCCGCATAATGTGTGACAATGGGCTGCAGGAGATGAGCTCGTTGATGTCAGAGAGTTTGATGAATTTATACCTGAGGAGTGAACTAATGGCAGTCTGAGCGGAATCCGCATACTTCGATGCCAACGATACCTTGGTGCGTGCCCGTTTGGCCCGCACCAGGACATCATGAAGGGCATTCTCGACCGTGCCCGCGAATGAAAATATATGCTAGCTGGGTCGTGCCTAGATGCTGTTGGTTGAGAATTCCGACTGCTATTGGAGCGGGTAGGTACGTACATATCCGTTCCAAGCGCTATGAACCTCAGGATAGGCTGGAGCGATTAAAGTTGAACTTAGTGCTAAGAATATCATCGCCTGTGCGAGAAAAAATGAGTGTCCGAGATGACCATAGAAGTTGGTATCTCATGTTTCACCTAATTCTTAACGCTCACAATGCCTGAAGTAGGCAGTCAGCATCTCCTGCTGTGGATGTGCACGTTTTTGTCACTGCACCTTTCGTTCTCACTACGTCGATTAAACGCCGTCTCGGAGGCTTAGCTCGCAATGACTTGAGGGGTTGGTGGCGATAATCACTAGGACTGGCGGACATTCCCTCGTTTTGTCGAATTGGCAACAAGCTGGGGCTTTTTTTGCTCTTCAAGGTTTTAAGCAGTAACACGTTACGTGCGAAGTGGGAGGGGGTTGGAGGAGAAGGCTCGGCGACGCGCGGCCGAAGACGAAAGTCCGAAAGTCCGCCTTGTCTCCCTAAATGACCGCATCGCAATGCATCGCAATCCCGCTTTAACCACCAAACTCTGACTGCAATGCTTTGACCAACCGCTGATCAACGGCGTTCTTCCAGAGAGCTGCAATATTTCTAGACGAATCGGTTGTAGGTCTTGCTCGACATTACGACCCCAATCAATCGATCACTACGCATCGACACGATCTTAAGCGAGCTTTGCCCCACCCCAGTTCGACCCGGCCAAGGGCCAACGCTTTGGTCATACTTTCATGCGCTTTGATACTTATCATCATGATGGCGCTTTGTATGCCAGTGATATAGTATGTGCCAGCCAAATGTGCGGGTATAAGTATGAGTCTTGGGCTCCCGAAATGATACTTTCACCAGCGCCGTCTCTCCCGTCCCCACTTGCTCGCCATGCATCGTGCTCTTCGCGTGACTGAACTTCTTCAGATGATCTTGGAATGCCTCGCACCTCGGGACCTCGCGGCTGTATCGACAACATGCCGGGATATCTCACTCATGGCTTCCGATTTACTCTGGGAGGCACCAGGGTCTCTAGCCCCACTCGTTCGTCAACTTCCTACCAAGTTTAAGAGGCTAGAAATCGATCCAATTACGACGGTACGTTAGCGCGTTCTTTGAGTTCATCACACAAATCCTAATGCTGATATGCTCCATAGATCTACTTGTTCAGATATGACCCACTTACTGCAGAAGATTGGGCTGTCATCATCCGCTTTGCGAAGCGTATCAAGTGCTTTAACAACCTTACCGGGAGTAAAAGTGAGGGTGGCAGATATGACTCGGTCGGCCTTAGCGTCCTGGAGGCCCTTTGTGACCCTCCCTATTCTAATCCTTTGTTTCCAAGGCTTCAGAGTCTCCACTGGCGCGACAGAGACGAGGGTATCTTCTTCTTACCCGTGCTGATGAGTGGATCTCTCAAGCATCTCCGTTTCGATGTCACACCCTGGATTGGAGAGCCCCACATGTGGAGGGCCAACTCAACCATCAGCGAAGCTTACGATAAGGCCGCGTCTGTGTTTAACGATATGGGCAAGCATTGTCCAAGTTTGAAGACATTCGTGCTACCTTGTGACCCTGGTTTGGCTGATGAGTGTACGGCTCGGTGCGTCTCGGCTATACGCAATGCGGTACCGTCTTTGAAACATCTTCGACACTTTGAGTTTGACCCCATCGACATCAACGTGCTCCATCACCTATCCGCTCTTCCCTGCTTGCGAACGATGACTGTTACTCTTCCAGACGAACTTCAACACGCCGAACAGCTTGATGATTCTGCTTTCCCTATGCTGGACTGTATGAAGCTTCAACATTCCGGGAGTCTCAAACCTTGCACGGATTTCCTTCGCGCCCTCCCTCGTCAGTTACTGTTATCACACCTCAGTGTCAGCTCGCACGTTCCTGGGGGGCTCAAGGAGTTTCTGGAAGCCGTGCGGGACAAGTGCTGCTCAGCAACTTTGAGGGAGCTATCGATCAACGAAGACTGGGAAAACGAAGACTTGACTCAACTGTTCGCGCCCGGTTTCAATCTTACCGCCGACGATATACGCCCATCATATGCCTTTCGACTCTTGAATAACTTTACGATAAACACGTGGCGCTCGGTGAAGTTTAACGACGACAATCTCCTGGAGCTAGTGGATGCATTGCAAGATCTCGTCTCCCTTAAGCTCAATCCCTATGGCTGGAACGGATCTGGGATTACTCTGGAAGGCCTTTCGAGAGCAGTTGAACGCTGGAACCGCAGGAAGCGTTTGGAGGTGCTCGGCTTGGCGTTGGATGCAACCGCAATGACTGCGACGGAATTTCTCGCTTTGCGGCCTCGCGGTGTTCCCTCTCTGTCATCGCTCAAGAAGTTCCACTTCGCGCCGGACAGCGATTTCGGGGAGAACTCATATTTTACCGACCTTTGTCTTGGACAATTTATGAATGTCAAGGGGAGAAGGGTTTGATAGACATTATATTGTAGATATCGTTCGCTAATGAAGCTCTGCCATAAACCGACTACTTTCCCTTTCGGCGTGAAACCTTGAGATGAGTTGGGTCACCTTTTCCCACCGTTTTTGAAACATCAGTGACCTTTCTGAGGACCAAACACTGTTCCATGAATGCACCACAAGACGCTTCTCCGTCAAGGAACCAAGGAAAGATGCGATAGATTGGATATTACGATCCTCGATTAAGGCCCAGCCCACTGACAAAGTCGATAAATTCTGATGACGAGGGTTGGTCAATGAAAAGGACTCGTAGTTGCGGCGGGCGTCAATGGGCACAGCGACGTATTGCAGCTGGGGGCAGTTACGCAAGAGAGCTTGAAGTCCCCTGAATGTTGGTCTCTTATCACGAAACCAGTTGCTCCTGTCTCCTGCCTCCAGCTTGAGATAAGCGAGCTTGGGCCAAGACGTCGAAATGGTTGAGATATCAGTATCTTCAAAAGAGAGCCGCATGTTTATCGAGATTGAGATCCTTGTGATATTGATAAAGTGCTTCAGCGAGCTGAGCCCTGTTATGTCCAACGGGGCTTCTGTAGAGGAACCGCCGGAGGTGAACGAGCTCAGAGACACAGCTGAGAGGCAAACGGGATCTAATTGCGACGCGAGAGATCGGAGGGCGTGCTCTACACCCTCGTCTGTAGTGGAGATACCCTCGAATGTCTCAACTCGAGGTAAGCCCCCGATGCAATCCAGAGTTCTCCCGATGGCGATGAAAGGCGAATCACAGATGCACAAACTACGTAGGGGGGTAAAAGAGAAGTTGAGATTCCGCGCTGATGAAGATTTTCGCAGCTCGGAGTTGGTGAGTGCCCAGATTTTGAGTTCTTCAAGCGACGGGAGCTTGTCAATTGCCTGCAGCACCGCCTTGCTGGGCTTTAAGCGGAGGGATAGCTTTCTTAAAGCGTGCATAGTAGGCAATGCCTCCTCCAGGGCACTCCGAAGACTGCCTGAATCTTCAAAGGACGCAGGCTGCACTTCGAGCTCACGTAATTTCTGGCAACTAACGCTGATCGTGGAAAGAGAAGGGAAAAAGTCGCTTGGCATTTCGAGGAGGTCCATCTTTGTTATCTTGGGGCCGGAGCAGTAGAGAGCGAATTTGCCTGAAAATTCATCTGATCTCCATTCCAGGTTTTGAAGACTAGGGAAGAGAGGGTATGGGGAAAGACAGATGGTTTCATACGCTTCCTCTGAAAGCTGCGTGGACGCCCCCTTAGGTTCAAACAGTCTTCGTACGCGATGTGAATATTGGAAGACACGTTCCCAGTCGATTGTATCAAGTGGACGGGTGAACGACTATTTGAGTCGAGGATTTAGTTTCCGTATCTCTAAGCCTTAAAGGGTGAAGAACGTACGAAGCCCTTGTCGTCAATCTTCCAAGAGTCTTTGGATAGCGTCATAAAAATAGTGGAGACCCCCAAAACCTTGAAATACAAGGCGTCCAGCGCTGGATCTCGAAAGAGTTTACACACACATGCCATGCGATAAAGGTCTTTGGTCAGGTCAGTGTAGAGTAATTGCGATCTAACATGACAGCAGACTTCGTAGAGAATCTCTTCAACGCGAAGGCAGTTGTGCATTGCGGACTGGCTATTGACTTGAATCGGTTCAGCTACTATCAGGGATTCAAGAGGGTATCATACTCGCCTCTATGTATGACGATCGATACAAGGACTCTGTCGCGACAACGGCACTTTTCAAGTTGTGCTGAGTCGTCGAACACAGCGTTGGTATCATGCAAATTGTTCGAGCTCCGACAGGGATTTTCCGGATTCCCGCTTGATGCAAATGTTTCGAGCCACTCATGACTATCTACGCGTATCTGTTTAGCAGGGAGAAATCGCAGGTCCTCAAGTCATACGGATTGACGGACTTTTACTGGAAACTCCTCCTTTGCTTCCACCTCAGTTGATGTTGCCGCTGCAGATAGATCAGGCTACACCCTCTTTTTTCATCGCAAGTATGAGATTAAACGTCGCTCCAATGGCTCGATGATTTCCCACTAAGATACTCAACAAATTCCTATAAATATCCTACTCGTCAATGAACTCGTATTCAAAGGTTATGCCAGACAATCGTGAAGGTGCAGTAGCAAGCAAGCTCTTGTAGCGAATATGAATGTTCAAGAACTCGATAACTCTGATAGAGGGAAAACGAGTGGTAAGCGCTTTTAATAGATTCCAGATATGATTACATGTCGGAGCCGCTTTATCCTTCTCGCTTCCATTGTACAACATGAAAGCAAGGCGCTTCACAGGCGGCAGCCGCATAGTACCTGAGGGGAGAGGGAACTGTCCTGCATCGAAGAAGACGTTTGCCGGAATGGAGAAGGTGAAGCGGGTGAGATTAGGACAGTGTCGAGCTATTGTGGGTAACAAAAACGGATCGGCAATCTGCCCCGGCTCTACCACGTAGTGGACGGAAGTCAGCGGTCGGCCGAGGGATTCAAGGAACATAACCATGATTTGTGTGCAGGCCGATTCCTTGATCGTGAGATAACGTAGATGAGGGAATGAGTCGCATGTGAGCTCGGACAACCATCCGAGACTGTCTAGGGAGAGAAACTCAAGAGACTGCATCGCTGCGGGAGGTGTCGACCCGTCATGAATAGATGGAAGAGCGGCGTGCTTGCATGATAAGATGCGGGGGCATAGCAGTGAGCCGGAGGATAGAAGAGTAATGATCTGGCTGGGTGATGGATTTAGCGCCCGTGTGCGCCATTCCAACGCGCGAATGCCACGGTGACTACAAATGGCTTCAAGGATGTCCTCTGGGAGATAGCTGTGATCAGACATCTCTGATGCGAAGACGAGGACAGCGAGGCGAGGCAAAGAGCGTATGATGTCGGCAAGGTTGGGAAAGTCTTGTGTACAGGTCGAGGGATCAATCTCTGCAGTGTAATCCTTCAGCACCACATCCAAACGCTTCGTGTATGACCCCAGCGCTGCGTCAAGTCCGTGGGCGCCCTTTGGCCGAGGTTCGGACACCGTGGCAGCGAGCGAAGGCAAGACGTTCACATCATTGACCCAGATTGAGCTATAGAGATAGGAGGTGGCGAGTCTATGCCACCTTCGCGACACGAGGGGAAGGTGACGCCTGGTCTCGGTCAAGGAGCGCCTCAGCGCTAATTCATGGGGAGAATTTCCGCGGTTGTGCAGCCCATATCGTTCTGCGTAAGCGTAGATCGAGGGTCCTGAGGTACCATCAACGAATGTAGCATGGTGAAATATCTCGACCCAGAGCTCGTCTGGTAAAGTTGTGGGTTCGTGCTTGAGCTTGAAGACGTTTGTCATAAGCGGTTTGGCGCTTCCGATGGTCTGTGCTACGTAGGCACGCAAAGCTCGGTCCGCGTTGGCGAGAAAACTCCGACACTCCGATTTGAACACTAATCCGGTAGTATAGGGTCGGTAATTCACAACGCTTGATAGAGACGCTTTGACCTCCTGGCCCTTGCGCAACTGCCCTGCATGACTACTCGGCTATCTCAACTCGGAGGTGATAATAGAACCTACAAGAGCGGCGTAAACTACCTGGCGTCGGAGCTTTTCCCAACAATACAGCCATGCCTGCTTGGACCCTGATGACGACCCTAGCTACCAAGACGCATGTACTGGTAGCTCGGCCTATAAATTCTACCTTTTCCTCAGCGTCAAAACACATAAACTTTCCAACATCCTCCTGACCTTTTATCACCCTTCCCGAGAAATTTTCCGGCTATGCATTCTGCTCTTCTTCTCGAGGAGTTTGTTCGCGCAATCTACCAGCAAATGGAGCCACAGGATGCTGTCTCGCTTTCGCTGACCTGCCGTGTCGTCTCTGATTTTGTGTTGAATGCGCTGTGGGAAAACCCAATCTCTCTCGTACCTCTTATTTGCGTCTTCCCTAGCAAATTTATTCAGGCACAGCCGATTCGAAGGAGCGTTGCGGGAACAATAGTGCGTTGCTGAGACCTTTGTTTCTAATATCTGCTAACATGCATATGTTGAGGATAGGCGTACAGCTTCGTATCCGATTCATTCGACTCGGAATTAGAAGACTCTCAGTGGGCAAGAGTCCAGAGTTACGCGTCTCGTATCAAGCGCTTCGATAATCTCAGGGAACATGCTATTGGAGGAGTACTGAAAGGTCTCGTGTATCCGAACGTGTTCAAGGCACTCTCCGAGAAAGGCCTCTCTGAAGCAAAACCTCTTTTCCCAAACCTCAATAGCATGAGCTGGTTTCCGGGAATTTATGATATCGGCTTCTTACGCGCCTTAACGAGCCCCTCTCTCAAACACCTTCGTTTTATCGACTTTCCTTGCCGGGGTCTTTACGAAGCAGAGGATGACTTTGACACCGACCTTCAAGAGTTGTGGGCGGGAAACCTGACGATACTGGAGGATATCAGCACGAGATGCCCAAATCTTCAGACTTTAGTTTTGCCCTCAACTTCTTGGAAAAACCGCACAGGGCAACGTCTCGCCAAGGGCATGAGGAATACCATTCTCTCATGGAAGCATCTGCGCCATCTGGACTTTGACCACACTGACGATCTTGTCTTGCAACACGTGTCTACTCTTCCCAAGCTGCGGACTTTGGCGATCGCTCTTTCCAACGACGGCTATCTTGTTCAAGACACGTTCGGAGTCTCTACCTTCCAGAGCCTCAATCGCCTGATCCTGCGTGAAGCCGTCGGTTTCGAGCCATGTGCAAAATTTCTTGAAGCACTCTCGCGTGCACCCGGCTTATCCTGCCTCGAGCTTCATTCAGTGGCCCCAGGGAGTATCTCGGACCTCCTCAACGTTGTCAACCAACGCTGCTCCCCGGATTTGAAGGAGTTGTCTGTCTATGAAAACTGTGGGCACCCAAGAGATAGCTCGCCCACTAGTTTTCTCACTGCTGAAGACCTCCGTCCGGCGTATTCATTCCATTCTCTGGAAAAGTTCACCATCAATACGCGGCGGTCTGGCAAACTTAGTGATGGAGACCTTTTAGAACTCGCACAGGCGTGGCCGAGATTGGTCAGCCTCAATCTCAACGTCCACTCCGAATACCAGAACACATCCTGCCTGTCACTTGGTGGTCTTGCCGTGGCCTTACAGCACTGGCCGTACCTCGAGGAGCTTGGGGTATCAGTTGACGCTACTGCGCCTTCCATCGATTATTTTTGCGCCAATTGGCCGGATGGTATGCCTCAGGTCCCGACACTTCGTAAGCTAGACCTCGGCGCTTCCCAAATCGATGATAATACCCAAGAAGTCGCCCAGTGTCTTCGCCATTTTATTGGTGGCCTCGAGCGAGCGAATCTTCAGGCATGGTCGGAGAAGGGGAGAGATCCGAGCGATAAAGGGTATTCTTGGAGCTGGAAAAGGTGGCAAGATGTTTTTGATACTATTACAAACTATCCTGCAAGGATGCACGGGCGTGATCATTAGACTAGCATATCGACCAACATGGCCATCAGCCGAATGCTTTAAGCTCCAGCCAAGTACTACATACAAACACCAATTTATTATGTGACTGCGACGTAGTGAATATTACAATGAAAGGCAAACAATACTTGTTGCATGTCGCGTCCACAAAGCAGATGTGAGTAGTACTGCGACTACGCGGATCACGAAACGGGAGCCATGCCTCTGCGTGGCCATAGGTTGTGGCCCGGGTGGCGCGTTTGACAGGCGTCGTCATTAGTCGCTTCCACTGAGAAGGTCGGGAGTTTTCGTTTTAGAGCAGACGATCGACGCCTATCGACGCGGATAATCTTCTCGCCAGCCGAGAAAGCCAAGGTTGAACAAAAAGACTGCATGAACAAGGCATGCGCCAGCATGGACCTTCGCATCGCTCCTGCAGGCTATCAACAGGGATGATAACCCGCCGAAAACGGAAAGAAGCAATACAAATAGCGCCAAATAAACTCGGGCCAAAAGATTAACGCCACGCGCAATGGTTACGCCTAATAAAGTCCCACATCAAGAAAATTGCGCTGAAGTTCTCCGGAGTTGCAATCTGGAGGCCTCGACTCCGATCAATTCATCATGATATCTCCTTTCACTGGGTACAAATTACTGTTTTGCATCGATCAAAACAAGATCAAATTGTGATCAAAATTATATATATTACGCTAATATTGCTGTCAACAATACATGAGCATTATTTAGAATTTGGTAAAGGTTTATTCCTGTATAAAATATGGGCAAAACAGGAGCAAGTGCTGTTATTTTGCCAATGCCAATACATAGGAAATAAGCATGGTATTGGGTCTAGGTTAATTGTGGAAATATATAATATAATGCATCCATTAACAACATCATATTGCCAACAGGTTGCTGTTGTTTTATTGCTGGCACATCTTAGACTTTCATTATCATTTTGGGGCAGACAAAAGCTTGACACACAAAAATCAAATCATAATGTTACCAGTAGCATAATGTGATCAAACTGCCACAAGCAGATTTGAGATTTTATGAAGACAGATATTTACCAATACGTGAGAGAGAAAA